GGTACTCAACTAAAAATGACTCAACCCCATCGGCCCCAGGCTGATGGACAGACCGAGATTATCAACAAGCAAATCTTGAGTGCAATCCGAAAAATGTCTAATGAAAAAAACCAATGGGCAAGGGACTACCAAATAATCGAAGCGATTATTAACAATAATATCAACACAAGCACCGGCTATACACCCAATCAAATCGCGAACCGATTATGCCATGGAATGCACTGAGCATGCCATTCAGCGACTATCGTCGTAATATGGAAACCTATCGCCAAATGGCGAAATCAAACATGCTGGAAGCTCAGATCAGAAATCAAATACAATACGATAAAGGAAGAGCCAAGTCATGCGAATACAAGATTGGTGACCTGGTTAAAGTCAAGCGGGCTGTTCTAGATACACATAAAACAGAACTGAACGAAAACGACTACAAGTTGAGATCAAAGTATGCTGGTCCTTTCAAAGTTACAAAGATTATCAGCCCAACCAATGTATCAATCAAAATCAACAACCGTAAAGGCGATCGTCAAAACCGTACAGTAAATGTATCAGACATTTATATTATGGATGCAGATGGCGTCGACACTGACGTACAAGACATTGTGGAAATCATTGGGAAAAGAAACCAAAAGTATGGACGCGGATCTAGAATCGAATACTTGGTAAAGTATGATGGACTAGATGAAGACCACAACAATTGGATACATGAGGTCGTTCTCAAGGCTTACAACAAGACTAAATCACTCGTGGAAGCCTATGAATACCAGTTGAAGAACAACCCCAAAAATCATAAAAAAAAATAAGTATCTATCAAGTTGATTCAATTGAAACATTGTTTCTAGCTTGGTAGGGAATGTGTAATGAGAATGGACCTTTTTTACAAAATCCCAATTCTCACGCACCTACAAACGAGCAACAGCTCTCATCATTCATTATTATTACATTTTATATAACACTATACAATCTATAAGACTAACCATAGTTTATATAAGATCTTGATTATTACTATCCTATTACTATCTATATCGTAGGGCCCTCGACAAGATAGAGCATAGTTTAGTAAAGCATTCTCTGCACCTGGTGCTACATTTCTATCCAACTTTGGTCAAATTCCGATAAATTCTGATCACCAAACCTACCAAATGAATTGTAATTTTTTAAAATGGCAAAAAATTCTGAGAGTGACTAGTCGTTCCAGTTTATATATGACAGAATATAAAAGGAAATCCAACTCCTGTATATTAGTACGAAATTAACCTCCCTCTCATTGTGGGGTTAGTATGTGTTAAAAATGAATTCTTAATTACACCCACTGTCATTTCCATGCAACCAACGACTAAATTGCAGTTCCCATAGTCCAGTTGTCAAAATCTCTGTTCATTTTTTTATAAAAATGGTTAATAACAAATTTTTATTTTGTTTGATGTTGAATTCTTTACAAAACCTCTTTTGGTTGGTTCATGTAAATCCTTCCAACAATATTGAATTAAATTTTTTAAGAAAAAGTAGATTCATTTAAAGATATTATAAAGAGTTTAGTAATTATAGAGTCAATGGAAAAATAAAGGAAAAGATTGTAAAAAGTGTTAAAAATATTTGGTTTAATTTGGATTGTTTAGAGTAAAACAAAAGTTGAATAACTTTCTTAAAATTTATTTTAAACAAAAATTAAATTTACCAAAAGATGTTAGAAAGAGTCTACTAAATATAGAGTCAAATAGAATAGAAAAGGAAAAAGAATTCAATATAAAAAAAGTGATAAAAATTTTATTATTATTTTTTTTTTTTGGATTTTTTTTCTCAACCATTTACTATGTTTTGGTGATCAAAATTTAATTAATGAAATTTGACCAAAGTTGGATATAAATGTAGCACCAGGTGTAGAGAATGCAGAAAGAACAAAAAAAAAAGGCCAACGAGAAAACCTCGGCACAGAAAAAAACACTATTATTATTGCTCATTGCAGGGATCGAACCTGCGACCGCGGCGTTATTAGCACCGTGCTCTACCGACTGAGCTAAACGAGCAATTTTTAGATGTTCTCATTAACTAATTTGGTCGTTTTGACCCCAATTTTCACCATCGGGGCATGGCGTGGCAAGTGAGTCGGGAGTGTGCTACCCCGGGAACGTAAAGGTCATAGGTTCGAATCCTGCCCTCGAACTTTACCTTTGGCGCCAACGTTTAACTTGACACAATTGGGGGGATTGAGGAGAAAAACCATCCGACTCTAGGGATCTAGAGACAGGACACCCCCACGGAAGGATGACCGGGTTAGTTTCCCCTTCTCAGCAGGAGATTGGGTAGCCAGACTGCAACAAGTAACGGGAAGGTAGTGGAGGACCTACTGGGCCGTCGCGATAGAAAGCCATCTGACATCTCAAATACAATATGCAACACGTAAAGACGAGTGTCCACAATGGGGAGTAAATCGGCGCGAGAGTTGAGAGCGGCAGTCGGTCTTGGACGCACCCAAGGCTTAAGGTTTCACCGCAAGTATGGTAATTTCGGAGTTGGTGCCATATTTGCGTCAACCTCAAACAAACTCCAATGACTATAAACTTGGTCGCTGCAACACTAGAACGAATATGGTTCCGACGTAATGATCTACGTCACCAAAGAGATGAACCATTCACTGAACAATACCTGCGAGCTAGATTGATAAGTGATATGCGACATATTATAAAAGTAAACTGGGACAAGACGTTAGAATTATGTAACCGATGGCACTTGGCTCTAATGAACCAAACCGACGAATCAGTAATACATACGATTACAGAACGAATACAAACTATCATCCTTCGATTCTCCTCCAACTACAACCATCCTACTGTCTACAAGATCGCACTACCTAGTCATTTAGAGAGGTACAAGACTCTGCGTACTCTTCATCTATAACCGTTCACCCTCAGCTTCATTCCTCTCATCCTCTTCACCACCGCCATCCTCTTCTATTCTCTCTACAACTATCAATAATAATATTAATAATATAATAATTCACTAAATAATAAGAATAATAATAATTATATCAACCCAGTATTATAGCCTATTGTGCTAGTGAGAAAAAAAAAAAAAAAAAAAAAAAAAAAAAAAAAAAGCGATATCTTTAACCAATTTATTTTTAGAACAAGCAACAATCCAAAACCATATTCCATCTAGAATATCTTAAACTTCCAAGCTATCTAAATGTCAATCTGATCGATGGTCTGCCACTCATCTCCAACTGATATCACACTTTAGCAAATTCTCTTTCATTTGGGTAATCTAGCTGCCCTACCGCATTCCCTCTTTCCAAACTAATCCTAACCATTATCAAACAACAAAACATTAATTTAAAAATAAACAAAGATTTGTGAAAAGTCAAAATCATCAGACCTGATAGAATTGTGCGGGCTCAAGTTTGTTGTTTTTTTATAATTTTTACTCATTTAACTGTCTAGAATTGTATCAAATTTTGATTGATACAATGATTAAAATCCAATTGATTGCTGTTGTTTTTTTTCTATAGAGACAATACAAAATCCAAAATTTCATAATAGCCACGGGTCGAATAATAACTGGTGACATCATTTGTAATGTGTTGATTGTCTAGAATGTTGTTTGCAAATAGGTATTTTACAACACTCAAATATTTGTGTGTTCCTTTTACCACAAATAAGGCTTGATTGGTACATCCCCCAGATTGGCCATTTTCATATAAATACTCAACCACTTTACCCTTTCCATTTCTCGAGGCATTAATAATAGCATAATTTGTACATCCTTCTGTTCTATTTAAATTTAAAAACTATAAAATAAATTTAGAAAGAGTTATATTTTTCTTTTTTTTTTTTTTTTTTTTTTTTTTTTCTATTACCTTTACAATTTCTAAAAAACCATTTGATGAGGCTTGATCCATTGCATCAACAGTACAACCTTCTGTACGATTAAAATGTAAAAACTAAAAAATACAAAATAAATGAATGATTATTCTTTTTTTTTTTTTTTACTTTTTTTACTTACTTTAACAATTTCAAAATGACCAAATTGAGCTGCATAATTCATTGCACCAAATGTCCAAATAGATGTTTCCTCTTTATAGTGTTTGTCAAGATATTGGATAATATCAAGTCTACCCAATTCAGCAGCACGATCAACTGCATGTGATGAACATTTTGCCTTTAATTGTTCAACTAGGTATGATATAATATCCAATGAATGATTATAAAAAATGGCATCATCAATTGCCATCTCTGTACATGAAATATTTCTATTATTATTATTAAATAAATACTAAATAAATAATATAGATTATTAATATAAACTTTTTTTTTTTTTTTTTTTTTGATTTTTAAATTACTTTTATAATATCCAAATGTCCATTTGATGATGCATAATCGATTGCCTTGCTATAGTTTATATTTTCCATTGTTGATAAATATTTATGATGAAATTGTACCATATCTAATCTACCATTTAATGCTGAAATTTCCATTGCTTCTGTAGTACTACTACTATGGTGTGTCGAGTTGCGTTGTAGAAATGATAATATCTCTAAACTATTTGCAAAATTGATTGCATATTGTGAGAACCCTTCTGTACGATTAAAATATAACCATTCAACTATATTATAATTTCCATTAATTGATGCTTTATCAATTGCATCTGTTGTACATCCTTCTGTTCTATTTAAATTTAAAAACTAAATAAATAAAAAGAAAAGAAAGAAATATAAATAAATAAAAAAGAAATATTAAAATTTTTAAATATTAATTTACCTTTACAATTTCAAAATAACCATTTGATGATGCTTGATCCATTGTTTCTTGATCACATCCTTCTGTTCTATTAAAATGTAAAAACTATAAAATAAATAAATAAATAAAATTAATTTATTATTATTCTTTTTTTTTTTTTTTAACTTTACTTTAACAATTTCAAAATGACCAAATCTTGCAGCACCTTTTAATGCTAATTTTGTACATCCTTCAGTTCTATTGTAATGAAGAAACTAAAATAAATTATTACACGTACAGTACTTGTTTACCAATTCAATAATAGAAAGATGACCATTTTCAGCTGCCACATCAATGACATGTTGTAAATCAATCTTGTTTGGGTATCTTTTTAAAAGGTGATCAAGTATATCTGTATGACCAACACTTGCAATCATATTGGATAGACTTGTACGAAAGATGCATTTCATCTTGGTCGTGATAAAAGAAGGGTCATAGTCTGGTGACCATTCCAATAGATGTAATAGTGTTGACAGTGATGCATTTGGATGTGTACAGTATTGTGTGATTGCTTGTACCCTTCTATCCAACAATACACTGTCTCTTGGTGGTAGATAATGTTTGATAAAGTCCCATGACATTGCATAGTTTGTGATCATACAAAGTAATCTACTATTATTACTACTAATCTCTTTTCCACTTTTTGATCTATTTACTAGTCTTTTGTTGTTGACCCATTTATTGTGTTGTATATTCGTTGCTATTTGATTTGATATCTCTTTTACTTTATTAAATATCAATTGTTTTAAATATACATTTCTAAAGATTGTTATAATATTTGTTTGTATCATCACATAAGTTTAATTTAAAATAAAATAAACACTCAAAAATGTTTTTTTTTTCGTTTTGCTTTTACTTTTTGTAAACATTTAAATCGACAATCAACATTCAAAGACAAATACCTTGGATTTTCAACCACAACAATAACTATATAGTTATTATTATAAGGATAGAAGGAAAGGTTCAACAATAGCAGTGCGGGTAGACACAATAATAATACTATGATGCAGTTATCATAGTTCAACATTATAACAATCACTTGGTATATACCAATATATTCCACAGTGGGTATAGAGAGAGATCAATTGTTGTATTTGATAGTGTAGTATGATCCCAAAAGACATAGCAATCGGGATAGATATTATATGTATGTATACACAATAGATTATCCTGATATTTAGACAGAGAGATTGTTTAATTAGTGGGTCGCAAACAATCTCAAAGGTGGCAGTTTACTAACTATTCTATTTATTAGATTATATGAATAGTTTATAGTTATTAGAATGGATATTCTATACTAGTTCTGTAACAACAACACCAACAACTACAACTGAAAAGTCAACAGAGTCTGATCAAGACGATATCATTGAAAACTCGCAGGCTGATTATAATACTACCTCGAAAAAGATTGATGATACTAGTAGTAGTAGTAGTGGAGATGATGATGATGATGATGATGATGATGACAACGATGACAATGAAAAAGAAGAAGAGCTAGAAGAAGTTGACATATTCACAGATTATGCAAACAAGACAGAGATACCTGATTTCTTTTCACCTGGCTTTGCCATCCAACCACTCAGCTTTTTAAACGCTGCCTCTCAGACTGTTGATGATTCATCGGGAACTGGCGGCGGCACACAACAACAACACCAAGTATCACAAGTGTTTCGCTTTGACCAAGACGAAGAACAAGAGATGGACATTGACGTCTTTAAAAGTCGGCTCTCAAAAAGAGAAACACCAAAGTTCTTCTACACAATCGAATCAATCAACTACCATACCACCTGCAACTCAAGACAATCAAGATGATGAGGATGAAGATGATAAAGATGTTGAAATGAAACCAACAACAACGACAACAACAACAACAACAAAATTTGGAATTAATAATAACAATAATAATAATAATAGCAAGAGTAATAATGGTCTTTCAACTCAAGAATTCATCTCTTCGAAATTGACAGAAATGCCATCACAGAAATCACCTGGCGCATCTGGTAGTACTATTGAATCGTCACAAGAGAGTACTGTTAAAAGATTCACTGTTCTAGCATCACAGTCACCAAATTCATCGCCATTCAAACCAATGATGAAAGTGAACAAGAAGAGATTGAAATGGAAAAGGAGAAGGCATCTGGTATACCACCAACTCCCATTGACAATCTAAAGATACATACATCTATGCAACCTATGTTTGATCAACCTACCATTGAAGAAGACGAAGAAGAGGAAGAGGATGATGATAGTGAAGAGGAAGATGAGGATGATGATAAAGATGAATTATTTAATTCAAAGATAAACTATCGACAAAAGCTAGGAACAGGGGTTGAATCATCTAGCTTTAATATGAGTCGTTTTTTCGTTTTTTTTTGTCGACTGAACCGTGCATGACGAATGTTGACACCAACAATTGTACTCCTTTCCTCTTTTTGGAATTTTTATTTTTTTTTTATTTTAAATCCTCTCTTGTATGCATTATTTTTAATTGATTTCTCTCTAAATTTGATGTATCTGGGAGAGTAGCTGTCTAGTTTATTGGATGGAAGATGATCTTGATCTACAACAATATATCTCACAGCATAATTGGAGTTGGTGGTTGTGGTATTTTATCTCTCTTTAGGAACCACCAACCCCAATTAGGAAACAACTGAAAAACGAAAAAAGCTCGAGTTTTGGTCTCATAAATCCTAGATGATAGGTTTCGTATCTCAATCCAGACAAACTTCTGAACAACTTAAACAACAACAACAACAACAACAACAAAAGATACAAGAACAATCAATGAACAAACAAAATACTACTACTACTAAAACTAGCAAAGGTAGAGATTACAAGTGATAGAAAACAATAGTAATATGTGGGGAAATAGTGACTAACGAATGAACAACCTATCTCTCTCTACGAGTTCTCTTAAATACTCAGCCTTGTACCACGTCGTCATACATGCGTGGCTATTTGGTACACGGTCGGATAGTCCCCAGTCTTTATTGATAATAGTTAGATGGCGATGAGGGCAAATAGCGTCGGTGATATTGGATCGCCTTGCTTCGTGGCTCTGACAGCGAGACTCCTACTCTTACACGGACTTGGACATAACAGCGTTGACGATCAGTGGCGCACCCATCTTGGTCAAGGTTCGTTGGATGGCGAGGTGAGAGACTGAATCAAACGCCTTGGAGAAATCATAGAGTGTGGTACTTGTCCAAGTGCTGCTTCATGACTATTAGTGTCCCACAAAACTTGGTTGGATTTTGGTGCTGGCTTTTTTTTAAAGTAATTCTTTTCCGATAGGAGAGAGTAGTACTCAGAAGTTACAAAGTTTTATTAATTATACATTTTAATTGACCAGCAAGAAATAAAGATTATCTAGAGAAGAATTAAAGTTAATTTGTTCTGGGGGTTTGTCCATGTCTATGATACATGTTTTATGGACGTTGATCATGTATCTTATTGTATAGTATCAAGCATGTTGGATTGTTTTGGATTGTTGCTTGTTCTAAAAATAAATTGGTTAAAGATATCGCTTTTTTTTTTTTTTTTTTTTTTTTTTTCTCAGCACTATAGGCTGTAATATTGTGTTATATAATTATTCTATGTTATTATTATTATTTAGTAAATTATTATATTATTAATATTATTATTGATAGATGAAGAGAGAGAAGAAGATGATGAAGGTGTTGAGGAGGATGAGAGGAATGAGGTTGAGGTGATCGATTATAGATGTAGTGTACGCAGAGTCTTGTACCTCTCCAAATGACTAGGTAGTGCGATCTTGTAGACAGTAGGATGGTTGTAGTTGGAGGAGAATCGAAGGATGATAGTTTGTATTCGTTCTGTAATCGTATGTATTACTGATTCGTCGGTTTGGTTCATTAGAGCCAAATGCCATCGATTACATAATTCTAACGTCTTGTCCCAGTTTACTTTTATAATATGTCGCATATCATTTAGCAATCTAGCTCGCAGATATTGTTCAGTAATTCATCTCTTTGGTGACGTAGATCATTACGTCGGAACCATATTCGTTTGAGTGTTGCAGCAATCAAGTTTATAGTCATTGGAGGTTGTTTGAGGTTGAGGAGGGTGATATCCCAAACTGGTGATGTAATGTTGTTGGCAGAAGTAACCTCTTTCAGTATCTTTACTGGTAGTGTGGTCTCTTTGTATTGAAAGAACAAATGCTTGGAAGATTCATCTTTGCCACACGATACACAGATTGAAGCGACTGGGTCCCCTGACGATCTGGCCAATCGGCTTTTTTTTTTAAAGTAATTCTTTTCCTGTTCTCTCCTATCGGGAAGAGTAGTACTCAGAAGTTACAAAGTTTTATTAATTATACTTTTTAATTGACCAGCAAGAAATAAAGATTATCTCAGGAAAAATTAAAGTTAATTTGTTCTGGGGGTTTGTCCATGTCTATGATACATGTTTTATGGACGTTGATCATGTATCTTATTGTATAGTGTCAAGCATGTTGGATTGTTTTGGATTGTTGCTTGTTCTAAGGGGCCAATCGGCCTTTTTTTTTAAGCATCTCATTTCGTGGCATCCACCTGTAGGGTGGAGCACTACTCTTTCGATTGCGAAGTTTTATTGATTGAAGTCTTTGTTTGACCAGCAATGGGAACTGAGTTTCCAAAGAAGAAGCAAGTCCAATCTGTTTTTTGGGGTGCCAAATGTCTGTTCTATTTCCATCCAAGCAAAAATGGCAAGTCTTGGTGGGAGCTATTAGTTCTGTTTGTTCATCAATACGACGGGAAGCTTCTTTACCTGTTGCATCGAGGGGGGCTGAACGGTTCTGTGAGTTACGATCCATAGTTCTTTTGTCAGATTAGTGACCAGATCGTGACTGTTGGGGAGAGTGCCCAGTGTCACCATCCATATGTATGTGTGTGTGTCGAGTAATGGTTGGTGGTTGTGTCTACACCATGATTATCTATCTTATATCGTTCTGTTGTTCGTATTGTTATGTTGTTGATTGATGTTTTGATGAGATGTTGATGATGTTCATTTCAATTGTAATAGTAATGTGAATACTGTTTTCAAACTGTATTGACTTGTTCGCGCCCCTTATTTATAATAATGATAATGATATAAATAATTGAACCAGGGGGCACACTAGGGCAATTAGTTGTGTCTTTTAGTGAGTGTGAAAAGAAATAGTAATGTTTGATAAAAGATAGTTGAAGATAGTTGATGATTGAGTGAAGTTCTATAGTACTCTATACGTAATCTCGGTTTCTATCTCTTTCTCTCTATACAGAAAAATTCCAAACTGGGGGCCAATCGGCCTATAAATAGGCCAAAATGTGATCTGTACACACAACAACTCAATTCCTTTGTGGTGTAGTCGGTAACACTTTAGTCTTTCACACTGACACCCCGGGTTCGATTCCCGGCAAGGGAGATAACTTTTTACATTTATCGACAGTACTTTTTTTTTGCTGTCGAAACTATGTGGAACACATAGTACTTGGTCGTTGCTATCTTTTGGTAGGTTTGGTTGAAATTGGACAAAACCATATCTTAAAAACACCGATTTCATTTCTTTTTATGAATGTTTATATATATAGAGAGAGTGATGTATACCTGGATCAGAGAAAATGGAATGTATAAAAGTCTTACAGGATCCTGGTGATTCGAGCATTTTTCGAGTTTTTTGTAAAAAAATCTGATAGATCGAAAAATAGCAACGAGCTCACTTGAACATACTTTGGGTTCAAAACGAGACATTCATCTATCTTAACAATCAATAGTGAGAGATAGATAGAGATAAAAAAAAAAGGAAAAAGAGAGAGAGAGAAGAGATAATAAATCAAATAGAATGAGAATACCTAGTTTTTTTTCTCTATTTATTTTTATTAATCTATTTTTGATAATACAATCACAACAGATATTACCAAATAATGAATGTATGTTTTTTTTGTTTTTTTTTTTTTGCACAAGCAAATAACACACATGAGAGATTCATTGTTAACAATTTAATCTAATTTGTTTACATGTCTTATCTTTCTGAATATCTCTAGTGACAAGTATAAAATGGTTAAATAATCAATTTGGTTTAGGAATTGATGTTTCACAAACATCTACTATTTGCAGTAGTACAACTGGTATTAATTGTCAAGTTGCAGATGATGATAATGCTTATCATGTAGTTTCAATGTAATGTTAAAATATAACTAGTATATGTGTGTATGCTAATCTTCTTTTTTTTTTTTAGATATATTGGACAACAGACAGTATTTGTAAATAGTGGTGAACAAGTAGATACAACATTGAAATCACTCAATCTACCATTTGTACAAAGTATCACAGCCACTTTTTCAGGTCTTGTTCAAAACTTTAGTATCAATACACTTGATATGATATCTAATATGCCAAGACTAGAATTTCTAACATTATCCAATGACAAGACTATTGATATAGTACCAACCAATTTCCCAAATAATCTACCATCTTTAAAAACAATGTAAATTAATAATTCAAATTAATTTAAATTTTAAACAAATACTAATTAGTACTATTTACTCATCTTTTTCTAGAACATTTTATTTATTATCAAATCTAACATCAATACCAAACTTTTTCAACAATTCAATTTCATTAAATTCAATTACAATGTATCAAAATAATATTGAATGGGTTGGTATTGATAAAAGTATACGTCTACCAAATATAGCTTCCATTTCAATTCAAGTAAAAAATTCAAAAAATATGACTTTAATCATTGATCCAATTTCCTTTCCTTCTCTTAAATTATTGTGTAGTATAAAACAACAAAAAAGATTATTTACTGATTGATTAATCTTTTATTTTTTTATTTTTAAGTGAAATGACATCAAATGATTTTATTGGAACAAGTAATATTAGAATAATTATAAAAGTAGCATTGGAGAATATTGGAGCTTATGCATTTTCTGGTACAGGTTCAATTAATCCAACCATTTCTTATCCTTTATCGCTAAGAGGGTTGTCGGTTGGTGGTAAAGGGATGGATTTTCAACCAAATGATTTGACACTTTATAAAAATCTGGAAACTTTACAAATCTATCAAACCAATCTTACTAGTATGCCAATTTCAAGTTTTGGTAAAATCACTAGTTTTAGATTATCAGATTCAAAATTACAACAATTTCCAAATATTCCATTCCCAAATGGTATGAATGATGTCAATTATCAAAATAATCAAATGTCTGGTACAATCCCATCAGGATTATTAATTAATAATCAATTGGGTTTATCACTTTCTTTAATTGGTAATCAAAATATTGGTAAGAAAAAACAAAAAAAATTAATTATATATATATATATATTTTACTTATATATTTTTTATTTTTCCTTTAATAGTTGGATCAGCACCAAATGATACATGTTTTTTAAATAGTTTTAGTATTGATAATACTGGAATTGATTCATTACCAGATTGTTGGTGGTGTTTTTATGAACAAGTTATCAATACCAAATTATCTACACAATTGACCAAACCAATTGGATTTGAATGTTTGGCGATAAAGATTGATCAATTAAATTTAAATAGTATTGGTGGTGTATTTACCATTTCAGGTTCAAACATTGGATGGAATATAAATTCTGGTGGAAGACGATTAATTGAACCAAATCGAAAAATTGAATTTCAAATGGATCTCTCCCTTGGAACAAAACAACAAAGATTAATCAATCTAATCAATCCACCACCAACATCTGCTTATTCATTTAATTTTATAGTGACAGAAGTTGGATTCAATGTTGAATCTGTAAAAATTATTAATCAAAATTTGGCAATTTTAGAATTAAATTGTACATTTGAAATGATAAATCCAGATTTTTTACCAACCGTCATTTATACATCTCAAGATCATGTACCTTGTGATATTATAAATTACAACAATTCAACAAAAAGTTTAAATTGTCTTTTACGTACTCTACCAATAATCGGACAACAACAAATTATTTTTAAAAATCAATTTTTTAATCAATCTTTTATGTTTATTTATAATAGAGGTAAAAAAAAAAAAAATATAAACAAAATAATATATATTTAATAATTTATTAATATATATTTTTAATTTTTTTATTTAGATCCAATTATAACATCATTATTAATGGAACCAAATTATTATCCACCAACTTTTTTAAATTTATATGGTTATTTTGGAAATACAACTGGTGCAAGTGTTATATTACAATTGAGGGAATTTACATTTTGTAATATTACCATTGCAAGTAAAGAATATATTAAATGTAGATTCTATACATTACCAGAACCTGGTCCACAAACCCTCTATTTTGCCTCCAATCAAGGATATTTCAAATCAGATTCAATCTTGTCTATTCCATTTCCTCTACCAACCTTTACAGATTGTATGAATCGTACAAATAATTGTAATGGTCATGGTGTTTGTATAAATGGAATATGTCAGTGTGACGTTGGTTATTTTGATGATTGCAAATTAAAGGAAAATGATGGTTTCAATGGACAATTTCAATCAAATAATACAGATCCAACAAGTAATTTAAAATATGGAGATTATTTATTTTCATTTTCAATTATTGGTATTCAAGAAATGGATTTGGATAATAATATTACAAGAGAATTGGTTGCAAAAACGTGGGATGTAGAGGACAATAGTAGTGGTGACCTAACAATGATTCAATATAAATTGACAAATCATTTACACAATATTACAAATGGTTCGACACCATTTACAAAAGATGCAGATTATTCAAATCTAAATCTAACAACCACCATAGAATTTTCAAATCAATCAAGAACCATTGAATTTGGTGGAGATGAAATAGTTTTGGCAAGTGGTGCCATTAAAATTGGTGTAAATGTTACCAATTGGCCTTACATGTCTGTCATGACAAGACTGAGATTAGTCTTTTCAACAACCATCAATAATCAACAAATGATTGTTGGTTGTGATAATTCAAGTTATTCAATAGAATCTTTACAAAACTTTGCAGATCGTGATTCAATTCAATATCTTCGAGTTTTAAAAGACAATGTTCAATTCTTTGGTAGATTCTTGGATTATAGTTTATCAGATGGTAGAAAAACCTATAGTAAAACTGAAGTTTTAAATATCACCAGAATCAATGATGAAGAATCAAATGTGATTATTGGTATTAATATTGGACAATGTAAGATTTGTTTAATGGATCCAGATTTTAGTGCACTTTTAATTGATCATAAAAGTTTTGGTCAATGCAACGATGAATCAAAAAATGATAATTGGAAATTAATTGTTGGTGTTGTAGTTGGTACTGTTGGTGGTACTTGTCTAATCATCATATCAATATTATTTATTAAATCAAACAAATATTATTTTATTCATCGTGCTAAACGTAGATTATCAATTTCATTGAAAAAAAAAAGAAATAGAAAAAGAAAAAGAAAAAGAAAGAGAAAAAGAATAGTATTATTTATTGAATAATTAAATATACTTATTCTAATTCAATTTTAGACTGCAATTGCATTACCAGGTGTAAGTATTTGATATTAAAAAGAATCATAAAGATTTCTTCGAGAAAAAAAAAAAAAAAAACCGCGAAATACTTGCAAATTGATAAAACGAGGTGTTTGCAATCATACAACAACACACACATAGATAGAACTTAAGGACACAATGTTTAGATTTATTAGTTTTATTCTTTTATTATTATATTGTAATAGTTTAACAAATTCACAAGTTTTACCACCAAATGAGTGTATGACAGATCGTATTAGAGAGACAGAGAGAGAGATTTAGATACAGTTGTTAACATTGCATTGATTTCTTTATTTATTTCTATTTTTAGTAAAAAGTATTCAATGGGTTATACAACAATACCAATCAACGATAGGACTTGATCAAACATCTATTTGTAGTAGTGGTCAAGTTAAATGTACAAATTATCAAGATGGTAGTACTCATATTACATCAATGTAAAAATTATCATCATCAAACACCTATCAAATCGTAAGATATTTATTCTTTTTCTTCTTTTTTTAGTTGATATATATATTCAATCAGTTTATGTAAATTCAGGAGCACCACCAAACATTGATACATTTGAATTTCCAAATCTATTAACTTTTACACTTTCAACATCTGGTGCACCTTTTTATTCCAATTCATTTGATATCTTGTCAAAGATGAAAGGATTACCATTGGTAGAATCAATCAAGCTTATTGGTGATAATACGATAAAATCGATTCCAATTGATTTTACAGCTGGGAAACCTCTACTTAGAAAACTTTGGATAAGTTCAGTCAATTTAGTTTCAGCAGGAAATATTTTTAGTCACAACCTACTAAATGAAATCAACTTTTCAATCACTAGTCTTAACAGTGTAAGGTTCAACACTACAGTATACATGCCAGATCTTAAAACTCTAATTCTAGACATTAAATGCGACTATGCTTCCAATTGGGAAATTTCATCTTCTTCTTTTCCAACTTTATATTCATTGTAAGAATAGAATAGAAAAGAAATATACAAAAAAAAGTAAAACTAAAAATTTGTTTTTTTTTTTTTTTTTCTTTTAGAATAATAAGTGCTAGTTCAACATGTAATCAACCAATCATTGTAAATGTGACAGCACCATTACGATTAATTGAGTGTTCAAATCAACCTGTTGGTTCTCCAACAGGTTATATTAAAATGATCATTCAACACCCTCTCAATGTTACATCTCTTGGCGTTGGAGGTTATTATTCTACATTGCCTGATCTAACCATTTTTCCAAACATAAATTCTTTGTAAGTGATAAATTTATTAATTTTAAATTATTATTATTAATGCTTGACCCTTTTTCATCTTTTAGTTATATGTCAAATAGTCAAATATCAGATATCTCATCAATCAAATATCCCTTAGGTCTAATGCAATTGTATGTAAAAAACAAATAGATAATTATCAAAATATTTTTATTAATTATTTTAATTATTTTAGTCAACTTTCATACTCTAAAATTATGACAATACCAAATGTACCACTACCAAAAACATTAACATCATTTGATATGAGTTCAAACCTTCTTACATCAACTGTTCCTGCCATCTTGATGGACAATAACCCATCAACTTATATTACATTTGGAAACAACTTAGGCCTTACTGGATCCATTCCAGAATCATTTTGTTCAGCTCGGTTTTTATCCATCCCACAAACTGGTATAACAACTGTTCCAAATTGTTTTTGGTGTTATACTGGAAATCTTTTATCAGATTTAACAAAACCAAATAATATTGATTGTCGTATGTCTAAAAAAAAAAAAAACAAAAAAGAATCATTCAATTAATTAATTAATTTATTTATTTTAGAACCAATAATTGATAATTTCAATTTAATATCATTAATTGGTGGATATGAAGTCAGAGGTCAACTACTAGGATGGGGAAAAGATATTCCCAATATGATATTAGCAATCCAACCAAATAAGATTTTAAGATTCACAATGGATCTTGCAAATGGAATGAATCAAAATATTACAATCAAATTTTCACCAACTTCTCCAAGTTTTGTATTTTTCGTTCAAGAATCCTATTTTATAGTTCAAGATATTAAAAATATTCAACAAACTGTTAATTATCTAAGTCTCAATATTACATTTGCTACGGTAAACCCAGAATTGATGCCAAGAATATCAGTTGGTGGTTCAGTTTGTGAATTGATTAAATTCTATCCAGTAGAAAAAGTCATTCAATGTGCTGCTACTTTTTCATCCTATAATAATAATAATACCATTTATTTTACAAATGATTATTATAATTTTACTACTACTTATAACAAAGGTATGTTAACATAATAATAATAATGTTCTATATTTATTTATTTTAATTTTTTTTTTTTAGCAACCTATGTTGAAACAATTTCACTTGAACCTTTAATATATCCACCAAAATATTTAATTTTAAATGGTTATTTTGGTACTGGATTATCACTTGGATACATTTCAATTAGAAATGGAACATTGCCAAGTTTTGGTTGTACCATTTTAAATGGTACATTGTATTATATAAAATGTGAATTTCCAAATCAACCACCATCAGGTCAAACCGTATTAAATGTAGATGTACCAAATGGTCTTTATCAAACATCCATTTCAATTCCATTTGCACAACCAACAAATGATGATTGTATGAATCGTACAAATAATTGTAATAATCATGGTACTTGCGTAAATGGTCAATGTGTTTGTGATCCTGGTTATTTTGATAATTGTAAATTAAAAACTGGTAAATATAAAAATAGAAACAAAAAAAAAACAAAAAATATTTTTACTTATTATTTTTTTTTCTATTTTTTAGATCCAAATATAGAAATTGAACCAAATAATCAAGAACCATCATTTTCATTTAAAGATTATTCATTTTCATTTAAAATGATAGCAATTCAAGAATTGGATATTGAAAATAATGTTGTTAGAAATTTGAATACAACCAAATGGAATGTTAGTGAAAGTCAAAAGATTGATTATTCATCGATCAATTACTTTTTGACCAATCATTTAAATAATAGTCAAGAAGGATTTATACCACAATTGATCAATACCAATGTAACTTCGATTTTTGAAATTTCAAATCAATCTAGAACCATAAAGTTTGGTGGACAATCCATTCAATTGGCAAGTGGATCAATCAAAATTAGTGTAAATGTTACCAATTGGCCTTTTACATCTGTACTGACTAGGTTGCGTGTAGTATTCTCTACCATTGTTAATAATCAACAAGCTATTGTTGGTTGTGATGATTCTGTCAATCAAATTGAATCGTTTCAACAATTTACAGATTCAGATTCCATTCAATACTTAAGAGTTGTAAAAAATAATACTCAATTCTTTGGTCGATTCTTGGATTATAGTGTAGCAGATGGTAGAAATACTTATAGCAAGGCTGAAGTTTTAAATATCACCAAAATCGATAACCAAGAATCACAAGCTATTCTTGGTATTAATATTGGTCAATGTCGTACTTGTCTTTTAGATCCAGATTTTTCTGCTTTACTAATTGACCGTCAAAGCTATGGTCAAGATTGTACATCCAACAGTCCAGATAATAATTGGAAGATTATTGTTGGTGTTGTAGTTGGTGCTGTTGGTGCTGCCATTTTAATTGCTGTTGCCATTTTTATAAAACAAAATCGTTATTTCTTCCTAAGAAGAAATAATGAAACTAAAATTGAAATGAATTAAAAATAAATATTACTTGTACAATAAAAGAATTATCGATGATCCTTTTTTTTTTTTAGTTTTGATTAAACTTGATTAATTGTTAAAATAAATGGAGGTACGATTACAGGAACTAATAAATCTTGTAGATTTGGATCTTCCCATGATTCTTCATCTTGAATATCCGGAACGGCTGAATAAGGTGTACCATTCTGATTGGTAGGCAACATTAAAAAATATCCACTCATTTGACCATTATCATTTCTTAATTCACACATACTACAATATTCACTAAACATATTAAAAATAAATAAATATATTAATTCTTTTTCTTTTTTTTTTCTTTTTCTTTTTTTTCTTTTTTCTATTTCTTTACAATTTAGTACCAGGTTTAATAAGAGGATTTTGACCAATAACAGCATGACCATTAACTTGATTAATTTCATCATTACCATCACGAATATCCCAATGACGAGAGATTAATATACATGATCTTGATGGATCCTCGTCGGCATCCATTGAGATGGTGATACGGTAAAAGAAGAGACGGGTGTTTCGGTCACTACTGGGGTTGTAGACGGCACTACCTTTGACACGTACTCCATTGGTAACCGTCTCGGTGATGTATGGTGATGTCTCGGGATACCTGATAATGGTGTTGCCACGGAGTGTATAGACATGTGTTTCGAGTCGAGTGATCATCGTATCGAGAAACTCTGCAAATGAATTGGCAACGATGATTGGTGCGTACCTAGAGTTGGAGGGGATGATGACGATTTGTCCAACTTGGAGTGTTAGGTCGTCGGTCAGTTGAATAGTCTCCATCACCATATTATGGGTACGGTGAGTCTGACGACACAAAGTAATGGGCCACAACTTTCTAAACATCGAGTCTGAATTGATACGGAATCGTTCAAACCGCGCTACATAAATCTTGTGTGACGCTTCGATTGACAGCAGTGTACTAGAGATGCGTTGACCGTACGATTCGAGTGTACCGAAAAAGCCGTGGTCTCCTATAACCTCTTGACCGTTGACCATGATCACGCTGACTAGGTAGTCTGATGGTAACTGCATCTTTCGGACCACTGTCAATGCCGAATCAGTCTCTCCCTTTTTAGCAGTCTTGTGTTGGTGTGTAGGATTGACAAACGACGATGGTTGCAGTGGTATACTAAACTCGATGGACGAGTCTGTATTTATGTTTAAACCATTTGCCTGTTGATTGTTCTTGAACCGAGTGTTGTTGAATCGCAGCAAAGACTGTTGATCGTTATCGTGGACCCAGTCCAATATACGATCCCATATTCTCTTGATTGTTTGGTACGTCCCAATCGTCACACCATCATATACTTCAAATCGTTGATAGATTTGATAGTATTCCTTTTTTGCTTCTTCTATCATTGGTGATGAGGAGGAGGAAGAGGAAGAGGGAAAAGAGACTAAGAGATAATCAGTCTTTAATAGATTATACCATGCTCTACGAGTCAACTCTTGAAACAAACTACATGTTATCTCTAACCTTGCCAATTCCTTTCGATTCAAGAATGTTAATATTATCTGTAATGTTTCAAATGGTAATTCTAATAACATCTTTGAAAAAGTGACTAAGTAAGTATAGGTAACAAATGTAAGATTATAAAAATAAAATAAATAAAATTAAATTAAATCTTTGAGCAAGTGGGTTAACTTCAGAGTAGTTCATCTTCATCTTTGCAAACCCCTAGTTTTATTTATTTTTTTTATTATTATTATGTATATTATTATGTATATCTCTTTGATATATATTTGTACATATGTACATATCGATCGAGATAAACAAACATCATATCATTGATTTGATTGTTTGAATGATCGTGTGTTTGTTCATTTAATCAATCAATCACTAACCACCAATCAATGTTTAAAATAACTCGCTCCCACCAATCAAAAGATAAAAGACACACAAACAACAACACGAAACTCGTAGCTGGTAATATGAGATCGAAACACAAGGTTTGGTGAGTGGTAAAGAGGTATTGTCGCAAAATAACTCACGGTACGTGGGGGGTAAGGGCATGCCCACGAGATTCAATGAGGATCACAATACTTTTTACCTCCTTTACCAATTTATTATTAGAACTTTGTATTTTTAAGGTATTGGTTTCGTGATTGTGTCTGTGTCCTCCTACCTCTCTCGGTACCCATCCATCCACATCCATCCAACTTGTTTTTTTTTTTTATTTATTTATTTCTTTTGTTATTCCTTTTTTTTTTTTTAAATCAATAGTCAACATTCATACTTTATTCTATTTGTTCAATTCAATTCGATCAATACCTTTTATTTATTTATTTATTTATTTATTTAAATTTCTTTTTTTTTTTCTAAAAAAAAATGGATACCAAAATTGGATTTATTTTTATATTATTATTATTAATATCATTTACATATGGACAAAGAGATAAATTACCTGTTATTGTTACTATTTATGATCATCATCCAGACAAGAATGCAAACTTTGAAGATCCTAATTGCGGATTGAAGCCAGGCATGATTCAAAGTAATCTTAACCCATCCACCAAGATTCCAGTACTCAACTCTCAATCATCAGATCTGGCGGCTTGTTTCAAAAACACATCAACATTCCCTCAATTCTTCCAATCCGTCACCAACATCAACATCCCAATCCAAAAGACACTCGAGGCCACCTATGATGACCAGATCAAGGGTTACGTCTATGAAAACTCTTATTTCTTCCCCATCAACAATGAGGGATGGGATTTAACCGAAGGCCTCAAACGTGACGACAGAGATAAACGAGATATCAGAGAAAACTTCCATTTCTGTCTCAAATTCAATGCTCAATTCGAGTACAATGACCAAGGTAGATTCAACTTTTTCGGTGATGATGATGTCTACCTCTTTATCGACAACAAGTTGGTAATGGATTTAGGTGGTGTACATAGTAGTGTTGATGGTTCAATCAATGTTAATGGTTTAGGTTTAATTAATGTATGTAAAAGTAAAAATAGAAAATAGAAAAATAATAATAATAATTAATAATTATGTATTTTTTTTTTTGAACAACTTAGAAAAAAACTTATGATTTTGATTTCTATTTTTGTGAAAGACACACAAAATCATCGGCATTGAAATTTACAACAGATTTTAAACCATATTGTGCATCGACCGATTATTGTGGTGCTTGTAATGGAAAGGGTGAATGTTGTTTCAATAACAATGGCTGTGATGATAATGATGTTTGTACTATTGATACATGTCCACCTGCCAATGCTCCAGGTCTCGATCCAAACAATTGGAAGGAGGCTTGTACTCATCAACGTATCAATGCTACTGCTGATGCTGCCGACCTCTGTTTCAATATGGGTAATGTTGGAGGACAATGCAAACCAATCCCAGTACAATGTAATAATCCACCATCCAAGTGTCATATAGCTCAAGATTGTAAACCAGATTCTGGATGTTCATACATTCCCAGGGCATGTCAACAAAGCAACAACAAGTGTGAAACCTTTACTTGTAACCCTAGCAATGGTAATTGTGAATCAAACATTAAAAAGTGTTTGGATGGTCCAAGTAACTGTGCTTCAAGTGGTGTTTGTGATACCAATACTGGTCAGTGCGGCTACCAATGCTGCCCTACAGATCTAGTCAACAATGATTGTATCACCTCGACCTGTACCAATGGAAAGTATACAGTTGTGGACGAGTGTGCCGCCAAATCAAACGAGTGTCACTTGTATACCTGTAACAATGTCACCAATACATGTACCGATACTTTTCTTTGCAACGATGGTAACAAGTGTACAGTCGACACTTGTCAACCAAACAATACATGTCTCTACACACCCATTTCATGTGATGATAATAACGCTTGTACTCTTGACACTTGTGACTCGTTGACAAATGGTTGCACACATACTCCAATCATCTGTGAACAAGATCCAAATGACTTGTGCTCCAACCAGACATGTGATGCAACTGTAGGTAGTTGTGTGGCTGTTCCTATCGTCTGTCCAATCGGTGATGATCTCTGCAACATCCCATCATGCAACAAGACTATCGGATGTCTCGTCACACCCAAGACTTGTGTCGCCGAAGACGACGAATGTCAACGTGCATACTGTGATGCCGATACTGGCGACTGTGTCACCAAGAACCGTAGTCCCACTCCATTCAACTGTCTCTCTGATGCTGCCAAGGGTGGTATCATCTCGTCTGCAGCCATCGCCGGTATCGCCATTGGAGGTGCCGTTGCCCTTGGTCTCGCTGCATTTGCCGGTAAAAAAGGTTACGACTATTGGAAGGATCATAAAGACTCTAAAATGACTTCAGTCAATGCCAACCCACTCTATGAAAATAATGTTAGAGGTGCTGGTGAAAATCCTTTATTCACTGGAAAAGAATAGCTATAGTTTAATCATAAATCACAACCAATCAACTCTTTTTTGTACAAAAAAAATATTAAATCAAATCAAAATGTAAATAATAATCAAAATAATTAATAATAATAGTAATAATTGATCATTTATATCTATATATACTACTCTCTTGTAAAAATAATAATATAATATACATATTTATTTATATCTAATCTTTGTTTATCTGTTGATCGATTCTCTCTTTCCAGTGAATAAAGGATTTTTTGCTTGTTGTTCATCAAGATACCCGTAAAAGTTTACGAATTTCAGACCTTATCAATCTAGATACTAGAGCAAATTTATTTTAATTACTAAAAATAAACAAATGTGATGGGGGAAATAGAGACAGAGTGAAAAGGAAGGTATAACTGAAACCAAGATTGTTCTCTGAAAGGGTAGTTATAAACAAATTTGGTTTAGGCTTCGTTTGTGTATCGCCACCAGGAGACAGGGCAGCACTGCGTCCATGGCACGAAAAAATTGAAAAAAAAGGTTGGTCGAACATGGTTTTAAAAAAGTATACTCCCTCGATGGCAGATATTTTATGAAACTCGTCGTTGGGCTCGATTCTCGAGTTTTTTGGGTTGAGGCCTCGTTGGTTTTCACTTGATAGTGATGTTGGGGTGGCCAGCCAGAAAGCTACTGAGCAAGAAATACGAACCCATCCTCCTTTCTTTGTCACTCCATTGAAGAGAAGAGAAGAAAACTCTCCTTTTCTTTTTTCAGGAGGACCCTTCTTGTTTCTCTATTTTTTGTTGTTCTAATTTTAATCTATAATTTTTTCTTTCTATTTCTATCTCTGTCTCTTCTCTATTTATAAATATTTATTTTTATCTATCTGTATCATATTATTATTATTATCTTTATTTATTTATTTGTAATATATTATTATTGTTATTTTTTTTAAAAGAGAGAGAAAAAAAACAAAGATGAAATTGTTATTTACAATTTTATCAGCTTTCATTTTATTGATTGCATTGACCAATGCACAAAGAGATAGTATAAAAGTGACTGTTACGATTTATGATCATCATCCACTAAAGAACACCAACTTCCAGAAGCCAAACTGTGGAGTGACCAAGGGCTTGATTCAAAGTAATCTTAACCCATCCACCAAGATTCCAGTACTCAACTCTCAATCATCGGATCTAAAGAAATGTTACGACAATACAACAACATTCCCACAATTCTTCCAAGCCACCAATGACGTCAACATCCAAATCGTCCAAGACCTCGAAGCCGTCTACGACGACACTGCCAGAGGTTACGTCTATGCCAACTCTTTTTTCTTCCCCATCAACAATCTCGGTTGGGACGTCTATCCAGAACTCAAACGTGACGACAAGGATACACGAGGTATCAGAGAAAACTTCCATTTCTGTCTCAAATTCAATGCTCAATTCAAGTACAAGAATCAAGGTAAATTCGACTTTTTCGGTGATGATGATGTCTACCTCTTTATCAACAACAAGTTGGTAATGGATTTAGGTGGTGTACATGGTAGTGTTGATGGTTCAATCAATGTTAATGGTTTAGGTTTAGTTGCTGTAAATATTAAAAAAAAAAAAAACCAAGTCCAAAGAATGGACTCCCAAAAAAAAAAACAAACAAACAAATACTAATACACACTTTTTTTTTACTTTACACTTTATATTTCACTTTTTTAAAGGGAAACATTTATGACTTTGATTTCTATTTTTGTGAAAGACATACATCATCATCAGCATTGAAATTTACAACAGATTTTGAACCATACTGTGCATCGACAGATTATTGTGGTGCTTGTAATGGAAAGGGTGAATGTTGTTTCAATAACAATGGCTGTGATGATAATGATGTTTGTACTATTGATACATGTCCACCTGCCAATGCTCCAGGTCTCAACCCAAACAATTGGAAGGAGGCTTGTACTCATCAACGTATCAATGCTACTGCTGATGCTGCCGACCTCTGTTTCAACATGGGTAATGTTGGAGGACAATGCAAACCAATCCCAGTACAATGTAATAACCCACCATCCAAGTGTCATGTAGCTCAACCATGCAACACTTTAACTGGATGCTCCTACACTGCCAAGACATGCACACCAACCAACCCAGCCAACAAGTGTCAATCGGCTACTTGCGACGCATCGACTGGCGACTGCAAGACTATCACCAAGACCTGTACCACCCCACCCAATGCCACATTGTGTGGTTCGACCGGCACATGTAATGGAAATACCGGTGAATGCGAGTACCAGTGTTGTCCAAAGGACTTGGAAAACAACAATTGTATCAGCTCGACCTGCTCGCAGTCGGGTAGCCTTGTCGTCGTCGACAAGTGTGCAGCTCAATCCACCCCATGCAACACTTTTACCTGCCAACCTGTCAACGATGTCAAGACCTGCGTTCCAACCTTCCTCTGCGACGATGAGAATGCCTGTACCACAGACTCGTGCAAGGCCGACAAGACTGGATGTCTCCACGAAGCAGTCGACTGTAACGACGACAATGTCTGTACAATCGACTCTTGTAACTCGACCTTGACCGGTGACGGCGTTGTCAACGGTTGTTTCACAACCGATGTAGTATGCGAGCAAGATCCAGAAGACCTCTGCACCGTCTATGCCTGTGACAAGGTAAAAGGATGTATTGCCACCCCCGTCGTCTGTCCAATCGGCGATGATCTCTGCAACATCCCATCCTGCAACAAGACTATCGGATGTCTCGTCACACCCAAGACTTGTGTCGCCGAAGACGACGAATGTCAGCGTGCATACTGTAATGCCGAGACTGGCGAGTGTATCACCAAGAACCGAAGTCCCACTCCCTTCAACTGTCTCTCTGATGCTGCCAAGGGTGGTATCATCTCGTCTGCAGCCATCGCCGGTATCGCCATCGGTGGTGCTGCCGCCGCCGCCCTCTTTGCCTTTGCCGGCAAGAAGGGTTACGACTACTGGAAGGAACACAAGGAGACCAAGATGTCATCTGTCAATGCCAACCCACTCTATGAAATGAATACCAGAGGTGCCGGTGAAAATCCATTATTCACATCCCCAGATGCTGCACTGTAACATTGTAACATAAAATGAAAATTAAACATAACAATTATCTATAATCCAAGCAAGACTATCAAAAATATTAATAAAAAAGAAACATTATTTATTTATTTATTTTAAATTAACTTAATTTGGTCTTCTTCCACCTAATGGTGGTGACCATGCACATTCTCTACGTTGTACACATGTTCTTCCACATCCAGTATTACAACAAACTAATTAATAAATGAATAATAAATTAATTAATTAAATAAATATTTGTATTTGTATTTGTATTTATTATTTTGATTATTATTTAATATCCAATTCATACCTTTTCCTTGACCACATTGACTATATTTATCACCATAACCAAAGTCACATGTTTCTATACATGGACCAACATCTCCAGGTTCTCTAATTGGACATAGACTGCCAACATGGATACCACAGTCCTTATCATATTGAACAGATAATTGGATACAAAAGAATAAAAATACAAATAATATTATTGATAGTTTAAATAGTTTCATCTTGATATATAACAATTGTATAATTAAAAGATTAAATGTTTGTTCATCAATCGATGGATATTTATACCATCACCATTTGTTCGTTGCGAGTATTAGTAACTCGGAGTGTAATATGTTACTCTTTGAACATGTGACTGACTTCAATGAACTAACCCTAACCCCCACTACCACACCCATTGCAGTGTATTTGTTTTGTAGTATACAAATATGTGTTGTATTTTTTGCATGTTGTTGGTTTATTTCTTTTTATCTCCTCCTCTTCCACCAAAAGTTTCAGCAGTCCATACCATAAATTTACCAAGCATATTTAATTTAGTAGATGGAGCCTTTTCTTGTATATTTTTAGTTGCTTTGAATTGTTTTTCCGGATTAGAGTGAGATGGCTTAGAAGAAGAAGAAGAAGAAGAAGAAGAGTGATCATTACTATTATTTTCATCATCATCAATATCAACTAAAAAGAGAGGTTGATCACGTTTGGCACGATCACTGATTACTTGTTTTTGATGTTTTGAATAAGTGACTGATTCATTGAGTTCTTGGTACTCTCGTTTGGTGACCAAGTAGTCTTGTCTTGCATCACGGCAAGGTTCGAGTGGGATGAGAAAAGCACCTACTTGTCGACCCTCTTCCACCAAAATATTGTATGTTCCAATTGCATTGATCGTTGCCATCGTCTCAATGTTTACACCAAATCGTTTCTGTACATCTTTTATCAATTGTTCATCCAATGCTTTTCTTTCTTTACCTGTACCAATAATTACAAATTCTAAAAATAAAACAAAAGAAATATAAGTAAGGATCATTAAATATATATAAGCATTATCATAATGTATGTATGTTATGTTTTACATACCTAATTGAGGATCGATGATATTTAATATTGATAAACTTTCCAATGTAATATCTTGAGCACTGTGAATATCCCAGAGTAATAGTAGAGTGGGTGTAGCTACGATTGATCCTGGTACAAGTACTTTGTTGACTGAGAACCCTTGTTCTGCGTATCCATCAATTGTTATATTCTCTGCTTGTTCTCCTTGTCCCGACTCGAAGAGATTTGCTTTATCTAATCCTTTTGTACTCGCATAGTATCTCTTTGTTATTATATTATTATTATTGCTTTTACAGTAAGAAGAGGGATATGAAAATGATGATGATAGTATTTGTGAAGTCGATGATGATGTATGATTGCTATTATTATTATTATATTTGTATTTGATTGATGATGATGTTGTTGTATATGATGACAATGATATGCAAATCGTCTTGCTTACTAAATGTAATGATAACACATTACTAATCGATTTCGTAGTACTCTTTAACATATCTATCTATGATTCGATCTTATGATATTTGTTTGAATCGAATGAATGAAAGCATCTTCAGATCATCATATGCATATTTTAATTTGCATAGAGAAAGACAAATAAAACTTTAATTTAAAATTAATTTAGCTTCTCAATATTGAATCATTAGAAAATATTTTTAAAAAATATAATAAGTAGTATCCTTCATTCGTTGGATAGAAATCAAGCTTTGGTATCAAAATATTAATACTATTATTAAATAAATAAAATTTATTAAAAAGTTTTACTAGAAAACAAAAAATTGTCCCTCCCATTTTTCAAGATCCATACAGTATCATCCCTCAGAGCATATATTATTAAAATTAAACAACGATACAAGACACAAGATAGATAGACACAAAAAGACAATATAGATATCTTTAATTTAAAGAAGAATGATCACCAAAAGAAGATTATCTGTTGGATTTGCACTAAAAGATAGTAATAATAATAATACAAAGAGTGGTGCAAACAATATAGAATTAGATAATGAAGATTTTGAAGATGAAGATACTGATAAAGTAGTTGTTAACAACAACAACAACAACAAAAAGAAACAATCATCATCATCATCAACAACTGCTACTAAAAAGAAAGATTATTCATCAGAGGAGGAAGAAGATGATGGTAATAATACAGATGAAGAAGAAGACAACATTGAATCATCCAACAATAACAATAACATTAGAAATGTTAAACAACAACTATCAGCAATACCAAAATCAAAAAGAAAATCAATCCTTCCTCCTAGAACTAGTTCATCTTTAACAAACAATAATAATAATAATAATAATAATAATATTAGTTTAAATGGACCTCAAATTCCAAGTACACCTTCAACAACCAAATCATTATTATCAAATCAACAAATCTCTGAAATCTATTCCAATTGTATTAAATTATCAACAGAGAATGTAAGTATTAGAAGTAAATAATAATAATTGATGATTATTATTCTATTTCTATTTCTATTTATTTACTTTTTATTTATTTATTTTTCATTCTAGAAAATTAATCAAAAGAATACATGGGGATTAAAATTGATTGATCACATTGATGATGTAATACAAAATCAAACAATCAATAATAGAGATGGAGAAGAAGGAGAAACTAATTTCCAAAAAGTTTCGGGTATGTTGGATGCTACGATAAAGATTTATTCGTCGCGTGTCGATTCTGTCATGACTGATACCTACAGGATGTGGGGTGAGATGACGAGATCGAGAAAGGACATGCCACCAAACGAAGATGGAGAAGATGGAGAGGGACAGAGCAAAGATGATCAGGAAGAAGAACTCGATGAAGAAGGTAACCCAATCGCCAAAACAAAAGACAAGAAGAAAAAGAAAAGTGGTGCAAGTACCCTCGAATCAAACATCAACAATATCAATTGTAAAAAGTTTGATGTTACTTTTATGACTGATCCATTGTTTCACAAAACATCGGCTGCATTTGATGCTGGTGGTGTTGCCGGTTTACTCATGAACAAATTGTCAGTCAATAGTCATTATAAAATCATTTTTGATAGTTCAGATAGTCATAATCAACCACAAGATAATGGATCATTAAAAGAAGAAGAACAGGAAGTAGAAGAAATGCCTAATACCAAAATAGTCAATTTACAACCATTCAACAATATATTTTCAATTATCAAGAAATTGAATACACCTGCTCTCTGTCCACAATTTAATAGTTTTATTCAATTTAAACATTTTGATCAAGATATTAATAATAATAATAATCAGAATCAAAATCAAAATAATGGTATAAAAAAGATTGAAACAAAGATGACAGAAGAAGAAGAATTGGCAGCAATGTTGGATAATGAAATGGCAGGTGGTGAAATTGATTTGGATGCAGAAGAAAAGTTTGCTGTTGCTGCAGCCGCTCAAGATGGTCATTTTGATGATCATTTTGATCATCTTGATGATGATGATATAAATGATCAAATTGGTGGTGGTGGTATTGGTGGCGATGACTTTGTACCAAATGATCCAATATTTTCAAATCTCAATCAAGATTCAATCAACAAGATGGGTATGGATGACGACGATGAAAAGAAAAATGGTACCGAGTATGGAGAGATGGGTGTTGGTATTGTAGATGATCAAGATGACTGGGACGATGTACTCGAAGGTCCCATGAGAAATCTAAATGCTACCAAGAGTTGGAGGTTACGTTCTCGACCAAGTATTGGTGGAAATAATAACAATACAAACAACAACGCAATAGATGATGGTGGTTTGGAGAGTGGTGGTACGGGAGATAAAAAGAAAAAAACAACCAAAAAGAAAAAATCAAATACATTTATCGATTTTGATGCTCCACCTCCACCAAACTCAATGTTTGAACCACCCAAAGGAAAGAATTCGACCGTGTTGACTGACGCCATGCTCAGAAAGGCTGGTGGGTCCACCACCACCATGGCACCCGACATTCAATACGACATTAAGCAACTATGTAGACTATTCAACAAACCAAAGTGGATCATCCCACCACTTAGTCGACGTGACGAGTTTTTAGCTTCACTTTACCCTCCAAACCAAAAAGAAAAAGAAAGAGAAAGAGATAGAGAACATCACAACGAGGATGGAGAGGATGGACAAGACAATGTTGGTGGTGTAGATGACGGTGATGAAGATGACTTTGACAATGACCAGATGGGAGGTGGGTTTGGAGGAGAGAGTGATTTCCTCAGCTCGCAAATGCTCAATGACAATACTATCAATGGGTCCGCTGACAATGTTGGTGGAGTGTATGATGATTTGGGAGACTGGGGTGACTCTAGTGGCGTTGGAAATGGAATTGGAGGTAGTGTCAGTGACATGATTGCCAACAATGGTGTATCAGCAACTGGTATGTCAATCGGTGCATTTGGTGGTCAATATAGTTTAGATCCAAACAACAACAACAATACTAGACTTGCAAGTGGTATCACTTATGCCAGAGGTCCCAAATCCATCAATGTTAAATTCCTCAAACAAACGCTTTGGAATTTAATTGAAAAGAATAAAAAAAAAGAAGCTACCGCCCAACAAGAACAAGAACAAGAAATCCTTGAAAATAATCAACTTGAAGATAATGATATAGAATCTAGTCAAACAAATCAAGAAACAGAGTCAACAACATCAACAACAACAACAACGGATACATGTAAATTTACAAATAATTTCTCAAATTTGGTTGATGATCTTAGAGGTGTCAGACAAGATGTCCCCATTTCAATGGCATTTATTTTCGTTTTACATTTGGCAAATGAACATAATTTGGTTTTAGATCAAAATGATAAAATGGATTCTAATTTTAAAATTAAAGTTCCCAATGGTATTAATAATAATAATAATGAAGATAATAATAATAATAATAATTCACATCATGATGATGATAATCAATCAATATCATCTTTAATTCAAAATAATAATAATAATAACAACAATTCACAATCAAAAGAATCAATAGATGATAAAAATAATAGTATTAATAGTAGTAGTAGTGAAGAAGAAGAAGAAACAAAGTCCAAACAAAAGAAAAATACCAAATCCTCATCTACAAAGAAAGCACCACCTCCAAAATCTAAACCATCTGCTAAAAGAGCACCAGCGAAAAAGAATAACAAAATGGATATTAGTGATGACGATGAAGAGGATGAAGATTCATCTCAAGATGATAATTCAAGTAGTGAAGAAGACTCGGATTCAGACTCATCTCAAGATTTTAGTAATAGTGAAGAGGAGGAAGAGAAACCAAAAAAGAAAGCCCCACCATTAAAATCAAATTCAAAACCACCACAAGTAAAACCATTAGCAAACAACAAAAAGAAATAAATAAATTAAGTTTATATTTATATTCTTTGAGAGAATAAATTAAAAGAAACGTTATGTATTTAATTAATATGATTAGATTTATTTTTTAATATTTTTTTGTTCTTTTTTTTAAACAGATTGGAAACCTAGATCAGCGAAAGGGAAATTTAAAAATGATCCGGAATTCAAATCAATAAAAGTACTATTTAATTGTTGATCGGCTGTTGTTGATGGTGCATTCATATTATTATTATTAAGAGTCGTATTGTTATTATTGTTGTTGGATGGTATTGGTACAGATGGGACTTGTTGTGATAGAATCATATGTTGTTGTTGTTGCTGTTGTTGGATTTGTTGTTGAATTAGACGTTGTTGATGGAGTTGTTGTTGCATAAGTTGTTGTTGATGTAAATGTTGGAAATAGAGTTGTTGTTCAACTGTTGTTGCTGTGGTTGGTTGTTGTTGCTGTTGTTGTTGGACTTGTGATGCAGCTGCCAATTGTTGTTGAATTTGTTGATGGTATTGTAATTGTTGCATTTGGTATTGTTGGATTTGTTGTTGGTACATTGCAGCTGCTGCGGCTGCTTGTTGTTGTTGTTGTTGCTGTTGTTGTTGTTGTAATAATTGTTGTTGTAACATTTGTTGTTGTTGTTGTTGTTGTTGTTGTTGTTGTTGTTGTTGTTGTTGTTGCTGTTGTTGTTGTTGTTGTAATTCATTTGAATTGTTTGAATTATTTGTGTTGTTTGTATTATTATTTGATTTTAATGATGGAGATGGAACTACTGTATTTGTTACATTATTAATATTAACAACTGGTGTAGTAGTTGTATTATTATTATTATTATTATTACTATTTGTATTATTATTTGATTGTTGTTGTTGAGGTTGAGAAATATCAACTTGTGGGACTACAGCATTTGCATTTGTAAACATATTAAAATATGAATCATAATTATTTTGTTGTTGTTGGAGTGATTCTGAAGTTGATTGTGTTGTTGTATTAGCGGGCTTTTGAGGTGAATCTACATTACTATAATCATTTCCATTGGGGCATTGTTGAGAATCTTTGATTTGTTCTTCTTTTTTCAACTCTGCTTTGACAAGCTCCAATATTTCACACATGGTTTGTGCATCGGTTGCACAAGTATTGATTTTGAATGCACTGTCTGCTCCATCTGGATCCATACATTGTAATTGTTTAAAAGCACCAATAAAATCTTTAAATGCTCTTTGGAAATCATCCTTTTCCAACTTGTTATTATTAGTTGATTCTTTTTCATCTTCATCTACTGTTACTACTTGTTGTTGTTGTTGTTCAGTCGTTGCCAATGCTGTTGATGTAGTTGATATTGATTCGGTTGTATTATTATCACTATTATTATTATTATCTTGATTATTATTATTTGTTTGAGGACCAACATTATTCTCTTTATCAAAATTACATAATTTCTTTAATAAACGTTGTTGTTCTTTTTGTTGATGTTCCAAACGGTTAAGAGTATCCATGAGTGAGTCTGTTGGAGCTCTCTTTCTCTTTTTGGCCTTTTTCTTGACTTGGTCGGGCTTGGAGACGACTCTGATGGGGTGAGTGATGACTGCGAGCCCGGTGATCTCCTTTCGGGTGCGAGGGTCGATGATTTTGACACGGGCACGGAACAACATGTCTTCAAGCTGGCTGGACAATACTTTGATACGCAGTTCAACGGTCAGCTGGTCACCATCCTCGTTGGCACGTGTCTTGTACTCTAAGGGTTTCATAGTGGCCGAGTCAACCTCTTTAAGATTCTCACTGTCGTACACTAGCTGCACTTCAGGTGACAAATGGTGAAAGTTGAGTGACTTGTCATAAAGAGTAAGTGTGAGTAGGAATGGATTATTCTTGACGACAACATGTACATTCTTTTGTACACCATTTTTTGAGAACTTTTCCTCAACCAAACATGTCTGTTGAGTAATTGCCATTCTCTTGTTACTCGATTGATTGAGTGTACTTGGTGAGGTTGATTGTGAGTTGGCGGATGGCGAACCCGATGATATGATAGCAGGTGTAGGTTGAGATACTGGTGTTCCCACAACTCCATTATTATTATTATTATTATTATTAATATTATTGGCACCGGTAATGACAACGGGTGAGTTCATGGCAGATGATGAACCCTGCATTCCTTGTGCTTGAAGGTGTTGGAGATGTGGAACAACACCAGCCATTTGAGATGGATGCATGCCAACATATGTATTGGGATGCATTTGTTGAATCATTCCATTTCCATATACATCCATAGTTTGGTATGGATGATTATTTACCATTAAACTCATCTCTCTTTTGAAAAAAAAAAAAAAAAGTTTCTATAATCAAAATAATAAATAAATAAATTAAAAATTAATACACATAGTTTATTATTATTATTATTTATTATTTTTGGTATAGTACTTACAAATCAAATTTATAAAAACTTGAAAGGAGAAAGGGAGTTTTGTTTTTGTTCTTGTGATTGATTGAACTGGAAGTTTGATTGAATCTATCTATCTATCTGTCTATCTCTTTATAATTGTAAATTCTAAAAATTTAATATTAATATTTGATTGATTATTTGATTGATTGATTGATTGATTAGCTATAGAAAAGTTAGGAATAATAAACGACAATGGGATCAAAAAAAAATTATAAACAAAAAAGGTAGGGAAATGAATAAAAGAAAAAGTGTGTATGAGAATAATGATCGAAGAGGAGGAGGAGGTAAAGGAACAATGTGGTGGTTGTTATAGAATTATGTAGAATGACAAATCGACTTTGCAACAACAAAAAAAAAATATGATGGATAATTATTATTATTATTATTATTATTATTACAAACTATCAAATCAAAAAAATAAATTTGTAAATCAATATCAAAAATTAACCAAGAATATTTGTAATTTGATAATAATAATAGTAATATTAATATATTAATATTAATTAGGTTGTAAATTGATTCATCGTGGATATAAAAATAAATAGTGTATGTGTGTGTGGAAAAAAAAAAAAAAAGTCAGGTGCGTATGTGCATATATGTAGGGTGAGTAGTATATATACAATAAAACAAGTGATTAAAAAAATAATAATACATACACACACACAAACACAGTAGTGTTGGAAAAATGATATTCTACAAAAATGAATTTCTTCTTCAGTCTTGTATTACTTATTCTTACTCTCTCTCTCTTTGCTCTGCTATTGTCTTTGATGTAACTATATATTTGTAAACCAAGGTTTTAAATTTTTGAGTTTGAGTGAATATTAAATATTAATGATAATGATTCGTGATTGTTGATTGTACTATTATTAATAAAAAGAATGAATGATGTGAATATGAATATGAATGTGAATGTGAATGGATGGATGTGGAATGATAAATGGCAACCAAATAAAATGATTTTAAAATAATATCCACTTTTGGTTGTTATTGTTGTTTTTGTTTGAATCTGTCTTTTTGTTCCTTGATGTTGTATTCATTATCTCCATCCATCCATCCATTCAGTCTCTATTCATCCCATCCTCTCTATTCCATCCTCCACATTTTCACATGAATAGATAGAATGTTTGAATGTGTATGGTATGGTGGTTGTTGTGATCATGTTGTTGTTGTTGTTTTGGGATGTATCAGTACTTACAGTGAATCTATACCATAATGAGTGTATCTCTATGATCTCTATATACATATTTATACACATATAATGTATGTTGTATTTGATCACCCACACCACATGATCCATCCAATCCATCCACGCATTGGACAAGTCAAACAGTGGGGGGGGGGGGGGGGGGGTGTGTGTGATAGTGTTGGTTTACTCGACCGACTGACTATCCTACCATCCATCCTAAACAGTCTATCATCCACCTGGTGTTCTATTGTTTTCTCTCTCTCTCTCTTTTGTTACTACTCTTTTTGTTTATTGCAGCGGTGGTATGATGTGTTGTTTGTGGAGTGTCTGTCGTCGTTCTTGTTGTCTGTTGTTGTTACAGATAGATAGATATAACCTATTATAGTAAAACACAATGTCCTCCATCAAACATCAAGAGAGAGAATAGATAGTCACATAGTAACTATACTACTCACTCATCACACACATGATCTTTGAATTATATTTGTTCTTTTTGAGTGAATCTGGTAATTGTCTATTGTCTATTGTTGTTGTTGTTGTCGTGTTGTAATTGTGTTGAGTGTTTCTATCTTTGCAACTCAATTAATAAGGCTCCAATCCATCCATCGATGGTTTCAATCACCATATCAGGACATATCTTTGAAGGATTCCCTCCCTTTTTATTTTTGCACAACCCTACAATACAGCTCAGAATGGGACATTCGTCGAATCAAACCCTAATCGTTGATTGCCATAAAATCGTGAGAAAATACAACATAAAAAAACAATCGATGCACGTGATGGGTGGTGTTGCCGTTAGCCTATGTCGTGCAAGCCCAGCTGCAGATGATATTTTTTTGAAACACACACATTCTCGTATGGTCATCGGTGCTACATCTTGTTAATCTTGATCGTCGTTGAACAAAGGGTCACACGCTACTAAAAGTTAACAGACAATCCTAACCAAACCAAACATCACAACACAACAGCCGTTTCGAACAAACATTCTATAATTATATCTTCTTCTTCTTCTTCTTCTTATCTCTAAATACATATACACATACACATTTATTACTTATTTATATAATTCTATATTTTATAAAACATAGTAGAAACAGCGTATCATACATACATATATACATACATACATAACATAGTATTTGTTGGGGTTAGCAGTGACTAGAATACTATTATTATTTTTTTTTTATAATCACTATAGTACACTCCCCTTTCACACACTCAAAAAATGAAAATATACAATAATAATACTTTAGTATTTGTATTTTTATCATTATTATGTTTGTTGTCTTTGTTTATTAATAATGTAGTAGAATCTACTATTGTACGTATAGAGGAGAAATCGACATGTGCAAGTTCGGCTACAGTTGTCAGAGTAACACACGCAAAAGTAGGTGTATGCTTTAAAGCATTGAATCTGAATGGATCGGCTATCGACTATTACTACAACTATCAGTTGATCGGCGGTGTTATGGCACAGACATCTTACAATGACTCGACTTGTACCACTCCATCGGTCATACCAGACACCTTTTTCAACAATAATGGTGTGCTCGTAGAAAGCACACTCTTTGCCGCCACCGTAGGCGAATGCAGTGACGGTGTGACCGTCACAACGCTCGGAGACGAAGAGGTGCTCCTTCCAGTGGCCGGCTACTACTTTTACGAGATTAGTATGGATACATCGTGCGCCAAGTACGCACCCAACAACATCCAAGTCATCCTCTTGCCCTCGACATGTGCACGTTCCGACTTGATGATCAAGAAAAGTTTCTCAATCGATACAAATTCGACACCCAACATTCAGTCTGGTCCAAACTGTGCCACCTACTCGAAACCAGCCACATCGATGGATACTTGCACCAAGACACACTTTTCATTCAAGTTGTATGTTCCTGTGCCCGCCTTTGTGCCAACTGTCACCAACACCTACAACGGACCGAGTGGATTGAAATTGGTATTGGGAGCTACACCCTACACATCGATCATACCACGTTTCAATCTTAATATGGTTGATGCCGGTGGTGTGTCGGTCGGTGCATGTGGGTTGACCAACGTGCCAGCTGTCATGACGTGTACAGCTACCTATTCAACCTATCCCATTCAATTCAAGGTAGAGGCGTATGGTAGCTCTACGGCCACCGTCTCCACCCTTTCATCATTTATCGATATTCCAACACTCGCTGCATCGATCCAAACCTCTACCATTACAACATCCAACTTTTACTTTCTCATTACCGTTGATACTGGTGTCTCTGCCAAATATTTCATGAACAACAATGAGTTTACTTGTGCATCAGTGGTGACAGCTTGCAAGATCCCCAATCAATCGGTCACTGCTTCCGGTGCACCAGTCAACCTCACCATCTATGCCGTCAAGAATAACATATTGTCCAAACAATTTGTCTACACCACTCCACTCCCCGCATCGGTTAAATTGACCGATATTGATACCGCCGGTATCATCACCTATAATTCCATTCCCGTCAAGCCCGTTTACACTGGTGGCAGCGTCGATACTCTTGGTATGAAGGTATTCTATCAAAGCTCACTTCTTCAAGTTGAAGCTTCCGGATGCGTCCAACCAACTGGTTTGGTCCCCTATGTATGTGACTTGACCACCCCAACCTACGTTCTTGACCAATACAGTTATTATCGTGTCCGAATGGTAATGGATGATGGGTTTAGTCAAAGTACTCAAAGAAAATTATTCTTAACTCAACGTATGTAAAAAAAACAAAAAAATTATTAATAATAATAATATTAATTTTTTCGTTTCTTTTTTCTTTTTATTTCTTTCTTTTTAGATGCATATACAAATGTAAAGATAAATTCAATTTCACCAACTGATTTGGTAGTTACAGGTCAATACACATTACAAACAGGTGTACCAACAACTGTAACCTATAAATTGAATGGAGGTATTGTTTGTCAATCAGTTGTTTATGGAAGTCCATGTACCATGTCTGGTTTGAATATTGCTTCAGCTTATTCTCTTGATATGGAATTTTTCAATGCACAGTCAGTTACTCTTCAAACCAGTCCAACTGCAACACTCAAGACTCAACAATGGACAGATACAGTCCTCACACCAGGATCATACTCTGGTACTGCTCTTTCCGTCACTTTCAACACTCCATCCATTCTTCCACTCAATTTCACTGTTGTTTACAACGATGCCATTCTCACTGCATGTAAAAACATGAACAATCCTGGCAATAGTGCATCATGTAATATTCCAGTCTCCTACCTTGGTTTCCATAAAGTTGTTGTCAACTCTCAATCAAACACCTTTAGTGTATTCACTCTAGATCGTTATTTACCAAATTTTGCTCAACGTATGTAAGAAAAAAAAAAAAAATACAAATACAAATATACTAATTTATTTGTTTTATAGCAACTGTAAGTATAAATTGGTTTACTGAATATACATTATTTACAATTTCACCAAGTCAAAATGCATTTGGATTATTACATGGTCTTTCACTTACAGGGTATCCAACAACCCTTCAAAATGGTAATGTGGTCAATATTACTACAACATTGGGTACACCATACACCTACTTTGCCAAGATTTCCCAAGTCAATGTTCCACCGACCGTATTTTTACAGTCTACCAATACATTCAATACATTGATTCTTCAATTGTCAGCGTTTTCCACTACTCCATCGGTCAACTCTGTATCGGTGTCCTATGGTTCTACTGGTGGTTGTCCAATTGGAAATTCAGGAGCAGGTAGCAAATACTATATCTCTTTGAATGGACAACAGTCGATCGGTTGTTGGGGTGTAGGTGGTGCTACTTGTGCCATCGGTACTCTTACTGCCAACACAACCTATGAATACTCGGTCTCTGTCGTGAATAATGATCAACAAAAAGATGGTGCCATCTCAACATTCAAAACTCTACCAAAACCATTTACCGTTGTACCAACTATAACTACATTTGCAACTGGTTTCGTCGTTGAAGCTGTTACTAGTCCAGTGTTGGTTGGATCAATTCAAACATTTGTTTTGGTCGATGGTCAAGACAAATGTACTTCTCTACCATGTGAAATTAGAAATCTCAGTCCACAAACACAATACTCTGTCCAGGTGGTCATGTACTCTGTCGCCGACAACACCTATCAAACTACCACTACCCCCGCCACTACTCGCGGTATCATGGACGCCACCTTTTCAGCTGCCGTTTACAATCCAGCTTTGGGATCGGTCCAAGTCACCCTTGCCTCGTTGACTGGAAGTAATCCAACCGCCGCCAAAACATACACTTTCAAGTATCAAGACGCTGTCCAATGTAACGGAGTATCGGGTATCTGTGCAATCACAGCCAATCAATCGGAAATCATTGATGTCATGATCACCATCCAAAACCAAATCGATTCCTTTGAGTTTGGATTCTCCGTCTCTACCTATGTCTTGACCCAAACCATTGAATATTTGGCACTTTCAAGAACCATCTATTTCTCAGCCGTGCCATCTCAAATTGTTCCAGCTAGATTCCCTCTATTCGACTATCAAGTTACAGGTGTCTCTGATTTGGAGAATTCAGACAATCCAGATTATTCAATGATGGCATTGGTTAGTGAAAGCACCACTTATACAGTATCTGCGCAATACCTCTTCCAAGGAACATACAATCAAATCAACCTCATCTCTTCTCAAATCGTCGTCACTTCTTATCCATCCATCAACTTCCCAGCTGGTCAAATGGTCACCCTCGTCTCTCTCAATGATACACATCTCAGTGTAAAATACGCTGCTCAATACGGTGCACCAACCACTACCACCCTATACTCTATTAAACTCAATGGAGTAAGTGTACCACAATGTCAACAAACCCCAGCCACCCAATGTACAATGGAAGTTTCAATTGGTTATTTTGTCATTTTCGTCCATGCAGAAAATGAAATTGATATTGAATATGGTAATCCAAATTTACCATTTAATAATATTCAATGTAAGAGAAAAAAGAAATAATAATAATAATAATATTAATATTTTTTTAATTTAATTTTTCTAGTAACATCATCAATAACATATATAACATCATCAAGTTTCCAAGTTAGTTTTGTATCAAATTATATATTTAATAGTTATAGAGTTTGGTATACTAGTACATTTTATAAAACATTCCAAGTAAATGAATTGGTTGGAACTGTAGTTGTAACTGGTCTCACTTTAAATACCACCTATGCCGTTAGATTCCAAGGTATTGATGTCACTGGAAATATGTTCCCTACTCCTCAAACAGATGTTACCACCAGTTATCCATTCTCATTGACTCGTCTCTATTTGATTAGTAATACTCCCACCACTGCAACCGTTGCCTATGGTCTAATTGATGGTGGTTCATTACCAATTGTCTACTCTGTCCATGTCGATGGTGACTTTGTCTTTAATACTACCGGTTACACTGCTACCGTCCAAACTGGTGGAAATGATATAGATATTGTAGTAGTTGGACATTATTATGAAGATAATGCTCAATCTGAAATCGCTGTTCATTCAGATAGTGGTATGTAAACAAGATGATAGAAAAGAAATGAAAAGAAAGAAAAAAACATAGCAATTAAATTAATCTTCTTTTCTTTTTAATTTTAGTAATTGATGGAATTCAAATTAATACAAACAAGATTGATATTAATTATGTAAATTTTGTATTTACAACTTTGGTACCATTAAAGAATGTTCAATACTCTCTATTATTGAATAATGCTATGACTTTGAATTGTCAAATTGGACAATCATGTAGTGCAACTGGATTAAAAGAACAGAGTGTAAATACTATTACAGTGACTGGAAATTACAATAATAATGAATGGGCTCCAACCAAAGTCACGACATTTACAACATACAGCAAGGTCAAATCGGTTGTTATCAATAGTGCCACTACTGATAGCAGTGCCAACAAATTGTATGTGACTGTAACTTCGGTTGGTGGTGATTTTGCCAACACCGAGTACTCGATTTATAACGGTTTAAACAAACTCGTTACATCGACCAGTCCCAATTCTATTGCTGTCCCATTGATCAAATCATATCCATGGTATCAGTTGCGTGCCATTGCCAACTATTCTACTTCCTCGGCTTCTTCACCAGTATTTAATTATGTTGCATTGTCATTCAACATTGTAGTTTCAGGTGTTACATCGAATATTGCTCAAATCTCGGCCAACCCAACTTACAATTTGGATCCAAATATTTGGACATTGTCCTACGAATTGAATGGTCAACAAGTGGTTGGATGTGTATTGTCTACTTGTGTGATTGATACTCTTGTCCCATTGACCGACTATTTGTTGACAGTGACTGCTTCCCAAACACTTGGAAAGGTGTCTAGAACCACTACCTTCAAGACATTGGATGCATTCAAGATCCCCTCGGTTGTTGTGACTGATTATTCGGCCACTTGGATACAAGTGTCTTATGCTGCAACTGGAGGTGATGCAAATACCGCTGTATCCTACGCTGTTACACTTGATGGTGCTGCAAGAGTCGATTGTCCACCCACTCTAAGCACATGCAACATTACTGAATTGGTTCCACAAGTCACTTACAACCTTGGTGTTACAGCTACCCGTGGTTCATTGTCTGCATCATTTGTTCGTCAATTCACCCTTCCAAACGGTGCAGCTATCGCTATCAACACTGCTCAAGTCATGACCACCTCTGCCGTCTTGTCTTATCCACTCAGAGCAGTCTTGTCAGACACTCCCATCACCTACCTCACCACGTTGGATGGTGCAGCTACCAAGTGCGACGTACTCGAGTCTGCCTGCCAACTCACCCAACTACAACCCAACAAGACGTACAACTTTGTCGTCACAGCCACCTATCTCGTCGACAAGACCATCACTACTCAAGTCGCATTCACTACCTATCCCTCAATCAACTCTCCCAAGATCAATATTGTCCAACTCACCACTACCACTATTGTTGTCAATTTGACTGTAACGGGCGGTGCACCAACCGTAGACACTGTCACTCAACTCTTTGTCAACGGTGTCAACACACAATGTCTCAATAATTTGTGCGTGTTTTCAGGTCTTGCCCCTGCAACCACTTTTGTATTCCGTGCAGTCACTTCAAATGATGGAGTGACCAGAGAGACCATCCTCCCGATTACCACCTACCCCATCATCTCACTCACCAACTTTGAACCATACCAACGCAATGAAACTGGTATCTATGTTGATATTGTCACGGCTGGTGGTGTGCCAGGTCAAACAGTCTGGACCGTCTCGGTCAACGACGCGGTGCTCTGCGACCATTTGACACCTGCCAACTGCTACAAACCCATCTCTAGTCTCGACGCATTCACCTATCGTCTCGATCTCGCCAACGACGGCACATCTTTGAACAGAGTCGTCAACTTCCAAACCTATCCAATTCCTGAAGGCGTTATTATTGCCAGTCAGACCAACACCACCCAACAAAGTATCGCTTTTACCTGGTCAACCAGCTCGACTGGTGGTGTCCCCGGTGCCACCTACTACGAAGCTCAACTCTCCTACGACAACAAGACTTGGGGCTCTGCCTGTGTCTCTACCACCACCTCGTGTACCGTTAACAAGCTTGTCGACAGTACCGGCTACAATGTCCGTATTGCCGTGCGTAACCGTCGTTTCGACCCCATCATCTCACCTCAAATCGTGCTCGTGACCAATTCGTCCGGACCTGTTACCTGCGCACTCACCTGTCTCAACAATGGTACGTGTCAGTCTGGATATTGTGTCTGTATCAAGGGTTACGATGGTCCACAATGCGAGTTTAACATGGGAGGCAACTCTACCACTGGTGGCAGCCCACCCGAATTTAGCAAGCTTGCAGTCAACCCCAACAACACTGAAGTATCGATTGAAAACAAGTACGTCACACTCTCATTCTCTATGCAATCCATCACAGAGGTTGACGTGAACGGCACAGTCGTCGAGCAAGTCGATCTAAGCACAACACTCTGGAAACTCATCCTCAACAATGAGTCTACCGTCATTCACCCAACCACCCAAGAAGAACTCACCGAACTACTCTTTGGATATGTTTCAGATGACGGATTACTTTCTGTCAACTTTTCTCAATACATTCCATCGGCCAATTCAAACGCTGCTCTCACTGTCGACTCTTATCCAGTAACATTTGCAGGTGAAACATTCAATGTCAAACTTGGATCGTTAAAGTACAGTTTCCGTGTACAAGGTTGGGAGTTTAACTCTACCGAAAATACTCTTCACGTAGCATCGTTTGTTGGAGATATTGGCAATGATACCCAAGTCACATTTAATGATGGTGCCGTCATGTCATCTTTAGTTATGGTCGATAACCTCGGTAACCAAGTATACAGTCGTTTAATCAACAGAGTACTCGTAGACAACTTCCCAATGCGTGTCTCTCATTACATCACACCAGCTACCAATGGTACACTCGTCACTACCGTCATCCCATCGTTTATCGAATCATTTGTCTATGACCCCGATATTTCAGTTCTCGTATACGACAGAAAAGAAACTACCGAAGACCCCATCGATAAGAAGAGTTGGACCGCTGTCATTGTCGGTGTCACTGTTGGTGTAGTATGTGCAGCCATTATCGCAGCCGGTGTCATCTACTATCTCAAGAAACATAAATACCAAGTCAAATCATTTAAATCTAGATTTAGTCGTTCAGTTTCTTTAAAAGAATGGTCAAGACATAGATAAACAAATTAATAATAATAATAATCATCACAACATTATTCACACAACAAATCACAATCCTATATATTTAATTAAATATTTTTTTTTACTAACAATAATACATTAATTATAATAAATCGACAACAACCTTTTTTTCATTAACTTTTATTATATTTGTTCCATCCCACCTCTGTTTTATAGCTGAAATGCGTCAGATAATAGAGGATTAAATCAAAGTAAGCAAAAGCATGTTCATCTGCAATCGCAAACCCATCAAAAAAAAAAAAAAAGTTCATCTGCAAACCCACCCAGACCCAGGGCGTCGGGTGATCAAGCGGTTTCACAGAAAAGTTCTCGTGTTTCTAGCTTCGACCACCTTTAGTTTATCATTCTTATCCTCCCATCCCAGTACTACCCTCATCACTTCTTCTTTTAGGAGCTTGCATCATCACCCACCCACCCTGTTAAGTACTTGTGGAAGTGGTTAAAGGCATCTTCATCATCTCTATCTATATCTGTATTCTTTATCTGTATTTGTATTATAATATAACTCACACTCATTCATTGTATTATTATTATTATTATTTGTATATATATAAAATATATTTGTATTTGTAATTAGTTATTAGAGAGATCGAGGCTAGGATGAACAGTTTTGCAATTCAAAAAGAGATATTACAATTGGTGGTTGATTATAAATTGGGTAGTAGGAAATGGAGATTATCTTTGGCATTGGTATCATCTAGTCATTTGTTGATCGTTCAGTCATTGTTGAGTGAAATGGTGTTGGGTAGAAACGAGATTAACTGTAGACAAGCAGTTGACCTCTATTTAGACATTGAAAGACACTTGACCAACAAATACTGTCCCTATAAACGTATATCAACATTGACTACATCATTTTATACCCTTAGAATATTATATCTATCAAGTTTGGATATTGATCAAAACAACAACAACAACAACAAGAATACAACAAGTGGAATACTAGAAAAGATACATACATTAAATGTAATAGCAAGTCAATACGATCAAACATTAAAGGCAAATCAAATATCGAGTATGGGAAGAATGTTGACAATGAAGAATATCAATTTGACTCGCTTGTCAATCGATACTACGAAATGGAGTGTACCAGTGTTGCCGGTTGACATGGACAGTATGATTCGTAATCCAACCATTCAATTGACGAGTTTGTGTATTTCACAGAGTGGATATGACACGTCAATGCTCATGTTGTTGTTGCAAACCAATCAAAACACATTGACAACCATCAAGTTGAACGCTGCGGTACCCGAGACATCGTCACGTATCAATTCGGTGAGCCACGTCTTTTTGCAGCAACTCAAAAACACATTGTCACTTGCTCCATTCCGTGCCAATTTAAAGAGGCTTGACATTACGGTTGGCGGTACAGACTATGCCATCACATCGGATCTCTATTCGTTGCTTGGTCAGTTTAAAGCATTGCGTCGTGTTCGTATAGGTGTTGTTCGTCTACCCCCACATTTATTCCCGATTGGTCAACATGTGAATAGTCTAGGTCAAGTGAGTGGAGGGTCTGCCGTCCCACCTCTCAAAGACTGGATACGCGTGTCTCCCATGTCTAGCCATCTCTTTTACACACTTTTCCTCACCTCGTGTACCAGCCTCACCCACATTACCACACCACTGTTTACACAGGGCTCGACCTACGACCAGGCACGCGTCGACCTAATCAACTTGCAGTCACTGATTGCTTTTAATCGGTCGTTGGTCAAGGTGCATTGGATGTACGATATGACTCTTATGCCAAATGATTTTAAACTGGCCATCAACGTGCCCGTCTTAAAGTGTGACGAATCGGCTCTCATTCGATTGGATGCCGCCAAATCCAATATCACCACTCTTATCATATCGACCATGGCCGAGGAATACCAAGACTACATTGAGGAGAATAGTAAACTTCTCAACCTTGTTATTAGGTTACATACAAGACGTTCTAGACGATCATCATCCCCCTCCACTTTACCTCAATATATTGGTGGATCAGACAACAACAACTCTGACGATTTAGAGTTTACACCATCTGCCTTTTTACATTCCATTCAAACCAATAATCAATCAATCCAATGTATATCATCAACACACAATCTATATAATATCTATCCTTCTTTTAATTGGCCCTATCGATATCATTCAAATCGATTCATTTATCAAAAGGCTTTGTAAATTAAATTAAATATAATAAATTAAATATAATAAATTAATTTATTTATTACTGACTAAAATTCCATTTTAATTGAAATGGATTGTTAGAATGGTTTTCAAAATTTAAAAGAATTGGATCATATTGTTGTTGTTGTTGACTATTATTTGATTTTCTTTGAGTGATTATTCCACCTTGTAGTGTATGTTTTTCAAATACCAATACATTCTTATTATCACTGTCCAATCTTTGAATTGTAAAATGAAAAGTTATATATTGATCAGAAGGAATTAGATATAAATTTGTAACGCTGGTATGATTGATTACTTGATCCAATCTAAATGAAATCCTCAAGTGATGGGTGAATGTGCATGTTAAATGAGTAGTATTCATTGGTAGCCATTGCTGCGAGATGATGGGGTCAGTGATCCGAGAACTGATTGAATAGATAAAAGTGTTTGGGGTTCGTTTTAAACGTATAGAAAGATACTTGATGGTTAGTGGTACTTGAATAGTATGGTCGCCAAAGATTTCAACAAGGTTGAGTGTTTCAAGATTGGGTGGATAGGGTGATGGTAGAACAACTATTTTATCTTTTTCTGATATCAAAACCAGTTCTTTCAAATCAACATGTTGAGAAAGTGAGACCAAAGCATCTTGGTCGAATGTTTGCTGTAGTTCCTGTCTTAGTTTGATGAGTGATTTGGGTAGTTTGATTGGTTCGTAGGGTCCCAATATGGTTAGATCAGTAAGAGATGGTGGTAATACAACTTGGTCAAGAATAATTCTCTTTGTGTATTTAAGTATTGTTAGCTTTTCGATGGTGGGTGGGATGATATTGGCTTGAATAGGTTCTAAACAATGGCTACTAATAACTAGTTCCTTTATCTTAGGTGATGACAATAGTATAGTACTGACTTTTTCATCGGCCAACAGCCTGTGATTTACATTTAATTTCTCCAACAGTGGTAATCTGCACTGAGATGGGATTTGTACGTAATCGGACGAGAGATGAAGTATCTTGATTGAAGGAGAGACTATAATCTCGGGAAAGTTTTCATTGTACTCTGTTGGGTTGGAAACTTCACAAAACATGAATGACCTTAGGTTGCATAAACTTTGGAGATCAATGCAACATCGTTGTTCTATTGTTGGCTGCCATCTGAGGTAGATCTTTAGTTTTACGAGTGATGTCAATGAAAGGAATGCATTTGGTGGAGGTATCTCTTGTAGTCTGAGTGTGAGTGATGTCAGATTGCTTGGTAATAATAGACCCGATACATCCGTCACAAAATAATTCTTAAAGGATAGATCAGTCAGCGATACGAATTTATCCAATCCCAAGTCACCAAGAGGGCATAGAGTGGCGATGTCTAATGTCAGATACTTGAGAAAAGGGTGAGGACCGAGATTCAACTTTGTTGCATTCATTGAAAGTCTTTGTAGATTGGGCAAGAGCGAGATTGAACCAAGATCCAGCACGTCTTGGTGATTGATGAATAGTGTCTCTATAGATGACATTTTGTAGAGAGTCGCCCATGTCTTGTCACAAAGTTTCTTTGCTGATACAATTGATCTGTCATGATTAACCAAAGCAGTTGAAATCCCTTTTATATTGTCTCTGTTTGCAGAGATACGGTCTTGTATACATTTTGGATACTCGCTGAGATAGTATACATCAGGTAATATAACATATTGATCTGATACACTATTCTCCAATATATCATTAAATGACAGTAGTTTGAATTGATTGAATGTTACTCTAAACCGTAGTGATTGCTGCCCATTGTCTTTGATCGGTTTGATACCTTTAAATTGAATCGATCTTCTAACACTACTATTATTTTGACTGTACAACCGTTTACAAGTTAACAATAAACATATTATATCTCCATTATCATCAATAGATAAAATGATTTTTGATAATAATAAATTAGATAGCTTAAAAATAGACATTGAGAGAGATAATATTAAAATGAAATCAAAAGAGAAAAAAAGATGGTTGAAAAGGTACTAAAAAAAATTAAAGATCAAAAAGCACAAGATATAATATATAGTTGTAAATGAGTATTTTATTTTATTTTGTATTTAATATCTCCAACTTATATCAAATGGAGAGTAGGAGGATTGACCTAAATATAAATAAATTGGATCATAGTGTTGATTGACAGTCTTGTCTCTTCTGATGATTCCACCTTGAAGTGTCTCTTTTTCCAATACCAATACATTCTTATTTTCAGCGTCCAATCTTTGAATTGTAAATTGTAAGGTTTGAGAGGCAAAAGAGATTGTTAAATCTCTAACATTGGTATGGTTGATTACTTCGTCTAATCTAAATGCTGCTCTTTGTTCATTCCAAAGTATGCAAGTTAACTCTGTTGTAGTGGGTGGTAACCATTGTGGTTGATCTTTGGGTACCCTAAAACTGATTGAAAAGATTGGATACCCATATGTATGTGACCTTGCCACGCCAGGTTGTAGTGTCAACCGAAGACCCAAATTTTTGATGGTTGGTGGTACTTGAATCGTATAGTCTTCAGAGACACGAAACAGATTGAGTGTTTCAAGATTGGGTGGATAGGATGGTGGTAACTTTAGATCGCGTCTATCTTTGATCAACACCCATAAATCTTTGACTGCTGATACCCAAACCAGTTTCTTCAAATGACCTAGTTGAATGACTTGAGAGACTGTATCATTATGGAATTCTTGTTTTAGTTTGACTAGAGAGTCTGGTAGTTTGATTGGTTCGTAGTCTCCCCAGACAGAGAGATGAGTGAGTGATGGTGGTAATACCATTTGTGAAAGCATATTTCTAGGACTTGTATTTATTTTACGGATGGTCAGCCTTTCGACAGTCGATGGGATGGTAAGATCCGCCGGCATTTTTTGAAAACTATTACAAAGAACAAGTTTCTTGAGAGACTTGCATGTTGACAGACTAATTCTTCCATCAATCAATATTCTTTGTAGAATATATAGTTTCTCTAAATGTGGCATTACACATCGATGTGGGATTTCTACACAATCGAATTGAAGAGAGAGTATCTCGAGTGAAGGAGGGACTGTAATCTCGACTCTTTTGTTACTGTCATGTCTTTCCAACAACTTGATATATCCATGAAGTAAAAGTGTCTTGAGGTTACATAAACCTTCGAGATTGATGGCTGGGTGATCTTCCTCTTTTCTCGACAAACTCCTCTCTGCTTTTGGAATCTTTTCAGTTTCAATCTCTAGTGTTAGTTTAACCAACGATGACAACGAAATGAATGTGTCTCGAAGAGGTACCTCTGTCAGGTGCAGAGTGAGTGACGTCAGACTGTTTGGCAAGAGACCCGGTCCGATCGGGCCAGACACAAAACATTCTTCAAACGTCAGCTGTGTCAGTGATACGAATTTGTGTAACGACAAGTCTTGGAGAGGAATTATACCATAGTAGCATAGTGTTAGAGACTTGAGTGATGTGTGAGGACTGAGCTTCACATTGCGTGCAGAAACATCAAGTCTTTGAAGATTCGGTAACAGTGAGATACTACCAAGATCGACATCTTTGGTGTCGTAACCAGAGTAAACGATTTGTGCTGTGAAATCACGATCAGGGTCGCAATCTCTGTTAATGAATAGTGTCTCGATTGATGATGGTATATCATCATAGATAGACTGTAGTGATGTCGATTTATAATCTACCAAAGCTGTTGTAATTTTACTCTTGTCGACTCTGTTCTTTAATGAGAGTCGTTGTTGTATCGATTTGGGATAGTCACTTAGATTGTATATTATGACGCACTGATCAGAGATACTATTCTCCAAGATATCTTTAAATGATAATAAGTTGAATTGATTGACTGTTGCTTTTAGCAGTCCTAGCAAGTACCCATTCATCAACTCGATAGGTGTTCCTCCTATACCTTTAAACTGAATCGATCTCTTTAAACCACTACTATTTTTAAATAACTTTTTACAAGTTAACAATAAACATATTATATCTACATTATCTTCAATCTTTGTTATGATATGTAATAATAATAAATTAGATAACTGTAATAGAGACATTATAATTAAAATTAATCTTCGTTCACTCCACAGCCATGATAATGTGTTTTGAATTTATCTATTTTCTCATGGATTTGGGAAAAGAAAAATTCAAAAAAATAAAAAGAAAGAAAATATACTTGTAAGTATATTTGTTTGGTTTATTTTTTTTTTTAGTTGTAATCATATCCCGAATCGCAATTTTTATAATATAAATAAATCGGATCATATTGTTGTTGTTGTTGACTATTATTTGATTTTCTTTGAGTGATTGTAGTGTTGGAAGGTAACCATTTTGATTGGGGTAGATCATTAGCTTGATTCTAGAACGAATTGAAAAGGTTTGAGGTCTCTTTTGACCAAAGATATATGTATTTAAAACCGGTTGTACATTGGCCTGTTTTTCCAATCTAATAGATAGACATTTAATGGTTTCTGGTAGTCAATGATGGGACTAATATCAGCCCACCCATAGATCTCGCTGAGGTTGAGTGTTTCAAGATTGGGTGGATAGGAGGATGGAAACACTGGATTTGTTGGGTTAGTTGGTTTCCAAACCAGTTCTTTCAAATGAACTAGGTGAGCCAGTGAAGTAGCTTTGTCAAATGTCATATGTAGTTTGATGAGTGATTCTGGTAGTTTCGATAGAATGGTAGTTTCGATCAATGGTACAATTGTATTCCCAGATGGTTAGATGATTGAGTGATGGCGGGAACATGACTTGTTTATTTCCATGATCATAAAGAATTCTGATGCTTAGCTTTTCGACAGTGGCTGGGATGATGAGATTGGATGGCCAGGTTGTACGGAATTGGTAAATATCTAGGTTCTTTATCGATGGGTACAGACGGACTTTTTCATCGATCAATTGGCATTGACGGACTAGCCTAGTGATGTCAATGAAAGGAATTTATCTGGTGGAGGTACCTGTTGCATTTTCATTGTGAGTGATGTCAGACTAATTGGTAAGATACCCAGTCCAATACTAATTGGTATGTTACTTTTGTCAACTCTGTTATTTGAAGTGATGCGGTCTTGTATCCATTGGGGATAGTCATAGAGACAGCGGTTTATGATATCTGACACTATGACACGTTGATTCGAAATACTATTCTCCAATATATCTATAATGATGATAGTTTGAAACGATTGACTGTTGCCTTAAACTGATGTGACAAGTGCCACTCGAAATTGATTGCTTCTATACCTTTAAACTGTCATCTGCAGAAAAGGGAACTTGGAGAGGTATTTAGAGGGAAGAGGATACTATACTATAATATAATTTAAATACTCTCTGCTTATGATTAATATTATTATTTAATTGTCATTCATCGATTCATATCTCCAATGAAATAATAATGGAGAGAAAATGGATTTATTTATATATAAATAAATTGGATCATATTGTTGTTGTTGTTGTTGGGAGTTGATTGATATTCTTTGAGTGATTATTCCACCTTGAAGAGTATCTTTTTCCAATATCAATACATTGTTGTTGTTATTGTCCAATCTTTGAATTGTAAAATGTAAAGATGTAGTGTATGTATCTAAAGATAAATATCTAACATTGGTATGATTGATTATTTCATCCAATCTAAATGCTGCCCTTGATTCAATCAATATTAAACAAGTTAGATGAGTTATATTGGATGGTAACCACAGTTGTTGTTGCTGTGGTTGTGATTGATTATTGGTTGTTTTGACTCTTGAACTAATTGAAAAGATAGGATAACCATGTGTCTCTAAAATCTGTTTGTCTGTTGGTTTTGTCAAACGTATAGACAAATTTTTGATGGTTGGTGGTATGTAGTCAATCGTATTAATAATATCAGCATCAGCAATATCGATGATATCGAGTGTTTCAAGATTGGGTGGATAGGAGGATGGCAACACTAGAGATGTTGAATCACATGATCTCCAAACCAAATGTTTCAAATGGACGAGGTGGCCAATTGAGATTGAAGTAGCTTGGTCAAATGTCAGATTTAGTTTGATGAGTGATTCTGGTAGGATAACATGCTCCCAGTCTCCAGAGATTCTTAGATGAGTGAGTGTTGGTGGGAATACAACCTGTCCAAGTATATTGACGTTTCGATTATCTCGAGTTTTGATTTTATATATGTTTAGCTTTTCGACAGTCGATGGGATGACGATATTAGATGGCAAGGGTTCATAGAAATTGTATATAACGAGTTTCTTTATCGATGGATACATATTAACTTTTCCATCGATCAATAGGTTTTGACGGACATTGAATTCCTCCAAATGTGGTATGACACATCTCAGTGGGATTTGTAGGCAATTAGACGAGAGAGTGAGTATCTTGATTGACGGGGGTGTAATAATCTCGTAGTTGATGTCTCTATCTCCCCTTTGGTCTCTGATTGTAAGTGTCTTGAGGTTGGTCAAACTTTCGAGATTGATGGATGACAGATCTTCCTTGTCTTCATTGTTTGTTGTCACCCTTTTCATATCTATATCTAGTTTAACTAGTGATGTCAATGAAAGGAATGTATCCAGTGGAGGTATATCCATCATTCTTAGAGTGAGTGATGTAAGACTGCTTGGTAAGAGACCTTGTTCCAGTCCAGACGCCCAATGATCCTTGAGCGTCAGCTCTGTCAGCGATACGAATGTATCTAATCCCAAGTCAAGAAGGTACGTATTGCCGTTTTCTAGTGTTAGAGACTTGAGTGTTGTGTGTGGACCTAATTCTAGCTGGTGCGCACAAACTAAAAGATGTTGGAGATGGTGCAAGAGTGAAATAGAGGTAAGATCAACAACTGCATAATCAGTAGGGCCGTCAATGATTAATGTCTCGATTGATGGTATCTCTTCATAGATAGACGGAAGTGACGTAGTTTTATAATCTCTAACCAAAACTGTTTTAATGTTACTCTTGTCAACTCTGTTATTTGTAGTGATGCGTTGTTGTACCCATTTTGGATAGTCATCGAGATTACCAATGTCTTTTAAAATGACACATTGATCTGATATACTATTCTCTAATATATCTTTAAATGATGATAGATTGAATTGATTGATTGTTGCTTTAAACCGTTCTGATATCTCTCTCTTGTAAGTATCGATTGCTTCTAATCCTTTAAATCTAATCAATCCTCTTAAACTATTACTATTTTGACTGTACAACTTTTTACAAGTTAACAGCAAACATATTATATCTACATTATCTTCAATATCTGTTATGATATGTAATAATAATAAATTAGATAAAGATAATAGTTGGGTCATAAATAATTAAAATGATTAACTTATCACAATGAATCAAAAAAAAAACTAGGGTGAGACTGAAGCAAGCAAGCACTGGTTTCTTTTTATTTTGGTATGTGCATGAGGATATTTGAATAGTATTTTCAAGCATATCTCCAATTAAATTCAAATGGATTGTTATTGTAAGTATCAAAATACAAATAAATTGGATCATATTGTTGTTGTTGTTGTTGACAGTTGATTGATTTTCTTTGTTGAGTAATTATTCCACCTAAAAGTGTCTGTGTTTCCAATACCAATACATTCTTATTATCACTGTCCAATCTTTGAATTGTAAAATGTTTGGTTGTACGGTCAAAAGTAGTGATAGATAAATATCTAACATTGGTATGATTGATTATTTCATCCAATCTAAATGCCACTTTAAAATTTTCTGCCCTCAAAAAGCAAGATAGATTAGTTGTATTGGATGGTAACCATGGTTGCGATGGTTGTTGTTGAGGTACGGTGATTCTAGAGGTGATTGAAAAGATTGGATAACCTCTTAACCATGGTTGAGGGGGTACTTCCAATCGCATAGATAGATGTTTGATGGTTGGTGGGATATAGTCAATCGTATGGCTCCAAAAGATATCAACGAAATCGAGTGTTTCAATATTTGGTATAATGGGACAAGGTAAAACTATTTTTGGACCTCTAAAAGTAAGACTAGTTATTCTTGTCATCCAAACCAATTTTTTCAAGTTTGGATGAGAATATGACATTGCATGTTTGTTGAATTCTTGTTTTAGTTTGATGAGTGATTCTGGTAGTTTGACAGGTTCATAGTCTCCAAAGACGGTTAGATGAGTGAGTGATGGTGGGAATACAACTCGTCCAAGTATATCTTGACAATCTATTAATTTTCTTATGGTAAGTCTTTCAAGAGTCGATGGAATGATGATATTGACTGGGATCTTATAAAAACAATCATATATAACTAGTTTCTTGAGAGACTGTGATGATGACACTAGACTAACTTTTCCATCAATTAATGTCTTTTGTACCACATACAATTTCTCCAATTGTGGCATTATACATTGTGATGAGATTTGTATAATATCAGATGAGAGCAAAAGTATCTTGATTGAAGAAGGAATACTAATCTCTATACACTTGTAATAATTCATTCTGTCACCATACCCACAAAATTTGAATGTCTTTAGGGTTGTTATACTTTCAAGATTGATGAATGGTTTATAACCATCCTTATTATATATACTCCTCTCTACCATTGAAATCTTTTCCATATCGATCTTTAATTTCACCAACAATGTCAATGAAATGAATGTATCTATTGGTGGTATCTCTTGTAGTCTTAGAGAGAGTGATGTCAGACTGCTTGGTAATAAACCCGACCGTATCCCAGTCACACAATATCTATGAGATGAAAACTTTGTTAATCTAAATTCAAATCTCTGACAAAGTCATTCAATCTAGTTTTAGAGACTTTAGTGTTGTGTGAGGACTGAGCTTATTCAACTCGATTGCAGAAACCGCAAGTCTTTCAAGATTGGGTAACTGTGAGATAAGGTCAAGATCTAGAGAGTTTCTTTCATGTTGAATGAATAGTGTCTCTAGAGATACCATGTCATAGATACTGGTAGTCGGTGTTGATGTTGGTTGATAGAAATAATGTACCAAAGCAGTCGTAATGTTACTCTTGTCAACTCTTTTCGCTGAAGAGATAAGGTCTCGTATCCATTTGGGATACTTTTCGACATGGAAGAACGTGTCAGACACTATGACACATTGATCAGATACACTATTCTCCAATATATCTTTAAATGAAAAGATGTTATATTGATTGACTGTTATTTTAAACTGTTCCGATATCTTTCCCTTGTCAGTGATAGGTGCTCCTATACCTTTAAACTGAATCGATCTTCTTAAACTACTACTATTATGATATAACTTTTTACAAGTAAACAATAAACATATTATATCTACATTACTGTCAATCTCTTTTATGATATGTAATAGTAATAGATTGGATAACTTTAATAATAGACTACTAGTCATCTTGTGTATGTATATTTATGTATTACTTTTCAAAAAATGTGATGAGCTCGAAAAAGAAACAAGTCAAAGCAAGTAACGTCTAAAAAAGGAAAATGTTATTCTTTGTAGTCTTTTTATTTAATAAAAGGTATTGTTTGAGTTTAATCAAATCCCCAGTTCAATACATATGGATTGTTGGAAGAGTTTGTCTCTAAATACAAATAAATTGGGTCATATTGTTGTTGTTGGGAGTTGATTGATTTTCTTTGAGTGATTATTCCACCTTGAAGTGTATCCTTTTCCAATACCAAGACATTCTTTTTATCAGTGTCCAATCTTTTAATTGTAAATTGAAATGATCCCTTGTAAGTAGTCATAGTTAAATATTTAACATTGGTTTGATTGATTATTTCATCTAATCTAAATGCTACCTTTGATTCATTCCAAAATGCACAAGTTAGATGTGTTGTACTGGATGGTAACAACAACGATTGTTGTGATTGTTTTTTAGATTGTTTTTTAGATTGTTTTTTAGATTGTTGTTTAGATTGTTGTTGTTGTTTAGATTGTTTTTTAGGTCTGAATCGAGAACTAATTGAATAGATTAGATAACCTTTTACCGATGGATTAGGGGGTAGAGCCAAACGCATAGACAGATATTTTAAGGTTGGTGGTAAAGAGGTAATCTTATAGTTTCCATAGATCCCAAGGAGATCGAGTGTTTCAAGATTGGGTGGATAGGATGACGATGAAAGTAATACCAAGTTTGGATTTCTAGTTTTCCAAACTATTTTTTTCAAATGAATATTGGTACGAGAGACTGCAGCTTTGTTGTGTGTCTGTTTTAGTTTGACGAGTGATTGTGGTAGATTAGGTTTGACAGGCTCATAGTCTCCATAAATGGTTAGATGTGCAAGATTGACTAATGAGGTGAACGCAACTCGTCCCATTATATCTTTATCAGAGTGTACCTTTAAGATTGTAAGTTTTTTGATCGTTGGTGGTATCAAATTGGCTGGAATGGGTTCCGAGCATCCATGAATACATAGTTTTGTAATCAATGGTGATGACGATAATAGACTGTTCTGTTCATCGATCAATGTTGATTCGTGAACATACAATCTCTCCAACAATGGTACTACACATCTTTGTGGGATTCTTACACTCGACGATTGAAGATTAAGTATCTTGATTGATGGAGGGACACTCACGACGAGTGTGTCATGTCCCAATGTTGGATCGATGTATCCATCAAACTTTAGTGTCTTGAGGTTGAGTAGACTTTCGAGATTGATTAATGGTCGTTCTTCTTCCTTTTTCACGGTCATTGTAATCCTTCCCACATCGATCTCTAGTTTCTCCAGCAATGTCAATGAAAGGAATGTATCTCTTGGAGGTAGTTCTCCTCTAGGATAGATCTTGAGTGATGTCAGACTGCTTGGCAACAGACCCGGTCCAAAACCAGTAACAAAACGACACTTGAACGTCAGCTCTGTCAGTGATACGAATTTATCTAATCCCAAGTCACTTAACGGGTATGTATCGCTGACATCCAGTGTTAGAGACTTGAGTGATGTATGAGTACCAAGATTAAAATTGTATGAAAGAATTGATAACTTTTGGAGATTTGGTAAACGCGAAATGGATGCAAGATTAATTATTGTATCATCACATTGAAAGTGAATGATGAGTGTCTCGATTGATGGTATCTCGTAGATAGACTTTAATGTTTCTTCTTTATAATAATGCACCAAAGCTGTTGTGATGTGACTCGTTTTATCAGAGTCTACTATACTACCCGGTGCAATGACTCTGTCTTGTTGTATCCATTGAGGATAGCTATCTTGTATTTTATCAGACACTATGACACATTGATCAGATATACTATTCTCTAATATATCTTTAAATGATGATAGATTGAATTGATTGATTGTTGTTTTCAACCTATTTGACAAGTACCCATTGATCAACTCGGTAGGTGCACCTTTAAATTGAATAGATCTTCTTAAACTACTTCTATTTTGACTGTACAACCGTTTACAAGTTAACAATAAACATATTATATCTGCATTATCTTCAATATATGATATGATATGTGATAATAATAGATTAGATAACTGTAATAATGGACTATTCGTTTGGGCATCGATGTGACACTGCAGTTTATCATCAGTATCTGTTATGATATATGATAGAAATAGATTAGATAACTTTGATAATAGACTAGTCATATATATGTGATACAAATATTTATATATTATTACATTCAGAAAAAAGAAAGATACATGTCTGAACAAGAGTTGGAGTGTGCAAGAAAAAATCTAAAAAAGGATATTTTTTTAAATTCTATCTTTCTTGTATTTTTAAAATAATATTTAATTATTAAATAAATAGAGTGTTGAAAGGTACCCACCGTCACTATGGGTTGAATTTAATTTTATTTGTTTTTAATTTTTGTTGATCTGACGATCTGCCGATCTCTCACTCGTTTGTGCTATGATCATAATAACTCAGTACCCATAACGTCCCCATTTGTAGTGGATAGTTGGTGAAAATAGGTAATCTTATACTTTCCTTCAGAGATTGTTCTGAGTTTCAATATTTGGTGGATAGGTGAATGGGAAGGCGAAATAATAATCTTCTGCTTCTTTCCAAACTAGTTTCTTTAAATCACTACATCTGAAAATAGATATTTTCTTTAAAGATGACAACAGACTGATTCTTCCATCAATCAATATTTTTTGATCAATATAAAATTTATCCAACTTTGACATTACACATCTTTGTGGGATTTGTATAGAAGTGGAAGAGTGTAATAACTATATAGATACTTCGTATATATATAATTAGTCGAGAGGTATAAAATATAATATGGTATATATATATATATATATATAAATAATGAGAATATAAATAATAATACTTTAGATTAGATTGTAATGATATAATATTTATAATAATAAAAGATGAATTAATGTTTTTGATTTCAAAACCACCCCCAATGGTCTTTTATAGTTTGTTGTTCGAGACGACTAACCGACAATAGTTTGTGGGGGCTGGCAAGAAACCCGGTTCGACCATGCTCTCTTTCTCTATCTCTATCTCTGATCCAATGGCAACAATGATGGAGTGAGAGGGGAGACGTACATCTCATCGGATACTTGCTTCATGGCGATTGGGGTTTCCCCCTTTTTGTTGGGGTAAAAGTGGGATTTTCTTTTTTCCAAAAAGAAATGAAACCTTTTTTAAAAGGTACAAAGTGCTTCTCAAACTTATATGAGGAGAACAGACAATAGATAGATAGATAGATAAATAGATAGATAAAATGTTCAAAATTAAGTGTAGAGATAAGGTTTTTGAAGAGAGCAAAGAAACACTTCAAGTTATCCCCTTTTTTGTACCAATTATCAAAGGGACATTCCCAACGAAAAAGGATGAAGAAGGAGCAATTTTGTTGAACATTGACCCTACCATTTTCAATGTCGTACTAAAGGCTACAAAAAGATTATCATCACTTTTAAGATGTCTACCCAAGGACCGTAGTATTAGGGAGGTCTTTAACATGATGGACTATCTATTGTTAAAACTAGATATTGATGATTGGCCACTAGAGACGATAAACGGAAAGCTAAAGGACAACCAAGACTATGTTGAAAAGATAGCCCGACATTGCTTTACAACTGTAAAAGGAAATGCACCTGGTGCCATGGATGCAGCAACTGTTTTGTATCTCAAGTTGGAGACTGGCGCAATTGATTGGAACAATTTCAAAACCAAATCTGTGGCCTACAATCTTTTATTGTATGTTTTGTCACACCCCAAGGCCTTTGGACCAAGAATCCGTGAACATACCTGGATAAGCATTCAAAAGAACCTGTGGTCAAAGATCTCTGTGAAACAACAAGCAGCTCTATCAAAATGGAAACCAAGAAATGATCGACCAGATGAAGACAGTGATTATTCAAAAGAATCCGACTCTGATGAATACTATGGATCTGATGATTTCGATGATTGTTATTATTCGGATTAAAAATGGAATTAACTACCATGGTGCACTATTTTGACTGTACAACTTTACAAGTTAACAATAAACATACTGTATCTACATTATCAATCTTCAATATCTGTTCTTTATTTGATTTCTTAATCTTTCGGCTAAAAAACTTACTCTGTAGTTGTATTCAAATGAAATAGAAAAGGCATGGAAGAGTGGAAATACAAATAAATTGGATCATATTGTTGTTGAGTGTTGATTGATTTTCTTTGTTGAGTAATTATTCCACCTAAAAGTGACTGTGTTTCCAATACCAATACATTCTTATTATCAGGGTCCAATCTTTGAATTGTAAATTTCAAAACATTTGATATTTGGAAAGCCTTCATTTGAAGAGTTAAATATCTAACATTGGTGTGATTAATTATTTCATCTAATCTAAATGCTACTTGTGGTTGATTACATATTTGTAAAGTTAGATGTGTTGTATTTTGTGGTAACCATAGTTGTTGTTGTTGAATGTTTTTTGGGATTATAAAACTGATTGAAAAAATTGTAAATCTTTTGAATAGTTTGACTGGCTTTTCATCGGGTACCAAAATCATGAACAGATATTTGATGGTTGGCGGTATATCGTCTATTGCGAAGGATTTAGACAAATATAGGTTGATTGTTTCAAGATTGGGTGGGTAGGAGTATGGAGGCACTGGATTTGAATCTTTCTCTAACCAAACTAGTTTTTTCAAATGTCTTAGTTTGTCAAATGACGCAGCTGCATCTTTGTTGAATGTCTGCTCTAGTTTGACGAGTGATGGAGGTAGTTGTACTGGTTCGTAGTCTCCATCCATGGATAGATGAGTGAGTGATGGTGGGAATACAAATTGTTCTCCAAGTATATCTTTTCCTAGCTTACATTCGATTATAGCAAGCTTTTCGAGAGTCGATGGGATGGTGCTGGCCAACCATTTTGGAATGGTCTCAAATGAACGTAAAATAGCCAGTTTCTTTATCGATGGACATAAAAGTAGACTGATATCTCCTTCAACCAGTGAAACATACCGAACATACAATCTCTCCAACAGTGGCATAGTACATCGATGTGGAATTTGTACGTAATCAGAAAAGAGCGTAAGTATCTCGATTGAAGGAGGGACAGTCACCTCGACTTTGTACTGGCTGTCTGTCATTGCACCATGTTCAATCTTGAGTTTCTTGAGGGTGCATAAGCTTTCCAGATTGATAACCAATGGATATTGCCCATTCCTCTCGGCCAGTGTCCTACTAACAAATATCTCTAGGTTGAAGAGTGAAGTCAATGAAAGGAATGTATTTGGTGGAGGTACCTCTTTTGTTCTCAGAGAGAGTGATGTCAAACTGCTTGGTAATAGACCTGGACCGACTCCAGACACCCAATGGTTCTTGAACGCCAACTCTGTCAATGATACGAATTTGTACAACCCCAACTCGCCAACAGCGTATGTGGTCACTATGTCTGCCCAAACTTCAAGTCGTTGAAGATTGGACAAGAAAGAGATGGAGCCTAGATCAACCACTTCCTGATCGGGGTCGTACGGGTGGCGAATGAATAGTGTCTCGATTGATGATGGCATGTCAGCGATAGGCTTGAGTGATGATTTTTGATAATTATGCACCAAAATGGTTGTAATGCGGCTCTTATCGGGTATGTTCTCTGCAGAAATGCGTTGTTGTAACCATTGGGAAAAGTAATCAAAAGTACCACTCCAAGGCACTATGACACACTGATCAGATATACTATTCACTAATATATCTTTAAATGATAATAGTTTGAATTGATTAAAGGTTGTTTCTAACCTTGTTGACAAGTACCCATCGATCAAATCAATAGGTGTTCCTATACCTTTAAACTGAATCAATTTCTTTAAACTATTATAATGATACAACTTTTTACAAGTTAACAATAAACATATTATATCTACATTATCTTCAATATCTGTTATGATATGTAATAAAATTAGATTTGATAAAGATAATATACTACTACTACTAGTCATGTGATTTTATATGCTTGAATATAAAAATGAACAAAAGAAAGAAAGATCTTTCAAGCAAAGTAATAGTTTTTTTCAAAAATCTTTAATTTATTTTATTGTTAATCAGCCATACATCCAATACAACCTTAATGGAGGCTTAGAAGAAGATTGTGGTTTTTTTGATATTCTAAATATAAATAAATTGGATCATATTGTTGTTGTTGACTATCAATGGATTTACGTTGAGTGATTATTCCACCTTGAAGTGTATTTGTTTCCAATATCAATACATTCTTATTTTCATTGTCCAATCTATGAATTGAAAATTGTAATGTAGTCTCATAAGTGATAGTTAAATATCTAACATTGGTATGATTGATTACTTCATCCAATCTAAATGCCACATCTGAATTTTCATCATGACAGATTAAACAAGATAGATGAGTTGTATTGGATGGTAACCACAATTGTTGTTGTGGTGGTTGTTGTGAGGGTTGTTGTGAGGGGATGGGGATGGGGATCCTAGAGGTGATTGAAAAGATTGAATCGTCATCAAATGATTTTGTCAATGGTATAGAGAGATATTTGATGGTAGGTGGTACATGGTCAATGATATAGTCACCTTCGATACCAAAGAGGTTGAGTGTTTCAAGATTGGGTGGAGAGGTGAATGGTAGATTTGTGCAATTGGTTCCTGGTATCCAAACTAGTTTCTTTAAATGACCTAGTTGAGCACTACGAGATATTGCATCTTTATCAAACATTTGTTTTAGTTTGATGACTGATTGTGGTAGGTTGACAGGTTCATAGTCTCCATTGATAGTCAGATGAGTAAGAGACGGTGGTAATACAACTTGTCCTAGTATATCTTGATCACAAATGAATTTTTCTATTGAAAGTCTCTCGACTGTCTCTGGAATGATCATATTGAAATTGGATGGCATGACTTTATCCCAATAAATAAATAATTTCTTTATCTTTGGGCATGACGACAAACTGACTCTTTCATCAATCAATAGTCCTTGATACACAACCAATTTCTCCAACTGTGGTAATACACATCTTTGTGGGACCCGTACACAATCTGAAGAGAGAGAAAGTATCTTGATTGAAGGAGGGACTGTAATCTCGATACTATAGTAGTTCTTTTCATGGATGTAGTTTCTAAACTTGAGTGTCTTGAGGTGACATAGACTTTCAAGATTGATGAATGCTTCTTTTGTCTTGTCTACTATTCTTGCATGTTCAAGGTAGATCTTTAGTTTCACCAACAATGTCAATGAAAGGAATGTATCTCTTGGAGGTATCTCTTGTAGTCTGAGTGTAAGTGATGTCAGACTGCTTGGTAGCAGACCCTTTGCTATACCAACCACACAATTACTCTTGAACGACAACTCTGTCAACGATACGAATTTATCTAATCCCAAGTCGATGAGAGGGTATGGCTTTCCAACACCGATATCTAGTCTGAGAGACTTGAGTGTTAAATGAGGATGAGGACCTAGTTTCAATCCGCTTGAACGAACCGCAAGTCGTTGAAGATTCGGCAAGAGTTGTGAGATGGAGGCAAGATCCACAATACTATTAAATCTTTGGTTGATGAATAGTGTCTCGATCGATGATGATGACAAGTCTTGGAGTGACTTTGCAAATTCATCGTATCGACTAACCAACGCTGTCGTAATACTACTTTTATCGACTCTATTTAAAGTAGAGATACGATCTTTTATCCATTGTGGACAATTATTATTATTATTATTCTTTTGAAGATATTGTTGACCTTGTTCAAAATGATCTATCACCTGATGATCAGATATACTATTCTCCAATATATCTTTAAATGATAATAGGTTGAATCGAGTAGCTGTTGCTTTAAATTGTTCTGATATATCTCCTTTATTAGATTCATCGATAACTTGTATACTTTTAAACTGTATCGATCTTCTTAAACCACTCCTATTATTGTACAACTTTTTACAAGTTAACAACAAACATATTATATCTACATTACTGTCAATATCTGATATGATATGTAATAGTAATAGATTAGATAAAGATAATAGATTAGTCATGAATAGTAGACACTAAGCGACTAGCTAGTCATCAGGTGATTATATATCAAATGAATACGAGTTGTCTGATCTGTTAATTAATTACCATTTTTTTTTTATACTCTTGTACGTACTTAAAAAAAAAAATAAATAATAATAACTATAGTACCTACCTTTAACTATATCTATATCTTACTGTTTTATATGTTTGTATGCATGATGTTCTCATAGTCATTGTGAACTTAACTAAAGATCAAGTTTGTTTTAAAAGAAGGGTACCCGATCGATACAATAGGTAAGTTCGCAATGACCAAGGATATTGCAATCGTATTTTATTACCAACTTGTGTAACATACCATTGCGTAAACTACAGGGCTCAAACAAGACTAAAATATATAAAGATCTTTTTGGCATTCTCTGTTAAACCTTCCAGTGGTCAAATCGTAGTATATTATATTAAATTAATATTTTAATTTTACAAATAATTTTTTTGTTTTATTATTTTTTGTTTCATTTGTTTGATTTGTTATGTTTTGGTTTATTGATGAGGAGGAACAGTCAGATAGATTTGTTTTTGTTGTTTTTGTTGTTTATATTTATCTTCTTCTTTTGATTCCATTAATGATCCATAATTCTAAGAGTACCTGAAATAATTTTATTCTCCAATGTGACACCATCGGGGATATCAACTCTTTCGCCGTGGTTTGCTACAATGATGACAGTACCCTTGAGCTTTGTATTTGTGCCAAAAAAGACGTCACCAGACACTGTCAAATGGTCTAGTTCCAAGAGATCGGGAATTGATTTGAATCTCTTTTCGTATTCCGAGACGGTTGAAAACTCTTCTCCCAATTTAACCAATGGAATGTCGCTCGTCTCTCTGGCGGGGTTCAACACGACTTGTCCCTTGTCAAATTGGAACAAATTGGATTGTGCAATCAACAATTGACTGGTTGATTTAATGGGACGATATCTATCACGTGGTACAAGTATGGCAAGTGAATTATTGAAATTTTGAATTCCCATACCTGCTGGTGATTCTATTTGTACCAATTGTTTATGATCTTCAGTCTAAAAGTAAAAGAATAAATAAATAAATAAATATTTTAAAAGAATAAATAAATATATATTATATATTTGTTTATCTGTCTCTTTACATACTGGAAAAGAAACAACCCAATCTAAAATTAATTGTTCACTCTTTAATAATTGATCAACTGATTTCAAGTTAACCCAAATATTATTTGTATTCCAAAACTTGAAATCCTTGAAATTCTTTAACTTGTCTGTTTTGATTTGTGACAATTCCAATAGATGAAGTCTATCCTTGTAAGACATTAAAACACCACCTGTACAATCAGTATTGATACGATTGGTAACTTCCAATCCAAAATCAACTTTTTGTAAATGAATATGATTCAATACCTCTAAACAATTTAAATTAAACAATAATGTAAATATATATTTCTTTTTCTTCTTTTTCTTTTTCTTTTTTCTTTTTTCTTTTGACTTACGAATATCAATAGTAGCACCAACATTTTCAATATTTGAAATATAAATATACTCTTTACCATCTTTTAAAAGTTTTTCTAAAAGACCACTACGTTGAAGGGCTCTAAAGACATCACCTGAACCTGGTGGATACCAATCCTTTGGATTGAATTGAGTATTTGGTTTTGGTACAACGTTTAGAGTATCCTTGTACATGCGAGGGAATTTGGATTGAGTAAATGTTTTAATACTAACACGATGATTGTTGTACTTTTCAACCATCTTTTTAGTTTGTACCTCTGTTTTGAATGAATTCATCAATATCAATGGTACATCAACATTATAATCTTGATTCATTTGCTACAAAAAAATAGAAACAGAGACAATTAATATTTAATCAATTAATAATGATTTGTTGTGTGTTATTAAATTGCTTACCTCAATATGAGCAACAGCCATATCCAAGAAATTAATACCGGGAGCAATTTCAATGGAAGATTTAGCACCTTTACAACCCATTCTAGTACCAAGACCACCATTTAATTTGATGATGGCCAATTTGTTGAGGAGACGACTGGCATTGGCATGATCGATGGGAGAGACAACGTGTAGGGTGTGATAGTCTACCAATTTGGAACGTTCGGGGTTCCTGATCTCTTCGTCGAGGATCTTGTCCTTGTTGATATACATCTTTCTCTGATTTTGAAATGCGACAATTTCATCGGGCAACATACCAATCGCCTTGAGTTGCGTCTCGTCAAGGGGAGGAGCAAATCTAGCTCCATGATCTAATGGTGGATACAATTCATTCTCATCTTGATCATTAAACAACTCATCCTTTCTTCTTTGTTCTGATCTTGGACTTGCTGTACTTGGTGGTGTCATTAATGATAATTGTGATATTGATTGTTGTTCAAACATTTTTTAAATAATTAAAATATCAATATATATTATAATATTATATTATATATATCTCTGTCTGTTACGTATAAATATAAATATAAATATAATATATATGAAATAAAATGAAAGAGTTAACAAACAGATAAATTGTTAGTGTTAGTTTGATTGATTGATTGATTGATTGGTTATGATTTTTTTTTTTTTTTTTTTGAGTAGATAATAATATCAGTTGTGATTCGATTGATTGTGATATACACTCACTCTATCTATCTATCTATCTATCTTTCTCTCTCTCTTTCTCTTTGCTTGAATAATATCTATATATCTATCTATATAAATGATATTTATCTATTATCTATTCTTTTTATCTACTACACTCAACCTCACTCACTCTATCTCTATCTCTCTCTATCTTACTTGTTACAAATAAAAATAGTAAATTAAATCAACTCAAACAACTTTTCATGGTTGTTCATGATACATACCACCCACACACTTCAAACCACCTCCTACACTAAAAATTTAATTAAAAAAATCATAGTTCCCAAAATGGGATTGAAGCAGAACCAATGAAAGTTATGATATTTTGGGAAGGACACTCTCTTTCACAATCGATCAAATAGTTGGAGAGGTTGATTTGTAGTTTATTAAAGTTTAAAGCAAATAGCTATTGGTCAATTATAGAGTAAGTAAAATAGATTAAATTTATCGAATGTATCATACTATGATGAATTAAATAGTCGCAGTGTAGTGTCATATTGATTGTGTGAGGGTGGTTTTTCATCGTCTCTCATCCTACAAACATACATACATACAATATATTTAATACATATATTTATTATTATTATATTAAATTAACTTTTATTTACAAACCATAGTTGGTGTTTTAAAAGGTTATAAATTATGTGATGATGACAATTGTATAATTGTTTGGCGCTTGGTTTTAAACAATAGTGCTCACGACATCAACTGAATCTATTGTCAATGCTGATCATCTGATCACTATGTGGAACAAACACTGACTGTACTCTGCTCTCCTCTCCTCTGGCTTATATATTATATACTACTACTTTTTTTGTATTGAAAATGATTTGGTTAAGCTTACTTACCACCACGCATTCCTTTTTAGCATTCTGGATGGTTCAAAAATATAATCTAATGGGGAAGGGAACTAGCCCAGTACGTATATTCAGACCATCCAGCCAGCCGTTCAGTTCAGTTCTGTTGGCTGGCTACCAAGGTTAATTTAAATTTAAATTTCGATTCTTTTTTTGTAAATGGAATGAAATATCAAAGGACTGGACTGGACTGCTCTATTAGTCTATTATTTATATCTGTATCTATCCATTGTTGTAAAAAATAGATTTTAAAATGAAAACTACTACTACCCCTACTACTACTCAACTATTATTAATAATAGTCTTAATGTTTCTTGGCCTAGTGTCAGGAGGATTGTTGGACGGTAAGTTTTTAAATTATGGTCCATTATTATTATTATAATTTCCATCCATCTTACTTATATCAACCGGTTATCTTACTTATATTTATATTTATAATTTTATAGTATGTTCATCAATTACGAATATTGATCAATGTAAGAATGAACCAACTTGTATTTCACTTTCCTATCTGACATGTTGTGGTAAACAAGTAGATTATTGTGTAACGGACAATGGGAATTGTCAGGACCAAGTACATTGTATGCAATTGGCCAATGTTGCACAAAAAGATAATATAGCCGAATTTTGGAACACATGTCCACCAGCAACTGGATGGATCGCATTTACTCCACCCACATCAGATTGCGATCAGGTGAAATGTGAATCTCAAGGAGGTAAATGTGAATGGATAACTCCATCATTATGTGCTGGTACCAGTTGTTGTCCAACCTATTCTCGTTGTTCTTTTGGAAGCCCATCCACATCCACTACTTCCTCCTCCTCTTCTTCCTCCTCTATCTCGTCATCAACTACTACCTCCTCTTCTTCTTCTTCCTCTTCCTCCTCCTCTTCCTCTATTTCATCATCTACAACTACCTCTAAACCATCCTCTACTACCTCCAAACCTTCATCTACATCCTCTAAACCATCATCGTCCTCATCCTCTTTCGGGTTTCCTGTTGGTTATAAAATATGATCACATGAATGTCTGATGAACAACTATAATAAACCATACTACTATTATTATTACTATTATTATCTTGTCTACAATATCAATATTCGAATATTCTTATTCTTATTCTGTCGACGTCTTCTGTCTACAGTCAACCTTTCAATTAATTAGTAGATAATAATAAACTTTAATTTAATTGAAAAAAGAATATCTGAATCGGCAATCGATTGATTGAATGAATAATAAATAGTATACGTATGTGATGTGATCATTGTGTTAAAGACGTATAATTATTTGAACGAAAAAATAAATAAAAAAAGAAAACAAATAATTAATAAAATTCACTCACCCTCTCCTCCAGCTGTGTTCATTTTAACAATTCTTTTGAATAATGATCAAAAATTATTTAATTAAATTCCAAATACCAAGTGTCCCTTTGCAAGTTCATCATCTTCCTCTATTTTTTAACAATCCCATTCAATCCCAAAAAAGATTCTTTCATATTCAAAGTTCTTCATCACCATCATTTTCATCGTTCAATAACAACATTACACCTTTATATAATAATCATCATCAAAGAAGTACTACTTTTATTAATACAATTCAAAAAAGAGAGATAACATCAATAACATCAATGATGAGTAACAATACAGTATCAAACAAACACAAGATTGCATGTGGCGATATGAAGCTACCTGTCAGATTGTTGTTGGGACCAGGTCCATCCAACCTACACCCACGTGTCAACCAACAATTGATCAGTAGTATGGTCGGGTACACAGACGCATCCTATTACAAAGTGATGGATGAAACAATGGAATTACTCAGATACCTCTTCCAAACTGACAATCATTTTACAATTCCAATTTCTGGTGCTGGAACGTATGTTGTTAAAACAAAAGATATTAATATATTATGTATATTTGTGTGAATATTAATGTATTTTTGATTGTTTGTTGTTTGTGTTTTTAGAGCTGCAATGGAAACATGTGTTGCCAATTTAATTGAACCTGGAGACAAGGTAGTATGTTGTGTAAGTGGATTCTTTTCGGACCGTATCTACCAGATGGCCGTGAGATATGGCGCAGCATCGGATATTTACAAGTTCTCTAAACCATGGGGTCAATGGTTTGAATTGGACGAGATCAAACAAGTTTTGGAGACTCAGAAACCACGTCTTTTGACAATGGTGTTTGGTGAGACTAGCACGGGTGTACGTCAACCAATGCACGGTATTGGTGAGTTGTGTCGCCAGTATGACTGTTTGTTGATGGTTGACACGGTCGCTGCTTTGGGCGGTGTGCCATTCTACGTCGACCAATGGAAGGTCGACGCATGTTATACCGGAGGCCAAAAATGTTTGGCTGGTCCACCAGGTATCTCTCCACTCACGTTTAGTGATCGTGCATGCGCCCGTATCGCCGCGAGAAAGACACCTGTTGCCAACTGGTACCTCGATGCCACTCTTCTCGGTGGATACTGGTGTCCAGAATACAACTTTGCCAACGCACAGATCGCAACACCTCAACCGGCCCGTCGCTACCATCACACCACCCCATCCAACCTCATCTACGCGTTGCGTGAGGCTGTCCTAGTCATTGCCGACGAGGGACTCGAAAACGTATGGAAGCGTCACCGTGAAGCAGCCTACCAGCTCTACAGCGGTCTCGAGTCGCTCGGCATCTCGTGCCATATCCCCACCGTCTCGGAAAACGATAATGGCGGAGGTCGTCTCTACTCGCTCACCACGGTCAAGGTGCCCGAGGGAGTCGATGCCAAGCAAATCATGACCCATCTCCTCAACAACTACAATATTGAAATTGCCGGTGGTATTGGAGACCTAGCCGGAAAGATTTGGAGAGTTGGATTGATGGGTACAAACGCATCAAACAACAATGTAAAATTATTAATTAGTTGTTTAAAAGAAACTTTAAATAATAAAAAATGATTGACTAGCAAGTTGTAAATCAATCAATTCCATATCTAATCCAATCTAAATCTATTATTATTATTATTATTATTATTTATTATTCATTTTTTAATTTCTTTTTGTTATTAATTTCTTTTAAAGTAACAATTCTTAACATTAAAATATTTAATGGTATAAATACTAAAGTTAAAAAGGGGAATGATAGAGTAGAATAGAGTTGATATTGTTGAATGATGGTATTTAAAAGTGACACTAGGTCAGTTTCAAGATAGTATCTTGCAAAGAGATACAATAGGACTGGTGGTGAAACCAAAGTCAACAAACAACATTGTAATAGTTTAAATACTCGGCTCAATGTTGGAGTTGGAAGTATGGTGATTGGTACTACTAGGATGGCTGCAAATGTTGAAAATGAGAAATTCAACAATGACATTGATGAAATAAATAATAATACTGGTAATGTCGAAAATACCAATATACTACTACCACCTTGATATTTTGATGTTGACAAAGATGAAACTGTAGAAGTAGTTTCATCATCCTTTTTTTCTTCTACATCAACGTTGGAATGATAATAATATTTTTCAAAAATTGGGAATATTATTAAAAATATTATTAAATAAAGTATCGAATAAACTCCAAATATTATATAATCCTAAAACAAAAAGAAAAAGAAAAGAATAAATATTAGTAACAAAGTATTATAAATTATTTGTTTTTATATGATACAATACATTTAATAAATATTTTGATAAAATTGGTAATAAAGAAAATAAAGAGATACCAATTAATTGAACGAAAATGACCGTTGTTACTGAATATAGAATATCATTGGTTGAATCAATTGATAAATTATTGAAAATTGATTGTAAGAATCCTTCTGATGATTGTTTTGGTTTTGGTTTTGGTTTGATTTCTTCTTTTACTTCCTTTTCCTTTACCTTTTCTTTTTCTTTTCCATCCTTTTCCTTTTCTTTTTCTTTTTCCTCCTTTTCAATTTCTGGAAGTTTTTTTAATTTTGTAAAAGAAGGAGGTTTAAAAGTTGATGATAAAGATACTAGTAATAATAAAACTCGAATGATAAGAGGTGCCACGATGAGACCAAGTGAAATCATGTATTCGCCAATCGATATGTATTGGAGTGGTGTTGCTAATAAATAATAGTAAAATGATTGATGCAAGTGTTCGAGTAGATTATTCAAGCTACGAAGAGTGCCTAGAACCGCTTTGGCACTCTTTTCAATACGTTTGGGTGGTACTGATATCGTGGCTGCATCGATATGGTACTTGTGAAAGAGTCCGTGGTCGCCCGTTGGCACCCCAATCGCCTGATTCATCATAAACGTAAACAACGTTCTCAACGATGGATCCAAATACTGTGCCAATTCATTCTCTTGTGCTGAAAGTGTAATAGGTACTCCTCCCCCTTCCTTTTGTACCAATCTAACAATTGTATTAATTAAATCTAAATTTGGTAATTGTCCATTTGATCCTTCTACAAATAAAAGTATTAATTAACTATATTTCTATTTGTATATATATATATATATAAATATATTTATATAGTTACCAGCAAGAATATTTAATTTATCATTATTATTAATGATTAAATTTAAAGCAGCTTGAATTTGACCGGCTCTTGGGAATGATTGTTTTGAATCCAAAGTATTTGAATGATAGTCTGCCAACCATGTACGCATGCCAACCTCTTGATGGTATCCATCTGTAATGACAATGACTATATCCTTTGCCAACCATACTCTTCCACGTTCTTGTAAATGTTTTACAATTCCCAATACCAATCCAATCGATGATATCATTGATTCTCCTCCTTCATTTTTCTTTTCACCTAAATTAAAGTAAAAAGTATTATTATTAGAATGTGAATAATAGATATTCATTCTACTTTTCTTTTATCTATTCAATACAAACAATTAAATTTAGTTGATAATAATAAAGATTCAGTTCCATCAGATTTTGGTGCACGTAATACTGCATAGATATTGTAACCAGTTTGATTGTTGAATGAATGGTGATGTGTTTCAATACCCAATTCTTGCAAGTAGTCATAGATCCATTGTGATGCCTTTTTTCTATTCTCATTGCTATCTGGTGATCGACTACCACCGCTGCTAGTCACGAGTTGATTAATATAGTTTTGATAGTTTGTAGCTATTTGATTCATAGCAGTTGCATCTTGATAATCAAATGGTACTCTTGCAGATCCCGGTAACAATGCATTCTCACTCATATAAGTTCTATGTGATTGACTTGGATAATAACTAAATGATATTATACCTATTACATATAATATTAATCTAAATCAATCAATCAATATTAATACATTCATTCTTTCATTCTTATCTTAATCTATGGTTCACCAATGATATGATGTTATATAAATATATATATAACATACCCTAGTATAAATACTACTTTAGTTTTAACATTTCTTTTCGTATTATCATCTTTATCATTATTATTATTATCTTTTCTTTTAAATAATAATGATCTTAACATTCTTCTCCTCTCCTTCTTTCTTCTTCTTCCTTCTTTGAGACTTCTTTAAATTATTTGTATATCTTATTAATTAAAACAACAAAAAACAATGAAATTCATTCATTTAAAAAAGGTGAAGATCACAACTTTGGACCTTTATATTTTAATCATTTTTTTTTCTTTTTCCAAGGATTGAATAATAATAATAATAATTATTATTATGTACAATTTCCTCTAAGTTATCAAGATATCTATCTATCTATCTATTTGTTCTTTCTATCTTTTGAATCTTCAAATTTAAATCTTTGATTTCATCTTGTAATTTGATTCTTCAGTACCAACTTTTCTACATATGGGTTGTTGTCCTTTGATAGTCTTTCAATGGCCTCTCTGTACAATTCTTGACAGCGGTATAGATGACTTTGAATTTCAACCATAGGTATAGTCTCCTTACAAAAGATACAAACTGGTAGCAATAGTTTTATCTCGTTGATGAGTGACAGTATTTGTTCGTTTCTTGATTTGTCTGAAAACATCAAGTTAGTTGTTATTGTTATTTTTTGGTATCCAAAAAAAGAAAGAAAATAAAATGAACCAATTCTTTGATACTAGTAGTAGTATTTAAATATGGTTTGAAATAAAAATTTTGAAAATCAATAAAAGAGGAGGAAAGAACCTTATACTCATTCTTCATTAATCTATTTAAATCTGGTTCTAGATCGATGAATGAGAGTAATTTAAATTAACAACCATTTAAGTGTTAACATAATGAGGTGTGAAGTTGATGATTAAAAATTTAATTTTCCTTTTCACCATTTTTTTTTATTTCTTTTTTTCTAAGTGTATAAATAATTAATATTAACATGTCATCATATTTAGAAGATAAAGGGGATAGATTAGTATTACCTGATTTAGTTATCCCAAATAGATATCTATTAGAGTACAAATCAATCGATTTAAAGCAGTTTACATTTAGTGGAACTGTATCGATTGAATTACAGGTCAAGAGAGCAACCAACAAGATCATCTTACATGCAATAGAGATTGATGTAAAGGATGCATTGATCAAACAACAATCGGTTACTCACGAGGAAAAGGCAATTAAAGTAGAGTATGACACCAAGGATGAAGTGGCAATCATTACATTTGCAAAGGAGTTGGTTGTTGGGTCTGTGGCTACGTTGGTGATCAACTTTTCAGGTATGCTTAATGACAAGTTGAAAGGATTCTATCGGTCTCCATACATTGTATCTGGAGAGACTAGATACATGGGTGTTACACAATTCGAAGCAACTGATGCGCGTCGTGCCTTTCCTTGTTTCGATGAACCTGCTCTCAAAGCTGAATTTGATATCCTTATCACCATTCCACAACATCTAACTGCAATTAGTAACCAACCAGAATCATCTACACTTGTCAATGGTGATGGTACACATACAATTTCTTTTGTTCGTACTCCAAAAATGTCAACTTATATTGTTGGTATGTATAAATATAAATAATAACAATTAAACAAATGATTGATTTGATTATTAATAACCCTTTAATTTAATTAATGTTTATAGCATTTGCAATTGGAGAATTTGAATTTGTTGAAGGTAAAACAAAGAGTGGAATTGTTACACGTATTTATCAATTAATTGGTAAAGAGGAAAAGGGTGACTTTGCTTTAGAGGTTGCTGTCAAGGTATTGGACTTTTTTGAAGACTACTTTCAAATTCCATATCCACTACGTAAAATCGACCATCTTGCAGTGGGTGCGTTTGCATTTGGTGCAATGGAGAATTTCTCATTGATTATCTATCGGGAATCGGCATTGTTGACATCAAGTAAAACGTCGTTGAAAACAAAACAAAGAATTGCTAATGTGATTGGTCATGAATTGGCACATCAATGGTTTGGCAACTTGGTGACAATGGATTGGTGGTCACAACTATGGTTGAATGAAGGGTTTGCCTCGTATATGGGTGTCATGGTCACCGATAGACTGTTCCCAGAATGGAATCAATGGTTGGATTGTGAGTTTAGAACCGATGTAATGGATTTGGATGGTTTGGAGAGTAGTCATCCCATCGAAGTAAAGGTTCACGAATCATCTCAAATCACAGAGATCTTTGACGCAATCTCTTACAAAAAGGGTGCATCGGTCATTCAAATGCTCGATTTCCGGTACGGTGATGCATTCCGTCAAGGATTGAATCATTACCTCACCAAGTTTGCATGGCAAAATGCAAACACCCAAGATCTCTGGGACAGCATCTCACTCAAGGCAAATGATAATGTCAAAGACTTTATTGACAATTATACAAAGATTACAGGTTACCCTGTCATTACTTTTAGTTTAATCCCTTCATCCCCTTCCTCCTCAAAGACCTCCACAACTTTATCGTATCTTGTTAGTCAAAGAAAGTTTAATTACTTAAAAAAAGATACTACTCAACAACAAGACACTTGGAAATGTTTCATTCCCATTCAAAAAGCATCTAGCAAAAAGGGAGAGTTTCAATCAGTTTTGTTGGATCCAAGTAAAAAGGATAGTGTCATTTTCAAAGTTGAAAAGGGTGAATGGTTTAAACCAAACTACAAGGAAAGCGGATACTATCGTATTCAATACAACAAGGAGATAATAGCAGCACTTGTTCCAGCTATCGAATCATTGGAGATATCGTCAGTCGATCGTTTGGGTATTTTGGTAGACACTTTTGCTCTCTCTAGAAGTTGTCAAACACCAATCAATGTATTTATGGATCTCGTCGCATCGTACAAGAATGAAACCGAGTGTCTTGTTTGGACTCACATCGTTGACAAATTGACATTGATTCTCAATATTGTCTATGACCAACCATACAAAGACCTCCTCAAAACCTTTATCGTACAACTAGTCGTACCTATATACAACCGACTAGGATTCAATAACAAGGATGGGGAACCATCCAACGACAGTCTTCTTCGTGCAAAGATTAACTCTTGTCTTGGTCTGCTTGGCTATGAGCCAGTGGTCGACGAATGCAAGAAAAGATTCGATCTCTACTATAATGGTACCCAACCACTTTCCAATGACCTTGCCAGCGTAGTGTTAACAACCGTCGTTCGTCATGGTGATGAAACTGTATTGGACAAGGTCATACAGTTACACAAGAAAGCAAGTGCTGTAGCTGAAAAGAATTCTCTTTTACTCTGTATGGGTGTGTCACAAATCCCCCACTGTGTAGAAAAGGCTCTTACCTATTCCCTCGATCCAAATCATGTAAAGACACAAGACACTTATATGGTTTGGTTTGGTATTGGTAATGATCAAAGAGACGTAGCTTTTAAATACTTTGCAGACAACTTTGACAAGATTGATGCCATTTTCAAACAAAATATGTTGTATGCTCGTCTGATCACCTCGTCACTCCCAAGAAGACTACCAGAACAGGAATTGATTGCCAAAGAAAAGTTCCTTCTCCATGATAAATCCCTTCCACTTTGTTTACGTACCATTAAACAATCCATTGAATCAATCACTATTAATAATCATTGGTTTAATTACTTCTCATCAGATTTGTCAAATTGGTTTAAAAATCAAAACAAATAATTAACAAATAACTGTTGAGTGAAATAATTTAATTTATTATTTCTATATTTCTTTTATTTATGTAATAAAATAAAGTTTAATTTTGAAGAATACTATGTCTTTCAGTGGTAAACTATATCGATCAAGGGTAGATTCTCCTTCCTTGCAATAGATACAAACTGGATGTTGTTTCTTTTATTATTTTAAGTTCTTCAACCTAATATTGATCTATCCTTATTTAATTTGTTTTTTAAAATAGTGATTTCAGATTGTAATTTCCCTGTTTCCCATGGGTTACTGTCCTTTGTAATTTTCTCCAAAGCCTCTCTGCCAATATCATGGCAATTGTGAAGATGAGATACAATCCCGATCAGAGGTATCCTTTCCTTGCAATAGAGACAAACTGGTAGCAATTTGGTTATTTCATTGATACGAAATTGAATTTGTTCAGCTCTTGATAAATCAGAAAATGGTTTGTTGACATCACTTTTAGAATCTTTTATATCTTGCATTTTTTTTTAGGTAAAGGAAAGAGTGACTCTTATATATATAAGACTCTTTAATTAATATATATATAAATTCATATCATATATATATTAATTGAAATATTAATTTATTTTATTTAAAAGAAAGACATAGAAGAAAGTGGAAAACCCCACTCTATCATTTAATATGAAAATCTAGTTTGATTCATATAATTAAAACTATATTTATTATTTGTTTCCAAGATCTTATCTATTGAATTTTTTTGATCTGGATGGTGTATAGGAACTTGAAGAGGTACCAAAGGGATTTACTGCCCCCCTAGAAGATAAGACTTTGTAATCTGTTTCCAATTGTTGATTTTCACTTTGTAATTGAGTGATTTTACTTTGTAATTGTCTTGTTACCCATGGGTTGCTGTCCTTTGTAATGGACTCCAAGGCTTCTCTGTCCACATCATGACAATTTTGAAGATGTAAAGAAATATCAATCAGAGGTATAGTTTCGTTGCAATAGAAACAAACGGGTAACAATTTATGTATATCATTGATACGTTGTTGAATCTGTTCATCTCTTGTTAATTCTTTATTTTCTGTCATTTTCTGTGTACTTGGTTTGAATTGAAATCATCATTACTCTTTTTGATTTGTTTTTAAATTGTTTTATTTTATTATTAACAACATTGGGAAAAAAAAGAAAGAGGAGTATAGATAAATGTATATATCTATCCCTTTCATCTATAATAATCTAGTCCTGTTCATATAATTACCCTTCTTGTGGATAATTATTACTATTATTGTTACCAGATCGAGGGTATAATTGTGGTGGTTGTTCTGGAATAAATGATGGTGGTGGGGTTGTAGAGGATGAAGATGTATTATTGAAAGATTGATTATTATTATTATTATTATTATTATTAGTAGAAGAGGATGAAGAGGATGAAGAGGATGATGATGATGAAGAAGAGGAAGAAGTTGGACGAGCCCATGCCCATACTTTAACTGTATTATCCAATGATCCAGATGCTATAATAGATTCTTTAGGATGACATGATACAGCCAACACCTCCTTTTCATGACCAGCGAGCCTTTGCTCGACGACCCTCGTTTGCAAATTCCAAATGTAGATTTTTCCATCCTCTGATCCCGACACTACCCATTCACCCATAGAGAATGTTCCAAATATACAAAACTGAGTATTGGTATGCTCTGTATAGGTCTTTGATATCTTTTTCTCTGTATGGTTCCATAGTTTCATTGTGCTGTTTTGTGTACCAACTAGAATGTATCTTCCATTTGGAGAAAAGGCTGCAAATGATACTGGTGGGGGATCAGGTTCAGTTGGTAGAGTTTGAAGTGCTTGTCCTGTTGATGGATCCCAAATTCGACTAAACAAACAAATTAATTATTAATATTAATTGTAAAAGATGATAGATATATTTTTGATATTTAGATACATACACCATACCATCATAACTACTTGATACCAATAATGAACCATCTCTATTGAATTGTACACTAGTGACAGGTTCAGAATGACCTTGTAGTGTATGAAGAGCAGTACCTGTTTTAACATCCCAAATGATAATATTCTCATCAAACGATCCACTAGCAATTAAATTTGAACTTGGGTTGAATGCAACAGTAAATACAAAGTTATTATGTCCTTTTAATGTTTTTAATATTTCTCCCTAAATTTAATAAATTAATTAATTAATAAATATTTATTAGTATAAATATATTAGTATTATTATATAGATATATATAGATATATAGATATATATAGATATACATTGTTGAATCTATTTTTAAATTGAGAATATTGAGGTTTCCCTCCAAAAAAATACACCCACCCACAAAGTGGCCTCTACACACTATACTCTCTCTCTCAACATGTATGTATGTTTGACCTACCTTTTCAGCATCCCAAATTCTAATACAACCATCATCAGAACCAGTACAAATATATTTAGAGTCGTGTGACCAAGCAGCATCTGAAATGCCAAGTGTAAATTGCTCCTTGTTAACCTTCTTTTTGGGTGGTGCAACTGCCAAATCTCTAACATGTTTACCATCGTATGCTCCCCAAATCTTTGCTATACCGTCAGCAGCTATAGATATACATTTATATTTAAATGAGTAGGAATAGTAAAAGAATGAGTATATATTATATTTATAGAAGGGACAAAAGTTGTTACATTTAAATGTGTATACATACAAGCACTCAATATCCATTTACCATCGGGAGAAAACTTGACCGATGAAACAGCCTTTTTATGTCCTTTAAGAGTATATTTAGCTACATAGCTTGGTATAGGCTTCTTACTAGGTTGACTTTCTTTTGAAGGTTGTAGTGTAATTTCCATTCTTTCTTTCCTTCTTCCTTCCTTCCTTCTTTTTTTAGTTTTGCAATGATACAAAGTAATGGTTTTAAAGTATATGTATATATGTGTGTATGTGTGTATTATTACTACTACTACTATCTACTATATACTATATACTATATACTGTATACTAAAATAAAGTAACAAAGATCTTTGTTTATTTACAAGACTTGAGAGTTGGGTTGCTGCGGCCCAAATTAAATAAATAAAAAACTCCACCCCACATCCCTTTTTGATTCGTTTTTTTAAAAAACATTTTTGTATTATTAATATTTTTTAGGGAGAGGAGCTGCATGAGCATCGAAACTGTCGTTTCTCAAACACACACAAAAGTACAATAATTAATAATAATAATCATACTATTTGTTTGTTTCATATCTACCTATCTATCTATATACATACATATATATAAATATCTTATATAAAAATGAGTTTACCAAGCGAATTAGAAGATGATATAAACAAGTTTGAAGGCATATTGGATAAGATCGAAGGTCAATTATCGCCATTTTTCAATCATACCTTGAAAGACCATCAACAACATCTTACACCACTCCAATCTGCTAAATTAAATATCCTTGTTGCATACTCTTTAAATTCTTTATTTTTCAGTATGTACACACAAAATGAGAGAGAAAGATCAGAGAGACCTTTAAATTTCATTTGAACAAACGAGTCATCTTTGTTTCTTTCTTTCTTTCTTTCTATATGACTCAACCAATAACTCTAAACTAACACCAACACTCTTTTTCTATAGTGTATTTACAAACTCAAGGTGTTTCACCACACAATCATAAAGTCAAACCAGAATTGGATAGAATCAGACACTATATTACAAAATTACAATCATTATCGAAAAAAGAATCGGGTGTAGCAGATGAAAAAGAACAGAAACCATCAATGACCATAGACTCTGAAGCTAGTAAAAGAATCATTCAACATTCTCTTGCTTCAAATGAATATATAAATAATAATAATAATAATAATAATAATAATACCAACAATAATACTAACAATAATAATAATAATAATTTTCCACCAAAAAGTAAGTAATTTATTTTTATTATTCATGAATGGCTGGAATTGTCTAATCTTACCATAAAACTATTTTTAAGATTTTTATACTTACTAATCCAAACCTTTTTTTCATTTATTTATTGTAGAAGAAACTGAACAAAAGAAAAGAAAGAAATAAATAATTTCCCTATATACCAACTACAACTTCTTTATCTTGACAAAACTATATGGTATATAGTATGTCGATAGGGATGGCTACAAGCGCAAACTATAATACTCTCAAGTACCATCAAGCAGATGTTATTCGATAATTTATTTTTGTTTAGTTTAGTTTTAAAATTAACTGAAAATATCAGAGTTAGATGGGCATCATTACAGTTATTCAATTATGGATTTCCAATGACATTGGTGAGGAACAATAAATATCTGGGATCAAACTACTTTTTTGTGTTGCCTGTCTGTCTGTCTATCTATCCTCCCAAGATATTTTTAATCGTTGTGTCGGGTCAACTATGAGTGAGCGGGAGGTCATTCCCCGACAAAAGTCTTGAGAACCATCACCAAAATTCAAAAAGACTGTCTTGCGTGCGGTTTTCCCAACCACACCAGAGAGAGGGAGATCCACTGCAAAACTATAAGAAAAAAAAAAAAAAAAAAAAGCAAACATGAGAGTGCATCTGCTAGAGAGAGAGTATTCCCCTCTTACTCACCTGGAGTTAACTATTCAATATTATTATTATTATTATATACAACAATACAACTACTACTACTACTACTCACTAGTGTATAAAAGAATTACAATTACTTTACTTTACTTTAAATACTATATTATACTATATACATTAGATTAAATAATAATAATAATAATATCCAAGATAAGAATTATGACATCAATATATCTCAACAATCAACAACAACAACAACAACAATAAACCACACCCATTTATATATACACACGAGAAAGCGAGAGAAGAAAGAAATAGATCCATCATTCATAGTATCTCCCTCCCTCTCTCTGACACTCGAGTAGAATTATTTGTTTGTTCATTCACACACACACCAACGCACACTAATAGTTAATTTAATTTTTTTTTGTATTGCTCATATTATTAATAACACAACCAATCGATTTCTCATGGTAACTTTTAATAAAGATTTATCACAACAACAACAACAACAGGAATCTTCTGTTTGTGTCAGCTCAACAACAACAACATCACCACATCCTCCATTGCCATCGACTCCCTTTCAAACCATCTCGCCAGAGGTGCATAACAACACAACTGCTGAGCATCATCAACAACAAAACCACACCACCAATAATATTGCAACAACACCAAATATATCAACAGCAGCAGCAGCGGTCGAGGCATCTCCCTTATCGACATTTATCAATAAATCTTTATTTGATTCACCACATCTTTACGGTAAACCTGGTAAAGATCAACAGTCATCTTCATCTTCATCTTCATCATCATATTCGGCAATTGGACACTTTTTAGAGCGTGACCAACAGACACCTGCATCGCCATCGACAAGACTCCTATTCCACCAATTTGACAATATCTTTACAAAGTCACCTCAAGTACTCTTACCATCACCACGTTCATCACATCAGCATCATACTACCAATAACAAGAAAGGAGCAGGAGGAGGTGGAGGAGGAGGAGGTACCACCACACCAAGAGGAAGCAATAGTGCAACTGTGAAACCAAGTGCAACTACTCCAACTTCTACAACTACGACTACCTCGACTACCACTAGCACAAGTAATAGTACAAGTACTACACCCAACAAGGACGGTAGCGGTGGAAACAACAATAGTTTTGATAGTGAAAGTTCAAGCAACACAGAGAATTTGGTGTTTAGGATCAATAATGGTCTTCAACCCAGACAACAAAAGATCACCACTCAGAACCAACTCATGAATATCCCCAACTCTCTCATTCCATCGTTGAATCCAATGCGACGAACAAGACGACAACAACAATTGACCACTAGTCTCCCACTGCCAAATGCACTCATTCATAACAACAACAACAACAACAACACTAGAAATCGTAAACGTTCAAATAGTAATCTAAGTGTAACAAGTAATAGTGATTTTGAAGAAGATGAAATGGAAGAAGAGGAAGAACAAGAAGATAATTTTAGTGAAGATGAACAAGAAATATCAATAGTTGAAGATGATTCTGATGAATCTGAAGATATTTCATCTGAACAACAAGAAGAAGAAGAGGAGGAAGAAGAAGAAGAAGAAGAAGAAGAAAAGGTTCATCATCATCATCATCGTCGTCATCATCATCATGAAACTTCAGAAGATGAAGAGATTGATATTGAAGATCATTCTGATATGTTACCAGATACAACAACAACAAAGAAACCAACAAAGAAACCAACCGCCAATACAAAAAATAATACAAAGAATAATACAAAGAATAATAAGAAAAATAGTAAACCAACTCTTCCTCCACCACCACCACCTACTACTTCTAAACAACAACAACAAAAGAAAGCAAAGAATTCATCTAAAAAATCATCAACTACTAAAGATGGAGGAGGTAAGGAAGAGGAAGAAGAAGAAGAAGAGAAATCATCACAATTTTTCCAAGCCATTTCAAACAAGTTATCAAATACCTTTCAATCTATATCAAGTACCATTTCATCTGTATTGGGATCAACTGGTGCATCACCTTTAAAAGGAGGAGGAGGATCAAATGACCAAGTATCAAAGAGTAACGGTGGCGGAGATAGTAGTGATGGTAGTCCAGTCAATGGTCATGACAGTGATGTCAAGATGGGTGATGCCGAATCGTCAGACAAGACAGTCACAGAGAAAAAGAAAAGAAAAAAGAATGGAGAGGATGCTGGACGCTGGTGTCATCAATGTAAAGCACTAAAGTTTGAATATGTCCAATGTCAAGCTGCTCTCCTCGACAAGCCAAAATGCAACAAACGATTTTGTTCAACTTGTCTCACCAAACACTACAACAAGGAGGTGTCAGTCTTGAAAACAAGACCAAAACCTTGGTGGTGTCCATTTTGTAAAAATACTTGTATATGTGCTGCTTGTAAAAGAAAAAGAGTAAGCAAAAAAATATAGATACATAGATATATAGAAGGTTTATATATATATATATATTTACTTTATTATTTACTTTTTATTTTTTATTTTAGGAAAATGGTGAATTCCCACCTTTGGGAGAATTATTGGATCAATCAACATTGACTGCAAATGGTGCCGTTGTGGCAGAGGAAGGGGTAGTAGTGATGGAGAATCCAACAACTACAAATTCTAAAAAAGATGCTAGAGGTAGAAAAAAGAAAAAAGTAGATGATCCTTCTACTACTATTACATCTTTTTCTACTTCTAATACCAATACCAATTCTACCAATACTACTAATAATTCGACGACTACAAACCAATCCTCTTCTTCTAATACAAATAATGTAACTTTAGATCATAGTCATATAGCTATCAATCTTGATAATATTATAGATAATAATATTAATACTTTAAATAATAATATATTGAAAAAACAACAAGAACAACAACAGAAACAAAAACCACAGAAACCAGAACCAACAACACCGGTGAGAAAATCATCGGCAGCAGATCAAAAGAAAAGAAATTCTACCTCTACTACCTCTACCTCTACCACTACTACTACTACAACTACACCCAAAAAAAAGCAAGTAGATGAAAACGAAAAGGAAAAGAAGTTTTTTCTGACCGACTCTCACCCTGAACTCGACAAATACGTACCTATTTTTACTACTATAGACAAATCAGCAATGATATTTAAAGACGTGGTGACACCAACGTACAGAGAGGCCGATCAGTACTCGGTGAGAGATGGATACAAAGATGTACTGCCAGCAGATTATCGTGGATCGTGGACAGAGGACTTTGACGACGACGAATACAGACAACACCAACTTGCACTTGAAGAGGAGCGAGTCGACATTATGCACCCACCCCTTACCCCTCGCGGTGGCGGTAGTGGCCACCGTGTCATGTCGGCTCCCACAACACCCCTTTCTCCCACACCAGTGAGCGGACGCTCACCACACACCTCGCCATCTCTCTTTGGCGTAAAGACTCGTAGAAACAGTAGTGGTACTCCCATTGCTCAAATAGATACTTCCCTATCTGCACTGGAATCTTCAATGCGAGAAAAAAGAAAATTAAAAAAGGCTCAAAAATCAAAATCCCCTCCCATCGTTATAGTTAAAGAAGTAGCAGAAATAGAACAAGAAGAACAAGAAGAAGTAGAAGAAGAGTCAAGTGATGAAGATACAGATGATGAATTATATCTTGCAAGACATGAAAAAATAGCAGAAGAAGAAAGAATTTGGTATTCCAGTTTTAATGATCGTAAATCTAGAAAAGGTCAAAAACCAACAAAACCTTCTTCATTTTATTCATCTCCTTATAAAGATGGTAAAGATAGTAAAGGTAGTAAAGATAATAATAATAATAATAATAATAATTCAAATTCAAAATCACCTTCTTTATCTTCAAAAAAGGATTCAACAACTACTCCTACTAAAACTTCAACTTCAACTACATCAACAACAACAAACAACACACCAAAATCCACATATAGTCCAATTTCAACTAGAGCGTCAAGATCACGTCTACGAGCTAGTTATCCTCCTGTTTAAAAAATATTTAAATATTTATCCACATACACAAAATGATTAATAAAATCCATTGATTATTTATTTTCTAAATTAATGTTTATAATTAATTAATTATAAATTAATGTTTATAATTAATTAATTATAAATTAATGTTATTTATTTATTTATCTCTCTAGAGATGATTATGGAATTTTGGTACTTCAAACCAATTATTATTTCTACCATCCAATGGTTGTACAATGAGAGATGACATTTGTTCATCGGTCAAGTCATCAAGAGTATTGATAGAGATGGCAATAAAGTCACCTCCCATATCTGGAATGATTGAAAATCCATGACAACGAATTCCACAATGCTTACAATGATAATGAGAATGAGCCTTTTTTAAATTATTATTATTATTAGTATAAATTAAATATATTATAATTACCAAACTTATTATTTTTCAATTTGTTTCGATCTTGATCTTTCTTTCTCTCTTCTTCTTTTTGATTTGTTATTTGTGTATTTGTTTGTTTGTTTGTTTGTATGTACCTTTTCACCAAACTTATAAGTTGTATAGCTATCTTGACCTTCTAATAACTTGAAGAACTCTGGTTTAACCAATACCTCCCAAATACGAATCTTTGTACAGAATGAGCAATTGCATCTAACAGACTTGTTGGTCAAGAAATCAATCTCTACTGAGTATTTGAGTGCACCACAATGACATGAACCGTGGTAAGCTTGACGACCCTCTTTAAAGAGGCTAGCATTGTGTGTGGTTGGTCCGACTTCGCAAGATGTTTCCGACATTATTGATTGATTGATTGATTGGTTGATTGATTGATTGTATAAATAGAATAAGATAAAGATTAGATTAATTAATTATACTACTGAAAAGTCTGAAGACAACTATATATGTAGGCACAAGTCAATTCAATTTCCAAGAAATGGGAGTAGATACAATAATCTTAATCTTTGTTAGAACCCACTGAAGAAGGACGGTTACAACAACAAAAATGAAAACTTTTTACCAAAGGTACCGATTCCACTTCATTGCCACCTCGTTCATTTCCATTGCTGCTGGAAATTTAAATAAACATATTCACATAAATAGTAGTTCTAAACCTGGTACAAAACTAAAAATAAAAATAAGTTTTTAATATTATTATAATTATTTATTAACAACAAATATATTATAATATCTACTGCTATTTATATATATATATTTTCTACAAAGAATTGTGACTTGCCTCTTTGAGAAGCTGAGAAGGTTTATTTTATTTTTAATAATAAATATTAAAGATTTGTTTCTTGAAGTTCAGTTTTCTCTTTTTTTTCAAATTTTTTATTGAGCTCTTCAAACTTTATTAATCAATCTAAAAATTGAGAGAGATAGTTTATTAGTTATTGTTGTATTATATCAGAGAGAGGAGAGATAAAGAGAATGGTTACAGCAGCATACCCAGAAATTCAAAAGTATCTTGAAGCTAACGATTTTAAGAATATCCTCAGTTGGTGTACAGAGAATGAATTGAGAGTATGTTTAATAGAATAGAATAGATAAATCTTTTGATTGATTGATTGATAGATAGATAATACACGTTAATTGGTTAGTTACTAACTTACTCTCACTCTCACTGCATTTATCATTTGATAGTTACAACAAGACAAGTTTGTCAAATATTACAATGTATTTTTAATCAATTATCTCATTGCCAATGATATGTAAGTGATAGATAGACTGATAGAATGATGGGATAGATAGACATGATAGATACATGATGAATGAATGATTATTGTTATTAGATAGGTTGATATTAATCTCTCTCTTCTTCTTCTTCTCCTATAGTACAAATGCTAGATTCTTATGGAATAGAATCCCATCAGAAATCAAAGGTGCCGATCCACATTTAAAGACCATTTGGGCACTCGCTAAATACATTTCACAACTCAATTATGCTCATATCTATAAACATCTTGCTATCAACTTTGGTCCAGAATTGGCTCCATTTATTAATGAATTGAAAGGTATGAAGAATAGAAATAGAAATAGAATAGGAATAGAATAGGAATAGAAATAGTCAATCAATCATTCATTCATTCATTCTTTAACAATGATATTAATATAATTTATACTTTTTTATTTAATAATAGTATCATTCCAAAGACGTGTATTTGATTTAATTTCAAACTCTTATTCAAACATTTCAATTAAAGATGCCAGTTTATATTTGGGAATTTCACCAGAGGAAGTCGTTAGATTCACCCAAACCAATGGTTGGGAAAAGGATCCATCATCGGATTCCGTCAAACCAGTTCCAGTCAAACCAGTCGAACAAGTTGGAAATGGAACAAAGAAGATTCACTCTCTTACCGACTATGTATTATTCCTTGAAAAATAATCATCATCATTAAATAATATTAAATATATATTGAAATGAATGAATAGTTTCATACCCACATACCCCAATCCAAATGAAATAATAAATGTATAAAATATAGATTAAACATGTTAGAATTGAAGAGTTTTAAAACTTATATAATATGAAATATATTTATTATTTATTTAAACAAAGTTTTGTGCATTTTATCTAATAATAATTTGATTAATCTATCACAAATAGATATACAACTTTGTGTTCTTTATACTATTCAAAGATTCATTAAAGATAATATATATTTAAATTCCACAAATAATAATCGAAAAAAAAAACGACAAACATCCAACTTGCGCATCTTGACGACGAGCATGGTCGGCCTTGTACATAGTTTTGTAAAGGGAACTCTTTGTTATTATTACACTCTTTACAAAGGTATGTAATAAAATATTGAACCGCACAACTAAGTTCCCACGTTCAAACAAAATACATATATCTATATACTTTTACTTTACTAATATTATTCACACCTATATTCATTGTACAATGTAGTTAGTTCTATCTCCCCTCCACTCCCTTTCAATATATTGATAGCAAAGTTGAGAGATGGATCGTCATAGTCATACACCACCATCTCAAAGTCACGAGGAAGTGAATAGCACAGGTGAAGGTGTACAGGAACATCATCAGCAACAAAGGGAGATAATCGGTCAACACCAACAACAACAACATGTAGTCATGGAGCATATGCAGGAGCAGGAGCAGCAGCACCACCATCACCATCATCATCATCATCATATGGAGGAGGGATCGCCACCAGGCGACGAGACTGGCCAGCAAGACATGCACTCCCACCATCACCAACATATACATCATGAACAGCAACAACAACACCACCATGACGGTCACGATGTTCATCTTGACCATTCCCAAGGGATGCTGCACGAAGATGGAGGACACCAACACCACCAACAACATCACCAAATGGATGTGCATCACCACCACCAAGATGAACATCAACAACATATGATGATGGAGCACCAACATCACCAACACCAAATGTACCATATGGTGGATGACGGTAATGCAGATCAGCACCAACATCAACATCACCATCAACAAGAACATCACCAACATCAACATCAACATCAACATCATCAACAACATATGCATGTTCAACAAGATGATCATGTTGATCAAGACCAAGAACAAGACCAAGACCACCATATGCAACCCAACCACCACCACCACCACCACCAACATGTAGTACATGCGTATGCACATAGCAAGCGGTGTTGTGACTGTGATTGTGACTGCGGTCAGATCCTTTTAAATACAGTGGCCGACCTTGTCAATGAAAAGTTTGTTCAACTTTGGGAGCAGCAACAAAAGATGTTTGCACACTCTACTCATTTAGAAAACTTGTTGACTAGTGTCATCAATATCAAGTATCCTGAACTCAAACGAAAACATTCTACAATGACATCCGCAACTACTCAACAACCATCACACCAATCACGCCAATCACAACAACCATCACATCAACAAACATTATTACAAACTCAACCACAAGCATCTCAACCATTGTCCATACAATCAACACACCACCATAATAATCATAATAATAATAATAATAATAATAATAATAATAGTCATTCAAGTCCTGCACAACAACAACTTTCACCACCACCCCAACAACAACAACCAAAAGAAACAAATGAATTATTAGACAAGGATATGATGGATGACGGTAGTGGAGACAATAATAATAATAATAATAATGATATGGAAGGAGACATGGAACAACCAAAAAAGAGAAGGAGAAATTATTCTAGTGACATATCAAACAAAATCAGTTCGTTTTTGGAACCACTATTTGAAGAGGATTGGAATATTACAAAGAAACATGAATTGTCATTGGGTGAGAGGATAGCGGCAGAGATTAACGTTGATCCGGCTGAAGGTGCAAGTATTGTCAAATCGTATTGGCATAGAGCTCGAGGCAACTCGAAACGATTGTTTTCTCAATTGGATGACTATAGAATGGGGTTGGAGAGGTTGTTGGTTGAGGATGCACAGACATTCCAGATGCTCTGTGACAAGTTCAAGTTTGAAAGTCGCGAGATGGTAACAAAAGACTTGTCCGATGTCAATAATACACTCAAAGAGATGGCTGCCAGAGGAAGTGGTCGAACCAATATCAAAGGTAAAAAGTCACTTAAACGAGTACCAGATGCTGGTATAAAGACATTCAAAGGTAGATCGGCAGCTCTTTCCAACCACTTTTTTCACTATGCCAATGGTAATCTCAACAAGGAAACATTGGAAATCATCGACCCCGATTTTACAGAAATATTTAATCAACATCAACAACAACAACTTCAACATTTACATCAACAACATGTTCATCATCCTACTTCGGCTCAAAGTCAAAGTCAAAGTCAAAATCAATCATCCCAACAACAACAACAACAACAACCACCACAATCCCAACGACCATCTCCATCACCACCTCAACAACCACATCAACAACATCCTCCATCTCAATCGTCCCAACAACCGTCTCCACCTCAACATCAATCACAACAACCACATCAACAACAACATTTACATCGACAACAAAATCAAAGTCAAAGTCAATCATCCCAACAACCTCCATCACCTCAACACCCACAACCACAACCATCATCACTTATACCATCTTCATCTCCACCACCTCAACAACCACAACCACAACAATCATCATCTATAATTTCACATTCTTCATACTCAAATACAAATTCTAATCAAAATAATAATAATCATTCAAGACAACCAATTTCTGAACCACAACAAGAATACTCTGAAAATATTCCCAATCAACAACAACAACAACAACAACTAAATGAAGATTCTAGTAGTATTGTACTACTTTAATACTTTATTATTATTATTAGGATAATAAATATTTTGTATATACGCTCCAACCAAGCTTTTTATTTAGTTCGAAATTATAAACTTTATTGATTATCATTAATATTTATTGTAGAAGATTCGTATAAAAGGAAGTTTACCTCAACCCTCGTTCAACAACAAAGAAATATATCTATATTTTATTTAAATCTTTATTTTATTGTAATATTATTATTTATATTTATGTGTAGTATTGAATTAAGTAATTACTTATCTTGATGTTCTAATATTTATTTTATTTATCTGTATATATATGTCTTTAAAGTTTGGGTTAAATTAACCCGATCGATTAATTATAAGTTTATAGATCGATGTATAGGCATGCATTCACCGTGTACCTATATCTGCATGAATGATCGATCGACCTAACTTAATAACATATGCCAAGTTTTAAAATTAGTTGTTATTAATTACTACTATTATTATTTATTATTGATATATCACCTATAGGTTCTATGGATTGGCTCAGTCTATTCTCTTGTGTCTGGTCAATGCTTATTTGATCTATTCGTTTGAGCGTCTGATGGATGGCATATAGTCTTGAAAATCACGTCACACAAACTATATCATCTTTTCAATGATGCCATCCATCAGACGCTAGGAGATTAGTATCTTCAATGAGAGAGGAGGAGGATGGTCTCATTCAAGTCTCTCTCTCTTCTCTCTAAATATACGTACGTACGTATTTAATAATAATTTCTCCCAAAAGTAGTAGTAGTTTTATACAGCTGCTACCACCACTAACTCTGTATCTTTTATCTATTTCTACCAAATATATTCTGCTGTTGCCAAGACATTGGGTAACAAGTCTAGATATAGATTTTAGTTACACTCGAGATCTCTCAACTTATTGGAAGATGGGTTTGCACAAGACAAGAGTGGGAAAAGATTCCAGGTTGGAGACGTGAAAATACAAAGAGATCTGTTTATCTTTATTTTACTATTGAATACTACTGCTACTACTACTACAACTACAATCATCATCAAAACCTAGTGCATCACTTCTTCTTCTTCTTCTCTTTTGACAAGCAATCATAATAAATTAAAAGGGAGTTAGATATGATTCTAAAATCCTCTGTACATTAAAAATAATATGATAGGATAGTTAGTTCGAATATTATGATTTAAATAACAATCACACCGTGATCAACCTTTTATAGTTTATTAAATCTATTTAATAAAATCTATTTTTTTTTTTTAATGATCATATTATTATTATTTTACACTGATTAAGATGAGGTGGATGAGTATCTTGTTGCAAGGTGCAAATTAATTGTTTTTAATTTGACAACCATTAATCAAGAACATATTATGTTATTAGTGTCATGAATTGTGGCGAGTGAGTGAGGGAGGAATAAAAGTTGGATTGACTCTACTACTAACAGATCTATCTTAGAACCTTGACTACTGATTTCTTTTTATCCTTTTCTTCTTCTTCACCGCTGGAATTGTATTTCTGGTAGGCATAGTAAGCAGCGCCAGCTAATGCAACCATGCCCAGTATCCATCCCTTGTTTTCTTCTGCTCGGTGACCAATAATCTCAATCATTTTGATAATGTATAGATCTGTTTGTTTACTGTCCCACTTTCCATCAATAATATATGTGGAAACATGTTCACCTTTTTTTTAAAATTGATGAAATATAATAGATAAGATTAGCGGATGGATATCAATCAATATGGAGATGTTGTACTTACAATTTCTTCGAACCAAATTGTAAACTATATCATTACGTTTGGAATAGGTAGAAATTAGTCTCATCATACTATCAGCAGATGAAACTCTCTTTCCAATGACAATGATTTCATTTGGATGCGATGGCTCTGAAAACTGCTTACTTGAACCAACAAACAAGATCTTGGCCCTTTTTTTACTTTCTAATGATACCTCTTCAGCCAAGCCAGAGAAATGAAGAATGGAAAAGAACTCTCCTTGATAGTAGATTCTAACACCGTGGTGAAAGTACTCATACTCCCTTTGTCCTAAAGGATGCATACGCTTGATAGCAATGTGTTCCAACGTCCATCCGTGGCAATCGTCTTGTTCTAGTTGACCATTATTCTTTTGATACAATTCAATTAATTCTGTTAATTGACTTGATCTCATTTTCTATAGTATACTCTACTATGTACAAACTATTATTATTTTTCTCTTTCTTCTGTATTACTAGTACAACTTTAACCTTATACAAAATAAAAATAAAATTGTGTGAATCAAATTTGTATTGATTCGAAATATCTGGCTCCGAATTGCCCGTTTTAACAAGTTAACACTTTATTTGTTGATTTTTATTTAATATTTTTGTACTGGTTTCTTGGGATGAGACAAGTTATCTTCCAACTTTGGGATATCGACCTTGATGAAATCGTTTCCACTATAATTAGGGAAAGATACTTCAACTGCATTGAGGTATCCTGCAAATCCAAATAATTGAACATCGACACTGTAAAGGGGACTTTGAAGATCTATCTTGACGGTGATATAGGTACTTGCTTGTTTCTGATTATAAATCATCCATTCTTCATAGTAATAACTCATTCTTGGTCCTCTGAGACAACCATCATCCGAAGGGATAGTATTAAGAGTGATTACTTTTTTACCGTTAAGATAAAGATCCCATTCAGCACCTAATACAGAATCATAAATGGCAAAGGTGACGGTAAAATAATAAAAGAAATTACCACCTCTTTGAATTGTATATTTTAGACCATCTATATAATAATAATGATTGGGATCGAATTATATATATATAGTTAGAGAATATTGTTAAACTATAACAGAATAAATATAATATATACTTACTGCCATTCAAAGGAGAAGTTGGGCTATATCCAGATACAGTGTCAAAATGAGGGTCAGTATAGACGTCGGTTGAACTTTTAGATGGATCAATCTTGAATATTTTGCAAATTCCAGTTGGATCAAAACATTTGAAATTACCATTGGAATCAGGATTGTCAATACACATGAGTGGAGTTTTGGCAGGGTACTCCATGAGATCGAGATTATTGATCTGGCCAAACAATTTATATGCATCATCTGGAAGGTCTATATTTAAAAATGAATGGTAAGTAAAAAAGAATAGGTTGGATCAAAAAATATTACATACTAATTGCTGGATGAATAGAAAGTGCAGGTTTGATTAGTTGCAACTCATAGTAAAGGTTGCATCTTGCAAGATAGTAATGGAAATCTTGAGTTTTATCATGAAGAGTTTGTACTAAACTTTTTACATCACCATTATTCCTATATTATTAAATTAAATATTAATACGTTATAATATATACCAATTTTTTTAAACAAAACATACCCATAGACATAATCAGATGGGAATCCCCATGCACTTGCTTGGAAACAGGCATCTCTCATAAAATTAGAATAAATCAACATGGTCATTCCATAAAGACTACCTAGAATATGAGCATATAATGGTTGAGAGAAGTTGATTAGAGCACCTGTTTAAAAAAAAAAATAAAAAAAAGTAAAGAGAGAGTTGATTAATTAATTGAATATTTAATAAATATTAATATTTAAATATTTTACCTTCTAAAAAGTCACGATAAGACATGAATTGAGTTCTGATCATTTGTAAAAGTGTGTCGTCATCAAGTTGAGCCAAATGTGCAGGTGGTTCAACTCTATAGTCAAGATTCTTGTTTGGGATAAAACCAACTTTTGCTTGCTGTCTATCAACGAATAGAGTGAGGAGATCATTGAAATTGTTTCCACGATTTTGGCAATCGATAAACATGGCCATACATCTATTCATTTCACTATCGTCCAATTTCTCATTTAACATTGTTTCAATCTTTTGATATAGGGATGCCATCTCTTTTTGGAATTGATCTTGAGTGATATATTGACCATCTTTGGAGAAGATTTTCCCCCAAACAATCTATGGTATTTTAAAATTGAAACGATACAATACAATTAGAGATGATTATGATAAAAGTATAAATACAAAATATTCTTATTCTTTATACATACACCAAATCCAACTTTAAGGAATGAGCCAACATAAGGAGTGAAACTAAGTACCAATCCAATGATTTGACCCCAATCTGCTGAGGTTAATAAATCAAAAGGATCTTTTTGTTGCATCTTTTCAACTGATTCAATTCTTTGATGAATGGCCTCTCTTTGGGCATCGGTTAGATCACCAATAATAACCCTCTTTCCATCTTTTAAGTACTTCTCCTTTGCTTCTTGCATTTGTTCTAGAGTTGGTTTTTTGATATGAGGAATATCGTCATGTTTATGATCGTGGTGATGGTGGAGGTTGGATAGCATTTTAATTATTCTTTATACAAACAAAATTATTTGTTTTAAAAGTTAAAATATAATGAATAATGATTTCTATTGTCCACACAACAGTTGGTCAATTTATAAATAAATTTTGGTAGATATCAGATATTTTTAACTATGTGAAGGGACCCTACGAAATCATTGATCCAGTGCTCAAGAAAGTCCAATGCGCAGTGGGAAGATATTACTCACTTGGCAGGGTTACAGGTTTGGTAAAGTGCTTTGCTAAATTCTTTGAATATGTGATCACCAAATTAAAGAGCTCACCAATTTGGGTAAAGACACATGTGGACAAGATTCCTTTTTGAAAATGATCGAAACGACAAATGTCGTGCACAAAGGTTTAATATTGTTTGGTTGGGTGCGTTCATACTATACATCATCATTCTCAATATTTATTTATTATAGTTTGTTAATAATCAAAGAGAAGAGAGCAACACAAGCAATATAATAATGAAGTCAAATAGCCGAGTATATCAATTGGTATCTTATTTGCAATCCTTCTCTAACCAAGTCGACATTCAGTTGATCATCCAACACTAATCCTCTCACTCAAACAATCGGGAGGCAGCCATCGCCAACGTTGATACTCTGGGTAGAGAAGCAACAAAGTTACTCGCAAGTGTACCAGTGTTCAAAAGGGGCTTTTGCTGTCTAGGAGTGTCTGATGGATGATATCATCTTTAGAATCAAACTTGAAAATATCTTTTAGTGATGCATCAGACGCTTCTATAGTTATACTATATTGTACAATAGTCATGGAAGACATGAATATGTACGTACATATATATAAACAAAAAGATCGAACCACAAGATGTATGTATAATTAATAATAGCCAAGGATAATAAAATAATAATTAAAAGTAATAATGAATGGGATAATAATTGGTGTATAAAAAAAAAAATTTGTATGTTTGATATTTATTTACTTATTTAGAGAGAGATCAAGTTGAAGATGGAGGATAATAGTAATCTTAGTGATATTGATAGTTATAGTAGTGATAGTAGTAGTTATAGTAGTGATAGTAGTAGTGAAGATGAAAAGAAGAAAAAGAAAAAGATAAAGAAAAAGATTGGTGTAAATCAAATAGATTTAGATAGTGAATATACAAAAGAAGAGTTAAAAGGTTGTCTAGTATCAACATTACGTCAAATTTGTAATGTTAGAAAGATATATTGTCCAAGTTCAATTAAAAAGAAAGATGCAATCAATCTCATCACAGACAACCAAGAACAAAAAAAGAAATTAAAGCAATTAGAGGTTGTGACCAAACAATATCATGTTGGTACTGTCAATTATGCTCTGCCAATCTATCTCATCATCAAGATATTCAAGTATATTTGGGATGAATTGTTGGATCAGAGTATGGTGGTTGATTTGTCGCTGCCAAAGCTGACAGATAGACGTTCAAGGTTTAGAATGGCACTCTACTTGGCATCGATCAACAAACAATTATTCAATGTAGTGTCAACCTTTACATCATCGTTTCGTATAACCTACAAAGACTTGATGCATATGACCTCGGTCTCTTGGAATGTCATCAAACGACCATCGACGGTATCAATGGATCATCATGACTTTGACAATATATTCTTTACAAAGAATCCAAGTGTTAGAATCACTGAAACCTTTTCAAGTGTCACTAAATTAAAGATCAATTATGGTGGTAGTGGAGGTATCATTCGAAAGACATCGTTTGTACAAATGGGAAACATCTTGCAAGGATTGGTTAGTTTTAAAGCTGGCAAGATAAAGTTGGAGAATGGACACTACCAAGTACTCGCAAGTCTCCCGACATTGGTCAAGATTGATATTAAAGAGATTTACAATCCAGACTCGGCTGGTGATCTCGTCAAACTACTCAATCATCCAGTCGTCAAACTTATCATGCCATCCAAATATGACTATGGTTTGGACAGTAACCCAATCGTAAAAGACTCTATCGTCAAGTTTGAAGCTGCCTTTTTTAAAAAAGAGTACAAGAGTCTTAGAAAGTTTGTTTGCACAGACATGTACTTTTACAATAGAACTTTTTATAATTTTACTACTGGACTGTCAGCGTTTGACGTGGCACAATGCACTCATCTCTACAACATTACACATCTGAGCACAGAATTAACGTACAGTAGTAAACGTAAATTAGAAAGAGATGGTTGGATAACGCTCCTCTCTTCATTTGCATCGTTGACAATATTAGAGAATCGATCTAAAAAGAATGTTAAACAAAATGGTGATTTGGATTTTGAAATTGCTGAAAAGATAAAGAATCCATTCTTTAAATATTATATAGTTAGAATTCAAGGTTTACATACTTCAAATAATATTATAGAATCTTCAACCTCTCAATCAACAAACACAACTACGAAACCAAAGAAATTAACAAAAAAACAAATAGCAGAAGCAGCAGCTCAACCTCTTTCTCTTCCTCCAAATCAATTTCAATATTTAAAAGAAAAGTGGAAAGGATCAGCAGAAAGAAAGATTTGGTATATTAAATTGGATTAAAAAAAAAGATATTTAAATGGGAGATATGGATACAAAGTATATCCAGGAATATATGAATGATCCACAACAATCAATTTATTAAAAAAATAAATCATCTTTTAAAAAAACATCTTTTTTTTTTTTTTTTTTGAAGCCAAGCTGATAATAAAACAATAATTAGAAATCATTTTCATCAATTACATCAACAGAGGAGCAAGAGCAACTATCCTCTCCTCCTCTCCTCTCTCCCCTTCATCCTGACAGGCACTGTCTCTGAAGATTAGTACTGGCTACCTCCATCTACAGAGACATTAACCATCTCACAGATGGGTCCTGCTCAAGCTATGAACCACCTCACCAAACTCGTATCGACTTTAACATTGATCCTCCCCACCCTCTTCAAAATATCAAATCTAAATTCTTTCACCTTCGATCCTCCTCCTCCTCCTCTGTCTCCAACATTGAATTCAGTGGTAGATCAAAACCAACATTAACAACAACTACATAAGAAAAAGGGAATTAAACAACGCAACAACAACATTCACCAAGATCAAATCACATACCAAAGAAAAAGAAGATGACTCTGATCAGATCAAAGCAAATAGATGTGGGAACGACAAGGCTGATGCCCTTGAGTGAGTTAGACCTTGATCTACCCGCTTCAACGACAAAGATTCCTCTTTAGCTTATAATTTTTAATGATTAACATAGAATATATTTATCTTATCTTAACATTCACAACAGATCATGTCAATAATCAAAACTTTTTAGATCACAAATTGTTATATGCCTTGGCTTTTACCTCGAGGTTTCAGCCCCAGCTTCTTTCTTTCAGAAAGAAGGCAAGTTGGTATGATCAATGGAAAGTATTCAACACTTCATTATTATTACAGCTTCCAAATTTGAGTTGAAAGCTATCACACAAGAGCTTCCGATCAACACAAACACTCAACCCTGTCATCTGACGTCTGATGGATGATATCTTTGATTTTGGAATCCAATCAAATTACTTTAACATTTTCCACTATGTATCATCCATCAGACGTTGGATCTTTGTTGTGAATTCACAACAAAACAAATTAATTTGTAAGATTATTATTATTATTATTTTTAAATTAACTTTTTGGAATATCCTTTTTTTATCTATTTATTTATTTATTTTTTAAATATATCTCTTTTTAGAATCATTGGTGAAGATGGATCATATCTATAAAGATAAATTGGTTGATATTGATCATCATCATCACCATTTTCATTCTTTAAAATGGTTTGTTTGATCAAACCACCGATTGTATTTTTTTCTATAAATAAAATATTGGTTGCATCCAATCTTCTAATAGAATAATTCCATGTATTGGAACGTATTTGAATCTGTAATTCATCTATATTGGTTCGATTAAATATTTCATCCAATCTAAATATAAATGGTTCGTTTGGAGTACCTCCAATCACGCATTTTAAATGTTTGATCGTTGGTGGGAATGGCTGATCAGCCAAGGCAATGCCTGGTACCTTGAACAATGAAAATACAGTTGTTCGAGATACAAACTCTGTCCAAGAAAAAAAGATTGATAATGAAGAGATGGTTGATTGTGTTGGAAGTTGAATCTCGCATTTCATCGTGAGTCGCGAATAATCAATCGATTCAAGAGTTGATGGAAAGTGTGTTGCTTTTAAAGTGGTTCTGTGTTCTGGTAACTTGCTAGGTACCTTGTTCCAATCCCATTTAATTTGTTGTAAATATTTAGGTAGTTGGAGACTGACGTACTCTTTATGAGGTAGGTTTAACAATACCAACTTTTTGATTGAATCTGGGAATGTAAATCCATCCGACACAATCTTTGTATTTAAATCCAATTTATGTAATGTGAGGTGTTGAACACTGTCAGGAATGAGATTAGTGGGTACTGGTACCTCATACACACCCAACCAAAGACTACGTAGCGAACAAGGTAGTGTAGTTACATTTGCCTTGATCAATGCCGGTAAAGCAACCTCTAATGACTCTAGTGTGTCGGGATACTCATTAACCAATGTCTGTTTGGGAATGGATAAATGTTTGAGTTTGCAAGGACGAGCAGAGAACAAGACTTCAAAATCATTATCAAACATTCCAAATCCAAATTCTTCTTTGAGTGTGAATGATTCGAGATTTGGATTATTCTGGAGGTCAAAGAGAACTCTTGGTCGTTGTTGTTCCGATTCAGCTCCTCTTTTGATTGTTACTCTTAAATCCACTAGATTGGTCAACGAGTAAAAGAAATCGTCTGGTGGTGCTTGTTGACATTGAGGAAGATCCAACTTTGTCAAAGTACTTGGTAAGACACCCTTTTCCAATTGAATAGCACCAGATACCGTCAACGACCGTAGAGATACAAGACTATTTAACTTTAGGTTTTGTAAAGGACTGAATCTCTTTGATATCCACAGGTGTTCGAGACAAAGAGGGAATGGGATGTCAACCTCATCATTGATGTTGCTGTTGAGCAGTGTCAATGACAATGACTTTAAACTGTTTGGTAAGGTGTACTCGTTGATCTTTGATCGATCGGATCGGAGTACTAGTCGATTGAGATCCGATGGCATAAAGTTGGGTGGTACTGCATAGGGAATATCAACCCTTCCAAAACCACCACTAAGACATAGATCAAAGTACATTGTTTGTGTAGTTGATGGTAAGTTGAACGTTTTATATTGTTGAGTTACCAAATATACTGTTGTTTTTGGATTCTCTTCTGAATAGGATGAAGAAGATGAAGAAGAAGATGAAGATGGAGAAGATTCTTTGTTGATCCATGAAGGCATATCATGATAATATCTCAATTGTACCATTGGATCGTTGACTTGGAAATAATGATCAGCAAGTGTGTTTTGAAAGATATCTTTAAATGAATGTAACCGGTATTGATCAACCGTCTCCACTAAATCCATATAAGATGTATCAAATTGATGACCTTTATCTTTATCTTGTTGATCTTCATCTTGATCATCATGATTAACAACGACGATATGTTTAAACTTGATTGATCGTTCTCTTAATTGATTATAATAAAACTTTTTACAAGTTAATAGTAAACATATTAAATCTACATTATTGTCTAAATATTCTATTATTTGTAAAACAATTAAATTCGGTAATGTATCTATCATCGTGACAGAGAGAGATAATTGAATGAAAAATACAATTATAAAAAAACGAAAGTTTTTGAAAGGTTGTCTTTATAAAGATATTACACATTCTGAGATTATTCATCGGATGGATTGGAGATATTAATATCTTTTCCATGATTATTGGATCTTTATTATATAAAGACGAATATGATAATATTATCATCAACTGACATGTTTTGGTAAACTATAGATTTTATGTTGAAGATCTGATACTTGTTTCTTATACTATTATAATTAAAGGAATAATGTTAGTTTTGGATTGTTCTTATTCTTAACTTTTTTGTTTGTTTGTTTTAGGGTTTCTAACATACTTGTTCTTCTCTTTGTACAAATTGATTTTTAACTTGATGTAATTCTTTACGAAGTTTTGAAAGGTCGTTGGAGTAGACACAACAAAAGTCCAATGTTTCAGAGTATTGTTCTGTCAATTGACCAATATTCAACTTTAATTGTTGGATTTCATCTTCCTTTTTTTGAACTTCCAACATTCGTATATCCAATTCTCGTTGAAGATCAAATTGTCTAGATGGTGATGACGACGATGAACCAAAATTGGGACATGACAATCCTTTCCCAACACTATAGCTAGTATTCAATTTAAATGATGAAAATGATGGTATGGATGTTGTTGATGTTGACAATGATGGTTGTCCAGATACAAGTGGTGGTGATGATATAGTTTCAATGTTACCAATACTATTACTCTTTACAATGGTATGTTGATGATGACTATGATGATTTAAATGATCCTCTTTTACAAGGGGATTTGAACAAATAATTACTGCAGCCTCTACTAATTGATTTGGGGATGACAGTTGAACGGTTGGTGGTGATGGTGATAATGATGATGATGATGATGATGTTGATGATGATGATGTTGATGGTTGATCGATTTGTTCTATCTTTACAATAGAATTGATTTCAGTAGCGTTGTTGATGTTGTTGGTGTGACAATGGTTATGATTCATAGTCAAGGTTGGGGATCCATGATTCGGAGTGGTTGTAGTTGATGAAGACAGTGAAGACGATGAATCTATTAATATTATAGACTCCATTATTATTATTATTATTATTCTTTTCTTTTTCTTTTTCTTGATATCTTATCTTTAACTATATACAAATATTCTATCTATCTATCTCTATCTATCTGTAACAAACAAACAACAGGATTGTTAATATTAATATTTAAATGAATGGTATTATTATTACAAACCAACCCAAAACAAAACAAATACAAAGAAAGAGAGTGTTCCTAAATTAGTTGTTTTGAATTGATTGATTGATTGACAGATTGGTTGAAGGATACATCCATCATTCACCATATGCATCAAATATACAATACATACATGTTTACATACACAACTCCATATTCTTCTCCCTTTTTGTAGTATGGAAAGAGGGAGAGATGTAACAAACAAAGAAAGGGGTGCGAGAGAGAGAGCTATGGAGGGAGATTAGATTAAGTTAAAAAGGTGTGATGATGGGGGTAGGTAGTATTATCGACGTCGACTGCCTTTTCACTCTTAAAAAGGGGGAGGGTGTAAGTGTGTTTATTAACACAAAAACACCATTGGTATGATAATAAACTAATGAGCAGCAGCAGTGAAGAGCGAGAACTATGTACAATGAAGTGAGACTACCCATGACCATCGTTTTCCCTTTTTTATTTTTATTTTTTGATTGTAATCAATCTCGTGGGATTTCATCGACTTCCAAGGTAAAACCAATACCAAAATTTAATTAAAAGTTACTCAAATAAAAACTAAAAAATTTAAAGATAAAATATCATTAGAAAAATATATTACAACTATTTTGAATACTTCCATTTTAGTTTATTATTAATATTTTTTTTTTATATTAATTATATGTTAAATTTGAGTGTAATTTAAAAATTACCCAAAAAGGGAAAAAATTAAATTAAAATTGAGTGAAATTCGTGTGTATGTATACTTTTTTTTTTTGAACCTCATTGCATTCAATAAACAAGTAGATCTACTATTCATTAAGTATAGTAGTTATAGTTTTAAAAGTATAAGTATAAGAGTAAAAAGAGATATAAAAAATGCCAAATAATAATGAATCAGGTCAACTTTCGAGTATTGATGCAAGAGATACATCAATGAGCTCAAGAGGAACAGGTCATGTATGTGATTTGTCCAATTACCATTTCCTAAAGAATCTTCGTGTTCAATACGATTGGCAACAATACAAAGGTGTAGATACAGATTGTTTCTGGTTATCATTTCAAAAGGGTAAACATAATATACATAGTTTATAAAACACTGCATTCTTTTACTAAAACTTTCATCTTCTCTTTAGATTTCAAACATACAACAAATGATTCAATTCGTACAACAAAGGAATCAAATAACAACAACAACAACAATGATAGTTCATTATTCAAGTTTGAATCTGAACATGGTTTTAAATTAAATGTTGAAAATGTTTGTGTCACACATAACATTCATTCAAACAAACATGAGGGTATTTACTTACTTACTTTCTATTTATTTGTAGGATGATCCAAATCATATTAAAGCAAGTTGTGAAAATTATGCAGTTGATATTTATGCACCAAATAGAATTCTTAAACTTGGAAATAGAAGAATCATATCAATGGGTGTATCACCAGATGGCGATCTTGGTGTTTATGGTGCTACCGATGGTATATTGGAAATTTTTGAAACTTCTGATGGTCAAGTTAGAGTTTGTATCAAAACAAAGATTAGATATATATCTCTCTCACATTCTAATTATATTTTGTTTATTTTCTAATTTAGAGAAAACTTGAAGGACATGTAGGAGATGTAGATGTAGCAACCTTTTTCCCAAGTGGAAAGGTTATATTGAGCGGAGCTAGTGATGCTAGATTAAAGATTTGGGATGCCATTGAAGGTAATTGTGCAGCTACATTGTTGGGTCATCACGCCGGTATTACATGTGCCGACTTTGTAGACAGAGGTAGAAATATTGTTTCAACATCAAGAGATGGTACCAGTAGACTATGGGATGTACCAAGTCAATCATGTATTGCAGTACTGTCGCAATACGATAGACCCATCAATGGATGTTATGTAACATCTGCCACCCTATCAGACCACACTCCATCCACCAAGGAAAAGGATTCACGTGAGTATGGAACCGATGGAAAGTCTGTCATCACTGCCAACGAAGAAGGTTTCATGGTTGCTCTAGATCTAAGATCACATGAACAAATTGCTAAAATATCAGTTCCTGCTCATAAATCTGCTTTCAATTCTTGTACCGTCCTTAAAGATTCAATTTTTGGTGGTGATCATGATGGTCATATTTTCCAATTTGATAGAAGAAAATTAGAGTATGTAAAAATAGAAATAGAAAAAAGAAATAGAAAGAGATAGATAATATTAATATTAATAAATTAATTTATTTGTCTTTTTATAGTGAGGTATTATCAATTTTCCAATTTACAAAATCACCAATTCATCATCTTAAACATTCAATGATACCAGATTCACCAAATAAACTTTGGGCAAGTTCTGGTGATGGATGTGTTTATCTTTTGGATATTGATTCTCAGACCATTTGTAAATCATTGTCTGGTATTGATACTGATGTTGTTACATCTGTAAACATTATTAATAATCAAGCATTTACTTCAACTCGTGATTCATTTGTTAGATGTTATCAATTTTAAAAAATTAAAATAAACAAATAATTATTTCCATCATCCCCAAACAAATAATAATAATATTTATCCTTTTTTTTTTTTGTTTTTCTTTCTTACAATTGTTTTTGATATATGTTTATTTTACGTTTTTAAAAGGAAAGAGATTTAAATTTTTTGTTTTTTGTTTAATTACCAAATTCAATACCTTGAGAAAGTGGCATTGAAGTTGAATAATTAATGGTACAGGTACTACGACGCATGTATTGCTTCCAGGCATCAGAACCAGATTCAATTCCATCACCAGTTTCCTTGTGACCACCGAAACCACCTCCGATTTCAGCACCGTTGGTGGCAACGTTGACGTTGACGATACCACAGTCGGAACCGGTTGGACCCATCCATTTGAAGATGTTCATTTGGTTGTTGGTAAAGAGCGACGAGGAGAGACCTTGTGGGACCTCGTTGTTCCATTCAAAGGCGTCGTCGAGGTTCTTGAACTTCATGACGTAGAGGATTGGGACAAAGAGCTCGGTCTTGACGATGGGGGCGTCGTGGTTGATCTCGACGAGGGTTGGCTCGACAAAGAAGCCGCCAGCACGGTCGATCTTCTTGCCACCATAGGCGATCTTGCCGCCTTGCTTGATGATCTCTTCGATACCTTCGGTGTACTCTTTGACGGCGGCGGCGGTGTGGAGTGGGCCGACGAGGGTGCCTTCGACGAGTGGGTCGCCAATCTTGACGGTCGAGTAGGCCTTTTTGAGACGCTCGAGGACGGCGTCATAGTGCGACTCGTGGACAAAGAGACGACGACAGGTGGTGCAACGTTGGCCGGTGGTACCAACCGAGGCAAAGAGGACGGCACGGAGAGCAAGCTCGACGTTGGCATCTTCGGCGACAATGATGGCATTGTTACCGCCGAGTTCGAGGATGGTACGACCAAAGTTGGAGTGGACAACTTGCGAGATACGACGACCGACGTCGGTGGAACCAGTGAATGAGATGAGACCGAAACGCTTGTCTTGGATCATCTTTTCACCGACGGTACGTCCTGGACCGATGATGGTGCTGCAGATGGCACCGTCGAAACCGTTCTTTTCGAGGACTTCGACGACAATCTTGGTGACGGCGACAGTGATGAGAGAGGTCGAAGAGGCACCCTTCCACAATTGGACGTTACCGCAGATCAAAGAGATGGCAGCGTTCCAACCGAGGACAGCGCATGGGAAGTTAAAGGCAGTGATGATACCGACCAAGCCCAATGGGTTCCAGTTCTCCAAAAGAACGTGACCTGGACGCTCGGATGGCATGACTTGACCGTTGATCGAACGACTCAAACCAGTGGCAAAGTCACAGACGTCAATGAATTCTTGGACTTCTCCCTTGGCTTCAATGAAAATCTTACCCATCTCTAATGAAATTAACTTGGCCAATGGTACAATCTTGGCACGGAGTGATTCACCAATTAATCTAACAATTTCTCCTCTCTTTGGTGCTGGAGTCTAAGAAAATGTAAATTAAAAAAAAATATATATATATACAAAGATATTAGATTAATCTAACTATTCTCTTCAATTTGATTATATATATATATAATATTGCACTTACCAAAGCCCATTTGGTCTTGGCAGCAATCATAGCTTGGATAGTTTCTTCATATTCTTCAGATGTGGCCTAGATTTGTATAATAATAATAATAATAATAATGAGTATATAATACAAACATTTTGTTTTAGATTTATGTGTATGTATGATCGTGATGATGATCATGATGATGATAGTAAAAAGTAGATTATATGTTAGTTATTTAATGATTATTATGAGTATAGTAAGAAGTAGATGAAGATAGATAAGATGTATCTATCCTATCTATCTATATCTCTTTCTTTTGATGTATTTAAGATTTGTATACATACACCTCTAACAGTAGCAATAACATTGCCAGTGGTTGGATTGATACACTTGATGAGGTCACCCTTTCCACCCCATTTACCGTTATACAAACCAGAGTTCTCTTCAGTGATACCTAATTCCTTGAGGAAAGCGTGTTGAGAATATTCCATCTTTTTTTGTTAAATATAAATAATAATAATCAAACTAATGATGTGAACGAAATTGAATTTTAAACAGGGGTGATTTTATTGTTTGTTGTTCAAACTCTGTGAGAGCAAAATAAAAAAATAAAAATTAAAAATCGATTTTTCTTTTTTGGTGTGTAGAGAACCAAACGTTCCCTGCTCAAGCTTCAGAAGACATTATTCCCCTTTTGTAAATATAAAACTATAAATTTTTATATTATGATATTTATTGTTCAAGAATATTATTATTCATTCTCTTTGTTGTTGTTGTTGTTGTTGACCAATAGAATGAAATTTCAACTATAATATCAAAGCTTCAGAACACTCACTTCTTACCACCACACTCCACCCAATCATGTCTGGTATTCAGGTCAAAAATATCTATATCTTCCAGAGCCAAAAAAAAAAAAAAGATATATCTTGGTCTATGTATTTTTTTAAAGATCTAAATAATAGTAACTATTTACTATTATTTTTTTTTTTTTGATTATGATACGAGTGTCTACTGCTTCTACTTTTACTACTATTTGGCGATAATAATACTTTGGTACAATAATAATAATTGTCTTTGTCTAATTTGTATACAAATTAATAAGAGAGAGAGAGAGTGAGGGTATTTAATTATTAATATATTTAAATGTGTATTATTTCTTTTTTTTGGACAAGAAATAATAATTAAGAAAAAAAAAAGAAAAAGATATTACCTTTCTTTGAGCTAAATTGTAGGTCGTGCAGTCTCTCGTTTGAGTGTAACACTCGAAAAGAAAGATATGGAGAGAACAATCAATAATGTAAATCAATAGTAATGATGGAATCAAATAATAATAGTAATAGTAATAGTAGTATAACAATCATTCAAATATTGAATAATGTTTATATTCGTTCACTGATATTTGATCAAGTAAAGATTATACATCAAACGATTGGTAAACCATCAAAAAAGGAATGTGATATAGTTTCATTATACCAATGTATAACATATAATAGACACGACTTGTTCTTTAAATACTATGATCAAGTATTTGATACGATCTGTCAAGATTATTCAAATAGGAAAACACCTAAATCAGAGTTGGATGTATGTATATTTCATTCCTCTAAATTAAAACAAATGTATTAATATTAATTTGTATTTAGGATCCATTTGCAATGGTTCGTAATGGACCAATTAGTTTGATATATCAATTGTTAACTACAAAAGATATGGTTGTTTTTGATGGTGAAGACAAGATTATTGAATACATGGTAAATAGTTTACGGTGTAAATGGATAAAAGACTATCGTATACTTAAACGACAAAAGACAACTAATGATGACAATACCAAGGAATCATTACAACAACAAATCAAATCAACTACAAAGAATCATTTTACAATATCGATTTTCAAGAGTTGGGTATGTCGTTTTTTATCTGGTTATAGACGTTCATTGGTTAAATCATTATTATTACCATTTGAAAGAGAAAAAGAAGGAGGAAGAGGTGATATTGGAATAGAACATAAATTAGAAAGAGAATTTACAAAAATAGTTATGGGTATAGAGACGTGTAGAGAAAATATATTCAATGGTATCATTGATAATTATGATCTAGAGTCATTGGATATGATCGAAGAATCATTGGTTGGTCAAAAAGAGTATTTTTTAAAGCATCTAAATTCAACATACTATAGTATTGATTGGAAATCAATATTTGGTAGAGCTAATAATAGTAATAATCAAAATATTAATAATAATCAAAATAATAATAATCAAAATAGTGAAATGGTTAAAGTAGTAGAGTTTGCAAGAAGTATATCAAAACGATGTGATAGATTTGATAAAAAGCTTGTGTTGGCGTGTCTGTCATTCCCATCACACCCAACATATATGTTGGTATTAGAAATGGCTGCCAAAAATACAACAGCAAATAGTCAACAACAACAACAACAATCATTGTCACCCTCAAACAAGGGCAAATTAACAACAAAAAGTATAAAAGAAGATGAGAAATACATGTGGCACAAATATTTGATTGATCATCATAGTGCACTGCAGTTTCCAAATATATCAATATTCAAGTATTTCATTCATGCTAGGATGTATGTTGAAAGGATTGGTGCTGGGTTTTATCACGATATATTACAGAGTATGTTGAGATGTGGAAGTGGAAATGGAAATGGAAATGAAAAGAGAATAATGGAGTGTGTAGAATATGTGTTGGGTCCTATGACAGTCATTTTCGATCGAAATGCTAATCAACCGTTGTGGACAGTGCGAGAGATTGGTTTGGAGTTGTTGTCACTTGAACTTGTTCAAAGACTGTATCAACATGCACGTGTGGATATTGTGTTGGAGTGTATACAGCCGGCTGCCATCCTAGCCAATATGAACGACCTTGTACAATGGATAGAGGATACTGTCGTGTCAACTGAATACACTCGTCGCAAAGTACCAGCTCGTCGAGCCGATGAACGTGACACTGCACACAACGCATCATTTGCAATTGCCCTTTCAAAAGATAATATCGATGCTCTCTACATACTCGTTCAAAGTAAACGTCCCAAACTATCTAATAATAATCATTCATTCACATCGATCAATCTATCCAAAGTATCCACCCAAGCCATCAAGTTGTTAATAGGGTACTATAATAATAATAATAATAATAATAATAATCCAAGTCTATTACAATTCAATTTCAATGCAATGTATGGGGTTGGACAACTCGACCATATCATCCCCTCACTTTTAGAAGCTGGGTATTTCAACTCTTTTAAATCAACTGATCTCATCCGCATTGCTCAACTCTCAGCAACGTGTCACACCACCTTTATGCACCTGACCGATCGAATCTACCCCAACAACAAATCAATTCAACCAAAGACCGACTACACCATCACAGAGTCTGTTCTTCAACACGGTCCACTTGAAACGGTTCAATTCCTAAACACCCAAATTCAACTAAACATTGAAATACCACATTTGATTTGTCACAATCAAAAACATGCTATCTCTATTTTCAACTATCTACTCGATCAACAACAAGATAGAATGTTTAAAGATCAGGTATACATGGATGCAATCATTTCAATACCATTTGATACAATCTCTGCAACAAATGACCAAATTCAATTTAAATTAAAATTAATGGATTATTTATGGAAACATTGTAGTGAAGAGTTAAAAGATATGGTGTTGACCAATTTTCATATTGGTAGTGATGGTGGTAAACTTGCTAAAGCTCTTACAACTCATCTACAATCAAGTAACAAAATATTAATTGGTCATCTTTTTGATCTGATAAATAATCATTATCAAGAAAAACACCAACTTTTTATTGATTTTGTACAACCAATAGAACCACCAACCTATCAATATAGTGATGGTCGGTATCTTGATTTCCAACTTTGGATTTATAATCAATACAATCCAAATAACCAAAAGAATAATAATCAAAATCTATTATATATTAATTATAACATTGATACTTTTAAAAATATAAAGAATGGTTTAATTAATCAATTTGGTTATTTTAGATAGAATAAAGAGGAGTAATTTATTAATTAAATAAATAAATAATTAATTAAATATTATTTGTTTTTTGGAATATTATTATTATTATTTGGATCCAAGTCAGCTGCGCATGCCAACATTATTAATGAATTCTCTTCTCTCTTTGTTGTTGTTGTTGTTGTTGTTATAGAATCATTTTCAGTACTTGTATTATTAGAGGAAGAGGAAGAAGAGTGTGAATTGGTTGTAGAAGAAGAGGTGGTGGTTGTGATATCCATTTCATCGGTTGAATTTGATAAATTAATTATATTTAATGGTATGTTTTCAATCATCATTGTTGCTGTTGATGATGATAATGAGGATGATGACGACGAAGATGTATCTGGAGATGACATTATATTATTATAATTATAATTATTATTATTAATATCAAGAGGAGTTGGATTATAATTATTATTATCAACTCTTTGTATGATTGATGATGAAGATGAAGATAAAGATAGTTCACTACTACCATTTGTAACAATTTCAGGATAAGTTGCAGAACAACTTCCAATGACCAGAGTCCATATCAACTCTGCAAATTGTGCAGACCCTTCTTGTGAAGGATCCAACTTTTCTTGAATATAATATCTATAATCTATAAATGTTGCAACTGTAACATTTCCACCTAAATCAAAATTAATTAATTAATCAATCAATCAATCAATAAATATTTAATATTGTTTATATTTTTTTTATATATTCTCTCTATTCTATTTATATTCTATTTATATTCTATTTACCATAAAGTATTTTAAAATATTGAGCTGTTCTATCATTATTATACCATCTGAGGAAACTAGTCTTTTTAATGACTACTCTATTGACATAGTCTGTTCGAGATCGAACAAAGGTCTGTATCTGGGAGACGGGAGATAGCCATATGTCGCGCTCCTTGTATTTGAATCTAAACATGTAGATATCTAGCCCGCAATAGAAGATGCCTGCTGGCGTGAGATCGGTTTCTTCTATATAGGGTACCACCATTCTTCAATCATTAATATTAATATATAATATAAATATATCACTCTTCTCTCTAACTAACTATCTACTATCTACCAAAGTTTATCTATCTAACATTATTACACACACAAGGTAGATAATAAATAACAACTAACTAATAAATATCTATTTGTAAGTATCTATATATATATATATATATTTATATATCTATCTATGCTGTGTATGTATGTATTTATAAAAATATATTATTATAGTCAACCTCCTCTCTCCTCACTCTGCTCTGCTCTGCGGCAGCTGCTCTGCTGTCTTTGGTGGTGGTTGTTGGGGTCTGAAAAGCACCACTTTGATCAAACGACAAGAAGAAGAAACTCTGACGCTTTCACCGATTTCTCACTCTCTGGGAAACACGAATTTTTATCATATATGATAATGTCTCTCTGCATGAACTTCATGTTGTTTCATACAACACAGATACACTGAAAGGTGAAGAAGAAGAAGAAGAGAGGATGAAAGAAGATCAGCAGCAGCAGCAGTTGTCAATGAATGATGTAGTTCAAGAATTATTAAAGTTACAAAAAGAAGAAGATGATAAACATAATGAAAACAAACAATCAACAAAAGGAGACGAGGAAGAAGGAGATGAGGAGGATATATTAGATGATGGATATGATAAAAGTATAGATACACCTGAATTGGTGTATGATAGATTATGTACAGATTTTGCAATATTATCATCTCATCAATTAGAGTTATTCATCACTGATTTAAATGAATCATTGTGTAATCTAACCAATGACATTATTCGTCTTGCTCACAAAAAACAAATACAACAAAGATTAAAACAACAAAAAGATAATAATAATAATAGTGATAGTGAAGAAGATGAAGAAGAAGATGATCAAGAAGAAATAATAGATTCATTTAAATACCCAATTACAAATACTCTACTATCAACCATATCAGATAACTCTTTAAAATATAACTCTATTGTACAAAATAGTAATCAAAATAATAATAGTAATAATCCAAGTACCAAAGATACACAATTATCAAGTTGTTATTCAACTCTATACTATTTATATTTTATTAAATTATTTAAATTATCTTTATTGTATGTATATTGTATATTATTACAAAGATATATATATACCGGAAATTAATTAATTAATTAATTATTATTATATTTAGATTAAAATTAAATGGTATATCAAATTTATTAAATCAATATTATCTTGATGATGATATTGAAAGTGATATTGAAAGTGAATTGGAAGAGGTCGAGGAAGAAGAACAAGTAGAAGATAAAATTAAAGAAATTAAAGAGGAACCAACACCAACAATGACAACAACAACAACAAAAGATGAAGAAGATGATGAATCAAATTATCAATCATTTGATACATCACCAACAAACTTTATAATTGATTACGATCAATTTGGACAATTTAATCAACAACAACAACAGAGTTGGAAAATAGTTTGTAAAAAGTTGTCAAATATTTATCAAACCTCCTTTTCATATCAACATTTATCACCAAATAGAGTATGGGAGGAATACTCAATGTTTGATGATTTGAAAGATATTACAACTCATCTATTGACATTTAGTCAAGATGATGAAAAACAAGATTTACTTTTCATTTTACCTCTATTCATCTATTTGATACGTGATCGTACTATTGATGCTCCAAATGAAATACCTTATAATTTACCTTTAATTTTTAATATCTTATGTATTGTATGTTGTAGAGTGTAGAGAACAAATAATTAAATAATAATTTAAAGAAAACAAATTAATTAATTTCTTTTTTTAATTTATTTTTAGGAACAAAATAATGAATCAAATGATAATAATAATAATTTTAATTTATCACCATTTCAATTTAAATCATTGGTATCATTGTTTAGTAGTTTTGTAGATATTCGTAATATGAATGATCGATCTAAAACATTTTTAATTCAATCTATAGTTGATGATTGTTTGGATTATTTTGTACATAGATTATCAATGTGGTCTTCATTACCAGATCAACAATTTGCAAATATTAATTCAAAGGATGAATTGGAAGCCGTAATTATCACACATACAAACCAACCATTAAAGCTAGTTACTAATATTTATTTATTTATTTATTAATTATATTTAGATTACAAAAATAACAATATTTGTATCAAATAATAGTAAAAAATACAACAAGATTGAATGGGATAAAATATATCAATCAAAAGGTTTAATTTCACAATATATTACATTGGTTACTAAAATTGAAAATATTAAACAACAAAAAGAAAAAGAAGAAGAAAAAGAAAAAGAAAAAGATGATTCTTTAAAATTAAATTCAATGGAACAAATTCAAGATTTATCATTGATGTGGTTGACAAGATCAAGTTGTCAATCAAACAATATATCATTGTTTATTGAAAAAGTACCACAATTACAACATATAATAGTCATTAAAGATTTATCTCTTTATAGTAATAATGAACAACAAACAACAAACTTTAAATTTAAATATAATATTATTTGGTCAATTTTAATTTTATTAAATAATAATAATAATAATAATAATTGTATAGAAATAATATTTAAAATAATTAATAATTTATTATCAACAAATAATTTAGAAAATAAGAATTTTAATCAAATATCATCATTGGCAATCATTATTCAATTACTGCTATTGATTAAACAATCTAAAGAGGTAGATCAAACTAGATTAATATTTGATGATTTATTAGTTCAAAAAATATTAAAAGGTATTGATAGTAAATTAACATCAACCATTTCACAATTACAACAATCTTTACAAAAGTCAACATCAACCGACAATAATAATAATTTAGAAAAAAGAGAAAGAAAGGTAATTGATCAATTCAAACATTTATTAATGGAGATTAAATCAAATTTAAAGTTGATATTATTTAATGATAAATTGAAATAAGATAGATAGATATATAGATATAAAGATAATAAAATTTAAATTAAAATTCTAGAAGAATCTATCTTGGAATTATCAATCTAATCTATTTTAGAACCATCATTCCTTTTTGCAACAAGGTAGGTCAAACAAGTTTTTCTTTTTTTTTTTTTTTCAATATGTTGAAGTTCATTGCTGACGCACCATTTTTCTTACTCATCAATCTATCGTTACCAAACAAACAAACAAATATCGTATTGTATTGTCTGTTACCAAGAAGATTTAAGATAAGATTACACCCTATCTATCTTTAGTTTAGTTTGCTTTGTCACCTCATTTCTGATGATTCATTATATACATTGACAGTACAACAAACAATAGTATAAACAAGTTTTATTTGTATATATCTTTATATCTATCAATCATCATCCATCACCCATCATATCATTTATTTCATTTATTATTATTGTATATATTATTATTTATAAAGAGAGAAGAGAAGAATGGTAGATAAATCATTAGCATTATTTGTAACAGCCAATATCATACCACCATCTGTAATGTTGGCTATATTACCATCACTTCAATTACAGAGTATCATCATTCAAAACGCTATATTCTCATTGTGTGCTGGTATCATGGCATATCGTCTCATACCATCTATTGCCTATCTAACCTCTGAAGCTGGTCTTACAGGTATGGATCTCAATAAGAAAGGTGATCCCAAGTTCTCTGGTAAAAAGATGTAAGTAGACTCTAAACAAACAAACAAACTAAATCAATCAAAGATACACCAATCATTATAACTAATCATTCTTTACTCTTTTAGTCCAGAAAGTCTTGGTATTGCCACATCTGTTGTATATTTATTATGTGTTATTCTATTCCAATTGTTTCAATGGTTTTCTTTCCCAGAAGCAATTCAAGTATGTACAAACAAACAAACAAACATATATAATATACATTTATCTCTACCTGTTTATTAATTAATACTTTTTTATTTTTACTTTCTCTAGTTGAGTGAATATAATGCAGCATTAACATCAATTTGTTTTATGATATTATTGGGATTTGGAGATGATGTATTGAATCTAAGATGGAGATATAAGTTGGTGTTGCCAATGTTTGCTTCATTGCCATTGTTGGTGGCCTATGCAGGAGGTACGTCGGTGGTGGTACCACATGTGACTTTCCCAGTGGACTTGCGATTCTATCTGGGCAACACGTTTGACTTGGGTATCTTTTATCGTATCTATTTGTTAATGTTGGCTATCTTTTGTACCAACAGTATCAACATTTTAGCTGGTATCAATGGTCTAGAGGTTGGACAGTCGATTGTCATCTCGACGGCCATCATCGTACACAACCTGGTCGAGTTGCGTCTCCATCACCAAGCATTGGTTGCTGGTACTGCTTTGACCCTCGCTTCACCCCACTTGTTGTCGCTCGTGCTCATGGTGCCATTCTTTTTCACTACGGTCGCCCTACTCATCTTTAACTGGTACCCGTCTCGTGTCTTTGTCGGTGACACGTTTACCTATTTTGCAGGCATGTGTTTTGCAGTGGTTGCCATCCTCTGTCACTTTAGCAAGACGTTGTTGCTATTCTTTATCCCTCAGATTCTCAACTTTCTCTACTCGCTTCCACAGCTCTTTGGTCTCATCCCTTGTCCCCGTCATCGTGTGCCTCGTTTCAACCCGGCCACCGGCAACATGGAGGCCATCCCTACCAACCTCACCATTATCAATCTCATGCTGCTCATTCTCGGTCCAATGACTGAAAAGAAATTGTGCATCTGTTTGCTCACCTTCCAGGCCCTTTGTTGTTTGGTTGGATTTGGTATTAGATATTATGTCGCTCCTTATTTCTTTTAATAAATTAAATTAAATTAATTTTTAGAAAAAAGATTGAGTTAAATATTTGACTTTATTAGTGATTCTTGGGTTGGTAATTTAATTAATTAGTTGATTTGATTCTTTTGATTCTTAAATTGTTGATAGTTATACAGTGATATTTGTTGAATTTTCAACTTGTTCGGAGGAGGCTCGGATATTCTGTGAGACTGTGGGAACACTCGAGGATATTGGTTGGGCAACAGTAAGATTTCGTTTGTCTGGTACGATTTGAGAATGATCAGTGGCTCTGATACCATTGGTAGGTTGTTGCTTCTGAAGATCGGCTAATTTGTTCAAATGCTTAAACTTGATTGGGCTGTTGGAGATAAAGCAGAGGGATCTGTTCGCTTCTTTCTCTCTATGACATTCGAGTCGACACTTTATACCAATTTGATCAGATGATTCTAGGATACCTTCCAATTTGATTGAAGAAATGTAAGGACGTTGTTTAGATTCCCGACTGGAGTCATAGTGCGAATATTTCTTGAATTCAAACAATTTGGTTCCTGAGCGTTTCTTTTTGACCACCAAAGAAAACATCTCGTTCTTTTCTAATTGCTCTTTGAGGCCAACAATACCTTTGAGATCAATTCTAGAATAGATGTGAATTGTGTTTGATTCCTCGTCGTACACTTGGTAGAACAAAGTTGCGAGGAGGCTATCACACACTTTGTTAATCTTTGCCCTGGTGTTGTTTTTTTTTGCTTTGGGAAACCCATCCTTGAAAATGATGTCAACTTTGGTGTGGTCAAGAGCCTTGAGGGTAAGAGCTTTGACCTCTTCTATTTTTTCGTGCTCGTCCAGATCAATCTCTTGACCAAGTGATGGGTTGACTCGAATGAATGTGCTGTGTTGATATTTACTATTCATTGCGACGTAAGTTTTCAAGTTTTTCCAATGCTTATTGTTGTTGGTTGTAGTATTTGAAACGTACATCAAGACATTGTCAATCCTATCACCTGTTTCCGTTGGCACGTTAGAGGATCCACATCCCAAGTTGACCAATATATCGAGTTTTTTTTCCTTGCCCCAGATCTTGAATGACTCATGGTAACCAACTTCAGATGGATTGTTTGCCATCATTCCTCCATCGGTGAGATAGGTGGTATCCTCGTCGGGTTTAGAGTCTACTTTTCGGGATTTCAAGTAGGTTGGAGCAGCCGAAGTAGCTAGGGATGATTGATAGGGGGTGATGTCTCTATGATATACCAATCCTTTGGAATTTGCTTTTTCTAGGTTATAGGATGGGATAACACAAATGACTCCAGGGGTGTTGGTTGTACTTGTTAATGCGATTCTTGTCTTGGATTGGGAGGAAATGAGCAAGTTTTCATCTCTGAAAAGATCTTTGAGGACTATTTCGGCACATTTGCTAATGTAGCGTGGTCCAAAGGCATATCCGGCGGTCATATCCCAACTGGCAACAAATTCTTTTTTGAAACCCTCTTTGGATAACATTTCATATTTTTTGGTCAACTCTATTGCTGAAATTGGTGTTGTTTCGCCAGGCAGAGGAATTGACGAAGCCAAGGCAACCAAGCCGCCAGTACTAGTGCCAACAATTAGATCGAATAAATGGTAGGTTGGAATGCCATACAATTGCTTTTGTATCTCTTCTAAATTCAAACTTGTCACGATTCCTTTCACTCCACCTCCATCGGCAGCCATTACACGGTATCCAGCTTGATGAGGAACGGTTGGCGTGCACGATGATCCGTCTGTTAATACTCCACATAGCAAACATGGTTTTTTTTCTTCTGGTGTTGCTAGGGCAAGACATTCCATACATGAATAATGTCCACAACCCAATTGTTCAGACGGGAACCTAACCAAACATCCAAAGCATACTTGAGTCAACGGATACCTTAAACCTATAATAAGACCAGTACTGTCTTTTGTAAGATACTCGAGCCATTCAAGAGATGTATCATTCTGACTGTCTTGGTGGTATTTGATTAACTCTATATCTTTTTCCCATTCTGTATTTGATTTGAATCCTTTACTTTCATCTGTTGGATCGTATTTGACATTTGCAAAAGTGTAAGAGCCACCGTCTAGTTTGCATCCACCGACGCCGTGTCTACTTTGAATAATTCTGCATTTGGTTATATTATCGTCGGATTTGTTTGAGCAAGGAGTATTAAAAATAATATAACTTTGTATTGATTCAGCTATTTCTCCAAGAGTTTTAATTCCTTTTTCATTGTTTGAATCGAGTTTGCCTGAATAATATTGAAACATTTTGGCAAAATGATGAATAATGTGGCCAAAGTCTCGATGAAGGTTGGGATTTTCATGAGGATGGTTGGGCTTGATCTTGGCCTTGTAAATGGAGACGAGGACATTAAAAACTCTGTCGAGTTGAATCTTTTCGAGGTACGAGATATCAATATTGTATTGATCTTTCTTGAGGTCATTTGGTAAGTTTCGAAGTGCTTCAATCGTTGCCACCAATGTTTCGGGTTTCAAGGAATGGTACCTCAAGAGGTTAGGTTGAATAATATCCTTGACAAAATACTGGGTCCATTCCAAAAAGCCCTTGGCGACTTGTTGGAGTTGTTGATCTACAATGATTTTTTTGATTTTTTCAATTGATTCCTGAAAACCTTCGATGTTTTTGATATGTGGGAGGCAGACAACATCGAATCCTCGGTAAAATTGCCCAATCTTGGGTGCAAGATTGTCTTTTTTGGCTTGAAGAGTAGATTGGCCTTTATGATCCGTTTTGTTGAATACTACAATCAAGTAGGGCTTGATGGGTTGGTTGATGGAGTTTAAATGGTTCTTCTTTGAGAAGGATTCGATGTGGTCAGCCATTTTACCGTCGGTGCTGGCTTCGTTTGTAACATAAATCATAATGCTCGAAAAAAGGTACATGACCCTTGATATGGTGATCTTCCACTCTTGGTTGGGCTTGGGCTGTGTGGAGGGGAGGAGCTTTCTTCTTTGGGAGGAGGGTAGCATTAGAGGAACAGAGTCCTCAATGTTTTCACTGTCAAAAACAAGTAATGGAACGCCTCCATATTCGAGATCTTGTGTGCATCTGAAAGCATTGACGTTGGATGAGAAAGATCGACTTGGATCGTGGTTTAGGACAGCATTATTTCCTCCAGACAACACATTTGTAAGAAGAGATTTGGCAGATGTGGGGCCAACAATAGTCACCGATCGGAAAGTTTCAGCCAAATTCAAGAGTTTAGAGGCGGGACCAAAAGCAATTTGCATTCCTTCCTGGTTCTCGAGATCTTCTTGTTGTTTTTTGAGGTATATAAACTTTGATTCAAAGTCTTTATTTGAAGTGTTGTGATGAGTGAGCTCTTCAACCCCATATAACAGCGAGTTTGCGATGATAGGCCCGATTAGAATACCATTATTCCAATTATTTTCTTTGCATTTTTTACAATAGAAAATTTTCTTTTCATCATTAAAGTACTCTGCCTCTTTTTTGCATTTGAAACAGATAAATAACTAAATAAACTATATTAATATCAGATTCGGCAACTTATAATCAAGATGCATAGTTCATACCTTTTCTATCTGTTTCATTTCTAATTCTTAAGTATTTGTGACAACTGATTTATTGAACAGAATCTGTTTGAAGATCACCACCCAAATTAAATCAAAGAATTTTTTTTTTTTTTTGGATTGCAAAAATTTGACTCGGAACTTCAAAGCCTTTTTTTATAAATTTAGCTCAATTCTCGAAAACAGATTTGATTCATACAAAGAATGTGTGATCAAGATGTAGGTACAACAAAAAGCATGTGTAGTTTCATCTGTACTTACTAATTTAATTCATAATTATAAGGCTCTGAATAGTTATATAGAGAGTAAATATGAACAAGGAAATATCGATAAGCCTGTTAGTCTGAGATTTATTTTGTGTGAGTGTGTTGACTTTACAAATTCTGAACCTCAACGAAAACAAGTGCTCACATATCGATTGTTTGAACTATTTAGCCGTGAAACCCGAACCACAGTGGTTGGCACACCCATGAAAGATCTTTTAGATGAACCTTTGTTTATAAAGTTGGTGAGTAGAGTATTTTACAAACAGATTGGGTGTTTGTGTTGTATTAACTATCATTATTTTTACAGAAATATCTCAATTTTTTTTATCTTGAACATTTTTATCACCAGTTTAGCGATTTTAGAAATGTATGCTTGGGATGTAATATTATATATATAGATACACATCCTCCAAGCAATCATAATCCTTGCGATATTCATGCATTAGATGGCAATTACAGATTGGCCATTATGTGCATCAACGAAATAACAACAACTCCAACCAATCAATTACCAGACTTGGATGACGCGGTCCCTGTGGTTGCCTTATTTGGTGATTCCGGGGCAGGCAAATCTACCTTCACACGTTATCTCCTTGGATTTGGAACCAACACGAATGAGCCCACATTGGGATGGCCGGCTGTGGGAAAAGATTTAAAATCAACTTCCCATGGAATGAAATCCTTTCGAACCAACAACTATTATTTATTCGACACAGAGGGTTCAAATGGAGGCCAAAAACAAGGTGATTCTCAGGTCACTTCCACTGATGAAGAAACGTTAAAAAGAATCATCTTCAACACACAAACAGTACATATATTTGGCAGTGTTATTTTATATTTATCACTTGACAAGGGTAATAATTATATAGTCGATTTGTTCGACGCGTACCTTGGATACTGCAAAAGTAGAACCATCAAACAATATCATAAACCTCATTTAATAATCGTGCGCAACAAGTGCGATACACCAGACGAAAGGATTGAGAATGTAATGGCTTCAGATCCCCGGATTAATTCATTGGTCCAATCAATCAAATTTTACACCGTTCCAATTTGGAACACGAACATTGGACTGTTCACTCAAAAGATGGAGGAAATCAAAGATCAGCTCAATCAGCTGGTTCAAATTCCCAGACCAACAATTCCACATTTTAATCAATTCAGAGGCAGAGCAGAGACAGAACAAGCTGAAGACAAAGAACTGGACTATTACCATTTTTATCACAGCCGTTCTCATTCTAATTGTTCCAATGATTGCGATGAAGCGGCTGAACACGAGACCATACCACACCATTGCATGTGGTGCGTCCAAGATTGCCCTTCCTGCAAGGTTCATCAATCGATATTAATCAATCCACTGATCAATCTCAAACGATCATGGCCAACTGCGCCAGGTGTTAAAATATTTCATCTGCAGAGGAATAATATCCGTCGTCAGTTGGTTGGTCTTGAAAAATTAATGGAAAAAAGAGATCCTTTATACAAATCTTTTTCCATGTTTGTTGGTGTTGGTGGCCTATCGGATTTTGTTGCAATGTCTCTTTCTTTGAAAAAAGGGCCATTAGAAATCAAGAATATTCTGGACCAACATTTTTTGGATAGGAAAACCACAGACAACCATTCTCTTCTCGAAATATTTCCAGATCTCAAACTAGAGCCAATATCCAACGAAATGTTATTAGATTCGGTACAGTTTGGAATCGAAGGCCGTGATATTACTTTTGAAATGGTGGTTAACAATATGATGGACCTAAAAGAGACTTGTAACGAAGATTTCCTCGAGTATAACAATGGATGTTATTTTGGTAAAGAAGATCTTCACGACGACAATTATGAAAAAGCGATTGAGAGTGCTATCAATCAAGACAAAGACCACTTTTATTTCTTTTGTGACAAAGCCAACATGGTACCAACTCTTTATCGAACTTCTATCTAATAAATAAATGTTAAGAATAATATAGTATAGTATTTACAAATGAAAGATGGCGAGAGATCAGTTTTGTTTTTTTTTAATTTTTTTTAATTTTTTAAAAGTGATTATGAGGGGTGGTTTACGTGTGGTATTCATAATTTAGAGAATGACATCAAAAGTTATTCCTAAATCAGTACCTTTAGTGTACCCAGACAACTATGATCTGGTCAATAACAAGCTAGTTAGAATAGAGAGAGAAAGAAAAAAGTTATTGGTTAATAAGGATGCATTAGAGATAATTAAACGTGGGTGCGGTGATCGACCAATCTCTGTCTTGTCAGTCAATGGTCCGATGAAATCAGGCAAATCATACCTCTCGAATCGGATCATAGGAAGTAATGACATCTTTTCCCTTGGACACTCAACTGAACCGAAGACAGTTGGTATCTGGATAGCCACCTCCTTCCCAGAACACAATGGCAAACGTGTAATAGTGATCGATGCCGAAGGTTTCAGTCCTCTATACATGGATCGTACTCATACCATCTTTTTACTAAGCTGTCTTCTCTCGAATACATTTGTTTACAATACCTTTTCACTTCCGAGTGGCCACGATCTGGATCAACTTCCGTATGTAGCAGGCTCGAGAAAAGAGAAGAATCGTCTTTTTAACAATTTCTATACTTTAGACTCGTATTTAGTTTCAATAGATTACAAATCAAAGAGGGACAGCTAATCAAGAGTAGAAAGCAAATTGAAAGATATTTACCACATTTTGTTTGGGTGCTGAGGGATACCTCACAAGATCTCTTGAGGACCACCACGCAAGAGTACATGAAAGACTTTCTTACAGTGGATAGTTTTGTTTTTGGAGTAATGATTCATCGGAATACTACCAAACAACTACTCACTTGCTTCAAATCGTTAACAACCAAGACTGTTACAATGCCTACCTCCAATATGAACTTCCTTCAAAAGTTGGATACAGTCAGCGACAGAGATTTGAATCCCGATTTTGTTTCTCAAATAACCCAACTTGTAGAATTTCTAAAAAACCGGCCTATTGAAAAGACAGGAATACATGGTTTACCCGTTGATGGTGAAAGTATGTTCTTTTTAATTTCAACCTTTGTTTCCGCACTAACTTTTTTTTTAGTATTTACATATTTAGTTGGTTTATATACCGATGCATTGAATGAACCAAATAGTTTGCTTTCTTTGGAAGATTCTTGGACTAGTGCAATTAAGATGAAGCTTCAGAATAACAAATCAACCCTATATGGTTATTTTAACAATAGATTAAAATCTCTCACGTCTGAGACCCTATCGCTCTTTGATCGATATCGATTGGTCATTGATCTTCTCAAACTAAAAATTACACCAAGTTCGAATAGGGAGGAGCTAATACAAATTGATTTTTTGATACTGCATAGTTTCAAATGCGAATCAAAAAATGGTGATGGGGGTCCATGTGATATTAGATCAATACATGAACATCACCAAGGATTTGAAACTACCAATCCACCCAGTGAATCGTTTTCTTTGGCAACTCATTATGACCAAATTATTGCTAAAGGAGATTTTGTGGAAAATCACATGGCTGTAAGTTTATCATAATTTTTTATTTTATAAATTATTATTTGTTATTTATTAACTCATTTCATTTCAGTGTAAAGATATAAATACAGAAAAAAAATCATTGTGTGACCAAGAGGCAAAATTTCAATGTTTGGTTTGTGATATATCATCTTGCTCAGATCATGTACACGCAATCCCACATCCTTCAATGGATATTTTAGATTATTTTCTTTGCCACAATTCTTTGTCACCCACAAACGAAGAGAAAAAAAAGAGTACACTCGATGAACATGCTCAAAAGATTTTATATGTTGACAAGGACACCCAACTCAAAAAAGGACCAGCAAAATTCGAACCGGCAAATCGAAAAGTGGTTAGTTTTGTGGGCCCTTCATTGGCAGGAAAGAGCTCGCTTATAAGATTCTTCATCAACAAAGGTTCTAAAGAAAAAATCGATGGTACAACTTTTCCACTTGTCAGTGACAAAATGCAAGCAATGACATCTGACCTTTGCGGATACCCTATCAACAACGATCTTTTATTAATAGATTCAGAGGGCATTGGAGACCTTGTCCCCTGCACTTCACAGCCCGTAGAAAACAGAAAGAAGATTACAAATAGTAAATTCCCGAGATTCATATATGACATTAGCAATGTTATCGTTTTTGTAGCAAATCACCCAATTGGATGTGGATTGGATCCACTGTACAAGATGATCGAGGATTTTACCCCAACAGAATCCAAGGAAAACAAACCAACCCTCATTGTTGTTTTCAATCAAATCAAATCAATGGATACAAAATATGAAAAGTTCCTCAATAACGAATTCAAAGGCAAAGGCAATTATCAATCCGTACAAATATCAACCATCCCTTATTTTGGCTTGTTTCAACATCATTTTTTTGAAGACATTAATATTTTGGTCGACCAAATTCAAAAATGTGATGGACCAACAATTAGTAGGATCGATCCTGTTTTAATATTAAAACAATATACTGAACCGTATGTACAGATAACACATAAATTTATTTTTTATTTATTTCAAACCTAACCTACCTTTTTTTTTTTTTTTTCTATCCAGACAATTACAATCGTTGGTCAGCATTGTGAACAAACAGTTCCATCAAAACTCATTGGATCAGTATGATTATATTTGTTGTGCATGTCAAACATTATATCAAACAACACAAAGATACCAACTCGATCATCCAGCAACAACTGAGGCTCTAGACCAACACCATTGCCTACCTTTACAACAAGATTACAAAAACATTTTGTATTCTGTATTTCTTAAAATGAACAGAACCGAGGATTTAATAACAGGCACGATCATCAAAAGAAATATTCACGGGGAGTTGGAATTTTTTTCAACTGATACTCTAAAAAAAGATTTACCGATTGTATCGTTTTATGGAGATAGTGGATGTGGAAAATCTACAATCATTAGATTATTGGTTGAAAACAAAAACGAATGGCCAGTTACCTCAAACCAAAACAAGACAAAAGGATCGACAACGAACGGAATCGTCTATTATCCAAGCTCACGAAATCAATACGTTATATTTGACTCAGAGGGCAACAATGGAACGGCAGAGACATCAACCAGCCACGTAGAGGGAGTAGTTCAAGTCCTTCGATCCCACACCTACTCGTTTTACCAACAATTTTTGCTCACATACAGCAATGTCATTGTTTACACCTTTGACAAGGCCAGCGAGTCAGCTATTTGCCAACAACTCAATCAAATATTCCGCGTCTCTGAAAAAAGGCTAGTCAACCATCCAATTAAACCCCACCTCATTTTGGTTTGCAACAAAATGCTAACAGAGGATGCCGAGCAATATGGTAAATCGTTAATATCGATTATCAAAAGCTCAAATAGTATCATGGAGTTGATAGACAGCACAATAGAGTTTATTCATTTGCCAAACATTGTCACCACTTTGCATTTTAATAACTTTATTACCCTCAAAAAATCGATTCAAGCCAAGGTCTCACAAGTGCCGAGAAGTTTATTGGAAAAAGGAAGATATAGTTTTGACCATACGAAAAAAGCTATTCATTCTTTCAATACCCACCAACTAGCCCAAGTCTGTGACTTTTATCACTTTCTCCACAACCTTTCTCACTGCGAATGTGATGGAAAGTTTAAACTATGTACATCATGTTTAACATCTGAACAATTTGTAATACATCAAGACTACCTAAAAGTGTGGGTGAAATATGCAAAACCTTCAGGAGCCAGTGTTCTTTGTGTCCCCTTTATTGGCATTGAACAATTTCTCATCGACAACAAGCAGAATTCTGACTATATTTCAGGGGTTGGAGGCTTATCCGATTTGGTGGCAATCGCAATGAGCGTTTATGAAAAAAAAAAAGAAGAAATAGAAAAGGAAAATAATGAAAAGGGAATCCCCTTGGAGAAAAGACAGGACTATACAACAGAGATATTTAGAAAGGAAATCCTTGACGCCTTTAAACTTTATTTTAAAACAAAGAATAGTGCAAAACTAGACCCTTTGTTTTACAAAGACGATGATATTAGTCACAACCTTTATTTGGAATCAGTTGATCTTAATATCGATACCCCTCCCGATAGTTCATTAAAAGTCGGTCATTTGGTTAGAGGTATTTTTGAAAGATACAAATATGAAGAGCTACGTGACCAATTCCAAACAACAAAGAAACGCTAATGATAAATCAAATAAATAATAAAATAAATTTGTGTGAAGTTCGACATTTAATTTTTAAACTTTTTCTTCTTTTTTTTTTTTTTTTTTTAATATTTGGTTCCCTCCCTTCATAGTTAGTAGGTCATTCGATGTTTACCCAAAATGGGCAAAAAGATATCTCTTCAAAATACATTAAAAACAGTAGCAGTTGTTCATATCAAAGATGGGACTGAGAATAGAATAGTAGAATTAGAAGCAAATGGGGATAAGGATAAAGAGGTAGAGGTCGACAGTAAATTTGTAGGTCTTAAAATTTATGCACAAGACCCCAAACAACCGGGCCTGATCTTTATTCAAGAGCGAGTAATGAAAGAAGGAACAGGGTTTATCATATTCCAACATTACTTGGATGCTGTCATCTTTAAGCCCTACAGCCTATACGACAAAACTACCTTGCAACCCATCAAAACAGTGGACCTATTTTTATCTTCGATGCAAGACACAAACGCATGTGGAGACAAGAAATGTGTTTTTTGTAAAGAGATGGCGGATAAACGTTGTATCAACTGTAGTGAATACTTTTGTTCCACCCACTTTGACGAGCACCATTCAAACGGGAGTTTCGTAACCCACAACTCAATCCCCGTAAAGGACTACACCAAATCAATAAGATCGCTGTTTCTTCAAAAAGACGAGCTCTCTCAAGAAAATGAAGACTACAAAAAAATCCTCTTTGTCAATGACAAGTTGGAATTTGTGTGTGGAAAACGATGGGACGATCTCAAATATTGCCTCGGCGCGATTTCATTTGTTGGTACAGTTGGATCTGGAAAGAGTACTTTGATCCGGAATCTTTTGATTTCAGAAGACAAACTCGATGTCTTGCCACTGATCAAAAGTCACAAGAATCAAACATATGCAACTACCTCGGATATAACTGGTTTTAAGATTTGGCAAAGTATTATTTTAATAGACTCTGAAAGTGTGGATGACATCGAACCAACTACTTTATATGTTGGAGACGAATCACTGGACCAACTTCACAACAGTTCTAGAAAAGACATCATTCGAAATGCATATCCGGCCTATATTCATACTATTAGTAATGTTATAGTATGGGTAGCCCAATCCCAAAAACTAGACTTTTCTTCATGTATCCCTCCCATTTTGGAATTTTCAAAACACTCAAACAGAAAAAGCGATCAAGTCAAGCCATCTCTTATCATCGTTATCAACCAGCTCGAACCCACTATTGACATGTTGTCGAAAACCCAACACAATCAATTATCGAACTGGTACCAACAGGATCACAGTCATTTACTCGAGAAGAATATTATCAATCATTATCGCTCAATCGAATTCATATTGGTCCCATCCTTTACATCAGATCCTCATGGATTTATAAATCAGATGGCAAAATTAAAATATCATATTAAATTAAAATATCGAATCAATCTGATTTATAGTTACGAACTACAACGCACTAATTTGATGAAAGAAACCAAGATATTTATCGACGATCTCGATGGATCTAGGTTTGTATTTTTTAAATTTATATTATTTAAAATCGATTGATTAATTTTAAAATATTCTCCTACCTTAGTATTTTACTTCAAAAAAATCCACAAACCAATTTGATTGAATTTGGAAAAATGTGGTCAATTTTCTCTCTGGAAGAGTCACAAGGAGATTATGTTCGATTTATTAGCATTTTTGGATTCGATCGTGGTACAATTAAAAGTATTTTTGGCAATTCAACCCAAGCAATCTCGAAAGAAATAGTCAATTTCTATCCATGGGATAAGAGCAATGGGTTGTATTTGATTACTCAAGAGGAAGCAAATACCACTTGGTCAAAGATAATACCACAATTCAGCGAGGTTGCTATTTTCAATATTCGCAACCAACAAGACATTTCAAGAATAACCAAAGAATTACCAAATAATTATCCTACAATTATATTTGTTTATGATGGAGCGGACATTTTATTTGTTGAGAAAGACAAGCAAATTATTTGTACCACTAGACAACTTGGTACAACTATAAATAGTACTCTTCATAACAACCAATCATCATCAAGCTCATTAAAAATTTTGGAGAAATTAGTGTCTAGATACAATACTAAATGTACTGATGTGGATTGCGGCAACCAAGCAGAATATTTATTTACCGGAAAGTTTAAGTGCAACAATCACTATGACGCATTGGTACCCAGATTCAAGAGTATGTGCATATCAATCGACCTTTACTTGGAATGCTCCAGAATCCTCAATCAAACAGAGCACGAATTATTGGTTGGGCGCGAATATGACAAAAGAAACAAATTCCTTCAAGAAAATAGCGAAGGTGAAATAGAACTTGGACCAAAATCAAAGTATTTGCCAAAAGAAACCAACCAAAATTTCAAACTTGTAACATTTATTGGTCCGAGCGGAAGTGGAAAGAGTACTCTAATTCGAGGATTGTGCCATGGAGATAGACCTCTTTTGCCATTAAAAGGAAATCAATTTTCATTAACCTCTTCAGATATCAATTTATATCTTGGAAAAAAAGAAAAAAAAGAAGATAAAATAGAAGGAGATAAAGAAATTAAAAAGGATGAAGCAAAAGAAATTAAAAAGGATAAAGAAGAAGAAGAAGAAGAAGAAGAAGATCAGTCATTTTTGATTGCAGACTGCGAAGGTTTTGGTGGGACCCTAAATACTGCAACACGCACAGGAAACAATCAACCTTCACGTAGACAACTGGTAGAGTCTGCATATCCAAGAATAATGCACTCTTTTAGTGATATTGTTGTTTGTGTTTGTTCAAACTCTTGGCAAGAACGACAAACCATCAGTAAATATGTACTGTCACATGCTCAACATAGTGATGCTGGAATTGTCAACCAAGGAGAGTTACCCCACCTCATATTGGTATTCAACAAGAAAGCAAAGAATGAAATGAATGTCACCAATCAAGAAGCAACTGACGAGTTTTTTGTAAAAGGAAGATTTGATGAACTCGTTCGACCGTATTATCGTGGTTGGAGTATAGTTCGTATTGCAACCGACGAAGGTGGTAGGGATCCCACAGCGTTCCTTAATACTTACGAGGAACTAAAAAAGGAGATTTACGGCAAACTCTTAAAGGAAGGAAAGCAAATGGTTGCAAGGGATCTATCAGACAAACAAAAGCTGGTAGAAACACCTTTGACCTTGAAAGAGGCAATAACACAGGTGAAAGAAGTAGTTAATCGATTCAATAATAAGATCGACTATATCAATTTTATCGAAATCCAACCAATCAACCCAAATCAAGCTGCATCCTACTTGTTCAAATATTTTAGACTATTATATTCTGAACTGTCTTTAAACTTCAGGTATGGATTCGGTCAATCCATCGACCTTTTAAATGCACGACTCCCACACTCCCAACAAATGTACATATCAAGATACCCTCACCAAAAGGACAATTGGGAGGCAGTCATAAAAATGCTGTCTCTTTTAGTTGATAGTATGGAACCATGTGGTGCCTCATATTGTGACAAATCTTTCCATCAACATGGTAGTACTCACAAAAGTATTACCATGATATATGATAACAAATTACTCAAACCAAGGTATATCGAACTTGGAGAATTCCAATCTTCTAGACACGAATATGATGAAGATGAAAGAATAATAGTTGGAGACCCAACAACACATACAACTTTGGTTGACTTGAAAGAAGAGCTTGGTGCAACCTATTTTGAACAATTACATAGCAAAGTTTGTGTGCATTGTTTAATTGGACCACCCTTGAAAAAGAGAGATGGTTGCGATTACTTTTTATGTCTTCATTGTTCAGAAAAAGAAGAAGAAGAAGGAACTGAATGCCCTGATAATTGTCCTTCAGCTAATATCAAATAAAGTCTAAATAAAACAATTAATTAATTTATTTTTGGCAGAATCTATATTTTTCATAATCCATCATTAAATATTATAATAAGAGTTCAAAAGTTTAAAGTTCAATTTTAAAAAGAGAGAGAGAGAGAGGAAGAGAAGAGAAGAGAAGAGAAGATGATGAATCAAGGAGTAGCATCATCAATGATGATGGATCATCAGCATCACCAACAGGCTCCTTCATCACCAACTATGGGCAATGCACCAAACACAGCCTCTTCAACTTCATCATCGATGTCTAACACTATGATCAACAATCACTCTTCATCCTCTATTCCATTGTCTTCAATGATCACTAATATATTTGATACTGTATGTTATATATAAACTATCATAAACTATCTATCTAATGGTTTACATTGTTGTTGTTGTCTACTAACACTGCTGACTTTTGTCCCATCTGATGATCATAAAGGGAGTAAATCAAGTACAATGGTACAAGTTTAAATATATACAACCTCTACAACAACAACAACAACAACAGGTATCACCAACATCATCACCTATGATGACTGACCATTTATCAGCTGCATCTGCTACATATAGTAATAATACCTCTTCATCGTCAACCAATAAATCATCTGCATCTACGACAGCGACAGCGACAGGAAGCATTCAATTCAATGATCCAGTAATACAAGCATATCTAAGATTAACTGATTTAAATATACCTTGTATTTGGATAAATTATGCAAAGCATCAACAACAGCAACAACAACAACAACATAATAAACCACAGCAGCAACAACAACAACAACAACAACAACAAGTACCTAAACCATCATCACCTCCATTATATTCAACTAGTACACCAAGTCCACCTCAACAGAAATCACCTTTAATCAACTTAAACAAGTCTGTACAGACTTTAGGTAGTACAGCACCCAGAACACCAACTACTACTACTACCACGGCACTCAATTCATCTACATCTCATTCACCGATCATTGTCACTGGATCACCATTACAATATACTCCACCACTTGAAGATAAAAAGGTGATGATGAATGATCAACAACAGCAACAACAACAACAATCACAAGAAGGTGTAGAATTATGGGTATTTGATATAAACAATGAATTTAATGAAATATTACAAGCAACTTTATCTTTATCAAGTAAGTCATATCATAATAGATGGTAATGAAAATAACATTATTTATTTAATTATTTATTTAGATGTTGAATCCGGTAAATGGCAAGCCAATTCAAATTGTAATCCATTAATTACAACTTTATTATTTAAATCATTATTTAATCTTGTTGAACAGTATGTACATGAATATTACTAAACTTCAATTTAAAAATCACCTTCTAATCTATTTTTTTAATTTAGTAAAATGATATCAAATGATTATATTAAATTGGGTAATTCATTTATTAAAAAGTCGTCATCTTCATTGGTTAGAGATTCACTTCATGGTTTATCAAAGAAAAGAAATCAATCAAAAGATCTTTATTTTGAATGTTTAAAGAATTTGTAAGGAAACTAGAAACAAAAGAAAAAAGAAAAAAGAAAGAGTTATTAATATTTATTATTTATTTATTTATTTTAAATTTAGAAATGATGATGATTATAGTCAAATATCATATTCATTTAATTTCTTTTTATCAAATCAATCGATATTATTTCATTTATTTGTTGAAAGAAAAAGAATCAAGAATCTACAACAATTTTCAAAACCTGAATATACAAATTCACCAAGTATGTCTCAAAAAAAAAAGAAAGAAAAAAGAAAATATATATTTATTTATTTATTAATATATTATTATTACTTTAGTAATAGCAGCACCAAATTGTTTTATTGGATATTTAAAAAAGAATAGTTTAATAACCTCTGAAGATCCAAATTTTATGCTTACATCACAGCAATGGAAACAACTTTTCAATATCAATATAAGTTCTTCTTCTTCTTCTTCTTCTTCATCCTCATCCCCTAAAACACAACAACAAAAGAAATCAAAGAGTGGATATTTTTATTACTATCATCAATTGTCAGATAATGGGTCACCCAACAATAATAATAATAATAATCAGAATAATAATAATAATAATATTTCAGTATTGGATAAACCAGTATCATTAGAATTGTATGGTATTAGTACATTATCAAGAGGACTGTACTTTCCAACAGAATTGTTGTTCAAGTATATACCATTTACATCTGACCATTTTACAAAATTCTATCATTACAAATTAAAAGAATATGGATTAGAGAATGAGGAAAAGAGTACCTATTCATTACTTGAAAAAGGGTTACCCATCCCATTACCTGCCAATCTCGTAGCAGGAGGAGGAACATCTAAAAGAACTAATTTAGTTTCTAAACAACAACAACAAGTAAAAATTAATGGAGATAAAAAGGAAGTGGTAAAGAGCGTTGATTATTGGAATTATCAATTACCTCATATAATATTCAAACAAGATCAACAACCTTTACAATCGATCACATCAGCTGCCGGAGGACAATCACAACAAATGTTGTCACCGTTGGCATCACCATTCCCAGCCTCTCCTTCGGGACACTCACCATTTGTACAAAACTCATCACCAAAATCACCGACATCACCCATGACATCTCCAATAGACGAAAACCAACCATCCCCTTCCTATGCCAACCATCCAGATGGACAATTGGCAGACAACAACAAAAACAAGAGAACTGCAACGGCATCGGCCAAAGCACCCAAAAAGGGAGGACGAACAGGTACAAAACGAAACAAAAAGGATGATGAACCAGCATCTGTTCCAAATCAAGAAGAACAGAAAAAGACAACCAAAGTATTACCAATACAACAAATTCAAAATTTACAATCAACCGTACCAACTAGTAGTAGTAGTAGTAATTCAAATAATTCAAATAGTTCAACAAATGTAAACAATCCAATTCAACCACCTTTACCAACAACCACATCGACAACTTCAACTACTAGTACTACGACGACTACTACTACAACAACTATTAATAATAATATGACAACAACTATTCCAACGACAGCAGCCAATATACCAACAGCACCACCAAATAATTATTCAATCAATTCATCAATTGATTTATTTGGTAGTGATTCGATTGAACAAGCTGGATTGTCGGCATATAAAAAGGATGATGATTTAATGCATCTTTCAGATACAGAGATTGATTTGGATTCTTGGCAAAATGCATATTCTACCATTAATAGTGCTAGAGTACCATCATTACCAATACAACAACCACCACAACAACCACCGCCAACTATCACTCAACCTCCTACTTTACCAATTCAATCACAACAACAAGTAACAGTTCATCCACCAATTCAAATTCAACAAACTACTACTCCAAGAAATAATAATAATATTAATAATAATAATAATAATAATCAAAATGTAACAAATCAACAAGAACAACAACAAAACAAAAATATTAATAATAATAATAATCAAAATAATAATAATATTGGTGGTAATGGAACAACAATTGTAACAATGAATACACCAGTAGATTTACCATCAGGAATTGTTATTATACCATATATAGCACCATCATTGAATAATATACCAACCATGCCAGATGAACCATACCAATCACCAATAGCAACCGGTGGTGAACATGGTCACAATAACATGTCGAACATTCCATTATACCATCCGGCGCTGAGTCGAGAATCATCCATGTCTAGTGTACATGATGGTACATCTGGTGGTCAGCAACCAGGTGGAATGGGTGCAGCCAGTGTAGACTCACAGGGTAGTGTCGGAGGTATGATTGGATCTGGTAACAAGTATCTTAGCTCTCCCACCATGACTGCAGGATCACTTTTGCATCCAATCATCCCATACACACCTACACCAGACACTCTATCACTTGGAGGTGTTGGATCGGGTGAAAATGTATCTATCAGAAAATCGGTAGATGAATCTGTTGAAGGACTGGCATCTGTATATAGTAACATGACAGTGTCCAAATTGGGTGGTGGTAGTGGTGATGGTGGACAATTTAATCTTGGTGTATCCAATCAACCATCCCTCTTGGCCAAGACCAAAAAACCATATTACTGTGCACCATCGTACAAACCAATCGATGAAACTTCACTACCATACAATACGAAATTTGAATATTCCTATGTCCCCAATTCAAAATCAAATCTATCATCAACTAGTAATACAATTAAATATACTCCTCAAATTTCAAAACAACAACAACAACAACAACAATCAATAGTTCAACAACAATTACAAACAGTACCACAACCACCAATAATTCAACAAGTTCAACAACCAAACACAAACAACGTTGTTTCATCTTCTTCTACAAATATTAATAATCAACCAATAGTTCAAGCACCAATTAATAATAATAATAATATGAATATATCAAATCCAAATTCACCAATTGAAGAATTATATCAAAATAATAATAATAATAGTTCAGCATTATTTTCATTTTATGATTGTGGAGGATCACCACCATTAAATAGTTATCAACAACAAAACAAATCCAATTCTTTAGTTTCTCGATTAAATTTAAATTCAGAAGAATATCAAGAGATGGCCTATTTGGTACAACAATTGGCACAATCAAATTATGATACACATCAAGGATACTCTATTGATAATAGTCCCATTACAATCCAAACGGTGGAAGCATTTTTGGATGAATGGGTGAGATCATTGAGTAGCAGTGGTAGTTTGTACTCGGGTGCCAATATGGCAAGTCGTAGTAATAGTATGTTGACAGAAGAGATTTCATCAGAGGCAGTATTTTCAGCATTGAATCCATTATCGGCAAGTGCATTGGTAGATGTCACTTCAAGAGGATTATTTTCATTTTCTCAAGTCATTCAATCGGTCTTTAAAAATAGTCCAAATGCTCAATCACCATTTACAGTCGATAGTATTGGAGAGATTGAATGGTTACCCATTCCCAAATTGGTTGTTGGATATAAAGAGGAATGGATGGAAATTCCATCTACCCTCGTTAGGTATTGGGAAAAGTCGCTATTGGAACCCTACTCACCTAAAAAGAATATAACCTATTATGTCATTTGTCCAGACAGTCCACTTATGAAGACAATGGTACCATCATTCTTTACCGATGTCAGTTGTATCTATGAAACCAATCATTTCGGTCATCACCAAACCCCCAAAACCACCTTTCCTTTGCTCCTAAACGGTATATTCTATGTACCATCGGGACATTCAACAAGTGGCAATGTCAACAATTACCTACAAGCTTGTAAAAAATTGGCAGAACATGTTAAAGAAAATTCTTTACAATATAATGAAAATAATTGTATTGTCATTTATATCATTAATCCTTTTAATGATAGTAATGTCGGTAATGGAGTAGATTCAAATATTTCATATAGTCAACAACAAAGAGAAATAATGTTGTTTATGAATCAATGTTATAAATCAATTATTAAAGATACTTCAGTTTGTGAATCTTTAAATTTAACTTTACAAGTATGAAATAAGAATAAGAAAAAAATAGAAAAAATAGAAATATTATATATATTAATATTAATTATTTATTTTTATTTTTATTTTATAGTTTATACCAATTGAACAAATATTTTTAGGAGATTCACAAAATGTATCAATTATAAAGGAAATTGTACATTCTGTATTTAACAAGTGTCGTAGAATTTCAACTATATCATCCAATTTTAATAGTCCAAGTAATGATAGTAATAGATGGTGTAGAAAATTTGCAGATAAAATCTATGAACCATTATTTATTTTATCAAATCCAATAACTCCTCCATTACCAGGATCCTCTCCTTCTCACCACAACAACAACAATAACAACCAATCGTCGTCATCATTAATGTATCAAAATATTATTCATTTTTCATATATGATTTCTGAAAATGAAAAATGGATATCATGTGCCATTACAGATGAAAGAGGTGAATTGTTGGAGAATAGATTGGTTCCTATTACCTATACTATCAATGGTAATATTGGATGGCATCATACTATCCAAAATGTTTGGTCCTATATATCAGAGGTTTGTAACTTGACCCTTCTCACCAACCTAAAGATTGTTATTGGTAAATTTGGTATCATCTCTAAAGAAGAATATGATGAATGGACTAGAAACATCTCCACCATTCAAATTGAATCATTATTACCATTTGATTTTGTTGTATTTATCAATTTAACAATGCAACCAAACTTTCAAATATTTTCTTTGGAATCTTCAAATTCAAAATTAAATAATAATAACGTTAATAATAATAATGTTAATAATAATAGTGAAAATTTATATTTACCAACATTTCCATTAAAAGGATTGTCATATGCAATCTTTATGAAATCACCATTGGTATATTCTTATCATCTCTATAATATACAACCACAGTTAACTTCGTTGATTGTCACATCTTCATTGAATCAGCAACCAACTAGTTTATCATCGAGTAGTAGTGGTGGTAGTAATAATAATATTAATAATAATAGTAACAACAATAATAATAATAATAATAATAATAATAATAATACAAATACCAATTCAAACTCTAATCCAAATTCAAATGCATCAAATTCTTCGACCAATAATAATCAAGAAAGAAAAGATTGGCCAATTGTTTATATGGTAAGAAATATATTAATATCAAAATCTAATCAAATATATTTAATATAATATATTAATTTTCTTTTTTTTTTTATAGTTATCATATATTGGATGTTACTCACAAAAATCACCACAACAATATTTATTTGATCAGGAATTATTTTTCAAGCATATAACTAGGTCTTATCATAGACTGAGTTATTTAAATATTTCTCCACGATTTACTGATAGATATTCAGTTTTACCTTTACACTTTTCAATTACAAAATGTATGAGTAAAATGTCAATGAATATTTAAACAAGAGAAAAAGTAAAAAGTAAATAAACAAAAATAAATTAAAAAAGTAATGAGTCATTGTTATGTTTATTTATGTGTTACTTTGAAAGAGAGAGAGAGATAAACATATATATTTTTAAAAAAGATCTAAAATATTGGATCGAAGCAAAGTTGTTGTTGTGTGGTTGTTTGAGTGAGAGTAGTAGTCTCTGCGGAATAGAGATTAATTTATTTTTTAGTTTTCCAAGCGTGTAAGTCGCAGCACTTTGAACCATTACATATCTCATACCCCCCCTTACAATTGACACAATAAATATTTATATATATTTAATCTACACAATTTTATTAATCATACAATTGTATAACACACACACAAACAACCATTATTATTTATTTATTTATTTATTTTGTTTTTTTTTACTAAAACTACAAATTTTTCAATTTATTTTTTTAATTAAATTACGCATCGCATCTCACCTGATACTGCATTATTACCTTTTTTAGTTCAGCTGACTCTTTTTCTTTTTAGTATTAAAAACATACAGACGACACAGTACACTTAAACTTATACTTGTACTACATAATAGAATAGCAGATAATATAACAATAATAATAGAATGAAAAGATTAAATGTAGCAGATAATAAAGACACTGATGTTCTCTTTACATCGTCAATAGACGCTTTAAAAAAGTTATATAAAGATAAAATCAAACCATTAGAGACTCTTACAAGGTAGATAAAAGAATGAGGAAGAAGAAGAGATGAATTATTATAGTACTATACTAATACATAAATATATATATATAACATTAGATTTGGAGATTTTCAATCACAAGTATTAACAGATGCAGATTTAGGTGCAAAACCAATGGTATTATTACTTGGTCAATATTCAACTGGTAAAACAACTTTTATTCAATATCTCATAGAGCGTGAGTTCCCAGTAAGCCTTTAAATTCAACGACAACCAACTTGCAAATGATTTTAACTTAATCTCTCTTTCTCTTTCTTTCTCTTTGTTTTTAGGGTTCATTTGTTGGAGCAGAACCAACAACAGATAGATTCAATGCAGTAATGTATGGTCAAGAAGACCAGATTATACCAGGTCATTCAGCTGTCGTTCAAGAATCACTACCTTACAGAGGTCTTGAAAAATTTGGAAGTGGGTTCATGTCCAAGTTTCAAGCTTCATTGTGTCCAGCACCATTGTTGGAAAAGATTAGTTTTATAGATACACCTGGTGTATTGTCAGGTGAAAAGCAACGTATTGGAAGAGCATATGACTTTCCCAGTTTGGTTTCATGGTATGCAGAGAGATCAGATATGATTCTCTTACTATTTGATGCTCACAAATTGGATATTAGTGATGAATTCAAATCTGCAATTGAAAGTCTCAAAGGTTATGACGATAAAATCAAAATTGTATTAAACAAAGCAGACAAGGTTAGTGCTCAACAGTTACTTCGAGTGTATGGAGCTTTGATGTTTAATCTAGGTCGTGTTATCAAGTCACCAGAGGTATGTCAACACAAAATTTAAACAAAAAGATCTAAATCTGAATAATGGTTTTTAATAACTCTTCTTCTTTTTTTAGGTGATGAGAGTTTATTTAGGATCATTTTGGAATGGAACCGGATTACAAAATCCAGATACAGAGAAATTATTACATGCAGAAATGGTAGATTTAATTAAAGAATTGTTAATGTTGCCAAAGAATGCTGCCATTAGAAAGGTTAATGATTTGGTAAAACGTGCACGAACCACAAAAGTTCATGCATTGATTGTATCTCATCTACGAAGTGAAATGCCAGCTGTATTTGGTCGTGACAGTAAACAGGCCGAGTTGATCAAGAATTTGGACAAGGAATTCAACAAGATGGAACGTATCTATGGCATTCCAAGTGGAGACTTTCCAGATGTTGAAAAGTATAGAAGCATTCTAAAGGTTCAAGACTTTTCAAAGTTCCCAAAACTCAATCCCAAGATGATCGAACAATTAGACGAGGTTCTCGCAGTTGACTTCCCAAAACTCTTGCAACGTTTCCCAATTGACGGATCACACAAGCCAACACAGTACGAATTGAATCCATTTGCCATTGACGAAGTTGACGAATCGCTTCGTTGGACTCTATTTGAACATATCGACCGTGAACTCTATGCCCAAACCTTTGTTACACTCGGCCCTGTCGATGGAAAGATTACCGGTGCCTCTGCCAAGCCCATTCTTCAACAATCAGGTCTATCCAACGACCTTTTGGCCAAGATTTGGAGATTAGCCGATATCGATCGTGACGGAAAACTCGATAGTGACGAATTCTCACTTGCCATGCATCTTATCAATAGCTCAATCAAGGGTTTCCCCACTCCAGATCAATTACCAGAGACTTTAATTCCTCACTCCAAGCGTGGTGGTATGAATTATTATCGTTAAAAAACACAACCAACAGTTTATTTATCACATATTACCGATATTGTACAAAAACATGTTTCACAACCGAATAAATTTTCACTCCCCATAATAATATCATATATCATGACCATAACATTCACTCATTGATGATTATTTTCAAATATTAATAATATCATATATCATTCACTCATTTATTTACTAATTTCACCTTATAACCTTTTTGTTTAATATAAAAATATATATTTATACTAACCCTATTGTTTGTTTTTTATAGGATATGACAATCAAATTTCTGGAACAAATCTTAAAAGAAGTGGTAGCGGAAAGAAAAAACTGTCATTGTCCTCTACATCTTTATTTAAATCTAAATAAATTTAATATTATTTCCCATTTTAGATCATAACTATTATAGATAGCTGGACTCAGAATGATCTTACCATTTGACAAATGATTTTAATTCTACATTAATTTGTAAAATAAAAAAATTATAAAAGAATGGGGATCGAAATTGATATCTTTAAAAGCGAACCAGATGCCATTTGTCAATCAGCTTATTGTTGATGGTTGCAGGTGATCTCTCTATTCTGAAATTCTATACAACTAATTAGAAACTTCAAGAAGAAAACATGCAGAATGTAATCTAACTTTCAAAATACACTTTTTTTCTAAATGGTTTTAATGTTTAATCAAAATATTTATTAATAATTTAACTTGAGTTGATTTTTCTCTTTTGGTAATAAAGATTAGGTCAATCACTGACTGATTTTTTTAATTTCAACCTAAATATAACCTATCCGCCTATCATTAGTTTGTCCTTTCGATAGCTGATTTGAACTCATCTCCATTCACTGTCAGTGATACTGAGAGTCAATAGTATTATTCCTTATAGTGTTACATTGTGTGTGTTGGGTCAAAACCTTACCACTCTTCAAATCTCAAAGGGTACGATGATAAAATCAAAATTGTACTAAACAAGGCTGATAAGGTTAGTGCTCAACAATTGCTTCGAATCTATGGGGCTTTGATGTTTAGAAATAAATACCTAAATTTTTTTTTTCCTACTTTTTACTTTTAGGTTCCATAAAAATATTTTAGAAATGAAGTATTGATGTATTCGATTTATTCCTTTTTATTTTTCTATATCTGTTTTTAAATGTTAATATTTTTTTTCAAAAAGGTAAAGAGAGTTTATTTGGGATCATTTTGGAATGGATCAGGACTACAAAACCCAGATACAGAGAAATTATTACATGCAGAAATGGTAGATTTAATTAAAGAATTGTTAATGTTGCCAAAGAATGCAGCAATTAGAAAAGTTAATGATTTGGTAAAACGTGCACGAACCACAAAAGTTCATGCACTGATTGTATCACATCTTTGTAATGAAATGCCTCCTGATGAACAAGACTTGCAATAAATATTGAAACATTCTAAAGGTTCAAGACTTGGTATAATAATCATTTTTAATTTATTATTTATTTATTTTAGATTGTACAATATTTAATTAATATACTATTTGCCAATTGAGGATTAGTTTTTTTATAAATTAAAGAAAGATTAAAAGCAGCCTCTTGTTTGAGTGAATAATTTGGATCAGTTTCACTGTCGTCACTGAGAACAACATTGTAAAGTGTGATTGCTTGTTCCAACATTCCAATTTGATGACATGCTCTAGCCAAGTTGTAAAATGCCTCCTGTCTCTCTGTATGTTGACGTGCATTTTTATAAGACATTAAGAATGAAAAGGCAGTAAGAGCAATCTTGTGGCGATCTACATTTCTACGACCCATAATCTCTGATAGAATGGTAATACCAATCAATAATTGTACCAAAGGTTCCTTTGGATATTGTCCATATGATTTTAGATATTCATGCAAAGCTATCGTAGTTCCTCCCAAAATTAAATTACAATTACCATAAATAATAGAAATTGGTAAACTATCTGGGAATCTATCTGCCATACTTTGTAAAAATGCTTTTTGATAATAATAATATCTACCTTTTGATCTAAAACAAAAATTAAATAAAATTAATAAATCATTATTATTTCTTTTTCGATTTTCTTTTGCTATTTTCTATTTTTTACCTACCTAATAATAATTCTATTAAATAAATTCCAAATTCTATGACTTTTTGGTTTTTCAGCACAAACATATTTAACATGTTTGACAGTAGCCAATCTTGGACGATTTGTTGTTAGGGCAATAGCAACCAATAAAAACTTTAATTGAGTTTCATGGATTGTAGCCAAAGAGATAAAAGCAAGTGCATATCGGAGGTAACCAGCAGCCTCTGCACCTCTTTGTTTGTAGGGAAGTGTTTTGGTGAGATTAAAAAGTAGATTAAAATAATCATTTTCTTCCAATTTCTCTGCCTCGGGAATATCAACCAATTGAATTGGAGGACGACCAGAAATCGTTCTAACATTATGAGGAGCTCCATCATACCCAAGTTTTGTTTTAGTACGAATATGATATTCTCTTTCATACGATCCTTTTAATAGAGCTCTTGCAATACCAATAAAAGCATCATACTTTCCAACATTCCAATATGAATCTGCTTTTTTATATTGTTCAAATATATCATCATGATTTGGTTTCTTATCCGTCAACCATTTCATTGTATGTTGATACAATGTCTCTTCCGATTCATCATACAATAATTCATCATACTGATTTAATATTTGAAATGATCTTTGTACATCTCCCAATTCTTTATAAATATCTGATAATAATATAGTTACATTTCTATTATTTGGTTCATATTGTAATACTAAATTAAAGTAAAATTAAAGTTTAATTTAATATATTTATCTATCTTTTCTATTTTTCTATTTCTTTTTTTTTACCATTTTCAAAATAATGAATAGAATTTTCATATTGTTTTAAATCTTTATAAATTGAACCAATTAAAATCCAAATAGAAGGTCTATCAAACTCGGTACCCAAAACTTTAAGTAATAGAGTAAGAGCTCTTTCATATCTTCCTTGAATCGATAGTTTTTCGGCCAAACCAATATAGAGATCACCAACTGCACTAGGTGACTCTTGTAGTATCTTGTTCATACAGACGTCACCAAACTTGTCATCATTCAATTCGTAGAATGCAATACTGGCATTATAGACAATATCAACGGGGATTTCATAATCGTCTGGATAGATACCTCTAATTCTTTGAAACAATTGAACTGTTTTGGCATATTGCGTCTCTTTGTTGTATAGACCAAGCAACATATTAAAACATCCCAAATCTATAGTTTCAAATGGACGCTTCAATTCAATCTCTATAAACCCTTCCAAGAAATTAATTGCCACTGTCTTTTTCTTTAGATTGAGTAATACTTGAGCATACTCTAATGCAACGATTGCATCATCGGGTCTAAGTTTTTGAAGTACTTGTAATACTTTGTAGGCCATATTTAGACGACCTTGTTGTTGAAATGCAATGGCCAATTCCCATTGTGTCTCCAAATCATCGACATTTAGATAACGGAGACGTCTTAGACAATAGATGAATCGTTCATCATCACCATTCTTTCTCGCCAACTCTGAAGCACGTTTCCATAGATCCGGATCATTCTTTCCAATCTTTGCACCGACATATACAAAATCAGCAGCACTCTTTAAATCTCCTTGTTCCTCTCTGATACGTGACAAGATGGTATATGATCTTGTATAAGTTGGTGCCAATCTAATCACCTCTGTAAACACTGTAAATGAATCTTCAAATTTCTCTTCAATAAATAATCCCAATGCTTTTGCTGCTAATTTCTTTACTTGTTTTGATAATCTTGGTCCCTAATTGAAAAGTAAATAACAATCAATATATTATATATATATATATATATAATCTATATATATATATATATATATATAATCTATATATGTAATATAAACTTACATTACTTGGAGTTGCAGGTTTTCTTTTTCTTTGTTTACGTAATCCAGGTATATTTTCAATATCAAATCCACCAGGTTGTGTTGATGGTTGTGTTTGTGATGTTGTTACTTTTTTATCTGTTGTTGTAGTTGTTGTAGTTGTAGAGGTAGATGCATCATCTTCTTTTTCTTTTGTTGTTGTTGTTGTTGTTGTTGTTGATGATGTTTCAACTCTTGGTCTTTTATTATCATCATCATCTAAATCCATTTTATCCAACTCTGATCTAGGTCTAACATAACCATCCAATTCATCATCATCATCATCTGATAGATCATCTTGTTCATCTATTTCATCTGATTCTGCAGCAGTCTTTTCCAACTGTTCATTAATGACTTGACTAAAATCAATACCAACATTGAAATTAATAATCTCTTCGTCGTCATCATCTGCTTCATTATCAGGATTCTCTAAATCCTGATTCATTAAATTAACAATATCATCTTTTGTCTCCATCCTCTTTTTTTTGTGTTTGTATGAATGAATATATATATATATATATATAAATACAACTATGATTCTTTTAAAATAGAATGAACATCGTTTTTTTTTAAATTAAACTTTTTGAAAGAGAGTTCTTTTCCCTCTCTTTTTAATTTATTTATTATTTTTGGTTTTACACAAACATAGTTAGTTGTTAGTTTTTGTTTACAATAATACCAATTGGACAATGATCAGAACCTTGTACTTTTGATCTAATAAATGAAGCTGCAATCGACCCGATAAAAGTAGCTGGTACAATGAAATAATCTAATCTCCAACCAGCATTCTTTGCACGAGCACCACCCATATAACTCCAAAAAGTGTATGTACCAGTCTTGCCTGGATTAAAGTGACGATGAGTATCAATAAATCCTGAATTTAAATGTCCACTAAAACTTGTTCTTTCTTCAATTGTAAATCCTGCTGTTCTTGACTAAAAGAAATATAAAGAATAAATAAATAAGTATTATTATTATTTTCTATTTTCTATTTTCTATTTTCTATTACATTTGATTTTGGATTAGCAAGATCAATTTCAGTATGAGCAACATTTAAATCACCACACCAAACAACAGGCTTTTTAGTATTTAGATCAGACATGTATTTAAAAAAGTCTACATCCCATTCTTTGGTACGATAACCTAGACGTTTGAGTGGTTCCTTTCGATCGACACCAGAGTTTGGTACGTAAGCATTGACAACGTAGAAATCTTCAAATTCGGCGGTCACTACACGACCTTCTTGATCGTGTTTACTGATACCGATACCACTAGTGATTGAAATTGGTTTGATCTTGGTCAACAAGGCAGTACCGTGATGTCCAGTCTTTTCAATACATGGGTTAAAATGGTAAGTGTATCCCTCTGGAATCTCACTCTTTGGTACCTTGGCCACTGCAATCTTTGTCTCTTGCAAACACACAATATCCGGTTGTTCCTTGATCAAATAATCCTTAAACCCTTTCTTTGTACATGCTCCAAATCCTGCTACATTCCAACTAACAATTTTAATTTGATTACTACAAAATAATAAATACACAATTAGTCAACTAATCATCATCATGTGATCATGTATGATCATCTGATCCATCTGATCTGATCATATTTAACATACCTAGAGACTGCTGGAGTAGTGAAATCTTCATCACCAGTTGTTGAAACTGATGCAGTAGAAGTAGTTGAAGTCTTTGGTTTGGCAGCTGCTTTCTTACCACCTCTACCCTTTGGTTTTGGTACTTCCTCTTCCTCCTCATCTTCCTCAACTTCTTCTTCATCTTCTTCTACATCTTCTTCATCGTCAGATTCAACAGCCTTTTTAGTAATCTTTCTCTTTGATGACCCTTTTTCAGTCTTGTCTGGTATACGTTCTTCTTGGTCTTGATTATTATCCATATCTTTCTCTTCTACTTCGTCCTCTACCTTTTTCTTTTTATATCCTTTTGGTGGCTACACAAATACACAAACACAAATATGTTATTAGATATACACTTCACAATATATTATCTATACTTTTATATCTTACCATTCTTTTTAATACTTTGTTTACGCTTGTAAATTATTTGTGACGATGTGGGGGATCTAAATTCCCAGAAATATGTAGTTTTGGAAGTGCGTGTCTCGAGATTTGCACAATGAATCTTCATTTTTAATATTTTAATATATTTTATTTTTATTTGTATAGTTCAGAGTTTCAAGTTTGAAATAGAGAGAGAGAGGATGGATAACAATGAATTAAGTTCAACAGCACAACCAAACTATCATCTATTTGGAAAGGTAGAATTCAACGATGAAGAGAAACAAAGAATAACACGTGAATTGGATACAGCCCCAAGTCAACAAGATCTACAGACAAGAGTTGCATTTGGTAAATCTAAAGTTGCCTATATGGAGGCATGGAAGGTGATAGAGATTGCAAACAAAATATTTGGTTTCAATGGTTGGTCTTCTCAACTTACTAATATGAAGACTGATTTCGTATGTTCATAAACAAAACAAATAACAATCATTCATTCATACTGATCATCTCTCTTCTTTTTGTTTGTTTGTTTGTTTATTTTTAGACTGACGTAATTGGTGGTAATTATAAAGTTGGAGCAACTGCAATTCTAAGAGTTACACTAAAAGATGGAACATTTCATGAGGATTTTGGATTTGGTATTGCTATAAATGGTTGTAAAGGTTTGGCTATTGAGAACGCTAGAAAGGGTGCTGTATCTGATGCTCGTAAAAGAGTATTACGTATCTTTGGAAGAGCTCTTGGTAATCAATTGTACCAACAATCTTATAATCAACAAATCGTTGCTAATAAAGCAAATCCACAATTACCTCCTACCCTTGGATCCAACAACAATCAACCACCTGTAAATAATAATCAACAACCTCAACAACAACAACAACAACAGCAACAGCAACCTCAACAATATGAAGATGATTTTGACTTTTAATATAAATAAATAATATACAAATAATATTAATGGAATATATATAATAATAAATAATAATAATAACTAATAATAAATAAATAAATAAATGTATAAAAGAAGAATATGTATGTGTTAAGAATTGAAGAATCAAATTTATTTCTTGACGTTTGAGAGGTTCTTTTCCTTGAGACGCTTGGCCATTCTGATCTTGGACTTGGAAGAGACTTGACAACCTCCCCATTCCTTACGGTGTTCAACGTTGTTGTTGTACATGTTCTTGGCAGATTCGACAAGGAGAGAGAGATCGTGTTGGTCACCTTGGTTGACACCAGTGATGGCAACGACAGAGGTCTTCTTGAGGTTGACGACTTGACCCAATCTGGACTTGGACTTGACGATGACGTATGGGACATCCATACGACGGCAGAGAGCTGGTAAAGAGATGACCAACTGAGATAGGAAAGAGGAAAGGGGGAAGGGGAGAGGAGGGGTAAGTTAGCAATTGGAATAAAGAGGGAAACAAGGGGTAGAAGGTGTTGCCAACTTTTGGAATGTTGGGATATTATAGTATATGTGAGGGGAGGTATATGGATGATGGTAATGTTTCATAAATAGTAGATATATAATATAATATAATAATAGTAATATGGTTAATTACTATTATATATATATGTATATATTTAGGAGGGTTGAAACAGAAGTGGAAAGTTTGGAACTTTGCGCAACCGTTTAAAAGCCCCTCTAGTGAAGGATCCATCCACATAATCAATGTTGCCTCCCAGAGATGGGTGGTGTACATCTAGCAGGCATTCCAATCACTCGAGTGCCGTCAACAATGCTTTTGAATAACATCTATTTGTATTGGTCGCAAGTGGTACAAAAGAACCAACTTGGCATTGTCTAAAACATGGTTAAACAACAGACCGATACACAAGCACTTGGTTTCAAGCCCTGTCCCATTGCAATAGAAAGCAATGAAAACATTAAATAGGCGAAACAAAAGTATATGAAATCACACACATGGCCAAGAGAATGGAATCAAAGTGTGGAAAGATGTTAAACAAACATAGTTCCAAACATCCACCTCTGTCACAAAACCTTGAACAAGCGGATAGAAGAAGAAGTAAAGAGACCCAGCCGATAGAATAGAAGAAATGATTTACCATCATCATTATTATACAACCCTCATATATATAACCTATGACAATTTGAATAGTCAAACTAGCACTAGCAACGCGTAACCTTTAGGATTATTATATGATTGTTATGTTATCATTATACATACTTCAACTGGGTCGACATCATGAGCAATGACGACGAGCTTGACCTTCTTCTTTTCAACGAGACGGGTGACCATGTCGACACCGTGACGGACGACGTGAGCCTTCTCCTTTGGAGCTTGTGGCTTCTCACCCTTTGGGGCGGCAGCACGCTCTTGAGCAATCTTTGACAAACGAGCCTTCTTGGCAGCGGCTTCTTCTGGACGGTACTTGTCCAACAACTTGAAGAGGGAGGTGGCGGTGTTCTTGTCCAAGACACGGGTGAATTGGTTGATGGTTGGTGGGACCTTGAAACGTCTCATGAGGACTCTACGACGACGTTGGATGAGGACGTAACGTGGCCACTTGGTAAAGTAGGTAACATCACGCTTTGGAGCAACACCGTGACCGGTACCAAAGACACGCTTCTTGTTCAAGGTGTAGATGGCGTCGAAACGAGCACGTGGCTTCTTGGCAGCAACAGCCTTACCACCGGCGGCCTTCTTGACGACCTTTGGGGCAGCTGGCTTGGTAGCAACAGTCTTAGCTGGGGCAACAGTCTTCTTAGTTGACTAGAAATGAAAAGTAATAGTAATAGAGTAGATATGTCTTTAGATTATACGTTCTTATAGTGTGATAATAGATATAGGATAGCATACCATTCTTAACGTTTATCTAGTAGATGGTCCTTTAACAAAGTGTATGATAGTCTAACGGTTGTATCTTGAAAGGTGAGCTGAGTGTGCGTCACACCCGCTCGGTTGCCGAATGAGCAACAGACTCATGAAAAATAAAAAAAATAAAAAAAATTCAAACTTCTGATTTTGTTACTTTTTAAAATTGCATGTTTATTTTCTGACCTCAGAGGTTGAATGTGATGATGAGTTAATATCTTAGCTTGACTACTATTATTATTATTATTGTACAATACATATATTAGATAGAGAATATGACAGGGTGTGGAGGATGTTCAACTAAAGGTAGTTCTGGTTGTTGTTCAACAAAGTCTAGTAGTAGTACTCCAACAACTACTACTAATACAACTGCTACAGTTGAAAAGGGAGGAATAAGACAATATGAATTTGGAGCATATAGTTCAAATAAAATAGAGTATAGTAATGATGCTACAGATAGTGATAATACAACATCATCAATACCAAAAAAACAATCGTCTGGAGGAGGATGCTCAAGTGGAGGTTGTTCAAGTGGGTCATGTAAATCAAGTTCAACGTCAACAACAACAAGTGTATATAATAATAATCAACAACAACAACAACAACATAATCATTCACATTCAAATAGTTCACATTCACATGGTTCAAATCAAAATGATATTATAACAAATGAAGAATCAATTAAAATTAAAGAAGGAACAGATGATGTATTGACAGCATCACAAGGTGGATGTCCATCAAATACAGAGTCTGCAGGAAAGGAAACTGTTTGTCAATCATGTCCAGGTCAAGGAGTTTGTTCATCACAATCTGTTAATCCAGACAAGAAATCAATCGATATTAGAATGAAAGTAATTAAACATAAATTATTGGTACTAAGTGGTAAAGGTGGTGTTGGAAAGGTATGTAGAAAAAAGAAATATCATAAATATAATATAATATAATATTGTATAATATTAATTTGATTGTTTAATTTAATTTAGAGCTCAATAACATCATTATTAAGTTTTGGATTAGTACATAGACAACAAAAAGTATCAGTTTTGGATATTGATATTTGTGGACCTTCTATACCAAAATTGATGGGAGTTGAAGGAGTGGCTATTGTCAATTCAGAGTCTGGTTGGGTACCACCTAGACCACTACCAGAGTGTAATATACATGCCGGTGATATTAAAGTAATGTCTGTTGGATCCATGTTGGGTAGTCAGAATAATAGTATTGTTTGGAAAGGTCCTAGAAAGACAACTATTATCAATCGACTCTTAAAAGATACGTTTTGGGGTAGACAAGATTACCTAGTAGTAGATACACCACCGGGTACCGGTGACGAACATTTATCAATCGTTTCAGCTCTATCAAGTACAACCAATGTAGTTGATGGTGCTATCATTGTAACATCACCTCAAGATTTGGCAGTTGATACTGTTAAAAGAGAAATTGAATTTTGTTTAAAACAAGGTGTCAAGGTTATAGGTGTCATTGAGAATCTTAGTGGATACGCATGTCCATGTTGTGATGAAGTGACAGAAATTTGGAAACCAAAAGATGGAACTAGTAGTGGTGGACTTGGTCTTGCACAACTTTACAATATACCATTCCTAGGTCGTCTACCTATCGATATCAATCTAGGATATTGTAGTGAAAATGGTAAATGTCCATTTTGTGATTACCCAGATTCAACAGGTACAAAATCTTTTGAAAAAATTATTGATTCAATTTTAATTCAATTAAATCAACAACAACAAAAATCATAATCAAAATCATAAAGTCATAAACCAAGTATATTGTTATATTATATATTTAATTTGTTCTATTTATTTTTCTATCTATTTATTTATTTATTTTAATAAGCTCTTATACTATTAAAATAATATTATTTGTTTGTTTGTATCATTGGTATTTGTTATTATTTATCGGAGAGTTGAAATAGTTAATGGAGAAGTTGGGATTACTTGAGAGATTGATTTGTTTGGATTAAATGGAGACTTGATTGAAAATGGTGAAGAGTTGATCATTTTGTTGGAAATATCCGAAAGAGGTGCTCCTTTTGGAGTTGACACCTTTGGAGTTGACACCTTTTTAGATGGTGTACTTGCAGTACTTGTACTGCCACCAACAGTCTTTTTGTTTGGTGTATTGTTATTTGTTGCCTTTTTGTTTGGTGTATTTTTGTTGTTGTTGGTCGATCTAGCAGGACTATTAGTATTTGATTTACTTGGAGTTGATGGTTTTGGATGTAAAAGACTTGATCCAGTCTTTCTCAATTTAATACCGGTAATGTCAGACAGCGAGATATGGAATGATGGTTGATTCGATGACATTCTCTTTGGTTTGGCAGCAGCTGGTACGGTTGGTGCCTGCTGAGTGCTCTCTACAGTACTTGGTTGTCTTGGAGTAACCTTTTGTTGTTGCTGCATCATCATCATTGGAGGTGGTGGAGGTGGTGGAGGTGGTGGAGCATACATTTGGACGGTTGGTTGAATAGCAACAGGTGGAGCAGATTGGATAAGTTGAGCAGCTCGAATAATTTGATCCAATAAATTGTGGTATTGTTTTAAATCCTTTTTAGTTTGTTTCAATTGTTCATTCTTTACCTTTGACAATTCCTTTTCAAGTGATGCAATTCTTGATTCCAATGTTCTAATTTGGTGTTCATTATTTTGGATAAATGTTGATGACGATGTGGTAGTAGTGGTAGTCGATGATGATGATGATGATTCTTGACGTAAAAATGGTTTGTTGGACGAAGATGAGGAACCTTGATCTCTATCACTAAATGCCAATGCCAATTCAGTGTCATTGTATTCATGTGAGTCAGGGTACATACCTCCTCCTTCAAATTCATCCTCATCCTCTTCACAACCATCATCATACTGGTATTCTAGAGCACTAGAATCATCATCATCATGATTGGCAGTTATTTTTCTGTTAGTTGTTGTAGTTTGGTTATATTTACAAATAGTTGAAATAAATTGGAATACCTAAAAGACAAATCAAATACAAATAATTTCAAAAGTAGAACAAACAAACAAACAAATATTAATATTTAAATGATTATTTTTTGACAAGTTAGTTAGTTGGTCAAGAATGGATGGTACATACATTATTTGAAAGATTAGTAAGTGATTTAATGGGTGAATGTACAATATTGATACATTGATCAATTAATATAGATATTGATGGTTTATTCTGAGTATTATTATTATTATTGGTTGTATTATTATTGTTGTTATTGTTATTGTTATTGCTTCTCTTCTTCTTTCTAATTTGTTTAGATTGAGATTTCTTTTTTCTTTTATCTCCCAACTTCATCTTATCTTTCTTTATCTATCTATCTTTTATCTCTATACAATGAATGATGATGTAAATATAAACATATGATACAACTTGAACAAGCAAAAGAAGAGGTGATGGTTCATGGCTGCACCCAAATCTTGGTTCAGATCTGACCGTTGAAAAACAGTTGGAGAGGGAAAAATTTAAATTTGAATTTTAACCAAAAGTCGCCAAGGATCAGATGATGTTAATTGGTTCATTTAAAATTTATTATTATTGTCTACTCTTTCATAACACACCACCCACAAAACATGAAGAAACCCTAACTTTACTTTATTTACTTTACTTTTTATTTATTTGTTTATATATATGTATATATTTGTGTATATATTTCTATTTCGATATGGTGAATAATCAAACTATTAGAATATTGATTAGTGTATTGATCATTGTATCATTATTCATTTATATGATGATGATGATCAATGATAGGGATGGAGAGATTGAGATACTAAAGAATGATGCGGCAGAGATACGATTAGAGTTGATAGAACGGGCAGATTATATAAGGACGGCGGAGGAGGAGAGGCAACATTTGGATGTAATGCAATACCAAAAGAGTCAAGCACTATTTCAAGCAAATGCAACTGCACATACAAGATTGGAGAATATGTTGAAACTGTTAAACGATCAGACTAGAACTGCTCAATTCCTTGAACACGATGTGCAAAGATTAGAAGAACTGTATCGTCGAGTAGTGGAATCACAAATGATACTGGAAAGAAAGGCGAGCGAGTTGGAACATGCAATTGTACCTATTGTAGTATTGACATGTAACAGATCATTCTATCTCAGTAAATGTTTGACGGCACTTGAAAAGAGTCGTAATCAATCAACTCTACCTAGACATTACCATCCAATCATCGTATCACAAGATTGTGATGATATGTTGACCGACAATATACTGTATCGTGATGATGACGAGTTTTTGGCAATGGATCTCGTCGCTTGGAGACACCCTAATCGTACCAAATTACTCTATCCATACCAATCAATCTCTAGACACTATCGTTGGGTATTGGAGGAGGTGTTTAAACTTGGTTATTCAACTGCTATCATTATCGAGGATGATCTTCAAGTGTCACCTGATTTTATATCTTATTTTGACCGTATGCATCCTCTGCTACTCGATAGTAAACAGAATTTGTTTTGTGTGTCTGCCTGGAACGACTTTGGACAATACAACACACTCCCCGCCCAACCAGAGACTGTACTCGACCAATTCCGACGTACCGACTTTTTCCCAGGTCTTGGATGGATGTTGACACGAACCTTTTGGCTAGAAATACGTGATCATTGGCCAGAATCCTATTGGGATGAATATCTCCGACAAAAGAATATTACTCATGGAAGACATTGTATCTATCCAGATATCCCACGTGTCAAAAATCTTGGTGAACTTGGTACAAGTGGAGAAACCATTTTCAACAATCATCTTAGTAAAATGATCTCTAATAATATTACAATCAATTATCAAAATATATCAATATTTAATTTATTTAATGTAAGAAGTAAAAGAAAAGTAAAAGAAATGTAAACAATTAATTAATTATTTTTTGTTGGTTTGTTAGGAAAATTATAAAAAAGAATTTGAAAAAGAATTTACGGTAGCTAGATATATACAATTTTATGAAATTGAAACATTTAAATTAAAGAATGAAACATTGAAAGTATTTTATACTAGCGTACCAGATTACAGTCACTATGCAAATATCATGGGAATACTAAATGATACAAGAGAAGGTATACCAAGATCATCCTACAATAATATAGTTAGAATCTATTATAAATCAAATATTTTATTCCTTGCACCAATAAATTCTTTTGGTTAAATCAAATCTGAACAGATGTGATTTGATTGTTTTGTAAATATAAAGAAAAGAAAAGAATATTTATTCTTATTATTTATTCTTTTGTTTCCTGTTGTTGTAATTTAATAAAATCTAAATGTCTAAGATAGGTAGAACTTAATTTAACGTCTCCACCTTGTTCAACTCCATCAAAATATGAGATTGAGTATATTTCCAATGGTTTTAAATTAGTTTCTCTTCTCTAAAAAATAATATTATGCATTAATATTTATGTATGTAAATATAAATAATGATTAATTATTTGTTTGTTTACTTACAACTTGATTAATATATAAAGCAGTTTTTAAAGTTTCAGGTGAAATGACAATATTTTGTAATCTTGTACTTGTACATGTATTGGCATATGGTTCAATCAATTTTAACATCTAAATAAAACATTAATTAATATTAATTCAAAAAAGATAATTATGATTGATTTGTTATATTTACATTATATTCAACATTTGGATTAACATTTTGAAGGAATTGTTTTGTAATTTGAGTTCTTGTTTCAAATGGAGCAATCAATTCAGAGTATTTTTTAGATTTTAGAATGGAATTGTCTGTTATGCCAACTTCCATATACTCTGAACAAAGTAGTGCTGCCATTGTCAAGAGTATCTTGTGTCCTGGATGAATACGATCAAATGTACCACCAAGTACAACTCCTTTAAATATAGGTTTCCAACTTTCTCTATCACTTGATTCCATTTGTACAGTGTCATCATAGATTGAATATTTATAATTATCAATTGGATAATTGATCGAATCAACTTTGATAAATTGTTGTTGTTGTTGTTGTTGTTGTTTAATATATGGTTGATCTTGTTGATCTATGAATAATACATCAATACCAATTTCATCTTTTGGATTAATTGATGTCAATGAAGAAGATGAAGAGGAAGATGAAGAGGATGATTGATTGGTTGCCAATGATGGAGGAATTAAAGTAACATTCAACTTTGGATTAAATTTATATAATACTTTATAGTAAGAGTCATAGATTGATTCTAATCTTTTAAGTCTTTGATAGTGTTGATTGATGAGTGTTGATGGTGATTGAGGGTCATCGGTAGAGTTGTTGCTATTTGATGTCTGTTCAATCGATTCAACTCTATTCAATGTATTGTTATAGTGTTGTCCAATTACACTATCATATGATTCTAATGATCTATTATTATTGATAGTATCATTCTTCCAAAAACTTGAATGTGAAACAAACTGAACATATAGTTTATCTTGTACTTGTAGCTGACAACTAAACAATTTAGCAAAGTTGTGATAATGTACAATACTATGAGCATCCTTTTTACTCATAGACTCTGTAAACAACAGTCTAATCAATCCCGTTTTATACATTGTTTATAGTTTAGTTTAGTTTAGTTTAGTTTATATATATATATTTCTTTCAACTAGTTGTATAAATAATAATAATAATAATAATGAATGTATTTATTCAATTTCTTCTTTTATAACTTTTCATTTTAAATTAAATATCTATCTCTTTTTGCGCAAAGATGATCGGTCGGAGTGGGATTGGTTCCCAACACCTATGATATGATGATGATGATGAAATATTTAAACGAAAAAGGAAACAAATAACTCTTTTGTTGGGTGTATGTGTATACAACTACTACTTTCTTTTATTACAAATTAAATTAAATATAAATTTATTAATAATAAATGTGAGATGAGACAGAAAGAAGAATGTCATCATCACCAAGACACTGAAAGATGATTTTATTTATAAAAGTTATTTTTAATTTTATATTTAAATATTTCCTGAGTAGATTATAAAAAGACTCTGATGACTGCTGTGCCACCACTATTTACCCTTTCATCTCATTATTTTGAAATAAACAAGAGGAGAGAGTTCTTTATTCTTTGGACACGATTATCATTTTCCTCATTTGTATTTTAAATTTGTATAATGTCAACAACAACAATAAGATGGTCAAACACATTAGTCAAGGATTGGACAAACCAATTGGCTAATGATTGGGTAAATGTCACTCTCAGACGTAATCCAAATGACATTTACCTCAAAAAAGACATATCAGGTGAAGATCTTTACTTTGCGAGGGTTCACTCTTTGAAAGTTGATTTGATGATCTGTTCTGCGTGTCCAAAGGTGTAGTCGCTTAACTACTCGCTGTTAACAACAACACCAACACCACCTTTGCATTCTTCCTATTTTGACTAGTGAAACCGATATGTTCAAAAAAGCTTCAGACTCGCCAGTTAACTTTGCCAAACTAGGTAGTCATATTATTCGCCTCGAACCAATCTCGATAGATGATGATACGTCACCGAACTAATATCCGTGTCATATTTATACTCTCTTTTATTATTACACAATTATTAATATTAATTTTAATTAATTTAAATGTGGGATGAGACAAGTAGAATGTCTTGATCTTGGTGATGACAGTGAAATAAAATGTGGTGAAAGATTGGCCCAGTAGCATTATTATGAAAGGTTTTAAAGATATTGTTGTTTGGTTGATCGTTACCATTACCACCAATAAAATAGGTAATATTGTTGTCATAGTCATAGACACATTGACCAAAGTCTATTTTTGCAATATTACCATACCCTTTAATACTATTATTTGATTCCCATAATTTTCTTGTTAAATAAATCGATTCAATCTCTGTATAATATGTAATCTCATTTCTATACATAACATTACAACTATTATTATTATTATTATTATTATTATTATTATTATTATTATTATTATTATTATTATTACTGTTATTTTTTGATTTACCACCATAAACAAGTACTCTATCATTTGATTGATCGTTGATTAAAAATATACCTCTTTTAGGTGTTGATAATTTAACATTATCTAATAGGTACCAAGAGTCTGATAGCTTGTCATATACTTCAATACTATCCAATTCCTTTCCATCCATCCCAACTCCACCTGCCACAATGATGATTTGAGCTTCTTGATCAAATAATACACCAGCATTATATCTTGGTACTTTTAGACTTGCCATTGGAGTGATCACGTTCATTTCAGTATCATATCTCTCGCACGTAGATATTGCCTTATTGTCTTTACCTTGATCTTTACCACCAATAAAGTAAATATATCTTGGTTCTGAATGTGATTGTATACATGATGATTTGTACCGAGGGTAGAGCAATTCTACAGACATTTGATGGAATGGTTCCAATACAGATGTATCTCTTTGTATCTTTGCTTTTAGTATTTGTTTTGGATTATGTTTACCACCAAACACAAAGATTGATTCTTTTGAATAGGCTGTAAAAGCATTCAATAGTGGACCGAGTTCTCTTTCTTCTTTAACTTGACTTGCACCATCGGAGGTATGGCTAATACAACGAGGTTGAATAGGGTCAGTGTTGACAGACCATGGCTTGATACGATACGGGTATCAAGGGTATCCAACCTTTTCCTTTTCAGTACAAAATAATCTTGTAAATTGACATGAAGAAGAATAACAATATTCTTTGTTCAATTTATTACTATTATCTTGTTGTTGTTGTTGTTGTCCACCAATAGTAAACAAGAATGGTGCATAATGTAAATTAACTTTAATCGGTGTATAGTTGAGTTTTCCTTTAATATCTTGTTCAATTACTATCGATTGAATAGTTGATGATGATCTTGGTGGAGGTGGTGGTAATGTTGCTGCTGTATATTGTTCTGTTATTGAGAATGTTGTTGTTTTTTGTTTATTACTATCTCTTTTCGAGGTACTATTAAAATTTTTGACCATATTTTCTTTCTCTCTTTGACCTTTTTTTTTTTTATGTTGATAATATTTTTTTACTTTTTGATGAAGTAGAGAAGCAGTATGCCATATCATCATTATTAATATCTTGATTTAATTTGTTTTGGTAAAATTAGCAAAGGAGATGATGTCACAGTCTCGATCTCAACTTCTTCTTCTTCTTCTACTTTGTTTATGATCAATGATGAATACATCAGATAAAGACAACCAGTCAACTTCAAATGATGATGATGTTGATATTAAAATCAAAAGATACCAATTATTAAAATGTATATTGTGCAATAGGTTTCTACGAAACTGTTTGTTTAAAAAATATATTATAGAGTTCTTTGGGAGTAGAGAGATATTAGAATCATCATCATTGTCCTCCTCAACCAAACCTATACAATCATACCCAAGAGATCGTAGACAAGCAGGTACCACGTGGGCTGTACCAGAGTCACCAATTAAACTTTACGGATGGGCCGAGTTAAAGGTAGATGCAGCTCAACTTGCTGCCTATGGATACTTGAACCAATTAATCATACTATTAAATCAACAAGAGAATCATTATAATCATAATCAATTAAAATGGTTTAAATCTTCTCCACCATCCTCTTCATCTTCTTCTAATACTACTACTACTACTCAATCTCAGTACTTTATACCAAATTTAGAAGGAATAATAATGTTGGCATGTAAAAAGAATAGAATAGAGATTTTAGATTATCTATTTGATCGGTATGGAGGACACTTGAAAGAAGTTGGTTATTATATACAAAAGTATGCGTGTCGGTATGGTAGAGACGATCTATTCCAACACACGGTCGGATTACTCGGACATGTATACTATGGATTGCAAAATGATATATTGGGTGGTGCCAATACCAACATTATAACCTATTGTCTAGAGTTGGATAGAAAGGCGGCGGCAACAACAGGATCAATGTCAAACATCCCATCTAAATATCTTGTACCTCGTCAAGAAATATTACAACATGTAAACAAATGGTTATCACTACCAACCCTACAATACCTTTATCAACATCATGAATACAACATTGTATTTACACAATCCAACAATAATTCATTTCTTAAAGCTGCAACGATGCACAACAAGTTGGATGTTGTTCGGTTCATTGTAGAGAATAAAATAGAGGACACCAAGAATGTAGGGAGAGAAAGTTTGTTTGATTATGCTGCACGTATAGGTCGGTTAGAAATCATTCAATATCTTCACTCTATCGATCTGTGTACATCATCCTCATCCTCATCATCATCATCATCATCATCATCGCCGTCATCGTCGGGTGTTGTTGTAACAGAGGCTGCTATTGATCAGGCAGCTCGTAATGGATATTTGGATATAGTTTGTTTTCTTGTGGAGAATAGGACAGAGGGTATGTCGTATAGGGCAATTGAAAAGGCTGCCAAATTTAATCATTTGGAGATTGTAAAGTATCTACATACAAATACAACAGCACCGTGTACGCACAAGGCTATGGATCGGTCAGTCGAGTTTCCAGATATATTCATATACTTGTATAACAATCGAAAGGAGGGATACAGTAAACAAGCGACACGATCCATCATGTTGGCGGCTGGGTCAGTCCTGTGTCCCCCGGACCACACCAATAGCTTCTTGGACGTTATCAAACTCATCCAACAAGATGACGATAAGGAGAAATTCAATTTTGGACTAGACCGTCTTTCATTGGCTATCCCTCGTCACGAGTTGACCGATGATTGTGACGTGTTCAAGTTTATGGTCAAGTTTGTTGTTGACTCTACGTCGGTCGTGTCATCATACTCACCAATGATGCATCGTGCCATTGAAAACAATCAACTGTCATTGGTACAGTGGATGCAACAACACCTCTTAATCGACTACACATCCAACTATTTCCAATCGGCTGCCAACACGAGTGATGTGCGTATGCTGAGGTATATGCTCGAGACTGAAAACAGCCCATTTATCAACACCAACCATTCCACTCATGTCAACAACCTCTCACTGGCTTTTCTAACAGCCGTACTCTCCAACAACATGACTATTGTCGAATACCTATTAGACAATACACAACAACTAGTCAACTACTCTATTACATTTGACTTGTACTCTACAGTCATCAGACAAGGCAATGTTACACTTTTAAAACGTTTAATTACTGTCTCTTCCTCCAATCACGATGCATGTGGTGGTGGTCAGACAACTGCAGTACTAGACTTTAAAGTATTTATTGCATCTGGTACATTTTTAAACGATTTAAATTATGCTATTGATAATGTATGTCTAGAGATGATAAAGTATCTATTTGACAATTACGATCATGTCGATAGAACTGGTAAACGTCTGGCACTGGTCTTTTTCCATTATCACAATATCACGTCAGAGATGATCGAGATGATTCGATATCTTACTGTCAACAAACAAGTTATAACAATGCCAAATGTCAAGGTTGGGTCTCGTGCTCCTCGAGAGTTGGGATTTTATCTATTGACAACGGTCAACACTGCCAAACAACCACCAACCTATATCAATATTGTAGACCTATTTATTCTGCAAAGACTTGATAAACAAAGTTGGAGTAATCTTTTGGAAGAGGCAATTGTTTGTGAAAATGTTGATCTTGTTAGATTCATATTGTTCAATACCAATGCATCAATGACACCAAAACTCATTCAAACATTGACTCAAAATCAATATCCTCATATTATTCCAATCATAGATAATCATTCTCATCTTAAATCTCCAATAGATGGTAGACGACAAATTAAACTATATTATTCTATCAATAATGATGATAATAATAATCATCAAGAAAAAAAATGTAATTTACAATAAATAATAATTCATGTACGATATATTGAAATTAAAGTTTAATAGTAAGAAAGTTTAAGTTTATTTAAATAATTAATTATTTAATTATTTATTTATTTATTTATTATTGTTTGGTTGGAGCTGCACATTTTTTCTTTGGTTTCTTGGTAGGACGAATCTTTGGTGTTTTGTCATACTCCAAACCTGGAATGTTAAAATTAACATCTAAAGGTTCGACATTGCGAATCTTGCCAGGTGGGAGGTTCTTGGTGCCGCTGTAGAAGAGTAGAGAAACCGTTATGGAAATGGATTCACCACCACTTTTAGCATTTAATGTAATTTCAAAAGGTTTGCCTTTCGACGCCAATCCTTTTTTACCACGTGGTTTGGGTGTGTCAGTGTTGGGTTGACTTGAATTTTTTTTTTGTCGTGGATTCAACGTGAAATCCATATTGGCAATTCCATCATGATTGATTATCACATTTGGGAATCCAGTTTTGTATTTCTCTTTTACATCAGGAGGTAACTCTGCCCAGATTCCAATATTGTTGGGGTCAAAATCGCCGAGTATTAGAAATCTAAGCCAGATGTTTTCATTTGGACCTATTGTGCTTGATCCATCTATATACTTTAATCCCAATGGATTTGGATTATCTTGACTTGATACCAAAGCAACTTTTGGAAGGTTTTGGTTGAACTGCTGTGTATTGGCATCCAAACTAGAGATACTCCCCAATCCGTTATCGGGAAATACCTGAAATGAACCCAAATCACCTGTAGTACTGCTGCTGACCACATGGTGCTCAGGTGGTTGTTGAGGTGGAGGGGTGGGTTGCTGCGAGCTTGGTTGTTGCTGTTGTTGAGAGGTTCCAACAACCGATGTACCTTCAAATAACTCTTTTTGAATTAGTTGTAATTGACCTCAAGATGAATGGTATCCTCAAATAGATTTTTTTTTAGCTGTTGAATATCAACTGGGGCCAGTTGATCTTGTTGTTTTAAAGTTGATGATGCATATAGACCAATTTTAGGGTTTGTTTCAGCGATTGCAGTGATTGTAGTGGTGTTGGTGATTGAAATGATGTTGATGGTGATGGTTGTTGTTGTTGTTCCACATGCAGCATCATGTCACCAGAAGTTCGTCCTAGAGAAGAGGTGTCGCGAATGGGATTCGGTCCACAGTTGTGGATTCGACACGGATCGGAAATCTAGCGGTTTGAACAGGTTGTTTTTCATCTGATGGTTCCAGTGGAACATTGACTACTTTCAGTACTCCTGAATTGTCATCGATAAAAACTGAATCGGGTTCATGGTTTTCGATTGATTGTAACAAATTACAATCTGTATCCTTCAAGAACTGTGATGAGACTGTATCCTCCTCAATGGTTAGAAAAAAGAACAACGATGATTAAGCCTGCCAATAGAGATCAATAAAGAGAGGGACAGGATAATAGAGCGAGAGAGAGATATAATATAAAAAGAGATATAGATGGTTAGTGAAAGGACCCCATCCCTAGGTGGAAAATGGGTCCATTTTTTATCTGTGTAAAGAATAAAATTTGATTGATAAAAAAAAAGTGTTGCAATGAAAGTTTGGGACTACCTACCTATATTTATATAAGAACTTAATTCTTGGATTCGAGTTTTTAGGTATTCAAGTTAGACCTATTATTGTGATCATCGACAAATAAATTAAATTTAGTCTTATTTTTACACTTCTGATACTCCATTGAATTTATGATACCAACAATCGATGTGATGATTAAATATTAAATATGCTTTGTGCCTCTCCTCTGTCTGCGTATTCCTTCTTCTTTTTATAAAATAGAATTACATTGACCTAGCTAGGATGAGGAATAGTTAGTTAGTGATATTCAATAATCTTCAAGAAAGAGAAATGAAAAAATTAAAAGAAATTAAACCAAAGATATAGATAGAGCTCTTTCGAGTTAGTTTGAATTTAAAAAAAACCATTATTTATTTATTTATTTATTATTTTATTATTTACTTATTTAATTATTCTTTTTTATATTTTTTGGTAGCATCTTCACCATTGTTTTTAGGTCTTGAAATTGGTTTCATTGTATTGGTGTGACTGGCGATAGGTAGTGGTAGGCATGCCCTTTCTTTTAGTTTCTCCTGTGCTAGTAGTACTAGTACTAGTAGTAGTAGTGCTAGTAGTACTAGTAGTAGTAGTAGTGGGCACATTATCTCCTTGCCCATCATTAACGCCTGGCCAAGCAGATAGATCGGTGAAAGAGGTTGGGAATAGATCTTCGCACCACGACAAAATCCAATTTGGATCATTGTTATTAACAATGGAACCAATTGTAAGACTAGGTGCAGCTACACTAGAAACAACCCTTTTTCTAACCTTTTTTCCAACCTTTTTTCCATCCTCTTTTTCTTCCTCTTCCTTTTTTCTTCCTTTTTTTCTTCCTTTTTTTCTTCCTTTTTTTCTTCCTTTTTTTCTTCCTTTTTTTTAAGATAGCCAGTCACCCAATTTGGAGATTCCTTGAGTAGTTCTTCAGTTAGAGAGAGATGGACTGAAAACTTTGGCTCGTGTAAGACAATGTTCTTATTGGTGCCATCTGGTCCACCCATAGCGCCAAGGAGCTGTGTGGAACTTTCCTTGGTTTTTCTAGAGCCAAGGAGGAATATGGTAGCAGGTCCATATAATAATCGGCCCAATTTAATCTGAACCTGAAATTGGTTGGGGTCCAATCCTTTAATTTTATCATTGATAGGCACAGGTTCGACCATGAGGATCTTGGATGGAGGGAGGGCCTTGGTGCCGCTGTACATTTTGATTGTAATCCTTTCGGTATATCCTGGAATGGATATACCACGATTGTGAGCCATAACTTCAATCTCAATAGGGATGCCTTCTGATATTGATGACGATGTTGATAATGATCCGTCGTCAGACTTTGAATTGGACTTTGACTTTGAATTGGACTTTGACTTTGAATTGGACTTTAGAAAGATTGTAAAGGCAAGTTCGGCATTTCCAACATCGTCGACATTGGTAATTTGGTACTTGAGTATGAAATCCTCGTTTTCAACAACAAACTTTGCCATGAGTGTCACATCGCTAAACTTGAACAATTTACTAGCACGAACTTTGAAATGATTTGTGACACTTCCACTTGGAACCCCTGTACTTGCTCCACGTACCCACTCTAAGGGTTTTTCTTGCAATGGCTTGGCGTCAACACAAAGAAGGTCAAGTAATTGTTGGGAAAGGAAAGCAACTGGTGGATACACAAATGAAAGTTGAGATTGCTTTGTGAGTAGTTGTCCTCGTTCTTTTTCTTGTTGAGAATTTAATTGTTCCTTTTGTTGATCTAGTAATTTTTGTAGTTGTTCTTGTTGTTCTGATTGCGATTTTATAAGTTGATTTTGTAGTTCTATTTGTTGATCTAGTAATTTTTGATATTGAACATTTTGTTTTTGAAGCAGTTGATCTTGTTGTTGGCGTAGTTGTTGTTGAAGGATTTGTTGTTGTTGTGGTCCTAGTAGTAGTAGTTGTTGTTGTAGTAGTTGTTGTTGTCCTAGTTGTTGGTCTTGACCAAGGATAGGGTTGACCTTACTGAGGGTTAGAAGTTGGGACTGGTTTTGGTCCATAGAAGAAGAGTTGGTGAAATTTGAACCGTCGTAGTGTTGCACGTCGACATGCATGGCGCCTCCATCAGAGGGTGCCCCTTGAAGTTGACTTGGCAATTGATTGAGAGCCTGAGAGGGTTGGTAGTTGTTATAGGAAATGGATCTATTTTCGGACTTGGGCTCTTCATTTGTGCTGTTCGTACGAACAATGCTAATGGTTGGAAAATATCGAACATCATTCTGGTTGCTGTCATTACAGTGTGGTTGTTGAGGCTGGGGAGGAGCCTCGGTATTGGTGTGTGGTTGAGAACCTCCGAGGAGCTTTTCAAAATTGGGTTTGAAGGAATATTCATGATCAAGGTCCATATTCATATTTTAGCTTAATCACTATCTAGATAAGAAATAGCTATGGAAGAATCATAGAATAAATTTGACCAAAAAGAGAGAGAGAGAGAGAGAGAGAGAGAGAGAGAGAGAGAGATAAGGAAATAAATGAAATAAATAGATGGTGGATGGTTAGTCAAGAGTCAAGAAGTGTACTCAAAGAAAATGAAAGAATCATACGTTTAACTAAAGAAAGATCGGTACTATTACAATACAAGAGATAGAATAAATATAAATATAAATATAATTATTTATATAAATAATTAAGATAAAGATAAATAAGAAGAAGAAGTAAATGAATGTGTCTCTCAGTTAATGAATTTAAGCCAAAAGGAGGAGGAGGAGGAATGATTAGATCGGTGGTACCCGAAGTGAAAATGTAATTCGAAAAATGATCATCACTGGGGTCGGTACCCACCGGTTAACCCAACAATTTAACTTGAATGAAAGTTATTTCTTCTGTCAGCTTCCTCTCGATTGATTGTAAAGTCTATTGTAGCTTCTATTTTTTGAAGGGTTTTAGTTTGAACGACGGTAACAAATATTTCGGTGGCACCAAACTTCATTGAGACATTAACCGATTTCTCATCCTTAGTGTCACCTGGTGGGAGTGGAATTAATAATTCGGCGGCAAAGGAAATTCCTGGGTCAGTTGTGTATTTTATATCGGACAAGAGCGAGGAGAATATAGCAACTCTGATAGCATTTTGGGTTACACTGGTTGGCCAGTAGGTTCGGGTTATTATTTCATCAATGCCAACCGACTGTCCAGCCCAAACAAATGAATCGCAGATATTATATACATATGGTATCCCTACGTGTTTTTCTGGGTTAAACTTGTTTGCCGTTTCGACAGCATATGTTCTTTGCAATGTACGTTTGGTAATGACAGATGGATGGAGACCGAATCTACATGCACCCTTGACGACAGACAATGATGGTCTGGTTGGAACGATGATTTTGGCACCAGTGTATGCAAACTCTTTCTTTACCAATTCTTGTAGAAAGTAGTTTTCACTGAAACCACCAATCATAAAGATGAAATTTGGTTTCTTGATACAATCCCATTGTAGCATTTGAGTCTTGACGCAATCTACTATTTTGTTGAATAATGGTTGCAAAAATGTCATAAACGATTCCATGGGAATGACAAGATGTCCCGATCTCTTGTATTCGATATTGGAAGTGGTGGCAACATTATACTTTTGAATTCGTTGGGTCAGCCAATCAATATTCTTGTCAAATACACGTTGATTAAAGGAAATGTATCTTGGTTTGCAGCTGCTTTCAGACATTGATTTTTTAGCACTTTCAAACTTGTCCATCAATGCCATAAAGTCAGAACTGTCAATCATATCTTGTGTAACTTCATCACCAAGTAATTCAAATTCTTTTTTCTTTGGAGTACGAATAAATTGTTTGATTCCGTTTAATAGTCCACTCATCTCTCTTGATACAAATATTATTTGAATAAGCACAATAATCTTTTTTTTTTCAAAGAGACGAGAGTCGAGATGCTGTAAATTTTCGATCATCTGATCAGACATTTATATTATTTTTATTATTATTATTATTATTATTGATAATAACATTCTTGAACTCAAACTGCATCATTCATTATCTCTATTTATTATTCAACACCCACCTTTTTATCTTTTATCAATAATAATAATAAGAATAATAATAATAATAATAATAAAACAGATAGTCTCACAAGATATATGGTTATACAACCAAGTACTTCACACAAAAAAGCAGTAGTAGCTATCGACTTTGGAACTAGTTGTAGTGGCTATGCATCTGCATTTATTACAAATAATGATAATGTAGATATCTATGCACACGATTCATGGCCTGGAGGAGGTTCAATCAACACAAAGACTGTGACTGTGATCTCACTCGATCGACAAGGTAGACTCGCTAAATTTGGGTATGATGCTCGTGAAGATTACGATAATGCTATCTTTTCAAACTTCAAGATGGTGCTCTTTGACTCGGTGTCAAGAGAAAATACAATGGTCAAAGCTGACAATTGTGATCAGACTGCATCAGTAGAATCTCTCATCACAGAGACACTCAAGTTCTTTAAACAAACAAGTTTGGAGAGACTAAACAATGGAAGTTTTAACAAGTTAAATCAAAGAGATGTACAATGGGTCATTACAGTACCTGCAATTTGGGATGACGCTGCAAAACAAATAATGCGTCAGTGTGCTACCAATGCTGGTTTATGTACATTTGCTGATGATAAAGGTATGTCAAGACAATAGCTATGTAATAACATTTAATTAATTCTATTTCTTTTATCTCACTTAGAATCACTGTTACTTGCATATGAACCAGAGAGTGGAGCAATGGATTGTATCTTTGAAAAAACAAATTCACAATATTAAATTAATTGTTTTTTTTTTTTTTTTTGACTGACAAAGGGGGTGTGTGGTGAACAACCCCATCCTGAAACTTGCCGCTCAATTTAATCAAATTAATTGTTTTTTTTTTTTTGAAGAGACTGACAAAGGGGTGAACAATCACATTAACAATCAATCACATATTCATTGCAATATTGATCATCTAATTATTAATTATTATTATTTTTATAGTTATATAATTTTAATAATATAATGTCAAGTCTTATACCTCCACATAAAAAAGTATTAGTATCAATTGATTTTGGTACGAGTTGTAGTGGCTATGCATACGCATTTATTACAGAAAAGGATGTTGATATCTATGTACATGACTCTTGGGCTGGAGGAGGGTCAAACAGCTTAAAGACATTGACTCTTATATCAATCGATCAGGCAGGCAAGTTGGCAAGATTCGGTTATGATGCTCGTGAAGATCATGGCAATGCTATCTTTTCAAACTTCAAGATGGTGCTCTTTGACTCGGCGACAAGAGAAAAGACAATGGTCAAAGCTGACAATTGTGATCAGACTGCATCAGTAGAATCTCTCATCACAGAGACACTCAAGTTCTTTAAACAAACAAGTTTGGAGAGAATCAACAACGGTAACACCAACGCAGTCGAACCAAGTCAAGTACAATGGGTCATTACAGTACCTGCAATCTGGGATGACGCTGCCAAACAAATCATGCGTAGATGTGCTATCAATGCTGGTTTATGTACAACTGCTGATGATAAAGGTATGACAACAAAAAGATTAATATTCTTTTCATTCCCTTAAACTAATATTTTTCTTTCTTTTTTATTCTTTTATTTCATACTTAGAATCATTAATACTTGCATATGAACCAGAGAGTGGAGCAATGGACTGTATCTTTGAAAAAACAAACAACTATCATGTAGCTGTTGGTCAAAATGTTCTTGTTTTTGATATTGGTGGTGGAACTGCTGATTTTACTGGTATGTTAATATTGTATATTAAATTTATATATCATATATTAACTATTTTTAATTATTTATTTATTTATTTAATTAGTCTATAAACAATTAGAAGATGGAAAGATTGAAGTAATTGTTAGACCATTTGGTGGAAACTATGGATCAACCTATTGTAACCAAAACTTTAAGAAATTCATGTTGGAATTACTTGGTGATGAAGTTACACAAGATATGATTGACAGTTCTGACTTTATGACATTGATGGACAAGTTTGAAAGTGCTAAAAAATCAATGTCTGATAGTTCATGTAATGACGGAAAGTCAAGATACATTTCCTTTAATCCACGTGTATTTGACAAGAATATCGAATGGCTGAACCAACGAATTCAAAAGTATAATGTCGCCAACACTGCCAACATCGAATACAAGAGATCGGGACATCTTGTCATTCCCATGGAATCATTTATGACCTTTTTGCAACCATTATTCAACAAAATAGTAGATTGCGTCAAGACTCAAATGCTACAATGTGATAGTATCAAGAAACCAAATTTCATCTTTATGATTGGTGGTTTCAGTGAAAACTACTTTCTACAAGAATTGGTAAAGAAAGAGTTTGCATACACTGGTGCCAAAATCATCGTTCCAACCAGACCATCATTGTCTGTCGTCAAGGGTGCATGTAGATTCGGTCTCCGTCCATCTGTCATTACCAAACGTACATTGCAAAGAACATATGCTGTCAATACGTCAACCTCCTATAATCTAGAAGAACATTCGGGGAGAAAACAACATCTTGTAGATGGGATACCATATGTATATAATATCTGCGATTCATTTGTTTGTGCTGGACAGTCGGTTGGCATTGATGAAATAATAACTCGAACCTACTGGCCACTTAGATTATCCCAAACTACTCTCGCCATTGATATTTACTCATCGCTCTTGTCTGATATAAAATACACAACCGACCCTGGAATTTCCTTTGCCGCCGAATTATTAATTCCACTCCCTCCAGGTGACACTAAAGATGAGAAATCGGTTATTGTCTCAATGAAGTTTGGTGCCACCGAAATATTTGTTACCGTCGTTCAAACTAAAACCCTTGAAAAAGTAGAAGCTACAATAGACTTTACAATCAACCGAGCTTGACAGAAGAAATAAATTAGATACAATTTAAATTATAAATTTCATTCCGAGTCTGCATGTTGGTAGAAAAATAATAAACAAATAAATATATAAATTTAAAAGTAAAGATATATTCATAGAGTTTTTTTATTCACAGGGTTGTATGGCCCACTCATGTTAAAAACTAAAATCTCTTACAACCCTGTGCATAAGAAAATGGTTTTCTCTCACAGGGTTAATTTGAAATCACTCATATAGTATTTATTATTATCATCTAATCTAATTTCTAAAACCTTTAAACTATTAATCTCTTCTTCGTTTGACTTTTGATGACGATGATCGTATTTTCTCAAAGCATAATATTGGAATTCCTGAAGCCTTGTTAGTTTTATAGAAATTATATTATATTATTATACATTATTTATTTAAATTTATTTAATGAAGTTAATATTTGGTAATTGAATTTGAAACAAAAGAAACCAAAGATGGAATTAATTGAGTGGTATCATAACCTAAATCGGCAACGATGATCTTCTTTTGAGGTGTATCATAGGTCTTTCTAAATTCTTCGATCATCAAATCGGTATTCTCACCATAGATCTTTATGAAATAATAATCGATTCCTCTATTCTTCATGGTTTTGATGTGTTCTTCTGGATGACCTGATGTATCACCATGTGGTAGAGAATCAGAGACTGAACCGAGATTGTGATACTTTGTACCGTGACAGGGTGCATCAGCAACATGTATGCACACTTTGGTGTGATCGTCCTTCCAATCTTGTGATAGAACTTGTTGGAATCCTCCTAGAACGTCTTCTGGAACATCTCCACCTCCACTTGCAACGATCCTTGCCAAATTTTGTTCGAGTACTTGCATGTTTGATGTAAACATTATGTTTTCGAATCGAACGGGATCAGTGTGATCACGATAACCAACAAACGATACTTCAAACTCGATACCAGCGTGTGCATTTAAAAGTCCCTTGGCAAGTTGAACCATCTTGTTTTTAGACTCGTCAATCCATGGTTGCATCGATCCAGTGATATCCATGCAAATACATAGTTGTACAGATGGAGGTTTAGTCTTTTCAAGCCGTATTTGATTTCTTCTTTCAATCTCTTCTTTGTTCATTGCGAATTGAATGGAAGAGTTGACCTTGACACCAGTCTTTACGTGACGTGCAGTAACAAATACTTCAGTGGCACCAAACTCTAATGTCATCTCGATCTTTCTATCTTGGGGTGTGTCACCTGGTGGAATGGAAAGTGTTAGGTCGGCTGCAAATGATATTCCTGGATCGGTTGTATACTGCATGTCGGTAAGATGAGATGTGAATATGGCCAGTTCGACACACTGTTGATCGGCTCTAGTCGGTACAAATGTCTTTGTTTTGCTTTCATTCATTCCAAGAGATTCTCCAGCCCTGACAAATACATCACACACATTCTTTGCATATGATTGACCATTGATCATAAACTGCTTTCTCCCAATGTGCGGAGTTTCAGCTGTGATGAGACAGTCAATCTCGACAGCATACGATTTTTGGACTGGACGTTTGGCAACGACCGATGGACGTAGACCGAATCGACACGCTCCTTTTGCAACACATAGTGATGGTCGCTTTGGAATGATGACAGTAGCACCAGTGTATGCAAACTCTTTCTTTACCAATTCTTGTAGAAAGTAGTTTTCACTGAAACCACCCATCATAAAGATGAAATTGGGTGTTCTAATGGCTGGGTTCAAGTGCATTTGGTACTTTACACACTCGACTATACCGTCAAACAACGGATTGAGGAATCTCATAAACGTGTCCAATGGAATAGATAGATGCCCAGATCGGTTGTATTGAATCTTGCTACCATTTACTTGATTGTACTTTTCGATTTTTAAAAGTAGCCAATCAACATTCTTGTCAAATACTCTTGGATTAAATGCAATGTTTCTTGGTTTACCATCGTTGACTGAACTATCACACATTGATTTCTTTACAATTTCAAATCTGTCCATCAATGACATGAAATCTGTGCTATCAATCATTTCTTGTTCAACATCACCACCAAACAAATCCAACAAGAATGTTTTAAAGTTTTGGTTACAATAGGTTGATCCAAATTTTCCACCAAATGGTATTACAATACTTTCAATCTTTCCATCTGCTAATTGTTTATATGCTAAAAAATAAATAAATAAATAAAATAAATAACTATAATATTATACAATATATTAATTATTACATACCAGTAAAATCAGCAGTTCCACCACCAATATCAAAAACCAAAAGAGTTTGACCAACATCTACATAATAATTATTTGTTTTTTCAAAGATACAATCCATTGCTCCACTCTCTGGTTCATATGCAAGTAACAGTGATTCTAAGTGAGATAAAAGAAATAGAATTAATTAAATGTTATTACATAGCTATTGTCTTGACATACCTTTATCACCAGCAGTTGTACATAAACCAGCATTGGTAGCACACTGACGCATTATTTGTTTTGCAGCGTCATCCCAAATTGCAGGTACTGTAATGACCCATTGTACATCTCTTTGATTTAACTTGTTAAAACTTCCATTGTTTAGTCTCTCCAAACTTGTTTGTTTAAAGAATAAGAGTGTCTCTGTGACGAGCCATTCTATCGATGCATTCTGATCACAATTGTCAGCTTTGACCATTGTCTTTTCTCTTGACACCGAGTCAAAGAGCACCATCTTGAAGTTTGAAAAGATAGCATTATCGTAATCTTCACGAGCATCATACCCAAATTTAGCGAGTCTACCTTGTCGATCGAGTGAGATCACAGTCACAGTCTTTGTGTTGATTGAACCTCCTCCAGGCCATGAATCGTGTGCGTAGATATCTACATTATCATTATTTGTAATAAATGCAGATGCATAGCCACTACAACTAGTTCCAAAGTCGATAGCTACTACTGCTTTTTTGTGTGATGATTTTATACTTGAAGGAATGAAAACCATTGTTTGAAATTATTTTTTATTTTATTAATAAAAGATAAAAAGATAAATAAATATAAAAATAATGATATTATAATAAATGAAGATTGGATGCGAGTTCAAGATAAAAATAATTATACAATTATTATTATTATGATTCAGTGAGTGTTCATTCCACTTCGCTCTTCTATTGCACAAACCATTAACCCTTCCCCCTCACACCCTAACCCTCACTTGGAAAATATTATTTATTTATTTTATGTTGTTCACCATCATCATCCCTATGGAGAGCTGGGTGAAAAAATTTAATGTTTGTTGTGTGTCTACCATCCTCTATTTATTTATTGTCAAATATAGAGAGAGATAAGAGATAGAGATGAGTTCATTATTAGAGCTGATATCCTCCAAGTTTTCAACTCCAAAGAAAAAGGAATTTGAATCCCCTCCTCCTCATACCCAAGGCCAAAATAGTCTTTCTAGTTATGGTTCACAAACCCGTCTACCTACTCCTCCACCTCCACCTCCACCTCCACCTCCTTCTTCTCCTTCTGTAGAAGATGATCAATATGTCGAGGTCATTCCTTGTCAAAGTTGTAGTGTTCTTCAAAAGCAACACCAAGATTTGGCATCAGATCTCAACAAAAAGATCAACGAAAAGGACTCTGATATTAAAAGGTTAAAGACAACAATCGAAATGCTCAAAAACTGCAAGAATGAAATCATCCAACTCAATGAAAAAGTCCAGTACCTCGAACAAGAAAACAATCAAATCAAAAAAACCAATATGCAATACATTGAACAATTCAATCAACTCTATGCATCAATGATCTCACACAAGAATCTAGCAACTCAATACGGTCAAACAATCGAAGAAAAATCTCGTATGATTGAAGACTTGCAATCGAGTATTCAGTCAAGTCGTGCTACAGCCAATGAACAAATGGCTATAGAGTTCCGTCAAAACAATAATCAAGCTTCGATATTGTCAACCAAACGTCCAATGTTGGACAAATTTGCAGAAAGTTATCTGATTTTTATCGACCAATACATTGCTCCCTTTATGAATGTCGTACCAATGTCCATCAATGACAGAACTGTCGCTTTCATGGTCCAACAAATCTTTAAAGGTTGTTTGGAACTCTGCAATAAAGTCATTCACGATCCACTCTCTCCCATCACTCAAAACATGACAACCCAAGGAAAACAAACCATGGAAAACAGCTATTTTGAAATTATCGGTGGAATGGATCCGAAAACCATAGTACCATATCAAAAAGCTTATAAAGAATTTTGTTTTATTCATCAAATACTATCAATGTATGTAGTAGATAGTAATGTTAAAGATAGATATTTTATCGACCTTTATTTATTGAATTAATATTTATATATACTCTTATTTTATTTTTAATTTTTAGTGATGGATCACAAAACAATGATGTGAATACACTTATTGATGGTTGTTGTAATTTAGCTTGGAGAATATTGTTGACACAACCTTCAATAGAGTTTGGATGTGAACCAAAACCTTGTGAAACATTCAACAAAAACAGTCATACCACATTCCCAGGCCTAGAACCATTGGAGAGAGGGTTTGTTGATCTTTGTGTTATTCCTCAAATTGTTACTGTCAAAGACAAAACACAAGTAACAAAAGCTTTGGTTTTCTTGGCAGACTCTCAAAATGAAGTAACATCGAATCAAAAATTAGGTCCCTCAAAACTGCAAAATCTATTATCTTCTCAAAATAATCAAAATAATAATAATAATACAACAAATATTAATAACAATATTAACAATAGAAATAATACTGGACCATCTGTATCTATGACAAAGAATCATTCATCGATTCCAGAGCAAACAACTACATCAACAACAAAAACAAGTAATTCTGGATTATCCAAGGACTCATCAACCTTTGTTCCTAAAAGTAATTTAAAAAATTGGACCAAAATGGACATTGATGATGGAAAGAAGAAAGAGTCGAGAAGCATTCCAGATAGTCCTGTTGTCGGAGAAGAAAAGACCAAATTGCCCACAGCTAAGGTTATGTCCTCGACTAGTGTTGTCTCTACAGCAAAGGTAGTTCCAAAAACTGCCATAAATACAAAAAAACCTGTTTCTAGCCGTCATTTTAATAATGATAATCATGGTCACCAGTAAACAAAATTATATTCTTTTTTTAGTTTAGTTTACTTTAAATTTATAATAAAAGTCAAGTCTTCTTTTTTTTGTAGTTTTGACTTTTTTAAGTTAAATATAAAATTATATAGATTATCAGTTTCAACAACAACAAAAACAACAACTACTACCACCAATCAATGATGATAAAGAGAAAAGACAACCATTTATTGGATGTGATAAAGAGATTGTAAAGTTGGCAAAGATATGCACAGATGTTAGACATGTCATTTCATGTGATGGAGAGTCATGCTATTCCTGTTGTCACGACTTGTCAAATGTCTGGGTCTGGCAAGACAATGTTTGGTAGATACTTTTTAAAGACACTTCAAGAGAGAGAGGATTTAGCAAATCAAGTTAAAGAACAACTTGCAAATACTGATTTCCACGATCACGTAGATTATTTCAATATCCATCAATCTAAAGCACTTTTACTTTGATTTCAGGTGTATCGATACCAAAGAGAATCTGTCAATTGATCAATGGGTCACATTCATCAAGATAGCATTCTTTCAATCGATTGGTATCTCTTATGCCGATATTCATGACAGCTATCACGTAGACTCTCTTTTCAAAAAACATAAAGATAACCTTTATCAATAATTTATACACTTTGATGAAATCGAACATGTGCTACAGTACATTGACAATCGAGATGATTTCACAAAGGTTGTGTATAGACTGTGGCACCAACTCTTTATTCCTCTTGTCAAATGTGGTGTTCCAGTCTATGTATCGTGTAAAACACCAACACTCTACTCTCAAAGACGAGATACAAACGATGAGACCAGGAGCTGGTACACCTGATCACCTAGTCATCAGATGGATCATACTCGATCCTCAATGTGATCATATTCAACAATTGTCACAACGTTTAAATGGTCAAACTTTAGATAAACATTCTTGTCAACTTTTAAAAGATGTAAATATACAAAAATAATAATAATATTTTAATAATTTAATTTCTAAAACTAACTTTATCTTTATCCTTTATAGTGGACAGCAGGAATTCCTGTATTAGTAAATTATGCTTTAGAGTATACACGATCATCATCAAAGGAGATTAGTTTAAAAGGTTTTAGAAATTTTATGATTAAAGAATATCAATGTGTAGAATTAACTCCTTTTGATTCATTTCAAGATGATAATATGAAAGATATGTATCTTGAACTTTTTAGAATCTCTATTCTCAGAGTATGTACAAAACAAACAAAACTAAAACATATATATATTAATTATAATTTATTATGATTATTTTACTTACCTCCCTCATCATTTATCAGGTTCCATTGAATCTTGCATCAGATAGGGAGATCGATCCAGAGTATTGGTGTATTCCATCTGAAAAGGGGCGTACCAAGAAATACAAACTTGTAGATCTCATTGAAACATATCATGTTTCTTTGATATATTATGGTCGTTACGAATGTGTATGTAAATATAAATACCAAACAAAAGGACAGTTACTCAAAGAACAACAGATATTTCCTCAAACTGGTATCCGATTGAAAGATGCTTTACGTGATTGTTTACGTGATAAATTAACTGCACTCTATGATGGTGATCAAGTACCAAATTTATTTTTCTAAAGGTATGTAATGTTATTTTAGATATCATTTAATTAATTAATTAATTATTTATTTCTTTTTTATAGGATACAAGAATATCTTACTTGGGTGTTCAAGTATGGCAGATGGATGTTTTCCAACCTTTCAATTCAATGGTCATAAATGTGATAATAACAAGTTTATTGTTGAAAATCATCAATGGTTTGGTGATTGGGATCATCCTATTTGTGATGGCTCACTCTTTGAAAAGGTTTGGAAGCAAATGCATTATATACAACAGGCTCAGATTCAAATAGTTCAGATTTATATTTTAAAGTAGATAATCATACTGGTAAGTACACCCAAAGAGTTTACTTTTGTTTTTACTTTTAAAGTTATTAATATTAATATTATTTATAGGTATTGCATTTACTTTTGTGAATAGATCCTGGGGTCTAGGCTATGACACAAAAATACAAAAAGCTATCAATCAACTTTTCGCACACAGCAATAATAATAATAATAATAATAATAATACTAATTTATCAATTGATACTATGGTATTAGTTGTTATAGCAATGAATATTTCTGATTCATTAAACGATGGAAACCCAATCATTTATAATGATTAATGGTTGGTTATCAATTTAACCCAAATCCAAATGAAAAGAATAGATTTAAATTGTCAATCCCTCATAATACCCAGTTAATCATTCTTACAAAGACTGGTCAAAGTTTATTGTTTGGTGGTCATATCTATGACATTCTCAATCGTTTTAGTTAAATTAATAAAAATCATCCTCTTTCAAAGATCACCGTCCCAAAGATATTTATTTAAATTTATTTTAAAATTTTATCTTCGTGTTCAACAGTGATTATGATGATCATTTTTTTTATAGAGGTGGTTTAAACACATCACATTGTTTCATTCATTCATTTCAATTCATATTTAGTTTGTTTTATTAGTAACAACAACAATGTCAACAGAACAATATAGTAAAGGATTAGCAGGAGTATTTGTAGCAGAGTCTGCTATTTGTACGGTTGGAGTCAAGGGAGTAGGATTAAACTACAGAGGATATGATATTAAAGAGTTGGCTGCACAGTCTACCTTTGAAGAGGTTGCCTATCTAATGATCTATGGTCGTTTACCAACCGAACAAGAATTGGTTGCCTACATTCGTACTCTATCATCACTTCGTCAACTCCCGGGTGCATTGTGTGATGTATTAGAACGTATTCCTTCATCTGCTCATCCAATGGATGTACTTCGTACTGGTTGTTCTTTATTAGGTGTAAGAAGAAGTATAAAAAAGATATATTATATTATTTTCTCTATCTAATCATTTCTATTTTCTATTTCTTTTTTTTAGACATTAGAACCAGAAAGTAAAACAAATGATCAATATCAAATTGCTAATAGATTGATAGCATTATTTGGATCAATGTTGTTGTATTGGTATCATTGGACTACATCGGGCAAGAGAATTCAAACCACCACACATCAAGATGACTCGACAGCTAGAAACTTTCTCAAACTATTGAGACTTGACGGACAAGAACCACCAGCCCTTCACGTTAAAGTGGTCGATGTTTCTTTGATTTTGTACGCGGAGCATGACTTGGCTGCCAGTTCTTTCTGTGCTCGTGTCACAACCTCTACATTGACCGATTTCTACTCTGGTATTTGTTCTGCCATCGGTACTCTTAGAGGTCCACTTCACGGTGGTGCAAATGAAGCTGCTATGAAATTATTAGAACAATTTAATAATCCTCAAGATGCTGAAACTGGTGTAAGAAATGAAAAGAGAAAAGAGAAAAGAAAAAAGAAAAAGAAAAATTAATTATTAACTATTTATTTAATTTACTTTTTTTAGATTATGAAAATGTTATCAAATAAAGAATTAATAATGGGATTTGGACATAGAGTATATCGTAATGGTGATCCAAGAAACCCAATTATTAAAGAATGGTCAAAGAAATTAAGTCAAGAAGAGGGAGGTGATCCCAACTTGTTTGCAGTGAGCGAACGTGTAGAACAAGTTGTATTTAGAGAGAAAAAGATGTTCCCCAACCTTGACTTTTACAGTGCCTCTGCCTACAATCAAGTTGGTATCCCAACACTCTTTTTTACTCCAGTGTTTGTCATTTCTCGTACCACTGGTTGGGCCGCCCATATTATCGAACAACGTGCCAACAACAAACTAATCCGTCCATCTGCCATTTATACTGGTCCAGATTCAAGACCATACATTCCATTAAAAGATAGAAAATCAGAAAGAAAATCTTCTCTTTAAAAAAAAGTAAAATAAATATTTTTATTAATTTGAGGGTAAAATAAAACCAGATAATTTAAATATAGAAATAATCATTTTACGATGATTACCATATTCTATTGGTAAAAAAGGATGAGCTGTCATATTTTTAAAAAGTGTATGAAAAAATTCAATATATACATTATTATTATTATTACAATTATTTTTACCATTTAATTTTTGATTTAAAAATAATAAATAATTTACCATTAATAAATGTTCACCAGATTGATTTGTAATATGATTTGAAATAAAACTCGATTCCAAATGCAAGGTGTTGTAAATTTTTAAAACCAATTGAAAATATTTGTTTTTTATCAAATTACCAATTGACATTCCAAGATAATATAGTTTGCTGATATTTGGATTTGGATAATGATCTAGAATATGTTCAGTGATGGCTATTGATGTTGGATTGATAATATTGTGTGCTCCAATGGTAAACAATGCATTTTCAACATCAGAATCTACAAATTCATCCTTTTCCTTGAATTTTTCGACAAGTGATTGTACATATTTTATATTATTGTGTCTAAAGACTGGTGCCACCCAAATAAACCTTGGATTGATTGTCTTTGCCTTTTGACAGAATTGAACAAATAAATCTGTTCTCTTGTATTCGATTGCCAACGATAAAATGATAAACCAAAATGATTGTAATGATTCAAATACCTCTATATGATTCCACATTTGAGGATCATTACCACCCAATATAAATAGTTGAACTAGTAAAAGTTTCTTATCTAGAGGTTCATCTTTTTGATTTAAACCATTTAATAGACCAAAACTTGAAAATAATTCCATAGATTCTTTAATTTGATCACAAAGACTAACGTCTTGTTTATAACCTTGAAATTCAAAATCTGTAATATCAAGTTTCATATTTGATTGAAATTGATTACAAACCAATTGTTGAAATTGATAATCGGTTTGTAGTAGAAATGGTTTAAATGGTAATTCTTTGATGGTTGGTGTAATTGTTGGATTTAAAATTTTAAAATATTCCATCAACAATTCAAAAGATTCCCTATCATTTTGAATAATTGATTCTACAATTCCAATTTCAAAATCTATCATTATTCTTTTAATTGGTTTGTTACTATTATTTTGATTATTATTATTTGATTTTCCTCCTTTTTGTTGTTGTTTTAATTGATCTTTTTGTAATTTTAATTCTTTTCTTTGATTTACTAATAATTGCATTAAATATTGTAAAATTTCTATTTTCTTTTGTTGTGATTTTACATTTACTACATCTTTTAATAATACTCTAAATACATTTGATTGAATTGATGGATGTTGGTAGATTTTTTCAATCAATTCGACCGATACTAGTGACGAATGAATCGATGTACAATAATTGATTGACAATGCTTGCAATAAATATTCTGCCGATTCTATTGATCCTTCCCTGATGGCCTTGTCAAAAATAGATGGATCAGTTTGACCATTTTCAATACAATATCTAAGATAATCTGTATTATTGGCAGTGGCCGCCACAATACCATAAAATCCATCATCTTTGGTATGTTTGATACCCGTCAATACCGAATGATTTGCAAATCGAGCCAAAATGGTCCAATATTTATACATGTATTGTTGAACTTCATTATATACATTTGGTCTTAGATTTTGAATGATACCACATAGGTCGACCAAAAATTCAATTCCACCCTTTGATTTGTCCTTTCCAAAACGTTTAAAATTTCTAAAGATTGTTTCTAAACTTTCTAAATTTGTCATTTGTGGACCCATTCTATCTTTACAATGTTGTAATAGTATTGGGTCTAAATAATCCTCTGATTTACTAAAACTATTAATAAATACTTGATCGGTCAATGGGATGTGGGGACGATAGAAATTGTCTGCAATTTTTTTGTGTGGATATATTTGAACCATCAACTCTAAATCACCAGAGTTTAGAGCACTTTGATAGAAATGTAGTGTTGTTGTCAAGTCTATATTTTTATCCAACCCAATCTCCTTCATTATCATTTTAATCATCTCTGCGCTAATTGGATCAATCGTTTTATAAATCCAATTGTTTATCAATCGTTTTGTTAGATGATTCTTTAATTCTCCAAAATGATCTTCTTTTTTTTCAAGTACTTGATAACGACTTTTTAATCTTTTATATTCTTGTAAAATACATTCAACAACCTTTACATTGTTTGTTTTTGTTGCCAATCTTAATACATTATATAATATTGGTTTTTCATCAATTAAATATCCTATTGGTGTTTGTGACTAAAAGTAAAATAAATAAATGATTAGTTTTATCTATCTTTTTCTATCTTTCTTTCTATATTTACAATAAATTCTTTATAATCGGTTGTTATAATATCTTCTAATAATGATGATTGATAGATTTGATGATCATTGATATTGTTTGGTTCACCAAACAAGCAGGTGACATCACAACCCTTGTTTGCATAGTTGTACGACGATGTGTGGAGTATAGTCGCAGGAGGTGATGTTAGATACTTGATAAAGAGATCGGTTCTACCAAACTGTACGCATTGATAGAGTGATGTGATATCTTTTTCCTTGATACTCTCTAATCCCAACATCTCGGGTATCACAGATGTCCACTCAAAGATGTTGTTTCTAATCACAACATTTTGAAATATAACTAATTTAAATAATGAATAATCCATCTATCTATCTATCTCTCATAAATCTAATCTAAATCTAATACATTTACTATTATTACTACTAATGATTAAAAAAAGAGTTCACTTTTATGACATTTGTGTGTTTAATGACCCTCATATTAAAAAAAAATTAAAAATATTTATTTTTTCAAGTCTATCAACATTTTAACAATCCTTTTTCAACAAAAATCTCTATCTAAATTATATCTAAAAAAAAGTATCAATCAATCATCTATCTACTTTCAATTAATTTCTTGATTCTTTTTTAAATTAACTATAATTTAAAATGATGTTCATTTTTTTCCTTTTTTTTAATTTAATTTTCATTCCAATAATCTTCTTACAGCTATATAATATTGAAAGGATTGCTAAATTGGAAACTGAGTGCAAAAAAGAACATTGTTTTTTATTCAGACTGTAAAAAAATAACATTGTACCATCTTTTTTTTGTTTATAATTTTTCCTTTGGGAATGATCAATGTAAATTAATGAATCTTTGTTATAAATGTTGCACCGAACTGTGGAGAACATGGAAATGACAAAAAAACCTTTTTCTGGGACGACTTTAAAAAAACAAAAAGGTTTTTCGACATCTGCAGGGTTCGAACCTGCGCCTCCGAAGAGAATTGATTTCTAGTCAATCGGCTTAGACCACTCACCCAAGATGCCTTGGTTGAAAGTTTTTTGGGGCCTTGGCCTTTTAAAGGCAAAATTTTGGTAACCAAAAGCCGACAAATGCAAGCCACCCAGAAGCATCTGTCAGACATGAGTAAAACCAATTAAGATCGACACTACTTGAGTTATTCTTACCTCTTGCTGGTATCGAAAGATTTAATTAATAAAACATCGTCATCACTGAGTAGTGCTCTTCCAGAAAAAAAGTGATACTTATAAAAAAAAAAGTCACAAAAAGCCACAACTAATTACCCTAGTGTGCCCCATTGTTCAATTATTTATATCATTATCATTATAAATAAGGTTTATCAAAGATCACCAACCAAGAATAAAAAACAAAAAATATCTCGCCCCTTCCTCCATATCCTTCTCTAATCAACACGATACTATGGTAAAACAGTATCGAACAAACAATAATAATCATAATTACTTGCTGGTGGAGTTTAATGATTGTAGAATCTGTAGTCTATGCCATATCAAGTAACGATCATAGATAGAAGATTCCCAGAGTACTATCCATTCAAGTAACCTAAATACATAGGAAGGTATCAATGTATGATATCCAACCTTAAATCATTCTTAAATAAACAGAGTAGTTAGTACCAGGGGAACTAACTACCACAACATGACGTAGTCACTCCGTTACGTGTTGTCTATAAATATGAGACTAAACACTCATATTCGATGATCTACTTACTACATACGTATATTATCTCATATCTCTCCCCTCACATTTACTCTGTCTTATTGTTGCCTTATCACCTTGATACACTCTATCTCTCTACCACTTGCGCTATCTACAATGATCATTACAACAAGTCAATACAGTTTGAAAACAGTATTCACATTACTATTACAATTGAATTATCAGATATAAAGGTGGCTGGTGATGGAGATGATGATAACGATGAAAATTGTGTATGGTAAAGGCCAAGGTTTCGTCGGTTTGGCTATATTAGATCTAATATAACAAATGTATAGTCGACCTGATAGGTATTAATACCTATAATAAAAAAGGTTCCTCTGAAACCATCGCCCATGAGATCGTCAAAGTAAATAATCATCTGATTCCGTGCGAGACAAAGTTAGTTTGGTTTAACTGAAATAACAAGTCGGAATAATTATTTATTATTTGTATAAATATACAAAAAGGTTGAAGATTGTATCAATTTTCACTAATAAAATCCACTTTACTTTTGTCGACCACGCACAAACAATATATTTATTCTTTCTTCAACACGACTGTTTTAACAAACAGATAAAGTAGATCAGATCCAAGTCTCAGTACAATAACATGGTTTAAAACAGCAGCAACAGCAGCAGCAGCAACAGCAGCAGCAGCAACAGCAGCAGCAGCAATAACACAACAACAAATCTCGTTGCTCGACAAGTAGAAACTCGGTTAGCTACATGAATGCAGGATGTACAACATTGCATAACAAGTAGTTGAGCATAGCTATGCTATGTTGTCACTCACAAAGCACAGTACAGCACACAAGTAGTAGTATTAGATTTATTTTTAATCTAATATCTAATCTAATATCTAATCTAACATCTACTAATGCGAGGAGGAGAATAACAATGTTACTAGAACACCAACAACTTGCATTCAAGTTCAACTCCACCATTATGACATCATCATCATCCCTTTCAAACAAGCTTATAATAACTACTATAATAATAATAATGAAAAGAGTAAGATATAAATATATATCAGTTTCATACCCATTGAATAAATCATATTAATTAAAACAAATCCTTTCTTTCTTTTAAACAACATTTAAGTATTAAACATACCCTTTTTAGAAACTTAATAATAACAAATAATAATAATCTAAAACATGAACTTTGGTAAACGTTTAGCAACTTCATTTTTGGGTATGTACATGATATATAAACTTTAAATTAATTTCATCAAATAATTAATTAATTATTTCTATTTAAACAGAGGCCTCACAAAATTCAAATCCAGCTCCAGCTCCTGCTCAACCACAACAACAACAACAACAACCTCAACAACAACAACAACAACAACAAAGCCATACTCAATCAAATACAACAACTGGTGGTGAACAAGATGTACCTTTTGAATTCAGATTCCCAAACAAGGAAGCATTATTCAAATTTGTTTCTGCTTTTGTAGCCAAGGGATTTGGATCCAATAACACTTCCTCTGTCACCGGTGGATCTTCTTCATCATCGGGACCAACTTCTTTCCTTTCATCGATGATGAATAGTAGTATGGTTGATAAAGTCGTTGGAAACCGTCAGCCTGGTCAAGAGCTCGTACTCTCTGGTAAAGACAAACCATCTATTGTTAGTAAAATGACCGATTTATTTAAATCAATCACTCAACAAACTGAAACTCAACAACAATCTCATCAACAAAGAGATAATCAAGAAGAGGATAGAGAAAATCAAGGTGATGAAGAAAGACAAGATCAAGGTGAGGAGAATCAAAGAAGAGCAGGAGGATACCAATCACAATCAATGGGCGGATCATTTGGTAAAAAGGCATCTTCATTTGTTAGTAATGCAATGTCAAACACTCGTAACAACAACAACAACGATCGTAACTCAAATAATAATAATGATTATGATGACAATGAACAACAATCATCAAACAACGATGTTGACCAATCATTGACAGACAAGATGTCAAATATGTACAAATCATATTCTAATCAATCCAACCAACAACAACAACCTCGTGACCAATCACAACAACAAACATCAAACAACTCTTTTGGATCTTCAATCTCCAACTTTGGAAATCAGGTAAAGGATAACATTAGAAATTCATCATCTCAAATGCCACGTCAACAAAGACAACAACAACCTCAACAAAACAATAATTATAATTATAATGACAACAATGATAATAATTATAATTAAAAAACACTACAACATTTCTTTGTTTTATTAAATGATTATTATTATTCACTCAACAATTTAATATTATTTAATCTTTTTATTAATTTTTTTTTAAAATAAAGATTCTTGAAATAAACAATGAGAATTTAAATAATCATCTGGAGTAAAGAAAACGAGGAAATCCTTGATAACTTGAATATCATTATTTTCATCGGATGGTTTTCTTTCAAAAGAATCAAAACCAAGTTGAAAAAGATGAGCTTGTAACAAGATTTGGTTGGCTGGTTGGTTCATACGATTAAAAAGCAAGTCAAAGCAATCGATATACGTTGCAATGACATGGGTTGTATTAAGACACGGATAGATTCGATGAAACATTAGTAACATGCCCTGTTGGATGAGTTGATGGAATTCTTGTTCCTCGTCAGAGGCACGATCGATAATATCGTAAAAGAGAGGGAGTATACTTCTCGCCAAGACATCGTCAATCTGTACCTTTCTTTCAATCAGTGCCATTCCCGATTGACCGTGGTAATCTGATACCTTTATGCCGTTTAGGTCTAGGTTGAATCGATAGACCAGACTAGTCATCTCTTGAACGAGTCGACTTTTGATGAGGTAGGGGACTGGAGTAAGTCTGATTAGATTAGACATGATAATGATGACATGGTCAGTGATACGATAGTTTTCTTGAATTTGGAGTAATCGTAGCAGACGGAGATGTAGTTGCTCGTATGTGAAGATTCGGGTGAGGGAAGGACTGTCAGCATCCTTGTTCATGATGGCATTTAATGTACGCAACGTATAATCAAGCATAAAGAACCAATCCGAGTTGTAGAGGTCAATGTCTCGATCGAGACTATCCAATATATACTGGTCTAGCCCATAGCGTTTAATCACAGACACTACAAATTCCGGGTGCATCGTGAATGCATCGAGAAACTGTGCAACGTTTCGACCGTGGATTGCATCATGCATATAGTATTGTTTGACAAATGGAATAATCATTTCCATTGTCGCCCACGGTAATGGAGCAATACAAGGCAACGACGCAATCACATTGGACAGTTCCTCGGACGACTGTGCATAGACCGATGGATTCTTGGTCAAATCCATAATAATAGTCAACAGTCCGTAACGGTCTATTAATCGATCTCTCCACTCTTCCTTTGTAATAATTATATTTGCCAATGTATACAATGAACATGACATCATCACCTTGTAATTTGGATTTCCTTGTTTTAGCAAATCACAAATAAATTTTAAAAGTGAATCATTATTTCCAATCAATTCCATTCCTTGACTAATTAATGTTAAATTGGTTACTAATCTAACTGATTCATTCTAAAAATAAAAATAAATATTAATATATTAATTAATTAATAAATTAAATTAAATAAATAATATTTATATTATATTATAATTTTAAAATACATACAGATACAAGATGATAATATTTTCTTTTTCTTTATCTTTTTCTTTTTCATTACGAATAAATTTAAATTTATCATTTATAATTTTCATTAATTGTTTTAGAATACTTTCTTTAAATATATCTTGACATTCCCAATCATCACTTGTATAGACCAACGATCTAATTGCCATGGCTGCAAAGAATTGTTTCTTTTCATCTTTTAAATCTTCAACCATCTTTGGTAATAGTTTTGCCTAAAATAAAATTAAAATATTAATATTTATAATATTTGTCTTTTCTTTGTTTGTTAAATATTTACCCTTTGATTTAAATGAATCATTAAATGATCATTTATGATTTGATGATTTGATAATTTTGATTCTTCCAAGATGACACCAAATAGATAAGTTTCTCTAAATGATAGATACTTGATCAACTGATCATACATTGCTGTTATTCTATCGGTCACTTTGTTTTGAAGATCATCATTTTTAATCACTTTATATTGATTCAATACAGCTACTACCAATGACCATTGTAATACTATTATTTGATAAGAACTTCTAGCATCGTCATCAGAGTTATTACTATGACTACTACCACCAAACTTGGTGTCAATGATACTGATTAATTCCAAACATGATAGTATCTCTTGATCTTTGATTTGAACACAATCAAACATTGAATCGCTCATATCAATAATCTCTTTTGTTAATATATCTATACATTCTTTTTTGTTATTATTATTATTTATACATTGTCTAATCTTTTTCTTAATAATTATAATAGTAAAAAAAAGAGTTAGAATCATTCAACTCTTCTACAATCTATTTTATATTTACAATTATGATTTAATCATACCTCGATTATATCTTTAAATCTATCTACACTATCTTTATCTTTACCATCATTATTACTATTATTATCTCTATTCATTTTTACACTACCCCGCTTTGGGTCGTTAAAGAGATCTTCGTCATATTTTGTATCATTTGTTTTTTTTTTTTTTTTTTTATAAACAATCAATTTATTTATTTATTTATTTATTTATTTATTTATTTATTTATTTATTTATTTATTTATTTATTATTGACCAAATCTCCAATTAAATTTAAAAGGAGATGAGGTATAGTTGAAATCTAAATATAAGTAAATAGGATCATATTGCTCTTGATTTTGGATTGATTTTCTTTGAGTGATTATTCCACCTAGAAGTATATGTCTTTCCAATACCAATAAATATTTATTATCAGGATCCAATCTTTGAATTGAAAACTCTAACTTTTTATCAACAAACCTATCAATAATGAAAGATAAATATCTAACATTGGTGTGATTGATTATTTCATCTAATTTAAATGCCCTCTTCCAGTTAATTTTACGTTTTGGGACCAATGTTAGATGAGTTGTATTGTGTGGTAGCCATTGTTGTTGTGATCGTTGTTGGTCAGTGGTGATGATGGTTTTGGATATCTTGGAAGCAATTGAATAGATTGGGATGCCATCTGGTGTCAGTTTTGTGGTTTTCTTTAATCTTATCGATAGATATTTAGTTATTGGTGGTATATCTATTGTAAAGTCACCATTTATATCATTGAGGTTGAGTGTTTCATGAGGTGGATATCTGTCAGAGGATGGAAACACTAGATTGGTAACAGTGTCTAAATATGAACCCCAAACAAGTTTTTTCAAATGACGAGGAAGAAAAGGGGTGATAGATTCGGTGGATGCCTGATCATCAAGGTTGGACCATCGGTGGCGAATATGTTTTAGTTTGACGAGTGATTGAGGGAATTGAATGGGTTCATAGTGGTTTCCCAAAATAGATAGATGGGTGAGTGATGGTGGAAATACAATTTGTCCAAGTATATCTGAGCTTGTCGGTTCATCAATGATATGAGGGCTGGATATTGTAAGTTTTTCAACAGACGATGGGATGTGATTGGACAAGAGAGGATTGGAGCAACGAAAAAGAGATAGTTTCTTTATCAATGGTGACGACAATATACTGAATCTTCCATTCATCAATAAACTCTGATTTACATATAATTTCTCCAACAATGGCATGGGATATTGAGATGGGACTCTCAAGTCCTCTGATTGGAGGACAAGTATCTTGATTAAAGGAGGAACTCTAATCTCGATGATGCATTGTTCAGTGTCTTCATCATTCATGTCTACAGACTTGAATGTCTTGAGGTTGAGCAAACTCGATAGATCGATGCATGGATGTTGTTTGTAGTATACCTCTTCTTCATTATTTATTTCATAGTAAATCTTGAGTTTAACCAATGAATTTAATGAAAGGAAGGTATCTTGTTGAGGTATATCAGTCAATCTAAGAGTAAGAAATACAAGACTGATTGGGAAGAGACATGGTCCGATTTGAGACACCCAAAACTGCTTGAACGAAAGATCTACAAGTGATACCAATTTATCGAGAGAGTGTATAGTAGTGGCTTGATAGTAACCAGTATTGCGATATATTCTCATATACTTGAGTGATGGATGTTGGTCTATTTCGAATCTATTTGTATGAATATAAAGTCTTTCAAGGTTGGGCAATAACGAGATAGAGGAAAGATCCATCATGTCTTTTGGTTGTTGACCGTTGATGCATAGTGTATCTATTGATGGTATCTGGTATAGTTCATCTATCGATTCTAGTTTGCCATAGATTACAAATGCTGTTGTAATGTTGCTTGGTTCGTCGTATTCGTCCACCAGGTCTTTGTCTTGGTCAGGTAAAAAGATCTGTTGATCCTTGATACTTTGGATTCTATCCTCTAAAATATCTTTGAAAGAGTTGAGATGGAATTGATTGAATGTTGCTGCAAATCTATCTGATATGAATCCACTTTTAGTATCTATCGTTTCTATTCCTTTAAATGTAATCAATCTTCTAATACTAATATTATAATATAATTGCTTGCAAGTTAACAATAAACATATGATATCTACATTATCAATAGAAGTTATAATATGTAATAGTAATAGATTTGATAACCTTAAAATACTTGACATATCTAAACTAGATTTTAACTTTTATCTAATGTATTACACCCACATTATCTGTCTAATAATTATTTGTATGTATTTAATAAGAATGATTGAAAAGTGGCTTTGTGAATTTGTTTTGGTTTTTTGTTTTTCTGCGACTAAAAAATAAAAAAAAAGACATTTTTAGTTTTATGTTTATAATAGATTAATAAAAGAGAAGAATAGTAGGTGAACTTTTTATTTCATTCTTTTAAACTTCCAATAAATCGCATGTACCACCACTAATAGTAATATTTTTATTTGGTTGTATTTCAAAATAGGTATCCAAATATATATATATAGGATCGTAGTGTTGGTGTTGTTGTTGTTGATTGTTGAGTGTTTTTCTTTGGGTAATAATTCCACCTTGAAGTGTTTGTTTTTCCAAAACCAATACATTTCTATTATCAGAGTCCAATCTTTGAATTGTAAATTGAAAAGTTTTTGTTTCAACAATGATAGTTAAATATCCAACATTGGTATGATTTATTACTTCATCCAATCTAAATACCATATTTGGTCGATTTTTAGAGTAACAAGTGAGATGAGTTGTGTTATGAGGTAGCCATAGTTGTTGTTGTTGTGACTGTTGGTCAATGGGTTTAGTCACCGTTATCCTTGAACTGATTGAATAGATTTTAGTTGACGAATACAAAGGTATTGATAGATATTTGGTGACTGGTGGTACTTTGATTGTAAAATGACCAACGATATTATAGAAATTGAGTGTTTCAAGATGGAGAGGATAGTTGTTGGATGATGAAAGCTCTAGATTTGGATATATTTTTTTGGATCTCGAACCTATTGTCCAAACAAGTTTTTTTAAATGTTGTGGAAGTGTGACGGTAAGATAATCGGTTGTTATATTTAGTTTGATGAGTGATTGGGGTAGTCGAACAGACGGTTCAAGGTAATCTCCCTTGATGGATAGATGAGTGAGTGATGGTGGGAATACAACCAGCCCGAGTGTATCTTTGTGTCCTGGATATCTATAGACTGTAAGCTTTTCTAGGTTGGATGGGATGAGATTCGATGGAATGGGTTCGTCACATTGATAAATGACAAGTTTCTTTAGAGATGGTGTTAAAGACAGACTGATCTTTTCATCAATCAATAGACTTTGAACTACATACAATTTCTCCAACACTGGCATGATGTATTTGTTTCCGGAGGGGATTTGAGTACGTTTGGAAAAGATTGACATAATCTTGAGTGAAGGAGGTAGTATGATATTAATAATATCATCATCATAGTCTGTGAATTCGTCAAAACCATCTTCTCTAAACTTGAATGTCTCTAAGTTGAGTAGAGACGATAGATCCAAACATAAACTATCCATCACATGTTCTTCTTGATCATTATCTTCTTCCAAAAGGTCCATCTTTAGGTAGACGAGTGACTTTAATGAAATGAATGCATTTTGTGGAGGTATATTGCTCAGACTAAGAGTGAGTTTTGTGAGACTGCTTGGAAATATATCCAGTGGGCTGACACAATAATTGCCAAGCTTTAGCTCTGTCAGCGAAACCAATTTGCTAAACCCCAAGTCACTTGAGGTGAATGAGTTGTCCATATCCAACTCTAGATACCTGAGTGATGTGTGAGGACTTAGATTCAACTCACCTGCACAAACTGTTAGTCGTTGGAGATTCGGTAAACTAGATATAGATGTAAGATCTACAACCGAGTTTTCACCTAGGTCGTGTATGAACAATGTCTCTATTGATGGTATCTTGTATAGCGAATCTAATTGTTTAGATGAATTTGATTCATCATAGTTGAGAAAAACAGTTGTAACGCAACTTGTATCAGCTGTGTTGTTTGCAGAGATGCGATCTTTTAACCATTTTGGGTAGTTCTTATTGGGTGGTACTATGATATGTTGATTTGATATACTATTATCTAATATATCTTTAAAAGAGTTTAGATTGAATCGATTGACTATTGTTGTAAACTTGTCTGATACGATTCCTTTATCAAAAACTCTTACATCTACTTTAAATCTAATTAATCTTTTTAAACTACTATTATGATAAAAATGTTTACAAGTTAACAGCAAACATACTAAATCTACATTATCTTCAATCTCTGTTATGATTTGTATTATTAATAGATTAGATAACTTGTCAAACATATTATATGTATAGATTAAAAATGAATACTTTTCTTTTTTTTTTTTGAAGTATGATCATCATCTGATGCTATTTTTTTTTGAAGACCAATATTTTCATTACTTTCACAAAGATGTCTATTTTATCATTATCTAATTTATTACTATTACAAATTATAACAGAGATTGATGATAATGTAGATATCATATGTATATTGTTAATTGTAAAAAGTTGTATCAAAATAGTAGTTTAAAGAGATTGATTAGATTTAAAGGATTAGAAATTATAGATAAAGATCATACAGTGATATCAGAACTGTTTCAAGCAATAGTCAAAAGATTCAACTTATTATCTTTCAGAGATATATTATTGAATAGTGTGGCAGATCAACATATCATACTACCCGACAAAGACAAGACCAAGAAAATTATCTACCCAGAATGGATAAAAGATCACATCACTGCAGGGAATAGAGGAGATAAAAGTAATGGTAACATTACAACAGCGTTGGATTATGGATTTAATGATATATACGATATACAATCAATCGAGACGCTATACATCAACCAAGACAAATCAAAGATAGATCTTGGCCCAATCTCAAGATTACCCAATCTCCAACGACTGTCAGTTCGTTGTGAAGACCCATTCAAACTTGGTCAACATACAACACTCAAGTCTCTTGAACTCTTTACAGATGCTCATTACGAAATAAGGGACTTGAAGCTCACCAAGTTTGTATCTCTGACACAGCTTGTCTTTCGTAAATATTCGGTGATGAATCTAGGGACTGGTGTCTTTCCGATCAGTTTGACATCACTCACTATTAGACTAATCAATGTACCTCAACGTGACACATTCAGTACATTAAAGTCATTGGTTGAATTAAAGATCGACATGTATCCTCTCGAGATGGAATTGGAAGATGATGAATTATCCAAACTACAATTCATTGATCTTGACGGCCTACCCAACCTCGAGACATTCAAGTATCAAGAATTCTACGACTATTCAGTGGACTACTCGATCGAGATTAGTCTACCTCCTTCACTCAAGATTCTTCATCTCATTTATGATCACATACAAATACCATCACATACCACCATTGTTGGAGGAATTGTATGTGAATCAACAGAGACAAACATACAATGACAAAAAATATTCTCCTATTTATTTATATTTCTATAGCCCTTCCTCCCCATTTGATTTTACTTGGATATTTACTTAAACTGGAAACAATCAATAAATTTAAAAACCATTCTTAAGACTTTAATTTAACAATCCATTTTCGATTTGTCTTTATTATCAACAACAAAAAATTTCCATTTAAAGTCATATGGAATGTAAGAGCATGTATCAAAATATAAATAAATTGGTATTGGTTGATTGTTGATTGATTTTCTTTGAGTGATTATTCCACCTGTCAGTGACTGTCTTTCCAATACCAATACATTATTGTTGTCTGGGTCTAATCTTTGAATTGAAAATTTTAATGTTGTATTTGAGGTAGAAATGCCAATAATGAATGATAAATATCTAACATTGGTGTAATTGATTATTTCATCTAATCTAAATGATATGTGGATGTGATACTTTGGATCATTTAGAAAGCATGCTAGATGAGTAGTATGAATTGGTAACCATTGTGTTTGTGATTTATCAATAGGTTTATTTAACCTTGAGCTTATTGAATAAATTGGAATTTTAGGTGACCCCGAGTTTGGGGTAGGGTTCAATGATAAAGTTAGATATTTTGTGATTGGTGGTATATTGATTGCAAAATTTCCATCAATATAATATAGGTTTAGTGTTTCAAGATGAGGTGGATAGGAGGATTTGAAAACTAGATTGGTAAGCTTGGTTTTCAAATCGAGTGTTTTTAAATGTTGAGGTATTGTTGATTGGTTGACACTCTGTTTTAGATTGATGAGTGATTGAGGTAAAGGGTGGATAGATTCAGAGTATCTTCCCAATACTGTGAGATGAAGAAGAGTTGGTGGGAATTCAATTTGTCCAAGTATATCTTTTTTAGTTTCTTTGTAGATTGTAAGTTCTTGGATAGTTGATGGTATGAATTTGTTTGCAATAATATCATTGCAATCGCCAATACTAAGTTTCTTTATCGATAGACATGATGACAAACTGACTTTACCATCAATCAATAAGTGTTGTTTGACATTCAATTCTTCCAACAGTGGCATTTTATATTGTGACGGGATACGAGTGTAATAGGACACGAGATGAAGTATCTTGAGAGATGGAGGTACTCTAATCTCGATGTTATAGTCTACTGTATCGAATGTATCATTTACTGTATAATCCAATAGAAATGTCTTGAGATTCAGTAGAGTAGATAGATCTATACCTCTCGAGGTAACATGTCTGCCTATTAGTTCTAATTTTAAATAGACTAGTGATACTAATGTATTGAATGTATCTTGTGGTGGTATATCTTCTACTGATAGTAGAGTAAGAGATGTCAAAGTGATTGGTAATAGACCTGGTGCGATCTTTGATACAAAATGACAAGTCAGTTCTGTAAGCGATACGAATCGATTGAGTTCCAGGTCAACGAGATGATGTTTAGAAGTGAAATATAGTTTTAGTGACTTTAGTGATGTATGAGTACCAAGATTAAACTCTTGTACACGAACTGATAGTCTTTGGAGATTGGGTAGTTGTGAGATGACGCCTAGATCTATTGTACTAGAATATCGATGGTCAATGTATAATGTCTCGATCGATGGTCTTTTGTCGAGTGAATCTATAAACTTTTGTTCATAATCATTCACCAAAACCGTTGTAATGGTACCAGCGTTGTGTCTGTTTGTTGAAGTGTGGCGAAGTATAGCATCGGGATGATAAAGGTCAGGTAGTACAACATACTGATTCGATATACTATTCTCTAATATATCTTTAAAAGAGTTGATGTTGAATCGACTGACTGTTGCTGTAAACTGTGATGATATCTCTCCTTTTTCATTGATAGGTTCTCCTATACCTTTAAAGTGAATCGATCTTCTAAAAGTAAAACTACTATTATACAACTTTTTACAAGTTAACAACAAACATACTAAATCTACATTATCTTCAATCTCTGTTATAATTTGTATTAATAACAAATTAGATAATGATAATAGACGAGTCATTTGTTAATTAAATGAATATGTTAATTAAATAAATATTAAATTTAACTTTGTAACAAAATGATTATTTTTTAGTACTAATATTTGTTTTTTTTGTTCATATACGATAAATAATTATGACTACTCTATTATCTCTATCTAATTTATTACTATTACATATAATAACAGATATTGAAGATAACGTAGATATAATATGTTTGTTGTTAACTTGTAAAAAGTTATACAGTCAAAATAGTAGTGGTTTATGAAGATCGATAAATTTAAAGGAATTGAACCTATAGATACAGTTAAACGAGAGATATCATCAGTTTATAGCAACAGTTAATCAATTCAAATTATTATCATTTAAATATATATTAGAGAATAGTGTATCAGGTCATCAAGTTATGATACCTAAATGTTATCGTCCCGATGACTATCCCACATGGATACAAGATCGTATAACCGCTGGTCCAAAGAAGATAGTCGATAAAAGTAGAACCATTATAACAACAGCGTTAATGAATGATTTCGAACCATTATCAATAGATTCACTATACAAGATACCATCAATCGAGACACTATTCATCAATAACCAACAAAGGGAAACTGTGGTAGATCTATCCTCCATCTCACGGTTACCAAATCTTCAACGACTTGAAGTTTGCTCTCGTTGGTTTAAAATTGGTGGCCAAAATACATCACTAAACTCTCTAAAACTATATAGATCTGTCAAATACTCTCTCAGTGACTTGGCACTCACCAATCGCTGGAAGAGTTGACATTTGACACTTGTGTTTCAAATGTGGGACCGGGTCTCTTTCCAATCAGTCTGACATCTCTCACTTTAAGAATGATTGGAGTACCTCCAAGAGATACATTCCATTCATTAACTTCTCTTGAAAACCTAAATATCGAGATGACTGGCAAAGAGGTAGATGTTCATCAACCATGCATCGATCTCTCTCGTTTGCAGAACCTCAAAGAGTTAGGTTTGGATGGAGGCTATCGGAACTGCGACATCGAACTTATGGTACCAACTTTAATCAAAATACTTGTCCTCATGTCCCCATACATTACAATATCATCGAATTGTACAATGCCATTGTTGGACAAGTTTTATGTGAGGCAATGTTTATTGATTCATGGTAAAGTCAGTTTGTCTTTATGCCCGTCGATAAAGAAACTCTTTATTTTTGATTGAAACAAAGCCATGCCAGCCGATATCATCATTCCGTCGACCGTCGAAAAGCTTAGAATCTCTTGCATATATAAAGGTCTACTTGGACAACTTGTATTGCCAGCATCAATCACTCATCAAACTGAAACAAACTGTCAACATTTCTCCAGCACCTGTCTCACTTCCACTACATTTGAAAAAACTGGTTTGGAATGTCCCAGAACAGCCAATTGAATACCCATCTTTCAACAACTATCCACCTCATCTCGAAGCACTAGAAATATTGAGGATTTTATTAAAAGGATAAAGGCGCTTGTCTACTATAAAGTACAAAAATAAATAAATGTTATAAAAGAGTTATAGTAATAATTCAATTTATTTTGTGTTAGTTTCAGCAAATAGTCTCCAACTAAATTCAAAGGGAGAGGAAGAGCTGTTATCACAATATAAATATACTGGATGATTTGATTGATTTTTCTTGATTATTCCACCTGTAAGTGACTGTCTTTCCAATACCATTACATTGTTATTTTCTGGATCCAATCTTTGAATTGAAAATTTTAAAGTAGCATAATAATCTATAGTTAAATATCTAACATTGGTGTGATTGATTATTTCATCCAATCTAAATAAAATTGAGTTTTTTCTAGGGCCCTTTAAATCGCAAGTTAGATGAGTGGTATTGGTTGGAAACCATTGTTGTTGTGATTGATCGCTGGGTTTGTTTATCCTTGAGGTGATTGAATAGATTGGATGAGTATTTGGAGACTGGATAGGATCCAATGATATTGATAGGTTTTTGGTGATGGGTGGTATTTGGATTGTAAAGTCACCTTGAATATTAAATAGATTTAGTGTTGTAAGATGTGGTGGATAGTTGTTATCATTGTTGGATGTGAAATTAACAAGATTCCAATCAAGTATTTTCAAATGCTGAGAAAGTGCTGATTCGTTGATTTTCTGTTTGAGTTTGATGAGTGATTTAGGTAGTGATTGGATAGGCTCATATCTTCCTAATAAAGATAGATGAGTAAGTGATGGTGGGAATAAAAATTGTCCAAGAATATCTTCTTTGATGAATTTATCGATTGAAAGCTTTTTGACAGTTGATGGGATCATGATATGGGCTGGAATCTCTTCAATGCAGTTGTCTAGGTATAGTTTCTTTATCATTGGACATGACAAAAGAGTGACTTTACCATCAATCAATAACCGTTGTTTGACGTACAATTTCTCCAACAATGGTAGTGTATATCGAGGTGGGATTAGTACACTTTCAGACCAGAGTTTGAGAATTTTGAGTGATGGAGGTATACTAATCTCGATACAATAGGTCTCTGCAGGATCATTCAACTCGAATGACTTGAGTTTGTGCAAACTCTCGAGATCGATGCTTGGTGGTTGATCTTCCAATTCTTTTTCGTTGTCAATGTTGATCGTGAGGTATACTAGTGATGTCAATGAAAGGAATGCATTTCGTGGAGGTATATCTATTGGTCCAATAGTAAGTGATGTTAGACTACTTGGCAGGAGACCCGGTCCGAAATTTGGTGCATAGAGACAGGTCAGCTCGGTCAGTGATACAAATTTAGATAGATCCATTTCACTTGTAGTGTGTGTATGCATATATAGTTGAAGAGACTTGAGTGATGAATGAGGACCAATAATCAACTTGTTTGCACAAACTGATAGTCGTTGGAGATTTGGCAAGAGTGAGATAGATGTAAGATCTACCACTTTCGGAATGTCGTCAATGAATAATGTCTCTATTGATGGTATCTTGAAGATAGACTCTATCAATGTATTGTTAAAACTAGTCACCAAAGCAGTTTTGATGTTGCAAGTGTCATCTATGTTTGTTGTTGTTGTTGTTGTATTGGTGGGGACTTTGATCGCATTTGTAGAGTGATTTTGAATTATATAAACGTCAGGCAATACAACAAATTGATTCGATATACTATTCACCAATATATCTTTAAATGATTTGAGGTTGAATCGAGTGACTGTTGCTATAAACTCTTTTGATATTTGTCCATTGTTGATTGGTTCACCTATTCCTTTAAACTGAATCGATCTTCTAAAACTACTACTATTATTAAAAAGATACAACTTTTTACAAGTTAACAATAAACATATTATATCTACATTATCTTCAATTGATGTTATGATTTGTAAAAGTAATAAATTAGATAAAGATAGTAATAGACTAGTCATAATGAATGAAATAATAATATCAATGATGATCATGATGATAAACTAGTAGAAAGAAAAACTCAAAAAATAATTTGATTATTTTTAACTTAATTTTTTTTTTGTTGTTCACAGTAGTACTTCTTCTTTTTTTATTGCAAGAATCAGAATTTCCAATAAAATTCAAATGGAGAAGTGTAGTCATAATATAAATAAATAGGATCATATTGTTGTTGATTGTTGATTGATTTTCTTTGAGTAATTATTCCACCTGTCAGTGTCTGTCTTTCCAATACCAATACACTCTTTTTTTCAGGATCCAATCTTTGAATTGAAAATTGTAATTTTGAGTTGTAAAGAGAAAGAGTTAAATATCTAACATTGGTGTGATTGATTACTTCATCTAATCTAAATGCCATCATCTTGTTATATCTTGAATCTTTGAGGAAGCAAGTTAGATGAGTAGTATTGATTGGTAACCATTGCGATTGATCGATTGTAGGTTTATTGATCCTAGTAGAGATTGAATAGATTTGAGGGTCATCCGAGTCAAGGTTAGGATTCAACGATATTGATAGATTTTTAGTGATTGGTGGTATGTTGATTTTAAAGTCACCTTGAATATCAAAAAAGTTGAGTGTTTCAAGATGAGGTGGATAGTTATCATTGTTGTTGTTGGAAGATTGATAGAAGGATTGAAAGATTAGATTGGTAAATTTGGCTTTCCAATGTAATTTTTTCAATTGCTGTGGAAGTGAGGATTCATCAATTCTCTGTTTTAGTTTGATTAGTGATTGAGGGAGTTGTACAGATTCGATGTAGATACCCAAGATGTTTAGATGTGTAAGTGATGCTGGGAATATAACCTTTTCAAGTATATTGTCATTGGTGTGTTTGTAGATTCTAAGCTTTTCAATAGTCGATGGTATCATATTGGCAATATGATGTAATTAAAACAATGACCAATACTGAGTAATTTTATCAGTGTGCATGATGACAAACTGACTTTACCATCTATCAATAAGTGTTGGTTAACATATAAATCCTCCAACAGTGGCATTTCATATCGTGATGGAATGCGAATGCTTTTGGACTCGAGATAAAGTATCTTGATTGATGGAGGTACTTTAATCTCGATGTTGTATTTTGGGTCTTGAGAGAAATAATTTATCCTGAATGTTGTGAGGTTGTTTAGATTGAATAGATCGATGCATGGTAGTTGATCGGTGACATTGTGGGTGCGCGTGGTTGGTAGTTGGATCTTGAGGGTGACAAGTGATGTCAATGAAAGGAATGTATCTCGTGGTAACATATCAGTAGATCTGATATTGAGTGATGTTATACTGATTGGGAATCTACCTGGACCGATATTTGACAACAAACCACCACATGTAAATTTTGTGAGTGAAACGAATCTCGTTAGATCCAAGTTGATGAGAGAGTTTACAGCGTTGGTACATAGTTTCAAAGACTTTAGTGATATGTGCGCACCAAGAATTCACCCGAATTGTACGAACTGATAGTCGTTGTAGATTGGGCAAGCGAGAGATAGATGTAAGATGGAGGGGGAGATTTTGGCAGCTGATGAATAGTGTCTCGATTGATGGTATATTGTAGAGATGTGAATCTATCAATTTATATTCATGATCATTCACCAATACTGTTTTGATGTTACTAGTATCTTGTTCTCTGTTTGATGTGATCCAATCATTTCGTAGTTGATCTGCTAAACTATTCACCATTATATCTTTAAATGATTTGAGTTTGAATCGATTGATTGTTGCTTTAAACTGTTGTGATATATATCCTTTTTTAGTGATTGGTCCTCCTATTCCTTTAAACTGAATCGATCTCTTTAAACTACTATTATTATACAACTTTTTACAAGTCAACAATAAACATATTTTATCTACATTATCTTCAATTGATGTTATTATCTATAATAGTAATAAATTAGATAAAGATAATAGACTCGTCATAGTTATTTATATAATATATTAGAGCTAAAGAATTAATAAGCTTCAAACTTTGAACCTCGAAACAAACATTTTTCAAAATTATTGATGTGAATACTTTTTAAAATATCATTCATTCATTTCATTTCATTCATTAATGACTAGTCTATTCTTACAGTTATCTAATTTATTACTATTACGAATAATAACATCTATTGAATAGATTTAGTATGTTTGTTGTTAACTCGTAAAAGTTGTATCTTAATACTAGTAGTATTAGAAGTTTGGTTCATTTTAAAGGAGATTTCAACGTTATGCCTGATAATGGAAAGATATCAAACCAATTTAGAGCAAAGGTTACTCAATTCTACCTCAATTCTTTTAAAGATATATTAGAGAATAGTGTATCATATCAACGAGTCATCAGTCAAGAATATGACCTCCTATATGAATATCCATATAGGGTGATCCATTGCAAGATCGTATCTCTAAAGAGGATATACTAGATAAAAGTAACATTACAATTATTGGATGAAATAATCAATCGCACCAATGTTAGATATTTATCTTTTTCTCTTCAAGACTTGGATTTACAATTTTCAATTCAAATATTGGACCCTGACATTACCAATGTATTGGTATTGGAAAGACAATCACTTATTGGTTGAATAATTACTCAGTAGCAAAGAAGAAAAACAAATGGTCAACAACAACAACAAGATAAACTGCATTTTGATTTAAAATATCCATTTAATAATTCATTCAAATTCAGTTGTACATCAAAACTGTTTAACTCAATTGTCTGAAATAAAAGTTTGTTTTTGATTTATATTTCTTCTTTTATTGATTAGAATTTCCAATAAAAATCAAATGAAGAAAAGCAGGGAAAATACAAATAAATAGGATCATATAGTTGTTGTTGTTGATTATTGCTTGATTTTCTTTGAGTGATTATTCCACCTGTCAGTGTCTGTCTTTCCAATACCAATACACTCTTATTATCAGAGTCCAATCTTTGAATTGAAAATTGTAATTTTGATCTGTATAGAGAAAGAGTTAAATATCTAACATTGGTGTGATTGATTACTTCGTCCAATCTAAATGCCATCATCCTGTAATATCTTGAATCTTTGAGGAAGCAAGTTAGATGAGTAGTATTGATTGGTAACCATTGTTGCGATTGATCGATTGTAGGTTTATTGATCCTAGTAGAGATTGAATAGATTTGAAGGCTATTCGAGTCAAGATTAGGATTCAACGATATTGATAGATCTTTTGTGATTGGTGGTATGTTGATTTTAAAGTCACCTTGGATATCAAAAAAGTTGAGTGTTTCAAGATGAGGTGGATAGTTATCATTGTTCTTGTGAAGTGAGGATTCATTGATTCTCTGTTTTAGTTTGATGAGTGTAAGAGGTAGTTGTACAGGTTCGATGTAGATTCCCAAGACGCTTAGATGTGTAAGTGATGATGGGAATATAACCTTTTCAAGTATATTGTCATTGGTGTGTTTGTAGATTCTAAGCTTTTCAATAGTCGATGGGATCATATTGGTTGGGATGGCATCAAAGCAATGACCAATACTGAGTAATTTTATCAATGGACATGATGACAAACTGACTTTACCAACTATCAATACTGACCGCTGAACATATAATTCCTCCAACAGTGGCATTTCATATTGTGATGGTATACAAACGCTTCTGGACTCTAGATTAAGCATTTTGATTGATGGAGGTACTCTAATCTCGATGTTGTAGTTTGGGTCTTGAGAGAAATACTTTATCCTGAATTTTGTGAGGTTGTTTAGATTGAATAGATCGATGCATGGTAGTTGATTGGTTACATTGTGAGTTTGCTGGATTGGTAGTTGGATCTTGAGGGTGACAAGTGATGTCAATGAAAGGAATGTATCTCTTAGCAACATATCAGTAGATCTAAGATTGAGTGATGTTATACTGATTGGGAAGCTACCTGCACCGATATTTGACAACAAACCACGACTTGAAAATGCGGTGAGTGAGACGAATCTCGTTAGATCCAAGTTGATGAGAGAGTTTACAGCGTTGGTACATAGTTTCAAAGACTTTAGTGATATGTGTGCACCAAGAATCACCCGAATTGTACGAACTGATAGTCGTTGTAGATTGGGCAAGCGAGAGATAGAGGTAAGATCCAACTCATTGAGATTTTGGTAGCTGATAAATAGTGTTTCGATTGATGGTATATTGTAGAGATGTGAATCTATCAATTTATATTCATGATCTTTGACCAATACTGTTTCGATGTTACTAGTATCTTGTTCTCTGTTTGATGTGATCCAATCATTTTGTTGTGGATTCGATATACTATTCGCCATTATATCTTTAAATGATTTGAGTTTGAATCTTGTCGCAGTTGCTTTAAACTGTTGTGATATCTCTCCCTTGCTTGTGATTGGTCCTCCTATTTCTTTAAACTGAATCAATCTCTTCAAACTACTACTTTTATTATACAACTTTTTACAAGTTAACAATAAACATATTATATCTACATTGTCTTCAATCTCTGTGATGATTTGTATTAGTATTAGATTAGATAACTTGTCAAACATAGTATGTAGTATTATTATAATTATTATTAGTCAAATGTGAAGATGTGCAGACAGTCTGTTCAACACAAAGCATGTAGAATAAAAAATTAAATAAAATTTAACTTTTATATTTTTTTCAACCAACTTTATTTCATTATCAAGAATACTTTACATTTTAAATCTCATTCATTATGACTACTTTATTATCTTTATCAAATCTATTACTATCACATATTATATCGATCCAGAAGACAATATGTTTGTATCACACGCTTACCCAATCTTCAACGGCAATCAGTTAATTTAACTAATGCCCTCGATTTGGAAGATATTGGTCAACACACACTAAAGTCTCTTGAACTCTCTTCAGACGATCTTTACGATATAACTTTCTTGAAGCTCAGCAAGTTCATATCGTTGAAGGAACTGTCTTTTCTGTCTTTTAAGAATTTTATGGTTTGTAATCTAGAGCCTGGTATCTTTCCAATCAGTCTGACATCTCTCTCGATAAGAATGATCGATATACCTCCACGTGACACATTCAATTCACTAAAGAATCTAGTTGAATTAAAGATTGACATGGAGAGTAGTGACTCTGAACTCATCGAATTTGACGAACAAACACAATTCATTGATCTCAACGGTCTACCCAACCTCGAGTCATTCAAGTATAAAGAATTCAACGTTGAAGGTGGCAATCGAATTATTATTCCTGATGGAGATTAGTCCAGGATGGGTCAAAAGTCAGTGTTAGTTTGTTGAGTGATTGTGGTAGTCGGAATGATTCTATAGGTTCGCAGTGGTTTCCATAGATGTCGAGCTGAGTGAGTGTTTGTGGGAACACAACTTGTCCAAGTAAATCTTGATCTTGCACAACTTGTTCAAGTTCATCTTGATCTTCTAATGAGAGTGAATTGGTAGATAACCTTTCAAGAGTGGATGGGATTAAATTAGCTTGGATAGGTATTTGACAATCGTATATAATAAGAGGAAAAGATGTAGGAGTTGGATCGTCAATGTTTTGTTTTAGTTTGGTTAGTGATTGAGGTGGTTTGCAAGACCCCCCAATACCCATCTCCAAAGATGGATAGATGAGTGAGTGATGGTGGGAATTGTATTTGTCCAAGTTGATCTTGATTAACCTTACAGGTGTCGATTGAAAGCATCAAATATCTATTTTTGGAGCTAAATAGTGTCATGGGGCAAGATGACATTTCAATCAGCTCAATGATAGATGAACCAAACACATTATATCAATCACAATGGCTACCACCCAATACAACTCATCTAACTATGGAACTCCTTGATCCAAGCGATAATTACAAGGCTGTATTTTTATAGATGAAGTAATCAATCACACCATTGTTAGATATCTCACTCTCAAAACTTTTGACTATCATTGTTTGACCGTCAGATTGGATCCAGACAATAGCAATGTATTGGTATTAGAAACAAAGTCACATCAAGGTGGAATCAAAACTTAAAGCACTTTTTATGACCAATGAAATCAAAAACGGTATGATTAAATGTATTTACATTTCGATACTCTTCCATTTCATTTCATTTGTAAGAATACAATTGATACAGAATTTTAAACTAAAACTATAATAAATAAATAAATAAATATTATGAGGTTAAAAGATTCATTTTATTTATTATCAATAATACATTTTATTAATTTTCTTTGGTTTTCAAAACTCCAATTTAAGGCAAATGGTGATGAAGAGTTGATATGTAAATGTAAATAAATCGGATCATATTGTTGTTGTTGGTTGATTGTTTTACGTTGAGTGATTATTCCACCTTGAAGTGTATGTCTTTCCAACACCAATACATTGTTCTTATCAGGATCCAATCTTTGAATTGAAAATTGAAAAGTTTCACTGAAAAGAGATAGAGATAAATATCTGACATTGGTGTGATTGATTACTTCATCTAATCTAAAATCCACCTTGTTGCGTTTGGTGTTCAATAAGAGACAAGTCAAATGAATTGTATTATATGGTAGCCATAGTTGTTGATGGGAAGAGTCGTCGGTAGATTTAATCCTTGAACTGATTGAATAGATTGAAATATCATTGAGAAACTTGATAGGATTGATTGGAATTGATAAATCTTTGATTGATGATGGTATATCAATCATAAAGTCACCTTCAATATCTAATAGGTTGAGTGTTTCAAGATGAGGTGGATAGGAGGATGGAAACTTAAAATTGGAATCATTCATGTCTGTTGCCAATACCAATTTTTTCAAATGACGAGGAAGAGATGTAAAAGATTGATTGGTCTTTTGTTTGAGTTTGATGAGTGATTCTGGTGACGGTTGGGCAGACTCGCTATCGTAGGTTCCCAATATAGTTAGATGAGTGAGTGTTGGTGGGAATACAACTTGACCAATTATATCTTCTTCAGAGTGTTTATAGATTGTAAGCTTTTCGAGACTGGGTGGGATGATATTGGTTGGTATTATGTCATAGCAATGACAAATAATAAGTTTCTTGATTGATTGTGATGACAGTAGACTAACCTTTCCATCAACCAAGAGGCTCAGAGGTATATACAGTCTCTCCAAAAATGGCATAGGACACTCTAATGGGATTTGTATAAATGCAGTCCAAATAACTATTGACTTGAGTGAAAGAGGTACTCTCACCTCCATCAAGTATTCAGATATACTAGTATCATCCAACTCTAGTGTCTTGAGATTGAGTAGATTCGATAGATCGATCGTGCATGGTCTTTGAACTTGCCCAGTTTTGATACTTAAATAGAGGTCGACTAGTGAGGTCAATGAAGTGAACATGTTTTGTGGAGGTATCTCTCCTATCTTTAGAGTAAGCGATGTTAGACTGATGGGTAGTAGACCAGCTTCAACGTCAGATATAAAATGAGTATCTATGACAAGTTTGGACAGTGACTCGAATTTGGTAAACTCCAATTCACCTAACGAGTAGGTTGAGGTGCCGATATCTAAGATCAAAGACTTGAGTGATGTGTGTTGACCAAGTGGAATAAATTCGTCTGCACAAATTGATAGGTGTCGAAGATTGGGCAAGCGATTGATAGAACCAAGATCTACCACTGTATCAGAGTATGTTTGGTTGATGATGACTGTCTCGATTGATGGTATCTCGTCGATAAACTTTAATGCTGGTGTATCATAATCATTCACCACTGCTGTTGTAATGTTACTTTTATCTACTCTATTCTCTGCACTTATACAATCTAGTACCCAATCTGGATAGTGTTTGTAACAAGTACTTTGATCGAGTTTGTCAGGTACAATAACGTGTTGATACGACATACTATTCTTTAGTATATCTCTAAAAGAGTTTATGTTGAATTGATTAACTGTTGCTATAAACCGTATTGATATATCTCTTTTATCTGTATCTATCAATCTTGTACCTATTCCTTTAAACTGAATCGATCTCTTTAAACTACTATTATTGAATAAATGTTTACAAGTTACCAACAAACATATTATATCTCCATTATCTTCTATATCTGTTATTATCTGTGATAGTAATAGATTAGATAACTTGTAGATAGACATAATGAATGAATAAATGATTATATTTATATGTATGATGAAAATAAATAATAATATTTTGAAAGACAGTCAGTGATAATCATGTGATGCATAACAAGTCAAAAAAAAAAACAAGAGCCATTTATAATAATTCATTATTATTCATTCATTCATTCAAAATGTCTACTTTATTATCTTAATCTAATTTATTACTTATACAAATAATAACAGATATAGAAGGGTGATCAAAAAAAAAATAAAAAAAAAGATCACCCTTGGCATCACAGATATCGAAGATAGTAGAAATAATGTTTGTTGTTTATTTATAAAAAGTTGCATCATAATAGTGGTTCAAAACTCCAATTAAATTCAAATTTAGAGCAAGAGGATGATCCTTTGTTCATAAATAAATAAATAGGATCATATTGTTGTTGATTGTTGATTGATTTTCTTTGAGTGATTATTCCACCTGTCAGTGTCTGTCTTTCCAATACCAATACACTCTTATTTTCAGGATCCAATCTTTGAATTGAAAATTTTAAAGTATCAGAGATTGATAAATATCTAACATTGGTGTGGTTGATTACTTCATCCAATCTAAATGCCAACTTTTTGCTAAAGTCTAATTTGCACCAGAGATCCACTGTCAGATTAGTAGTATTGAATGGTAACCATAGTTTTGATTGATCACTGGGTTTAGTTATTCTATTACTGATTGAAAATAAAAGATGACTTTGAGTGGAAGAGTTGGGGTTCAAGATTATTGATAGATATTTGGTGATTGGTGGTATATCGATTTTAAAGTCAGCTGCATCTAGATATATTAAATTAACAGTTTCAAGATGTGGTGGATAGGAGGATGGAAATACAAAATTGTTCGTATCTTTGATTTTCCAATCAAGTTGTCTTAAATGTTGTGGAAGTGATAGTGGTGGTATTTTGATTGTCTGGTTTAATTTGATGAGTGATTCTGGTAATTTGAATGATTCATAGTGGTTTCCCTTGATTGATAGATGAGTGAGTGTTGGTGGGAATACAACCTGTCCAAATATGCGAAAATCCAAAGGTTTATCAATTGTCAGCTTTTCAACACTGGGGATTGTATTTGCTCGAATGGGGTGATAACATGTTGAAAGAGAGAGTTTCTTTATCGATGGTGATGATGATAGATTGACCTTTCCTTCACTCAATAGACTTTGATCCACATACAATCGCTCCAACAATGGCATTGGATATTTAGATGGGATTTGAACGTGATTGGTAAATATTTTAAGAATCTTGATAGATGGAGGTAGACTAATCTCAAAACAATAGTCTATTAAATTGTCACTCGAATCTTCTTCCATAAACTTGAATGATTTGAGGTTTGGTAGACCGGCAAGATCGATGGATAGTTGTTCCACATCTTCTTCTTCAAATTCACTGTCATCAATACAAATCTTGAGTTTTTCCAATGACTTGCATGAAACGAATGAGTTTGGATAAGGTATATCCATAAGTTTAATAGAAAGATATGTCAAACTGATTGGTAATTGATCCATCTGCAGATGATTCACCATATAGCTTTTAAAGACCAACTCTTCCAGAGACTTGAATTTAATGAGCTCGAAACACCTAAATTCACATAACATTTCACTTTCCATTTTGAGATACTTGAGTGATTGGAGGATATCAAGATTGAATTCCCATGCACAAATTGATAATCGTCTGAGATTGGGCATAGGATAGTAATAACCAATATCTATTGAACCTTTGGTTTGATTGTTGATGTATAATGTCTCGATTGATGGTAAATCATAGATTGGTGTTAGATCGCATTCACCATCAAATGATTCACTGTAATACACCAACGCTGTTTTAATGTTACTTTTATCTGCTTTGTTCTCTGTTGTATTGTTGTCAAATACAATGATATGTTGATCATATATACTATTCACCAAAACATCTTTAAAATAGTTGAGGTTGAATCTATTTGCTGTTGCTATAAACTGTTGTGATACTTCTCTCTTTTTTGTATCTATAACCTGTACATCTTTAAATCGAATCAAGCTTTTTAAACTACTATTATAATAAAATTGTTTACATGTCAGCAGCAAACATATTAAATCTACATTATCTTCAATCTTTCTTATAATATGTAACAGTAATAGATTAGATAACTTGTCAAACATAGTAACTAATTATATATATATATATATATGTAATAAAAGAAATAACAGAAAAAAATAATGAATGATCTTCTTTCTACCACATCTAATTCACCCCATTCCCACATGTGCTCAATTTTTAGATACAACTTTTGACAACAATACATTATATAATTATATGTTATAATATGTAATAGTAGTATATTAGATAAAGATAGAAATAGACTAGTCATTAACATGTATATGGTGGTTTGAATAATAATGAATAGCTTTTACAAATGCTTCAAGAGAGAGCAAGATAAAAAAATGTAAAAAAATAAAATAAAATAACTTCATCACCTGCTTTGAACATGATGATCATATCTCTCTCTCTTCATTTGTAATCATTCATTCATTCACATTATGTCTATCTACAAGTTATCTAATTTATTACTATCACATATTATAACTGAGATTGAAGACAATGTAGATATAATATGTTTGTTGTTGACTTGTAAAAAGTTGTACAATAATAGTAGTTTAAAGAGATCTATTCAGTTTAAAGGAATAGAAGTTATAGATAAATACAGAGCAGAGAGATCATTCAAGTTTATCAAAACAGTCAACCGATTCAAACTCAACTCTTTTAAAGATATATTAGTGAATAGTGCAACAAATCAACATATAATTGTACCTGACCAATTCGTTCACAATGACTATCCCAAATGGATACAAGATCACATCTACGAAGAGAACATGGTCGATAAAAGTAACATTAAAACAGCATTTGTTTGTAATTACCTCTCGTCGCATTCAATATTGTGCAAGATACCATCAATCGAGACACTATTCTTTGACACCCGTAAAACAATAGATCTTGGCTCCATCACATCTTTGTTACCCAATATAAAACACCTATTTGTGTATTGTCAAAATATAAATATAGGTCCTCACACATCACTAAAGTCTCTGACGCTAAAAACCCTAAGCATATCCGATCTTGGATCAATGCAACTCAATCAATTAGTATCGTTGACAGAGTTGACCTTTCATCACAAGGTTACCAATCTGGGATCTGGTCTCTTTCCGAATAGTCTTACATCACTCACTATTACACTAATAGAGATACCTCCAAGAGACACATTCAATTCATTAAAGTGTCTAGTAAAACTCGAGATCAACATGGAAAATGAGGATGTTGGTGAACAACAACAACAACAACAATTTATCGATCTCTACAATCTACCAAACCTCAAGACATTCAAGTTTATCGAATACCAAATACAAAGAATAGACTTTATCGAGATTCGTCTACCTCCTTCACTCAAGATCCTTCATCTCTTGGCTGATTACTTACAAATACCATCACAATGTTCCACGCCAATGTTGGAGAGATTGTATGTGAATCAGTGTCTATTGATCAATGGTAAATTCAATCTAATGTCGTCCCCATCGATCAAGAAACTTTCTATTTCTAAATGCAACCAAATCATTCCAGCTGCTATCATCATCCCGTCGTCTGTTGAAAAGCTGACAATCAAAAAGGTTGGTGATCAACAAATATTTGGACAAGTTGTATTGCCACCAGCACTTACTCATCTATCAATCAATGGAATCAACTGCGAGTCTGTCCAACCGTTACCAGAGTCACTCGTCAAACTAAAACAGACTATCAATGAATCTCCAGTGTCACTTCCACAACATTTAGAAAAACTGGTTATTAAAATCAAAGCTACCAACAAGTTTGTGTTTCCATCCACCATTGACAATTATCCACCTCACCTTGAAAGAATCGACCTGGATCAAGGTGATTTGACTATTAAAGTGCCATCGATCACCAAATATCTATCAATACCCTTGTACCCCCACTCACAAAATCGAATCTATTCAATCATCTCTTGTCTATCCGAACCCATCACTGACCAACAACAAACACAACAAAAAAAACTATGGCTGCTTCCACACAATACTACACATTTAACTTTGTATCTTCGTAGGAAAATACCCTCTAACAAAAAAATGGCATTTAGATTGGATCAAGTAATCAACCACACCAATGTTTCATATTTGTCAATATTGTACAACTATTCAAAATTACAATTTTCAATTAAAAGATTAGACTCTGACAATAAGAATGTATTGGTATTGGAAAGACAAATGCTTTTAGGTGGAATAATCACTCAAAGAAAATCTATCACCAATCAAGAAAAATATGATCCGATTTATTTATATTTGGATGGACGATCTTCTAAATTTCATTGGAGTTTTAATGTTTAAAATTAGTCTTTCTTAACTCTTTCTAATAAAATAAATATATCTTTTTATTCATTGATTTGAGTTGTTTTATTATTTAGAAATAATTATAATATTCTATATTGATTCATAATCTTTAGTATGTTGGATCTATATCACATTCAACAAATTTCAATTTATATTCAAATGGTGAGGCTTGGGTAACATTAAAATTTAAATAAATTGATCTGGATCGACTGTTTTACGTTGAGTGATAATTCCACCAGTAAGTGATTGTTTTTCCAATACCAATACCTTGCTATTATCATTTTCCAATCTTTGAATTGAAAAAGAAAGGTCAAATCGTCAACATAGAATGATAAATATCGTACATTGGTGTGATTGATTACTTCATCTATTTTAAATGCTCTCTGGTCCACAGAATGTGTTCCATAACCGACAAGTTAGATGAGTTGTATTGATTGGTAACCATTTTTGTTGAGAAATGATGGATTTGTCAAACATTCTACCAATTGAATAAGTTGGAACACGCTTTGGAACAGAGGGGACAGGTAGTAAGGCCAATGATAGATATTTGGTGATTGATGGTATATGGGCCACTGTAAAGTCTCTATGAGTTTGTGATAGGTTGAGTGTTTCAAGTAGAGGTGGATAGTTTTCAATGGCTGGAAACACCAAAAGTGGATTATCTTCCATATGAGGCTTTGATCTCCAAGTGAATTGTTTCAATTGTTGAGGAAGTGATGGAAAGATAGGTTCTTTGATGTTTAGTTTGAGTTGAACGATGGATTCTGGTAGTCTACTTAGATCGATAGTCTCGCTGTAATCACCCTTGATAGATAGATAGACAAGTGAGTGATCGTGGGAATACAACCTCTCCAAGAATATCTTTTTCAGTTTCTTTATAGATTGTAAACTTTGAAACACTTGATGGGATGATGAAATTGACTGGCATCAATCGAGAACAAAGGTCAATAAAGAGTTTCTTGAGCAATGGTGATAAATTGATTCCTCCTTTAATCAATATACTTTGGTTTACTTTTAGTTGTTCCAATAATGGGAGAGTAGATTGCGAAAGGAATTGTACACATTTGGGGGGGCCTTGATTGACGGTGTACTTGATATGATGTTCCGAATCATCTCCATCCAACTTTAGAGTCTCTAGTTTAGGTAAACTTGAAAGATCGATGATTGGTTGGACTTTGACCTTGGTTTTAAAATCCAACTCGATATTGAGGTTACGAGTGACTTTAAAGATTGGAATTCATTTCTTGGAGGAATTACAAGAGGTTTCAGAGTGACGTCAGAGTACTTGGTAAGAGGTTGAGATTGGAGATTGATAATAAACGACTCTTCACACTAAGCTCGGTCAACGATCCAAATCGTATGAACGAACAAAGAGCCTCTGGAGTTTTGGCAAGCTTGAAATGGAGCCAAGAGGGACTACTGATTGATCTATTGGTGGTCTGAATAGGTATGGAACTTTTGGATCTCTTTCTTCTCGTTGGTCATTGATGATGAGAGTCTCGATTGATGGTATCTTTAAGAATGATCGAATTGATTGTGGTCGGTAATCACACACCACTACTGCTGTAAGGTTATTGTTCTTTGCGGTAGAGACCAAATTTTGTACTAAACTATTGACCAAGATCTCTCGAAAGGAGTGATAAATCATTCTTTTCAAAATCAATAGGTCGAATCCCTTTTCTTTCTACTCCTTTGAATCTAATCGATTTCTGTAAACCACTATTATTAAATATGTTAACAATAAACATCCTGTATCTCCATTATCATCTAAAGTAGTAATGATATGTAATAATAATAAATTAGATAAAGATAATATAGACATTATTTGATGATTAAAAATAATAAAAGGGAAGAGAGATGAAGATGAGAGTAAAATGTCACTTTGAAAAAAATAAAATAAAAATAAAAAAAACAAACGTTGTTTTTATCAACTTCACCTCTGAGTTGCACTTTCATTTCTCTTTAATTCAATATTATGACTTGTCTATTATCTTTGTCTAATTTATTACTATTACATATTATATCAGAGATAGAAGATAATGTAGATATAATATGTTTATTGTTAACTTGTAAAAAGTTGTACAGTAGTAAAAATAGTAGTTTAAAGAGATTGATTAGATTTAAAGGAATAGAAGTGATAGATACAGATAAAACAGGGATATTACTGCAGTTTATAGCAACAGTCAGCCGATTCAACCTCAACTCATTTAAAGATATATTGGATAATAGTATATCATATCAACATATTGCACTGTTTGACCAACGTTGTTACAACGACTATCCAAAATGGATACATGATCACATCGGTGCAATAAACATAGTCGATAAAAGTAACATTACAACTGCTTTGGTGTATTATGACGATAATACCTCTAAATCGATAGAATCACTCTACGAGATATCATCAATCGAGACATTATTCATCAACTACTCAGAGTTAAGAACAATGTATCTGGGCTCTCAAGATTTATCACGGTTGCCTAATCTTCAACGACTTGAAGTTTGTGGATGGAGAGTGGATATGGATCACCACTCATCACTAAAGACACTTGTGATTGACGTACAACAAGATGAAAGAGATGGATTGGATCAACTCAGCTATGAGATTGACAAGTTTGTATCGCTGAAAGAGCTCACCTTTAAGATGTTTTTGAATAACGACTCTCTCAATCTGCACCTCTTACCAAGTAGTCTGTCATCACTCACTCTTAGACTATCCTTTATACCTGAACATGACACATTCATTTCATTGACGTCGCTTGTAAACTTTAACATCTACATTGAAAATTTTCAAGAAGATGAGGACGGACTATTCATCAATCTAGATGGTCTAACATCCCTAGAGACATTCAAGTTTGAAGAAAGAGAAAGTTTAACATTAGGCTACATTGTCAAGATTAGTCTACCTCTTTCAATCAAGATCCTAACTCTTCGGTCCTCATTCATAAAAATCTCATCAGAGAGTGTGTTGCCAATGTTGGAGAAATTATATGCGTATCAGAACCTATTGATTGATGATAATATCAGTCTATCATCATCACCATTGCTAAAGAAACTGGTTATTGACTATTGCGTTGAAACCATTACAGCCAATCTCATCCCAACAACTATTGAAAAGCTTAAAATCTATAAAGAAACTCAAGATAAAGATATTCTTGGGCAAATTGTATTCCCACCAAATCTCACTCATTTAAGCATCTTGGGAGAAGACTGTGAATCTGTCCAACCGTTATCAGAATCACTCATCAAACTAAAGCAAACGGTCAACAGCCAATCTCCAGTCACTCTTCCTCAACAATTAAAAAAACTTACCTTGTATTTTAATGATCCCAATTTGGTATTCCCATCAACCTCCAGCAACTATCCACCTCATCTTGAAACACTCAACCTTATTGATATACAAGGTGACTTCAAATTTAGTGTACCACCAATCACCAAGTATCTTTCATTATTGATATTACCTAACCACAACCTTGAACTAAATCTGAAGAAAAACGTTCAACTTCCAATCTATTCAATCACATCCAAGATACAAAAAACAATCATCGCTGACCAACAACAATGGTTACCATCCAATACAACTCATCTAACTTTGGACCTATGTCTGAAAAAACTTGATGACGACAGTATGGTTGTTGCATTTAGATTAGATGAAATAATCAATCATACCAATGTTAGATATTTATCAATCACTATTCACAAGACCACATTTTTATTACAATTTTCAATTCAAAGATTGGATGCAGAAAGTAGCAATGTATTGGTATTGGAAAGACAGTCACTTACAGGGGGAATAATCACTCAAAGAAAATCAATCAACAATCAACAACAACAATATGATATAATTTATTTATATTTTTCTTCAGATTTGACATTTAAATTTAATTGGATGTTTAGAGATCATCAAGAAAACGATCTCTAAATATATAAATAAATAATCCAAAAAACATTTAAAAAAAAAAGAAAAAAAAAGAACAAACTTTGATCAAGCTAGAAAAAAAAGTATCATTCAATTCATTAAATAATTATGATTAATAGTCTATCATCTTTATCGAATCTATTACTTATACAAATCATAACAGAGATTGAAGAGAATGTAGATATAATATGTTTGTTGTTAACTTGTAAAAAGTTGTACCATAATAGTAGTTTAAAGAGATTGATTCAGTTTAAAGGAATAGAAGTTATAGATACAAAAAAGATAGAGGTACCATTACAGTTTATAGTAACAGTGACTAGATTCAACCTCAACTCTTTTAAAGATATATTTGTGAATAGTGTAGCAGATCAACATGTTTTAGTTCCCAACAAATTCGAAAACAACTACAACCACAATAAACAAATAGAGTATCCCGATTGGATAAGAGACTACATCACTTTAACAGATAACAGAGTAGATAAAAGTAACATTACAACTGCTTTGGTTGATGACTCTGAAAATGAATCCGTTATAGAGTCTGCCTACAAGATACCATCAATCGAGACACTACTCATCAACGAGTCTCAAGAAGAGATAGATTTAAGCTCTATCTCTAGTTTACCCAATCTTCAACGACTATCAGTGAATGCACCAGAGTTTAAAACTGGTCAACACCAATCACTAAAGTCACTCATATTAGATATCGATTCAGCATATGATTTAAGTGACTTGGAGCTCAACCAATCATTCATATCGCTCACAGAATTGAAGTTGAAGAGTTTTATGGTGATTAATCTAGAGTCTGGTCTCTTTCCTAGTAGTCTGACATCACTCTCTCTTAAACTACTGGATATACCACCAAGAGATACATTCCTTTCATTAAAGTCATTGGCAAAACTCAAGATCCTCTTGGATAGCAGTGAATTTGAAGATGATGAAGTGGAAGACCAAATATTCATTGATCTTGACAGTCTATCGAACCTCACAACATTCAAGTTTAAAGAATTCGATAACCACCTAGAATACATTCTCGAGGTTAGTTTACCACCTTCAATCAAGAAACTGACACTATTGGATGATAACATGCAAATATCATCAGAATCTACACTGCCTTTATTGGAGAAATTGCATGTCGATCAAGGAACACTAGTTGGAGGATTCATTAGTTTGTCGTCATCACCATCGATAAAGAAACTAGTGATTAACCTATGTACTGATATTATTCCGACCAATATCATCCCATCTAGTCTTGAAAAGCTTACAATCGATATACACACTTATCGAAATATACTTGGTCAAGTTGTACTCCCACCATCACTCACTCATCTAACTATCGAGAATGGTAGCAATGAACCTATTCAACTACCCCAGTCACTCGTCAAACTCAAGCAGACAGCCAGTCACACATCTCCTTCAGTCTCACCTATGTTAAAAAAACTAGTTTGGAATATCAAAGATTCAAAGGATCGAGAGTTTATATCATCATTTAACAACTATCCACCTCTTCTAGAAACACTCATCCTTATTGATGAATTTAAAACCAAAGAAGAATTTACAATCAACATACCACCAACCATCAAATATCTAACAGTACCTTTAAATTCCAACCATGAAAATGTCTATTCAATCACGACTATAATACCCAAACCCATCATTGAACAACAACAACAACAACAACAACAACAACAACAACAACAACAACAACAACAATGGCTGCCACTCAATACTACTCATCTATCTTTAAACCTAGGTAATGAGTTTCATAAGCAGAGAATTAGATTAGATGAAATAATCAATCACACCAATGTTAGATATTTATCTATCGCCACTACAGAGAATATAACATTACAATTTTCAATTCAAAGATTGGACTCTGACAATAACAATGTGTTGGTATTGGAAGGACAAACATTGACAGGTGGAATAATCACTCAACAAAGAAGAAGAACAACCAACAACCATCAACTACAATATGACCCAATTTATTTATATATTGATGTATCTCCTGACAATTACGCTCCATTTGAGTTTAAATGGAGTTTTGGTGAGCTATAACTGGAAGTACACATGAATTCATAATCATTTGAATCAAAAGAGTCATCTCATTTCTGCCTGAGACAAAGAAAAAAATTAAAAAATTAAAAAAAAACAAATACTCTTTTTTTTATTCACGATGATCATTCGAATTCGAGTCATTTATAAATATTCATTATGTCTATATTCAAGTTATCTAATTTATTACTCTTACAAATCATCACAGATATTGAAGATAATGTAGATATAATATGTTTGTTGTTGACTTGTAAACATTTGTATCATAATAGTAGTTTAAAGAGATTGATTAGATTTAAAGGAATAAAAGTTATAGATACACGTAATAGAGATGTATCAAAACAGTTTATAGCCACAGTCAATCACTTTAACCTCAACTCTTTTAAAGATATATTGGTGAATAGTGTAGCAGATCAACATACACTACTGCCTGATAGCAATGACTATCCCAATTGGATACAAGACTACATCACTGAAGAAAACAGAGTCAATAAAAGTAACATTGCATTGGTTAACTATTATGACTCTAAATCAATCATACCAATCTACGAAATACCATCAATCGAGACACTATACATCAACCAACACCACCACTCTAATAAAGTCGATCTTTCCTCCATCTCTCTGCTACCACATCTTCAACGACTATCAGTTCGTTCACATGGGATGCAGTTAGGTCACCATTCATCTCTCAAGTCACTTGTACTTGGTATCAATGACACATACGCTCGACGATTTGACATTACTGATTTGGAGCTCAACCAATTGGTTTCGCTGACCGAGTTGACCTTTAAGAGTTTTATAGAGACTAATCTAGAGTATGATATCTTTCCAAGTAGTCTTACATCACTCACTCTTCGGATGATAAGGATACCTGCACGAGATGCATTCCTTCCATTAACATCCCTCGTACACTTTAAGTTAATCATGGATGGTAGTGAATTTAGTCAAGATGAGGTGGAACACCAACAATTCATCGATCTCTCAAGTCTAAACAACCTCAAGTCATTCAAATTTAAAGAAAATGAAAGTGCAGCAGAGTATAATATAGAGATTAGTTTACCTCTATCAATCAACACGCTTATACTATTGTCCACTTACATACAAATATCATCACAATCTAAAATGCCATTTTTGGAGAAATTGTATGTCTATCATAGTTTATTGATTGATGAAAGGATACGTTTATCATCATCACCATCTCTAAAGAAACTAGTTATTTATGATTGCTATAGTATGATATCGTCCACTATCATCATCCCTAAAAGTGTTGAAAAGCTAACAATTCATAATGAAACAGATCATTATATACTTGGACAAGTTGTATTCCCACCATCACTCACTCATCTATCAATCATTGGCAACTTTTATGAACCTGTCAAACCATTACCAGAATCTCTTATCAAACTAAAGCAGACAGTCACCGAATCTTCATTATTACTATCACTTCCTCAACATTTAAGGCGTCTCCATCTTCAAATCAATGTTTCAAGTTTTAAACATTTGGCATTCCCGTCATCTTCCAACCACAACAACAACAACAACAGCGATAACTATCCACCTCATCTTGAAACTTTAAATTTTAATATTAAAGGTTACTCTACAATTGACATTCCACCAATCACCAAATATCTATCACTATCACTTGAACCCAACCCTAAACCAGGTCCAAATGACCCTCAACTTCCAATCTATTCAATTAGTTCTAGGATACCCATAACCATCACTGATCAATCACAACAATGGTTACCAGTCAATACTACTCATCTAACTTGTGGTATCCCAAGAGACCTACGTAGGAACTCTGAGAAAGACTGGGTTGTTGCATTTAGATTAGATGAAGTAATTAATCACACCACTGTTAGATATTTATCTCTCAATTTTTCCAATCGTTATTCCAAAGTCAACACAACATTACAATTTTCAATTCAAAGATTGGACTCAGACAATAAAAATGTATTGGTATTAGAAAGACAGACACTCGCAGGTGGAATAATCACTCAAAGAAGAAAATCAATCAACACTCTACAACAAAAAGAATTTTACCCAATTTATTTATATTATAATTCAAAGTCTCTATCTCCATTTGAATTTAGATGGAGTTTTACCTCCTTTAAATAAATAAATTATTTTTGAAGAAAACAAATCATAAACAATACCTTTTAATTTATTTATAAAAAGAATTAAATTAAAATGAATTTTTTTTTGTCCAAAGGGTGATTAGTTTTACTTCCTTTCAATTGATCCATTATATATTTATTTAAAAGATCATAATGGTTGATAAGTTATCTAATCTATTACTATTACAAATCATAACAGAGATTGAAGAGATTATGTTATGTTAATGAAAATCTATTCATCGATCTAGAGAGTTTGACAAGACTAGAGAAATTTAAGTTTTTTTCCTGCAAGGAGGATTTAGACTATCATATCGAGATTAGGGATTTGATGATCGACATACCCCAAGTCACAAAAAATCTATACCTAGTCTTGGACCAAAACTCTAAACTGGGTCCAAAAGGTATTCCAATCTTTTCAATCAGCTCTCGTGTCAAAATAACCAAACCTCAATGGCTACCACATAATACTACTCATCTAACTTGTGACCTCCGTTCGCCATCAACTTTCCCAACCAAGGCATTGAGATTGGATGAAACCAATGTTAGATATTTAATCATCGATATTTTCTATAAAGTTTTTCAATTTTCAATTCAAAGATTGATCCAGACAATAGAAATGTATTGGTTTTGGAAAGACAGACACTTGGTGGTGGAATGACTACTCAAAGAAAATCAATCAACCAAAAACAACATTATGATCCAATTTATTTATATTTTGAATGCACACATTCCGCTCCATTTGAATTGAAATGGAGTTTTAGTAAACATTTGGAAATAAATAAAGTTGTATAAATAAAAGATGTTTTATTGAATGTGCTCTTTACCAAAGCTCCAACCAAATGACCTATTTAAATATAAATAAATAGGATCATATTGTTGACCGCTGTCGATTGATTTTCTTTGAGTGATTATTCCACCTGTCAATGACTGTCTTTCCAATACCAATACATTTCTATTGTCTGGATCCAATCTTTGAATTGAAAATTCAAATGGAGCGGATGCTGGTTTCTGTCTACTTATCATCCTGAGCGATAAATATCGTACATTTGTACGATTGATTATTTCATCTAATCTAAAACCCAACTTTTTGTCTTTTGATGCGTTCCATAACTGACAAGTTAGATGAGTAGTATTGACTGGTAACCATTGTGGTTGGAGGATGATCGATTTAGATATCTTTGATCCGAGCGAATAGAATTGTGTGTCATCTGTGGAATGAACAGCGTCTAGAGGTATCAATAGATATTTTGTGATGAGTGGTACATTGATGGTAAAGTCTTTGTGGACCTCTAATAGGTTGAGTGTTTCAAGATGAGGTGGATAGTTGTTGGTTGATGGGAACACTAATAATGGTTTATAGTATAGATAAGGTTGTGCCTTCCAAATGAATTGTTTTAAATGTTGAGGTAGTGTAGGAAGTACAGGTCCTTTGATATTTTGTTTGAGTTTGACCAATGATTCTGGAAGTCTATTTGGATTGACCGTCTCGATCCAGCTACCCTTCAAAGATAGATATGTAAGTGTTGTAGGGAATACAACTTGGTCAAGTATATTGGCACCACCTGTATTTTTATCGATTGAAAGATGTTCAAGAGAGGATGGAATCATTTTTGCTTCCACATTTTCAAAACAAGAGTCAATAACCAGTTTCTTGAGCAATGGTGATGACGACATACTGAATCCACCTTTAGTAAATAGACATTGTGGTACTTTTAATTGCTCTAAAAGTGGCATTGGACATTCAGATGGGATTGATATGCATGTTGGGATTAAAACAAGGTTCTTGATTGATGGAGGTAACTGAATCTCGATGATATAGTTTATATAATGCTCAGAGTCATTTCCACCTAACTTTAAAGTTTCGAGTTTGTTTAGACAGAATAGATCGATGCATGGTTGTTCTTCGACCTGACTGCCAAAATCTAGATAGATATCAAGCTTCACTAGTAAAGTCAATGAATGGAATGCATTTTTTGGAGGTATTCCCAAAGGTTCGAGAGTGAGTGATGTAAGACTACTTGGCAATAGATTGATCCTGCCACTTGATATAAAATCACTCTTTATACAAAGCTCGGTCAGTGATTCGAATTTGTTCTCCAATACACTTAGATTGTACAGTTCTCCGACATGTAGATCAAGTGACTTTAGTGATGAGTGTTGACCAATATCCAAATCGTACGAACGAACAAAGAGTCTTTGTAGATTAGGCAAGAGTGAGATGGAGGAAAGATGTACCTTAAAATAGGCTTTTTCATTTGTTTGATCATTAATGAATAGTGTCTTGATTGATGGTATCTGGTAGATTGACTGTATTGTTTCTAGTTGGTACTCTTTTACCAAGACTGTTGTAATGTTACTTTTATCTACTCTGTTATTCTTTTCTGCATAGACGGTAACACGGTCCTTGCCTAGTATGACTTGTTGATCTGACAAACTATTCACTAATATATCTTTAAAAGAGTAGAGGTTGAATCGATTAACTGTTTCTATAAACTGTTTTGATATCTTTCTCTTTTCGGTATTGATTGGTTCACCTATTCCTTTAAACTGAATCGATCTCTTTAAACTACTATTTTGATACAACTGTTTACAAGTGAATAATAAACATATTATATCTGCATTATCTTCAATATCTGTGATGATTTGTAATAGTAATAAATTAGATAAAGATAATATAGTCGTCATTAATATATATAAATGAATAAAGTAAAAAAGAAATGAATCTTCAGGTGAAAAGAGTATTTGATTGTCGAGAAAAAATAAATAAACCGAACAGGCAATTTATTCATAGAATTGGTGGGTGTTGATAAGATAAATTCAATTCAAATGGAGATGAAGTAGAATCGATATTAAAATATAAATAAATTGGATCATATTGTTGGTGTTGTTGACTGTTGATTGTTGTTTTTTGTTGCCGAGTGATTATTCCACCTTGAAGTGTTTGTCTTTCCAGTACCAATACGCTGTTGTTATTATTATTGATGTCAGAGTCCAATCTTTGAATTGTAAATTCAAATTTTAACCCTAGAATTTTAATGATCCATATATTTAAATATGTAACATTGGTATGATTGATTACCTCATCCAATCTAAATGCAACCTTTCTGCCTGTTGTCGCTTTACAGAACCGACAAGTTAGGTGGGTAGTATTGACTGGTAACCATTGTTGTTGTTGTTGTGATTGGATGATTGTGTTGTCAATTTTTGAGCCAATTGAATATATTGGAATACCATCTTCAGAATAATTTGGTTCTAAAGGTATTAATAGATATTTGGTGATTGGTGGTACATTGATGGTAAAGTCATCATAGATATCTACGAGGTTGAGTGTTTCAAGATGAGGTGGATAGTTGTTGGTTGATGGGAAAACTAATAGTGGTTTATCGTTTCGATAAGGACTGGCCTCCCAAGTGAATTGTTTTAAATGTTGAGGTAGTGCAGGAAGGACAGATCCTTTGATTCTTTGTTTGAGTTTAATGAGTGATGGTAGTCTATTGGGATGAATTGTCTCGATACCTGTCCCCTTGATGGATAGGGAGGTAATTGTTGGTGGGAATACTCCCTTTCCAAGTATATTGACATTACCAGAATATTTATGAATTGTAAGTTGTTTGAGTGTTGATGGGATTAAATTGGTTGGAAACCTTTGAAAACAAAGGTCAATAACCAGTTTCTTGAGTAATGGTGATGACGACAGACTGCCTTTGTTCTCAATCAATAGAGATTGCTGTACTTTTAATCTCTCTAATAGTGGCATTGGGCATTGCGATGGGATTGTTATGCATGCAGGTCCAATGTCAAGGTTCTTGATTGATGGTGGTACTGTCATCATGATGTTAAAGTTCATGTCGACATGACGTTTAGCGTCATTTCCACTCAACTTGAATGTCTCTAGGTTGATTAGACCCGAAAGATCGATGAATGGTGGGGTTTCTGAATGACTGTCAAATTCTATATCGATATCTAGTGTCACGAGTGATGTCAATGAATAGAATGCATTTCTTGGTGGGATTCCAAGAGGTCCTAGTGTGAGTGATGTAAGACTACTTGGCAATAGATTGATCGTATCACTTGATATAAATTTACTCTTTACACTAAGCTCGGTCAGTGAATCGAATTTGTTCTTCAATACACTTAGATTGACGAATTCGTCAACATGTAGATGCAGAGACTTTAGCGATGAGTGTGGACCAATTTGCAATAGAAATGAACGTACATCTAGCCGTTGTAGATTAGGTAAGAACTGTGAGATGTAACCAAGATCTACCATTTCCTCTTCTTCTTTTTGATAATAGTAGGAGGAATATTCATCTTCATATTCATCTGGATCCTTTATTTCTCTTTGATCGTTGATGATTAGTGTCTCGATTGATGGTACCGTGTAGATACATGGAATAAATTGGTAATCTTTAACCAATACTATTGTACTGTTGGTAGTGTCTCTATTTTCGATGTCACTGTCTATTATGGTATGATGAGCAGATATACTATTATCTAATATATCTTTAAATGATAATAGGTTGAATCGATTGACTGTTGCAAAAATCTGTTTTGATATCTCTCTCTTTTCAATATTGATTAGCTCTCCTACACCTTTAAACTGTATCAATCTCTTTAAACTACTATTATTTAATAAATGTTTACAAGTTAAAAACAAACATACTATATCTACATTATCTTCAATATCTGTTATAATATATAATAGTAATAAATTAGATAAAGATAATAGAGTAGACATTCGTGAATGATATGAATGATAGCAAGATGAAGATCGAAATCTTTCCACCCTTTTTAAAAAGTTCTAGAAAAAAAAACAAACAGACAATTATTTTAATTTTGTAATTATTAAATTGGATGTACTTTTGTAATTGATTTGTTTGTTGTTTAGTTTAAAACATCAAAACTCCAATTAAATTTAAATGGATTGGAAGAGGATGTATCCAAATATAAATAAGTTGAATCATATTGTTTTTGTTGGTTGATTGATTTTCTTTGAGTGATTATTCCACCTTGAAGTGTATGTCTTTCCAAAACCAATACATTGTTGTTGTCTGGATCCAATCTTTGAATTGAAAATTCAAATGGAATATCTCTATGCCATTTAGATAACGATAAATATCTAACATTGGTATGATTGATTACTTCATCTAATCTAAAACCAAGCTTTTTTTTATCATTTGTTTTTTCACCCAAATGACAAGTTAGATGTGTAGTATTGATTGGTAACCATTGTTGTTGTTGTGATTGTTGGGACATTAGAGATCTGTCAATCTTTGAACCTAGTGAAAAGAATGGAATTCCATCTGGAGCAAGGAAAGGTTTCAATTGCAGTGACAGATATTTTGTGATTGGTGGTACATTGATGGTAAAGTCACCACATATATCCATTAGGTTGAGTGTTTCAAGTAGAGGTGGATAACTATTATTGTTGTTGTTGTTATTATTATTGTTGTTGGTGGATGATGGGAAAACCAAAAGTGGTTTATTATTTTTGAATTGATTGCATGATTTCCAAATGATTTCTTTTAAATGTTGTGGTAGTGGTGGAAGGACTGGATCATTGATAAGTTGCTTGAGTTTGATGAGTGATTTTGGAAGTCTATTTCGATTGACTGTCTCGATACAGGTACCCTTCATAGATAGATAGGTGAGTGACGGTGGGAATACAACTTGGTCAAGTATATTGGCATCACTTGAAAATTTATCGATTGAAAGATGTTCAAGAGAGGATGGGATGAGATTGGCTGGCATCTTATCAAAACAAGAGTCTATAACTAGTTTTTTTAGCAATGGTGATGACGACAGACGGATTTTTTTTTCAAGCAATAGGCATTGTGGTACTTTTAATCTCTCTAATAGTGGCATGGTACATTGTGGATGAATTTTGATGCATGTGAGTCTGGTGTTGAGGTTCTTGATTGAAGGTGGGACAGTCATCTTGATGGTGTAGTCAACGCAAATGTGTTGCTCGTAATCATTTCCATCCAACTTGAAAGACTCTAGGTTGTGTAGACCCTTTAGATCGATGAATGGTTGTTTTTCAGTCTGACAGTCAAAATCTAGATCGATATCAAGTGTCAGGAGTGATGTCAATGAATAGAATGCTTTTTTTGGAGGAACTCCCAGACGTCCCAATGTGAGCGATGTAAGACTACTTGGGAGTAGATGGATCTTGTCACTTCTAATAAATCTACTCTTTATACAAAGCTCGGTCAGTGATGCAAATTTGTTCTCTAATACACTAAGATGGACCAATTCGTCGACATGTAAATCAAGTGACTTGATAGATTCGTGTTTTCCAATATCCAAATCGTAAGAACGAACAAAGAGTCGTTGCAGATTAGGCAAGAGTGAGATGGAGGTAAGATCTACAGTTTCCTCTTCTTCTTCTTCTTCATCCATGTCATAATTATAGGGAAATCGATCTTCCTCTGGATCCTTTTCTTCACTTTGGTCATTGATGAATAGTGTCTCGATTGATGGTATAGAGTATATTGACGGAATAAAATCATAATCTTTGATCATTGTTGTTGTAATGTTACTTGTGTCATTATTAATGATTGTTGGGTCGATGAGACAGTCTATTAAAAGTTGTTGTTGATTGATACTATTCATCAATATATCTTTAAATGATAATAGTTTGAATTGATTGATTGTTGATGGTATAAACCTTTGTGATATCTCTCTCTTTTCAATATCGATTAGTTCCTCAATCCCTTTGAATCTAACGCATCTCTTTAAACTACTATTTTGGTATAACTTTTTACAAGTTAACATAAAACATATGATATCTACATTGTCTTGAATCTCTCTTATGATTTGTAATAATACTAGATTAGATAGAGATAATATAGACATAGGTATTCTTTTGTGTGAATGAAAGAAAAAAAAATGAATGAACTTGCAATTATTTGTTTTTTTATTGTTCAACCTTTGGAGTTGAAGAAGATGAAGAAGTAAAATCCCAATTAAAATGAAATGAAATAGAAGATCTGCCCATAAAATAGAATTTAATACTATCATATTGTTGTTGAGTGATGATTCCACCGGTCAATGACTGTCTTTCCAATACCAATACATTGTTATTGTCAGAGTCTAGTCTTTGAATTGAAAATTGTAATGTTGTGTGATTGTCAAAAATGAGAGATAAATATCTAACATTGGTGTGATTGACTATTTCATCTAATCTAAATGTCAAAGGCTCATAGGCATGGTTCTTGAGGTAACAAGATAGATGGGTAGTATTGGGTGGTAGCCATTGTTGTTTTGGTTGGTTGGTGATGGTTTCCAATGTTGTGATCATCGAACTGATTGAATAACTCGAAAAAATATCTGAGGTGGTGTTGGTGATAGGATTCAATGGAATCGATAGATATTTGATGGATGGTGATGAAATGTCAATCTTAAAGTCACCAATGATATCCAAGAGGTTGAGTTTTTCCAATTGATGATCAATTGGAAGTGAGGAATAGACTGATTCAGTCATCACCTGGTTGAGTTTGACCAGTGATTCAGGTAAATGTTGAATAGATTCACAGTAATCTCCCTTGATAGTTAGATGAGTGAGTGATGGTGGGAATACAACTTGTCCGAGTATATCTTCTTCAGAGGATTTATCGATGACAAGTTTTTGGACACTTGGTGGGATTAGATTGGCTGGCATGATTACATGGCAATTGGTAATAACTAGATCCTTTAGCAATGGTGATGACGCCATACTGAATCCACCTTCAATCAAAAGGCTTTGTGATACATTTAATTTCTCCAACAGCAGTAGTTTACATTTAGATGGGATTTGTTCACAACTGACCAAGAGGTCAAGAACCTTGATGGAAGGTGGCAGAGTAATCTCGATCGATTGATTAAAACAATCACCTTTTATCTTGAATGTTTCGAGTTTGTGTAGAGGAGAGAGATTGATCTCTGATTGCATCACAGCACCTTCGAACATATCCAACATGAGTTTAATCTCTAGATACACGAGCGATGTCAATGCGATGAAGGTGTCTCTTGGAGGTATTACGATCTGTCCCAAAGTGAGTGATGTCAGACTACTTGGAAATAGACCCATACTTGACACATAGTAACAAGAGATTGACAACTCTGTAAGTGATTCGAATTTTTCTAGTGCCAAGTCAGCCAAAGCGAATGCGGTGTCCGTGTCTAGTTTGAGATACTTGAGTGATGGACAGTGACCTAGCTCCAAGCCACCCGCACTAACTGATAGTCGTTGGAGACGTGGTAAGAACTTTTGGATAGAGGAAAGATTGATAACCTGACTTTGCTCGTCGTCAATGAATAGTGTCTCGATTGATGGTATCTTGTAGGCAGACTCTATTGCTGTTGGTACATCTAAATAATGCACCAAAGCTGTTGTAATGTTACGACTGCTTTTATCATCTTTGTTTAAATAGAAGCCAAGTTTGTATTCTTTTTGATCGAGTTCAGGAAATATCGCTTGTTGATCAGATATACTATTCTTCAAGATATCTTTAAAAGATAACAGTTTGAATAGACTAAATGTTGCTATAAACTGTTGTGATACCTCTCCTTTTTCTGTATTGATAACTTCTCCTACTCCTTTAAACTGAATCGATCTCTTTAAACTACTATTATTATACAACTTTTTACAAGTTAACAACAAACATATTATATCTACATTATCTTCAATCTCTGTTATGATTTGTGATAGTAATAGATTAGATAAATCGTACATAGACATATTGAATGATATAGTAATAAATAAATAATAAAGATCTTGGTTTGAGGGGGAATCGATGAACTACCAAAGGTCCATTGATTCTTTTTTTTTTTTAATTTTATTTATTATATGTGTAAAGAGTTTAGAGTTTATGATTATTATTTAAATATGTATTATAGTGAATAGGTGTCACACATCTTTATAATTAAATGACTGATGTGAGTGAGTGAGTGCGCGAGGGAGTGAGAAAAAGGTGATTAAAGTACATGGAACAGAGCGTGAGAGTTGAGTTGGAGTAGAACTGGATATCTATCTAGACCTTTAAGTTCTTTCACCACGAATTCTTCTAGCAAGACTGATATCTTTTGTCATGATGGTTACACGTTTAGCATGGATGGCACACAAGTTGGTATCTTCAAAGAGACCGACCAAATAGGACTCTGAAGCTTCTTGGAGGGCTTGAATGGCAGCCGATTGGAAACGAAGGTCAGACTTGAACTCTTGAGCAATCTCTCTAACAAGACGTTGGAATGGTAGCTTTTTGATGAGCAACTCACTGCTCTTTTGGTAACGACGAATCTCTCTCAATGCGACAGTACCGGGACGATAACGATGAGTCTTTTTGATACCTGGTGCACCACCCATATTGGTCAATGCAGACTTTGATGAAAGATGTTTACGTGGTACCTTGGCACCAGTTGATTTTCTTGCTGTATGTTTTGTACGCGCCATTATTATTATTTATTATTTATTATAAAGTTGATTGATAATTATTTGTTTGTTTGGTTGATAACAAAATGATTTATAAAAAATGAAGAGTTGAAAGTTGACTATTTATCATTTTTGAAATGTGACAATAAACCCAGATTGAGGGAATGGATGATGACGGATGTGTTAATATATTTTTCCGAGGAATATATTTGTTGAGTTGTTTTGGTTTTTTTGGATCTCAACTACCCATCCAATCACCTTGTATGGGGTATACTAAACCAAACTTGATATAATTATATTTATAGAATGTTTAGAGAAAACTATTGTTGTTAGTGTGTTTATGTGTGTGAAAAGAGTGAATAGAAGCGGGAACCTATGAAATCCCTTCCATTTGCTTGTTCCATCTCGTGTACAACTTACACAAATTCCTAGTATAGACAAGAGAATCATTTCTCTTGTCCTGAAAAGGAAACTTGATTTCCTTATATATCCAATGCACACGACGATCAATGGAAATGGCACGTGCAAACCACTCGTATACTTTGAATCTAGCTTGGGAAACTAATAAAACCCATATTACCACTCGTTGGGTAGCCCAAATTTTCGAGCTCTTCTACATTTATGTCTATGAATTGAAGGGGGTATAATGAGGTATTGGTGTACTGTTTGAGAGATCACCACCGATCAGTGTTTTGTCACAAAAAAAACAAACAATTAAATTTAATTTTTGTTTTTTTCATGTTTCCTTTTTCGGACTTGAACATTTCTTGATTGATTCTCTTTACTTTTAGTTTAGATCGAATAGGTAGGGATGCAGTATCAGATAGGGGGTATTATCTCCATCTAATCTAATCAATTTCATATTTCATATTTGCATACCGTCAAAGAAATGTTTAGATTATTTTTTATATTTATCTTTTTTTTTTATCTCTTTGTATGACATACAAAATAAATAAATAGTTGTTGTGTGAATGATCGTAGGTCATTTTTATTATTTTTATTTCATACTCTCATCAACTAGTAAAAACAAATATATATATAATATAATAATAATAATTTTTAACTTTTATCTATCTAGACATACACCACACAAAACTTTATAAAGTTTTATAGTCCGATCATCAAAACCATCAAAAAAAAAAAAAAAAAGATATTTTTATTCTTTGCGTCTCGCTGCGCACAACCACTTATAAAAACTTATTTATAAAAAAATAAATAAATAGTAAACTCTCTCTTCTCTATCTCTTTTCATTTATCTTTTTTTTAATCTTACATATAATAATATAATCATCATCGTCATCATGGCAAGAACTAGATGTGGAGGATGTTGTAGGCGTAGATACAATAGAATCGTTCAAATTAAACCTAAAACAATACCAAATACTCAACTAAAAGTATGTGTAGAAAGAGATAGATAGAAAGATTGATAAAAGAAAGAAAGATAATGAATGATCAAAGAACTAACAATTTTTTTTTTTTTTTTGGATTTTTTTTTTTTTTTTTTTAAAATTTAGGGATGTGATGATAGCAAGTGCAATCAATCAAACAAAGAACATCACGATAGAGTCATTAAAAGTGTATTATGTAATTTAGTGTTATTCAGAAAGATTATATCAGTGTCTAGAGAGAAAGATGTAGAGATATACAAGATTAATCAACTACCAAACTCAATCGAATGGTATCTCAGTTGTGGGCACATCAATCTATTAAAAGAAAGAATTGAAAGAGAAGAAAAAGAATTACATCAATTCATTATCAATCAACAACAACAAGAACAACAAGAACAACAAATAACTGATAATAATGATATTGATATTGATAATAATAATAATAATAATACTTCATCCTCTTCTTCTACATTATCTTTACCATTAAATTCATTTATAATTAAAAAAGATTATTTACTTGAACATCATTTACGATGGAGTTATGATGCAACCGAAGAAATATGTTCATTTGGTGGTCATGATGAAAGACACTTGAAATTATTCCTTTACTTGTTTGAAAAGAAACCTGAATGGTTTAATCATTCATCGTGTGCAAAGATGGCAGCAAGTAGAGGTAATTTGGAGATGTTCAAGGTATTGGTTGGTAATACTTTTCCTGTCAAGATGACCTTTGACATGGATGAATGTATTCAAGCTGCCCTACAAGGATCGTGTTATGACATGGCATTGTATTTATTGCAAAAGAATAGTTACAAGTTTAAAACGGTCAATCAGTTCCAAGCCACCATTGACCATCGTACCCGTGCCAGTTTCTCGAGAATCGCTCGTCTCTTTGTCGATATTTGCAACAAGAGCCGTGGTAGTGTAATGAGCAAGCTCTATTCCAACTTTTTCAGTGCCCTCTTGCAAGCACAAGATATCGAGTTGGTGAAATACGCAAGCGGTCACTACGAGTTTAATGCAACACAATTTTCAAACTGGATCCATGGCTACCTCGTCTCTGGTGCACCAAAAGGAATGAATCTCGACCACCAAATCGACTTTATCAAACAAGTGTTGAAGCTTATCATCAAGCCAGAGAGATACGAGCAACTGATCAACTTGGCCAACCAATCCATCGACAAGTTTGTCATTGACGAGGAATTGGATTGTGTATTAAAAAAGGTTAAACCATCGCCATCACCACCACTCAACAAATCAGACGATGATGAAATCGCATCAATGGACGATGAAATGGAACAAGAGGACGGTGGACATTACTTGAATAGTCTTACACAACTATCAACCAAGCAATCTCGTTGGTTTATGTTTATGTATAATATGTATTACAATCGTGAAGCTGCAAGCGAAGGAAACAAAGAGTCGGATCTACCTCACATATTCAAAGTACGTGTGAGGGAGGATAAAAAGGTCGAGTTTGTTCAAATGGTATTCAAACAGTTTGGTTGGCCGACTATCATGAACTATGGTACATTGGAGTATGTCAAGTTGGCACATTCGTTGGGTTTGGTTACCAACGACCACGTTTACGAACCGTACGGTGAACGTGATGCAGACGAGTCAATGGCCATCTTGCAGTACCTCTACGACAACAACATTAAACAATTTGGTCATCAGACACTACAGGCATGTGAAAAGGACAATGACAACATTTTTACCTTCCTCTTTCAAAACGACCCAGAATTGTTTGGTGAGAATTCCAATCATTCAGTTCTCGAGTATATCACTCGTTACAGTCACTACCATCTAATCCACATGCTCACCATCCCACCTCCCCAACAACCTGAACAACCACCAGAACAACAACCAGAACAACAACAACAACTCATTAAAAGTCGTCGTCCAGGACATTATTATATTAAAGATGGCAGGGGTATAAAGTCACATGCTCTAGATGTGATGATCAAACTGTCAAGTGTATGTTACTATTATGACGCTAGTATTGGAGAGGAGAGTTTCTTGTTGATGCAACAGTTTTACAATGACTGTGAAGCCAGTGACACTAATAGTCGTTACGCGTCAGTCTACCAAGACCAGTTGCAAATCGCCACCCGTGAGAACCAACTCCACATTGTCGACTGGCTACTCAACAAATGCACCAAGTTCCGTCCAGTCGCCTACACACTGTCCTGTATTCTATCAAAGTCGTACAAAGAGTCATTCAAACCACTCTACCGATTAATTAAACAATTTATTATTAATCAACAACCAAAGTCAATCTATACATCTATGGATATTGACGATGACAACAGTGGAAAGAAGAAAAAGAGATCCAATCCATTACAATTTAATGCATCTACATGGATTGATATTGCAACCAAAGGTGACATTAAATTATTTGATCGATTTATGGCTAAACACAAACCATTGGATAGTTTTGGTGCACTCATCATTACGGCCACCGTCAACAACCATCTACCATTTATTCAACACCTCTACAACCAGTACCCACAATTGGTCAAGATCAGTCCACAGAATATGTTGTCGGCCGTTGCCAACAATTCGCCAACCATTCTCAAATACTTTTTGGATTTGGCACACCAAGAGGCTACTGTACAAGCCAAACATGGGTTCTTTCCAGTTGAACAAACCAAAGAAACATGTATGTCGGTAGTCCTTCAAAAGTGCATTTCGAGTGGTAGTTTGTCTTGTTTTAAAATGATTTTGGATCTAGAGTATTTTGATGCACCCAAGGCTCTTACCCCAGCACTATTGACACACCTCGCGCCCAAAGCAGCTAAAAGTTTGCCAATTGCCAATTATCTGGTTTGTCATGGTCACATTACTGCCTGTAAACAAGTCTCTCCTTCTCTTCCTTGCCTCAAACAATTATTGGATAAGAAAAGAAAAGATGCAACGGCCGAAAAAAAGAAATCAAAGGAACCATCTAAAAAAAAAGTAAAAAATAATTAATTAAAGTTAAATTATTAAATAATTAAATAAATAAATATTATATCTATTTATAACTATTATTCATTTAATTATTTAAATTATAATTAAATAATTAAATGAATAATAAAACAATAGTTTTATAGTTACTCTTTTTTAAAATGAACGATTGACCAATCAATCGTGGAGAGGTCAGATGACACCAAAGAAACGAATAACTGGGTGTAGTCGACAACTGTAATGATCGCAGATATTCGTTTCTTTAGTGTCATCACCTGATAAAGATTTGATGGTATCTATTTCTTTTGTTTGCATTCTATCCAGCAGTTGAGTGGGATGACAATCTTGATGGTATTTCTTTCTTGTAGGGCTCTGTAGGGAGAGGAGAACACTACAGCATCTATACTAAATTGGAAATGAAGAGATCTGTTGATGAATAGAGAATAAATAATGAAAAAATACATACCCCGCCGACTACAAGATTGTTGGGTTCTTGTAGATGCTTTTCATTGTCCTCCTATTCAATTTAATCAAGAGTTCTAAGATCTTGTGTGACATACTTTTTCCTTAATACCATCGATATCTTGATCATGATTATCATATTCATTGTCATTGTTGACTTGCTGTTGATGTTGTTCAAAATGATTGTTGTTATTGTTGACCTGTAATCGTTTATTCCTTCTTTTCTGTGCTGTTCTTTTTAAGCAACGATGTATCTTGATATCGAAGAACTCGAATCCGCAACCTTGACAGGACTTCTTCCTCTTTGACATTGAGAGTATAATTGTTTGTCTTTTTTTAATTATATGTTATGTATTAAAGTGATTTTGTTTGTGCCCCTCCCCATCAACAAAATATGTTTAAAAAAAAAAAAAACAAGTAATTTAATTTCATAAAGGTAAATAATATTAATATAATCAATAAAAATAGATAATAAATGGGAATAATTATAAATAACGCTCAAATCATCCCGTTCAATTGTACGTAGACTCGCTGCACCTGCATCATGCGTGATCATCTGATCAAAGAAAAACAAAGATATTCACTCTCTTTTTATTTATTACTTATTCAACAGATAAAAGGATGTGATGATGAAAGGTGTAATCAATCAAAGAAAGAACAACATGATAGAGTCATTAAAAGTGTATTATGTAATTTGGTATTATTTAGAAGGATTATATCTGTATCTTCTATCCCAACAACAATAAAAACATACAAGATCGATCAATTACCAAACAAGATTGGTTGGTATCTCAGAGGTGGTCATATCAATCTATTAAAAGAAAGAATTGAAAGAGAAGAACTAGAATTGTTACAATTCAATAATAATAATAATATTAATAATTATAATAATAATACTTTATCCTCTTCATCTTCTACTTTATCTTCTTATTTAAATTCATTTACGATTAAAAAAGATTATTTATTTGAACATCATTTAAGATGGAATTATGATGTAACTATAGATATATGTTCATTTGGTGGTGAAGATGAAAGACACTTGGAATTATTTAAATATTTGTTTGAAAAGAAACTTGAATGGTTTAATCATCCAGATTGTTTCAAGATGGCAGCAAGTAAAGGCAACATAGAGATATTTAAAATATTGGTTGATAATACAGTCCCAATTAAAATACAATATGACATGAATGAATGTATTCGAGTTGCAATTCAAGGAATGCATCCAGACATGGCAAGGTATTTATTGGAAATGAATCATTTCAAATTCAATCGGAGGACTCAACCATTCAGTTTAAAAGGTGGTCTATTTAAACACAGTCAATCAGATTTAATCAAACTTGCAAGATTATTCGTAGATATAGTCGACAAAAACAAAGAATCTATCGAAATGTACGAGGTATTTAAATTGTATTTCTACAATCTACTCTTACCAACAAGAGATATAGATACGGTTAAATATGGAAGTCACCAATATACATTCGATTCTTTTATTTTTGAAGGGTTGTATCCAGATTACCTTCGTACTGGGTTACCCCAAGACATCGACCCCGACCACCACATTGACTTTATCAAACAAGTGGTGAAACTTTTCATCGAGCCAGAGGAATATGAACGATTGGTTGGTACGACAAACAAGCTTATTGAAATGTTTGTCATTGACGAGGAATTGGATTGTGTGGAAGACAAGGAGTATAATCCCAACAACCACACCAACAAGGAGGAGGAGGAGGAAGAGGTAGAGGAAGAGGAAGAGGAAAATGACAACATCAACTACTATTATTTCGATAGTCTTGCTCAACTATCAACCAAACAATCTCGTTGGACAATGTTTATGATTGGTATGTGTTTAAAAGGAGAATTGCATCAAGAAGCACCTGTTCAACTTTGGTCAGAAATACCTCTGATTCTCAAAGTACGTGTAAAAGAGGACCGACAAACAGAGTTTATGGAATTTTTATGTAAATTGTTTGGGTGGGAATTCATAATGAACAATGGTCGATTGGAGTATGTAAAACTGGCACATTCATTGGGGTTGATCAAACCAGATAAAGTATTTTATCCAAATCAAAGAGACAGCAATCAAACATTGGCCATCATGCAGTATCTACACGATAATGGAATCAACCCATTTGCAATAGAAACTGTGAATCAATGTGGCAAGAATGATGACAAGGTGATCATGTTCCTACATCAACATTATCCTCAACTGCTACGACAAGATGATGTTCTCAAATATATCAAGAAATATGGTCATTATTATCTTACAAGTATACTTGTTGTGCCTACTGCTGCTGATGTACCGCAACCGCGACTACTACGTAGACGACAACAACGAGATATCATCAAGGATAGCAGGGGTATCGATGCAACCTCACTCGATGCAATGATCAAGCTTTGCGGATCCTCTTTGTATTACTATTACGATGATCGTGTTGGCCAAGAGGGGTTTCAACTCTTGCAACAGTATTACAACGACGATAGTACTGCAACTACAACTATTGAAGCAACATATCAAGAACAATTAGAGATTTCAACAGAAAACAATCAAATTGATATTGTCGAATGGTTACTATTCAAACAACAAACAAAAAAGGTTTTAAAACCAACCTTTCAAACTCTAGTATCTATTCTCACCAAATCATACGATCGACAATACAAACAACTATACAAATTAATTAAAATGTATTATAGAGAGAATATCAAAAAAGGACAATTATTACAATTCAACTCTACAACTTGGAATGCAATTGGATCAAGAGGTGACATTAAAATGTTTGATCGATTCATGACCAAACATAAACAATTGGATTATGGATATGGATCAGTCATTAATGAAGCCATCATTCATAATCAACTAGCATTTATTCAACACCTCTACACTCAATACCCACAATTGATGAAAATCAATGTCAATTGTATCAACAATGCTATTACCAACGATCGTCCAAAGATATTGAAATACTTTTTAGATTTGGCTCACCAAGAAAAGAGTTTACCCAAATTTGGGTTCTACCCTCGTGACCAAAATTCAGAAAAATGTATTTTAGCAGCACTTGACAATTGTGTATCACATGCCAACTTGTCTTGTTTCAAAATGATATATGATCAAGATTATTTTGACTTTTCCATTCTCTCAACAATCACTCAAAATGCATTACACGGCACATATCAAAATCTACCAATTGCCAATTATCTTGTCCATCATGGTGATATTGATAATACCAACGCCGATCAACTCTCTTTGAATATTCCATTTTTAAAAGAATTATTGGAAAAGAACACAGCGAGGTAGGTTTAGGAATATATAATGGATATATTGGATGGAGTATTTATTATATGTGATATAACCTTTATATATTAAAATTATATAGTTCTATTAATATTCAAATTATATTGATTGTTTATTTGTATTATATTATATATATATATATATGCATATATTAAGTTTACATCATGGGGTGAGAAAATAACAATCCTTAAAACAGATTGGGTGTAAACCATAAAATGGCGGCAAATCAATAACCACAAAATAAAATAAATGGCGGCAAATCAAATAAAATGAATATGTAAATATAAATTAATAATAATGTTTTTTTATTTATTTATTAATAGATTGATAGATATGATGATTGATAGATATGATTGATAGATATGATTGATTGATTGCACTGTAGTGTGATTGATTAATTAATTGATTGATTGTATTGCCTGTATCTGTTTGAAATCTAATAGTATTTTCTTTTAATATTATTTTTTAAATTTAAAAATGTTTTTATTTAAAATTCGAGTAGTTGAAACTTTACAAAATCCTTTTTACTTTACTATCAATCATATCTATCAATCATATCTATCAATCAGTTGTTTTCTTTAAGAACATGTGCATGTGTGAATTGATCCCCAAATTGATTGGTTATCAATGCGTTCTTATTGTTCCCTCATTTTATCACACGCACACCTTCATATACCACATTTCTCAAGCACTAATAGCTTAAGCACTTTTGTATACGGATCAACAACAACAACAACATGAAAAAGGAGGGAAGAACATGTTTGCATTGATTGATAACACTGAAACCAAAGGTGAACAAGTAGTGGTGAGGGTCGAATAGTGTGGTGATCACTTTTCAATGTTCACCATACAATGGTGGTTACACAAATAAATAATAATTAGAGGGTTGATGGGTGGTCATGGTTCAATCTCTATGAAATATTATCCTATTTTGGATTCCCACTCTTTATCATACCAATGATGATGGTCGACTTAGAGTGTTTGATGATTTATTTCCAATGAATTAAATTTTTTAAAGTATTTTTTTTTAGAGCCAAGTTGGCAGCTAATATGCTGTGAGTCAAATCTTTTATAAGTTGTTATATTGATAAATAAATAAATATTTATATAAATATATATATTTATTTAGGTAGACAGTAGGAGTAGTAGTAGTACAACTAAATGTCAAGGATTGTTAAAAACAATGCTAGAATCATCCCATTCAAAAGTGTAAGTAGTAGACAATTAATGATGATGGTGATATGTTAACATTTATTTTATTGAAAATAACACAGATTAAAGGATGTGATGATAGCAGGTGTAATCAAACAAATAAAGAACAACATGATAGAGTCATTAAAAGTGTATTATGTAATTTGGTAATATTTAGAAATATTATATCAGTATTGAGAAAGAATGATGGTGTAGAGAAATATTACAAGATTAATCAATTACCAAACAAGATTGGCTGGTATCTTTGTTACGGTCATATCAATCTATTAAAAGAAAGAATTGAAAGAGAAGAAAAAGAATTACATCAATTTAAAAATATTAATAATAATAATAATAATAATACTACTTTATCCTCTTCATCTTCTACTTTATCTTCTCAATTAAATTCATTTACGATTAAAAAAGATTATTTATTTGAACTTCATTTAAAATGGAATTATGAAGTAACTGAAGAAATATGTTCATATGATGGTCAAGATGAACAACACTTGGTGTTATTTAAATATTTGTTTGAAAAGAAACCTGAATGGTTTAATCATTCTGGATGTTTCAAGATGGCAGCAAGTAAAGGTAATATAGATATGTTTAAAATATTGGTTGATAATTCTGTCCCAATTAAAATACAATATGACATGAATGAATGTATTCAAGTTGCAATTGAAGGACTGCATCCAGACATGGCAAGGTATTTATTGGAAATGAATCATTTCAAATTCAAAGTAACCACAACATTCAATAAAAAGTATGGTCTATTTAAACACAGTCAATCAGATTTAATCAAACTTGCAAGATTATTCGTAGATATAGCCAACAATAACAAAGAATCTATCGAAATGCACGAGTTTTTTAAAGAGTATTTCTACAATCTACTCTTGCCAACAAGAGATATAGAGTCGGTTAATTATGGACATGACCACTATCATTTCGATGCTTTTGTTTTTAAAGGATTGTATCCAGATTTCCTTCTTACTGGTTTACCTCAAGGCATTGACCCAGATCACCATCTAGAATTTATCAAACAAGTATTAAAACTAAACACCGATCCAGATAAATATGAGCGATTGGTTGGTATGACAAACAATCTAATTGAAATGTTTGTCATTGACGAGGAATTGGATAGTTCTAGTTTGGTTCTGGAGGAGGAGGAGGAAGAGGAAGAGAAAGAGGAGGAAGAGGAGGAAAATGACAACATCAACTATTATTTCAATAGTCTTACGCAACTATCAACCAAACAATCACGTTGGACAATGTTTATGTTTGGTATGTGTTTAAAAGGAGAACTACCTCAAGAAGCACCTGCTCAATTTTGGTCAGAAATACCTCTTATTCTCAAAGTACGTGTAAAAGAGGACCGACAAACAGAATTTATGAAATTGTTACGTAAATTGTTTGGATGGGGATTTATCATGAACAATGGTCGATTGGAGCATGTAAAGTTGGCACACTCTCTGGGTTTGGTCAGTCCCAAAAGTACATTTAAACCAAAACATAAAGATATTAATCAAACATTGGGAATCATGCAATATCTACACAATAATGGAATCAGCCCATTTACCGTAGAAACTGTAAAACATTGTGGCAAGAGTGATGACAAGGTGATCATGTTCCTACATCAACATTATCCTCAACTTGTCCAACAAGATGACGTTCTCAACTATATCAAGAAATATGGTCATTATTATCTTACAAGTATACTCGTCGTTCCTGATGTGGTGCCACCACTTGGAAAACGAGGTCGTCGGCAAAAACGCTTTGACATCAAGGATAGCAGGGGTATCAATGCAACCTCGCTCGATGCAATGATGAAGCTTTGTGGATACTGCTTGTTTTATAATTACGATGATCGTGTTGGTCAAGAGGGGTTTCAACTCTTGCAACAGTATTATAATAATAGTACGAGACCTTCACCTCTTAGAGGAACAATTCAAGAACAGTTGGTGATTTCAACAAACAACAATCAAATTGAAATTGTTGAATTTTTACTATTCATACAAACAAAATGCAAACCAAACATTGACACTCTAATCTCCATCCTCACCACATCATATGATAGACAATACAAACAACTTTACAAATTGATTAAACGTTATTATCGAGAGAATATCAAAGGACAATTATTACAATTCAACCAGTCAACTTGGAATGCAATTGGATCAAGAGGTGACATTAAAATGTTTGATCGATTCATGGCCAAACATAAACCTTTGGAGGATTATGGATATGGATCAGTCATTAATGAAGCCATTATTCATAATCAACTAGCATTTATTCAACACCTCTACACTCAATACCCACAATTTAAAATCGATGGCTATTGTATCAACAATGCTATATTTTACGATAGTCTTAAGATATTGAAATACTTTTTAGATTTGGCTCAACAAGAAAAGAGTCTAACCAAATTTCAGTTCGACCCACAATATTTGAATCAAGACACTGGTATTATTGGAACGGCATTGAACATTTGTATAAGATTTCATAAGTTGTCTGGTTTCAAAATGATATGGATGATTATTATCCCTTGATTCGCTCAATAATCTGTAAAAAAGAACAAATTCAATACGTATTACAATATCAAAATCTACCAATTGCCAATTATCTTGTCTATCATGGCTATATTGTTGATGATAAAAACACTGAACTTCTCTCTAAAAATATTCCATTTTTAGAGGAATTTTTTCAAAGTTCTCAAAAATCACTATAATAATTCTACATGATGATGATACTCAAGAAATTAAAAAATTATAATAAAATGAATATATTTAATGAATGAATGAATGAACAAATTGAGAATAGCACTACTTTATTAGTTAATCAACTTGACCAATTTTATTACTCCAACATAATTTTTGATGATATTTAAAACATTGTAAATGTAAATAGATTGGATTGGTATCAATGTCGATGGTTTCTATGATACCACCATTCAAAGTTCTATTATCTACAACCAATACATTCCTATTATGATCATCCAATCTTCTAATAGATATATGATTTTGGAGAGGAAGGTTTTCATATGACAATGTTAGTTCTTGAACATTGGTTTTGTTGATGATTTCATCCAATCGAATTCTAGTGTCTGCCAATGAAACCATTATCTCTAATTTTTTGATGCTTGGTGGCAGTGATCCAAATCTTAATTGATCAAATATTGTTCCAATTGGCATCGAACAAAGGTTCAAAGATAGCGTTGAAATGGTGGTTGGTACAACTATTTTGTCATAGCGCCCAAACACTCTGGAATAATCGAGTGTTTCAAGAGATGTTGGATAAAGCACTGGAAGAACTAGAAAGTAGGAAGGGAGTTGTCTTTCACAACCGAGTGAAAAGTGAACCAAATTAGGAGGCAGTAAAGAGATAATTCCACAAATATTACCTAAATAGGTAACATCCAAACTTGTAATGTTTGTTGATGACGATAATGACCAACCCAAATTTATATTTGTGAATACGATCTTTAGTGTTTTGACACTGTTTGGAATAAGATCAGAGGTAATAGAACGACTACAGGCCGATAGACATAAAGTGTCCAAACAACAAGACGTGACTTTGAAATCGGTTAGGGTCTCCAAAGAGACAGTCAAGTGTTTGAGTGTTGATGGAAATAGGTTGGTCGATTGTTTGGAAATGAGTCGAGGTGGGAGCGAGAGACGAGTGAGCGACGTCCGAGACAGATGAATGTGTATATCACCAAGAGATTGATTATTGACACAGTCTTTAAGGATAAAAGATTCTAGACACACTTGTTTTGATAGATCTAGTGTCCGTGAGCTATCTCTTGCTGACAGTAGGTGTAGATCCACATGTACTAGACTTGTCAACCGATCAAAGAGGTGACTGTCAAAGTTTGAGTGTGACATACTTAGATTGGTCAAGTTGGGTGGCAGAGGGCATGCGCCGCCTTCGAATATCTGACCAGATATAGATAGAGTGGTGAGATTGGTAAAGTGTGGTTGGGCCAAGTTGATTATCGATGGTGAAGACCTAAAGTAGAGTGTCTCTAGACCAATTGGAAATGTTAAATCGTCAAATTTGGCGACACGTATATAGATATCTAGAGTCTTGATATTGCTCGGTACAACCAATTTACGTTGCAATAATGGATTTCGTTTTGATTGATAGACATAGAGCGTATCTGTCGATTCTGGGATTTCCTTCACTTCACAATTATAGTTATATGCAGTAGTTGTAATCTGTCGATCACCTAGTTGTAACAAGTAATCTAAAAACCATGTATATTTTCCTTTGTAAGCCAAAAAAGGGTCTCTTATGATGAGTGTATTAGACACTGAATTCTTTGTGATATCAACAAATGATTGTAAATTGAACTGATAAAAGAGTGTATGGTTAAAGTTTATCTTGTACTCCATATGTTTAAACTTTAAGGCGCGTCTAATATAATGATAAAACATCTTCTTACATGTCATCAGCAGACATATCAAATCTACATTATCAATCTCTTTGATTATCTGTAGAATGATTATACTTTGCAATCTCTCTATCATCTATTTAAATTATCTATCTATCTATCTATCTATCTATCTATCTATCTATCTATCTATCTATCTATCTATCTATCTATCTATCTATCTATCTATCTATCTTTTTGTGATTCTTTTCTATTCTGATCTATTCTATCATAATAATGAGCATTATTATTTGTATTTGAGTTGTAGAAAATTTGTGTATGATTTAAATTTAATAAAAATATATATATATATTTTTTTATTTATAGTTTCTAGACATTTTTTATCTTTTGTAAGAGCCTACTCTAAGCTAGCTTATAAGAGTTAAGTGTACAACAAACGATACAAAATGTTACGAACCAGTGTAATCACTAAAAACAATGCTAGAAATATCCCATTCCCAAATGTAAATACAAGCATTCTATTGAGTCTAACAAAACTACTTTCATTCTCTAATATTATAAACAGATAAAAGGATGTCAGAGGTGGTCATATCAATCAATTAAAAGAAAGAATTGAAAGAGAAGAAAAAGAATTACATCAATTTATTAATAATAATAATAATTCATCCTCTTCATCTTCTCATTTAAATTCATTATTTATTTGAACATCATTTAAAATGGGATTATGAAACAACCGAAGATATATGTTCATTTAATGGTCAAGATAAACAACACATGGAATTATTTAAATATCATTCTGGATGTTTCAAAATGGCAGCAAGTAAAGGCAACATAGAGATGTTTAAAATATTGGCTGATCATACAATTCCTATCAAACCAATATATGATACATATGAATGTATTACAGCTGCAATTCAAGGAATGCATCCAGACATGGCAGTGTATTTATTGGAAATGAATAATTACAAATTCAATGTCAACAGGTATCACAGATACAAATCAATCATACCATTCTCGATAAATGGTAGTTTATCTAAACACAGCCAATCCGATTTAATCAAACTTGCAAGATTATTCGTTGATATTGTCAACAATAACAAGAATGATGGAATCACCATGGACAAACTTTTTAAAAATTATTTCATTAATCTCCTCATGTCATCTCAAGATATAGAGTCGATCAAATACGCTAATGGACACTTTACTCGATTGAAGATGTATTATCAGTATTATGATGAAGAAGCGAATCATTTCGGTCGACTTGCTCAACTATCAACCAAACAATCACGTTGACTTTTGTTTAAGTTTAGTATGTATTCGCTATTACCCCCGGTCGATCGTGACATACTTGACAGGCGCTCAACGACGATATCTCCAAAATACGAGATAATATTCTCAAAGCACGTGTCAAAGGAAAAGAAGAGTTTACTGAAATGTTTGGATGGGGACCCATCATGAGTGAAGGTAGATTACATTAGAGTATGTAAAGGTGGCACATTCATTGGGTTTGGTCGACCCCGATGCGACATTTCATCCAAAACATAAAGATATCAACCAAACAAGGCAATCATGACATTTCTACACGACAATGGATTCAACCCATTTACCCGTCGCACCGTGATAAATTGTGGTAGGTATCTCGACAAGGTGAGTTTAATAGATGGAATATTATCTTGGTTCAAAATGATATTGGATCTAGATTATTTTGATTCATCAATCCTCCAATCGAAAGGATTTATGCTAATGGTAATAAAAGAAAAATCACAATATCTCAATCTACCAATTATCAGCTATCTTGTTCATCATGATCATATTCTTGTTAACTACAACAACAAGAATTACATTCAACTCTCACATCATTTTCCATTTTTAACGGAATTGCAAAGAAAAAAAGTAAATAAATACTTTATAAAATTCAAGAAACTTAATTTATCATTCTACACTACACTTTGATCACTTTGATTTTGATAAAAATCTTCTTCTTGATAAAATAATTGGTATGGTTGATGATTTCATCGAGTCAAGTTCAATCTATTTTAAACACTATTAATATTATCTGTCCTGTCAATCATAGTATTAAAGATGACAATAAAATTTATTGACTTATATGATTTGAACTTTTATTTTGAATTGAGGAAAGAAAAAAAAACAGACAAAGTAAAAAAAAAGACAAAGAACAGAAAAAAAAGAGGAAAATCAGTAAATTGAGATCAACATTATATTTTCTATCTAATAACTTACAGCTGAGGGGGGGACTTTCATATTTATGCAGGAAGGCCCTGTTAAGGTTAACTAGGTCGTGTCTACCCTCCCAATATGCACGATATCGGCAGGTAAAGGACGATAAATCCATGGCCTGTAATCTGCGGTTTGGTGTAAGATTCCCAATAAGAGAATATTCTTTGCAGCGCTCGTGTCTCTGTTGAAGAAATGATCACAAACTGGACAATATAGCCATTGCCATTTAGTTTTAAATGGCATTTCTGTCGCATTTGGGTTCATTGACTTCCAGAGATCTTTGATCTGACTATCACAAAGAGACTTACCAAAACCATAATCGTGGGTCGAAACAGAGTTGCTTGTAGACTTGTTCCCATCCTTTTGACTATTGCTTTGATCTTGGTCCTTACAACGATCATTAGTAGTTGATGACGATTTTGACCTCTTTTTCTTATTTTTGCTAGCATCCCTTTTTTGTTTTTCAAAATTAAACTTGATGATAGCGTTGATAAGTTGGTCCTTTTTGCTGTTGGTAGCACCACCCTTACTATCCTTGTGAGAACCTCTTTTGTTTTTCCCTTTGGTTGGCTCTTCTTGTTGATTGTATTTGATAGAGTTTAGATTGCAAAACTCTATCAACTCCTTGACAGTCTTTTTGCTTAAAGAGAAAAGGGATTCCAATAGCATAGTTGGAGAAGGTGAAGTATTTTCAAGTGATATGAATACTTTTAGAGTTTCATTCATATCATCTGCCAATTGAGACACTTTCAGAGTTGAATCATTCTCTTTGTCCGCCAATTGAGCCTTGGAGCATTGACAATTGTAATCAGTCAATTTGCAACCATCACATAACTTGGAATCCTTTCCTTGCCAACGAACACCATTGTCTGAAAACGTGGAGGATATGGGTGCACCAACAACATGGGTCTTTTCAAAAGATTCTGGCAACACATTTTTAACCTTTTGGTGTTTAGCTTTTTCTAGGAACTTGTTGTTGTTGGTAGAATGAATTTTGGAGGCACATGCATTATGAATCTTGGAAAAAAAAATATTAATGAATGGCCATTTCGAGGGTTGATCTAAAAATTCAATTATTAAAACACACATACTTTGGAGGTATTAAATTCATTGACAAGACGTGCCTTGTAACCCATATTCAAAAACAGTCTGAGTAGTGTCTTTGATGTACAACCAGTTCTACCACCACCTCGGGATCCACGGAAAAAATCAGACCCTCCAATATCTATAAAAAGAAAGAAGATTAATAACAAATAATAATAAATGGTTTGAAGAAATAAAAAAAACATACAAATCACTATTCTATTTTTCGGGATTGTTGTTGGTGGTACAAAGCTCTTTGCATAGGCATATTGGGCGCGCTTCTTGTCAATGTTCCTGTTCTTGTCCATGGTCTGAAACGTATAGGACGTCACTACATGGGAATAAAGACGACATTGATCCCTATGGGTAATTCTTTCATACTCTATTCGTCTCAATACAGATTCTACATTGAATAAAGTATCTAGGAATTAAAAAAAAAGTTAGTTTATAAATATTAATATTATAATATATAGGTGGTATAGACAATGAATATTTAAAATAACACTTACCAAAGGTATTATAGGTTGGCAATCCACTTTCAAATTTGGACAGGACCGGGTTCTTTTTGTAGTTTTGTTGTCTTGCCAGAAGACGGTCAGTGCCCATGAGGTTGTAATAAGATGCCACTGAAACCACTCGAGCACGATTCATAGAGTCTACAATCGTGCATTTTGACCTTCCAGGATCAATTCCGATATAAAGATAATTGCCACGGTTGTTTTCCCTCATAACTTTCCATTTGCTTCGGCGCCTTCTACACATTCCAGAGTGATAAAAATCTCTCTTTGCTCTTATATGTTTCTCTTCATCTTTGTAAACGCACTTTTCATTTTTTACAAAAGGTTTAGAGTAGGAGGAGTAGGAGAATGAGTGTGAGGGGAGTGAGGTATAGGTCAAGGATGAGGTATCGGTGGAAGAGGGTGGGGTATCGGATGAGGACGGGGTGGTTGAGGTATCGGTCAAGGATGAGGTATCGGTGGAAGAGGGTGGAGTTGAGGTATCGGATGAGGATGAAGTGGGTGGGGCATCGGTCAAGGATGGGGAAGAGGGGAGTGAGATATCGGTCAAGGGTGAGGAAGAGGTGGGCAAGTAGGAGGACGGAGATGGGGACGAGGTGGAAGCGAGACACCTTTGCACGGCTTTTTTGAGGGTTTCCAACGTCATGAAGAACCAATAGTCTGTCAAAGGGATTTTTTTTTCTCTCGCATAGGCCAGTATATCTTTTTTCGATTTTGATTCCTCTAGATCAAACTGTTCAATTTTTTGTTCTGACCATATTTGAAACCCAAGGACCGATTTCAACAAAACACATTCAACTTGAAGACGATCTTCTTTGATATTCTCTACGTCGATTTTGCGGGATGTGGCCTCTTCAACTAGATGTTCCAACGTCCATTGTTTAAGTGAAGGAAAATCTTTTGTTTTGTTACTTAGATTTGGGCGTTTGGTGGTCTTTTGATTGGAGGACGAAGAGGAGGATGATGAAGATGAGGTGGATGATAAGGACGACGAGGAAGACGAGGCAGATGATGAGGATGACGTGGATGATAAGGACGTGGAGGAGGACGAGGAGGACGGGGGCAAGGCAGACGAGGAAGACGAGGCAGATGATGAAGATGACGTGGATGATAAGGACGTGGAGGAGAAGGAGGACGAGGCAGACGAGGGGGAATTCGATTTAAATGTTTGAACTGGGTCAAATTGAGATACCTTTGGAGCCATTTTGTAGATATCATGAGCAATCAAAATATAGGCTGCTGTTATGTGCAACGCAAACATGACTGATGGATGCGGAGCGATAGCAATGAGCCTTTTAGGAACTATCCTACTTACATCCACCTCTTTGTCCTCGGTTGTGCCTTTGGCTTTATCTAAAATGGTGTGATAAGATTCTTGACTATAGTCAACCATTTCGTAATCCAAAGGATTGGCATTAAAAGCCTCTTTGGCTGCCTTGCAAGGGAATTGTCCACAAACAATAATGAGCTTGGCCGTTGTCATTGAAAAATGGTTCATTAATTCCTTCACCATGATTTCATGTTTGATTTCATTTTCAAATCCGCCAGTAGACGAGTCGTGGACAAAGGGATATGCATCACGAATTCTAAATTGCATCGAGGGATCGGATGTAGTTTTAATAAGATTGAATAGGTTCCGCATGGAGGGTGCAATTCCTGACCTGTTACTGTTGAGTGCTATCGAGGTGGTGTTGAGAGCCTCGTGTAGAAAAATCTCCACATGGGGTGATTCAGGTTGGTCAAATTTGACGAGTCGATGATTGATTTCGGCAATTAATGGTACTGGTGGAGGGAATAGATCATCCTTTGAATCAAAGGGTGGCATTTTTTCAAATGCATTCCTTTTTAGTTGAATATCAACCGAGTACAGATCCATCAGGTCACCACATAAATCCAATCTTTTTTCATGTTCCGATAGAATAGGAATGGTCGCATCACATTGTTCGCACACCATAGGCAAATCTTTAAGTGAGTGGGATGACAAACAATTGGCACAGATAATATCTCTATCCTTGACTTTGGGAATGTTTGGTTTCAACCCAACTTGTTTTGCCACAAAACAAGCATAGTGGGGATGGTTGTATGAATATGAATGGTTCTTTTCCATTTCTTCTACTTGTTTACATTTCCATGATTCATCATCATCATCGTCGTCGTCATCGGAATCATCCATGGGTGTGCCATCTTGACCGTTTTTTTGAGAGACCAAACTTTGCTCTGGAAAAGATTCTTCTAATTTTTGTCTCTTTTTCAAATGGTATGGCAAGAGACGGCTATTCATGGATATTTGCACATCAGAAACTACTTTTTCATTTGCACCTATATAAAGATTAAAATTAAATATTAGTAAAATGAATGGGTCGTAAAAGATAATAATGCTTTAAAACAATGACATTTACTTTTTGTTTGGAACCAGATATGGCTGGGAACGTTGGTTGTCACCATCATCGCCCTTTGATTGATTAGGACCGACATTTTTTGGTTATAAATGTAACCAATATTGTCTCTTTCGTAATCATTAAAGTTGGGGTGAATTGTTTTTGTTGACCCGTTGAAATCGAATGGGTTGTCTTTTACATACGGTGATTGCAAATAATCGCAGAGGACTGATTTTCCAACAAATCCAATCGTATAGTAACGAAAAAGAAACGATTTTTTTGTTGAAGCAAGAGACTTTGGCATCCATTTCCTTGGCTCATTTCTCTTCACCTTTGGGCTGTCATTGAATAGTTTCTTGAGAGTTCCTTTCAGTGTTGGCAATGAACAACAGTACCAATCATATTCGATTTTAATAGTGCTAGTAGGTAAAGATAACCATTTTAAAATGCTAACTTGACTGGATTTGCTGTAGTCAAAGTCTTCTTTAAAATCTATTTGCAAGCGTTTTACCATGTCTTGCCATAAAACCAATTTCAATCTTTTAATATTTTCCTCTTCTTGGACTCGTGTATCAATGTTTGGGGATTCGATATCTCTAAGTTCCAATTGTCGATTAAGATCCTCCAATTTAAAATCTTTAAAATCAGGGAATTTTTCTAACTTTATATCCACAATCTCACTACGAGGTCTACCTCTTTTTTTTTTTGATGATGGGGATGGAGATGTAGTTGTATCAGACGAAGAGGATGGTGATGTTGTTGTATCAGACGAAGAGGATGGTGATATTGTTACATCAGACAAAGAGGATGGTGATGTTGTTACATCAGACGAAGAGGATGGTGATATTGTTACATCTGACGATGAAGGAAAAGAAGCCAAGTGCGAAGCTTTGAGGATCTCAATTTCCTTGTCGAAAAACTTAAATCTATCCAATGGATAGCCACTTTCCAATGGATGACCAATTTCTTTTTCCAAATTAGGTAATATTTTTGAAATATACCTTAATATTTTGTGTTTGTCGGTCAAACCAAGGGACATATCTATTCCAGAGTTGACGATTATACTGACAAACAACTCTATCGAGAATGGGATAAAAGTACTGTTGAATCTATAGATAAAAAAGAGGATTAGTTTTAAAAATATAAAAAAAAGATATTGGTCAATTGTTTTATACATACTTTGCTTGTGGTGCAAAGCTATTCAATGCGAAAGGAGTAGTTTTTATCGTCTCCAAATCGGACGTCATGAGGGATTTCAATCCTGTAGGGTCATATCCTTTTGGAAACTTGTATCCATTTGATTCACAAAAATCCATTAAAGATGGATATTGATCTTTTGTCAACTTTGAAAAATCGATTGAATTGTCCTCTCTATAGAAAAAAAAATAAGATTACAAAAAAAGCATTTGATTAGTTAATTATAATGAAAATAATAAAAAATAACAAAAGATATAATAATAATAATAGTTACGGATTAATTATATTTTCCAAATTTAGCATTTTCAATCTATTCAATTGGAGGGTATTTAACCCACTCCAGGCACTTATTGATGTTGATGATTGGATCAACGCTTCCAACTTTGATGAGAGTTCAGATTGTAAATAATCACCAGATATATGTTCTTCAACCTTTAATTTCTTTACATTTTTGCTATCAATCTCTAAATCTGTGGCCAAATTTGATATTGAATAAACAGATCCATCAAAATTGATTTCATCAAAGTTTTCAGGCCTTTTGTCACCCAAAAACTGTTTCTTCTTTTTTTTTTCCTTGGGAATGGCTGGCTCTTGATTTTGCTTGGCCTCTCTTTCCTCTTTTAATTTTGACCTTTTCTTTTCGCATTCCAAATTATGATCTATAATGATAAATGTAATAAATGTTAGAGAGGTTTAAAATTAAAAAAAAAAAAAGGTTTGACAGGCCTGTCACTGCATAGAGAGAGCTTCTTGCTATCAATGGAGGTATCAAAGATCACTCTAATCTCTGCAATAATTAATACGCGCTGTATTACAATTATACTCTATAAATTCTATCTCTCTCTCCACAATGAGGCAAAAGAGATAGGTGATGCGTTGATTGGATAATGAAAACAAAAAAGAAATGGTGTAAAAGCAATGATTGTAATGTTTTGCATTATCGATCTGATGGAAAGACTGGGACCAACAATGAGGCGAGTGGTTAGATGGGTGGTGCATCTCGATAATAAAAACAAATATAATCAAAACAAGAAAGGGTAAAAGAGGAGCAATGGTAGTGATTGATTGCAGTATCTGATGGAAAGTTAAGTGGTAAAGAAAGTTTGTCGGATAGGAGAGTGGATCAAACGAACAACAAAAAGGATGCAGAGCGATAAAGAGTGGTAGATTGGTACTTGATTTGGATCAAAAAGGATTATATAATTTATGAGTGAACACAAGAGGTCAATGATATGTAAAGATGAACTTGGCCAACAATGAGTAGTTAAAAGGAAAGAGATGGGTGGTGCATTGATTGGTAAACCAATGAAAACAAAAGATAATCAAAAAGAAATGGTGTAAAAGAGGAGTAATGATAGTGATGTGTGGGTTCTTACACTAAAAGTGTAACTATAAACAATACTCGCTGTATTCTATCTATTGATAATGTTGTGTTGAGTGTGAGATGTTATTTAATAGTTTAATATACATTCTCTAAATTTGGTTTCTGTGAGTTGTTCGAGATGAAAAAAAAAAATGAAAATAAATATTAAAAAAAAAAATCTGATCGACACTCCGCAAACTGCCCACCATCCTCTCAGTAGCGGTCATCGACCCCTTTTGACGTGTATGAGCAAAAGATAAACAAAATGAGAGATAGAGTTACATGAACCGACGCAAGAAGATATTTAAAAAAAACCTGTGATGGTGTTAATATCAATGACATACCTTTTAATGGTTGAGATGAAAATATTAGTTTGAGAGCTTGGTACCCTTCACCGATATCACCATCATCTATTTTGGCAAGTATATCCTCCAGAAGATCCGACACCAACTTGGACTCGTGGTGGAATATGTTTCGGTCATCTTGACGGTCTAAAGCACTCTCCACCATCCTTTTGCAGGTCTCGGCCACCTCGGCCGAGTAACTATTGCAAATGGAGTTGGCAAAGGCGGTTTTATAAGAGTGGCAACAGCCAATTGGATTCAGATCTGGGTCAAGGAGTGCATATCGGAGGATTTGATATTTTGCAACCATCTCGTCTACCTTGAGTTTGGCAAATGTTCTCGATAGCATTTTGTTGACGATTTTCTCTTTTGCTTGGACATCTTGTGCAGAATTCTGTAAAGAGTAAACAAAGAATAAAATAAAAATTAATTTATTATTACACATCATAACTGTCACAGACTGTTATACATACATAATCTCTTGGACTATTACTGCTTTTGCGTGTGTCTATGTCCATCACCTTTGAGATGATGGCCTCCACAATTAGAGAATCCCATCGAATCGGCAAAGTCAACCGATTTTCCATTTTTTCATATAATTCATTTGTTTTGTTCTTTGAAAGAACACTCATGTCGTAATACTTTGGTATTACTTTTTCGAGTTCTTGTCGGGACAAACTAAACACTAAAAATAGTAAAATACATGAAATCGATCAATTAGTTCATGAACTTATCTGAATGATTCATGTTCAAAAAAAAAAAAAAAGGTTGATGATATCTTACTGTTATTAAAGTCGTATACAAATATTAAAAAAAATTGGCCTACTAACCTCTTAACAGAGTGATAGTATCTTGCATATTGGCCGAGATGTGTCACAAACAAGTTTTGTTCGTTATTCCACTTCTTACCCATGAGACGATCGAGAGGGTATTGAGTTGTTCTTGTCTCTGTTGCGGATGGAAGTGGGCCATTCATGATGACCACTGTGCGATAGTGAACCTCAATTAGAAGCTTCCTATATAAAAAATATATAAAGGTAATACAATATAGCAGAAAGATAATGAATTGAAGAAAAGATAGATAAAATGAATAATGATGTGATGAGAAAAAGAACACTTTAAATAGAGAACATTGGAGCTTGATGAATAATATTTTATTTTAAACAAATGTTTTCTTGTCTTTGTTGATTATCAACAAAAAGTGAGGGGTGATACATATACAGATGGGGTTGTCCCAATGATATCATAATCGTATGGTGGTTTCTTAATACCCGAACTGTGTCATCACCACCGTTTAATGGGGGCATTCATGATGCCTAGGTGAGCCACAGCAGCACGATCATTTATGATTCAACATATGAGTGAGGGGGATAAGGAGGAGGATAGGGGGTGGTAGTCATGGTTGGATATGATGCCTAGGTGAGCCACAGCACGATCATTCTTTGATGTAACCCGTCAGATTATGGGCGTGTTGATTCACTATATGAGTGAGGCGGATAAGGAGGGGGATGGGGGTGCGGATTAGGCTCATTATATGAACCAAGATCTAAAATGTAAGAGAAGAGGAGGAGGGAGAGGGGGGGGTGTATGATACCAAATCAGGGTATGATTCTATTGTTGTTTCTTCTTTTTGATAGGATCCATTTATTAATGAGAGAGAGGGGCTATTTGCTGTTGTTGTTTTGAAACAAATGTTCAAACCTCGCAATGTATCAGGTCAGTCACCTATGGCACGCATAAAGATCGCACTATCTCATGAGAAAAAAAAATTTAAAAAAAAAAAAAAAAAAAGTGTAGAATCAATTGAAACAAACAATTAATTATTTAATTAAATTGATAATATCTTTATAATGAATTATCAATATTATAGATATATTTTTATCTTTATTTTAAGCATATTAATCATGAGTACAGCAGCCCAAACTATCACTGCATCAGCAGCATCATCAGTATCAGTAGCATTAGTACCAATAACAACAATCTCTGCATCACCAGCAGCAGCAACAACAACAACAACGACACCTCCAACAGTCTACCAACGATTAATTGGCGACCGTTTTAAACCAACATTCTCATTAAGACATGCTCAAACTTCTTAGAACCTCTGGTTGTTCCTGTTGAGAAGACATACAAATGGCGACGAAGTACTACAAGCAGAGGTTCTAAGAAGTTTGAGCATGTCTAAACATGGAAGAGGTATCAAGACAACTCTCGACCCCAAAGGAGAAAAGATCAACGAAGATGGTACAGTTTTTATGTCACCAAGAGATTTTAGTTGTATCAACATCATTAGAAAGATGCACAAGGAAGCAAAAGATGGAAAAAAGAATTATTATAATAATTCTACACAATAAGTTGCATATAAGAAATTAACTAGTAGTAGTTGTTGATGTATACTAATTCCTTTCTTCAAAAGAATATTATCATCAGTGTCACCTTTTCATACTAGTAAGCAACTAAGAGATTTTGGGTTCAAATTTGCAAATGGAGCATTCACAAACGCCAACAAACATCATGATCATCACAGAGTCATAAGAATAAGAACAATACAATTACAATACAATACTTAGAGATATAAAAGTCATGATGATGATCATGTTGATGATGATGATGTGAATATTGATCATCAACACAAGTAGTATAGGGTAACAAGTTAAATTAAATCTCAATCATCATCGTCATTTGATGGATGTCTGTCTCGAATGAATGAATGAATGAATTCAACTTTAGGATGGGTTATGAATTCATAAATCTAGATGTATTTATATTTACTACTTGTCTTGTACTGCGCGAGAACACAGTACAGCACAGCACTATCATGTCATGAAGAGAAGTAATTAATTTTGGAGGGAGAATTTTCATCATGACACCAACAACAATAACCATCGATCGATTAGATTCATCAAGATATTTTAAACAATCATCAATCAGTCAATCAACAATGGGAATGACGCCTTTAGAGGACATGACGTAGACCAACAATCACTCTGTCTTTATTCAAGGATCCTTTGACAAAGAACCAAAATCTTTTATAAATATATAATATAAATTAAAGTAAGACTATACACTACTATGAAATATTATACATCACTAACCATTATTCTATTGTTTAAAGACAATAGAAATAAACCTCTTTTTTATAATTATAGATTACACTTGTGGTTATATTATTATTATTATTTAAAAAGACACTACAACTCCTTTTGGTTGGTGGGAGGATGTTCTAGTGTCTTCCAAATGGTCATGCTTCGGCGTGGGAAACTTATGAATTCTACCCTCTATCCCTCTTTCCCCCCCCCTCTATATATATACAATTTTCCCCTATTTTAAATCATTTCAGAATTGGGAGCTGCAAGTACATTGTTCATTTGACTCAAAAGGACTACTCTACGGTATAGCCAACGGAGTTCAACTTGTCATTTGGTTCACAATGGGCATTTGCTTGCAGCTCCAGGCTTGGGTCTGGATACTAATATTTTATTATCTATATATTGTTGGTGTTTTTTTTTAGAATGAGAAACATTGTGATTGAGACAAGAGTAATGGTAGCTCTATTGATTCTACTCATATTTCTTTTCCTCTTTTTATTTATCCCTTACAGCTTTATAGTTCAATATTTAATCAAACAATACATCCATCCATATATGGTACCTATCCATAAATGATAAAGTTTAAGTATCATGTAGACTTCAACATAGTAGTAGTATATATACTACAACCACCACTCAATTACTAATACATATTTTTAACATAGGTCATCCTTACTATTTTTAGAACCGATTGATCTTCTTCTTAATCAACCGCCGATCTATTAAAGTTATGTATTCATAACATAAATTAATTTCAAAACTAAACTAACAATTCCAATCTATCAGATATCTGTTTAATGAGACTAGTCAACAAATCGGTTCATACTATAGCTGGTAGTCTTGTATTATAGCAACAAAGGTGGTTGTTTGGTCATCAACTCTACCCACCTGAATTAGAATACAAAGTTAAGTAAATTCATCACAATACAACTATCAAACCCTCAACTAATCATATTCATGCCATATATATTATACTTTAAATATAGAATCAATTGATTAGAGACGAGTTGGTCCATTTTTAAAAACTGTAAAGATATGTATCTTGTAAAATTACTGTCATAAATACTGTTTACTAATTATTACTTATTTATTATCTTTTAGAATGGATGGTTTTGATAGAACGAATGCGAAATTGTCATGTGACCACTAGCCTTGATGGGTTTTAAAAGAGCCAATTACAATAATACTAGTATGTACCAAATAAATAACCATGATATCGATATATGAGATTAAGCTACCAATACTCTTGAGCATTCACAATTGTTTTGAGATTGACCACTTCTGAATTATTTGATTATTGATCCATTCCAAATATACTAACCATCTTGTCTAGCGTTGCTGGATGTGGCATGCATTGAACACTGCCGACACCAGTGCATATAATGTTGAAGATTCAAGGCACCTACACCTCTTGTGTTGGTGCTTGTCTTTTTATTTGATTAATCGTGATCCAAAAGGTATCGATCCATGTAGCACATAGTTTTATATGGTTGGCCCGCACAATAGTACTATGAGATAGTCTTTGAAGAATAGCATTTTTTTTATTTGAATAATCTTTGAAACGACGATCCAATATCACCAATAGATACAACTTTTTGTGCTCTTTCTGTTTATATCATTTGTTTTTCCAAACAATGCTTTCTAGACCTCATGTTAGCCCATGGCTAAAGGCGACTTTACGGAAAGTACTTTTTAGCAGGGTGAACCTCTCGCAAATTTTTTTATCAACCATTTGATAGATAAAGAAAAGAAGATCTATCGATTGGTAAAAGAATAATTAAAAATAAAGAAGACCAAAAATTTTCAAAACCCCCAAAGAAAATAAATATTCATTTATAAAATTAATTTTTTACAAAGAGACTCTGCGGACTGCATCATGTGGTTTTTGTTATAAAGGTTATTTGAGATAGTTTGATGAGTGTATTCAAACAAACAAGGGCTACTACAATTAAAATGAGGATCATTCAAAACATCCCTTATATCATCCCTTTCAAAAGTGTAAGATGAAACAAGACAACTAAATGATCATATCATCTTTGTTTACTCTTTGCTAACATTTATTTATTAAATAGATAAAAGGATGTGACGATGAAAAGTGTAATCAAACAAATAAAGAACAACATGATAGATTCATTAAAAATGTATTATGTAACTTGGTATTGTTTAGAAAGATTATATTGGTATCGAGAAAGAATAATGCTGACATATATTACAAGATTAATCAACTACCAAACAAGATTGGTTGGTATCTTTGTTACGGTCATATCAATCTATTAAAAGAAAGAATTGAAAGAGAAGAGAGAGAATTGATTTTACAAATAATCAATAATAATACTTCATCCTCTTCATCATCTTTAAATTCATTTACAATTAAAAAAGATTATTTATTTGATGATCATTTAAAATGGAATTATAAAGCAACCGAATATATATGTTCATTTAATGGTCAAGATGAACAACACTTGGAGTTATTTAAATATCTGTTTGAAAAGAAACCTGAATGGTTTAATTATGAAGATTGTTTCAAAATGGCAGCAAGTAAAGGCAACATAGAGATGTTTAAAATATTGGTTAATAATACAGTCCCAATTAAAATATCATATGACATGAATGAATGTATTACACTTGCAATTCAAGGAATGCATCCAGATATGGCATTATATCTATTGGAAAAGATCAATTACAAACTTAAAGTGACCGAACCATTCACTTTAAATGATGGTCTATGTAAACACAACCAATCAGATTTAATCAAACTTGCTAGACTATTTGTCGATATTGTCAACAAAAACAAACAGTATGGTTTCACAATGGACAAGGTCTTTCGCCATTATTTTCACAAACTACTCATTCCAACAAGAGATATAGATACGATTAAATATGCTCAATGTCACTATGAATCAGATCTTTCCGTTGTTGAATATGTTTATTCAAGCTTACTTTGTACTGGTTTACCTAAAGACATCGACACTGATCACCACATTGACTTTATCAAACAAGTCTTGGAACTAATATCGATCGATTTTGAAATCTGCGACGAGTCAACAACAACAATGGTGATTGAAGAGGAAATGGATTGTGTGGAAAAGAAAAAGGAAAGCTCAGACCAGAGTAATGCAATCTATTTCGATAGTCTTACCCAACTATCAACAAAACAGTCTCGGTGGTATATGTTTATATATAATATGTTTTTCTATCATAAAGTTGAAACCATCAGTGGAAACAAAGAGTTGGATGCACCTCACATTCTTAAAGTACGAGTCAAAGAAGAACAAAAGGTAGAGTTTGTCCAAATGGTATGTGAAAAACATGGATGGGCATTCATAATGAACTATGGTACATTGGAATATGTAAAGTTGGCACATTCATTGCGTTTGGTCGATGTGAATAGCAAATTTTATCCAAAACATCAAGATAGCAATCAAACATTGGCAATCATGCAGTATCTACACGATAACAATATCAAACCATTTAGAGATACAATGGTGGGCCATTGTCGTGAGAGTGATGACAAGGTTATCTTGTTTCTACATAAACACTATCCTCAATTGCTCCATCGAGATCAAGTACTAGACTATATCAAAAGAAATGGTCATTTTTATCTTGCAAGTGCTGTACTAGCTTTACCCGGTCCATCAGAGATAATATTACCACAGAGAATATTACCACTAATGTGTGATATCAAAGATAGCACCGGTCTCAATGCAACCTCTCTTGATGTATTGATCAAGCTTAACGGGTATGCCATTTCATACTATTACGACGATCATTTTGGTCAAGAGAGTTTCCAACTTATGAAACAGTATTACAATGCGGACATCCACGAAAATATAAAATCAACCTATCAACAACAACTAAAGATTTCCACGGAAAACAACCAAATTCATATTGTCGAATGGCTGCTCTACCAACAAACAAAATATAAACCATCTTCTTCAACTCTTGTCAACATCCTCTCCCAATCATTCAACCGACAATACAAAGCACTTTACCAATTAATCAAACGTTATTATCGAGATAATGGGAAACAATTAGATTTCGGTTTGACCACTTGGAATGAATTAGCATCAAGAGGTGACATTAAAACATTTGATAAATTAATGACCAAGTGTACACCTTTGAGAGAGTTTATACAAATGTTCATCAGTACAGCCATCATTCATAATCAACTAGCATTTATTAAACACTTGTACAACACCCAATACGGAACATCATTGGAAATATTTGCTAAAAGTATCTCTAAAGCTATTGCCATCGATAGTCCAATGATATTGAAATACTTTTTAGATTTGGAACATCAAGAAGAAAAGAGTCAAAATAAGAGTCGTTACGAATATGAATTTTTGGAATCAAATGTGGGTGCTTTGACTCGATCAACTGCTAAACGATGCTTATCAAATGGAAGCTTGTCTTGTTTCAAAATGATTTTGGATCTAGATTATTTTGACTTGGCATCTATAAATCTATTTGAAGAATTGGGAAAATCAATATCTAAAAATAATCTTTCAATTGTCAATTATCTTGTTCATCATGGTTATATTGTTGACGAGGATACCAACAATAACAACAACAACAACAACACCGATCAACAATCTGATGATATTCCATTTTTAAAGGAGTTATTATTAGACAATAAGAAAAGATAAGTTTAGAATATAAAAATATATGTATGTTTCATTTTTGGTATAAATAAACAACAACATTTAAAAGATGTTTTTTGGGGATCAGAGAGAAGCACAATTGAAGTATCTTTGTCGCAAGTTATCACAGAGTTGTTGGAACCCATGTCTTCTTTGAACTTGCGACAAAGATATTTTTTTTCTTTTCGAAGGGACCCCTTCCTCCTCAACACTTCGATCAAATGTTGTTGTTTATTGTTAACTAAACAGATATATATAACAACACGATGATAAAAACAAGAATAGTATTATTATTATTATTTACTCTATTTGTTTCATTGTCACAGTCACAGTCAATCACAGTTACCAGTATAGTAGCTGGAGTGACAACTGTTAACATCACCTATGAGGCAGTGTGTTCAGCTCCGACTAGTTCAGTTCCCAAGCTTAACCTAACTACCGAATTCCCTTGCGTGGTAGTGGGGGCCAACACTGTCAAATGCACAGGACTCACGGCCAACACGAGGGCAGAATATGATTTCTTCTTTTTCTGTGGTCAAGTACGAGTAAATGTTACGGAAGGTAAAACTGTCATCACCACCTATCCAACACTTGATACGCCATTTATTCAAGTCAGACAAGTTACCTCTAAATCGATCAAAGTTTTATGGGCAGTTTCAGGTGGTAAGTACATACATACGTACATACAACGATTGGGATATGAATATTATTATTAATATTAATATTAATATTATTATTAATTTTTTAAAGGTAACCCTGCATTAAATGTTATCGACGTTTCAATTAATAATGATCTAGTTGCATCAAGTATGCACGCGAGTAATTTCATCATTGACACTCTTGTTGGTGTTGGCAGTCACCCCATTTTTACCACTATCTATTCTGGTGATGGAAGTCAACTATCAAATTCTTTTACGTTTGATATTTATCCAGGTATATAATTTATATTATCGTACGTTTTAAATTATATATTAATTTTCTTTTTTCTATTTTTTAGATTTAACCTATGATATAAATATTAATGATTTAGGATCAAACAGTGCAATTGTTTCATTGAGTAATGTTGCAGGAAATGATGCTCAAACTAAAGTAACCTATTATGTCAATGACAATGTCATTATAGCTTGTATCCAATTACCAGTTACTGGTAAATGTAATTTGACAAATCTTACACCCAATTCATTACATACACTAAAGGTATACGGTATTAATGGTGTTAATCTAATTTCCAATACAACCTTTCTCAACTTTACAACTAGTCCACCATTGGATATATCGTATATTTCAGGATACCAAACTGATAATACCGGGTTTACCATTGAATATACTTCCACTGGAGGTACAGAGACACCATTATACTCAGTCTATGTCAATGGTACAGTCTATTGTGAAGATGATTCTAGTGAACAGTGTAATATTGATCTCACCAATGAATCATTAATCTCTCAACATACCATTCTATTAAAAGCATCTTCATTGCCAGATTCCAAAGATGACAGATCAGTTACTTTTAATACTTGGAAAGGTATGTAATATCTAAAATAATTTAAACAATATTTTTAAAAAGAATAATAATATTAATATTTATATTTTTTTATTATTTGATATATACTATATATATAGCACCAGAGATACTAAATATAACAGGTGTGGTAAATGATAAAGGTCAGATTGTATTGGGATGGGATCATGCTTACGGTAATCCAAATGAACCATTCAGCTATACAGTATCACTTACCAATGATACTAACCAAGCACCTAATGATATTTGTTACCAGACAGCTGACAAGACATGTACATCCAATTCAACAGGTACTGTTCAATATATTGTAGTTTTGGCAAATAATGATAATTTCAATCAAATTGAATACCGTGCAACATTTAACTTTACATTATGTGCTGTAAATTCTACAGGACCACTCTGTTCAGGTCATGGTGTCTGTGGTAATGATACTCTTGGTTGTACTTGTAATCCTGATCGCAAAGGTACATTGTGTCAAACAAAGATTGAAACATCATCAGGTGGCACTACTACTGGTACCTCACATGCACCATCATCTGAATCATCGAGTGATGTACCAAACCCAAGTTCATCATTCTCTCTGATCTATGGACCGTCCGTTTCTTCTTACTCCTTGTACTATAACTACTGCAGTATTACATTCATTTTTGCTATAATATTTGTATTACTATAAAATAAAATAAAATAATTGCTATTCTTCAAGAAAAAAATAATAAATAAATAAAATTCTTTTTGGAAGCAAACCACCTACCAAAAAGAATAAAAAGAAAAAAAAGAAAAAAAAGACTTTCATTCATTTTCATTTTTCAACAAATAGTAATTGGCGTAGGGTCAAACAATAATACCAAAAATATTTATTCTCTTTCAAAAGATAAATTTTTTATTGACCAAGTAACACGTCGACAACAACAACCTATTTGGTTTTTATTTTATTTGATGAAGATCATTACCATCATGATGGTTCTGGAAAAGAAAAGAAAAGAAAATCAAAAAATAAATAAATTTTCGAAGTTCATTTATTTTCTTTTTTTCTATCTTGCTGAACTTCACGAAGAAATTTTTTATTTCTTTTTCATTGATAGCGCTCACTAATAAAGGCATACGTTCATTCATACTCAGTAACAACAAACAAATAATAATATTTAAATAATATACTCTCTCATATTATAATTTTGAATAATGAATACAAATACAGATTACATATAACCTACAATCATAATTAATCATGCATACTAGCTTTTGATAGATCTATAGTTTAAACTCTAAAGAGTTAGCAACCATCCACTTGTACAACAACTAGTATCAGTATTGTTCTTCGAATCACTCACTCTATAACATTTCAATTACAATTAAGGTGCATGATCAGAAAGTCATTCAAACCAGGTAATGAAATGAGCTCGTCAGATGCTACGTATCGGTTGGACCAGGCCTTTGACCACATCAAACAAAATTATTTAAATTCTTTGTAGTTTTTTTTTTTTTGTTGAAGAACGATGAACATCATAGCATAGTGATCACATCACTATGATCATCAAAGTTGTTTCGTATAGTTTGTAACAAAATGATGCAAATCGTTAAAAATAGCGCTCAAATCATCCCATTCAAAAATGTAAGTAGTAGTAAAGACTTTAATGATAATGATCAGAGAGAAACAAAGAATGATATTAACTTGAAGTCTCTCTATTATTTATTTATTACTTATTTAATAGATTAAAGGATGTGATGATAGCAAGTGTAATCAAACAAATAAAGAACAACATGATAGAGTCATTAAAAGTGTATTATGTAATTTGGTATTATTTAGAAGGATTATATCGGTATCTTCAAAGAAAGGTGTAAAGACATACAAGCTTAATCAATTACCAGAAAAGATTGGTTGGTATCTTAGAGGTGGTTATATCAATCTATTAAAAGAAAGAATTGAAAGAGAGGAAAAAGAATTACATCAATTTAATAATAATAATAATAATAATAATACTTCATCCTCTTCTTCTACTTCATCTTCTTCATTTATAATTAAAAAAGATTATTTATTTGATGATCATTTAAAATGGAATTATAAAACAACTAAAGATATATGTTCATTTGATGGTCAAGATAAACAACACTTGGAATTATTTAAATATTTGTTTGGAAAGAAACCTGAATGGTTTAATCATTCTGGATGTTTCAAAATGGCAGCAAGTAAAGGTAATTTAGAGATGTTTAAAATATTGGCTGGTAATACTATTCCTATCAAACCATCATATGATATGAATGAATGTATTAATCTTGCAATTAAAGGAATGCACCCGGACATGGCATTGTATTTATTGGAAAAGAATGATTACAAATTCGATATGACCAGTCCATTCCAATCGGCCGAACCATTCATTTTAAAAGGTGGTCTATTTAAACACAGTCAATCAGATTTAATCAAACTTGCTAGACTAATTGTAGATATTGTCAAAAAGAATGATGAGATCACAATGGAAGATATCTTTGTACATTATTTCTTTAATTTGCTCATGCCAACAAGAGATATGGAATCGATCAAGTGCGCACGCGGTTACGAAGTGTACGCCTTTGAAGGTGTGTACGCCAATTTACTATGTACTGGTATGCCTAAAGACATTGATCTAGATCGACACATTGGCTTTATCAAACTGTCAATGAGGCATTATGTCGAGCCAAAGGAACACCAACTATTGGTTGATACGGCAAACAAATTTATTGAAAAGTTTGTCGTTACCGAGGAATTGGATTGTATAGAAAAACCAAAGAGTCAAAAGATTAATAACAAAGATGACCAAGAAGAAGAAGAGGAGGAAGAAGAGGAAGAGGAAGAGGAGGAGGAAGAGGAAGAGGAAGAGACCTATTTCGATAGTCTTGTTCAACTATCAACCAAACAATCACGTTGGACAATGTTTATGTTTAGTATGTTTTTAGAAACGCACACATACAAGGATGATTATTGGGAGGACTTGCAAAACATCTTCAAAGTACGTGTCAAGGAAGAAACAAAAGAAGAGTTTATCAAATTGGTATGCAAAACTTTTAAGTGGGAATTCATCATGAACCACGGTACATTAGAGTATGTAAAGGTGGCACATTCGTTGGGTTTGGTAGACCCAGATGAATCCTTTAAACCAAAACATAAAGATATCAATCATACATTGACCATCATGCAATATCTACACGATAATGGAATCAACCCATTTAAAAAACGTGCTATAATAGATTGCGGCAAGAATGATGACAAAGTGATCTTGTTTCTCCATCAACATTATCCTCAACTAATACTCGACACAAAAGATAATATTCTCGAATATATCAAGAAATATGGTCATTATCATCTTGCCAGTGTAATAGTTGCGCCTGAAGAAACTCCACAAAGAAAATCAGGTCGTGTTAACCGACACCACTATGTCATCAAAGATAGCAGTTGCCTTAATGCCACTACTCTTGGTGTATTGATCAAATTGGCTGGATCTACCTTGGAATACTATTACGATGATCGTGTTGGTCAAAAGAGTTTCCAACTCTTGCAACAGTATTACAACGACATTGACAGTACTACATCAAAGAATCTAAATTATATTCAACAACTAGAGATTTCAACTCGAAACAACCAAATTCACATTGTCGACTATCTCTTGTTTCAACAAACAAAATTCAAACCAACCACTTCAACACTTGCCAACATTCTCGCTGAATCATACAACCGACAATACAAAGCACTTTACCAATTAATCAAACGTTATTATCGAGAGAATCATGAAAAAAGAAAGAGATTATCACTTGGAGGTAAAGCTTGGGAATCAATAGCATCAAGAGGTGATATTCAAACATTTGATCGATTCATGACCAAATATACACCTTTGGAAGATTTGACAACTGTCATTAAACATGCCACCACTCATAATCAACTAGTATTTATTCAACACCTCGTCAACAAATACTCACATTTAAAGAAAAACATTACCAGATGTATCAATAATACTATTCTTAATGATCGTCCAATTATATTAAAATATTTTTTGGATTTGGCTCATCAAGAAGAAGAAAAAGAATCAAAAAAAAAGAGTCAAAGATTCTTTCCTCAAGACTACAATGTCGACCAATCTATTGAAAGAGCTCTTGAACGATGTTTGGTAGATGGCAACTTGTCATGTTTAAAAATGATATTGGATCTAGATTATTTTGACTCAACAACTAGAATCAAAGGATATTTTGGCATGAAATCGAATAGTGTATTAAAAGAAAAATCACATCGCAAGCTACCACTCATCAACTATCTTGTTCATCATGGTCATATTGTTGATGTTAACATGATCAACAACAAGAAACTCTTAAAGCATGTTCCATTTTTAAACGAATTGTTGTTGGAAAAGAAATAAATAAATAAATCCAAGACAAAAAAAAAATTGAAAAAAATATTAAAATACTTTGCATGCGAAACCATCAAGTATTATTTTAAAAGTTAACATACTATTACTACTACTACTATGGAACAAATAGAGAACCGTGTAACATATATAAAATACACTTATATCGTTCAAAACAAACCTATATCTATACCATTCACTGTAAGTGTGCTATAGGATAGTGTAGCAAAGACATCGATATAGAATTTAATTTTTGTTTAAGATAAAAGGATGTGATGATATCAAGTGTAAATCAAACAAAGAACATCACGATAGAGTCATTAAAAGTGTATTATGTAATTTGGTATTGTTCAGAAAGATTATATCGGTATCAAGAAAGAGAGGTGTAAATACATACAAGATCGATCAACTACCAAATAATCTTGGTTGGTATCTCAGAGGTGGTCATATCAATCTATTAAAAGAAAGAATTGAAAGAGAAGAAAGAGAATTACATCAATTCAATATTGAGCAACAACAAGAAAAACAACAAATAGAAATCAACAATTTAAATAACAAGAGATCTAAATTTAGAAAATATTCTCCATTTGCAAAAGAGAAATGTATCAGTAGAGATACGTGCATTAAGACCAAAAGAGAAGATTTGCTTCAAAAAATGAATCAACTCCAACATCATTTAAATTGGAGTGATGATGTAGCTACCAAAGATATATGTTCATTTTACTGTGGTGGAGGAGATGAACAACAACAACAACACTTGGAATTATTTAAATATCTTTTTGAAAAGAAATCATTTTGGTTTCAACACCCATCATGTTTCAAGATGGCAGCAAGTAAAGGTAATTTAGATATGTTTAAAATATTGGTTGGTAATACATCTGTTCCTATTAAAATACCATATGATATCGATGAATGTATAACTGTTGCAATTCAAGGAATGCATCTAGATATGGCATCGTATTTATTGGATAAGAATCATTACAAATTCAAAGTAACCAAACCATTCAGTTTAGAGGATGGTCTCTATAAACACAGCCAATCAAATTTAATCAAACTTGCTAGATTATTTGTTGATATTTTCAACAATAACAAGAAAATTCACAAAAAGAACAAAAAAGATGGAGTCATTTCAATTGAAGATTACTTTAAATCTTTTTTCACCGATCTACTTTTACCAACTAGAGATATAGATACTATCAAATATGCTGGTAATCTATGTAAATTCCAACTAGAAGGAGTGTATTTAAATTTCCTACGTTTTGGTGCACCAAAAGATACGGATCTCGATGACCACATTGAATTTTTCAAACAAGTGTTGAAACTTGATGTGGACCCAAAGAAATATAAACAATTGGTCGATATGGAATTGATCAAAATCTATGTGATTGAAGAGGAAATAGATTTTGTAGAAATTCCAAAGAATCTAGAGATGGACAATCATTTCGATAGTCTTGTTCAACTTTCAACCAAACAATCACGTTGGTATATGTTTATGTTTAGCATGTACTTGAATCAAGATAAAACAGGACAAAGAAGATCAAGACTATTGGGTTGGAAATCTACCATTGATTACTAAACTACGAATCAAAGAGGAAAGACAATCAGAATTTATTAAAATGGTTAGAAATGCTTTTGGATCGACTTTTGATTTAATATGAAGATTTAACCACACACATGTAGAAAGCTTAGCAGATAGTGGTAGATAAATATATATATGATAGTAAGGCGATACTTGTCAAGTCAGTTGACGGCACGTCGATTGGCTCCCCAGTGTTCCAACAGTAGTTTAGTATTAATATATAGACTAGAGAGGAATAGAATGAATGGTGCTATACAATACCCTATTTGGATAAGGGAGTAGATTGGGAGAGACGTCGTGAAGAGTCTCCTCCTACAACACATAAAAAAAAAGAAAAAATAAAAGAATAAATAATATTTTTTATTATGTGAAGTAACAACTACACAACGATCGAAGAAATTTTAATTTTATTATTATTATTTTAAGTATGAATAAGAGAGATAAGATATGGAGAGAAGATATAAAGATAGATATATTCGAGAGATTATAAATAAACCTAGAATCATCTCATTCACTGCTGTAAGTTATTAAATGATAAATCTTTATAAGATTGATCTAATGAAAGAATATAGATATTTACTTTTAGTTTTATAATTTCTAAACTTTTGTTTAAAGATTAAAGGATGTGAAGATAGCAAGTGTAATCAAACAAATAAAGAACAACATGATAGAGTCATTAAAAGTGTATTATGTAATTTGGTATTGTTTAGAAAGATTATATTGGCAACAAAGAAAAAGAAAGATGTAGTGTATTACAAGTTTAATCAACTACCAGAAAAGATAGGTTGGTATCTTCGTTGTGGTTATATTAATCTATTAAAAGAAAGAATTGAAAGAGAAGAAAAAGAATTGTTACAATTCAATAAACAACAACAACAACAACAACAACAACAAAAACAACAAATAACAATCACCGACGATAATTCATCCTCTTCTTCTACAACTTTTTCTTCTTTAAATTTATTTACGATTAAAAAAGATTATTTATTTGAACATCATTTAAAATGGAATTTTAAAACAACTGAAGATATATGTTCATTTAATGGTCAAGATGAACAACACTTGGAGTTATTTAAATATCTGTTTGAAAAGAAACCTGAATGGTTTCTTAATCCTGATTGTCTCAAGATGGCAGCAAGTAAAGGGAATTTGGAGATATTTAAAATATTGTTTAGTAATACCGTTCCTATTCACACTTATTGATATAAATCAATGTATAGCAGCTGCAATTAAAGGAATACATCCAGATATGGCATTGCATCTATTGGAAATGAATCATTATCAATTCAATGTGACCAAACCAATCTTTTTGGGAGATGGTCTCTCTAAACTCAACCAATCAGATTTAATCAAATTCGCGAGACTGTTTGTCGATATTGTCAACGAGAATGATGGAATCTCAATGAACAATATTTTTATCTTTAACTCTTATTTCGACACTCTACTCTGGCCAACTGTGGATATGGACACTATCATTTATGCAGATGGTCACTTTAAATGTGACCTTTCTGCATTTGAATTTGTCATTGGACCATTACTCAGTACTGGTGGTGCACCCAAAGACATGGATCTCGATCAACACATTTACTTTATCAAACAAGTCTTGCTACGGTACATTGAACCAGATGAATATCATCAATTGGTTGATACTGCAAACATATTTGAAAAGTTTGTCGTTGATGAAGAAATGGATTGTGTCGAAAAGCCAAAGAATATAAAGGAACAAGAAGATCAAGATCAATTGATAAAGAACTAGACGATTATTATCATTACTCTGACAATATGGAGATCTCGAGTATGTACGGTCGCGATCCTTCTGATTATGACGATTATGACGATGATGATAACCAAGAACAAGAGGATCAACTCAATGACGATGATGATGAAAATGTCTACGAATTCGATCGATTTGTTCAATTATCAACCAAACAATCTCGATGGTATATGTTTTTGTTTAGTATGTTTGTACCAAACGAGGATCGTGATTGGAAACCATATCATATTTTCAAAGTACGTGTAAAGGGGGAAGAAAAGGCAGAGTTTATCAAAATGGTGTGCGAAAAGTTTGGATGGCAATTTATTATGAATTATGGTACATTGGAGTATGTTCGATTGGCACATTTATTGGGTTTGGTCGACCCAAATCAACCATTTTATCCAAAACATAAAGATATCAATCAAACTTTGGCAATCATGAAATATCTACACGACAATGGAATCAACCCATTTACAAGTAACTTTGTTAAAAGTTGCGGCAAGGGTGATGACAAGGCGATCGTCTTTTTACATCTAAATTACCCTTATCTTATCAATCAACAAGACACTATTAAATATATCACGGAATATGGTCACTATCATCTTACTAGTGTACTAGTTGTGCCTGAAGTAATTCAAAATGAAGATCCAATGGCCTCGCAACTACCTTGTGAAATCAAGGATAGCAGTAGTGGTGGTGGTGGTATCAATTCAACGTCTCTTGGTGTATTGATTAAATTGATTGGATTTTCTCTTTACTACTATTACGATGATCGTGTTGGTCAAGAGAGTTTTCAACTCTTACAACAGTATTACAATGATAGCGATATTAAAAGAGTGTCTGTTGAATCAACCTATCAACAACAATTAGAGATTTCAACTCGAAACAATCAAATTGAAATTGTCGACTGGCTACTCTTTAAACAAACAAAATTCAAACCAACCTCTTCAACACTTACCAACATTCTCTCTGAATCATACAATCGACAATCATGCAATCACCAATTCAAAGCACTTTACCAATTAATCAAACAGTATTATCGAGATCACAATGACCCAGGAAAACTATTAGAATTCAATTGGTCAACTTGGCGAGCAATAGCATCAAGAGGTGACACTAAAACATTTGATAGATTCATGACAAAACACAAACCTTTGGAAGACTTTAAAAGTTTAATCGATGAAGCCATCACTTCAAATCAACTAGCATTTATTCAACACTTATACACCCAATACGGGTTTAAACCCAATGCCAACTTTCTCACAACACTCATCCGCGACCGACCAATGATAATGAAATACTTTTTAGATTTGGCTCACCAAAACAATGATCAAGATGGTACACCTAAAATATGGATTGAAAGATGTTTTTTATTTAATAACTTGTCTTGTTTCAAAATGTTATTGGATCTCGATTATTTGGGGTCGTCAACCCTTCAATCGATCCTTGTTGACCGTTATAAACCAGTCACCTCTGGATCCAGAAGTTCAATTGGATATCTCAATCTATCACTGATCACCTATCTAGCTCATCATGGATATATTGCAATCGACGATAACCTATCAAATTATATTCCATTTGCAAATGAACTATTATTGGGAAAAGAAGAGTGACCTTTTTTCCAATAATCAAATAATTACCACACCAAAAATAAAAAATGGAAAACAACTTACTTGTATCAGCCAATATAGTTCCTATCAAACCAATATATGATATCGATGAATGTATTACTCTTGCAATTAAAGGAATGCATCCAGATATGGCTATGTATTTATTGGAAATGGTGATCTATACTTTAAACACAGCCAATCAGATTTAATCAAACTTGCTAGACTATTTGTAGATATTGTCGACAATAACAAGAATCCGAACTTTCCAACTTTGAATATTTATGTCCACAATTACTCTGTAGTGGTGCACCCAAAGACATGGATCTCTATCGACACATTGACTTTATCAAACAAGTATTGCAACTTTACATTGAACCAGATGAATATCAACACTTGGTCGATACTGCAAACATATTTGAAAAGTTGTTGACGAGGAATTGGATAGTGTGGAAAAGCCAAAAATAGTATGAATCAAGAAGAAGAAGAATATATGATAGATAAAGAAGAACTAGACGAATTTTACCATCACTCTGACAATATCGACAAATCTTATGACCAAGAAGACGATTTTGTTGATTTTCATGACATGGATGAAGACGATGAAGATGATATCGAAGAAAAGGTCTACTATTTCGATAGTCTTGCTCAACTATCAACCAAACAATCTCGTTGGGTCATGTTTTTTAGTATGTTTGTACCAAACGAGGATCACGATTGGAAACTACCTCATATTCAAAGTACGAGTCAAGAGGAAGAAAAGGCAGAGTTTATCAAATTGGTATGGAAAAAGTTTGGATGGGTATTCATCATGAACTATGGTACATTGGAGTATGTAAAGTTGGCACATTCGTTGCGTTTGGTTGACCCACAGGAGACATTTTATCCAAAACATAAAGATTGTAATCAAACAATAGCCATTATGAAACATCTACACAATACTGGAATACATTCATTCACAGATGACTTGTGAGAAATTGTGGCAGGAATGATGACAAGGCAATGGTTTTTCTACATCGATATTACCCTCATCTAATCAATGAAGAAGAAGTGATTAAATACATCAAGAAATATGGTCACTATCATCTTACAAGTATACTTTTTGTGAAAGAAGCAACTAACATATCACGACCACGACCACAATAATAGTTGGTAAAGACAAGACATCAAAATAAAAAATAACACGATTACAGTCTTCTGAAACATTCTAATACTGACTCCAAGTTCTTCACATATCTATTATAAGCTTAGTTAATATGTTTTCTTTTGTTTTGGTAAATCTTCTTTTGTTTTGGTACCTCTTTTTGTGTCTTCAAGTCTTGGCGGTTCCTTTTTAGATACTCGAGGATTACCTTCTTCTGACCACCTCTCTTTCTTTTAATTTTCCTCTGGGGAATTGATATACTCCTTCTTGTAGGTCTAAGGTTGCCTGGATTGGTCATTTTAAATATAGAAATGATTAATTCTTTATTAAATTAAAATCATGATGGTTGGCTGTTCAAAAAAAAAGGAGGGAAAGGCACGAAAAAAACATCGGGAAGTAAATTGATTTTCTTCCCTCCCATTCTTCATCAGTATGAAATTTTGACAAACAAACCACATAAAGATAATTACAGTATGAAGGAAGAGAGAGAGAGAGAGAGAGAGAGAGATAGAGAGAAATTACTAGTAGCAGATGGAGTTGAATGACATGAGTGATAAAGAACTCAAAAAGACAATGAAATCATTGTGTATTTTTTGGGATAAGGATCTTAATGTGTTTAAGCCAAAACAAGCACCTAGAAGATCAAAGATGATCGAAATGATTACACAAAGAAGAGATGATATTGAAACCTACCAAGAGAATATGAAGAATGGTTGGTATAATATATCATGATGATGTTTATAGTAGTAATAATATTGTTGTTGTTAACAAACTAACTCATTCTTTCTTTCTTTCTTTCTTTCTCTAACATGTGTTTTTAGATTTACTTTTAAACTATGCTAATATGACAGGTACTCATCTACCAATGTTAATTATCACCAATATTATTAGATATGCATGGGAGATGCATACAAAGACAGGTCGGTACAAGTATAGAGCGTGCAGACCATTTAAATACAACCTACTTGAAGGTCGGTACAGATGGCCATTGTCACTTGGGTTGGTATGCAAACAATTCTTTCATCTTGTCAAATCATCTCTGTTTAGTCGTATCATGATTGACCCAGAACCACTCAAACATACTGACGGACGATTTAAAGACAACCAAGCCAGAGCAGATTCATCGGATGAAGTGTCAAGACACCTTGATAACATTGCATGTGTCGCACAGCAAGCAACCGATGTTGCAGTACCGTCTTCTCTATTGATTGGTATTGCATTGGAGCCATCAATAGGTTCCATTCTGTTTTTTAGAGGTATTAGAAAGTTGCGTCTATTCTATATGACACATTGCTACGCTGGTATGTTTGAAAAGGTTCTTAGGTTGATGGTTAACCTTGAGTCACTCATACTTGAAACGTCAGACAGTCGATCGAAACTGTACCAACCGTCACTTAAGCACCTATCATTCTCGGATTGTCTTCCAAGGTATGTTGATCCAATGGTCATCGAACGCATCACCAACCCAATCCAAACACTACAAATGCCAGAGAATTACTATTATGACTTGTCGCCACTTTCAGATACTATCAAATCACACATTCAAAAGCTTCGTATTTCAGCTCTACCAGATGACCTTGCAACAAAATACACATCACTCTCGAAATTGCATGTGACTGGTGAATGTCGTATGACACTTGCAACTATGGTAAACAATGTAACTTATATAGCAGGTGAATTAACGTATGAACATCGTATCAAACGATGGTTTGGTGAAATTCTACCTCGATTCCCATCACTCACCACTCTCGAAGACTATTCACATAATCATTGTAAAGATACATGTCATGCATTTTGTAATAATTTATTAAGTTTAATCAATCAAGATATTACTATATTGAAACCCGAAAGCTACAATAATTATAATAATCATAAGTTTTATTTTAATAATAATGATAGTAATAATAACATAAATATTATTGACGATGGTAATGATGGTAATGATGGTGAAAGCGAAAGCGATAGTGATAGTGATAATAATAATAATAATAATCAAAATAGGAAAAAAAAATTATATTATATTAGATTTCCGGAACCTTATAGTAATAATAATAATGATACAGATGACGATGATGATAATAATAACGAAAACAATAATATAGATAGTAATAATATAGATAGCAAAAATAATAATAATAATAATCAAGATAAAGAAATTAAAAGTACTACTACTACTACTACTACTAGTCGACCAATAGGTATGGTGAAAGGAATCAAAACAATAATATTACGCACTTATTTCTACGAAAGACGTTACAACCATAAACATAATCTATCGCAAGCAGGTCTTTCCTACAAACCTACAAGCCAGCGATTCAAAATGGACGGTTCTAGAAACCAAGTCAAAACTGTATTCAAATATATTGCACAGACAGACTGACTGACAATAGAATAGGATCCTAATATTATAATAATAAATAAATAAATATATTAACTTTTCTCTTTTTTTTTTTTTAGTTTTCTAGAACTTGTTTCTTTAAACATAACTTTCATCTATACATATACAAATCACTGATGATGATCGAACAAACTAACGAATAATAGAATAGAATAGAATAGATATGAATAAAATGCAATCTAGTCAGCTACTACTTAAAAACATAACACCTATAAAGCTCTTACACATAAACAACAATGAAGAGATGAGAGATGGGGTACGGTTATCGCATTTCCCTTTTCACATGTAACCACTAATTTCTACTCTCTAGATCTGTCTTGTAATTTTTGAAGAGCATACAAATAACCGTGGATCTTATCTTAATTATGGCAAGTCTACAAACATCAAAAACGAGTCAGCATCGAAAATGTTCATTGAAAGAAAGATATTTTTTGCTTCAAATTTCCTTCTTTACAAAAAAAATACGAGCTATCTCCTTAAGGGCCGATACCATCACGTGAGCTGAAACTGCAGTTTCGACCTCTGTTTCTTGTTCTACAACCTAGTCATGTGATCATTGATTGTTTATAGAAGAGTAGTTTGTCGTATATATTTATATGTAAATAGTATAAAGTAGTAGTAGTAGAACGATGAAACAAATACTAGTTATATTGGTAGCAGCATTATTGTTGTCATGTCAATTTGAAAGAGTCATTTCATATTCTGGGTCAGGTGGATATACAGGTCAAGGATCTGGATCTGGATCATCAGGATCATCATCGGGAGGAAATAGTGGAACATCAGGTTGTATCACATATACTGGTGGATACATGAGTTGTGACGATGCTAGTTATTCTTTAGAGAGTAGTGAATCTGCTCCAACCTATGACTCTTCTGATGCAATTCTAGATCCTGCTGATTTCTTGATTGGTGTCGCTGCTGGTGTTATTGTATGTATCGGCCGATAATTTAATATAATAGATATTATAGATAGATAGATAAATAATATCTTAAAATCTTGTTTTTTTCTAAATATCTCTAACATTTATCTCTCTCTATAGGATCAAGTTGTAAACAAAACGGTTGAATCATGTTTTAATGATTTAGATGCAACTATTTCAAAGTTTAAGAGTGGATTAACATTGATTGACCAAGGGTTTAGTCAAAATAAAGTAAAGGACATTGAAGGTGGTATCGCCGATTTCGTACTTGGTGTCAACGACGTAAAGAATGCCTACAAAGCATGTAACGTAGTATCGGTGTACAAGAGTATCGAAGGTATCATTGCACTATTTGGTGAAGGTTGGGTCGGTGCTTTTGAATTAATTGTCAAAGAAGGAATTAAGATTGTTCATAACAAGTATGTCGACAGTTAATAATAACAAAAAATCAAACTAACACTTTTCATTATTTATTCTTTATAATAGGGTCGAACTCAATAATCTATTTCAAAATGCTATTGCCTATTGGAAAGAAGAATCATACTATCATGCTGGTTTCTATGTTGGTAGAGTTATTGGTGTATTGGCCGATTAAATAATGAATGAAAAACAAACTTTTAAAACAGAATCATATATAAACAAACGTATACGCATGCATTGATTGATCGATCGATCTAGCTCTCATTTTTAGAAGAATTGTATTTTGAACCGAGTGCACTTTATAGGGACTGATTCCTGATCTCATTCAATCCGTCGCCAAGTTTGTCATCGACAAAGAACAAGAAAGTGATGCCAAGATAGTGCCAATGGATAGAGACGACCAATATTTTGATCAAGATGACCAAGACGAACCAGACAACATTATCAAATACTTTGATACTCTTTATCACCTATCAACCAAACAATCTCGTTGGTTTATTTTCATGTATACTTTGTATTTCGATAGTGATGAAGCAGAATCAACTGGTGCTCAAAACAAATCACCACCAGACATACCTCACATTTTCAAAGTACGAGTCAAGGAAGATCAAATGGTAGAGTTTGTTGAAATGTTACATAAAACATTTGGATGGGATTTTATAATGAACTTTGGTAAATTACAACATGTTCAAGTGGCACATTCATTGGGATTGGTAGACACTGCTGACCCCGAGATTACCTTTAGTCCAACTCATAAAGACCCGTCAGATTCCATGGCCATTGCTCAATTCCTCCATGACAATAACATCCATCCATTTCAATTGGATAGAATGAAATGTTACGATCCAGACAACCACGTCATTTTCCCGTTCCTCTTTAAACACTATCCCCATTTATTCACTGAAAATAGTAATCGCGTTATTCTCAATTTTATGACAAATTTCGATCAATATCATCTTGCTCATATGCTCACCGTCCCCTCCCCTCCTCCTCCTCCACCAGAAGAACAACCATTTCAACCAGTTCAACCAGTTACAACAACCATTCAACAACAACTATTTCTTCGTCGTCAAAGTTATTATATTCGAGATGGTACAGGTATCAATGCCAGTCATATTGACATATTCCTAAAGTTCCCCTCCATCACCTACTATTACAACAAACAAGCCGGTCGAGAGGGTTTTGAATTAATGAAAAAATACTACGAGGAATGTGAAATGAATGATAGTACCATTTCACTCTACAAAGATCAACTACGAATCTCTAGTGAAGGCAATCAAATCGAGATTGTCAACTATCTATTAAACCAACAAAAGAAATTCAAACCAGACTCTGAAACACTTGTCAACAGTCTTTCGGCAGCTCATAATGGTCAATTCAAACAACTATACAAATTAATTAAAAAGTATATTAAACAAGAAAAGGAAAAGGAAAAGGAAAAGGATGAGGAGAATACACGAGTATTATTACAATTCAACATGTCAACTTGGAGAGAAATTGGATCAAGAGGTGATATTAAAATGTTTGATAAATTTATGGCCAAACATAAACCATTGGAAAAGTTTGAACATCTTGTTAGTGAAGCCATCACTTTTAATCAACTAGCATTTATTCAACACGTTGCCAACAAATACCCACAATCGATGGATCCAATTCGTGACAATTGGATCTCTGCCACTGCTTCAAGTAATCAGATATCAATGTTGAAATTCTTTTTAGATCTAGAGTATCAATTGAATGACCCTGAATCTATTAAAGAATGCATTCAAACAGCTCTACACGCCAAAACAAATGGTAGTCAATTACTTAAAATGATTTTAGATCTAGATTATTTTGACTCCTCTCCCCAAATGCTTGTCAAAGAAGTATTTCCTCTTTTAACTCAACCTAAAAGTTTACCACTTATCACCTATCTCGTTCATCATGGGTATATCAACAATGACACTCAACTAGATTCAAAAACTCCTATTCCATTTTTAAAAGAATTATTAGATAAAAAAAGAAAAGATTTTGATAATATTAATAATAATAATAATATTGAAATGGAAAAGAAATCAAAATTAATATAAAATCAAATGATTATTTAATAAAATACTCTTTCTATTATCTATAATAATAGAAAGAGTCTTATCTTGTAGCTCGGAATTTTAATACAAGTATTTTTTTCTTTTAGCAAAATGACTCACTAGTTTTGTGACGTGACGAAGCATTCAGTATAAATGTAATAATGTCATTTTACCCAGTGATCATGCATTAGTTATTTAAACATCATATGATGTAGATTCATTTCAACAATTTTAATTAGACTTTAAAAAGAATAATGAAAAAAGAGATAGTATTAATAGTAGTATTTTTAATGATCGGTACATTCGCGTTGGCATGTCAATGTGAATCTGACGTCCCTCCACAAGAGCCTCTTGCTCAATTCGAACCTTTCTTCAAAGTAGGTGATTTCTTGGCTGGTGATTTCTTATCTGGTATTGTATCTGGTATCACTGTAAGTGTTGTTTAAATAATATATTCAAATATTGGTTCAAACTATTTAAATTTAATTAAAATATTATAATATAGGATCAAATAGTAGAAAATACACCAATTGATACATGTTTTAATGAATTTGGTTTGAATGCGTCATTTACTGAACAACTTGGTAGAGGATTACAACTGATTGAAAGTGGATTGGCTAATAAACAAATCAAAGATATTGAGAGTGGTCTCTATCAATTTGTAACCAGTATAAATTCTATCAAGGCTCCCCTTAGTGCATGCAATCAAACCACTGTATTCACCGTTATCGACAGTCTCTCTCAATTCCACGGTCAAGATTGGAGCAATGTATTTAATATTATCACCAAGAAATGTGACATTGAAATAGTCTATACCAATTTCCACTATCAACATGAAATCACTAGATGGTTTGATAATGCAATCTCTGCCTGGAATGGACGTTCATTCAATTTGTCTGGTTTCTATATTGGTAGAATTGTTGATCTAGCTTACACTAACAGTTTAATGAAATAATCAATAATAAATAATAAAACATTAATAAATTTGTTTATTGATTCATACATTTTGTACGACACGTAATGTAGTTTCATAAATGATAAGTTTAATATTAATATTTTATCAACAACAAGCGCTACATTGATTGATAATTAATAATAAGGTGCACCTTATTGGTATTGGTTTATATAACCGATATTTTTGTTTTAGTGGAAGGGAATAGTATAATATTATAATCATCAGCTGAATCAGAGCTGGAAGAACCTGAGCTAGATCCCGAACCAGAACCCGAACCAGATCCAGATCCAGAGGTGGTTGCAGATGTTGCACCCGAGGAACCAGAGGCAGAGGTTGAGCCAGTAGCTGGTGTTGGGCAGCCAGATGTCGAGGAGTCTGAGGAGTTATCAGAGTTGGACGAGTCAGAGGCAGAACCAGATCCAGTAGATGAGGTCGAGTTGGATGAACTTGAGCCTGATCCTGAGCCAGATGAGGTCGAGTTGGATGACGAACCTGATCCTGAGCCAGAGCCTGACCCAGAGGTTGTTGCAGATGTTGCTCCCGAGGAACCAGAGGCAGACGTTGAGCCAGTAGCTGGAGTTGGACAACCAGAGGTCGAGAATCCAGTGGTGGCAAATGCTGAGCCAGAGTTGGATGATCCTGATCCAGAGCCAGATGAGGTCGAGTTGGATGACGAACCTGATCCCGAACCTGAGCTGGAACCCGATCCTGATCCTGAGCCAGATGTGGCAGAGGTAGAGTTGCCAGAGGATGAGGATCCTGATCCTGAGCCAGAGCCCGATCCTGATGATCCCGAGCCAGATGTGGCTGAAGTGGAGGTAGAGTTACCAGAGGATGATAAACCTGAACCTGAACCTGAACCTGAGCCAGAGCCCGATCCAGATATCGAGCCACTAGTAGTACCGGTGGTGGTGGTATTGGATTCATCAAAATAGTTTAAATCAACAATGACGCCACATTGGTCAGAGTTACCTAATTGTTTTAAAAATCATATAATATAATAATATTAGATATCATATGATCTCATCATGTGATGATGATGATATACGTATACATACCAAAGTATTGCTTCATTTGTGGGTTTGACCAGCCTCCATATTTATAGTAGGAAGTGTCACTGAAAGAAGGGTTGTTATCATAGTGAGCATACCATTGTGGGTAGGCAGATAATTGGTCCAATGTACCGACGGTTTGACTCCATTCACTGAGGGAAGAATAGACACCGACATTAACACCGAATGATGCAGCAGCTTGAACGGCTTGGACAACAAATTGAGCATTGGAAGAGGTACTGCTTCCCCAACATCCTTGACATTGTTCAACATCGATCCAAAGCGTACCAAAGTAGACACCATTAGACCTGCAATAAGAAACCAAAGTCTTGATAGCTGTTGATACTGGATTATTTCCAGTACATTGACTGCAAAAAAAGGCATACTTTAAAAATATTAAATTGTAAATTAAATAAAATAAGATAATGAATTAATATGCATTATAGATTAAGTTTGTTATTATTCAAAACACTTACAATATCAACAGATAAACCAGCAGCAGTGGCACTATTATATGCAGATGCCACTATAATTATAAATAAGTTCAAAAAAAAAATAGTTAGTTGATTGATTGATTGATTGATACTTAGCATTTATTATGATACTACATACAATCATTATTTAAACCATAACCTCCAGACCAAGCTTGAATGATGATCTTTTGATTTTGTTCTGCAAAACAGCTGTATTGTGATGGCGCGATATAACCAGCTGTATCAGCATCTACATCGATAGCGTTACCAGCATTGACAACCGATGAGATTGAAAGTGCTACAACTAGAGCAAAGATAATAACCTTGATCATTAAAACTATAGATTTAATTTAATTTATCTCTATTTTGATAATTGATATCAATAAAAGAAACAAGACCTTTGAGAAACATTAAGTAGTTTTCATTGGTACCAAAAGAGGATTGATCATCCATCTGACTTTGATTACGACGACATGTTATATATATCTATCATATTAAATAATAGACTTTAGTTAAAATGGAAAAAACTTGGTTACCACTCGATTTGATGTGTTCGAAAAGAATTTTCGCTCTTTTACGATACTCTAAAGTATATTCCAAAGCTTATTCCTTGTTAATTTCAAGAATGATATGATACTATAGATCGTTAAATATCATTAAACAAATAATAATTAAATTGAATTGTATGTTTATGTTCGATATTCAATATTTTCGTTTATTTGTGGATATTAGTAGTGGAAGTGAAGAGGTAGGTAGGGTGGTTGTGGCTGTAGTTGAAGCTATATATATATACATCATTTAATTAATTAATTAATTGTTTTTTTTGGTTCTACCTCTATTACACCTGTCAAATGAGAGATAGAACTTCACACCACCTTTTTTTTTTTTATTAATTAAATTTACAAAGAGCGTACTATCCTACTATCTATGATCATCTAAGATTTGTAGATTTGTAATCTAAAGTGTAGGAGATAGTATCTTAAGAAGAGAGAGAATCAATAACGCGAAAATAATCTCAAAGACAATGAGTGAAAAGGAAGAATAGAAGAATAGAATAGCAGTTATTCAAATAACACACATCATACAACCAACTGACTAACTAACCAACCATAGAACTAATAATAGCAGTACTTTGCATAATAATAATAATAATAATATCATAATCATGATTAATTGAATCAGTGACGGTAGGAGGAAGTAGTCACAAGTCAAGATCAAAGAGGAAGAGGAAGCAGGAAGCAGGAAGAGGATGATTTTCATAAAACAAGTGTCTTGCTCAGTTAGCTGGGCTTGTTCTCCTCTCTAGTTCTTGGTCATCGGTGATGACAAATGGTTCTAGATCAAAGAAGTGAACCGATCGTTTGAATCACCCCCCACCCACTACACAATGAAAGTGAGCGAATAATAACTACACCAAACCCAAAATACAAGATTCACACACACACACTAACAGCACACTGTTTTCTTAACACACACGAAAGCCAACCATACTACTCTACTCTTTCCTCTTTCTCTTCCTCCTGTCTCTTTTTGTGTGAATGAAGAGTAAATCTCCTCTCTTCTATGCCATATGGTACATAGCTAGCTAAAAATACGATTGACATAGGGAGAGTGAGCACCCAGGTACAAGGTTTTCGCGAACAACCAACAATAACAGAGGAGGGCAGTACAACAACAACAAATCTTCCGATTGTAAAACCATGCGCGCCTGCGGGTACAATCAATCAATCGCATCACAATTACCAACAACACATTGGTGACGTCAGTTGAGAAGAAGAAGAAAATTGTAACCCAAACCAAAAGCTATCAACAATACCCAAACACTCTACTATAAATAATGGAAATTTTCAATTAATTGATTTCATTGTAACAATAATCAACTCAAACAACAACTAAACAACAAACAAACAAATACAAAACAAAAAGTATTGTATTTATTTTTGTATCATTATATTTTTTTTTCTGTAATATTACCCAACCTGTACTATTAAATCTCCATCTTCCTCCTTCTTTAATAATAATATATATTATAATCCTCTTTAAAAAAATGATGATGAAATCTTTAATATTATTAATTGTAATTTTAATAGCTTTAATTGAAGCTCAACCAATACCATATCCAAAGGTATCGGATTCATTTTTGGGTGCCAATGACACTGGTGTTTCACTTTTCCCATCATATCTTGGATTAAAGATACATATTCGTTGTTATGCCAATGTAACATCTGCCAATAGAAAGGGACCTATTGCCTTGTTTGACTCGGGTCTTCCATTCTTTTCGACTGCTTGGGTGTCTGTCATTCCATCGGTCTTGGAAAACATGCCAGCTTGGAACATTAGCAAAGCTTGCTTTATTGACCGTTACGGATATGGCTGGAGTGACTCTTCCAAATACCCAATCACCACTCAAGACTATGTCATGCGTCTCCGTGGGTCACTCCAAGTAGCCGGTTTGACTGGAAAGTATGTCCTCGTCGGTTGGTCATGGGGATCGATCTTTGTTCAAACCTACTCACTCACCTATCCCAAGGATGTAGTCGGTATTATGACAGTCGATGGAACTGACTCGAAATGGGGATTCATCTCGTCCAATCAACAAGCCGTTATCACCTACACTGACATTATCAGAGGTTACATTAGTCTCAATAATGTAGGCTCGCTCGAGTCGTTGGCCAGAGCCGACGAAATTTCACATGCTTTTGGATGGTTCCCAAGTGCCTTGGTCTCGACTGGTTTCACCGAATGTTCCATCGACGCCACGCAAGACATCTTTTTGAATAACAAGTTCCTCAAGGCTGCCATCCAAGAGTACAACATTATGGTCGTATCTTCGGTCATGCTCAACTTTACCTATGCTCTCAAAGGTACAACTCTCAAGGACTTGCCATATGTCAACCTCTTTGCCAGTCATGACCAAGACTGGACCAATCGTCAAACCTACATGGCTTCGCTCTCGTCCAATTCCATGACCCTTCCAGTTGTTCCAATCGATCATTTTGTACCACTCACAAATCCAGATGTTATCATTTCTGGTCTTGCTGCTCTATCTAATAAGATCTCTACCAATCCCGCTAAAATTTGGGGTCGTTAAACAAACAAAAAAAAAGAAAACACAAAATAATAATCATTTATTATTATACCCTGTAATAACAACAATAATAACAATAATAATATATCCCTGTACTTTAAAAATAATAATAACCAAACCGTATTTATATCTATTTTTAATTATTTCAAAAAGAAATAAATTAAATAAACAAAAAAAAAAAACAATAGTAAAAAAATTACTGTGTTTCCTGAACAAAAAAAAAACAAAAGTGTTGTTGTGTGTTTGTCTTCAATCGTAAACAATTATACTATATCTCGGTCAGATGATGATTATTGCACAATATATATGTACCGATCATGAATAGACAGAATGATATAAAAGAATGTCATATATTCATTCTAATATCATCAAATCAACAATCAAGTTTAACTATTACAACTATTTTTATTTCAATATGTTTAAATCATCAATTGCAGCTTTTTCTATTATTTTATTTGTATTTACAGTTGTTACAAATGCTGGAAGTATGTATATATTATTTTAAATATTTTAAAAAATCATATTTAATTACTAAATACCTCCCTACTCTTTCTTTCTTTCTTTTTGTTGTTTTCAACTATATAGTTACTAGTGTAATTCAAAATGGTAAACAATTAACAATCAATTATCAACCAATGACATTGATACTATTTGAAGAAGAGCTTATTTTCAATGGAATGGATGTTAGTATCATACCATATTGCAAGGCTTTGTATGGTTGGACTCCACTCGTTTGTAATTTACCAAATGTACCAGCTTGTGATTCCATTCGTATCTATGGTGCTACTGGTATCGGTGGTTCAAACATTGAAATGGTTGCCAATTTTAATTGTACCATTGTAAATTAAAAAACAAAATCAAAAAAAGTATTTTTTATCTATCCATCATAAATAACTATCTATCCATTAGTCACATCATATCAATCGATATATATTTACATTCTATTTAATTATCATAATTTAAAAATAAATAGAATTTATTTATTATTTATTTTTTCAAGCGAAAAACGACCGACCCATTTTCGTTACATTCATTCATTCTATTCCAACTATCAGTAGTCTATCACTTTTTGTTTGTTGGCCCTACTTTTAGAATCCTTGGTTTCGAGGATGCTCGCAAACCCTCTCATATATGAGAAGATTAATATTATTATATTATAAGCAACATACTATAAAATAATGATCCGGTTTTGAAACTGATCATTAAACAAATATCAACAAAAAAAAAGATACAAATATGAAATCAACTTTAATCATTTTATCTATACTATTTATTTCAACTTTATTCCTTGGAGGTGTCATTTCAGAGAAATGTAATACCTCACTCTTTTATCAAATTCAACATGTTCATTACCAACTACAGCTTGTTCAGAATCATTGGATTGTTTATACTCTCAATTCTGTAATACTACCACATCCACATGTCAAAATCGTTGTACAGTAGGTCAAACTTGTAGTCCAATGTCCCACTGAAATCGGCCAAGGTACTTGTTTTGCCACCTCGACCCAAATTAACAGCACCACTCTTCAATGTGGTCAAGCATACAAATCACTATTCTCTTGTCTTGTTCAAGTGCTACTGGTTCACCCAAATCCTGTGCTTTCACATCTATTATTTTTATAAAATATATATATATATTTAATCATTAAATTTATCAATAAACCAAAGAGGTAAAATCATCTTTTTAAAAAGAAAATAATCCATGGAAATGACAAAAAAAACCTTTTCTGGGCCGACTTGAAAAAAACAATCAACTTTTTCTTTTGAAAGGTTTTTCCTATGAGGATTCAACGGAAATCAATGAAACTTGGCTAGAAATGTAGCCACCGAATAATCCATGGAAATGACAAAAAAACCATTTTCTGGGAAAACAAAAGGTTTTTTCGACATCTGCAGGGTTCGAACCTGCGCCTCCGAAGAGAATTGATTTCTAGTCAATCGGCTTAGACCACTCACCCAAGATGCCTTGGTTGAAAGTTTTTTGGGCATAGACCTTTTATAGGAAATTAATTTTTATCTTTTTGCATACTATTCTCAAAACACTAAAACAAGTTTTTTTGGACCTTTTAAAGCGTTTCAAAGCTCTAAACTTCTCCAACCTCTCGTCATTACCATGCATGAACGCTGTCACTTGAATGATAGACTCTTACACTCCCAATCTGCAACAAGGGGCAATTGGTTGCACTCGAGCTTAAAGAGTTCTACTCGACCACCATGATTGACACCGACCTAAATTTAGTAAATGATCAACCCATACCTTTTTTGTTGACATCAATTGGTGAAGTGGGACCATAAATAATTGCAATCGTTTTCTATGATATAATACATACTTTTTTTTGTTTTTTTTTTTTTTTTGAACAAACATTCCTTGATAACCAATTACTTTATTTAATATTGACTCTATCAAAACAAGTCAATAAAATAAATAAAGTAATTGGTAATGTAGAGGCCACTATTGATTCCATTTTCATCATTACTATTTTGAGTTGTACCACTTTCAGTCGACATCGTATGATTTTGATTTACATTGTTGATTCCATTTCCCATGATATCTCTCACTAGTATACAACTCTCCCTGCAATTTAATTTCGTTATATTTAATTTTTCTTTCTTTTTCGTTTAGAAATGAATTACTTTAAATAATTTCCATTCCAAGATTCAATGATACATTGTGCGTATAAATAAAATCCAAATATTTCATTTCATCATCTATTACAAAAAAATCAATAAATTGATAATTATCAATTATTATTATATTACATATTTAAACTTCATTATTATTATTATTATTATACTTACAATTTAATATACTGTAGTAGCCTCCCAAAGGTGGGTCGATAATAGGCACGCCAACATGAGTATTGACAATTTCTTGTTGATCTACATTGTCTTGTTGTAGTTGATTGGTGTAGTCAGTATTGGTGTTGTCAACTTGATTTGGAATATAAGCTTCCCAAGAAATAAAAAAGGAAAGAGGTGTATTTTCTCTCAATATTAATATTGTTTTCGTACCATTGAATATATTATATTATATGTTCTTCTGATAGGATGAGATGGATATATCCAAACCATATTACATTATCTTTGCCTATTGTCCAAAATCACTGGTTGGTGGATACCTTTTCATTTTCAAATTCAACAGTATGATGCTTACATCTCCCTGAACCAATATATTTGAAAGATCTTTGTCATAGATGGTTGTGAATAATTATTATTGTTTCATTTCTCTATAGGTATTTTTAATATTGTTGCATTTTCTAACATATTTACTTTAACAATTGTTCTATCACTTTTTATTGCTAGTGCTATGTATGTTTATTCACACCCACACAACTACTCTACATAACCATAGCATCTATCGATAATAAACAGTTTGGATAGTAACACTAGTGGGGAACGATCTATTATTATCTCTTTTGTGTTATTCTCTACAGTATCTTATCTCTATTAAATAAATCATTAATTATGTATTGTATGTATGTTGAATGTTTAAACTTCAATCAAAGATCGTGAAATAAAAAAAGAAATTAAAAAAAATGTCTAAGTGTCTCTGTCACCATTAAAGGGTACTGATAATAATATATATATTCCAAATACAAAAAGGAGAGGACAATCGATTCAATACGATATACAAATTTGGTTATTATTATAGCCAATCTATCCATTGGTGTCACCTTCTGTGTTGAACTACAAAGGTTTAAAAATTGGAGAAAAGAAGATACAACAAGAGGATGGATAGATAGATTGATAGATATAAAATCAAAATAATAATATCTCCCCTCTTCAAGTGGTCAATCAAGAAATTCGAAAAAGATAGATAGATTTATGGTGGTGGTGGTGGGGTGGGTTATGAATAGTAGTCAATTTTGATGGTATATATCATTGAAAGTCATTGAAATTACTGGACTCCCATTCCCTCCAAACAACATTAAGAAGAAAGAAAATGGATAGAATCAAATAATTGTTTAATCTAAATAATAATTAAAATATTAACAATAATTAATTTTCAAACAACTCAAAGAAAGAAAGAAAGAAAGAAAAGGAAATGACAAGTTTAAATAATTCAATTAATGATATTGATCATCATGATGGAGCGACACCAAAAACACAACCAATCAAATATGAAAAACCAGCAGCTCATCCAATTCAAGTAGCTCATCAAGGTCCATACATCCAACCTCCTCCACCACCAATGATGGACCAACAATTTGATAATAATTTCCTATACCAACAATTCAAACTACTAGAAGCAAGCAAGATTGTAAGAACTGAACAAAAATCAAAAATAGATAAAAAAAATGCAATCCTAATGTTTTGTTTTGGATGGTAAGAATACAAACAAATATATCTATCTATCTATATATCTATATCAATAATTAATTTTAATTATCTTTTATAGGATATTTTTCCCATTGTGGGTTGGTGGGTTCGCATTTCTACGTTCACCATCCAAAGTAGCTCGTGATTTGGGTATTTCTGCATTAGTCTTTTTCGCATGCATTTCAATTGCAGTGATCATTGGTGTATTCGTTAATTTTGATCATTTTATCAGTGGTAACAATTTAAATGGTCTCAGTTACACATAAATAAATAAATTGATAGACTCTATAACAATTCATCATCTTTTTTCAAAATAACAATAAAATAAATATTATTAATATGTATCATGATCCCTCAAAACATATACTAATATACTTAATGCTATTGACATTGCAATGTTGGATTGTACGTCGACGATCACTATTTTGGTGGTGGGGTAGTGGGATGATGGATGGATGGGGTGATAATATTATGATTAATATAGATTTTTCATTCATTCTACATCCGACTTTCATAACCATTTATATACATTCGCAGACAACCAGGGTTAAAATAATATTATGTATCTCAAACCAAACCAAGAGTAGATTGATTCATATTGATCATCAATGAATGGGGTGGTGTGGTGGTTCGAATGGTAGAGTTGGTTTACAAAGAGATATTTTGCATTATTGCCAACCATCCAACCAATTTATTCCGATTTATATCGTTGTAATTTAGAAATACATGTATGGATTCCATTGATGATAATGATGATAATGATCATCAAAATATAATATAATAATAATATCATTGTTTATTTTCAAAAATATAAATATCTATCTATCTATCTATCTATCTCTTTTTCTAAAAATGGAGAATAAAAATAACAATAATAATATTAATTCGAATCATTCAATCAATAGTATTGATGGTGCATCTACCCCACCTCTAAATAAAAGATATGATGATATACCTTCAAATCCTCTTCATCAATCTTCTGCTTCCCAACAACCACAACCACAACAACAAGGTATATTTATCCAACACCCATCTCAACCAGTTCAACAACCCTCATCTTTCACCTTAGACAATAATTTCCTATACCAACAATTCAAACTACTAGAAGCAAACAAAATTGCCAAAACTGAACAAAAGATGAGAAAAGATAAGAAAAATGCAATCCTAATGTTTTGTTTTGGATGGTATGAACATATAAATCAATCAAAATCAATCGTTTTATAAAATATTAATAATTTCTTTCTTAAAATATAAATATAGGATATTTTTCCCATTGTGGGTTGGAGGCTTCGCATTCCTACGTTCACCATCCAAAGTAGCTCGTGATTTGGGTATTTCTGCACTCGTCTTTTTCTCCCTAGTATCTACCGTTGTCATCGTAGCCAGTTTCCTTTATTTCGATTTTAATGTTCATAATCGCACATATAATAATTATTATAACAATGATTATAATAATAATGGATATAATTATTATTCTACTAGTGGTAATATGAATAGTTTTACAAATGATTTTAATAATCGTAGAAATAATGATTTTGGTTTTGGAGACGATGATTTCTAATCATCATCATCACAAACATACAATCAATTAATTATTCAAAATAAAAATTAAATAAATAGTAATCAATAGTTAATAATAATATTATTATTATTATCAAGTACTAACATAGTCATAGTAATCCAACTACTACTCTTTTTTAAAAAGACAGAGGGAGAGGGTGTCAAGGAAGGGAAGAGAAAAAAAGGTCGTGAGTCAGTGGGGGTGGTTGGAATTAAATTAAAAAATTAATTTAAATGTTTGTTGCATCTTACTCACCTCACCCCTTTATCACTAACCATACAGCTAAATACATTATACACAATCATCAGTTAAGATAGATACAATACTTAAGTTAGATAGATAGAGAGACAGATAAATAGAGCATTTCATTTAAATTAAACATTTAAAAAAAGGTTAATTAAAAAAAATGACAGAATTGGTCGATCAAGATGAAGTAACAACATTCTTTCAAAAGTTGAGAGCAAAGAACAATGATAACAAGAGTTGTTTTGATTGTGGAGCAAAGAACCCTACTTGGGCGAGTATCCCCTACGGTATACTCATTTGTGTAGATTGTGCTTCACTTCATCGTAATATGGGTACTCATATTTCTTTTGTTAGGTATGATAGATAATAGAATACAGAATAGAATAGAAATAGTGTTACCAATCATTTACTTTACTTTATACTTTCTATTTTTAGATCAACACAAATGGATAAATGGAAAGTATCACAATTAAAATTAATGGAGGCAGGAGGTAACCATCAAGCAAAGATTTATTTCTCAGAGCATGGTGTTACTTTGAATAGTGATGCCAAGTATCATGGTCAAGTTGCTACAAACTATAAGAAATTGTTGGAATCTAAAGTTTCAAAAGTGTATGTACAAACAAAACTATAACAACTCTGATGAATGAATGAATGAATCTACTTGACTGACACTTTCACTTTTACTTTTAGAACTAAATCAAATGAATCATCAAAATCAACTACTACTACTACATTGGAGAATAGTAATGTTCAAATATCATCACCATTGAATTTAAATTCATCAACGTCGTCCCCATCATCGTCACTACCATCACCATTTACATCAAAGGATGGTGTCAATGCAAATAGTAGTAACAATGCCAACAATAGTTCAATTTCAACACCAGAGTCAAAATCATCTTCAATCTTGTCACCACCAACTAATCTAGTATCATTTAATGATGAGTCGGACGATCAAGAGACAAGTAGTAACAACAAACCAAGATCATCATCATCTAGATCATCAACAGTTAAAAAGACAACGGCCGTTAGAAAAGTAAACAAAAATTCTTTTGATGATGATTGGGATTCAATTCCTGATAAATTAAATAATACTTCTATTGATGATGATAATAATAATAATAATAATAATAATAATAATAGAAACAAAAATAAGAAGAATAATAATAATAATAATAATCTATCATCATCATCATCAACTTCTTCAATCATTGATTCTCCAACAACATTTAATTCAGATAGTCATATTTATTCATCAAAATCAAAATTCTCTATGAATTATGATGATGATGATAACAACAATAACAACAATGATAATAATAATAATAATAATTACAACTCTGATAGAAAACAATCAAGAAAACAACAACAACAAGATAGTGAATATGATTTTTATGATAGTAATAATAATAATGAAAAGAAATCAAAGAATAATAATAATAATAACTATAATAATAATAATCAAAATCAAAAACATATAGAAAGAGAAAGAGATGATAATGATTATGCAAGAAGAAATTTTGGAGAGGCTAAATCAATTTCATCAAAACAATATTTTGGAGATGAGCAAGACCAACAATATGATATGGAAAAGAGAGAAAAGTTGTCTAAATTCTCGAGTGCATCATCCATTTCGAGTGCTCAATACTATGATCGTGTTGAATACTCACCAAGCTATGAAATGAGAGCGACAGAGATGGCTAGAACTCTAGTCGACACTGCTCGTACTGATTTCAAAGCAATATCAAATGTTGTACTAGACAGTAGCAAGAAAATTTCAAATATAGCTACAAACTATCTACAAGATTTACAAGAAAGATATAGATAGATAGATAGATAGATAGAAATCTAAAAATAGTTAACCTATAACAATCAATTAAATGTAAATAATCAATAAAAATAATTAAATGTATATAATTCCACTCCCAGCAAAAAAAAATTAAGAAATTCTAAAACCCAATTTTATTTATATTATAATAAATAGATATATATCTACTCAATCATCATCACTGTCTTCATCATCAGTACTACAAAAAAAGTAGGCATTATCTAAATCTTTGTTATTTTTATCTTTATATTTAATTTGATGACCACTAACATCATCATCATAATCTGTTAGTAGAACGAGATGGTCAACCTTTTCAAATACAAACTCTCTTATAACGCTAGTATCTTTTAGAAAAGATTCGTTACTATAGGTCTTTTTATGTCTATATTTAGGATATCGCTCACCAAATCTTCTTTTTCGGATTAGTTTATAGTTTGCATTAATCGATCCTTTTACAATAGGATTCTCCCTTTGTCTTTCGATATATATAAAAGTTTTTCTTTCTTTCCAGTAACCTTTTGATTGATCGAGAGCGAAATGAATTCTATCTCCAGGCTTTTGTAGCTCTGAAGCAGATTGAAAGAATTCTAGTGTGAATGTTTTAAATTCATCTCTATCTCTTTCGGACGACCCACCAAAAGGACAATTGCATTGGATGATGTTGAATCTTTCACCTTTAAAAATCTGACCTATTTCTCGGCCATCAACCCCAAGCATAATCTTTACACCCTTTTCCTCTAACTGTTTGGTGACTGGAATAATGCTGGCGTCTAATTGCTTGGTGTATTCAGTGGCTGTGATAGACTCACCAAATCCTTTCAAATGTGAGTATCTATCTAAAAGTGATTTGGTGTAGGAGAAATTTCCTTCTGCAGTGAGTAATATTTTGAAATTCTTTTTTTTATTATTTGTATTTAGATGAGGAGGAGGAGTAGTAGTAGTAGTAGTAGTAGTAGTTTTTGCATCTGATTCACATATTGTAGAAGATCCAATATATTCTTCTATCTTTTGTTTTTTGATTGTTGGTTCCATAGTTGGGCTCTTTTGAAAAATTCGCTCCTTTTTTAAGATTCAACTTTTCTTTGGACTCTTTCGAAACACAAGGTTTTCTAGATTTTCTTGTTTTCAAAACTCTTTCTTCAAAAGAGTTTTTATTTTTTTGAAGCTGTAATTGATCGCTTTTGATCACTACTGCGATCACTAAAGTAAGAGAGTTTTCTTCTTCAAAGAATATTATTGTTAACAGATAATATTATTATTATTGTTTGCTTTTATTTATTGTTCCTTTCTATTTATTTTATTTGTTCAATATGAATAAATTAAAAACAAACAAATGAACAGACTATCGAAAAAAATTGGTTGTCGACCTTCCGAAATAAATAAATTTAAATCAAAACTAAATAGTTTCCCTCATGAAAAAACTCAAAGCCTCCATGGAGTTGATCAAATTTTGTACATAAATATCTTGACAAAAATCTGGCATCTTTTTTTTCAATAGTAGTAATATCTCCTATCGATTAAGATTCCAGCAACGATTCAGCATCATCCTCACCTCAACCCTCAAACATACATTTCGTACAACACACAGAGTAAATATAGAATGATTTTGAAAGTCCCATTTACACCCAAATGATCATTATCATCGATCCATCATCATCATCAGATGATGAGATAATTAAAAATGTAGTACAGTAGAGTAGTTAAACGAATTGTACAACAATTTGTTCATTCTAACATGCATGCATAATATAATATAATACTGTTGCTAAGTCATACACAACCAACCACATTCTTATCGACCCCCACCAGTAGAAAAACAATGTCTCCATACCATTATGTTATATTATGTTGAGTGGTCGAAAGATCCAACAATAGAGCAACCAGTAGTGTTATTATTATTATTATTATTATTATTATTATTATTATTATTATTATTAATAATCTATTAATAATATATAATCTGATCTAGGACACTTTTTTTTTCAATATGTCTTTCTATTTCTCATCTGCATCAGTTGTATTTTCCTTCCCTTTCTCTTTCAAACAGGTAATAATGCAAAAAGACTTTATCCAAGAACTCGGTAGAATATTTGTGTCATGGCTTGAAGCAGTTGCTATGGCACCTGTGCCTGTGGACCAAATCGACAATCTAATCTATTCCCATATGACAATGTCAACTATTAATAGAATTGTTCTACAGTATCTATTGACCATATTATCAACATTCAAAGAGTGAACCAAAAGAATACCAACATCAAACTTTACTTTTTAAATACCAAAGATGTATCATACAAATACACCGATTTACACCTTGACGACTATTTCGTTCTAAAGCCTAGAAATGGTAATACCTATTGGCTTCCCACCGATTCCAACAAATACAAACAAGAATTGATTGGATTAATCAATTGGTCAACATCTTATCTCTCCACCACCACCACACCTACATCTCTTTCTACAAAGACCAATGATCAGTTCAAATGGCAGTCACATTTCAACTGGGATACCAAACAACTTGAAGTTTGTAACTTGAATATAACCTCTTGCCAATCAGTTACCATCACTTTTAGACCAGGATACCGTTTAACGAAGACAATTGGCAAGACTTGGATGATTAATTTATTCATTCATTGATCAATGATTTTTTTTTAAAAGTATACACTTTTTAATTCACCTCAGATAGTATTCAATACTACTTTGTTATTATTATTATTTAATAAATATTATCCTCATTCTTCATATCATATACTTTTGTGTGGGAGATTCATTCAACATAGATTTAAATGTGTCGGATTTTAGAATTTAATAAGACTCAATACTATTTTTTGTGTGTTGTTAAAATTAGTATGCGGTCATATATATGTAATTAATGATATCTAAAATCTATTTTATCTTGTATCTCCCTTCAAATATGAATTTTTAATCATTAGTAGTTGCAGCTGATATCTTATTGGTTGAAAGAGAAGATCATCTTTTGCGAAGAGTGTGCTGAAGCAGAACTATACTCTCATTATTATTATTATTATTAATATGACTTTTAAAATAATTAAGGACAGATAGTAGTATGTATAGTATATATAGTATATATAGTATATAGTATATATAGTATATTTAGTATGTATAGTATGTATGTATGTAAAAGTTAGACTTTAAAAGTATGTTCTTACTTTGCATTGATATTTCAGTCATCGATTGATCTAACAATCTTTATGTATTATAAATGAGAGGTAGTATTAATTTATATAGGTGCTGTACGAATTAACCTGCACAGCTTGTGTGGATGGATAGGTTTGAGTGTGATACACGTGGAGTCATCTTACAACTAAGGTGGTGGGAAGGAAGGAATGATTCCTTTTGTTGTTATAGTTGTAGTACGTACGTATAGTTTAACTTAAAAGTTGTTTTTTCTATATATAAGAGCAATATGAATCATAATTGATCCAATTAAATTCATCCCTTTTCATAATAATAATAATATATATATTTATATCTCCCTTATATTTATATCTACCTTATAATTATTATTACTATAATTAATACAACAAACAACTTTCTTTTTTTTTTTTTTTTTAAACAAAATGGAACATTCTAGATTATTAGATAATCATATTGATAATGATTATAGTGATGATGGAGTAGCATTGGTTGGTATTGGATGTAGATTACCGGGTGGATCAAGAACCGGTCAAGAATTCTATGAACAGTTGTTGGGAGGGTTGAATGCATTCGTGTCGGTGACTCCAGAACGTTGGAGCAAGACATATGCCGACCAAGGACTGATTGCATCTGACAAGGCTGCCTTTGTCGATTGGAACGAGTGGATGCATTTTGATAACTCGTTCTTTGGTATTCTACCCAAGGATGCTGCCATGGTTGATCCCCAAGTACGTCTCTTTTTGCATGTCGTGTGGGAAGCATTGGAAGATGCACACATTGACCCTGCCTCGATCAGAGGGAGCAAAACATCGGTGTTTTTAGGTCAAATGTTTGATGCTGTCACCAATATGCAGACTAGAAACTTTGCAACCATGACTCATGCCTCGAGATACGGTCGTTCAGACACTGCAATCAAGGCATCGTACCACTATGATTTCAGAGGAGAGTCCATTGCCGTCGACACTGCCTGTTCATCGTCTTTGGTGGCCGTATTGATGGGTGTAGACACCATTCGCAAAGGAGAGAGTGATATCTCGATCGTCGGAGGTACCAATGGTATTTTTGAACCGACAAACTCTGCCGCCTTTACTATGATGAGTATGCTTGGCAAAAAGGGTCGTTGTGCTCCATTTGACGAGGATGCCGATGGGTATTGTCGTGGTGAAGGTGTTGGTGTGGTCGTGCTCAAACGTCTCTCCAAAGCTATTGCCGACAATGACGATATTTATTGTATCATCAAAGGTGGTAATTGCAACGTTGATGGTAATTTTGAAAAATCATCACCCACTGCACCATCGCCAGCCGCTCAACAAGTCAATACTCTTGAAGCATTGAATAAGGCTGGTGTATCTCCATCTGACATTTACTATGTCGAATGTCATGGTACTGGAACACCCACTGGTGATCCACTTGAAATGGCTGGTATCGCCAATGTTTTTAGAGGATCACATTCAAAAGAGGAACCACTCAGAGTCGGATCGATCAAAGGTAACATTGGACACACTGAAAGTACAGCAGGTGTAGCATCACTCATCAAATGTGCAATGATGGTAAAGAATAGAATGTTGATCAAGAATATTCATTTCAACAAACTCAATCCAAAGATTGATCTACTCGGTGGTGAAATTAAAATTGTATTGGAAAATGAACCAATCCCAACTGACCTAGATAAACCAATCCGAATGGGTATTAATTCTTTTGGTATTACTGGTAGTAATTCTCATTTAATTATTGAAGAGTATAAAAAGAAAGAAGAAAAAGAAGAAACAAAGCAAGATCAAACAATTCATTCAAGTATGTTATTATTATTATAAATAATAATATTTTTTTCAAACAATTTAATTAATATTAATTTTTTTTTTAGATGAATACTTGATACCATTTTCAACAAATAGTAAAAAATCAATTGATAAATATATTGAAAAGATTAGAGACAATGTTGATCAATATAAAGAGAAAATGTCATTTGAAGATTTTGTTTCGATGCAAACACAATCAAAAACAACTCACCCAGTTTGTCAACGAGTATTGGTTGCCAATGATTGGGATTCATTCAAGGATGGAAGTGTCCGTACATTTGAAAAAGAAACATCATTTGCATCAAATATTTCACAATTGGGTACTAAAAAGGAGACGTCAGTTGTGATGGTATTCTGTGGTCAAGGTGCGCAATGGAGTGGAATGGGTGAAAAACTTTACAACCATTATCAAGTATTCCGTGAATCTGTCGATCATGTAGATCAATTATTATCACAATACTATCAATACTCTATTATTGGTAGACTGAGAGAACAGACAAATGCAGATAGTAAAATGATTCATCATCCAATCCTTGCTCAACCTTCAACATTTATCATTCAAGTTGCTTTGGTAAAGTTGTATAAACATTTTGGTATTATTCCTTCAACTGTTGTTGGTCATAGGTAAGATAAAGAAAAGAATATATAATTAAAATTATTATTTATTCATTTTAATTTTTCTTTTTAGTTTTGGAGATGTAACAGGAGCATGGTGTTCAGGATTAATATCATTGGAAGAAGCTTGTAGAATTGTTTATCATCGTAGTGTTGCTCAAAATCAAACAATTGGAAGTGGTAGAATGTTATCAGTATCTTTATCATTTGATAAATATAAAGAAATGTTCAGTAAACAAGATCTATTTGATCAAGTCCATGTTGCATGTTACAATTCAGCTGAATCAATTGTATTGGCAGGAAATGAAGATCAATTAAAATCTATTGATCAACAATTGAAAAATGATAATATATTTAGTGCATTCCTTGGTACACCTTGTGCATTCCATACTCCAACACAAGAACAAACAAAGGATTACATCTTTAAACATTTGGACAACCAGATAGAGTATCAATCAGAACAACCAAAGATTAAATACTTTTCAACAACAACTTCAAACCAAATTACATCATCCTCTTCTTTCAATGCACAATACATTTATGATAATTTAAGATTACCAGTATTATTTGAACAAACTATTAATAATATTGTGGCTAGTCAACAAGCAGGTGATAATCTTTTATTTTTAGAAATTGCACCACATTCAACATTATCATTTTATTTAAAGAATTTGACAACCAACTCAACAACAGTATTATCACCATTAAATAGAAAAAAGGATGAGGTTGAATCAATTCAATCTTGTCTTTCACAACTTTGGTTTAATAATGTAAATGTTGCATTCAAGAATCAATTATCATCAAGTGACAGTGATTGGAAGAATAGAACAAGACATTTACCAAGATATCAATGGGATACTGAATACTTTTTAGATGAACAAGCAGAGTATAGAAAGATTCGTTTGGAAGGTATTTCAACCAATCTTTTAGGTATCGCTGAAAACCCATCGGTTCATGTTTATGAAGCAGGTATTGATATCAACAGACCATCATATCAATATTTAAAGGGACATCGAGTAAAAGGAAAATACTTGTTCCCAGGAACTGGATACATGGAACCAATTCTATTGGCATTCCCAGGCAAAGATATTATCATTCATAGATTGAATTTTATCAATGCATTCTTTTTAAAAGAAGGAGTTCAATCAAGACTAAGAACAACATTTACCAGCTCTTCATCGACAGAGTATACATTCAAAGGTGAATACTTTGATAATCAAGCTCAGAAATGGATCAAATCGGCAGTTGGTAGAATATCAGTTCAAACTCCATCATCGTCACCTCCTCAACATGCTTATCCAAGCGTCGAACAACTACGTAAAGAAAAGTACAATGTTGCCACGATGACTCACAATGAAGTCTATGAAAAGTTGATAAAGGTTGGTCTTCCCTATGCTGGATCATTCAAACGTGTACAAAGAATCGATTTCAACAAGGATCGTGGTATCATGACCGAGGTTGATGTCAAACCAAAAGATCGTTTTGAAGAGGAGAATACCATTCTCAATTCATCGGTACTAGATTGTATTCTTCATGGAGGTATTGTTAATTTCCAAGGAGAAGCACCTAATTGTGAAATGGTTGCTGATCGTGTGCGTTCAGTTCACGTATATGCCAATAACATACCAAAGGTTGGACAAGCCACCTCATTGTATTGTATCTCTCGTGGTACCATGACACAGCGAGGAAATGAATGTATGGCTTCCTATGATGTCATTGATCAAGATGGTAATGTGATTGCATTTATTGGTAAAGTTGCTATGTGTTCACTTACCAAAGTAGTAAAAACATATCAGCCAAAGATCCATCTCAACACATCAAAGAATCATTTATTCAACCAAAACAATCACCTCAAATCATTAATATGAATAATCATAATGATAATGATAGTCATTCAATGTTGGAATCATTTATTCAATCTGGCATACGGTCGCACAAGGTTATTAGAATATTGGATTGTCAAATGTCAAATGAATTGTTTACATTTAATTTCCTTCAATTGATTGACCAATGGTTGGCCAATAGTAAAGAAAAAGAAGGTGTAGTAATTGGAATGATTGATTATACTATCATTGATCATGACGGTGATTTGGATAAGTTGATTCCAGAGGAATTTGCTCTCAATCATCCAATTATCAGTTTTAAAATAATCAAAGATATCAACATGCAGGATGGAATCATTGAACAAGGTTTCTTGGAATCAAGTTATGATTTAATTCTATCAACTAGTCAGTTCAATCATTTATCAAATCAATTTTATAGATTATTAAATCCTTGTGGTAATTTATTATTTATTAATAATAATCAACAAGAGGGAGAAAAAGAAGAAGATAAATTAATTTGTAAAGAATCAATATTTGAAATGGAACGTGAACCCATTGACCATTTATTGTTTATAACACCTTCATCTACTTCTTCATCAGAGACAACTAAATTATTTACAACAAAATTAATTCAACAATCTCAGACAATTACAAAGAGTATTGAAATATTTTCATCAGATGATTTAATGAATCCTGATAAATATCAATTATTATTAGATTCAATATCGATGGAAAAGAATAGTGATAAAAAGGTTACAATCATTTATTTGGAGTCATTGGAAGAGTTGACTGTTGAGAGTATAACACCAAAATCAAGTCAGTATCTTCATCTTCACCAAATCATCAGACAAGAGGAATTACCAGTTAAATTAATTGCTCTAAGAACTGGATTCTTTAATGAATGTTTGACTTCGATTGCAAGAGAATTTGGGTATAGATGTGGTAATGGCCGTTTTGAATTTGGTACAATGGTTATTACTTTGGACAAGGAATCAATCGATCGTGTTACACTTGACCAAATTTTAAAAGTATCAAATTATTCAAAACTTGGTGAATTGGATTATAAATTGGAGTGTACAGATGACAGTAGTAATATTCAAGTAATGGTTGAAAGAGTATTGGATTCAAATGACTCATTTGCATTGGAGAAAAATAGAATGACAGTCACCGATCAAAAAGAAACCAAGATTAAATTTGAAAAGGATGGTAAATATCATTTACGTGCAAGACAAGAGACACTTCAAGATGGACATGTAGAGATAAGGGTGATGGCATCATCATTAAACTTTAAAGATTGTTTAATGTTGGATGGAGGTGTACCACAAGAAATATTCCCAACTGGTGATGTTTACGACCCACCATTTGGACAAGACTGTGCTGGTATTATTACGCGAGTTGGTCCAAATGTGACACGATTCAAAGTTGGTGACGAGGTATTTGGTGTTGTCCCTGGCTCTCATACTTCTCATGTCATATCTGAGCAAGGTCCCCTTGTATTCAAACCAAAAGAGTTGTCGTTTGTTGAAGCTGCATCAATTGTCACGGTTGGTATCACCAGCTACTACAGTCTTTACAAAAAGGGTAATATCAATCCTGACGACTCGATCCTCTTGCACAGTGCATCGGGTGGTGTCGGGTTGGCAGCACTCAATTTCTTGAAACATAAAGGTCACCGTGGAAAGATTTTCGCAACGATTGGAAGTGGACAGGAAAAGGTACAGTATCTCAAAGATACCTATGGTAGCTTTATCACTGCTATCCTTCCATCATCACACTTTGCAAGAGATATTCTCGAATTGACCGATGAAAAGGGTGTCGAATACATTCTCAATACACTCGACCACTCTCAAATGCAACAGAATTTCCAAGCTCTCTCTGAAACTGGAACACTGATTGATCTGTCAATCGATCAATTCTCCAACTTGGACAACATGGACACCCAATCGTTAAAGTATCAAAGAAGTTATATTGCTATTCACATGACCCGTTTCTCTCCAGGTCTCTCTGATATCGTCGATCTTATTGTCAAAGAGGGTATGCCGTTGACTCCAATCATTGCATTCCCAGGTCAAGATATTCACAAAGCAATGGACCTCATGAAATCAAGAAAACATTTTGGAAAGATTGTTCTAGACTATCAAAACATCGACCGAGATCTCTATCCAGTTCTAGTCAAACAACCAAAAGCAATTGAAAGATTATCATACAATCTTGATGGTTGCCAAGGTACAATGCTTGTAACTGGTCAATCTGGTATCTCTGTCGAATGTATCCACTACTGTCTCAAACATTCTCCTAAATTGACCAACATTATTGTTTTCTCATTTTCTAAACCAAAGTTTGAAATGCAATGGTTAGATCATATCATCCAAACAAACTATCCACATGTAAAACTCCATTATTTACAATGTGATCTTGGTCATTATAACTCTCTCAAATCATCCATTCAATCATTGTACCAAGCCAATAGTCGTATGGAACCAGTTAGCGTGGTAATACATTGTGCCGCAGCATATGTATCAGAGGAAATAGAATTGGGAGCACATGCAGAAGCATTGTCAGCCAAATCGGTTGGTGCTTGGAACCTTCACAACCTATTCGAAGAGTTGGGATGGAAATTAAATCATTTCCATTTATTTTCATCGGTTGGACAATATCTCGTCAGAGGAAGTACAAGTTATGGTGTTGCTAATTTATTCTTGGATAGTCTTGCAATGTACAGAAGATCAATTGGGTTAGAGGCCACATCAATTGCATGGGGATCAATTGGTAGTACTGGAAGAGCTGTTGTGAACCAAGGTTCAAATGCAACTCTACAAGGATTAGGTATGAGCTTGCTTCCATTGTCAAGTATCTATGGTGTACTCAGATCATCATTTGCCAACCAGACAACACCAATCACTCGAGCCATTTGTGCTTGTTTCATGACCAAACGATTTGTTGGTTCACATCCATTCCTCCAACACACATTTGGACATTTACTAGAAGAGGATCTAGGAGTCAGTGCCAAGAAAAAGAATAATGCACAAGATGGAAATAGTATAGAGAATATGATTGTAGATCATATTGCAGAAGCACTGTCTATTGAGAAATCACTCTTGTCACCAGACACCAAACTCAAAGATTACGGTGTCGATTCAATGGTTTCAATTCAAATTAAATCTTGGATTGAACTTGAATTTGGTAAGACTCAAATCATTAATCATTCTCAAATTTCAAATGGGTCACTTAATTCAATCATCCAAGCTGTTTCAAATAAGAAATAAATATTATAATATAATTAAAGTTGAATAAATTATCTGATGAATTAAAAATAATAATAAGATATAGAAATAATAAAGAGATGAATGAGAATGAAAGATCACTTTTAGACCTGGATACCCAGATTCAGAGTTTAACCAAGACAATTGGCAAAACCTTTGAATAAAAGAAAAAAAAGATAGACTTCAACACTCCTTCCACATCATACTATAATATTATATATAAAAACAAAAAAAGCAATTAGTCAGCAAAGACTGCGAGAGATGAACTTCATCTCATCTCTAGTTTTTTACAAACCAACTAATAATGATATAGATAGATACATTAATTATTATGAGTATAAAGTAACAAGTACTAAATCAAAGGAGATTTGAGCAGCTTTGTATATTATCATTATGACGCGTAATAATAATAATAATTAATAATAATGTAGGTATGTAGGTACCGTACCTGTCAAACTTTACTTACTTACTCTGTTACTATTTTAAAACAAATCTCATTTTACAGTCTATTGATATTATGTATTGAATAGATGGTTACTTAATAGATGATTAATTAATAAGGTGCCCTACATCTGTCTATCTGTCTATCTGTCTCTCTCTGTCTGTCTGTGTAAGAGTAATTTTACAACAAATATTCCTTCAAGATGACATGACATGGTTGTTGTTGTACTAGTACTATGTACGTATTGTCTTTTATTTTTCTTCTATAAATCAAAAAGAGCCTTCAATATTAACAATTAATCTTATTATTACTTTAATATTAATTATAAACAACATTACTTTTACTTTTACTTTTACTTTTTTTTTTTTTTTTTTAGAAGAATGGAACATTTATTAGATGGCGATATTGATAATGATGGTGTAGCATTGGTTGGTATTGGATGTAGATTACCTGGTGGATCTAAAACGGGTCAAGAGTTTTATGAACAGTTGTTGGGAGGGTTGAATGCATTCGTGCCGGTCCCTACTGAACGTTGGAGCAAGACATATGCCGATCAAGGCTTTATCGCATCTGACAAGGCTGCACTGATTGATTGGAATGAATGGATGCATTTTGATAACTCGTTCTTTGGTATTCTACCCAAAGACGCCGCAGTGGTTGATCCTCAGGTACGCCTCTATTTACAGGTTCTCTGGGAAGCTTTGGAAGACGCACATATTGACCCTGCCTCGATCAGAGGGAGCAAAACATCGGTGTTTTTAGGTCAAATGTTTGATGCTGTCACCAATATGCAGATGAGAAACTTGACAACCATGACCCATGCCTCTCGCTTTGGTCGGTCAGACACTGCCATCAAGGCATCGTACCTCTTTGACTTTAGAGGTGAATCACTTGCCCTCGATACTGCCTGTTCGTCTTCTTTGGTGGCTGTCATGATGGGAGTAGACACGATTCGCAAGGGTGATAGTGATATCTCGATCGTCGGAGGTACCAATGGTATTTTTGAACCAACCAATTCGGCTGCCTTTACCATGATGAATATGCTTGGTAAAAAGGGTCGTTGTGCTCCATTTGACGAGGATGCCGACGGATATTGTCGTGGTGAAGGTGTTGGTGTCGTCGTTCTCAAACGTCTCTCCAAAGCTATTGCCGACAATGATGATATTTATTGTATCATCAAAGGTGGTAATTGCAATGTAGATGGTAATTTTGAAAAGTCATCCCCATCTGCACCATCATCGGCTGCTCAACAAGTTAATACTCTTGAAGCACTGAGAAAGACTGGTGTATCTCCATCTGACATTTACTATGTCGAATGTCATGGTACTGGAACACCAACTGGAGATCCACTTGAAATGGCTGGCATCGCCAATGTTTTTAGAGGATCACATTCAAAAGAGGAACCACTCAGAGTCGGATCGATCAAAGGTAACATTGGACACACTGAAAGTACAGCAGGTGTAGCATCACTCATCAAATGTGCAATGATGGTAAAGAATAGAATGTTGATCAAGAATATTCATTTCAACAAACTCAATCCAAAGATTGATTTACTCGGTGGTGAAATTAAAATTGTATTGGAAAATGAACCAATCCCAACTGACCTAGATAAACCAATCCGAATGGGTATTAATTCTTTTGGTATTACTGGTAGTAATTCTCATTTAATTATTGAAGAGTATAAAAAGAAAGAAGAAGAAAAGCAAGATCAAACAATTCATTCAAGTATGTTAAAAAAAACAAATTAATAATAATAATTTCATTAATATTAATTTTTTTTTTTTTAGATGAATACTTGATACCATTTTCAACAAATAGTAAAAAATCAATTGATAAATATATTGAAAAGATTAGAGACAATGTTGATCAATATAAAGAGAAAATGTCATTTGAAGATTTTGTTTGTTCACAGATATCAAAAACAACTCATCCAGTTTGTCAAAAAGTTATCGTTGCCAATGATTGGGATTCATTCAAAGATAGTCGTACATTTGAAAAAGAAACATCATTTGCATCAAACATGTCTCAATTGGGAACTAAAAAGGAGACGTCAGTTGTGATGGTATTCTGTGGTCAAGGTGCACAATGGAGTGGAATGGGTGAAAAACTTTACAACCATTATCAAGTATTCCGTGAATCTATAGATCATATAGATAAACTATTATCACAATACTATCAATACTCTATTATTGGTAGACTGAGAGAACAGACAAATGCAGATAGTAAAATGATTCATCATCCAATCCTTGCTCAACCTTCAACATTTATCATTCAAGTTGCTTTGGTCAATTTATATAAACATTTTGGTATTATTCCTTCAATTGTTGTTGGTCATAGGTAAGATAAAGAAAAGAAAAGACATATACTAGAATCAATTTGGAATATTATATTAATTTATTTATTATTTTTTTAATTTTTTTTAGTTTTGGAGATGTAACAGGAGCATGGTGTTCAGGATTAATATCATTGGAAGAAGCTTGTAGAATTGTTTATCATCGTAGTGTTGCTCAAAATCAAACAATTGGAAGTGGTAGAATGTTATCAGTATCTTTATCATTTGATAAATATAAAGAAATGTTCAGTAAACAAGATCTATTTGTGGAATGCACAAGGTGTACCAAGGAATGCACTAAATATATTGTCATTTTTCAATTGTTGATCAATAGATTTGAGTTGATCTTCATTTCCTGCCAATACAATTGATTCAGCTGAATTGTAACATGCAACATGGACTTGATCAAATAGATCTTGTTTACTGAACATTTCTTTATATTTATCAAATGATAAAGATACTACCCCAACACAAGAACAAACAAAAGATTACATCTTTAAACATTTGGACAATCAGATAGAGTATCAATCAGAACAACCAAAGATTAAATACTTTTCAACAACAACTTCAAACCAAATTACATCATCCTCTTCTTTCAATGCACAATACATTTATGATAATTTAAGATTACCTGTATTATTTCAACAAACTATTAATAATATTATAAATAATAATAATAGTGACGATAATCTTTTATTTTTAGAAATTGCACCACATTCAACATTATCATTTTATTTAAAGAATCTGACAACAACAACAATATTATCACCATTAAATAGAAGAAAAGATGAAGTTGAATCAATTCAATCTTGTCTTTCACAACTTTGGTTTAATAATGTAAATGTTAAATTCAAGAATCAGTTATCATCATTTGGAAGGTGTTTCAACCACTCTGTTGGGTATCGCTGAAAATCCATCGGTTCATGTTTATGAATCGTGCATTGATATCAACAGACCATTGTATCAAGGTCTCAAAGGGCACAAAGTCAAAGGAAAATACTTGTTCCCAGGAGCTGGATACATGGAGTGCATTCTCTTGGCATTCCCAGGCAAAGATATCATAATTCATAGATTGAATTTTATCAATGCATTCTTTTTAAAAGAAGGTGTTCAATCGAGACTAAAGACCACATTTACTAGTTGTTCGGCGACAGAGTATCTATTCAAAGGTGAATACTTTGATAACCAGGCTCAGAAATGGATCAAATCAGCAGTTGGTAGAATATCGGTTCGTAATGCATCAACACCTCCTCAACCTGCTTATCCAAGTGTCGAACAACTACGTAAAGAGACTTACAATGTTGCTACAATGACTCACACTGAAGTCTATGAAAAGTTGATAAAAGTTGGATTCCCCTACAGTGGATCATTCAAACGTGTACAAAGGATCGATTTCAACAAGGATCGTGGTATCATGACCGAGCTTGATGTCAAACCAAAAGATCGCTTTGAAGCAGATCATACCCTTCTCAATGCATCGGTACTAGATTGTATTCTACATGGTGGTCTTGTTAATTTCCAAGGTGAACCTCCCAATTGTGAAATGGTCGGTGAACGTGTACGTTCAGTTCGAGTATTTGCCAACAACATACCAAAGACTGGACAGGTAGATTCATTGTATTGCATTTCTCGTCCAGGTCAATGCATATCACAAAGAGGAAATGAATGTGCCGTATCCTATGATGTCATTGATCAAGATGGTAATATCATTGCCATTATTGGTGAAGTTGCATTACGTTCACTTACCAAAGTACTAAAAACTCATCAAGCCAAAGATCCATCTCAACATATCAAACAATCTTTTATTCAACCAAAACAATCTCCAAACATCATCAACTATAATAATTTAGATAATATAGATAATAATAATAATATAGATAGTCATTCAATGTTGGAATCATTTATTCAAAATGGTTTAAAGTCACACAAGGTTATTAGAATATTGGATTATCAATTATCAAATGAATTATTTTCATTTAATTTCCTTCAATTAATTGACAAGTGTTTGGCAGATGGAAAAGAAGAAGAAAATGTTTTGGCTGGTGCGATCGATTATACTATAATTGATCAAGATGGTGATTTGGATAGTTTAATGCCAGAATTTATGCTCAATCATCCAATTATCAAATTTAAAATAATCAAAGATGTCAACATACAGGATTCAATCAGCGACCAAGGATTTTTAGAATCAAGTTATGATTTAATTCTATCAACCGATAATCATCATCATTTATCAAATCAATTTTATCAATTGTTAAATCCTTGTGGTAAATTAATGATTGTTAGAAATCAACAAGAAGAAAAAGAAGAAGATATATTGGATGATAATGATCATAGATTAAGATTGTTGGATGATTCAAGATTTAAAATTATATTTTCAAATCAAGAATGTATAGTTGGAGAAAAGGAATCAATATTTGAAATGGAACGTGAACCAATTGATCATTTATTGTTTATAACACCTTCATCCTCCACTTCTTCAGAGACAACTAAATTATTTACAACAAAATTAATTCAACAAGCCGGTTCAATGACAAAGAGTATTGGATTATTTTCATCAGATGATTTAATGAATCCTGATAAACATCAATTATTATTAGACTCGATTGCAATGGAAAAGAATAGTGATAAAAAGGTTACAATCATTTATTTGGAATCAATGGAAGAAATGACTATTGATAGTTTAACACCAAAATCAACACAGTATCTTCATCTTCACCTTGTCATTAGACAGGAACAGTTACCAGTTAAATTAATTGCACTTCGATCTGGATTCTTTAATGAATGTTTGACTTCGATTGCAAGAGAATTTGGGTATAAATGTGGTAATAATTTTGAATTTGGTACAATGGTCATGACTTTGGACAAGGAATCAATCGATCGTGTTACACTTGACCAAATTTTAAAAGTATCAAATTATTCAAAACTTGGTGAATTGGATTATAAATTGGAATGTAAAGATGATTCAAATAGTACTATTCAAGTAATGGTTGAAAGAGTATTACTTTCAAAGAATTCAATGGCATTGGAAAAAGATAGAATGACGGTTACAGATCAAGAAGAAACCAAGATTAAATTTGAAAAGGATGGTAAATATCATTTACGTGCACGTACCAAACAAGAGACTCTTTTAGATGGACAAATAGAGATAAGGGTGATGGCATCATCATTAAACTTTAAAGATTGTTTAATGTTGGATGGAGGTGTACCACAAGAAATATTCCCAACTGGTGATGTTTACGACCCACCATTTGGACAGGACTGTGCTGGTATTGTTACTCGAGTTGGTCCAAATGTGACACGATTCAAAGTTGGTGACGAGGTAGTTGGTATTGCACCTGGTTCTCTTGCTTCTCATGTAGTCTCTGATGAGGTTTCTGTTATCCCCAAACCAAAAGAATTGTCATTTGTTGAAGCTGCGTCAATGGTCACTGTCGGCACTACTTCCTACTATGGTCTCTACAAAAAGGGGAATATCGATCCTGATGATTCAGTCCTTTTGCACAGTGCATCGGGTGGTGTAGGGTTGGCAGCACTCAATCTCTTGAAACATAAAGGTCACCGTGGAAAGATATTTGCAACGATTGGAAGTGGACAGGAAAAGATACAGTATCTCAAAGACACGTATGGTAGCTTTATCACTGCTATTCTTCCATCATCTAATTTTGTAGACAGTATTCTCGAATTGACCGATGGTAAAGGTGTCGAATATATTCTCAATACACTCGACCACTCTCAAATGCAACAGAATTTCCAAGCACTCTCACAAACTGGGACTCTGATTGATTTGTCAATCGATCAATTCTCCAACCTTGACAACATGGATATGCAATTGTTAAAGTATCAAAGAAGTTACATTACCATTCATATGACCAAACGTCAATACCCAATTCTCTGCACTGTCACTGATCTTGTTGTCAAAGAGGGAATGCCATTGACTCCAATCATTGCATTCCCAGGTCAAGATATTCACAAAGCAATGGACCTCATGAAATCAAGAAAACATTTTGGAAAGATTGTTCTAGACTATCAAAACATCGACCGAGATCTCTATCCAGTTCTAGTCAAACAACCAAAAGCAATTGAAAGATTATCATACAATCTTGATGGTTGCCAAGGTACAATGCTTGTCACTGGTCAATCTGGTATCTCTGTCGAATGTATTTATTATTGTCTCAAACATGCTCCTAAATTGACCAATATTATTGTTTTGTCATTTTCTAAACCAAAGTTTGAAATGCAATGGTTAGATCATATCATCAAAACAAATTATCCACATGTAAAACTCCATTATTTACAATGTGATCTTGGTCATTATAACTCTCTCAAATCATCCATTCAATCATTGTACCAAGCCAATAGTCGTATGGAACCAGTTAGCGTGGTAATACATTGCGCAGTAACCTATGTATCAGAGAAAATCAGTTTGGGAGAACATGCAGTGGCAATGTCGGCAAAGGCAGTTGGTGCTTGGAACCTTCACAACCTATTCGAAGAGTTGGGATGGAAATTAAATCATTTCCATTTATTTTCATCGGTTGGACAATACCTGGTTCGAGAAAGTACAAGTTATGGTGTTGCTAATTTATTCTTGGATAGTCTTGCAATGTACAGAAGATCAATTGGGTTAGAGGCCACATCAGTTGCATGGGGATCAATTGGTAGTACTGGAAGAGCTGTTGTCAACCAAGGTTCAAATGCAACTCTACAAGGATTAGGTATGAGCTTTCTACCATTGTCTTGTATCTATGGTGTACTCAGATCATCATTTGCCAACAAGACAACACCAATCACTCGAATCATGTGTGCTAGTTTCTTGACCAAACGATTTATTGGGTCACATCAATTCCTTCAACACACTTTTGGACATTTACTCGACGAGGATCTCGGAGTGACAGCCAAGAAAAAGAATAATGCACAAGATGGTGGAAATAGTATAGAGAATATGATTATCGATCATATCGCAGAAGCACTATCTATTGAGAAATCACTCTTGTCACCAGACACCAAACTAAAAGATTACGGTGTCGATTCAATGGTTTCAATTCAAATTAAAACATGGTTGGAACAAGAATTTGGTAAAACTCAAATCATTAACCATTCTCAAATTTCAAATGGGTCACTTAATTCAATCATTCAAGCTGTTTCAAATAGGAAATAAATATTATAATTAAATAAATTAATATTAAATGAAAAAAAATATCTTCGATATTCTCTTTTTTTTTTTTTTTTTTTCTTGCTAGACTCTATTTTGCTAGATTGATGCTGTTAATTTTAAGGACAGCATAAATAATCAGAGATAGAAATATAAAGAGATGAATGAGAAAGAAAGCTTTGAAAAGAAAGTAGCAACTGGTTCACCAATTGCTAGCAAAGTCAAAGATCTCCACTGCAGTACCGAGGGAAGGATTGGTGAGGGATTAGAGCAAGAAGAGTCAAAGTCATCATTTAGTGGTGGTACCTCTACTAGTATCATATCTACAATGTGCGGTGATAAAAGAGTAGAGTTCTTTTTTAATGAACAAAAGAAGAGTTTGGTGGCTAAAGTTGGTAAAGATGGTGAAGTTGGTAAAGTTGACCAAGTTGAATTCACAGTAGTACTTCCTCCAATTAGAAATCAAAATCATGTCGCTCTTTCACAAGCTTGTCGCCTTCGAATGTTGCTTAGAAATAGACTTGTAAAGCCTTTAATCGATAAAACAAACAAAACAATTACTTTTGGAACAGGAAGACAAGTTGAATCTTGGAAGATACTGAGTACCTACGAGATACTGAACCCCGAAAACCCCCCAGCTGGAATTTCGAGTGATTGCTACCTGGTACGATCAAATGGAACTATTAGTTTTGGTGTTGGAAATACTGTCAAAACTTTAGATATTCACAATGATACATGGTCAATTCAATCATTTCAAACCAATCAAATTACAGCCATGGCAGAGAGTCCCGATGGCTTATTAATAGTTGGAGATGACAATGGTGTCATTCATATCCCAGAAAAGGGTATATCCATAGCTTTGGAGGGCCCAGTTCAAAGGATCACATTTAAAAATCCAAATGAAGTACTAGTGAAACAAGAAAACATCATTTCATTGATTTCTCTTAAGCCAATGAAATTAACTGGGCACGTTGAAGCCAATGAATTCTTTTGCCTTGGTAATGGACAAATTATAATTCAAAAAGATAAGACTTTGCACAAAGTGGACAAAGAATTCAAATTGGAAAAAGCCTTTGAAGAAAATGTAGACGGTGTTTTATATGGCCATGACTCATCCTTATTGGTATTGAAAGGCAAAAAAACATTCATTTTGTCTTACAATGGAGAAACAATCTCATCTTTTGGGTGGATAGATAAATGGGAAGATCGAGCAATATCAATACATTTAAAATCTATAGACAACAATAGAGTTGCGTATAGAGAGTTTAAAGAAAAATCCGTAATGAGGATTTCAGGAGAAAAGTCTACATGGACACACAACCCCAAAAAACATAAAGAATGGTTTATCAATTGTTCAACAATTCTATCGGATGGTTCAATTATCTATGCAACAAATCAACAAGGAGCAGGTATTCATCACATCCAATATATTCAATTAGATAAAATGACATCCTCATCTGCCCAAGAATATAGCATCCGAATATTAGAAGAAACGGTTGATGGTTTGGTTATTGGTTTTAATTATGGAGGAGGTATAGTTATTTTCGAACCAGACATTGAAGCTTGGGATCCAAACATTGATAATAATTTCAAGAAAGACCAACTAAATCTCCAACTCAAGTATGACCCTACCCAACTTCATTTGTATGACGAACTCGTCGCATTACAAGGCAATAGTCCTGATAAATACCTGGTATTTATGAGGGGGATGGAGGCTGCAATCAAGTTAAACAAAATTTATAAAGCTCGAAGATTCTATGAAAAAGCTAAAAATGTGCTACCACTTTTTAAGCAAGAAGCAGCTGAAAGATTCTACCAGCATCTAAAAAGTACTCCATATAAACAACAAAGAAGAGTGGTCGCACTGGAACTGTATGCCCTCACAAAAGAAGAAAAGTATCTGAAAGAATTCAACTCAACCTATAAATCAAGATTAATCATTGGTGAAGGAAATTTCTCATACACCAAATCACTGTTGGAAGAACACTCACAATTGGAAGGATTAGCGAAATCAATCATTGCAACAGAATTAATCAAAAAGTCTGAACTCAAAAACAAAATTATTTTGGGAACCATTGAAGAATTAGAAAAAAAAGGTGTGAATATTATGTTTGAAGTTGATGGCCAAGTAATTGGAAAAAGATTTACAGATCAAAAATACAAAAGAATCCAATGGAACTGTCCTTTTGGTGGAACATCAGGTACAGCCAGAGAAGATTTTAAAAAAGTCGTACCAAAATTCTTTCAATCTGCTTCACAATTACAGAATGTTGGAGATAGAATTCATATCGCTCTCGATCAATCAAAGAGTTACTGGAAAGAAAGAAAAAATTATGTTTATATCGAAAGACAAACAGACAATCCTATTGTCAAAGGATCAATCAAGGCAAAATATAAACTAATTCGAAAAAGAAGATTTGGTAAAAGATATCCCAACTATGAACATAAAATGACTGATCAAGATGGATCATCCTTAAAACCTTCAGTTATTAGAGAGTTTGTATTTGAAAAGGTTGACCATGACATTCCTTCAATCCAAGACGGTGAAATAGATAAAAACTATGTGATAAATGGTATAGTGACCGATCAAAAAAACATAGAACATTATGGCAATGCCTACTTTGATTGTAGTACCGATGATGACTCTTCAGATTACTGTGATAGTGACTAATTCGGTTATTAAGTACTTTCTATACAAACTTGTTTAAATAAATAAATAATTCAAAATAAATTTTAATTTCTTTTTTTTTTGGTTAATCGATCTAGCTTCATACTGATAATATTATTTTCTCTTTCTTATTTTTTTTTAAAGCTTCAATATTATAGACAGTAATAATAGTTATAATGATTAGAGAGAAAGAAAGCTCAAAGCAAGAAAAGGTATTAGAACTGGAGATCAGAGAAAAGTCAGAGCCATCAATGATCACAACACCACACCCAACTAAATCAATGGTACCATCGCCAGGTCTTACCGTAGAGAAGGGAGAAGAGTCAGAGTCATCAAGTTTTGATGGTACTTCTACAACTAGCACTACGAGTAATGAATTGTCGTCGCTTTTATCAACACTATCAGTATCAGAAAGCTCTTCGCAGACTCGACTACCACCACCCGAAATCAAAGATGATAAACCAAATATTATTCCTATCATATCATCAATGTGTGGTGATAAAAGCATAGATTTCTTCTTTAATGAACAAAAGAAGTGTTTGGTGGCTAAAGTTGATCAAGATGAATTCTCAGTGGTACTTCCTCCAATTAGAGATCAAGAACACGTAGCATTGTCACCGGTTCATCGTCTTCGAATGTTGCTGAGGAATAGACTTGTCAGTCCCTCTATTCAAACCTCAACCAAACAAATTAATTTTGTAACTGGTCCACCAATTGAATCTTGGGAGATTCTGAAAACCTACCCATTGAAGTATGATCACCGCCTTGTACGATCAAACGGAACCATTAGCTTTAGTTTTTGTAATACTGTTAAAACTTTGGATGTTCACAACGATACTTGGTCGATTCAATCATTTCAAACCAATCAAATTACAGCCATGGCAGAGAGTCCCGAAGGAGTATTAATCGTGGGTGACAATGCTGGTGTTCTTCATCTATCGTTGGACGATATGATACATGTGAACAAAGGGCCCATTGAAAGGATCACATTTATCAATCAAAATCAAGTTGTGGTTGGCCACCAAAATTGTATTTCGTTGGTTTCTCTTCAGTTAAAGGAATTTATTAGAGAGTGGACTGGCGCCAACAAGTTCTTCTGCTTAAGTAATGGCAACATTATAATACATAGAGGAAATAGTTTGTCCACTGTCGAAATTAAATTAAATGAATCAACAGAAACCGTTTTATCAAAGAATATAGGTGGTGTTGTATATGCTCATGACTCATCTTTATTTGTATCAGAAGAAAAAGATAAAACATGCCTGTTGGACTACACGGGAGAAAGAATACCATTTGGTAATGTTCCTATTGGTAAATTGTTTTTCAAACCTCTAGACAACAATAGAATTGTATATGCCTACGGTACATTTGGAATGGAAATATATGATAGATTAAAAGAAAAACCGACCCAACACACACCTAATAAGCATAACTCTTGGTGTATAAATTGTTCAACAATTCTATCTGATGGTTCAATAATCTATGCAACGGATCGACGAGAAGCAGGTATTCATCACATTCAATATATTGATAAACCCGATATGACATCCTCGCCCGCCGGTGCCAATTCAATTAGCGAACTAAAAGAAATGGCTGATGGTTTGGTTGTTGGTTTTTGTGGTAATGCATTAGTTGTTTTGCAACCAGTCATCTTGATGCCCATTTCTTCAATGTGTGGTGACAAAATAATATATTTCTTCTTTAATGAACAAAAGAAGTGTTTAGTGGCTAAAGCTGATCAAGATGAATTCACAGTAGTACTTCCTCCAATTAGAAATCAAAATCACGTCGCAATTTCACAACTTGGTCGCCTTAAAATATTGTTAAGGAATAGACTTGTAAAACCAGAGATTAATCAAACAAACAAACAAATTACTTTTGTAACAAGATCACCAATTGTAGATTGGAAGAAACTTCACAATCCCTCGTTAAATTACCGGTGCTATCTTGTACGATTGAATGGAACTATTAGCTTTGGTATTGGTAACGCTGTCGAAACTTTTGATATCCACAGTAACACTTGGTCAACACAGGTCTTTCAAACCAATCAAATTACAGCCATGGCAGAGAGTCCCGAAGGAGTATTAATCGTGGGCGATAATGCTGGTGTTCTTCATCTATCATCGGACGATAGTATATCTTTGAATAAAGGGACCATTGAAAGGATCACCTTTATCAATCAAAATCAGGTAGTGGTTAGACAATATAATTATTTTAAAAATATTACAAACTATAGTAATAATACAAACTATAATATTTATAATACCAACTATAATAATAATAATAATAATAATACAAACTATAATAATATTACAAACTATAATAATATTACAAACTATAATAATAATAATACCAACTATATTAATAATATTAATACAAACTATAATAATAATAATATTTATAATACAAACTATAATAATAATAATATCATGAATAACAATAATAATGTAAATGATCATCATTATAATAATAACTATAACGTACAAAATAACTATAGTAGTATTTCATTGGTTTCTCTAAAAGATAAGAACACAGAGCGGTTGGGAATTGACACAGAGTTCTTTTGTTTAAGTAATGGCAATATTATATTGCATGATGCTAAATCGAAAAAATTGAAAACAACCCAATCTAACATCTGTTTGGAGAATAATATAGATAGGGTTGAATATGCCCATGACTCATCTTTATTTGTATTGGAAAAAGATCAAATATATATGTTGGGTCCCAACCCTGGAGAAAGAATACCTTGTGGACAAAATACCCAATATTGGACAAATTTAAAATATACAAACGACAATAGAATTGTGTATCGAGATGGTGATTCAATGAAGATATCTGATCGAGGAGATATCTTGTTCAACTTTAACTTTGGGGTTGGTCATTCGATCGGTTCTACGACAATTCTTTCAGATGGTTCAATAATCTATCCAATCGGTAATCGCCTTCAACACATCCAATCCAATCATGATACGATACAAAGTACCCAAGATCATTTCAGAATTGGTCTTTTAGAAGAATTTGCTGACGGTCTGGTTATTGGTTTTTATCAAGGCGGCGTTGTTATTCTCGAGCCAGTCATTAAAGCTCTCGATCAATGGAATAGTTTCAAGATTGAGCAACTGGGTTTGAAACTCAAACATGACTTTACCCAACTCAACTTGTACCACGAGCTCGCCGTTATTGTTTCAGATCCCTACAAGACATATATAAACGGGATGGAATCAGCAATGAAACTAAACAACATTTATCAAGCTCGAAGATTCTATGAAAAGGCTAAACGTTGTACAAGTGGCCTACTAAAGATAGAAACAGCCATTAGATTCTACGAGTATTTAAAAAGTACTCCATATAAACATCAACGTCGAGTTGTTGCATTGGAACTATTCAAACAAACAGGCAACAAAAAATATATGAAAGAATTTAACCGAAATTACAAATCAAGATTAATCATTGGCGAAGGGAATTTCTCATACACCAAATCACTGTTGGATGAACACTCACAATTGGAAGGATTGGGGAAATCAATCATTGCAACAGAATTACAAAACAATAATAACCCTAATTATCCCATTGAACAGTTACAGAAAAAGGGTGTCAAGATTTTATTTGGAATCAATGCTAAAGAAATTGACCAACTTTTTAAAGGTCAAAGATTCAAGAGAATCCACTGGAACTGTCCATTTCGTGGATCAGGTGAAGCAGGATTTGAGCAAGTCATTCCCAATTTCTTTCAATCTGCTTCACAATTACAAATACCTGGAGATAGAATTCACATCTCTCTCGAGCAACCCACTTCAAACGGTAACACCTACTATCAAACAAGACAAGGAGAGAATCCTATTGTCAAAGGATCGATTATGGCAAACTATAAACTAATTAGAAAAAGAAGATTTGGTGAGAGATATCCCAACTATAAACACAAAATGACTTCTGCAGATAAACCCTACATCCACGATACTACAGTTATAAGAGAGTTTGTCTTTGAAAAGGTTGTCAGTCTACCCTCAATCCAAGATCGAGGCAAAGTTAAAAATTACAAGATTGAAGGTGCATCGATAGACGAAAACAATAAGGAAAATTATGATAATGCATACTTTTCTTGTAGTTCTGATGATGACTCTTCAGATTACTGTGATAGTGACTAAGTATAGCAATAAACTGTACAACAAAAAAAATAACGTGAAAATTCAACAAAGTTTTATTTTGAGTATTGAATGAGAGTTAACATGTGTTGTTAAATTAATTTCCTATTTTTGATTTATTTTTTTTCCTTTTTTTTTTTGTTATGTTAAATATCATAAGTATGAATTGAATAAGTGATATCCTCCATCAAAGAATCACTTCTATTATTAATATTAATTTTAAAGAATGCGTGAGTGTTTCCAATGAGCGAGTAGTTGTTGACCAATTTGGAGATGATGAATTTGTAGTGAGAGAGTGAGGATTCGTCCCAATCTTGGTAGTGGCTGTCGAGCAAGATGCCGACCCACTGGGTCAATTGTTCGAGTGAGAGAATGACAGAGTTGTCGGTACGTCTCTCCTTTGGTACGATTTCAATGTGCATCTCGAGATAACGGTTGATGTAAAAGAAGAGATGGTTGAATAATAGACGAGTCTGTGTGAAATCAAATTGTGCACGGATACACTCTACCATTTGATCATAATCAATTCCATTGTATCCAGTAATCCAATCAATCCAATCAGTATTAATTGTATTTAATTTTTCTAAAAATTTTTGATTTTCGTTACCATTATTATTATTATTTTGATTTTGATTATTTTGATTATTTTGATTATTATTTAATTGTTGGTTATTTACAAAGTTGATGGTATGATCAATTGATTTAAAGGTTGTAATGATTGATTCTTTGAGAAGGGAGCATATTTCAGTTTGTTTGATATTGGTCATATAACGAATGATGACTGGTACCATATCAAGACGTTGAGCTGCAACGACGGCTGGAATGAGTGATGGGGTGGACGACGAAGACACACTGCTCGACAAAACCATCACCAAAGCCAATAGATTCCACTCTTTCAACTCTGTAAACAAATTGGACAATCTCTTTACAATACAATAACTAAACTTGCTATTGACACTACAATAATATTGTTGATGTATATTATAAAGATAATCCATATCAATCTTTTCTTTTGATAATTTCTTTTCAACTATAGAAAAAAAAAAGTAAATAAATGTAAAAAGTAAGTAAGTATACATTCTATCTTTTCTTTCTATTTCTTTATCTATTTCTATTTCTTTATATTGCTTACCATCAATAGAGAAATAAGATTTAAAATCTTTGTATAATGAATCGGTAGATGTATTTTGAAAGTATTTAGATGTAAACTCTTTTGGTAGTTGATCGGTTGTACGATTGATAATGACCGATGTATCCTTTTTAGAAGTTGTTGATGTAATCTTTTCAATATGGAATTCTAATGGTGATACAACAGCTGCAACCTTTTTCGATGGCTCTGTAGCAATAGATTTCTTTAACAATTCTAGTGTTGTTAATTGACCTTCATTTGTCTTTACTCTTTTTGTTGATTGTTCTTCTACTTGAATGTTGTCTTGTTGTTGTTGTACTTCTTTAATTATCTCTTGTTCTTCATTCTTTTTTCCTCCTCCATTTGTTGCTGCAGTACTTCTTCTCTTGTTATTCATTTTTCTACTCTTTTCTTTCTTTTAATATAAGCACTAACAAACAAAATAGATAGATTTCTATGTAGCACTAAAATTTGATTCGTTCGTCTTGACGCAACAACAAGCAGATGCCTAAAAAACTAATTATTTTTAATTTTTTTGTTTTTTTCTCACCTCTTGAAAGATCACACTCTGACGTCCCACTCGATTTGCGGGATGAGAACTACAACAGAAACTACCTACCCTCCTATTGTCACTTTAATATAAATATAGTAGTTTTGAACTCTATTTAGTCACATACACATATATAAATATAGATATAATGAATATTAAAGCATTCAACGCTATTGCAACAAAAGTTTGGAATACTACAGTCTCTGTACCAGAAGACTTTGGTAAAATCACCACCCTCTTTACAAATGATGTTGTCAAGTCTCATCTTCCAAAGGATAATGTATGATTTAGATATAAAGATAGTAGTAATAGAGAGGGAGAGATATTGTATATATACTTACTTTTTAATATCTATTTTGTTATTAATTGTATTTCATTTTAGGTTGAAACATCAATTAAACTTTTAGAAGGAATTTATGATTTATCAAAGAATGAAAATGATGCAAAGAAACAAGCAGCTCTTTTACACAAATTAAACAAAGAGGTGTTGGTAACCGTATATATCAGTGGAAACGAATTGACTGCATTTGATGTATTCTATTATGTATTTTTGCATGCATCCATGGTTAAATTCAATGACAAGGATAGATTCATTTTCTGTAATATCACTAGATGGTTCAACTACGTTCAAAATACTGTGTTTTTGAACAATGGTCAATTGGATCTTGTCCCCATTTCAACTACTCCACCACCACCAGAACCACCTAAACCAAAGGCAAAGGATGCTGCTGCCGGTGATAAAAAGGTTGATGAAAAGAAGGCTGGTGATGCCGCCGCTGCTCCAGCTGCTGCTGGTAAAAAGGGAGGTAGTGGACGTGAATCAAACAAGACTGTTGAAGCTCCAAAACCAGAGGATGTATCACGTTTTGAAATTAGAGTTGGAAAGATTGTTGAAGTTGCCAAACATGCTGATGCCGACTCTTTATACGTAGAAAAGATCGATCTCGGTGAATCAACTGGTCCACGTACCATTGTTAGTGGTTTAGTTAATTATATTCCAATTGATCAAGTTCAAGTATGTAAATTTAAAAAAAAAACAAACAATATTTATTTATTTATTTATTTAAATAATTAATTATTAATTTCTTTTTCTTTTAGGATCGTATGGTATTAGTACTTTGTAATCTTAAACCACGTAATATGAAGGGAGTTAAATCAGAGGGTATGGTTTTATGTGGATCAGGTGAAGGCAAGAGTACCGTTGAATTTGTCGAACCACCCGCCACTGCCAAGATTGGCGAGCGTGTTGTATTTGCATCGTACCCAGGTGAGTTTGACAAGGCTCTCACCAAGCCAGAGCTCATTGATGTCGTTCTCAAGGAACTCAAGACCAACGGTGACAGAGTTGCCACTTGGAAGGGTGAGGTTGGTTTGACTTCTGCTGGTCCATGTACTTGCAAGACTCTTGCCAATGTCAACATTGCCTAAAAAAACTTTAAATACTCTAAAAATCACTTGTCAAATAATAATAATAATTAATAATAATAATAAAACCGTACGTTAACAAATCGATCCAACATTCATCATCCCGTCGCCTGGGAAGAGAATATATAGAGGAACGAGATTATATAATCTAAAAAAAAAAAAAAAAAAAAAAAAAAAGAGATTCAATCACTGTGGAATTCTTGTCAATGTTTAATGATCGTTCATAAATTTCCTAGAAACCAAAGTAAAGGGTTCCCTTTCCTAAAATGGCATGCTGACGTCGGATGGAGACTCCAATTTCCGACAAGATGAGAGTGGCCCTGGTTTTTTTGCATAGGTGGCAAAACTAATTTTTTTTTATGTAGTTACCATTTATCTCTAGAGAAACCTTTAAAAGAAGGACATGTCCCTCCTCTTTCTAATATATTATATCAAAACAAAATATGTATAAACAATTAATATTCTTATCAATCATTTTGTTTATTGGACAAGTATTCAGTTCATCTTGTATCTTCGGCTCAGGAAATCAACAATTTAATTTTACTTTAGTTGGGTAAGTACTTTCTCATTCTTTTACTTTTAACTTTATATCTTCTATTTTAATCATTTTAATTATTTCTGTTTAGTTTAAATAAAACTTATTCTTATTTTATTCAAGATCAACAAAATGAATCAAATTATACACTTGAATGGACCCTTTGTCAAAATTCAAATGTGAAAGATGTACAATCGACCATATTCTATAATAATAATGGAACATCAATTGTATCGGGTTCATTTGCAACAGGTTCAACTAAAATCTCAGACAATGTAGTTTCATTCAACTATTTATCGCCAACCGTGTTTAACCGTATCAATACAACCTATTATTTGTATTGTAATCCAAACCAAACAGAGTCCTACTTTAACTTTTATGAATGCTTTGCAAATGGTCTCAATCAAGAATGTCACATCCAAACTGCTTATGCATGTCCACAACCTTCACAAGAACTCTATGTCAGTTCGTACGAGGTCAACCCTAAAAACCGAACACTTGTAGTTCGTGGTTACTTTGGAGATTATTATTTAAATACCTTCATCGATGTCGGTGGCTATGGATGCGAGAAATTTTATTATCTATCAAATTCGTCTATGATTACTTGTTTAATCTATAATTATTCGCCCAATGGTGGATACAAATTGGTCACATTATCACTGATATCAACAACCAAAAATTTTACCAATCAAGAGTCTGTTTATTTCCCTTCATGTATGTAATTTTAAATCTAAAATAGATAAATATAAGATTTTCTAAACTTTCCAAATTTTATTTCTAGATACTCCAAACTATGTTTCAAATGTTACAATGAATGGAAATGTTTTTGTTTTCAATGGACACTTTAATATGTTACAGAATGGTGGTTATGTCCTCGTCAATTACACTGGATGGAATATGTATACTGAATGTAGCATTATTACTCTAAATACCTCAAAGATTGAATGTTATTTACCAAACTATGTCTATGGTAACCAATCAATTCAATTGAATTTATTTGAATACAAATTAAATACATCTTACTTTATTTCAAATACTGGTATGTAATCAGAATAAACTTGAAAAGTGAAATTATTGATATTTTATATTAATATTTATTCTATTTATTCAAGCTCCATATAGAATTGAGTCTAGTTATAAAAACAATACAACATTGATATTGGAAGGAGAATTTGGATCAAGTTTACCAAATATTTCTATCAATGGTGGACCATGTATAATTTATATTTTTAATCAATATTCGATTCAATGTAATGTCACCAACTACCCAACTCAAGGAGGATATTTCCCAGTTGAAATCACTCAACTTTACTATAATTATACTCTTCAACAAAATGTTTATTTTAATCGTATGTATTCAAGTTTAAGATCGAAACAAAACCCAAACTAAATTTAACTTTTTTTTTTTTTATATTTAGCTATTTCCTTGGAACAACAATGTATGGATTCAACAAATAATTGTAGTGGTAATGGATATTGTAATTTCTATGGTACATGTGTTTGCTATACTCCATCAAATTATTCAAATTGTTATCAAACACCTCAAGAAAAGTGTATCTATGAAACTAATAATTGTCAAAGAAATGGATATTGTGATTTTTACGGCCAATGTCATTGTTATCAACCATCTCCATACTCTAATTGTGCTCGTAAAGTATTAAAGAAAAAAGAAAAGAAAAGAAAAACACTTCAAAATATTAATCAATACAAATCAAATCTTTTTATTTATGATAGCTGTAATTCAAATTTATAATGTGTCTATTACTCCAAATAGTCCAGTGATAAGTATCTATCGTAGTCTCCCATACTATTTCTACAATGAAAGGGTATATTTCTATTTTGGTGGGTATCCCATTCAATGTACTATCTTTGCTTCAAATAGCACTAATCTCAACTGTTCCATCGGTCAATATCCAAACACCTCATCATTGGACCTCTATGGCGAGGTGGGTATTAATGCTAATTCATCAATGGGACCATTCCAAACACCTCTCTATTTAGTATATTTCCCTCCTGGAAATCAAACTGATTCTTCCAATTCTTCTGATTCCTCCTCATCCTCTTCTTCATTTGAACCTACAGTAGTTTGTACATTGAGTCGTGGAAAACTTAAAGTTGTGTACAACGGAAATGAAGCAATCAACTGCTCATCAAATGGATACAGTTATTGTACTACTCCAGGTGGATTTGAATGTCAAGGAAACAGTGTCAACTCTATGACTAGATGTTCAGCTCCAAAACAAATCACTTGTCAAGCTACCGATATAACTTGTCGTGTTGCTGGAACCATGTGTAGTATATCACCTGTTGATGGTTCACTACAAATCCAACCATATCCCTCAAATGATCCACCAACTTCTACCACCGGTACAACTAGCTCCATCCAAACATCTGGATCCCCATCCCTATCATCATTATCCTCACCAATCATTATTCTTCTTTTATCAATTATTTCTTCCTTTTACTTTTTTTAAAATTTTTATTTCTCTATCTATACCCATCTTTGAATTTCCATGTTTATTGATCACCTTTTTAAAATAAATAAAATCTATTTCTTGATCTTTTTATTATTTAAACAACTCTACTACTACTACTAATTTTCATCTGGGATTCCTCTTATTCTCGGGTACCCCTTTACATAGATTGAAAATGCCGGATCTTCATATTGTTTGTCTTTAAATGCCTCAAATACCTTTTCCATATTATGTTCACTTTCATCAAAATCATCATCAATTAATGATTTTTCTGGACCATTGTGAATTTGGTAGACCATATCTTTGGCATGTTGTAGATTGAGTGATCGAATTCTCAAAATAAATGATAGCCAGAATGATTGGAAGGAATTCTCTTCATCCTGGTACCACCCGATACAACAAGAGAAATGGCGAATGGTTTTTGAATGATGTTTGAGAATTTTGATTGCCCATTCCTCGAAACCATAAACTTCCGGGTCTCTAAATAAACAAATCTCTTCCAATGACACCGATATACCATTTCTATAATCTTTCATTTCTTTGTCTTGTGCAAGATATTCCGTATCTTGACAAAGGAAAGCCAATGTCCCTTTTCTTAGAGCAATTTCATCATCGTCATTGCCATAAAAGCCTTGATCCTTTGGATTATAGATGAATGATCGCAAGTTTGGTAACTGACTTGCAATATAGATAAAATCTTCATCACTGTATTCATAATACGATGTTACAACACATGCCATACATTGAATCGATGCTAAAACCCTTTTTGCCATTGCATACATATTGATATTTTGTGCATCTCTTGAGTCACTATTATCTTTGTCTTTTTCAACATTAATTGCAACATATTCACTACCAATACCATCACACCAACACTTTGTGAGTTCTACTTCTGTTTGTTGTACTTTTCTTTATTCATGTATTTGATGAGATCATAGACAAATGCTTTCTCTGTTGAGAAGGCAACATGGGTGATGGTTTTAAGTGGGCAACAAGGTCGGACAAGATGATCAACTATTGCCAAACATTGAACGTATTCACCTAGATGACAGTATGGTCTGAATACATGAGTACACCACTCTGATACATAACCAAAGAACCTCCAACACACTAAATCCAATCTGATGTCATTTGAAAAGTAGACGATCAATCTTTGAACAGTATGTGGTAAACTAGCTGCAAGTTTTAAATTAACCTTGTCAGCTCTCCAAAATTCTTCTATCTCTTTTTCTTCATCCTTTTTTAATTTTGATCTAATTGTTTTGAATATTGTATTCGACATCCTCTACTCTTTTTTTTATTTATATCTATCTTTAATAGATTGAAATACATGAACGAGAAGAAGAGGGTTGGAGTAATTTTTTAAAAATTAAATGGTTTTTGTGTAATAAATAAATAAATAAATAAATAAATAAATAAATAAATAAATAAATAAATAAATAAATCCGTTTCTAAAAAAACAAACAATGAATAGTCGTCGTAATATGATCTTTTTTTTTATTTAAACAAACTCTAATAATAATTATTATTATTATTATTATTATTATTATTACTACTAATATTCATCTGGGATTCCTCTTATTCTCGGGTACCCCTTTACATAGATTGAAAAGGTCGGATCTTCAAATTCTCTGTATTCAAATGCCTCAAATACCTCTTCCATATTATGTTCACTTTCATCAAAATCATCATTGATTAATGATTTTTCGGGACTGTCGTGGATTTGGTAGACCATGTCATTGGCGTGTTGTAGATTGAGTGATCGAATTCTTGAAATAAATGATTGCCAATAGGTTTCAAATGAATCCTCTTCATCCTGGTACCGCCCGATACAACTAGAGAAATGGCGAATGGTTTTTGAATGATGTTTGAGAATTTTGATTGCCCATTCCCCCCGAAACCTAGAACTATTGGGTCTCTAAATAAACATCTCTTTAACACGTCATTAATATCGTTTTCTTTTCATCTTGATCATCTCTTGAATCACTTGAATCTCCACTTTCATCATCATCATCATCTTGACTTGTATCACCACTTTCATCATCATCTTGACTTTTATCCTCCTCGTCTTCTTCATCTTCTTCTTCTTCTTCATCTGTAGTCGGACAAGATGATCGACTACAGTCAGGCATTGAATGGGTTCTATAATTGTATGTGTTTTTTCATTAAGTTGTTTTGAATATTGTGTTGGAGGCTACCATCTTTCTTTTATTTATATATATATATATATTTATTAAATATTACAAAAAATAAATGATTAAAAATGATAATAATACCAAGTAGAGAGGTTCAAAAAATAATAAATACAAAATAGGGTATGATCTGGTTGGAAAATGCTAAGTCAATGGTTTTTTTATCAGCCAACATGTTGGAATAGGTAGTGGTAAAAGGTAAGGGGGATAGGGGTTACGGGTAAGGGTTCTCTTTTTAAATGTATTTGTTTTTTAAAGTAAAGATTGATGGAGGTCATTTAACGTGGATCTTCTTAAAAACAACAAAATATTAATATTTTGTATCATTGATATTGTTCTCTTTTCATCTTGGATCTTTACTTTCAAATGATCCGATCATTTTGACTTTTATTCTTCCTCGTCTTCATCTTTGTCTTTATCCTCATCTTCAATTTATAATAATTAGTAATAAATAAAGAATAGTATCATAAGTATTGGAGACGCAAAAGTTGGTTTAGAAAACCACCAACATCTGTTTTTATTTATTTGGGTTAAAAATATTTGTTTAGAATTTTAAAAACCCCTCTTAAATTAGCACTATCATTGAATTCAAGGATTTTGATTACTTGTGAAATTTTTTGTTGATTATGTTCTATGATTTCGATTTTTTCATTATCCTTATTATTATTATTATTATTATTATTAATTTCGTTATGATTATTATTATTATTATTATCATTTTCGTTATTATTTTCGTTATGATTATTATTTTCGGAATGATTTTCATTATTATTATTATTTTTACTTTCAACTACAGCTACCATTTCTAATAAGCCATGAACTAATGTCAAAGAATTAATTGATGGAGAGATATTGGTGGCCTTATCGTGCTGTACTACAAATTGTGTCATTCTATTTTGAATGATATCTGTTAAAGAGTTGTCTATATCTTCAGGACTATAGGCACTGTTTAATAAAATATCTGGAACACCAAACATATCGATGACTTGTGCTGGAGTGGGTGAATGGTTGGTATCTTCTTCATCTTCATCATGTTGAGGCTCTTCATCTTCATTTTCTTGTTGTAGTTGTTGAACAATAGGCAAACCTAGGAAATGATCATGATGTGTAACATTTAAACGTTGAGTCCAATGTAAAAGATGGTCGAGGAATTTGGTGAATTCATGTTGAAGATTTGGTGGATGTTCAAATCGATCTTTTATTTCATCTAAACGATCAAACCACGAAAATGGAATAAGGGGGAGGATGGTGGTGTGGTGTGTTTGCATTGAAAAAATATAAAAGTCGAATGCAGAAACCAATAGTTTAAGAAAAATTTCTTTTTCTCGATTGTTGATTTTTGCTTCAGTTTGTAGTGTAGTTATTAGTTGATGAATGATTATTTTTGTATTTTGAGTGTCATTGTCATTGGTTGATACAACACCGGTTTGGTAATTTTTAGAGGACGTCATCATCATAAATATTTCGATTTGTCGTCTTTGATATGTTGTTGATGACCTTGATGATGTTCAATGTAGAGGAAATCTCTGTCATAAACAGATTTATTTTATGGATGACTGTGGCGAGGAGAGGAGGAGGAGGAGGTTTATCTTTTTTTAAATAGAAAAGAAAAAGATGGAAGGAAGCTAGGAGGATTTGTGAATTTGGTAGTATAAAAGTAAAAGAATGGTAGTACTCTAAAGTCTCTTTTAAAAAGTAAAATTATATAATAAATATTATATTTATGTAAATCTAGTTTGCAGTGGTGATTGTAGTTAAATAATGATTCAATTGTTTGGTTGTAACAGTGAATGAAGAGGTGGTATTTAAATAATACTCGTCATATATTTTTACTCAATTTTTTTACTTTTTTTTAAAAACAATTACTTTAAATCAAAGATCCATGGTTGATGGAACAATTCCCTAAAATTACAGTATTTTTTTGTTTCATGTACAAGATCGGTTTATTAAAGTAGTTGGTGAGAATCATTTGATTCCACATCGTAAAAGAATTGTTATATTGTTTTGTTTTGTTTTGCTTTGCTTAGCGATTTGCTAATAATTGAAATGGTTCCAAATAAATTTGACTGGTAGTACCTGCACCATTATGGTCTGGTGATCCATAGCCAAGAGATAAATCAAAGTTACCACCACTATATGGATAGTCACTGGTTTTAATTCGACATTTAATCTCGTGTTGGCTAAAAGAGGTTATTCTACAACCAAAATAATGGTCTTCATTACTTAGAGCAATCTCTATATTGTCCAATGATATTTCATTTTGAGTTCCAAAATTACCATAAAGACTTATTACTTGTGATGGTACAATTGAAATTGATGATTTTAAAATTGTTGGTACTAAAATAAAAAGAATAAAGAAAATAATTAAATTAATATAATGTAAATATTGTTATTATTATTATTATTATTTTTGTTTTGTTTTTTTACATACCAGAACAAAGAGTAATATCTTTTTCACAAAGTAATCTATTTTGTTTTGGAGTATCGTAAGCTGGGAAATAAACTTCAACAATACTACTATATTGTCCATTATGAAACTCTAAATCATAGTATCTTCCAGAATCGATATTTGGATAGCTAGGAATGGTACAATAGATACGAGTCTTTGTAAACTCGGTGATATGACAAACCATACCAGCCACTGAAATCTCGGTATCATCCATCTCTGAGAACTCTCCAACCAATTCAATTGTCTTACTACCAGCTGCCCACGGTTCCAATTGAGAGTAAACTAATTCTTTTTTTTTTTCTAAAAAAAGAAGACATAAATAGAAGAAATAAATAGATGATTAGATAAGATGTAATTATTAATAGCTATATTATATTTATATAGCTATACATACTAAGAACATTTGTTGATGGTTTAATAGGACAAGCATAAGATGAACGAATATAGCATTGATAATGACAAGTTTGAGCCGAACATTGGATATCTTCAAATTGAGGGGTATCTTTGGTTTCATCACACTCTAATGTATAGGTAGAGGTACGACCTTTTGGACACCCCTTATCACCTTCAACATTGTATTGAAATTGGATAGTCTTGTCATTAATGACTTTGGCCAATCTAGTTGATAACAATCCAGTTGGCTGAGGTGTATAGGAATGAACATCATCAAATACTTGACATGATTGTGACTGTGATGGTATTTGATCGACAGGACAATGTCTATCTACAAGACCACAAACACTAAAATGATACATATACTTCCAATATGAATCTTCTATTACATGTCTTGAATAGGTTTCTTTACCAGGTACAGTTAAATCAAATAATTTTCCTGTTCTTGTATCTTTAAATCTACACATATCATCTTGTGATTCAAATGATGAAGATGAAGAAGAGTCTGTTCTTTCTAAACTATTTAATAAACTACTACTACTACTGCTGTCACTACTACTACTACTACTTCTACTACTAATTCTAGCGTCGACGACATTGTTATTAATAAAACAAATAAAAAATAAAATATATACAATAAAAAGAGTAGTGAAATAAGAGTGTTGACGGTTGTTGTTGATGACCATTTTTTAAAAATATATATTATATGTACAAATAAATAAGTTGGTTTATAACTATATAGTTATAATTGTGTATGTATGTGAATAATGAATGAATGAATGATCATCCCTAACACATATTTAGTTGGTTTCCCCCTTGCTGCTTGCTTGGCCCCTTTATCTCTCTCTGACCACGCACACACATCTTTCACCATTATTACTAGTACTGTGTTAACAGTCTCCCTTCATAGTAGTCTTGAGAGATCATTGGTTTTGGGCTGTGACAGAGCTGACGTAGATCAACCAGCTGTGCACAAAGTGGTTTTTTTAGGCTTTGGCTTTAGGTTGTTGCTACAGTGGCATGACTGAGCTGGCTTTTGACAGCAGACGTCAGCTCTGAAGCTTTTTTTTATTTTCTTTTTATTTTTTTTGCCCCCGTCTCAGCACAACAACGGGGGCTTGTTTTGTGATCGATCGGTAAAACAAAAGCCTCTCATAAAATAAAATTAAATTAAATAATAATAATAATAATAATAATCACCAGAGTTTGAACGAAATACAAAGTAGTAGAATGATTAGAATAAATGTGATAAAATACTAGAACAAGAATAGAGTCAGACAGAGAGACACAGATAACTGAAAGGGAAAAAAATAAAATAAATGATCCGTCGTCTGGCTCTATCCTTTTGGTCAACGAAGATTTTTTTTTCTTTAGAATGAGATATTTAAATCACTTAATTGACTATAGATGATGACGATAGGTAGATAGATAGGCAAACTAGGGAGTATCTCAAAGACAAAGATAGATCAATACTGGTACCCCAAATCTAATCTAGCAACCGTCCCTCGTCTTTATTCGAATCATTCGAAGTCACTTCGAATAGACACTCATTAAAAAAAATCCGTCAACTATTTAAACCATAGGTCCTTGTCCCTCTACCCATCCATCACCACAAATCAAATATCTCACACCAGCACAAGTTAACATTTAATTTATTTTCATTACTATAACTCTCTTTTAATTACTATTATTTATTTGTATTACAATCACAAATCAAATTAACATAACAAATCATGTCAACAGCATTAATTATTATCGATGTTCAAAATGATTACTTTAAAGGTGGTAATTGGACACTTTACAATCAAGAAGGAGCATTAGAAAATGTTAAAAAGGTATTGGCTAGTTTTAGAGAAAAGAAATCTGATGGTCTCCACCATGTAGTTCACGTACAACATGTTGCTCCAGCAGGATTCCCATTCTTTGTTGAAGGTACTGAAGGTGTAAAGATCCATGCCGACGTTGCCCCAATCGATGGTGAGAAACTCATTGTCAAACGTCAAATCAACTCTTACCTCGGTACCGATCTCGAAGCTCATTTAAAGGAAAAGAAAGTTGAGAAGTTGGTCATTGTAGGTTCGATGACACACATGTGTATCGATTCTGCTACACGTGCATCTGCCGATCTTGGTTTCAAAGATATTACAGTCTTGGGTGATGCTTGTGCTTCACGTGACCTTGAATCACCATTGGACAAATCAATCATCCCAGCTCAACAAGTTCATAATGCCTATCTTTCAGCTTTAGCTTTTGCTTTTGCTAAAGTCATCCCAACCTCTACTTTTCTTCAATAAATAAATAAATATTAATTTTTCAAATTTGGCGCACTCTGTTGTTCACCACTCATCATCATCATCATTATATTATTTCTTTTGTTAACTCTTTAGATACTACTACTATTACTAATAGTAATAGCAATAGATTTTGGCCAAAAAACAATCAAAAGTAACAAAAAAGAAAGAGGAAGAGGAAGCTTTAGAGGAAGCTCTAGAGTTGGCTCTTCATGAGAAAGCAGAAGTACAAAGGCAAATAGATAAAAGAAAAGGGAAGGCAGATGATATCATATCACAATTAATCATTGATGGAGAGCTTCCAGTAGACATTAAAGGCAGAAGCCTTTTTAAAATTTTGTAGCGCTCTCAAGTACACTCCACCATCATACGATGATATTACAAAGAATCATATACCAAGATTGGCAAAAGATGTTAGACTCAAAATAGATGGTCTCATTGCAAGATGTGATTCTCTGTCTTTGACAATGGACACATGGGCCAACAACCAATCAATCAAATATCTTGGTATAACATCTCATTTTATTACCAAATATGAATTTACTATTGAATCGGTACTTCTTGGGACTTATCTTGCTGAAACTTTAATAGATTCCCCTATTCAATTGGCAAGTGTTATCACTGAATGTCTAAAAGAATACAATATTGTAAATGATAGAGTTGATGCTGTAGTTATTGAAAATAAAATCAGTCTCGTTAAAGGTATTCAAATTGCAGGGTTAAATCCTATCAGTTGCGCAGTACATACCATTCAATCATCTGTATTTGATTGTATAAATATGGTTAAAGTGGAGGAAATAACATACAATTTAATTGGTAAACCAACAACAACAAAAACAACAAAAACAAAAAAAACAAAAAAACAACAAAAACAAAAACAACAAGAGAAGAGGAGAATTTAGATACTATTGAACATATTCTTGGCAAGATTAAAAGTTTGGTTGTAAAGATTAAATCTGATAGAACATTGACAAAGAAACTCAAAACAATTATATTCAGGACAGGTGAACAACCTATACCACGACCACCATCAAATGACACCACAACTACAACTACAACAAATACTATAGATACTAATATGGATACTATAGATGCTGATATGGATACTACTAAAAATACTACTACTATGGATCCTAGAGAAGCAAAACAGTTAATGGAAGAAAAGATATTTGGAACAAGGATAGGATTTGGATTGAAATATTATTCTTCAACTCGTTGGACAAGTTTATTTAAAATGGTCGAAAGATTATATACTCTTTATTCACTTGGATCTATTCAATCATTAAAAGATTCTTCTGTTGTTTCATCAGATATTCAAATCAAGGTATGTTATATGAATGTCATAATCCAAACTTAAATAGATTCTAATTTTTTTTTTTTAATTTTAGATTATTAGTGATTATATTTCATTGATGAAACCTTTAGCAGAAGTTTCTATAATGTTAAATGATAAAGAAAATATAACCATTTCAAAGATTATTCCAATATTTAAGGCCATTACTTTTCATATTGAATCGGTTGTGCCAGGGACAGATTTAGGAAAGAAATTGAAAACAAAATTGGTTGAAAGTTTGAAAAAGAGAATTGAACAATTGCTTATAAACCCTCTTTATAATATATCAATGTTGTTTGATCCACAAACTATTAGTCTTTTCCCAAAAGATCAATTAAATCAATAATTGGCATCAACTTTATTTGATTATTATAAAAATTCAACAAATAATAATAATAATAATAATATTAATATTAATAATAATATTAATAATACAACTACGACAACTACTACAAATACTACAACTACAACTAAAAAACCTGAATATAGTATATATGATAGTTTAAATCAAGTTTTGGGATATACAAAAGTAGGAGAAGGAGAAGGAGGAGGGATAGATACCAATTATATTTTAAAAAGGATAGAATCAGAATATGCTTCACATCGAGTATCATCACAAGTTGACATTTTAAATTATTGGAAACTACGTGCCGATACATATCCTTGGGACCCACTCCCAATCATAGCAAGAAGAATACTAAGTACTCCAGCATCTTCATTTTCAAAACAATCCCTATCAAATCAACCTCCACCAACCACCTTATCAAATTTAAATTTTATAAACAACAAAATATTATCTACAATTAATCAATCACTATCTCATTCACTCAATCTAAATAATTAATAAATAGTTAATAATAAATAATTAATAACTAATAATTAATAATAATTACACCAATCAAAATCAAATCATTCATTTTAATAATTAATAATTTATTTAATTTAAATTAATCGTTTAATTTAAATTGGTTTAATAGAATTGAACATTCTTTCTATCGGAATCCCAAAGGAAATCATAGGCAGCAGCACCGGTACTGATAGAGTAACCGGTTGGAGAGGCAGAAGTTTGACCAGAGGTAGAGTCAGTGTCGTGGGATGGACCAGAAGTGAATTCAGAGGATGTGGCAGAGGTCTTGCCACCGTCGTCACTTGAACCACCAGCACTAGAACCGCCAGCACTTGAACCAGCACTATGAGTCGAACTGGCAGCGGCATGGGTAGAAGTGGCAGCAGCATGGGTAGTGGAAGAGGTAGCGGCATGGGTAGAGGTACCAGCAGAGGTGGTAGAAGTGGTGGTATGTGGAGATCCAACATATAAACCAAAGTTACCCATAACACTCTTACGAGCAACCGAGTTGTCATAGACTGCAATAGTATTGTAAGTAGTTCCCTTGGCGAGTGCAACGACGGTATTGCATGGTGTCATGTACTGAAGAATCTTCTTGGCGTCGACAACTGGAGTTGATTTACATAAAACTGTTCCTTTGGTAGCTTCAACAAAACTCAATGAAATAATACCTTGTGATGCGTATGCTTGGAATGCCATTGCGTTTACATCTAAATAGGAAATGAATATTATTAGATGATACGTTTGGTTAGGGATTGATTTGATTTGATTTGAATTACATACTTTGTGGCCATTCAACACCATGAGTAGCGGTGAAACCACCTTTTCCAGCTGGCACATTAAATGGAGCATAATTTGGTTGACAACTAGTAGCAAGACGAGTCAATGGTGTGTAGGCAGTAGAAGTAGAATATTTGATGGAATAGGTCAAGACAATATCATGTGGAGCAGCGTTGGATGTCATGACGGCAGTATCTAATGCCAATGGAGCCTTGATTTCCAAACCATAGGGAGCATTGAAATAGACTGGGTTGAGGATATTAGAAGCAGAGAATTGAGCCACCTTTTTACCGGCCAAACTAAATTCAACAGTCGACAAAAAGATAGAGTCGTGTGAGAATGGAGCATTACTAGACTTGTTCATCAAAGTAACATGAATAGCATTCAATTGGAAGGTGCTAGTTGGTAATGGTACAGATGCAACTGCTGATTTATAAACTTTTCCTTTAGCAATTTCACCTAAATCAACTGATCCTGTATAAACAGAGTCCTAAACAACAATAACAAAACAGAATAAATAAAAAAGATTATTATTTAGTATACAACATCCATTGTGTGTTTGTGTGTGTGTTTGTGTGTGACAATGGTGGGTTGAGGGTTGAGGGGGTGACTGATCATCATGTTTTAAAATATCTGATAGCATAGGGGTTGGGGGGGGTTAGGGGGTGAAGGGTTCGGGTGTGTAGACTACATACAGCTGCGAAAACAGTTGAACAACATAACAATGCAAAGCATAATAATAAAAGATTAGAGAATCTCATTCTGTGTTTATATATACAACTATCTGTTTGTGATGAGAATATAACTATGAATAACTAATACAAATAAATAGGGACAAGGAGGAGTTTCGCAGTTGAACGAGAAAGTGTTAGAGGGGTTGTTGAAAGAGGGTTGTTGCGAGACCGACGACCTTTCAACCGACCAGGATACCAAAGCTCGTAAATCTCATCCCCTACAAATCGTAAAACAGCTCATAAAAAAATATCGTGTGCCCCAAAGAGGTATTATTATCAGTGTGTCCCGATCACTGAAAAGTACTATAGTTCTCATTGTACAAGAAACTTCAAACGATCATTCATTTCTACTTTTCGAGAAGTGAGAAGTTCACAATATATATACTATATCTGACATAATAATAACAATACATCTTTGAAACATCAATCAATCTCCATCACTATGACTATTATCTTTTTTTGAGAGGAAGAGAGAAAAAATAAATGAAAAAAAAACATTTTCAAAAAAAACGAACGATTCCCATGGTTCCTCGCTCGTCTCATTACTTTTAAACAAATTATGATTAATTAATTAAAAGAAGTTTATTATATAAATATATAAATATATATATATATATTCCCTCTATCTTTAGTAGTAGAGAGATAGAGTCAACTCGCTCGAGATATATAGAGAATGTCACAAGGTGCAAAACCTTTACAAAAGAAACTATCTCAAGGTGAAAAGAAATTAACAAGAGAGGAGAGACTTGCCACTACAATCAGAGGAAAGTTGGATAAAGCAACACAACGTAAACAACTATTTGACAAGATTGTTGGTAACTCGGTGTCATCTGATAACCGTGCATTACTCAAAGCATCGTCGGCCATTGGTAAAAAAGAGACAAACAAAGAATCGATTGAACGTCAACAACTAGAGATCAAACTAAATGTCAAAGATGTCGTTCCAAAAGACAAGTATGCTCGTGACACTCCACTAGACAAAAAGAAAATAACTAAAGCCGTCTCTGACAATTGGGATGATTTCGAAGATGATGATGATTTCAAGCATCTTCTCAACAAGTCAAACAATGGTACTGGTGGAGGATTCGTAATGCCAAAAGATATTATCAATTCAATTGCAGCCGATAAAAAGGCAGCACAAAAAGAAGCAAAGGAAGAAAGAGAATTACAAGGTGCAGCAGAAGGAGACCTACCAAAAAAGAGTCGTGGACCAAAAGCACCAAAGAAAGAAGCGATCATCAAGAAACAAGAAGCTACCAAGAAAAAGTATTTCTTTTGGTCTAAAGATCAACAAGATATGGATTTCGATGAATACAATGATGATGAAGAAGTTGGTAGAAAGAAATCAATCAAACAATCGACAACAACAACAACAACAACTGGAGATCAAAATATTAAATTAGAATTTGAAAATTCAGATAGTGAAGATAGTGAAGATGAAAATACTATTCAACTTAAAGGTAATACTGGTGATATTAAAGAAATTGAAAAGCAAAAAGAGTTGGAAAAAGAAAAGAAGAATAATAATAATAATAATATTAAAGAAACAAAGAGAAAATCATCACCAGTTGAACAAAAAGAAGTGGAGGAAGAGAAACCAACAACTATCACTACTTCAACTACAACTACACCAACAACAACTGATAAAAAGGTTGTAAAGAAATTAAAACAAAATAATAATAATATTGTTGAAAATAATAATAATAATAATAATAGTAATGGTACAATTTATACAGTTAATGAAACAGTCAAGACAAAAGAAGAAATTAGAGATATTAATTTAGAAGATAAATTGGAAGGTGATCAAGACGAAGATGAAAAAATGGAGGAATCATTGGTTAAAGATGATCAAGTCGATCGATATGCATTGACAATTGATGATTTTGGTAAAACTGAAGAGGAAAATAGAGTTATTATGTTGTCTGAACAATCTGGTTTAGAAATACTTGAACAACGTATAAAAGAAGATTTAAGTAGAAAAGTTGATATTAAATATTCTGTATGTCTAAAAAAAGAAAAAAGAAAAGAAAACAAACCAAAAAAAAGAAAGTATAATAATTAATTATTTATTTTTGTTTTAGGTATTCCATGTTCAAGTTAATAGAACAGAAGAAGTTAATCAAGTTAGAGATAATTTACCAATTATGATGGAAGAACATAATATAATTGAAAAGGTTAAAGATAATGATGTAGTGATTATATGTGGTGAGACTGGTAGTGGAAAGACAACTCAAGTACCACAATTCCTCTATGAAAGTGGGTTTGGTCATCAAGAGAGTGAATATTTCCCAGGGTTGGTTGGTGTGACACAACCTAGACGTGTGGCAGCTGTATCAACAGCCAAACGTGTTGCCGAAGAATTAAACGTCGAGTTTGGTAAAGAGGTCGGTTACCAAATCCGTTACGACAAACAAATCGATGTTGAAACCAACAAGATTAAATTCATGACTGATGGTATTTTACTGCGTGAAGTTCAAGGTGACTTTTTGCTGACTAAATACAGTTGTATCATTATTGATGAAGCTCATGAACGTAATCTCAATACTGATATTTTAATTGGTTTACTTTCACGTATTGCTCCAATGCGTAAACGTATATTCCTTCAACAACAAGAAAGAAAGAAAAGATTAGAACAACAACAACAAAATGGAAAAAAGAAGAAATCAAAGAAATTGGATTCAGATATGGATCTGGATGAGATGATAGTGGATGAAAATGGAAATACAATTGAAATTAAACCATTAAAGTTAATTATTATGTCTGCTACATTGAGAGTAGAAGATTTTACAAATAATACAACTCTATTCAACTCTCCACCACCAGTTATTAATATACCAACACGTCAGTTCCCAGTAACCATCCATTTCAACAAAAAGACGGTACTTGAAGACTATGTGGACGAAGCGCATAAAAAAGTGGTCAAGATTCACAAGCGGTTGCCTGAAGGTGGTGTATTGGTGTTTGTAACCGGTCGTCAAGAAGTAGAACATCTTTGTGCAAAACTGCGTCGTACATTCCCAATGACTCGTGTCAACAAATCTTTTAAACAAGAAATGGATAAATTAGATGAACAATTTAAAGATGAAGATTTAAAAGCTGGTCCCGAGGAAAATGGTACTTCCGCCACTTCAAGTTCAACTGTTGGTATGGCATTTGGTGATGTTGATGATGTTGATACAACTCATGATGATCAAACTGAATTGGTTGATCAAAAAATCAACGAACAAGTAGAAAATGAAAACCATGAAAATGGAAAAGATGGAAATCAAGAAGGATCAGAAAGTAAACTATTAAAATTACTTCGAGGACAACAACAACAAAAGGATGATTTAGAGGATATGGAAATATTATCAGATGATGAATTTGATGATGATGATGAAGATGAACAAATGGAAAGAGATAGTGATGAAGAAGGAATGGATAGTGATGAAGAAAGAGCAATTGCAGATATAAAGAAAAAAGAAGAGAAACCTCAAAGACCATTATACGTATTACCATTATACTCGAATCTACCAACATCAAGACAAATGCGTGTATTCCAAGAACCACCAAAAGGTAGTAGATTGGTTGTGGTTGCAACCAATATTGCTGAAACTTCATTGACCATTCCAAATATCAAGTATGTAGTGGACTGTGGACGTGTAAAGGGACGTTTCTATAACAAGGAGAGTGGTGTGTCGAGTTTCGACGTGACATGGACGAGCAAGGCTTCGGCTGATCAACGTGCAGGTCGTGCTGGTCGTACCGGTCCAGGTCACTGCTACCGTATCTACTCTAGTGCAGTGTATGCCAACTATTTCGAACAATTCTCTAAGCCTGAAATCTTGATGGTACCAATCGACTCGATGGTACTACAAATGAAGAGTATGGGTATTGAAAATGTTGAAAAGTTCCCATTCCCAACACCACCAGAGCAAGTCTCTCTCAAAACAGCGGTTCGTACATTGGTCTATCTCGGTGCTCTCGAGAAAGAAACCAATCACGTTACATCGATTGGTGACCAAATGTCCAAGTTCCCAGTATCACCAAGATTCGCTAGAATGATCATGCTTGGTCAACAACATGGTTGTCTACCATTTGTTATTGCCATCGTCGCTATTCTAACAGTCAAAAATCCATTCATGGTTGCTGATGATGTTGATGATGAAGACGAAGAAAATGGTGGTAGTAATGGTGCATCAAAACTACCAGAATTAATGTTAACATTGGAACAACAAGAAGAAGAAGAAAGTAAAGTACAACAAAGACTACAAGAGGAAAAAGAAAAAGAAGAGAAAAAGAAAAAGACACAGAGAATTCGAAATAGTTATCGTAAATGGGTGCACAAGGAAAGTGACGTGTTGACAGTACTAAAGGTAGTAGGAGCATATGATTTCCAAATGAAAAAGAATCGTCATTTGGTAGAACAATTTTGTCAAGATCAATTCCTAAATTCCAAATCAATGACTGAAATTTATAAATTGCGTATGCAATTAACTGAAATCATAAATGGTATTTTGGATAGTAGTAGTAGTAATGATGACAGTGATAGTGACAATTCTAAATTGTTTATTGATACAAGACAACCATTACGTCCACCAACTTCAAATCAAGAATTATATTTGAAACAAGTTATTACAGCTGGATTGATTGATCAAATTGCACGTGTCAATCAATCAAGTCTTGCAAGTGGTGAAAGTGGAAAGTTTAATTTGGTTGAATACACATCTTGTATTTCTCCACAACCAATCTACCTACATCCACTTTCCAACTTGGCCAAATCATCTCCAGAGTTTGTAGTATGTGTCGATATTATCGAAACCAAACGTCCCTACATGAAGATGGTAACAGAAATCAATCCATGTTGGTTACCAATCCTTGGTCGTGCCATGTGTGCTGAATTCAAACCACTCGAACAACCAACACCCAAATACTCTGTCAAACGTGACAAGGTTATTTGTTATGTCAAACCATCGTTTGGTCATCACAGTTGGGAAATGCCACTCCTCGCAATAGATCATCCTAATCTACCTGAAAGTTGTAAATATTTTGCAAAAGCTTTATTAGATGGTGTTGTAATGTCAAATCTTTTATATTTAGTTGTAAGTTTTAAAAAAAAAAAAGAAATTATTTATTTATTTATTTATTAATATAATCTTTTTCTTTTTTGATTTAGCCTTTTTTAAATACAAGATCAAATATATTTATATTACCAAATACACAATCAAAGGTATTCAATTTATTAACAAAATTGAAATCAAAATCAATTAATAACAAGTTGGATTTAATTCGAGTTTGGAAAGATGAACCATCATTTTTGTTAAAAGAATATTTACCTTGGATTGATGATGCAGTTCATCAATTGGTTAAATCAATGTGGCCACCACTTGATACAACTCCAGTTCCAAAAATATTAAAACAATCAATGCAAGATGCCTCAAAAGAAGTTCCAATTGAATATTTAAATGATAATGATGATAATTATTTACAATCTTAAATACAAATAATTAAATAAATAATTTATTCTAAATAATTATTAAATTTTAAAAAATAAAAGATATAGGGAAATTGAATCTTGTATAAAATTTGATGTTGTAAATGAATTTGTAAATCTTGTTTTGTTATTAGATTTAAATTAAATCCAATATCTAATAATAGTTTTAAACATGGTAGGGAACCAGACTGAATTGACTCTTTTAGAGAATAATTAAAAAATGTTGGTTTAGAGTTGGTTGAAATGATAAATAACATGATGAATGGAGAATTGACTTTGATTGCCAATTTTACATGTTGTTCTGTAAATTGAAATAAACTTGGATATCGTCTACCAATATGTATAATAAATAGTAATTGACTATTTAAATAGTCAAATGACAGAATCAAATGAATCCAAATGAACCGTTTTCTTTAAAAGTCTATCAATCTTTTTAATTTCACCTCTTGATGCTACTTGATTCCATACTGATTCATTATATTGAAACTTAAAATTATTCTTATTAATTTGATTTTGATTGATAATAAATTGTTTAATTAAAAGATGAAGAGGTTTAAATTGTCTATTGTAACATTCTGATAATAATTCTACTAGGTTTAATGCAGTTGGATGGAATTTTGATTGTTGGTTTAAAAGATAATCGACTATTTCAATTTGATTGGTGGTGGTTGAAGTTTGTAATTGAAATAGGTAATACTGTGAGATATGAGGATTTATCTTTGATTCTTTGTAAAATTGTTTCATCAATTCAAAACTCTCTGGTGTATCTTCATAAAGATAGAAAATTGTACCAACTTGGACCATTAGAGACAAAAGTTTTGAATCGATTTTAGCATTTTTGGTTGCATAGGTTGAAAGTTGAAGAGTTGTAGTATGATGAGATCCTTCTACTGTAAGCATACGAGCTAAATTATAATTATTATATAATCTTATATAATTCATAATAATGGGATTGGTATCTCGATTAAATAATGTTGGATAGCGTTGAAAAAGAAATTCTAGAATACCATCATTTCTTTCTCTTGAAATACTTTCAAATATCTTGTTGTCAATCACTCCAATATTATGTTGTTTAATATATTTCATGATCGATAATGATTCTTCAACATTTCCATTACAAGGTTCAAATACATTATTATTATTATTACTATTGTTTTTGAATAATCCTAAAGAGTGTGCTGATTTGACTTGTTCCAAACTACCACGATCCAATATAAATTTTGAGCTATAACCTCTACTTCTTACCATATCCATGATAAAGCTTAATTGGTTTTCCTTTTTGATACATATCTTTAATGCATGTGGCATTAGTGGTCGTAGTGTGGGGGTACCACATTGAAAAAGCAAACACACCTCGGTTATAAAAAAGTACCAATATGATTGTTTCGATGATAGTTTATAGAGTGTATCAAAGTAATTTCGACGACAATTATATGGATCTGTTTCCAAGATACTTTTACTCTTTTCCACTGGATTTTGTCGGTTGGTGTCTATTAAATCTCGGGCAATAGAGTTTGCATGATCGACCAAGCTTTCTGTTCCTTGGGCAATGAGTTGCAATACTTGTTTGAAAAATTCCATGTGATGGTCAAGATCCATATCTTTCGACGTCGGGCCATTTATAATGAACGAGTGTACCCATTTTACAAAATCATTGTATGGATTGGTGACAGAGTAGCCATGAGCCTCTCTCAACAACTTTATATCTTGTAGATGTAAAAGATGTGGGAAAAGGTCAAGTTTGATACGACCACGATTCCTTTCGGCAATAGTAATAAATATTCTTACCATCTTTATAAAATCCTCTCTATTTTCTATTATATGGTTGGGTTGTATTGATACGATGGGTGACTCTCCCATTTTGAAATTAATCTTTTCCAATAAATATAATGACAATTCAGAATGCATTCCTTCCATTGCTATTCGAATACACTCTGGAATATCATATATTATGTTGGTTGGAACGGTATTATCAACCAATATTTTAAACATTTTTAAATTTCCTTTACTTGCTGCCATTTTAATACAATCCAAATGACCAAACCATTCAGGTTTCTTTTCAAACAGATATTTAAATAATTGTATGTCTCCACCAAATGAACATATATCTACCGTTGTTTCATAATCCCATTTTAAATAAAGATCACTAAATATATAATCTTTTTTAATTGTAAATGAATTTAAAGTTGATGAAGATGAAGATGAAGATGAAGAGGATGAAGTATTATTATTATTATTATTATTAATGAATTGATTTAATTCATTTTCTTCTCTTTCAATTCTTTCTTTTAATAGATTGATATGACCACCTCTTAGATACCAACCAATCTTGTTTGGTAATTGATCAATCTTGTATCTCATTAAACCATCTTCATTATCTTTCTTTTTGACCGATGATATAATCCTTTTAAACCATCTCAAATTAATTAATACATAATACACTTTTAATCACTCTATCATGTCTTTGTTTACGATCAACACATTCATTATTACAATAATTCTAAAAAAAAAAAAAGATAATAAATTAATAAATTAAATATATTTAGAGAGAGTGTTGATCGAGGATTGTTTTTATTAAGAGTATAAAACTCCTTTTTCTTTACCATTATCTCTCTCTTTTAAAGAACTAATATATAATAATAGATATCCTTTCATAACACATGTAACTATAATAAAAAAAAAAAAAAAAAAAAAGGAAGTGCCCACTAAAGCACACATATATTACATTAGTCACTCGAAATAATTATCAAAAGAAACAGATAATATAATATATATTCATCGTCAATAAAGAATAATGAGATAAAGATGATACAAGGCTAGGTAAATATCTTAAAAGAACCAAAGAAGACTTGCAAAGATCACCTATAGACAAAAAGAGAGAGACTAATTTTAGGCTTTTCCCTCCTACCCAGTGTACAAACACAAACAAAGACAGTTAGTAATTATCTATCAAAGAAGATCTTTAAATTAGAAACTGTTAGAAAAGAGAGAGTGTACAATATATTGATCTTCTTGTTTTGGGCAAACATTGGACAATCGATAAAGTGTAAAAGTAGATAAATCCCACCCACCCTCATTTCAACCATCTTGAAACATACAAACAATCGTGGAATATGTCCAATCAAGAGACCATGACCGTGACGGCTGTTGTTGTTATTGGTTGAACAAAAAACGATGGTTCTAAACCTTGTGGCGTTGTGATTGTCATCTTAAAAAAGGAGATTTGCAAAATAATATGACAGACACGACATCACACCCCCCCCCCCACCCACTCTATGCACAGTGTATCGTCAATGTCATCATGTCAAGCGCAACAGAGAGAACAAGTTCACCTTGATATTATTGGAATTCATGTCATCAGTGTGCTGTGAGCTGACCCTCCACAAACAAACTACGTATCCTCCAACCTGATGACACAAGAAACGTATTCTCAATACCTAATTTCTCATTTTTTGTCTATAAATATTGGGACCTTTTAGAAACAATAATTCATTCATTCACTCAAACACTTATCCAACAAACCAAACAAATATTTAATAATATTTATTGTATCATTACTGTTGTATTATCTTTTTTTTTTTTTTTAAAATATTTTTATTTCTATCACAATCATTCTATCTGTATCACTACACTAACTACTATATTATATAATAATTAATCATCACTATCTCTCTCTCTCTCTCTATTTTAAATCTATTTAATTATCTTTCTTTTATTTAATCATGAAATTATTATTATTATTATTTTCAATTATATTTGTAATGGGAGTAAAATCTCAAACAACATTACCAAATGTAGCCAATTCATTTTTAGGTGCCAATGACACTGGTATTTCACATTTCCCATCATTTTTGGGATTAAAGATGCATATTCGTTGTTATGCCAATGTAACATCTGCCAATCAAAAGGGACCTATTGCCTTGTTTGACTCTGGTCTTCCATTCTTTTCGACTGCTTGGGTGTCTGTCATTCCATCGGTCTTGGAAAACATGCCAGCTTGGAACATTAGCAAAGCTTGCTTTATGGACCGTTATGGTATGGGATGGTCTGATGCTTCTCCATTCCCAATCACCACTCAAGACTATGCCATGCGTCTCCGTGGGTCACTCCAAGTCGCTGGTTTGACTGGAAAGTATGTCCTCGTCGGTTGGTCATGGGGATCGATCTTTGTCCAAACCTACTCTCTCGCCTATCCCAAGGATGTCGTCGGTATTTTGACAGTCGATGGAACTGACTCTCAATGGGGATTCATCCACGCCAACCAACAAGCCGTCATTGGTTTAACCAACGTCTTCTCTGGCTACATGAATATGAATAGTATGGGCACTCTTGAAGCTTTGTCCGAGACTGGTGCCGTCCCACTTGGTCATGGTTGGTTCAATAGTGGCTCTGCTTATTTCCCAGATTGTGCAGTCAAAGCTACCCAAGACATCTTTTTGACCAACAAGAATCTCAGAGCCTCTATCCAAGAGTACAACATCATGGTGCTCTCATCTGCCATGCTCAACTTTACCTATACTCTCAAGGGTGACACTCTCAAGGACTTGCCATACGTCAACCTCTTTGCTAGCCACGACCAAGACTGGATCAATCGTCAAACCTACATGGCTTCACTCTCGTCCAACTCTATGACCCTTCCAGTGGTTCCAGCCAACCATTTCGTACCATTTGTAAATCCAGATGCCATTGTCTCTGCTCTTGCTGCTCTCTCTAATAAGATCAAAACCAATCCTGCAAAGATTTGGGGTCGTGGATTATTCTAAATCAATCAAACAAACATGTAACATTAAATTAAATAACAACAACAACAACAACAACAACCCAACCAAACCGATCATGATATATTATAGATAAAATCCAAATTCACAATTGAAATCAATCATTAAAATGATTCATACACAATCACATATTAGTTTTCAAAATTAATTAATTAAACTAATCATCATTGAATAAAGAAAATAAAATAAATACATTTTATTTTTTGTTTTAATATTTACAAAAAAACACGTGCCTTCAAATTTTATCAGGGGCACATGCTGCTTACCAGAACTATAGTATGGACACTGGCAAGTCTTAATTCGGATATGTAAGTCGATTGGAGAGATCCATAAAAATATTTTCATCTCGTGATCTTTGATTTAATATATATATATATAATTTACTTTTGATCCTTTAGGTAATCGGTGAGGGAAGCATACACTTCCCTTAAGTCAACTCTTTTTGTTTTGTTTCCAAGGAAAATAATTACTTGTGAAATTTCCGTCTTTAAGTTTTCTAATATTTCTAAAACTGGTTCTTCGGAACTGTTATTATTATTATAATTATTTTGATTATTATTATTATTATTATTATTATTATTTGATGATGAGGTCGTTAAACTATCATCTACAAGAACGATGGACTGGATTACACCATGGACGAATTCGATGATATCAATAGATGGAGGTTTATTGGAAGCCTCATTGTATTGAACCTCAAAACCCCCACCCTTTTGGTTTGTTTGTCAAATTCATATCCAAAAACTGGAAAGAACTAACATCATCATATCAATTGTTAGTAGGTAGGTAGGTCAGCACTTGAAAATACAATTCCTTTCATTCTTTGTACAATTGAATCACTATCTGTCTTTTTTTTTTTTTTTTTTTTTTCTATCGTTGTAGGTGATTTAACAAAAGTATCATATATCTTAAACTCTATACTTACTTAGTAGCAACATCGATGACACATAATTAATTGATCAAAATACCGTTGACAGACTGAAGTGGGGATGTTGACGAAGAATATACTACCCCGTCGTCAACATCCCCACTTCTTCCTCCACACCACAGACACCATCGACCGAGTAGCGGCCAACCCACCAATTCAATGTCAACAAAACACCAAGAAATACAATGGTGGTGGTGATCACGACTCGAGAAACAAGGGACAAGTGAGATGTCGACAATTGTTGTGTTTTGTTAATAAAAAAAGGGGTGTGGGTCGTCGTGACGTTAGCCTACTCGAATTGGGAAAAAAGGATTGCTCCTCATTTGTTATTTATTTTTAAATTAATTGTTGTAGAGATTGATATAGATCTCGTAAATCGATAGCGCCATTGGTTTGGCAGACTTGCATAAATCTAACAACTTGTGAAACTTCCTTTCTATAGAGTTGAATTTTCAATTTCTTATTATGATTATTATTATTATTATTATTGATTATCTTATTATTATTGTTATAATAGTTGTTATGATTGATTTTTTCGTAATTATTATGATTATTATATATATTGGTATGATGTACATTATTATTTTTAATATCAGAGAATAGGTCGTCACCAAAATATTCTTGTAGATAATCAAATACTTGATTTATAACTTGCATAGTTGGTGGCTTGCTAGTTTCATCATTGTTTATGATGACCAGTTTATAAAGATCTCCACATACTATCTTATGGTTTAATATATTTTCCAATGGACCACACATAAAGGTTGGATCACAAGAGAATGGAGCAAACCAAGGATAATTACCCATGGTTAATGCCATATTTATGATAACATTCTCGCCTTCCTCCTCCTCTTCAACTTGTTGTTGTTGCTGTTGTTGTTGTATAGCTAAATGATTTATAAAACCGTGGTAGGCTATTCCATGATAATTTTCTTCTTCTTCCTCAACGGCTAGTTGTTGGAAAGCCAAATGGTTGATAAAGGAGGGCAGTCCTCCGTGAACCACTAGCTCCTGTTGGTCTTGATCTTCTCCAACGGGCGCGCTGACTGTGGCATCAAACAAACGTGTCTCCTTTTCAAATGTAGAGTTGACGGCTGGCGTAAAGGTGAATTGGTGTCGGGCGCTTTCGAGTGTTTCCATCCACTCGATTTCCAGAGACTGATTATTGTCTTGTGAGATGATCATATGACCAACCTCGACTGCAAGTGTGAGGATTATTTGTATGTGTTGTGGTTGGAGGAGCTGGAAAAGGTGAGGTGTTGTTAAGATTTCAAAGATTAGAAGATCCATAATGTCTGTGTAAAGATCTACATCAGTTTGCGTTATGTCATCTCTCATCAAGAATTGTTGATAACCTGAGAACATGATGAAACCATCAAGCATATTATGCCAAAAATCATCATCATCATTAATATTATTATTGTTATTTTGATTATTATTATGATTTATAATATTGTTGTTGTCGTTGTTGATTATCCAAATAATGATATCATTATAAATAGATTGGTGGCTCATTATTATTATTATTATTATTATTATAAATAGTTATAAAGTGAAAATGATTTATTGATAATAGATTTAAAATGTTTATTTACATATACGTATATAATATAAAGATAGTTGACAATTAAAAATGATTCTAATTGTTGATTCCAAAAATCTGGATTTATAAAAGTATTATTCTGTTGTTGAATATCTACTACTCTGCTTCCTATTGTTTTGATGTCATCATAATATAAACGAATTTCTCTAGAGATTGTTTTGAGTATAATACGCGTATCAATCCGATTTTCAAAAAAAATTAAAGGCTCTTTCAAATGCAGAGTTGACGGCTGGCGTAAAGGTGAATTGGTTTTGGGCTCTTTTGAGAGATTCCATCCACTTGATAATATTATTCAGAGACTGACATTTGTCTTTTGAGATGATAATCTGACCAACCTCGACCACAAGTGTGAGGATTATTGGTATGTGTTGTAAATAGTGTGGTGTTGAGATTCTGAATAGAAGATCCATAATGTCTGTGTAAAGATCTACATCAGTTTTCGCTATGTCATCTGTCATCATGAATTGTTGATAACCTGAGATCTTGATGAAACGATAGAGCTGATTATGCCAAAAATCGTCATCATCATCATCATTATTATTATTATTGTTGTTATTTTGATTATTATTATTGTTATTTTGATTATTATTATTATTATTGTTGTTGTTGTTGTCCACCCAACCAATGATATCATTATAAATAGATTGATGATTCATTATTATTATTATTATTATTATTATTATTATTATTATTATTATTATTATTATTATTATTATTATTATTATTTTATTTACAATATAAATAGATATATAGCGAAAATGATTGTTTATTTACATATATACATAAAAAAATCTTAAATAGATATAGATATATAGAAATAGTTAAACGCTAAACGACCGAACTTGTTCGTATAGAGTGATGTATAATTATATTTTTTGTGTAAATGAATAATCAATACAATATTATTACTACATGTTTGTTGTTGTGGTACAATAAATAAATAAATAAATAAATGAACGAGTTTTTTTGATGGCATTGTGTGAAGTTAAAAGTTAGATTTGATAATTCACACACTTCTATTTCTTTTTTGTTTTTAAAGATTTATTTATTTTCATTGTACAATATTGTATAAAGTCACATCTAAACAAATTCTCTGAGACATCTTTTGTACTAGAAACTCTAGACTAGACTAGTATCCATATTTATTTAATTTAGTAAAAAGAATGAAAATGATGAGTGTGTATGTGTGTGTGTTGGTTTGTTCTCCGTGGTTCTGGTAATTTATCCCAAATGTGTCTCGATTGCATGGCAAACCGATCTGAGGTTTACAGTTCCTCTAGTTTCAGCGTGTTGCACACCGAGGAATCTGACAACTTGTGAAAGTTCCTTTTTGAAATAGGGTTGGTGGAAAAAATGTATATGATTATTATTATTATTATATTTGTTATTACTTATTAGTGATTGTAAAATATTGAGTACTTTGTTGATTTCTTGTGTGGTTGGTTGTTGATTGGCTGAGTTGTCATCTTCAATGATCGAACTGTAAAGCTCGGCCGTTGAAACGAGTGGTTGGTTTGGTTGATTGTCTTGGCCAATAGTGACACTGGCCGTGTCATGGACATCTGACAAGTTCCAAACCTCCCTTAGATAGGTTGGACCGGGTGCGGGGTTGGTTGCATTCCAATCTTCTTCTATTACTATGAATTCAATGTCATCGATAGTTTCAACTTGATGTACGATCGTGGTGGTGGTGGTGGTGGGATTGTCCGTTGCCTCTTGTTGTTGTTGTTGTTGTTGTTGTTGTTGTTGTTGTTGGCCGAAAAGAGTATTTACAATGGCCTGAGGTGGGCGGAATACCAGTTGTTGATCTTCTTCCATATGGAAATCTTCTTGACCTGAGAAGTCGTCAACGGCTTTAGCATCAACATGATCTTGTTCCAAAGAGTCGATGGTATTAGCATTAGCATTAGCATGCGCTTGTTCCAAAGAGTCGATGGTATTAGCATCGGTACTCCTTTCCCATTCCAGATACGTAATGGCATGGTGGAACAGTGATTGGACCTGAGGACGGGTGAATTGTTTTACTTGGCACGACAATAGGATAGATAACCATAGTCTATGTGGTGGTAGTGGTGGTGGCGCTTCAGAGTTTAAAGAACTGGTGTAATAAATGTTGAAAGTTTCAATTAGAAACTGTAAAATTTTAATCATAATGTTGTCATTGTTGTTGATGAAAGTGTGTTGGTATGATATTGTGTCAATTAATAGTTGTGAAATTGAAATGATAGTGTCAATATCACTATTGTTTAAATTATTTTTAGTTTGCTGAATTTGGTTGTTAAATTGTTGGAATTGATGATTCCAAAAATCTTCACTATTATTATTATTATTTACATTGATTGTTGGTCCATTCTCTTTACATTTATTATTGTGGAAAGAGAGGATATTGTCATAAATAGTTTTGAAAGCCATTCAAGAGTGTCATTGCCACCAAAAATGTACGAAAAAAAAAGAAATAAAGAAAATAATTTGTACAAGTGAAAAATAATATATAAATATAAATATTATTGGTTGTGGCGAGATATATATAATATATAGGTATAGTTATCAAAGAGGAAATAAATGATAAAGTTTAAAGGTTTTTTTTTTAAAATCTATAGTATAATGGTAGTATAGAAGTTTGGATCAAACAAGTCGAGTGAGGAAGAGAAGAGAGAAAAAATGAGCAGATAATTTCAACGATGAAAAAATATATATAAATATATATAAATAAATAATGTGATGTGATGGATGGGGGGTAGATAGTTATATTATTCGTGTGTGTGTGTGTGGGAAATTGTGGTAATGGTAGTGTAAAAAAAATATAAATATTAATTGATATGATATGAATATGAATATGGTTAGGTGCACCGTAAATAATGTAGTGGAATGTGTGGTACATTGATGTTATTGGTGGTGAGGGTAATGGATGGAATGAAAAAATGTGATTTTCGTTTTGTTCTTTTTTTTTTATGGTATATCGGTCTTGATGTTGCGGTGTTGATGTTGATGTTGTGGTGTTGATTTGATGTTGGTGAAGTGTGTGAGGTATGGTGGGTAAATAATTTATTTTAATCATCATGTATGCCTGAATTAATCATTCCCACCACTATGGTTGATATGTGTTTGAAGATGAGAGTATACCACTCTAAGATCTACTTGATTATGTACAGTCGGACGAATACCCAATAGTCTGCAGGCTTGTAAGATTCGGTACTTCTTGGGCTTTTCAGATCTGGATACCACATTTTCGATATTGGTTTTGGTTTCCAATAATTCCTCGAGGGTTGGTACAGGGACCGGCAAGAAGCGAGAATTCACAAAGGTCGTGATGTGCGCGCCAACTTGAATGCCTTGGTTTGGTTCGGATTGTGGCTGGTTGTAATTATTTTCACCAAACTCATGTAGCACAAGACTAGTCGATAGACTAATTGGTACAACTAGAGCAGCAGGGTCAACTGGTGGTGTCATCATCTGATGAGGGTCTGGAGCATGATAAGCTGCTGCTGCTGGATCCAGTGTATTGGCACTAGACACATTGAAAACGTAATGAGCGTTGTTTTTGTTTTTGTTGTTGTTGTTGTTGTTGTCGCTGGTTTTCCAATACAAGAGAGAGGAAAGTGCGAGTTTGTAGGCCGAGGCAACCACACGAGTAGAATCGTCTTCTAGGTAGGTGTCTTTGGCTCTTTCCAATTCATCGAGCCAGTGTGATCCAAGCAGACGGGTAGCAAAGTGATGATGGCCATGATCGTGATGGTTGTTGTAGATGTCTTGCCACCGTTGACATTGAGTAATCATAATGTATAGCAGATTGAGTGCAACTCTTCTATCTTGCATCATTTTTGGTACCTTTAGTGAAACAATCTTAATCAAATGGTTGACTGTCTCTGCCAGATATTCACCGACACGACCAAAACTGTGATAATAGAGTTCTTTTTCAAGATCAATAACACATGCCATACTGTAAGCATTGCGCCAATCGATTTGAGATCGGTCACGACGATGATCTTTAACTGCTTTTGCTACGCCCTCTACTAATCCATTTGTATTTGTGTTTGTATTATTCATCTACAAAATAAATAATAAATAATAAATAAAAGTAAAAGGATCATATTTTAGTTATTTCTATTCTTTTTACTATTAATCATGAAAATATTATACCTTTTACTTTACTTTTTAGTTTTACTGCTATCTACTATCTATCTATTACTACTCTATTTAGAGGGTGGGTTACTTTAAAAAATAAAATAAAATATGTAATACATATAAAACGAAAAAGTTTATATAAATATATGTATGTAGTACTAAACAATACAACTAGTGATCATGTGATGATCACAAAGAGGCGCTGTGAAATTAAAATTAATTTAATTTAAAAATACTTTTTTTTTTTTTTTTTTTTTTTTTGAAAATCTATTTTTATTGGTTTGGACCAACTATATATCTATGATTTCAATCCACTAGAAACCATAGATATATTGTCTTAATCTAGTACAGAATTGTACTAGATTGATTATGACCAAGTTTTGTCCAATGTGAACCGGTCTTACTCCCAAGAAAGCAATGGCGGACACAAAATCTCTCATGGCAATCGGTCTAGCAATCTCTTCATCACCAAGGTTATCCGCGGGTATACTATTAATGATCCGTAACAACTCTTCCAAACTTATATGATTATCTACCATTTCTTCCATTCCAAGTTCTACCAATCCGAATAGAGTCCAAAGTCTCAACCTGCTCGGAGGATCATTTGGTAAAGTTTGGGTGGTTTCATCTATTATAACAGATAGTCCTTCAAATGGTAGTGGCTCATGTTGTTGTTGGTCTTGTTGATCTTGTTGTTGTGGAGGAGGTGGTGGTAGGGCTGGTGGTGGTGGTTGATGCCCATCTGCAGTGTAATCGGTATCCATCTTTTTTGCTCCTTTTTCTTTGTACAATATTACTAATATTACTATTACTATTTATTACTATTATTATTATTAATTATCTTTTATTTCTTTTCCTTTTTTTTTTTTTGTTTACTGTTGTCTGGTTTCTGCTGGATCGATGGATGGATGAATACCAATTATTGCTGCCATATACTTAAAAACTAGGGAAAAGAAATAAAGATAATTGATAGTTATAATACACTATGGCTTCATTTCTATGTATGACCGTTCTACAAAGCCTGCCAAGCTATTTGAAGTTTGTTATTTGCTTTTTTTTTTTGGTTTAGACTTAAAAAATTAAAATTGTTGATCCAAAATTTTCACGAATACCAAAAGAGAGAAGCAATGTAGAATTTTTTAGACTCTTCTCAAAATCAACTCATTAATATAATATATTAATTAAACTTGAATACCATGGTATCGGAGATATAGCCATGTTGATCATTTTAATAATGATGATGAAAGGTATCGCAATTCTTTCATCATCTCTCTCTCTCTTTGTTGATATTGCTTGATATATTGATAACCGTTACTCTACCATTCTAAAAATAAATTAATTGGTCAATATGACTATACTTTCTTTGATTCTTTACTACATACATATGATCAAGATACTATTTTTACTAGACCATCATTCGTTCTTTAAAAGTTTGTTTTTTATAGATGTTTAGGTAGGTTTGTTGATGAACAAGTCGATCAAACGGTTTGAAAATAATTGTATCTGTTTGAAATGAGAGGTCTCTACTGAGAACAATGGCTTGTCACAAAACTGTGACCTGGTCTAAAAATTTTTATTTTGTCGTTAAATTTTCCATGGTCAAAGGGGTTTGAGGAGGAGATCCCCTTCTGATCAGACCATGAAAACTTTGAGATGGACTTTTGGGTTTTTGAACGAAAAATGGTGACGTAAACTGAGGTCTGGTAGTGGGATTTTCAGCGCCTGATTATTTTCTCGACTTGTCTTATCAGAGATCTCGATCGACCGATCAAAAAATATTGACAAATTTAATTTAATTTTTTTCGTCTCTCTTTCCCTCTCTCTCTAGTATTACTGTTTCACTCTATTCTACACCTGCTTTGTGATCCCTTTTACTTTTCTTTCGATCTATTCCTCGACTCCCTCCTTTTTCTATATAATAATTTGTTATATATATATATAAATACAGAAAACGGATCCAACACAGCAAACAAATAATATTAGTAAAAAGTAACTTTTAGTTTGTGTATAATTTAAAATTGATTGTAGTATTAGTTAAAAAGTAGAAAAAAAGATAATAATAGAATTCCAAAAATAAATATAAATATATCATTGTATTTTAGAGTTTGAAAAAACAAAAGGTAAGATAAGATCAAAGCTTCTCAAAGTTTTATAACAATCAAAATTTCATCATCATCATGTGACGCAACCAACACAACTGCGCAATTGAGTAAAAACAGTAAACTTTCGAATCATCCTCCCTCACCATTGTGTGTTGTGGTAGAATAGTGATCGAAACAACCCGTTCACCACTCACTCACATCACTTTCTAAAGATCGATCACCTACACCCTCTCTTTGTGTTCAATATTCCCACACTCTCAAGAATTATTTGTGTTTTGTTTGTTATGGTGAGGGGTAAGAAGAACAAGAAGAAAAAAAGTATTGGATACCACTCTGCCAACTCTCTTACCTTTGTGTGTGTATCTCACCTTGTATTGATTCATCGTCACTTTTCACCAGGAAAACAATAGCAGCAGCATCATCATCAACAGCAACAGTATCAACCATTCAACCTATCCTAACCCCCAAACTAAAGGCGAACGTCATCTAGATTTCCAACTCTGTCCTTCATTTTTTTTGTTTTAATATTAAACGACGACGACGACCAAGACAAAGAGTTAATTTATACAGAGAGTTAACATCAATCCATCAATCCATCCAAAATCCATCTAATCCATTCAATAAATAAATAATAATAATAATAATTAATCCATTCCATTCACTACTTTTTCATCATTACAACAAACAAAAAAAAGAGAGTTATATATATAAATTATAATAATTAAAGAGAGAGAGGTATAAAAAACTTAAACTTTAACTAAAAAGTCAAAAACTGTTGCAGACGTTGGATCACTTTAGTTTTTATCAGGTGATATTTTGTATTTCTTTTTTTTTTCTTCTGTATACGATTGTTACAAACAGTGAAAGTGAAATGAATTAACGAATTTGGATTTATTGTTTAGATCTAATACACTCACTCTCTCTCACTATCTCACTCACAAGAGTAAAACACACCAGACAAACAAACAAACACAACACACAAAACAGAATTTCTAACCAAGAGTAATATTGGACATTTACATTATTATTTACAACATATTGTTTACATTGTTTTTAATATATTATTAATTGTACGTTGATGTTTGTTTGTTTTTCCCCGTAATCAATCAATATCATCAATACATTTATACATATTTTTTTTTATACATAATATTAACCATCCACCTTTTTTTTTTTAATCCTATCTATTATAGAATTCAAATTCAAATTCAAATTCAATTATTATAATAATCTAAATAACCCATATATATATATATATCAATATATTAATTATAAATATAAAGAGAGAGATGTCATCGGAAATTGATTTTAAAACTCAATTGGCAGATAGATTGAAAAAGAGATCAAGTTGTGATACTTTTGAACCTCCATCTTCACAATCATCGATTCCAACACCACAACCAGTATATAAACAATCATTGTCACCATCGATGGGACGAGCCCATCCACCTCCTCCTCCACCTACCAATACCACCACCTCTAATAATCATAGCGCATCAACATCACCCAATTTTATCTCACCACCAGCCTCTCCCAAGATTGGTGGAGCCAACAATAATGTAAATAGTTCAAATAGTATCATACCACCAAGACCACCTGTTCCCGAAAGAAAGTTGGGTATACCACCCAACATGAATGCAACTGGAAAATCAAACTCACTCGGATCATTACCAAATACACCTAATAGCGCATCATCTGGAGGACCTCGTTTATCTGGTCCCGTTCACAGTACTGGAAATCTTCCAACTTTTCCTCAACAACAGCAACAACAAACTTCTCAATCAACAGTCCCATCACCTCCACCACCACGCCAACAATCTGTTATTTTTAATGCACCACCTCTTATCAATATAAATAATACCTCAAATACTTCAAATACTGGACGTCCATTACCACCTCCAAGAAGTGATAGTGTTGGACCAACTACCCATAAATCTCCTCCAATGACTCGTCAATTACCTCCCAACCCCAATCCCAATGTATCTAATAATAATAATAATAATAACTTACCACCTCCACCACCTCCAGCATCATCATCATCTGTTAATATAACATTACCACCTCCACCACCACCAGCATTTATGACTCAACAATTACCTCCACCACCTCCACCAACCATTTCAGTTCAGGGTCATCCACAAAATATGCCACCACCTCCAACATTTAAAACACCAATATCTCCAATAATTGCACCATCCCCACCACCAGTGATACCAGGTCAATTATTACCACCAAGATCATTCAAGATGAGTCCACAACATGCAAGAGGTGGATCATTGGATTCCAAACAAATGGCGATTGTACAAGGTCAAATGCAAAGAGGACAGGGCCAAGAAGCATCATCATCATCTTCGTCGCCAATGCCAATGGGGTCACTTAGTCTAAGTGGAGGCATGCCACCACCACCCAACTTGATGGCACCCCCACCACCCATCAAACGAAACTCTACCAATGGTCATCCAGGAGGCCCCGTTTACAATCCAGATACAGACAAGACATTGAGTACAATGATCAACAATCGATTGTCAACTGGACTTTCACCACCAATCAAAGCACCATACTTTGATGACAGAATCCTAACCAACAACAACAAGACTGCCGAACTCGAAGCCAAACGACAACAAGAGGAACGAGAACGTATCGAACGTGACCAAAAGAAAAAGGATAAAAAAGGTGAAAAGGAACAAAAGGAAAAAGAGAAACGTGAGAAAAAGGAAAAAGAGAAAAAAGAAAAAGAACAAAAGAAAAAGGATAAAAGTGGAAGTAGCAGCAGTGGTGGAGCAGGTAAAGCTTCTACACCATCCAACACTATATTTAATAATACATTGGATCAAGTTATGGAAATACAAAGAGACCGCCTACATTGTGACAATGACAATATTCCACTCATCTTAAAGACATTGGTAGAATCAATCATATCAAACGATGGATACCAAACTGAAGGTATATTCCGTGTACCAGGTCAAACATCTGAAGTGATGCGATTTAAAAGTCGTATCAATGAATTGGACTTTTCACTCGATACCAACGACGTTCACGTGCTCGCAGGTCTATTAAAACTGTGGCTTCGTGAATTAACCGAACCAGTTATCCCAATGGAATGTTACAACGATTGTATCAAAAGTTGGAATTCAAAGAATGCAAGTGCCCAAATTTTAAATCAACTCCCCCAACTCAACCGTGATGTCATTGTATATCTTTTAAATTTCCTCAAAACTCTATCTTCTCCCATCTATTCAACCAAAACAAAAATGGATATCGATAACATTGCAATGGTATTTGCTCCTGGACTTTTACGTTGTCCTTCAACCGATTCTTCAGTCCTAATGTTAAATTCTCAATATGAAAAGGATTTTATTAAAAATTTAATTGAATCTCAATAAATAGAAATAATATTAATAAATATAAATAATTGATTATTTTTATATATTTATATTTGTGGTTCTAATTTGTTTTTCCATTTTATTTGTGTCATTTTTTTCTTTCTCTTTTTTTTTTTAGGGATTACGAAAGATATCTCTCCTATAATTAGAGTTACTTGAAACTAAAAAAACTCTATTTGGTCCACCTTCCCAATACACCAATTCACCAGTGTCATAGTAGGATATAAAATATTTATATTCTATTCGACCTGCTTGGCCAAGTATGATTTCACCTTCCCAAGTATCTCCTTGTGAAAACTTGAGTGGAAATGATTTTTGTGGATCCCAATTCCCCAATTGATCACAACTTCCTGTCACTCTTATTTGTTGTCCAAATGGTACATGATGTTTTAACTAAATAGAAAAAAAGATAAAATTAATATTTAATTATGGAATAAGATTTTCTTTTTGTTTTCTATTTCTTTACCCAAAATCTAACTTTTGGTAAAGCAGCTTGACATTGTCTAAGATGACAACTAAGTGTTGACCATTTTCCAACCCATTGACAACCTTGAGCATGATGATCACACTTTACAATGAGATCAGCCAATATATTTAAAACGAGATAGTTTGGTATAAGTTGTTTATGCGTTACTGGCAATCTATCGGTCGGACATTGCCTTCTTGTATTTAACCAATTCTGTAGACATGGATTGCAAAATGTATGACCACATGGTGTGACTATTGGATCTTCGATGACTCCTTTTCCTATTGGACAAATGAAATGGATACTAACTTTATCAACAAATAAATCTTCTGCTCGACACATCAATAGATCTAAACGGAAAAAAAGGGAATTAGAAAATGATTGGAAAATAATGGAAATAATAATAAATATTTAGGGTTATTCCTACTTACTTGTTTTTGTTTTTCTATATTTTTTTTTGTGGTTGTTATATGTATGTTATTTGTATATATTTGATTGGATTATTTCTAATGCAAGGATAATGTAAAAAAAAAAAAAAAAATGCAAAAAGAATGTCTAAGTTCTTTTTCTATCTCTATTGATTTGATTTGATTGATTTGATTATTTGTTGTTGAGTGATAGGTGAGGTGAGTGAGGGGGGGTTTGATATATTATTTAATATATCTATCTAAACTATTTTTCTTTTTTAATCTTTTGGATTTGATCAGCTGCTACAACAATTTGATATTAAATTATTATATGATTGTTGTTGTTGTAGTAGTTGAAGTGGTGACGCAGAGTCTATAATATTGTTGTTTGATAATGATGAGATGGAAGATGCTACTACTTTTGATGACTTTGATTCACAACAATCTTGTTTATAAAAGTAGTTGTGTTTTTTGTTATTCTTTTTCATATGTAAAAGCTATATATATTAATATATATATATATATTGATTGTTATTATTATTATTATTATTATTTGTTATTATTTGTTATTATTTGTTATTATTTGTTATTTGTTGTTATTTGTTGTTATTTGTTATTATTTGTTTGTCGTCGTCGTTGTTGTTGTCGTTTGCTATATCGTCGTCGTCGTCGTTGTCGTCGTCGTCCGAGAGTTTCTTAATTTAATCAGCAATTAAAGTTTCTAAATGATTAAAAGATAGATAGATAGTCTTTGAGTCAATATATATAATATATACAAAATATACAAAAAAAGGGAGTATGATATGATATGATAATGATATGTACTGCGAAGTGGTGTAAGATTAAGGTGTGCTAACTTCTCTCTCCCTAACAAAGAGAACATAAAAATTAAAAAACAAAAAAAAAAAAGTTCCCAACCAAAAAAAAAATTAACTAAACTAAATTGTATAAGCAATTAACAAGTACTATAGTTTAAAGTAACCTTTTTCTTCTCTCTCTCTCTCTCTCTCTTTCTCTTTCTAACTGAATGAATGAATGATTTTTGATATAAAAGATTTGGTGATGTATGTATTGAGAAAAAAAAAATCAAGTTTGGTCGTTGTTTATCTTGCTGGTTCCCAACATCAAAATTAATTAATTTTGGTCGATCTTTTGATTGGTCACATGTTTTGTCATTCCCTCTCTCCTTTTCTTGCTTACCCTTTTATTATTATTATTATTATTATTATCTCTCTATTTACTTTAGTACTTCTTTCTTTTCTTCATCTATTGTTTTGATGGTATATATCGTAGACTGTAGATAGACAAGATAGACAAGATAGAGAAGAAAAGAAAGGAAGAAAAAGAAGAAGGATTATGATATTGTTGGTTATTATGATTATTTATGTATGTATGTATTTATATGTATGTATGTATGCCAGGCATTAATAAATGAATGAATGAATGATAATAATAATAATCATTTTTTGTTTTTGTAATGAAGGGTGGGGTTTGGTGTGTTGAATGGATGAGGGCGGGGTTAGGGGAAAAAAGGGGGGTGTATGCAAAAAAGGGGGTTGTGTACAATAATATTCCTTCATGATTGATTTTTTTGTTTTAATTTATTTTAATTTACAAAAATGTTCATAGGGAATATTTAAAAAAGTTTGATTTGTTTCAAGATCTATCAATGTGCCAGAGAATTGGTCTAAATCAATATCCAATAATTTACAATGACGACCTCTATGACGACCATCTACAATCATAACCTCTTGTCCCTGTCCTGGTATAACTGTTTCCAAAAACTCTTGATCAATATTTAGCGATACCCTATCATCATCCAATAATCTAATTTGTCCAACATATCCATCATCTGATACCTTTTCCACTACTCCTTTCCATTTATAATATTCTTTTAATTCCTTGTCTATAATTTTAACTATTAAATTTTTAATTAACCAGCCAGATGAAATAGTCGTAGAGGATGTAGATGTAGATGATGATGATGATGATTCCTCTTGTTTTGGTTGTTGTAATTTTTGTTGTTGTAATTTTTTAATTTGTTCTTGTTTTTCCATAATTTCTTCCAATGCTGATTTCTTTTGTACATTATTATTATTATTATTATTACCATTATTATTATTACTACTAATATTATTATTATTTGTTAATGAATTGAAAATATTTAAATTATTATTATTTTGATTATTTTGATTTTGATTATCTTTTTTAGTTTCTTTATCTTTTTGAAAAGATAAAGAAATTGATTTAAATTGATCAGTTGAAATTTCAGTTGGTTTATATTCATTTATAGTTGGAGGCAATAATTTTGACATTTCTTGTAATCTTTTTTCAATGTCTATACGTTGTCTTTCTTCATCTGTTATTTCAACCTTTTCACGTTTATCGGCTGCTATCATTTGTTGTTTGACAAAAGTTGGGTCTCTATTGATATAGGTGATATACCAACCCTTGGATGTCTCTTCCACCACACATTTACTCTCTTTACCAAGATACTTTACAAACTCTGATAGTGAAGGCCACCGAGTAGCATTCATATGAATGTGACTACGATCCTTTATAAATTCATTGTATACTTGATTGGCTGCCACTCTAGTAGTAGGGTATCGTCTAGACAAAATCTTTATAAAATCTTCTTCAAATTCATGTGAATACTTGTCAACAAACATTCCTGAATTACTTGCTACCACCTCCATTTGTCTCATATGTGCATCACTTGATAAATGACACTAAAATAAAAAGAAGTATATTAATATAAGCTCTTTTACTTGTAACAACTACTTCAAACTACTTACCTTGAAACCATTTTCATCTCTACATTGTTTCTGACAAAATTGACAATACCATCTTAATCTTTGTAATCCTTTTGCTTTAATACTATTACTAATTTGTTTAGGAGTCATTCCTCCTCCATCTTTACCCATTTTAAATAAATAATATAATATATTATACTATTACTAGTATTTGTTGTTGTAAATGAAATAATAATTCAATTTAAACTATCTTGCTTTTTTGTTTTTTTGTTCTTTTTTCGAATTTTCGTTCAAGACGTCGAGAAGACACAAAGATAATGAATGATCATCATTCATTTACTTTCATTTCATTCTCCTTTTAATTTTACTTTATTTATAATATTTATTTATTATTTATTTAGTAGTTTTATAAGATGCAAGATAATAATGTATCAAATGAAACACAACTTGTTACAAGTACAGATGTAAACAATAACAATACAACAAGTAACACTAAAAAGATATATACATCGGGTAGACCACCTTGGTACGATCAACAAGGTAAATTAAAGAACCCACTTGTTATTGGTGTATGTGGTGGTAGTGCTTCTGGAAAGACTTCAGTTTGTCATGAAGTTATTAAAGCTCTCAATGTTAGATGGGTAGTTTTACTTTCAATGGTAATGAAATGAAAATGAAAAAGAAAAGAAAGTAAAAGTAATATTTACTTACTTACTTATTCTTTATTCTTTTAGGATTCATTTTATAAACCAATTACAAAGGATCAAGATCCAGCCAATTATAATTTCGATCATCCAAATGCATTTGATTATGATTTGATGATCAAGACTATTGGTGATTTGCGTCAAGGTAAACGTACTCAAATCCCAATCTATGACTTTAAGACTCATAGTCGTCTTGCTCGTCAAAACACTGTCTATGGTGCCGATGTCATCATTCTCGAAGGTATCTTGACTCTCTATTCAAAGGAATTATGTGAATTGATGGATATTAAGATTTTCATTGATACTGATGATGATGTTAGATTATGTAGAAGATGTAAGAAATAAGAAAAAAAAGAAAAAGAAATCATATGATAATTAATTCTTTTTTTTAATTTAGTGAAAAGAGATATTGCTGAAAGAGGTAGAACTTTAACAAGTGTTATTGAACAATATAATAGATTTGTTAAACCATCATTTGATGATTATATTTTACCAGTATGCAGAAATATTTTAATTTATTAATTAATTAATAATTAATATTAATTTTAACTTTTTCCATTTCCGTTTAGACAAAGAAATATGCAGATATAATTGTACCAAGAGGATCAGATAATATTGTAGCAATTGAATTATTGACAGAACATATTAAAGGAATATTAAAGGAACGTGGATATGTTGCAGAAAGATCCATGCCAATTGGAGGGATCACTGCCGAAAGTTTGCCAGCCAATATTCACATTATGCAGGATACTAACCAAATCAAGGCAATGCATACTATCCTTCGTAACAAGGCCACCAATGTTGGTGATTTTGTTTTCTATTCTGATCGTTTAGTTATGCTCATCATTGAAGAGGCTCTTACCCTCTTGCCATTCAAGGAAAAGGTTATCACTACACCAGTCAACCAAGTCTACAAGGGTGAACAAATGGATTGCAAGGTGGCTGCAGTCTCTATCTTGCGTGCTGGTAGTTGTATGGAACATCCACTTCGATCCATTTGCAAAGGTATTAAAACTGGTAAAATTTTAATTCAATCTGATGAGAATAAACAACCTCATGTATGTAAAAAGAATAAGAAAAGAAAAGAGAAAAAAGAAAAAAAAAAAAAGAAATATTAATTAATTTTTTTTTTTTTAATATTAGTTATTTTATGAAAGATTACCAGATTTAAGTGATTCACATGTATTGGTACTTGATCCAACAATTGCAACTGGTGCATCATCACAAATGGCTATTCGTGTATTACTTGATCACGGTATCCCAGAGGATCGTATTATTTTCGTGTCGGTCATTGCTTCGTTAAAGGGTGTAATGTGGTTGAATTATTGCTTCCCTGATATTAAAATCGTTGCTAGTGCACTCGACAATGAATTGTCTGAAAATGGTTACATCCTTCCCGGTATTGGTAATTATTCTGATAGATATTTTGGTACTGGTGTCAAACAATTATAAAATATTAATAATAACAAATAATAATAAAATAATAAATTATGGTACGATTAATTTAAAATAATACATTTTATTATTTTTACGATTAATTTGTTAATTCTATTTCAGAGTGTCCTGAAATTTCAAAATATTTTGGATCACAAACTCTACCATAAAAATCTTTTCCTAAAATATCCTTTCTTGAAACTCTTACTTTGATCTTTGTATTTGGTTCCATTTGTTGTAATAATGTAACTCTTATTCCATCTCTATCTTCTAAATCTGAAATGAGAAAATCAATTTCCTTTTTATCCAATGAATATACCTTGACTTTGAAAAAATCCTTTTCTTTGATTGTGTCTTTAAATTTACCAAGTTTGTCAATGTATATACGTGATTTGATTGAAAATGAATTATTGACAATACGTTTGGATACGTAAAACAATGAAGATAGCAACTTGTTACAGACAGAAAGGAAATTCTTTTGCTTTTCTATATTCTCTCCTTTTCCTTTGATTGCACCATGGATTTGATGGATATCGAGGAAATAGTCACAGTTGACAAGAGGTGGTGTCAATTTGAAGATTGGGGTGGTAGATGGAGATAATAGACGTTTTGAGTTTTGAATATTTTGTGACGATACTTTTTTGACTTTATCCAAATATTCTTTCTTTCCATTGTGATGAGTAAATCCTTTGAGTGTACCAATATCCAATAAAATATCGCAGTGTTTGTCTGTACCCCAAATATGTTGTGCTTCTTTGACGATATTGACATTTTTGTCATACACTGGATCTGCTGCTTTGAGCCTCATGGACTCATAATTGTTTACGATCGGAGGGAAGCACAAAGCAAAAGAGTTGCCTAGAGATAAACACACAGCTTGGGCGGCATCGAATGCTTTGGTTTTATGCATGAGTCTATATGTCAATCCATTATCTTGCAGTTTAATTCTTTCAGCGTTATAAGAGGGAAAAAGCGCAACACCTCCCTCATCACTAGCTGTTATTGCTACTTTGGTGAAATGCATATAATTGTCGTAAATAATAGATTTGTCATTCTCAAAGAACATTTTCAAAACGTGACATATGTGATCATCACGTTTTGTTTTTTCTATTAGAGCCATATATGGAGTTATGGAAAGCTCGATCATTCTTATTGCATTATCCAATGGTTGACTTTCGATGTTTGTTCCTTTGGTAAGGAACAATAAAGATAAACCAGCAAGTCCAGAGCCAAAAGACAAATCAAAGAGATGTCTAATGTCAATGTCAAAGAGCTTTTTCTGAATCTTTTTGAGAATGATCAAACTATCAACCACTTGTGATCCAATATCATTGAGATTGAGTAATCTATAGCCTGCATTGTGAGGGAGTGTTTGATTGATCCAATGGCTATCTTCATTACACATGGGACATCTATCTGGACTTTCAATTGAGCAATGATAGCATAATAAGTGTTGACAACCATTTCTAACTTGATCTGGGAACCCAATTAAACAATTTACGCAAACATGGGTTGATAATTGAATGTATGGGTCGTTTGCTTTGGGATTGTCAATTGGCTCTATATCATCTGAAATTTCTGATATCTTTGATTTTTCTCCAACCACTCTAAGATGTTTGCTTGGGATTTCAGCAAACACGCCATGTTTGATAAATTTGGGCTTGAGGAGATGATTAATCAACTTCTCAGAGGGCTCTGTGCCAATACTCTTGTGGGTATTGCCATGTTGATGTTTGTATTTGTTGCAATTAAGAGTGGAACATGGTTCTAATGCGCCAACTTGACTTGTCAACATGTCAATGACCTTTTTCCAATCCTCTTGTGGATATCTTTTTCCAAACAAATTTTCCGATTTTTCAAGACGACCATTCAATTTGTTGATGGCATCGCCAAAAGATTGATACTTGTCTTTAGCACCAGACAATGATAATTTAGAATATAATAATCTAAAATATTTGAATAGGTATGATGCAATTCGTTTGGGGTCGACGGGATGAATTTCAATAAAATTGATTTGGTCTGCGACTTTATCATTGAATCGATGAACTACTTCTCCCATTTGTTTGATTACTTCTCTTGGGGTCAGAGCAACTGTTTCTGTATCAGAGATGACTGTTTGTTTAATGATTTGACCAAATAGATTATTGTAAATTTCTTTTTTAAGCTCTTTGTAACCATTGAGGAATGTTATAGGATCTCTACCACCTTCATCTGTTCCAATACGTATAATACACCAACCACGATAATATGGTTCCACCAGTTTGTCAAAACCACCATTTACAAAAAACTCTTTGGTTGCTTCTTGATTGGTGACATTCATTTCATTCTTTGCTTTCTTGTTGAATACTAAAATGAGGTATGGTAGTTCTCCTTGATTGACTGCGCCCGAGTCACTGTGTTGAGCATGTGACAATACATATTTACTGATGGTTTGTCTCTCTTGCCAAGAATTTGAACAAACACAAACTACAATATCACTAAATGAATGTAATATTCTTGGATACGCAGATTCCACCATTTCTCTACGAGATGGTCGGCTTGCTCCTGTTGTTCTTGTTGCTGTGTTTAAAGTTCCACCAAACCCTTCACAATCGGCCATTAAAAATCTTTTGGTGGTACCCTTTTTCTCATCACTTTTCCCAAGGTAAACATTTATATCTGAAGAGGTTGATGAAAATTGATTGCCTTTGAGTGGCAATAAAGGACGATCACCATGACATAGTCCTCTGACAAGTGTACTCTTTCCACTTCCACTAGGTCCAATAAATGTTACCAATTTGAAAGCATCTTCATTGCTTAGACCACATTGATACCATTTTGGTCCAAATTCTATTATTCCATTCTTTTCTTGAAGTAGTTTGTTTCTTTTGTCATATTCCTTTTTTATGTTTAGTTCCTGGTCTTGTTGACCAAGTATATGTTGACTTTTTAAATGTTCTTGAATTGGCATACACATTGTTTTGAATCTGTCAACAAGTCCATCATAATGCTGTTGGCATTTAAACTTTCCTGTAAATAAATATTTTGCTTTGTTTTTACATCCTTCATCTGTACATTTGGTATTATATCCGGCGACAAACATTTCCAAGTCTTTTAATACCGGTAAACTTTTTTTAGGTTGATTTTTAAGTTTGGATTCGATGGACGTTTGTAAACTTCCATTTAAAAACTCGAATGTGACTTGTTTATCGTCCAGTTCTTTTTTAATATCATTCTCTGTAGCACCACTACAAACAATGATAAGATGAGGAGTTGAACTTTTTGTTGTTGTTGTTGTTGTTGTTGTTGTTGTAGAAAAGTTTGTTGATATCTTTTGAATTTCTTCTTTCAAGTTTTGACCTGGATGAATAAAAACAACAATGACATCACAAATGAGTGAAATCACTTCAAGAGAGGATGAATCGTTTTGATTGTATCCAACCATGATGATTTTGTTGTTGTTGACAGTGTTGGGATATTCTACATAGCAATTAATGGTATTTTGACAGACTGAGGAAATGGGGTCATCGGTATAGTTACCAACATCCTGACCAATAAATCCAACAAGGTAGTAATCTTGACCTTTGGTGTTGGCCAATGACAAGGTAGACCACATCGAACCAAACTCGATGTTATTTGTTTGATTGTTAAATGATAACAATATTCTTTCCTTTTGAAGGTTTTGTTTATATTCTTCGATACTGATTAGGTAGTACTTGTGAGTGTCTTTCGGATAATGATCGTTACAATAAAACTTGATACGGGTTTCACAATATTTGATTGATATTTTGTTGCATTTATCAAAAGAACAATAAAGGTTTCTATATTTAAAAAAGAAAAAAAGAAAAAAGAGTTAAAAATGATACTCTGTATACTTGACTTGGTATGATTTAAAATACCTTTTAATATTGAATAAATCTAGAGATGATTTATAAGTTGATTCAAAAAAGGGATCTACCTGTGTGGCCTCGGTTTTACAGCAGATTGAAGATATTTCTTGTAAAAGTAATTTGGATTGGTCAATAAATCCAAGGTTTGACGATGCAAATGAGGGAATTACAATGACCTTTGGCGATTGGTACCATAAATTGATTGAATCTAAAATTAAATTTGATTCATTTTCTATATCTCTTTGTTGTGTAAATATTTTTTTTTCGGCTTGACGTCCCAATGTACAACTTTCAAGAGCGTTTTTTTGTATGTCTATCTCTTTGTGTTCTTTTTGTACGACTATCTCTTCCTGTTTTTGTACGGCCGGTTGTACCAATGCACAACTTTCAGGAGCAGATTTTCCTTTGGTTGTCTGGTATGTCTCTTTTTCAAACAGCCCAGAAAGAGTGGGATCGTTTTCGTACCATTTCCTTCCTCCACCTTGATATGGGGTTTGTCTGTTGAATACCACGATGAGGTATGGCTTTCTTGATGTCAGAGGTTGGGATTGAAGAGCTACAAGAGTGTATGATTGAATGAGACGGAGAACCGATACCAACTCTCTTCTTGGATGATCAACGACAAATACAACGACGTTGCTTGTATGATACACAATCTGGGGATGTTTGGTGTGGACCAGCGATTTTCTATCCTTGACATTGTCTTTTTTGGTACTATCATTATTATCACCAACGGTCCAAGGTAAATGGTCACCACTACTCTCGGTATCGACAAGCAGGACCGGAACACCTCCAATCATTGATTCGAATCCATTCAAATCAGCAGTTGTAGTGATTGATTTGATAGGGTTGTTGATACGTGGAGTGAACTCTGTGTCGGGATTGTCTAGACAAAGCAATTGTTTGATGACGGTGCTTTTTCCAGCCGATGGAGGTCCAACTACACTTACAACAAATTGTGTTGCATCGTTTTGAGCAAGCTGATTACCAACTTCTAAATCGTTGTTGTTGCTGTTGATTGATATCATTCTTCTTTGCTTTTCATCATTGTCAATGATTTTTTGATAGGGTGGATCTGATAGGGATTGTTTTGCAACGATATAGTCATTAATGTCTATGGTGATGTGCTCCTCCTCTTCATCATCGTCGTCATCTTGGTGGAATAATGAGTCATGTCTTTTGCACAAACACTTCTCGCAGTCCTCGCAATAAATCTGAGATTGATCAGCACACTTGTTGGATTGGCAAGTATAACTATTATCTCTGCTGATCATTAAATATGCAATACATGAGTCTGAATCCGAGTCTTCTTCACTACTTGAATTATCATCTTGGGATGAATCTTCATCCTCTTCATCGTCATCACTAATATCCATTTTGTTATTCTTTTTCGCTGGTGCTCTTTTAACAGATGGTTTAGATTTTGGAGGTGGTGCTTTCTTTGTAGATGAGGATTTGGTATTTTTCTTTTGGTTGGACTTTGTTTCTTCTTCTTCTTCTCTACTACTACTATTAATTAGATGTACAACTTGACTAAAATTTTTTTATGATGATCATCAAAGTAGGGGTGGCTGAAAAATAAAAAAGAAAAAACCTTATGCACTCAAAAAGTGTGATGATCAACAAAAATCTTCATCATTGTAATTATTGAACACTTACACTCCTATCTATCATATTCCATTGTTGTATTTATATAAAAAGAAGATAGTTTAGTTGTGTATTGTTAATATCATCGTCATCATCATCAATCATCTGTATAGTAATAAAAGAGATCGATAGATATTAGACAAACAATGGAGGGTCAATCAAATAGCGATCCTCCATCACCAACACTTGCACCCATTGTAGTGAATGACCATCAACTCCATTAAAAGGTTTGAAAATCCATAATATCATATGATCTATGAGGTTATTAACCATTGCTTAATTAATCTATATATCCTATACATTTATTATTTAGAATACTTTACATTTGAAATCAAGTAAAATTTGAAGGTGAAAGAGTCAATTCATTGACCATTGTAAAGAGAGTACCAGAATCAATTATTGATAGCATTAAACCAGTATCATCACAACTCCAAGTAATCAATCTTGGTGAAGGTGCTCCATTTGATACTCTTCACAATTTCATTCACAACTCTGTCGCTCCATTCATTCGTTCATTTGCTTTGAAATCTCAAACTCAAAAGAATACAAATACAGTTGAAAAGGATGTTAAATTAGGTATGTCTCAAAATGAAAAAGAATCAAGGATACTATAGTAGCTAACCACATTTTGTTTTGTTTTCTTTTTTTTTAGGAATCGGAGCAGTCAATCAAAAGATTGCAGAATTAGAATTGTCATTGTATAATTGTAATGTTGAGTGGCACACGGAAACCAAGACTCTGAAGGTCGTGAAGAACAACAAACCGACAAGACTGGATCGACCACCTCGTCATCACGTCTTCAATATGCTTCACGTGTCCGTCAAAACAAGGCAGCTAGTGGAGACAAGAGCGCCTCAGAGGACAAGCAAGACGGTACATCCGACTCTGTCGTCATCTCAATCATCAAGCCAAGGCTCGAGACATCGATCCACGAGGTCATTCGCAACCAAGTGCTTTCGCTCGACCCATCCCTCGAGTTTGCACGTGTCAGCTGGATCCAACAGTTGCACCAATGGCTCAACATTGTGTGATCTTCCACGTATCCAAGCATCGCGTTACCACGAGGGTATTACCCACCGCGAGCTCGAAAATAAGTCCAAAAAGACATTCCGAGATATGTTGGCCAAGTTGCCACGCGAAACACTCGACAAGGCCTATGCAACCATTCAATCCAAGTTGGACGAGGTGCACCGCTACGTTCAGATCTGGTTGCAATACCAGGCACTCTGGGACATGGAGTCATCGTACGTGTACAACAAGCTCGGTGACGACCTCAGTCGCTGGCAAAACCTCCTTGGTCAGATCAAAAAGTCACGTACCACCTTTGACAATAGTGATACCGACAAGGCTTTTGGCCCATTGATCATCGACTATGCCCAAGTACAGGCATCTGTCAACAACAAGTACGACTTTTGGCACAAGGACATTCTCTCGCACTTTGGTCAAAAGTTGGCCGAAAAGATGCGTGCCTTTTACGACACGATTGCTGCCAGTCGTACAGAACTTGAAAAGTTGTCTGTAGAGTCTGTATCGACCGAGGAGGCAGTGTCATTTATCATCCAGATCCAAGAGATGAAGCGTCGTTTGATTGGATGGGAAGCTGACCTCAAGTATTACCGTTCCGGTCAAGATTTGCTCCAACGTCAACGATTTCAGTTCCCCAATGATTGGCTCGATTGCGACATGGTGGAAGCAGAGTGGTCTGCCTTTAACGACATTCTCAACCGTAAGAATGCATCCAAGAGCAAGTCCATTTCGGATCGTATCCGCGAGTTTGCCGAAGACTGGTCCAACAACAAGCCATTGGCTGGTTCGATCAAGCATGCTCAAGCACTCGACACAATCCGCGTCTTTGAGAGCCGTATGATTCGTCTCAGGGACGAAAATACCCGTTTACAAAAGGCCAAGCAGGCACTCGACCAAGTCGACCAGACCGGCGGCTCATCCGATGAAGAGCGTCTCCAACCGGTCGAGGAAGAGATGCAAGACCTCAAAGCTGTGTGGTCCGAACTCGCTGTCACCTGGCTCGAGATTGACACACTTCGTGAGACTGCCTGGTCGGCCGTCGTTCCACGTAAGGTGAGAAAGTCACTCGAAGACACACTCACTAAGCTCAAGAACTTGCCCAATCGTATCCGTCAATACTCTGCATTTGACCACGCACAGCTCACACTCAAGGGTCTGCTCAAGGGTAACGCCATCATCACCGATTTGCACAGTGAGGCCATTAAAGAGCGTCTGACATGGTCAAGGTCATCGAGAAGGAGTCCAAGGCAATGTCTCCTCTCTTGCTCTGCTCTGTCCCAGGTTACGACGCATCCTCGGTCGTTGACGATCTTGCCGCCGAGTTAAGAAAACCATACAAGAGCTGGGCTATTGGTTCACCCGAAGGATTCCAATCGGCCGAAAAGTCCATCTACGACGCTTCCAAGAGCGGTTCGTGGGTACTCCTCAAAGTTGGGGTGTGGAGTGAGCGAGTGCAACTTCTTTTCCAATTTAACCAACCATTGTGGAGCCAAATGGATGTTTTTGAGTACAATGACGCCGATCTCCGTGGTGCCATCGACTCTATCGACTATTGGATCGATCTCTACTCCAAGGGTCGTTCCAATATCGATCCAGACAAGATCCCTTGGGTTGCCGTCCGCACCATTCTCGGTCAAACCATCTATGGTGGTCGTGTCGACAATGAATTTGATATGCGTCTGCTCAACTCGTTCCTCGAGCAACTCTTTACCCCCGCCGCTTTCAATGCCGACTTCCCATTGATTCAATCGATTGGTCTCACCGTCCCAGACGGCACCAACCGTGCCAACTTTGTCCAATGGATTGACAACTTGCCAGATGTATCCACTCCAATCTGGTTGGGTCTCTGATAATGCCGAGTCCCTCCTTCTCACCAACAAGGCTAAAAAGGTTGTCAATGATCTTCAAAAGATGCAACTCTCTGAAGAAGATGCCATCGAACCATCCTCATCTTCCGAATCTGGCAAAGAACAACAAGAAGATAAATCTAAACTTAAACTTAAGAATCTTATTAATGATTGGATAAAGACTATTCCAAAGGTAAGTAAAAAAAAAAAAAAAAGGAATATTTATTCGTTCATTTATTAATTAATTATATATTTTTAGCCAATGAAACAACCAAAGAGAACAGCACAAAATATTAAGGATCCATTATTTAGATGTTTTGAAAGAGAGATTACTATTGTTACTAAATTGATCAAAAAGATTACAACCGATTTGAATAGTATCAATGAATTGTTGGCTGGTACCATCAAGCAAACAAATTATCTCCGTTCATTGACTGGTAGCATTACCAAGGGTATGGTACCAAAGGAATGGAAGTGGTATTCATGTCCAGAGTCTGTTTCCTTGACCATTTGGATTGTAGACTTTTTCAAGAGAATGCAATAATTGACCGACATCTCTGAAGCCACTGAATTTATAAACATTCAAGTTTGGTTGGCCGGTCTTTTGAACCCTGAACCCTACATTACCGCCACTAGACAATCATCTGCTCAACTCAACGGATGGTCACTTGGTTTGACCTTAGACTCCATGTCGATGGTCTCGGTGAAACAAAGGCCAGCGATGGTTTCACTGTCAAGGGTCTTTCACTCGAAGGTGCCACCTGGAACAACTCGATCCTCACCCCAACAAAGGATCTCTCCACCAATTGCAACCACAACACTCTCATGGCGCGATAAGGATGATCCAATCTTTGCCTCGCCAGCAACCAAGCTCACCGTCCCTGTCTATCTCAATGATACCCGTACTGAATTACTCTTCTCACTCGACCTCCAATTCTTACAAACAACTACCAAACAATCATGGTATCAACGTAGTGTTTCAATTAGTTCATGGAAACCTGATTTCTAAAATTATAAATAAACAAATAGATATAACTAAAAATATATACGCAATATATCAAAATAATATTGAGTTTTATTTCCTCCACAATGCGATATTTATTTAGGATCAAAAGTATTATTTTTTAATGCATCAATTCGCCTTAGTCTAAACACAGGACGCACCACGGTCCGTAAAGCCTATTACAAAAACAAGATTAGTAAAATGGAACTATTGATACACCACCAACATAAATGTAAAATAATGACTGAGTCATTCCATCAGGCTAGTTACTTTTGGTTTGATGACATAATAGAGATATTAATGTCTTCTGCAACTTGATAGGGATCGTCATCACCATCTTCACTGTCATTGTGGTGAGAAAAAGACAACCCCGTTGTCTCTCCATGATTGGTTTGGATCAACGAGAGTGTTACTTTCAAAAGCATACATTGTGACATTTGAAAAAACAGCAGATGTAGAACGGAATTGTCGGATAGGTAGCCCATTAGAGATAGGTGAGGAGAATACTTTTCCGATTGACCCAGTATTTGTCCAACCATCGCCAATATTGGGATTTACAGACAAAAAGTAGAGCAACGGGGTATCATTTTGACCATTCCAAGTTTGTGAATTGGTAGAGGGGAACCCCTGCAATTGGACTTGAAGAAGGCAATATTTTCCAAGCCACGGTTCTTCGACTCCACATTGAACCCAATACTGGTGAGGTTGTGTAGGCATATTGGAGTTGGTCACCAACTGGAGTACTGAATCGGCTTGATTGGCTTTAAGCTTTTTTGAAAGTTGGAAAAAAGAGTGACTGGTCCAGTGTTGGATATCAGCTCGGAGACGGTTCCAACGGCAGCCCCTTTTCTTCCTATTATAGCATATGAGCTTGATGATGTGATATCATATGCAAATTCTGATCCAATGCTTTCGAGAGAGGTCAATAGATCTGACGACATTGTGATGTTTGGTCCAGCAGAGTTGAGTACTGAACACACAACTACCAAAGATCCAACTGATATTTTATCAACAATATCATTAACCATGTCTTGTGATCCATCAGTGGTAGTAATATTATAGTTTTTGATAAAGTAAATGTGTCCATCGATTTCACTGATAGCACACATCACAAAACCATTGACCAATGGACCTTCCAGAGTTATTGATATACCACCAACATAAATGTAAAATAATGACTCCATTCCAACAGGCAAGTTACTTTGGTTTGATGACATAATAGAGATATTGATGTCGTCTGCAACTTGATAGGTATCACCGTGGTCAATCTGTTCGATTTGAATAAAAGATGATGTTGCTGGTGAATTATGATTGTAGGTCATTTCAGTGAAAATAGAATCAGAGCCTATTCTTTTGATCATAAACCAACAATCGTTTGAGGAAATGGAAGAGTATTGAGAAATGAATTTGCTTCCAATCTTTCTGAGGCTTGAGATGGCGTTTTGTTGCAAGTTTGTCTTGGCCAAATTGAGTCCTTGAGCGGACACCATGACTAAAGTATGGTCGGCAAGTGAATCGATGAATCTTGATAGAGATTCTGAGGAATTGGAGTAGAGATTGGTTGGAAAGTTGTACACCTGGGGTGGATATCTAATTGATAGATTTCGCTTCTGAATGAATACGAGAACATTAATTCCATTGGCAAGACTTGGAAGGCCCCTGTTTGCTAAAGCGTATCTAAAAAATATATTCGGTGTCCCAGTTGTTGAATTAAATGAAGTCATGATAATCTTACTTGAAGTTTTACCAATAGACCTCATTTCACCCTCTGCCCAAACTTCATTGATGGCAGAGTTTCCGTATGTTTCGCTGGCCATCCCTGGAGATAAACCTTTGTATCCAACCAAACAATAGTTTGGATTGGTTGTTCCAACCATAGATATCTTTGCGGCACCCAATGAAGATAATGCTCTACAAAGAGCTGCACTGGGTTGAGAAGGGAGCAAACCAATACCCATGACAGCTACTTGATTACCACTGGGTACTTTCTTGATATGTTCGATCAAGCCATCGATATTCTGGAACGAGAAATGTGAGAATTCCAACATCTTTTTCAAAGGAGATATAGGAGAAACCCATATGTTGAAACCTTCTTGAATTGGGGAACCCCATAAGCGTCCTCCATAACGAAAAGTAGATGTTGAGGATGTCCTCGAAACTATCTTTACAGGTGACGTCATAAATTTAAATCTAAAGATTAATCTTTATATCAGTATTCCTTCTATTCTAAAAATTAATGAGAAAGATAACTTACCTGTTTTAAACTATCACTAAAAAGGATGACAAGAAGAAAAGTAAAAAGTTTGAAATATATGAATGAATATTTATCACGAAAATTTTGCAATTTTTTTAATTTTTCTGTTCGTTTGTTTTTAAAAACACCCTGTCCTCTTCTAAAATAGTCAAGAAAAGGTATTTTCTCCACGGTTAAACATTATTATTAATCTAAAAGCAATCATTAATTAATTAATTTCTATTTAGGTATAATAATTTAAAATCAAGGTTCCCACATATTACAGATAATGCATATGATTTATTATCAAGATTATTGACATATGATCCAGATTGATGGAAAAGAGAATAAGTGCATCAGAAGCTTTACAACATCCATACTTTTTTGAAAGTCCTCCCATGAGAGACCCATTACTCATCCAACATGGCCAGAATCTCATTAATACAACAATAGTAGATTATATTATTATTATTTATTATTATTATATTTGTTGGTTTATTTTTTCATATATTTTATTGATTGATCATATATGACCAATAAATATTCCTTGTCGATAAAACATAAATTAGCATCCATATGTCGTTGCACTTGGTGCCTTGATATGTTACATCCAATGTCGGAGAGTATGTACATTAGCATTGGGAAGTTTTTGTTAAATATGAGACTTCTCAAGAGTGACTTTGATGATGGGTGTTGGAGTAACCGAGTTTTGATAAATGTAGGGTATCGTTTGACAAGGTGAGACAGTTGTCCGACGTGTCCCAAATTTGTGAGTGATTCGGTAAACCCTACAACTGATTCAAATGTTTCTTCAAAGGTATGTGGACCATCTGAAACAATTAAATCAATGACATAGTCTAGAATATCAGTTCTCCCACTATCCATAGCACTTGAATAGGCATATTGATCCTTCCATACCCACTCGGGATGTTTCTTGTGAATGAGTTTGAGAAAATCTAGTGTTCCATGAACCATGGCTCTTTGTTGTATGTCTCGCCTAATATCAGAGTTGGTGCAGTGTTGGTTATACAAGTCAAGTGATGACGTTCTTGCTATTAAATTTTGTAGTTGTTCTTGTTTTCTATCTTCGCCTTTTCCTAACATTTCTTTAAATCCTACAACTACTTGTGTCATGTATTCATAACAATCCTTTCGTATACCACTATAATCTCGAATGTTAGGAAAGGGTTTGAAACCAAGATCCAAAACGATTTTGAGTATTGGCAAGGCCTCTCGATCTTGTCTCGATAATATATAATAAACCATTTCCTTTTAGCATCAAAAATGGTTGACTATTTTTGAAATAATCTATCACACCTCGAGCATCGTGTAAAGACACGTTTCTGAGAACTGTCGATGGAGGAATCCTAACCTCCCTGTCGAGAAATGGACAGAGTGCAGCCGCTCCGATCCCAGGTAGATGAAGTGTCAATCGTTTGCCTCCGATTGTCCACGGAACAAGAATCAATTCATTTAACAATTTCTTGCATTGTTCCGAGCCAACATCGACATGTGGGAATGCTTCTTTAAACTTTTGGACCAACGCTATCTTTTCGGTTACTTCTTTTCTTAATCGGTGTCCAACCATGGACATGCTTGATTTATCTTTATCTTTATCTCCTTTACTTAACCAATCCAATGATTCGATGAATTTAAAAGTACCAAATCGAGAAGTATCATATCGTTTATTATACTTTAATCCTCTTGCCAACAGCAATGTCAGTACCTCGTATCTCCCTTTTGACATGGCTTGTTGGAAGCATGCACCAGTTGGGAGTGGCGTAGGATACTCTTGTTCCAATAGTATCTTTACAATCTCTGGGTTGCCAGCACGACACGCACAACCAACCAGATTCTCTCCAATGAATGATCTTTGATAGAGTGTGTATACAATATCTTAAAGTTGACCAAGTCTTTAACTTTTAAACATATCAGTTCTACAGTATCATTTGAAAATGAAACATTGATGTTTCTTTTGAGCTTGTCCATCAGCAAACCAACATGACCATTTCTTAGCATATCGCTTACTCTACTCCAATGATCGTAGTGATAGATTCTTGGCAAGTCTGTTCTTTTATCATGATCTTCTTCTTCTAATCTTCTAATCCAATACTTTACTTGTGAAAACAGGTACTTGTTTCTTAAAATGGTTTCAAATGTACTCGTCGTTATCATTAATAACATTAATATTATTTAAATTTTGATATTATTAATAATATCAATTATAAAAATATAATCGAACAACACCATCAAAAAAAAAAAAAATATTCAGGAGAGATGGATCGAGCACAACAAAGGGAAGCAATGTTGATAGAGATGAATGAAAGAATTGGATGGAGTGCAAGGAAAAGGAAGAACACAATCGATCGCATCACAGATGATCGTAGATACTGGTGTAGGGGTGTTGGAACAACCCACCGATACACCACTCGTCAGCCACCAGCATACTTAGAGATCAACACCGATCAATTGACTTACCAACAGCACAGTACTCATCCAAACCCCAAGGATACTCTAAATGAAGGTGTAGTTCTCAGATACTTCAACAGCCTCAACAATACGACTAACAGCATCAACCAAGAAGACATATTCAACCACATCCAAGTAGGTGAATACACGATCAGTAAGTTCATTATCAAATTATTATTCATTTATGGAAATAAGATCATCACATCATCCCTCGCCCGTGTAATCAATGAGACAGTAGTTGATGTGAAATGGCACAAGACTGATATTACAGGTCTTGGGATGGAGGTAAAGTTGTACCAGTTGTTGATGAATTGAAATCCTCGAGTGTAAAGTCTTTTGGTAGACGTAGAGTTACTTTGAATGATTTAAACAAGGTACTATGTAAACAATTACGAGAACTTCTCAAGTTGAAAGATTAGAAAAGATAGAGTTCCCCCAATCACCAACTCTCTCTTTTCTAATCTTTCAGCTTGAGAAGTTCTCTTTCAACATCACCCCAGAGTATTTGATTTGTAAATTATTTTAGATAATAAATAAATAAATAATACATTAAATTTTATTGATTATAATCATTAACTACTCATTATTCTTCTTGAATTTCATCTTTAATACCTTGCATTAAAAACATTGATTGACGAACTGATCTATGAACCAATTTCTTTCTCGTGGTAGTTGTAGCAGCAGAGGTGTTATTGTTGTTGGAAGAGGATTGCTTGCCTTGGTTGGTAAATTGACTATGATAATCTTTTAATTTCAATTCAAAGAAATCAAAATCACTTGGCAATGTTGGGATGGGTGGAGCAGATTCACTAATAAAACTATCGACTCCAACAAAGTCCAACATATTAACTTTCATTTCAAGTTCTTCTAGTGCAGCCAACTCTTCAATTGACTCTTAACAAACCAAAGACTGTCTATTTAATACCTTGTGACCATCGACCAAATCAACCAATGACTCTCTTGAAGCTGAACTTAATTCCAACCATGTTGAAGAAGCCTCTGATGATTCTTTTTCCATATTTGATAAATATAAAAGTGTTGATGAATTGTCCACTTTTCCTTTGTTCTTTCTTGAAGGTTGACTCGATGATGATGATGGTGAAGATTCCACCAAATTGGATATATTGGTTGAAATTTGAATGTCTTGTATATTACAATAAAATCTTTAGTTGGAACAGTAAGAGTATCATTTGTAAATATATAACTATACTGTTTAAGATCATTTGATAATCTAATAAATAAATAGGATCCTCCAGAAACTCCTCCTTTTAGTTTATAATTTTTTTCAACCTCGAAAAATAATCCTTTTAATAATATATTTGTCTTGTTATTTTTAAATGATTCTAAAAAAAAATAGAAATGTAAATAAGTAAAATTATTCAATAATAATATTATTTTTAAATTCTACAAACCAATAATATTATTTTTAACAATTTGATTGATGGATTTATAAATATCGGTATGATTCAATTTACTAATTGATCCAATTGTTTCACCTCCCCCATCCTTTTGATTGATAACTGTAGAGTTGGTGGTTGGAATACTTTGACCCAAATTATTCATACTAGTATTGGTAACGATCATATCTGGTGATTTTGTCATGATTGGTTGTTCTAGTAATGAAATATCCCTATTTCTTTGGGTCAACATATTCATTGCATCGAAAATTGTTTTTTTAGTCTCCAATACATTGGTTAATTGTTTTTTTACAAGTGCCAATATTTTGTTGATATCAGCGTTTACATCTAACCATGAATTTTCAAATACTATAGAATAGAAAAATATTAATAAATAACTGAACAACGAGTTCCAAGTACACTGACATACCTTGAAAAATACAACAAAATAATTCTTGAACTGCATGATAATGAGAGAATAGTAATGGTACAAATGTTAAATTCTTTGTTTCTTCACCAATTAAAAGTGATTGGTTCAACAAATGAGTTAGGTTAATTGCAATGGCAGAGAATGGGTAACATTGATTATCTCGTCTCTTTTGATTAGCACTATATATCTTTTTGATTATAGCTTGATTTGATTGAGATATTAATAATTTTGAAATAATTATTAATATTAATTAAAGATGTGAGTACATACAAGGATAGGTATAATAAATTGGTCAGACCTAAATACCAACTGTTTTAAACTCTTGATAAGGTTCTTCGGTATGAAACCCTAAATATTTCCATTCTTCTGTCGAATGTCCAGGTGGTAACAATGATTGTTTGTATCTAGTATACATATTAATAAAAGATGTTGGATCATTTTCAAATAATGTTGATCTTTGGTGATTAATTGATCTCCCAAACATTTCTTTATAATCATCAACATTGATTTTAATGTATTTTCTTTTAATGTATCTAAATGTTTATAAATTAATTAATATTTTTCTTTTTGTTTCTGGACTGAATTGTTGTGCTACACTACATACCATCAATTGAAAATCTTTGTATGATGACATCAATGATACGAGTTGGAAATGCTTTCAATGTAGTTGTATTCAACTATGCCATAGTTCTCAAACAAGAGTATGCATAAGTGAGTGCATTTCCTTTTAATTCCTTTATACATTTCTCCAATTGATCAATACCACTTCTTTCAACAAATAATGTTAATACTTGTTGATCCTAATATATATCAAATAGAATAAAAGATAGAATAAATGTTAATATCATTTCCTTCTCTTTCCTTTCATTCCCTTTCTTTTTCATTTTGATTATTATTTACCTGTAAATATTTATTTAATCTAAATAGATATATTGAACCAATATCAGCAATGGCATAGATCATCTCTAATACCTTATCAATTGTAATATCATGTTGTTGGTTTGTACTATTACTATTACTACTATTAATATTACTATTACTATGATCAGGAGTAGTTGTTAAAGAAGCAGTCAATTCTCTGTAATCTTTAATAAAGATTTGTATGGTGTCTATATCAGAGTGCACGTCAAATGACGATCCTTCATGAAGATATATATGATCTTGATCCTTTATACTGCACTCTTTCAGTGTTCTCTTTTTGTTGTTGTTGAGTGGAGCGTCCATGTGAACGATGGTGATGTCTATCCTGTCAGCCTCCTGTCTTCCTCCACCAGCTTCAACTAACCTTCCATTTGTCAATCGATTAGTTTCAAGTTCACTCACTGTAATCTCATCAACCAGTATATCGAAAAAGTATTTCCTCTGAGCTTGTACACGTAAAGTGATGGTTTGAAAGGGTTATAGATATTTTATATCTTGTGTGAGTTTAATGAATGATGAGATGGGTAAAAATCTAGCTTTCTCTTCATTTGATTTTTTTTAAATTTTTTCTCCTTTACCCAGGCTATGAGAGATCACGACGTTCAGTCTTGTGTTCATTCACTACATTCATTCGATCAACCTATGACAGCAACACCTCCACCACCCAAACAAACAATTAAGAGCCTTTTAGGTAAACTAAACGATGAGGTTTACCTCAACAGCTATACACTTTTATGTACAGAATGCAAATATGTTTTTTCGAGCAATGATGTCTTTGAAAGGCACCACCTAAAAAAAGAGGGTACTCATGTAGAATATCGACTCGATTTTAGCCCCCAACTCAGAACCATCATGAACATGGCCGCTCACACTCTGACCCCTGGACAGTTGGTAGAGGAATCAAATAGAAGGTTGTTTGAAGTCGCCGACCCAGATCTAGTGATTAGAGAGGGAACTATTCTAGACCCTAGCATCCCTATCGTCAGCTTTATCGGTGACTCTGGTGTAGGAAAATCAACACTCATCAGAAAGTTTGTAGAGAATATGTTGGAATGGCCATCCAGCTCAAACCAAAAAAAAGATCAAACCTATAACGGCACATCCTCGAGCATTACTTCCTTTAATGGACGATTACTAGATGAAACCAATAATAATAATAATAACGGTCGTCAAATTTATGTTTTTGACTGTGAAGGTTTTGAAGGAGGTGTTCCTTCAACTACTATCAATTATGAAAAAAATAATCAAAATAATAATAATCAAAATAATAATCAAAATAATAATAATAATAGTGATAATAATGATAGACCATACTGTTTCTATACCCAATTGGTTCATACTGTAAGCCACGTTGTAGTTATTGTTACCAAGAATTCCATTCTAGACATTACCAACAAGGTCATGAAATATACAGGGTTTATCGAAAGAAACCCCAATTCGAGCGTGGTGATTGTTCTTAATCAATTTGACGACCAAGAAATCCCCATCCTACCCGAAAACACTCTAACAGCGCTCCAAAGGATTTGTGTCAATACCCCCCAATTGGTTGTTGTACCAACAAACAACAATTTTATCAAGTTTCAACAGTCAATGGAAACCCTAAACAACATTCTCAACCATTTAACAAATAACCAACACCAAAATAACCACGCTCTCGACACGATAATAGGGGGTATCAATGCTTACAACAAAATAGCCAAAATAATCAAAACCAAAGACATTGTAGACTATTTTGGCTTTTCTCACCACGGTGCCACACTTTGTACTCACTGTTTGGTGTGTCAAAATGACCAATGTGAGCCATGCGAGGGAATGTGGACACATTTTGTTTCTCGTTTTGTCAATGGTCAAAACAACAGGTTGGTCATATCCGACAATTGCATCTTGCATCTACTCGTCATTCTCCACCATTTATCTGTGGCCACGGGGAGACCAGTCAACGATATGTTTCTTGGTGGCATTCAAAGTACTGGTGGCCTGTCTGATCATGTAGTCACCTGGCTCCAAACAAATACCCCAACCCAATTGATCCACCAACACCAGGCACTCGGCACCCAAGCCTTTCTCGATGAAATGGCCCCAGGCAGTGGCCAAGAATTTCATGGTCAGCTGGTATGTGATCACGATAATCACAATCAACAACAACAACAAGACACACCACCAAACAGAAATATCCTCTTTTCAAATTTCCACAAGGTAGCCTCTTTTGAAAACCCAAATGTGGGTTGTCACTCTGTTGGCTTTGCTACTGGCAATAGTTTGATCATATGAAATTTTTAATTTAATAAATGTACAATTAATATTTATATTCCTTTAAAAAATATCTTTTTTGTTTTTAGGCTCAGGCAGCCAACAAGATATTTAAAAGTTTTCGGGGCTCTTGAGAAAAAATTTTTAATTTATTTATTGATTGTTGTTCACAAGATCATAATGCACACACACATCACTTTCTTCTTCGATATTCATTTTTTAATATTGTTTTACAAGATAACAACAAAAGGTTTTTCTTTTGAAAGTAAAAGGTAAATAGGATTTATTTATATTATTCAATCATGATGTTAATCCCTTTTTTTTCCTTTATGATATCATTTTTTAACATTTAGATGTCTACAAGTAATAATAATATAGATAATAATAATAATAATAATCAAAATAATAATAATAATAATAATAATAATAATAATAATAATAATAATAATAATAATAATAATAATAATAATAATAATAATAATAATAATAATAATAATACTACTATTGATGTTTGTGAGTATGAGCTCAGAGGAAATCAACCACAGGGTCGTGCAAAACTGTGCGGAGACACTGCACATTATGTAAAGATTGTATCTAAAACAACAAGACTCTGTGAAAAACACTACAAAATGGTAGCCGACCCAGATGAGGAAGACTATGAAGATGAACTATCAAAAATGATCACACTATCAACATTTAAACAACTTGAATCGCTTGGCCTATCTGGTCCCAACTCGACAGGTGACATTGTAAAAGACAAGGAACAAGACCAAAGATCAAAACTGTTCTTTTTCAATCACCAACTAGCAAGACTAGAGTTTGGCGTTGGATGGAACGAGTTGCAAAAGTTGGAGCACATCTTGATGGTGACTGTAGTAGGACCTATGGGCTCTGGAAAGTCTGTCATTGCCAATATGCTCTCTCATAATGACGATCCCACTAAACCAAGAGCCATTGTCAGATCGATGGCATCGGCTGTAACCAGCTCTACCTCTTCAGACTACAACTCGTTTATTGCCAGTAATATCGTGGTTGAATCAACCGATTTAAAACCAAAGGTTGTCGTCATTGATACCGAGACAGTCAAAGAAGAAGAGACTACATCCTCAACCTCTCCATACCTTGGTGAAACCAATCATGAAAAGGAAGCCTGCCACAAATCCACCTCTCGTTTGCCCTATTTATGCGGAGATGTCTTGGTCTATGTCACGGCCGATCCCAAATCTACCCTTAAGATTGCAACCGACGAATTAAACAAATACACCACCATCAATGAAACTGGTATTATCAATCAAGTAAGAAGACCACATCTTATTCTTGTGTTTAATCGACAGCCTGCTGGTGAATCACACGAACCAGACTATCAAGAGTTTTATAAAAACGTTGGAGAGGATTTTAAGAATCTTTTCCGGTCCATTCAAATCGTTTCAATCCCTACATTTTCTTTGGATCCAAATCTATGCCTTTCCCAACTCGATAAATTGAAAAACAAGGTCAAAGAAGCTGCAAACAAATCTTTGGAAGAGATTATTGACAAAAAACAACAACATCTCATCAAACAAACCGAAAAGCTAAAGATAATATTTAAAGTAATCGAAATTGTCAACACTACCCAAGTCATTGACATGGCCAAGTTTGAAACCATCAAAAACAGAGCAAGCAGGGCACTTTTCAAAACATTGCGCCTATTAATGGGTGGTGACCGAAACAAGTTTGTTGGTTCTGTTGGAATTGTCAAAGAATTGTTTGACCTCTCCCTTTTGGGTAGCCAACATAAAACTCAATTTGACAAAATTAAAACAGAATTGCAAGATGAAATTGAAAATAAGATTGCTCCTTGTCAAGAGAAATGGGGAGTTCACTTTTGCTCCATTTCCAAGGAATCTCATACTTCAGGCCAAGAAGAGTGTCATAAATATGTTTATGGAAAAAAGATGAAAAAACTCCACATTACCAAGGGTAAACACACAAATACAAGCAATTGGAAGGATATATGGTCGAGATATAATATCACTGAAAAAGGCGATGAAAGAATCAATAGGAGAACTACCCTAAACCAAATGATTGGAAATGAGATAATCAAATCTCTTCCAACCCATACCGCTTGCTTTGGATGCCTGTTTAACTTCCCATCGCTCTTGCTCGACTGTGGCCATTTTATTTGCCCAGAGTGTTGGAAGTTTTACGGCCAAATCAAATGTCCCATCTGCTTGTCAGCAACACAAGCCAGTCTGTCAAATCAGAAACCGCCAAACCTATCAGGTTACCGTATTCTTAGTTTGGATGGTGGTGGTGTCCGTGGAATCATGCCATGTGTCATTTTGGATAAAATTCAAACACAATTGTATGGTATTGCAATCCATGATTTGTTTGACCTGATTGTTGGTACCAGCACGGGCGCTCTGATTGCTCTTGGTCTCTCTCTTCCCAATACGAGCAATGACGACTACCCTCTTCTTCCATTTCAACTAGAGTCCAAATTTTCAACGCTAAGCAAAAATGGCTTTGACAAAAAGTTTCTTGGATCTATTTTACGATTCTGGAATCTAGCAAAGTACGACCAAAATGCTTTGGCAACAACACTCAACGAATTTATCCCAAAAGACAAACTCCTTTTACTTTCTGGTTTGAAAACAAGAATTGCAACTGTATGCGCTCCACGCAGCGCTCCTGGCAAAGCGACTCTATGCCCATCGTACAACATTGACAACCAGAGGGAATACGAGAAGCTGCCCACGAGTGAGAAACTTGGAACCTCGCCATCTCCTAAAGAATATAAGAAAAGTGCCACCCCCCTAAAGGCTGCCCTTGCATCTGCTGCAGCACCAACCTATTTTGAATCAGTTGAAATAGGGGCCGAGTTTTATATGGACGGAGGTTTATTTGCCAATAACCCTTGCGAAATAGCTTTTGATGAAGGATTTAACATATTTGGCAAAGAGATGACTTGCGATCTTTTACTTTCATTGGGCACTGGCTCTGTAGACAACCCTATAGACTTTGAAACGTCTAAGCTTCCAATTATGGCACTTGTCAAGTATCTCAAAGCTGTCGCCACAAACAACAGCAAGAGTTGGAAAAGCTTGGAAAGTTCCCTTAAAAAGCTAAGGGCTCAAGCCAATTACCAAGCCACAACGGCAATCAGAATCAACCCAACTCTATCAACAAAAATTGGGTTGGATGAACATGACAAGGTTGATCAGGTTTTGGAGGAAACGGAAGAAGCCATCAAAAATAGCGTCATTGTGGAAGTTAAAAAGGGTCAAAAGTCTGAAACCCTTATTAAAGATGAAATTATTGGAATTCAATACCAAATCAATCAAATTTGTGATAGACTATTATCAACATTATTTTATGTCGAGCAATATGATACAAAAACAACAGACAAAACATTGGCTACTGTCACTATCAAATCTAGAATTGCTCTTCCACCCTCTATTACTCTACAAATTAATAGTCAAAGTTTTAAAGTACAACCATACCAACAACGACCAATCAAATTTATAAATACAAAACTGGAGAAGGGACTAGACACCTCCCACCCAATTTTCTCATTCTCGGGTGACATTCAAACAGCTGGCCTTGACATTGAAGGGAAATTAAATATTATTTGTTGTATTCCATGTAATCGCGATTTAAGATGGAATAATAACAATTCATTAATTTCTGGTTGTCCAATTCAATTAACTGCGACAAATATAAATAGAGCTTAAAAAATTAAATTAAATTAAATAAAAAGAAAAAATTGAGTAACAAATAATGAATACATGGTTGAAAAAAAAAAAGGAATTTTTTCAGCAATTTGTTTTTTTTTCTTAATGATGTTTAGATAGTGTAGTTTTGATGGAAAAGAATAAAAAATGAATAAAACTGTAGGGAATAGTGTGTACAATAAGAATATGATGAAAAAACGGCCCTGCTGGCCAGCAGCAAAAAAAAAAAATGCAAAAGATATCCGGTTTGCCAGGATTGAACTAGCGACCAGCTGATGACTTTTTACAAACTACAGTCAGCTGCTCTACCACTGAGCTAAAACCGGAAAGGGATGCTGATGCTCTACCGGTGAGGATGACGGCTGCTCTACCGGAATGGGATGCGAGAAAAAGTCATCAACAACTCGAAAAAGAACAATTTTTTAATCGACGACCCTATTGTCTATACAAAAGGTATCTAGTTATTATTTAGAGTAGAGAGGAGAGAAAGTCAAAGAAAAGTCATCAACAACTCGAAAAAGAACAATTTTTTAATCGACGACCCTATTGTCTATACAAAAGGTTATAAGTCTTAGAGACGGACGTCGATAGACTTTTCCTTTTGGTTACTTTTCCTTTCTTCATCGGAAAAAGATCAACCACAGCGAGATTTTTCACTTTTAAAAAAAAAGTAATAGTAGTCTAAAACAAAAAGTAAAAACAAAAAAAAAAGAAAAAAAAAATACTCAACTAAATAGTAAAAAACAAAAAAAAAAAAAATGAACACATCATCACCGGATTTTGAAATCTCCTTCATGTCCTTGATGGAACCCATCAAGGCCCAACTACGTCACCAAACTACTTCCAACTACCAACTCACAGTTACTGGTGCTGGAACTGACAACATTATCAACTTTATCAAAAACACGATTGGAGCCGACAAGTTGGCAAAACCACCAACAAGATCCAGAAGCAACAAGCATCGCCGATACCTCACCGATATCGTCATTGGTGTCCAAGAGAACGACGATGTGAAAAATCTACTCCTAAACCACTCGCCAGATTTCCAGGTCCAACTACTGGGTCTCACACGTCTCAACGTCAGAGTCACCGATGCTGCCCCAAAGAGAGAGAATCTAGTCCCTGCCCTCAAGCTGTGGACAACTGCCGAACCAAACTTTTCAAGAATGTCAACCTCCCCAAAGGGCTCCATCCTCACTGGATACTACTCTGAAAGCGAGCTGTACCTCGAAAAGGACAAACCAATCTCTACCGCCAATAGCAAAGCAGTTGCAACCGTCTCTGTCCCCACTACTCACAAGCAGTACAGAGAAAAGAAGATTGAAAAGGTCACCAACAACATTGTCAACCATACCAACAAGAACTACAATAAGAACAGAAATAGAAATAGAAATGGAAACGGAAACAATCGTAATAAAAGACCCAGCGACGAGCAAACACTCCAAGAGGAAGAGAAGGTCAACCGAGCAGGTAACAATAAGAACGTAATCAATACCCCACCTGCCGTCGATCAATCAATCTCTATCAACGTCGCCTCACCAGCTCTCAGCCCCATCGTCTTGCATGATCTTCCAGCCCAAACCAGCGACTCACCCAACCCCAGCACCATAGCAAACGGTCCACCAGCCACCGCCAAAGACCCTCCAGGCACTGCCAACGCCCCTCTGGTCATTGACAACACCAGTGCTACACCATCTGCTGCCACCCAATCTCCACCCTCGACCGACAACTCTAATGATGAATCAGACCAATCCAATGGATCCAGTGTCACATCTAATGTGTCCTCTTCATCATCAGAGCCCAGTGTAGATGGGATCGACTCCCCATACAAGCCACCAGCACCACCACGCGTGTCGATTGCAGAGGCCAAAGAGCTCATCAAGCAAGAAAAAGCTCGCGAGGCTCTCAAAAAGAAATCACCCATCAAGCAAGTGACTGGCTCGATCACCAACTACTTTACACACATCCCCAGATTTGTAAAGCCCGCCGCCAAACCAACCGTCACCACATCTACCACATCCACCACATCCAAATCCAACAACAATGTATCCAAAGTGTTTGATCCCAAGGTGCCCTCCACCAATAGAACCGTAACAGGAGGACCCAAGGGTGCTCCTACCAAATAAGGATACTCTACTGGAACTGTCAGGGACTGTCGTCACCCCATGCCCAGAACCTCGTCGCCACCGACGTCACGTTCCATCGCCCTGACATTTCGATTCTTGCGGAGACGAACCTCGACAACGATACTGCCATTACCAAGACCTTCCCCAATTCCACCTCGTTCATGAATGGGAAAGGGTCAGGCATCACCGTCGTCAACCACACCACCAATATAATAACCTACAAAGAAATCGCAAAAGGAAGAATGGTCAGCATCACGATCAACTCGGACAAGCCGTTCACTATCATCGCTGTCTACATACCTGCAAATGACACAAAAGGTAAATGGGTACGAGAGTACATTACCAGCAACCATCTAGACGGTGCTGACATGTTTATCGGCGACGTCAATCTCAACCGAGACAGCAACGAGTACCTCCCAAGGTACCTCAAGACTACCCTAGAGTGCTCTCAACTCTACGAGGCTACCATTACGACGGGTCCATCATACTCTTGGAAACAGCGTACAATCGACCGGTTGTTCACTACTCCATCCACAGCCCAATCGATCCAATCATTCATGTTTGTCGAAGGCTCCAAATCAGACCACAAGATTATGATCGTTGACACTAACCACTCTATCCTATCCAACAACAAAAAGAAGAAGAAATCACCACTGTGGGTGCTAAAGGGTTCCCTGCTCTTTGACCCAACAGCCAACCTACAAATAGAATCGCTCATTGAGAGTGCCAACCAAATTACCACCGATCCAACCGAACTGTGGTTACAAGCCAAAACCAAAATCCAAAACATCTACACCAGAGCTGCCCATCGAGAGGCTGACATCAGAGTGAGACGCCAAAGGGAACTGCTCCGACTCATCAAGTCTTCCACCGCCGCCAACAAGAAACAACTCGAAGAGTGGAGGGTCGAGCATCAAGATCTAGTCGACACCATCGAAAAAGAACGTAGAGAACAACACTGTGTCTCCAGAATTCGATACGGCGAGGTACCGTCAAGGTTCCTAACGGCCATGATCAAAGGTCGTGAGAGGGATCGAGAGGTGTCGTCCATCAAGCACCCAACCACGTCTGCCATCTGTGAAAAGGAAAAGGACATCTTGGAGGCCTTTCGACTCTCGATCAAGATATTGTATACTCGATCAAGATCAACTCTATTTTCAGCTTTATAGTTGTTGATATAGATAGACACGATTGATGGTATCTTGTAGAGAGGTTCTAACAAATTTGGTATTTAATTCTCCAACAATACAGTTGTAATGCTACTTGGATCTTTTCTTAAACTTGTACAAATACGATCTTGTATCCACATTGGATAGTCATTATTGTTGGTTTGACGTGGGTGTAAAACATGTTGATCCGATATCGTACTATTCTTTAATATATCTTGAAAAGAGTTGAGGTTGTATTGAGTAGCTGTTGATCTAAAATTGTAATGATTTATCTCCTTTATCATTGAAAACTCTTATTCCTTTAAACTTTATCAATCTTCTAATTCGATGTGGTATACTATTATAATACATTTGTCTACAAGTTAATAGTAAACATATTATATCTACATTATCAATTGATGATAGTCATTATATAAAATTTAAAGAGATAGAGAGAATAAAAAAAGAAAATATTCTTGATCAATTTGTTTTCCACCTTCACTCACTCATCTAACAATCTTGGGAGAGTATGAACCGATCGGGGATTATCTCATCAAATTAAAATAAGAAATCAATCAAGCTCCAACTTTCCCACTTCTGGAGTTTAAAAAAACTAGTTTCGAATGTGGACTCGGAAACCAAAGATACCAATTTTATCCAATCCTCTACTTCTTATCCACCTAATCTTGAAAACTTCAAACTCTCTTGTGATGATATTGAATATTTTGTTGCACCAACCATCAAATATCTATCAATATCTTTAAAAGAACAACCAATACAAAAATCAACTAATCTTTCAATCTTTTCAATCAGATCCATACTCATCAAACATATCTGACCAACAACAAATATGGCCACCATACAATACAACACATCCAACTTGTAAAACAATTCCTGCTCTCTCACAATGGTCATTTAGATTAGATGAAATAATCAATCATACCAATGTTCGATATATAACTATAATCATTTCAAATTCAACATTTCATTTTAAAATTCAAAGATTGGACACTGATAATAGAAATGTATTGGTATTGGAAAAAGAGTAAAGAGTCACTTGTTGGTGGAATCATCGTCAACAAAAAAGAAAAGAAAATAGTATAATCAACAACAATATGAACCAATTTATCTAATCTATAAAATAATATCTTTGAATCCAATAATTGTATGGAAATGGCATTGGTGTTTTGAACATAATAAAAAATAAATAATTAAATAATAATTTTTCAAGTGTCCATCTCTTTTTTTCTTTATTGAATTAAACAATTACCTTTTTTATATTGTTTTCCTTTTAAATTATTATTATTCTTTTGATTATTATTTTGATTATTATTATTAATAATTTGTCTATTAAGATTTGGTTGAATAGTAGTATCATATTTTAATTTTGATTTTGGAAGTAATTGTTTCATTTCTGTTAATAGGGTAGTTGGAATATTTGTTGTATTTGTACATTTAATTTTTAAATTACTAGTTGTTGATTTGAATGTAATGATATAGCTTTGATGAATGGATCCCATTAATTCCTTGTACATTGGTACTAGTTGTAATCGAGTATTCTTGTCATAGTCTTTGTCCAATAGACATCGATACATGTGTTGACGTGATGGTTGAGTATCGATTTCAAAGTTTAATAAAGTTGGATGATACAATATTGTTGAAAATAATTCAATCATTGATTTTTGTGTTATATCTCCTCGTGATTGAACTCTTTCATCGTCTGGTTGTGAATATTTTTCAGCAACCTCTTCCAAATGTATATTATTATTTTCATCATTTTCATCTACTTCTTCTTGTAAAGTTGCCCAACATTCTACAACCGCAAGTGTTAATAATGATTGACAATTATTCAAGATGGTGGAGAGTTGAGAAAAGTTTTGATTATTTAATAAAAGTTTGGATTCGAGGAGGAGTGATTGAAGGTTGGTGAATTGATTGGTGAATAGATTCCATTTACGTTGATCGTCCCAACTATATTTGATATCGTATGCAAAATAGATTCGAAGGTTTTGGATTGAATTGCTGATTAATAGAGGATCACCATACTCTACATTATCCATTTCCAAACCAATCGAAGTGATAGACGGTTTTGCAATAGCCTTGTGAAATAGAGCTGATAGATTGGTTGCACGTGACACTGACACTCTATTGACTGAAAACACTTTAATGTTTGGTAGATTATTGACGACATCTAGGAATTGTCTACTATAGTCATCGGTTTGCTGCCAATTGAATGATGGTGCAAAAAAGTATTCCAACAATTGGAACCGTGTCAAACTCGATAGGACACTTGGTTGAATGTTTCCAAATTGTAGAGACAGACGTTTGAGACTGATGGGAAGGTTACTGATAATGTCGTACTGCCATTCCGACTGACACTCGACCAACGACAAGTCGGTCAGTGTTTTGGACGAGAAAAAGTTGGTCATTGCGATAGGGAGTTGGTCATGTTCGGGTTTTAGCGACTGTCTTCTATTGGAATAGGCATTTTGGTTTTGAGTGGCATGACATTCACAGTCAATCTTGGTTGCTCGAGTTGTCAACAATCTAATATGATTCATGACATCATGAGCTTGCAATACTTTTCCACCTTCTTGAAATGTTGGTCTTACCCATTCTGATCGTTGTCTAATCGTAATGACATCGGGTAGTTTGTTGCCTGGATAATTGATCAATAGATCCATTAGGATACTGAGTGACCCCAATAGATGATCAGCTGGACAGAATCCAAGTACATAGATGGTTAAATGGTTCAATGTAGTATAGCACTGTGTTTGAAACCACTCTAGAGGTACTTGATTGGCTTGTCGATGATGTCTAAATGTAATCATATCTTTCGAGGTATCTGGAAATCTACTATGAGTACCATAGTGATAGTCATCATAGATGAATAGATGATTGAATGATTTTATCAAACAATACCGACTAGACATGTGACTATACATCTCCACAATATCATCTTTCATTGGTTTAAAGCATACTTCACTAACTTCTAAAAATACATTTGATGACATATTAAACCAATTCCATGATACTATTGCTAAAAAAAATAAAAAGAAAAAGATATAAAAAAGAAAGATAATTAGTACAAATAAATACAATCATCTGTTAAAATGGTTAAAGACTTTACATACCCAATTCTAATTTTTGTTTCTTACTATAAAGATATCTATTCTCCCATTTTAAACACCAACAATAGTATATAATCTTTCTTTGTAATATTAATGGTAGATATTCATATGATGATGTAATAATATCATCATTATCATTATCTCTTTTAAACATCTCTCTATCTCTCTTCCCGCTTTAAAAAAAAGAAAAATAAAAAAAAGGTGTGTCGATCAAAGAGATGATCATCCAAAAAAACCTTTGCACAAGATATCTTCATGTCTTGAACCAAATTCACAGAAGTTAATTTTGATAATGATTGTGCTTGGCTATAGTTAGCTGCAAACTAATCTTTTATTATTCTTTTATATAATATATATTTTAATATTAATATTGTGATTTAAAAGTCTTCTACAACTTTTGTTTGGATGTGTTTTAGAAAAGAGTCTGTCGAGATGAGATTAAAAGAAGTGGAGGAGATGTGTGATCATTCGTCTTTTCGCGTGATAAAGAGATAGATGATGGCATACATTAAAACACGATTAATACGTCGATACTAAAGTAATGTGATACTAAAGTAACATATAAAAGAATGATGATGGTTGGTTGATGGTTATATTCATCATCATTACAAATCATCAAATCATCAAATCATTCTCTCCTAATCAAACCTACCTAAACAACTTATCCTAAAAAATGTTTAAATCAACAACTCTAATGTTTACTATTTTTGTTATTATTCTTTGTGCCGCTGTAGTTGCAAATGCTGCTAGTATGTTTATATATTAAATTTTATTATACTAGCTTTTACTAATTACCTTTTTTTTTCGCGGCGGTTAACCAACTATAGTTACAAGTGTTGTTCAAGAAGGAAAGAAACTTACAATCAATTATTCACCAATGACAATGATTTGGTTTGATAATCAATTGATCAATGATGGAGTAACTTATGATGTCAAACCATATTGCAAGGCCATGTATGGATGGTCTCCATTGGTTTGCAACTTGCTATCTGTTCCTGATTGTGATAGTATTCGTCTCTATGGTTCTGCTGGTATCGGTGCTACTAATCTTCAAATGCTCTATACTTTTAATTGTACTGTCATTGCTTAAATTAATCAATAGTAATAATAAGCTTGCACAGGTCGTGACACGACCACCGAAAATATAATTCATTAATAAATATTTGTTTTTTTTTGATCTTCTTTGTACTTGTTTTCTTTCAAATGAACTTCATGAACCAAGCCCAAGCTTTGTTTTAGATATGCCACCGAAACAAAGTTATAAACAAATGTATCTATCCATCTATCTATTATGATTCTAAATAGAGATAATACTAAACAACAAACAACAGATAAAAGAAGTAAGACTAGAGTAGAGTAGAGTAGTATGGAACAACCAGTTGAAAGCAAGTTGTATCATGGTTACTCTTTTTAATGGTCAAAGGTGTTTATCCAACTGTATGTATAGTTACATATGATATTATTATTTAACAAATTATGTTTGAATGATAACTAATTTCACCGTATCCATCATGTTTTATAGATTAATCATCAAAATATTTGTTTCTGGTAAAAAAGAGTTGACAGAGGAGAAACAATATTGTTTGATGATGCCAATGTTATTATCGATTCTTTCAAATATCGATGGTATTGCTCGTGGTGACCTTATTGATAGGATTGTCCTCAACCTATACAATTTACATGGTTCAAAGAATCAAAAGTCGATAAAGAAAATGACCCTTCAGATCATTAAAACGTTGATCGAGGTGTTGGACAGACATTGTGAAACGGGGTTCAAAGACACTTCAAGAACAAAAAGCATCATTTTTGATTGCTTGTTGTTTATGGCCACACCCACCAACTTTACCGACCAAACAGAGAGTGTCATCAATCATTTATACGAGTGGTTGGTCAACCAATTCGAGGATGCCCCATTGGAAGAGTGGACAGATAGTCGATCCGAGAGTGGCAACTTTTACATTTACTCTTTCGAAAAAGATGATGATGAAACAGTAAAAGTAAAAAATCAAGAAGATCAACTCATTGCCGCCCATTTAGGTATTAGACGATTGGTGGAACTTGATCAACGCGCTCTCGTCCCCATTTTCAATCGTTTAATGACCATGTTGGACTCTAAACTATGGAGAGTAAGATATACTGCTTTGATTAGTATATCTGAATTGTGTGTAAATACAAATCTCAGTCACAATATTACAAATCAATTTCCATTGGTTTTAAAGTATGTTAAAATTAACAAATATAAATATTATTTAAAAAAATAATTATTTTATTTACATTTACTTTTTATTTATTATAGGTTAGTATTAAACTCGGTAGATGATGAAAATATTAAAGTTAGATGGGCAATGCTTCATTGTTTGGGTAAACTATCTATTGAAATGGGTAAAGAGATGAATGAATCAAGAGTACAAATATTTTCTGTAATTTCAAAATTTATTGATGATCCAAATGAACGTATCCAAAATCGTTGTAGTATGTTGATTCTTTTACTGACCGATTCATTTACAAATGATAATGTTGATGATAATGTTTTCAAAGTATTAAATGGTTGGTTTGAAATATTACTCGAATCAACAAAACCATATGTACTTGAATGGGCAATTCAATCTTTAATGTATGTCATTGATAAAGTTTATAAAAGATGTAAAAATGTAAGTCAACAATAGTAAAAATGTTATATTATTATTATTTTAATTAATTTATTTATTTATTTTTAGTATGTTGGAAAATTGATACCAATTTTCTTTTCATTTTTGGAAAAACCTTTTACCAAACAATCAAAAAGGTTTTGTAGAGGTGCAATCAAAACATTTTCAAAATTTTCTATATTTATCGACAAGAAGATGTTACAAAGGTTTATGAATGAAATGTCTTTTGATCCGGTTGATATTGTCAAGATATCACCTATATTCATTCAAGCTATTGGAAAGTGGTTTAATCTATTTACCAATGGTGGTCAGGATGATTGTCGATATACTAGATTATCCACTCAAAGAAGAAAAGAAAAGAAAAAGTGTTCTCAAAGTTTTGATAAAAATCATAGATTACAAACCATTGGCACCATTTGTACCTTGCTTGGTACCTCTTTTATGCAACTTGGTAGTATTGGAACTAGACGACGATCAAATTAAAGACATTTCCATGGACCTCTTACCCCAATGTATGAAGCTGTGCAATCTAGCACAAGTGGGTATCGAAAAGACAATCAAAGTGTTTGGTAGACAACTAGATACGGTACTCGAAGAAATTTTGGATGATTTCAACTATGGCACCATGTATGAATATGTCGACTTGACAACCAACATTATCAAAGCAATGGGAAATGATGTAATAATGACTTTGGATCAAGTTGAATCGACGCTCAACACATTTACCGTGGTGCTGGAAATGCTTGACTCTGATTTTCACGACTCTGATGTAGAGGATAACCTCTACAGACCGATTAGCATGATGATCAAGCTTAACAGCACCGCCACATCACCTCTCATTACCTATGACATATTGGATCGATGTTGCAAGAAACTTGGAGACACCAATACTGATGAAGTATTTTGCAAAGGAGAAATCCTCAACTTTTTAACCGAGTATTGCAAACATGGTGGTGAAAGTGCAATCAACTCATTTCCACAGATCATACCAACCATTATCTGGTGTCTCGTAAACCTTGATGATGACTGGGATCTACGTACCGCTGCGACTGCACTTGGTGCGGCAGCACAGACTGCCAAAGATAGGTTCTCGCCATGGGCTACGGAAGCGATTCAAGGATTGGAAAATATGATCCTAACATCTACATCCAAAGACTCTATCCGAGCCAAAGAAGCAATATCAAGTATTGGAAAAATCATCAGATATGTTCCACAAGTCGTCGTCATCGTTGCCAACACTATCGATATTATTCCAAGATGGTTGAATCATCTTCCACTCACAGTCAGGTACAGAGAATACACGAGAGATTCTTCTGTCATTGAAGACCTATGTGCGATTGTCCATCTCTACACCAACAAATGTTTGGGTAAAGATTACCAACATGTTACTCAACTCTATAAAATCATCAACCACTATAAAAAACAACAAATGTCAAAGAGAGTCATATACATGAACTACTCAATCAAACTTGGTCATTGATTATAGATAAAGAGAGCGAGAGAAAGATAGAGAGATGATTGCTTACATTAAAATAAAATAAAATTAATCTATCTATCTATCTATCTAAAATGATTCTTCTAAATAGAGATATTACAACAAACAGATCACAAGTAGTATGGAACAACCAGATGATGAATTTATAGAGACTATTGTCATTTTAACAAAGCATAATAACAAAAATAGCAATGACAAAGCAAGAGAAGCAAAACAAAGATTCGATAACTATGTTTTAGATAGAAACAAAGTTGTCAAGGGAGTTTATCCAACTGTATGTATAGTATTTAACAAATCATGTTTGAATGATAACTAATTTCATCGTATCCATCATCATCATTAGAAAGATAGAGTTGTTTATTGATTCAACCCTAAAAATAAATAAATAAGTATAAATAAATAGAATCTAGGTTTCCAGCTCAATCAAAGTAAATAACCTCTTTATAAATTTATTGTTGATTAATAATTATTCAATCATCTTGCAATATTGATCGTGTTGGGTGGCGGCTTGTGGAACATATTTGATGATTTTTTCAATACTCGACAACGCTTCTTCCTTGGCTTGGATAGCGTCACTAGAAGATGTGGGGGGCATCATGGCGATGGTATCCAATCCTTGAAGCGCCTCGGTAGCCCATGGTGAGAATCTATCTTTGGCAGTCTGTGCTGCCGCACCAAGTGCAATAGCAGCGCTACGTCGTTCAGAGTCATTATTAAGGTTTACGAGGCACCCGATTATGGTTGCCATGATCAGGGGAAATGAGTTGATTGCACTCTCTCCACCATGTTTGCAATACTCGGCTAAAAAGTCTAGGATTAAATCCTTGCAATTGTCAAATTCAATCTCTCCAAGTTTCTTGCAATATCTACCCAACATTTCATATGTGATAAGAGGTGATGTGACTGTGCTGTTAAACCTGATCATCGTGTTAATCAGTTTGTAGAGATTGATCTCGACATCAGGTACAAGTGAATTCTCGTCAATAAGCCTTTTTTGTACCTCGGTCACTATACTTAGCGTTGATTGAACTTGATCCAATGTCATTACGTCATGCCCCATTGCATTGATGATGTTGGCTCCCAGGTCGGCACATTCATACATGATGTCATCGTTGGTATCATCGGAAATTTTTTTGAGTAAGCAATCCAGTTCCATACCAAACTCTTTGATTGTCTTTTCGACACCCACTTGTGCTCGAATGCACAGCTTCATACATCCAGGTAAAAGATTGGAAACTAAGAAAATTATGTCTCTATCGTAGTCAACTTCAAGGCTCGAAACTGCAAAGTTGCACAGTGGATGTACCAAGGAATGTACGAATGGTGCCAATGGTTTGTAATCTGAATTTATCATTTTTTTCAAAACATTGAACGCTCTTTCCCTCTCCTCTTCCAAAGAATCATCTGAGAAATTCTCTAGTATATCGACAATCATCTTGACTACCATTGGTAAATAGAGTTTAAATGACTCTCCAACAGCTCGAATGAATAGAGGTGACGCCTCGACAACATCAATCGGGTCAATAGACATTTCACTCCCTTTGGCGAAAACCATAAACCTGTTCAAGGTCTTCTTGTCAATATCTGAATAATTATCTGAAAATTTCTTGATTGCACTCCATAAAATCTCTTTAACATTTTCTGTTGAAGGTTTTTCCAACAATGAAAAGAAAATTGGTACAAATTTTCTTAACTTCTAAAAAATATCAAAATAAATAAATAAATAAACTAATTATTATAATAGTAATCATTACAGTTATGTATATTACTTACATTTATATCCGAGTTGGACAAAGACACTAACGTATGAATTGTCCATTCAAGTACATCCTTTTTTGGAGATTCAAGTAGTATTTTCATCCAGTCACGTAATACTTTGTAAATGTATTTACCACATACACCATTTCTCACCGATTGGTACTTTTGAAAGATCAACTCGAAACAACCAGTATTGATACGTTCATTCGGGTCAATGACAAATTTTGATATAATAGAAAATGGGTTGTCCCTTGATTTAACAATCTCTTTACCCATAACAAAAGATAATTTAAACAAACAATGAAGTAATGCCCATCTAACTTTTGTATTTTCATCATCAATCAATTTTAATATCAACCTTAAAAAATATATAAATAAATAAATAAAATTTATAATTGATATCAACAATCTCTTTATAATTTTACATACTTTAAAAACAATGAAAATTGATTTGAAATACTGTAATAGTGGATATGTGAACACAATAATAATTGGGCAAAACTAATCAATGCCACATATCTTTTTCTCCATCTTTTAGATTCAAATAGAGTGGTTAAATGATTGAAAATGAGGACTGCCGCACGTTCACCAAAACCTCTTATCAATCGATTCACGGTTGAATTATGAATGCCGATGAGTTGAGCTTCTTGTTTATCGTATTCACAATTTGTCCACTCTTCCAATGACACATCCTCAAATTGGTTGGCCAGCCACTTGTACAAATGATTGATGACACTCTCTATTAGATTGTCGGTATAGTTGGTGGGTGTGGCCATATCCAACAAGTAGTCAAAAATGATTCTTGGAGTGCCTGTATAATCATTTTCACAATGTCTGTCCAACACCTTGACCAACTTGCCAATAGTTTGTTGAGTCTTGTCTTGTTCAAGTGACTCTGCCAAGTCTTGACCAGATAGAAAATTTCTAAACATCCTTTGATATTTGTTCTTTGATCCCATTTTGGGTAAAAGTAATACATATTCTAAATGAATCATTAATTCATTATCCTTTTCTTCTTCCTCTCCACAATTCTTTCTCTTCTTACTCTTCTCTCTATTTAAAATGGTCTCCAATGATGGTTTTAATTCATCCCATCCACCTAAAGATAAGTAGCAGTATTTTGATTAATAATTATTATTAAAATTAAATAAGATTACATTGGTGGTACATACGACTTGATATTAAAAAAGTAGCCATTGATTTAATAATACCAAACAAATGGGATTTGAAGGTATCTGTAAGTGTTGAATTGATCAACTCGGCTGCCTCATACCTTACAGCCTCAAACACTGGTTGTGGCACTGATTCTACAAACTCTTCATCAAGATACAGTAAGCTATAAAGTAACTCTATTGCTTTTTCTCTTATCTGTGAATGATATCAGTTAGCATAATTTAGATCATTCACACAAAGTTTGATTAAAATAATATGAGGGTAACAAATCGATTTGTTCAATACTATACATACAATTGGGGAAAGACCCTTGACCGTCAAAAAGAGTAACCATGATACAACTTTGTTAGGAAGACGAGAATAGATTTCGAATAGTTGGTGTGCTTCTCTAACCTTTGTATTATTGTCAGAATTGTTATTATTATTATTATTATTGTTATTGTTATTGTTATTGTTATCTTGATTTGCTAAAACAACAATCATCTCAATAAATTCTTCATCTGGTTGTTCCATATTTTTGATAATTTTTTAATCTTTTTTTTTTTTTTATTAGATTACTCTACTCTTTCTTTTATTTGATTGTTGTATTATCTCTCTATTTAGAATAATAATAGATAGATAGATTCCTTTTGTTTCTGTCGGTGGGTTTGCATATTCTATTCTAAAAATAAAAAGGCTGAGTTTCCAGTTCAAAAGGGAAAAAAAAAAAATATGGATGATGGTTGGTGAATATGAATCTAGTCTAGACTAATACATATATATATATATATATGTTGCCTAAAAGCGAGATATACCTATTCTCTTTTGATTGTTTATGATACGGGTAGTATCTCAACCCAACAACTTTTGTAGTTTAAAAAATACTATCATCAACATATTGTTGAAATAAAATTAAATCGGTTCATCTTCTTAGTCTTGCTGTTAAGAGTTGAAAAAGTCGTCTGACACATCGCTGATTTGAATCAACCACTCGTAGAAATGGACGATGATGCTTTCTTCGATCGGTATAGTGCCGCCGTTCCACATCGTCTGTCCAACACCATTGACCAACATGCCAATGATCTGATAGGTCATTTCCACTGTTGATTCTTTTCAAAAACTTATGTCTTTGTAATCTAGCCAGCTAACATCAATCATCCCATCGAATTTATTGAAGTAATTCACACTGTTCAATAACAATGTGGCCATGATTAGTCATCATCTTTGATACATTTCTATAGTATTAATTAACATGTTAAGTTATCTTTCTTTAATTTGAATCCTTCTTCGTGATGGTCCTCTCCATTTGCAATGGACTCTACTAGAGTAGAATCTATTGGTTCAAGTAGTTATACTGATTTCTCTGTAATCTATATATTTCGATGATAAAGGAAAGATTGAATGATATCGCTCCATTTTTTTTTGCAAGGACATTCCACAGGAAGAGTGATAATAATAATATCATGGCCAAGTGATAGTATATGATAATTCCAGCATGGCCAAGAGCAACCCAAGGACCACGTACTCAACGATACGACTTTTGCACTAAAAGGAACGCATTTTTCCAGCTATAATTTTTGTATCTAATAAAAAAGAAATATCGTCAAATTTATTGGGTTTAGAGGTATATACATGACCAAGTGATAGTATATGATAATTCCAGCATGGCCAAGAGCAACCCAAGGACCACGTACTCAACGATACGATTTTTGAAATCTTGAACGGGCACCACGACCACCGAACTTCTTTGGCTCACATCTACGTGGGTCAGCGACGAGGAGGGCACGATCGTAGGCGAGGAGGGCCTTCTTGATGATGTTCTTGGATTGTTCATCAACGTCTAGAAAGGGTAGGAGAGAGGAGAGGTAATGATACAATCAACGAGTTAGATAAACTATCTCTAAGATGTACAAGATTCCATTTGGTGAATGGAAATCCCAAACAATTTTTTTTTTTTTTGGAAACCCAAAAAAAGAAAAATGTTGTCATTACACTTTTACCAGCAGACAGGTAATAGGAGAGAGAGGAGAGGTAGAAGAGACTGCTAGATGCTAATACTGCTGTTCTGTACTATACTACTCGTCATACTATACTGCTGCTACTACGGTAAAAAGTGAAGAGGGTGAGGGATTAATATTGATAATAGTTTATACATACACTTTTGGGTGTAAGCAACGAGGGCCTTGGCAATAGCTTGACGGATAGCGTAGATTTGGGCAACTGGACCTCCACCACGGACACGAACACGCATATCGACGGTTTGGAAAGCGTTGATTTCGTTGTTCTTGAGGACGACGAGTGGCTCGAATACCTTCAAACGGAGGGTTTGTGGTTGGATGAGCTCGAGTGGGACACCGTTGACACGGATCATACCCTTACCTTCAGTGCAGTAAGAGACGGCGACAGCGTTACGCTTCTTACCGTGAGTTTGGACGGACTTTTTCTTTTGAACAGTGGTCATTGTATCTCTACGTGATTGCTAAAAAGGAAGGATCAGATATCTCAGATAGAGGTTATGAATAGTAGAGAGAGCAGGCGGTGACTGACCGAAGCACGAGAGTACCCACAACGACAAACGACACTAAAAAAAAATATTGAAAAAATGTTCAAATTCATTTTATTTTTTGATGAAATATTGCCCGGCTCTACAAAAAAGTTGAACAAACAACTCAACTCCAACTCTTTTCTTTATTATTGAAAGAGATAGAGAGAGAATCATATTTATATTTATATGTAAATACATATATTTATGTATATAGACGTATATATATATTTATACATCACATATAAATAATAAATGTAAATATACTTTGTTCAAATAATAAGAGAGGGAGAGATATACGCAAATAATAGATAGATACAGCAGAGTAGATCAGAGTATACAAACCACATCTACTACAAACTAAAGTATGTACATTGGATAAGCCTATGAGTGTATAACTATACTTATTTAATCTATCATATATCAATCAGACGACAACTTATTTTCGATTTGCTATCATTGCAACTGATCAGCTTGACAGCAGCAATCCAGCAAGTGACCGCATCGATTGCCGAAGCACTCCAGCAGAGATTGCGCAGTTGTAGTAATGTAGATTCGTCTTCCCCTCAAGGTAGTGGTTGTATCTATGATCCTGAAAATGAAAAAGTATTCTGTCTTTATAAGGACATAGAAGAGATTGATCAGGAAATCAAAGCTATCATTGCTCGATCAAGGCACGAGGAAAAAAACAAGTCAGTTGGCTAGATGAGGTGAAAAATAAAGCCAACAAGACCATCTATCGTTTGGTCACAATAGATAAACAATACATAGCAGCGGACATCCAAAATAGGTAACATGGAAAAGAACCAAGATAATTCAATCTTTTATTAACCTGAAATTTATCTTTTACATACTATTACATCTTATAGAGCACGTACTTTTCTTCTGAATAGTAATTGGTTGATTTACCTCTAGCGACCAATGAACTTTTTCTTTGCCATAGGCATTCCATTCATCTACCAATGATATGAGATTCCAATAGATATCACTTCTCCCTCAACTAGAGAAATTGGATTGTACGTATCGAGAATTGTTTGACTACTTTAGATTTATTTATTTATTTATTTTTTTTATTTTATTTTTTTCAATAGAGTTGGTCAGTATGGTATTGGTTTACATTAATAGTCTTGGATACAAGTTGAATATTGGGATATTGGCAAATGATTCATTATTTCATGCCGTCGATTGTCTTTTTAATTAAAAGTCATTCGTAGGTGATGGTCTTTTTATTAGAGCAACTTATAAATTTATATATGATCATTATCAGAGTTTAGATTAGATTTTAATGATGATCATTTATCTTTTTTTTTTTTTTTTGCTTTAATAAAAAGACCATCACATTGCACTTTTGCCCTTGGTCGAACCTCCTGACTAGTCAAGATCAACCTTTAAACCTTTCGAACCTGACTCTTTTTAGAATAAACAAAAATTAAATTACCAATTATTTTATAATATATTTATTATTTTCTAGATCACCAAACTTATCTTTATTTTGCGTCATGTTATACATCATGTCATTGTGTTTATTGTTGCTTATAATAGTATGAGAGTGAATCTCTCTGATCTGATGGAATAGTGTCCCAATTTGATTCTAATGTATCTTTGATAAATGTCCACGTTTGGTCGAGTAGTTCAAAATGTATATGACTCTTTTTGACTGTTCTTTGTTTATAGTGATCGATGATTTTATAGAGTTGAGCAACATGTTGGTAATCTTTACCTAAACATTGGTTGGTGTAGAGATTGACAATCGCACACAGGTCTTCAATAACAGTCTCTCTCCTGTACATGTATGGTATTGGAAGATGATTCAACCATCTTGGAATAATATCGATAGTGTTGTTGGCATATCTGATGATTTTTCCAATACTTGATATTGCTTCTTTTTTGCCTGAATCTTCTGATGTAGACTTTAGGATCATAGTTTCCAATCCTTGAATCGCTTCCACCTGTTACAGTGTCATTTTCCATTGTTCTAATGATTGTTGTTCCAATGTCAAAGAAACGAGCAGTGTCTTGCAGGTCGACATTAAAATATTTAATGATGACCGAGTCGAGTACCTTGCCAAACTCCTCGATTGTCTTGTCGATACCCTCGAGTGCTTGATTGCACAGCTTCATACAGGCAGGCAATATTTCATCGGAAACTATTATAGTGTTGACACCCATTTCCAAGCACTTGCATAGTGGCTGTATCAGACAATGTATGAATGGCGCCAATGGTTCATAATATGTAACAAGTATATACACAAGCATGTGTAAACTTCTCTCGTCTTGTTGTCTCTTTAGTATATTAATGATCATCCTGAAATACTTTTGCAAACTGAGAATCATGCTTTTTATTGATTAATTTATTGTTTACATTTTTACTTATTTATTAACTTTCTAATTTTCTTTTAAATATTAGATTTGAATACATTGCAAGTTGAATAACTTTCTCTTCAAAACAAGTAGGTGGTTTGGATACACTGGCACATAGATTGAAGTCTGGTCCATTTAAAAACGATAATCGTGATTCGGATGGTGGTGATTTGATTTGCACGATGGCTGTTGTGACATGTTTGATTGGTGAAAGTTGTTTTAAAATGTCAATAGGATTTTTGTCGTCGTTGATCTTACCATCAGCGTACAACTTGAATGTAGCAACTGATGTATTGAGAGGGAGGAATTCGATAGTTCGTTCTCTTTTTGAAATAATTTTTGTGATTGTGTTTGGCAGTTGGAATAATGTAAATCCCAAGGACGAAACGGTAATGTCCAAGCTTGTCAAGTTTGGATATTCATCCAAGCGATAAGGTTTCTTTAAAGAGAAATTGACAGAGATTGATCGGAGAGACTGTTTGACGTTGTTTGGTAGAGCCGCGTAGTTCTCTGGACCATTATGGATAGAAGAGAGGTATAGTTTGGTGATTGGTAGTCCATTTAAAGACGAACAAAGTCTTAAAACTTCGCTAGCTCTCCAATGTCCATATGCAAATACCGTATCCCTCATATCTAGTACCGACAAGGAACGGAACATTGGAATAGATTCACAATATGAAATCAAAGGAGCTATAATTCTTGTGACATTGTTTCTATCTGCAGGTTGTACTTGTGGTTGCTCGGCATTGAAACAAGTAATGGATTGAATTGTTTTCAATACACTGTATTTACTATTACGAGGAGGATATATGTAAGAGGAGGAGATATTGTTGAAAAAGTTGAAGGCGATATATTCAAATATATCTTTGGATATGAGTGTCAATTGTAATCTTGATCTATTTGACTCAACCATTGTGTGATAGAGTGGTGTAAATGGTTTGGTTGTTGAAAAATGAACTGCACATTGATTTTTAACTTGGAAATATTGTTCGATCATTTCTTGGTCCTCCAATGATTTCAAACCTTGTTGTTCTATTCTATACAAATAATCCTTTCCATAAATACATGTACATCTATTTCTCGCATACCAAACCATTCCAATAATTTTACGTATTATATAATTTGGAAATATTCTTGAATTACCATTATTATAACTACTATCCAATATACTATTATTATTATTATTATTATTACTCTCCAAAATACTGTTACTATTATTATTATTTTTGTCAATTAATTTAAAAGATAATTTTTTTAAAGAATGACCTTTCAATGTTGAACCAGTGTATTGGAATCCAATTTCTTTAAACCGAGTGACTTGACTGTCTACAATATCGTTTGGTGAATATACAATAATTTTGGAAATGATTGATTGATCCAAGCCAAAGTAATTCTTCATATGATGATTTTTTGTAAGAGCATATTTGTAACCTTTAAATCTGAGCACTTTGGCATGTGGCATATTGGTAATTGGCCATGGACCCTGAGTATCGTGAGTTTCTGACGCATCTGGCATATTGGTAAACCATGTACCCTGTTTTCGGTAATTATTTGCAATGAGTGTGAATTTCCAAACTGTTTCTGGTACGACGGGCTGCTTTGATTTCTTTTTGGCGCCTTCCTCAATGTGGATGTGCTCGAGTTGAGGGAAATCTTCTTGTTTGAGCTCGGGATACCCCGTTTCGTAATGATGATGCACCGACACGACCCTAAGATTCATCTTGACTCGAGCATCCAATGTATTCCAATCAAAGTGGGTGGGAAGAACGATCTTGGTGATTGATGTACCAGGCTGGAGTAATGTTGCATATTTAACCTTTGGACCATCACCAAAAAGATGTTTGTTTGAGAAAAAAGTCTTTGAAAGAGTGATGGATGTCAAGTTGTTAAAACTGGTGAGCAGTGCATTGACGACAGGTGGTTTGACTTTACGATCCAGTATAATACTCGTTAGGTTGGGTAAGAGTTTTGGTATTATTTTGTCAACGCTTTTTGTGAGGTATTTTCCCTTGATGTTGATCTTTTGTACTTGACTGAATAGATCCCTCGACGGTTTGGTTTGATCGTCAGACATTAGGTAATTTGTACTATGAGGGTTGTCTAGGACGGTCAAAGTGGTAGGTCTCTTGACGATACAATATTTGTTGTTGATATGATTCCACATTTCCTCGGTCGGTCGCATGACAATGTCAGTGTAGAGAGTGGTCGACACCAACTCAAATACTCTCTTTGATACCAATGCCAATGACTCTCGTTTCCATCTTTTACTGTCGTCTTTCTGGTTACTAGTGTTGCCAAAGTTGATTGATGGTGTGTAACCCATATCGTAGTAGTATTGATGAGTAGGACACATATCTTGTCGACTAGGTGATTGTTGTTTGATTTGTGGTTGCATTTGTATGTATGTAAATGTTCTAACTCCTTTTTTCAAGGCATACTCGTCACGTTCCAAAACAAGATCTTTTAATCTATCACTGTAGACACATGTACAAATGTTTGAGTCGTTGTATACCAACACTAATATTCTCTTGATGATTCTCCATGGTAGTAGTGTATATCCATACTCCAATGTTTTATCATCATCATCATCATCATTTATTGTATTTGCTATTGTTGTTGTTGTAATCTCCTCTTCCTCTTGTTGTTGTTGTTGTTGTTGTTCTAATATTCTCTTTATCAGGTCATCTATAGTTGTGATTGCTTCTCCAACTCCAATCTTTCTCTTTAAGCATATCTCGTACAAATCTTGTTTATACAATCTCTCCAACTCTTCTTTTGTATATTGTTTCTCTCTCTGCTCATCATCTTTATCATTCTCTATTTCTTTTCTTTTACTCATTTAATAACAATAAAGCCAAGTTGCGATGTATACTTTTGAAGAAAGAAATTTTTTTTTTTTGCACCAAGCTGTTTTTTCATCAAAAGTATAGATGAATCAACATTGTCAGTAAACTGTAATATATGTTTTCTGGTCCAAAAAATGAGTAGCTTACGAATATATAGGTTAAAATCATTTCTTTCAAGATCTTGAATTGGTTTTATGTATTGCTTTAAAATTAAAAAATTAGAAAAATAGGTTGGTTAAAAAGTAAAAGATTATTATTACAAATTGATTGTAGATGAAATCAAAAAATGAATATTATATTATAAGGCTATATAGCTCAGAATCATTTATTTTAATATTTTTTTCATATCCGGATTCAGATACTTTTAAGGTAATTTTTCATAGGCTTGAATATTTAACTCTTATTTATATTAATAATTGTAAAATAAAAGGAATCCGGAATATGAAAAAATAATAAAATAAAAGATTCTAAGCTATATACTCTTATATTAGACCATCTTTACTATAATATACATTTTTTGATTTCATGTACAATAAATTTTGAATATTTTTTTTTAGTCTGCTTCCAAGTACATTTGGCCAGGATTGTCAATTTTGATCAAAACATAAATACTACAATATTGCACTGTTTTTATAGACGTCTTACGCTATTTCCAGTCATCCCAAAGCATAACTATTTTTAGTGACGACAAAAAAATTCTTTTGTTTTTTTTTGTGCCATTATTTGATAATAGGTTGAATCTAGTTGATGTTGCTTTAAACTGTTGTGATATCACGTCTGAGAGTCTCTTTTTACTATCGATAGGTGAATGTATTCCTTTAAACTGTATTGATCTTTTTAAACCACAATTTTGATACAACTGTTTACAAGTTAACAATAAACATATTATATCTACATTATCTATTGATGATATGATTTGCAATAATAATAAATTAGATAACTTTAAAATACTTGTAGACATCATCATTGTGCGCAAGAGCTAAAAAAAAAATGAAAATGATTAAGGATCATTTTTTAATGATTATCTTTTTTTTTTTTCATATTTATTTACTTACAAAATTACAAAATGGGACAAGTTTCATTCCCTTCCTCTTTATTTAAAAAAACTATTATGGAAGGCTCTTGAATCCATAAATAAAGATGAAGTGCGAGGGAATGAAAAGGTGGTCATTTTCCCTCTTCAATTTGATTGGTTCTTGATAGGATGTGGTGTTCTATTGTCAAGAGGAAACTGGTTTCGAGCAGAGATCGAAGAATTAATAGAAAAATTCCAAACCAACAAGGAGACAAACAACTGTGAGATAAACTACGAAGTTAATAATAAACATACTTAATCTCTGATATGTAATAGTAATAAATGAGATAGAGATAATAGTGACATCTTTGTGAAATATGAAAATGAAATAGAGAGATGGGTGTACTTTTTCTTTTGATGCAACAAGAAAATGTTTTTTATTTATTTGAAATGATTTTGGCATTTAAAGTATTAAAACTCCAATTAACAGCTCTGTTATCAAAATTTAAATAAATGGGAACATCCTGTTGTTGGAGGTTTGTTTTACTTTTCTGAGTGATAATTCCACCTAGAAGTGATTGTCTTTCCAACACCAATACATTCGTATTGTCACTGTCTAATCTTTGAATTGAAAATTGTAAAAAGGTAGTGTTGGCCATTGAAAAAGATAAATATCTAATATTGGTATGATTGATTATTTCATCTAATCTAAATGACCATTTTGCTTGTGAACAAGACATTTCACAAGTTAGATGTGTTGTATTGATTGGTAACCATTGTTCCTGTTGTTGTTGTGATTGATCTTCTTTGGGTTTGGTAATTCTATCCAAGATTGAAAAGATTGGAATGTCTGGTTGATGTTTTTGAAGCAAGAATATTGTTAGGTATTTTGTACTTGGTGGTATGGAGACGGTTAAAAAGCCTTGCATATAAGTGAGATCGATCGTTTCAAGATTGGATTGTGACAAGTCCAAATCATCACCTTGACCACCGTATCCATAAATCCAAACCAATTTTTTTAATTGATCATGTCGAGTAAATGATGGTGAAGAAAGAAAAGATGTGGTGAGCGCACTCTTTAATTTGACAAGTGATCCAGACAACGATTTAGCATACTGGTCGCAAGAGTCTCCAATAATAGATAGATGAGTGAGTGATGGTGGGTATACAAATTGGTCGAGTATATCATTTGATGAGTTGTTGTGAATTGATAACTTTTCCAAAGTAGGTGGGATTAGATTGGATGGAATCGTATTTTGGCAATCATAAATACAAAGTTTCTTTAGTGATGGACATTGTAATTGGAGATTGATTTTACCACCAGTTAATAAACTTTCTAAAAGATATAGTTTCTCCAATACAGGCATTATAGTTGTACATTGTTGTTGTGCTATTTGTACATTTTCAGACCAAAGATAGAGAATGACGATTGAGGGAGGTACACTAATCTCGATGATACAATCTTTTTCGTACCAATTTTCATTATAATCAAATGTCTTTAGATTGTTTAGAGTTTCGAGATCGATGAATAGTTTCTCTTCCTCTTCTTGTTCATCTCCTTCCACATGAATTTCGAGGTACACAAGCGAGGTTAATGCAATGAATGTATCTCTTGGGGGAAACCCTGTCAGTGTCAAAGTAAGTGACGTTAGACTGCTTGGCAAGACACCTGGTCCTATACCAGACACACTGTAACCATTTAATGTCAACTCTGTCAATGATACAAATTGATCAAGTGCCAATTCTCTTGCAGTGTAACTAGCGTAGATATCTAGAGTAAGTGATTTGAGTGACGAGTGTGGACCAAGTTGGTTTAATGTATTTCCTCGAACCGATAGTCTTTGAAGATTGGGTAACAATGAGATTGATCCAAGATCTACTCTACTATGGTAGATGAATAGTGTCTCGATTGATGGTATCTTGTAGAGTAGATTAGAATCTAATGATTTAGGTTTATATTCTTCCACCCAAGCTGTTGTAATGCTACTACTTTTATCTACTCTATTATTTGTGTAATAGATACGATCTTGTATCCATAATGGATAGTCCTCTTCTTCTTTATCATCTTCTTTTACAAGTATTACATGTTGATTTGATATACTATTCTCTAATATATCTTTAAATGATAATAAGTTGAATTGATTAACTGTTTCTATAAACTTTAATGATATATCTCCTTTATCAATATCGATAGGTTCTATTCCTTTAAACTGTATCGATCTTTTTAACCTACTACTATTTTGATATAAAAAGATCGAACTATTACTATTATGATGATACAACTTTTTACAAGTTAACAATAAACATATTATATCTACATTATCATCAATCTCTGATATAATATTTAATAGTAATAAATTAGATAACTTTAAAATAGACATTATCTTTGTGATGAGAAATGAAAATGAACAAATGAAGGGACAGGTCAGGTCATTGTTTTATATTATTTCTGAATTTATTTTTATTATTTGTTTTTTACAATAGTTATTTGTCTTTGACAAAACTCCAACTAAATTCAAATGGAGAACTTGAATTATAATCATTAAAATGTAAACAAAAAGGAGAATATTGTTGTTGTTGTTGTAGATTAATATTTGTATTTGAATTTTCTTTTCTTTTCTGAGTGATGATTCCACCTAGAAGTGATCGTCTTTCCAAAACCAATACATTCGTATTGTCACTGTCTAATCTTTGAATTGAAAATTGTAAAAAGGTAGTGTTTCTGGACATTGAAAAAGACAAATATCTAACATTGGTATGATTGATTATTTCATCTAATCTAAATGACCATTTTGATTGAGTACAAGACATGCTACAAGTTAGATGAGTTGTGCTGATTGGTAACCATTGTTCCTGTTGTTGTTGTTGTGATTGAATTTGTTTTTTTTTGGGTACGGTTATTCTATCCGAGATTGAAAAGATTGGAATATCTTGTTGTTTTTGAATCAAGTATATTGTTAGATATTTGGTACTTGGTGGTATGGTTACTGTAAAAAATCCGTGCATGTCAGAGAGATCGATCGTTTCAAGATTGGACTGTGACAAGTCCAAATCATCACCTTGACCACCGTATCCATAAATCCAAACCAATTTTTTTAATTGACCATGACGAGCAAAAGGTCTTGAGGAAAGAAAAGATGTGGTGAGTTCACCCTTTAATTTGACAAGTGATTCAGGTAATGGAACAGACTCGTCATAGGAGTCTCCAATAATAGATAGATGAGTGAGTGATGGTGGGTATACAAATTGATATCATTGGATGAGCTATTATGGATTGATAACTTTTCCAAAGTAGGTGGGAGTAGATTGGATGGAATAGTATTTTGGCAATCATAAATACAAAGTTTCTTTAGTGATGGACATTGTGAAAGGAGATTGATTTTACCACCAGTTAATAAACTTTCAAAAAGATATAGTTTTTCTAATACAGGCATTATAGTAGTTGTTGTACATTGTTGTTGTTGTTGTTGTTGTTGTTGTGCTATTTGTATATTTTTGGAATAAAAGGATAGAATGACGATTGAAGGAGGTAAACAAATCTCGAAAATGATACCAAATTTTTGGTGCCAATATTCACTATACTCAAGTCTCTTTAGATTGCTTAGACTTGATAGATCGATGAATAGTTTCTCTTCCTCCTCTTGTTTAGCCAGTAGTCTCTTTCCCACATGAATATCGAGGTGCACCAACGATGTTAATGAAATGAATGTATCTCTTTGTGGGAACTCCAACAATGTCAAAGTGAGTGATGTCAGACTGCTTGGCAAGACACCAGGTCCAATCGAACGTAAATTGTTTAATGTCAACTCTGTCAATGATACATATTGCTCGAGAGCCAATTCACTTGTAGAATAATTATTGTTGATGATTTCTAGAGAAAGTGACTTTAATGACGAGTGTGGACCAAGTTGGTTAATGAATTTCCTTGAACTGATAGTCTTTGAAGATTAGGTAACAATGAGATTGACCCAAGATCTATTCTACTATGGTAGATGAATAATGTCTCGATTGATGGTATCTTGTAGAGTAGATTAGAATCTAATACTTTAGGTTCATATTCATTCACCAATACTGTTGTAATGTTAATACTCTTATCTATTCTATTTTCTGTGTAATCTTTTATCCATAATGGATACTCTTCATCTTCTTTATCTTTTGAAAGTATTACATGTTGATTTGATATACTATTATCTAATATATCTTTAAATGATAATAGGTTGAATTGATTAACTGTTTCTATAAACTTTAATGATATACCTCCATTGTCAGTATCGATAGGACCTATTCCTTTAAATCTAATCGATCTTTTTAAACTACTACCATTTTGATACAACTTTTTACAAGTTAACAGTAAACATATTATATCTACATTATCATCAATCTCTAATATGATTTGTGATAGTAATAAATTAGATAGAGATAATAGAGTAGACATCTTTGTGATTGAAAAAGGAAAATGTATGAATGATCATGTGTATTGAGTTTTAAATTTTATTTTCTTTTTTTAAAACTTTATAGTTTTAATTTTTTTTTTTTTTACAAAACTCCAGTTATATACAAATGGACAGTTTGAATCATAATGTAAATAAATAGGAATATAGTTGTTGTTGTTGATCAATATTATTCTTTCTTTTCAGCTGAGTGATGATTCCACCAGTCAGTGATTGTGTTTCCAATACCAATACATTTCTATTATCTGGGTCTAATCTTTGAATTGAAAATTGTAAATCATAATTATCTTGAATAGTGATTGATAAATATCTAACATTGGTGTGATTGATAACTTTATCTAATCTAAAAGCCCATTTTGAGTGATGCCATGTATGGTTTAGTTGACATGTTAGATGTGTAGTATTTGGTGGTAGCCATAGTTGTTGTTGTGTTTGATCGTCGTCGATTGGTTTGGGTATTCTAGAACTGATTGAATGGGTTGCAATACAATTTGAACTTTCTCTAGGGTTTGGGGACAATGTTAGCGATAGGTATTTGATGGTTGGTGGAATACCAATCTTTAAAGAGCCAGTCGATTCAATGATGTTGAAAGTTTCTAGATTAGGTGGATATGGGGATAGAAGGATAAAATCTTCTTTTAAAAGATTGATATCTTTTCTAAACTCTAAACCTAAAACCAGTTTTTTTAAATGATTAGGTAGTGGGACGGTTGGAGCTTTTTGGACATTCTGCTTTAATTTGATGAGTGATGCTGGTAAATTGTTTGGTACAGGCTCATTATCTCCAAATATGGATAGACTAGTGAGTGATGGTGGGAATACAACTTGATCAAGTATAATATCATCTGCCAGAGTTAATTTATGTATTTTAAGTTTTTCCAAAGTTGATGGAATTAAATTGGATGGAATTGTATTATCGCATTCGAAAATACCTAGTTTCTTGAGAGATGGATATGATAATGGATTAATTCTACCACCAACCAATCCATTTTCCAAAACATATAATTTCTCCAACATTGGAAGTGATGTAGATGGAGGTGCGATATGAATATGATTTGACCAAAGTCTAAGATATTGGAGTGAAGGAGGTACACTAACCTCTATGGCGTATTTGAAATCATCCAAAAGGAGTGTTTTTAGACAATGTAGATTATTGAAATCTAGGAACTGATGAGGTCGTTCTTCTTCTTGATCCTCCTCTATTAATAATTCTATCCTTTCAAAGTCAATCTCGAGCGAAGTGAGTGATGTCAAAGAATTGAACATATCTCTTGGTGGCATATCTAACAGTTTTAAACTGAGAGATGTAAGGTTACGTGGTAATAGACTTGATTCAAACCCAAGTACAAAAGCACTCTTGATTGTAAGCTCTGTCAATGATATGAATTTTAGTCCCAAAGAGGATAGATAGGGTCTTTGAGAGTATATATTATAGACGTCAAGAGTAAGTGATTTGAGTGACGAGTGTTGACCAAGTTTAAAAGAGTTTGAACAAATTGAAAGACGTTCTAGATTCGGTAGCAGTGAGATTGATCCTAGATCCAATGTACCATCGTGGTCGTGTGGGTCGATGTATAATGTCTCGATTGATGGTATCTTGTAGATTGAATTGATCAATGTAGGTTCATAATCCCCCAACAAGGCAGTTGTAATGTTTCTTTTATCTACTCTATTCTCTTCTTCTTCTACTGGTGCAAAGATGTAAGGGTGTATCCAATATGGATAGTTTTCATGATCGACAAGTAATAAAACTTGTTGATCTGGTATACTATTCTTTAATATATCTTTAAAAGAGTTGATGTTGAATCTAAAAACTGTTGCTAAAAACTTTTTTGATATCTTTCCTTTATCATCGATAACTCTTATTCCTTTAAATCTGATCAATCTTTTTAAACTACTACTATGATAAAACTGTTTACAAGTTAACAATAAACATATTATATCTATATTACTGTCAGTCTCTTTTATGATATTTAATAGTAATAAATTAGATAACTTTAAAATAGACATTATCTTTTGTGAGAAAAAGAGAATATGAAAATGAACATCATCAGCTGACACACTTTTTTACTAGACAAATTTTCAAGAATTATTATTGTTGTTTGGTTTAAGAAAGCTCCAATTAAATTCAAATAGAGAATTTGAATTAAAATTTAAATAAATAGGAACATATTCTTCTTCTTGTTGTTGTTGTTGTTGTTGTTGTTGATTAATATTTGTATTTGTATTTGTATTTTCATTTCTTTTCTGAGTGATGATTCCACCTGTAAGTGATTGTCTTTCCAATACCAATACATTTCTATTATCCATGTCTAATCTTTGAATTGAAAATTGTAAAATAATAGTGTTGTTGTTGGTCATAAAGAGAGTCAAATATCTAACATTGGTATGATTGATTATTTCATCTAATCTTAATGACCATTTTGAATGAGAAAAAGTCATTCTACAATTTAGATGTGTTGTATTGCATGGTAACCATTGTTGCTGTTGTTGCTGTGATTGAACTTTGGGTATTGTTATTCTATTCTGGATTGAAAATATTGGAATGTATGGTAGTTGATCTGTACACATTGAAATTGTTAGATATTTGGTAGTTGGTGGTAGAGTAAAGGTAGAAAGTCCTTGTATGTCAGTGAGATCAATCGTTTCAAGGGATGGTGGATAGTTGGATGACAAATCTAAATAACCACCTTGGACAATTTCGTATAATAAAACCAGTTTTTTTAAATGACGAGGAAGTGACATTATTATTGTTGAAAGATGATGAGAAGATATAGTGTTGAATTCCCACTTTAGTTTGACGAGTGATTCTGGTAAAGGTTGGACTTGTTGGTCATACTCTCCCAAAATGGTTAGATGAGTGAGTGAAGGTGGGAATACAACTTGTTCAAGTAGACTGGTATCACCAGAATAGTTTGATGAAATCGTAAGCTTTTCTAGTGTTGATGGAAACACAATATCTGATGGAATGGGGTCATCACAAACAATAGAAATCTTTTTGAGTGATGGATACTGTGATGATGGTGATGATGTTAGATTGCCAATCACTATAGGTTCTAAAAGATATAGTTTCTCTAATAATGGCATTGGACATGGGGTCGCGATTTGTATACATTCTTCAGAACTGAGTGAAAGAATCCTAAGGCTGAGAGGTACACTAATCTCGGTAATACCATCTTTTCGTTCCCACTCTTCAAAAAAATCTGTATACTCTAGTTTCTTTAGGTTGTTTAGACTAGAGAGATCCAGGAGTTGCTCAGCCACTTGGTTATAGTCCTTGGTTCCCAAATCCACATGTATTTTGAGGTTCACTAGTGACTGTAATGAAATGAATGTATCTCTTGGTGGGAACTCCATCAATAATAAATTGAGAGATGTCAGACTGCTTGGTAAGAGACAAGAAACAGGTCCTATCAGACAGAAATTGCGAAATGTCAACTCTGTCAATGATATGAATTGATCTAGTCTCAACTCATTTGCAGTGTAACGAGTGGTGAGACAAAGTGTCAGAGACTTTAGTGACGAGTTTTTACCAATTGGTAATGAAGAGTGGTGACCAAGTTTAAGCAAGTGCGCTTGAGCCCATAGTCGTTGAAGATTGGGTAACTGTGAGATTGATCCAAGATCTATTGTACCATTGTGGTTGACGAATAATGTCTCGATTGATGGTATCTTGTAGAGTAATGAATTTAATACTCGATGTTTATCTTCATTCACCAATACTGTTGTAATGTTACTAGTTTTAGAATCTATTCTATTATCGGTGTAATAAATACAATCTTTTATCCATAATGGATAGCTTTCTCCTTGTTTTTCTGAAAGTATTACTTGTTGATCTGATATACTATTCACTAATATATCTTTAAATGATAATAGGTTGAATCTAGTTGCTGTTGCTTTAAACTGTTGTGATATCTCTCCCATTTCAATATTGATAGTTTCTATTCCTTTGAATTGAATCGATCTTCTAACACCACTATGATAAAACTTTTTACAAGTTAACAGTAAACATACTATATCTCCATTATCTTCAATATCTGATATAATGTGTAATAGTAATAGATTAGATAGAGATAAAATACTAGTCATAATTATAACTTGATAAAAATAAATAATGAAAAAAAAAGAAAGGTGGTAGATGACCAAGTGTGTTTAAGTGATGAAACCAAAATAATATTATTTTGTTTTTATTTATTAATTTATTTTATTATTTTTTTGACAAAACTCCAATTAAATTCAAATGGAGAGTTTAAATCCCAATGTAAATAAATAGGGTCATATTGTTGTTGAGGTTGAGGTTGAGGTTGTTGTTGTTGATTAATATTTGTGTTTGATATTCTTCTTTGAGTGATGATTCCACCAGTCATTGATTGTCTTTCCAATACCAATACATTTCTATTATCACTGTCTAATCTTTGAATTGAAAATTGTAAATTGGTAGTCTTTGAATAAAAAATAATGATAGATAAATATCTAACATTGGTATGATTGATTATTTCATCTAATCTAAATGACCATTTTGCTTGAGTACAAAATATTCTACAAGTTAGATGTGTTGTATTGATTGGTAACCATTGTTGTTGTTGTTGTGATTGATCATTGATGTCTTTGGGGATGGTTAAACTAGTAGCGATTGAATAGATTGGAAGACAATTTTTTTGTTGATCTTTATGAATCAAAGTTATTGATAGATATTTGGTACTTGGTGGAAAGGTGAAAAATCCTTTTTTGTAAGAGATATCGATCGTTTCAAGATTGGGTAGATAGTTTGACTGTGACAAGTCAAAATCTTCACATTGGACTTCAAAAGCATATTTCAAAGCCAGTTTTTTCAAGTGACGAGGAAGAGACATTATCGTTGAATGATGAGAAGCAGTAGAATTGATTTCCAGTTTTAATTTGACGAGTGATTCAGGTAAAGGTGGAAAAGGTTCGTCGTGACCGGACAACGAACCCAAAATGGTTAGATGAGTGAGTGATGGTGGGAATACAATTTGTCCAAGTATGCTGCCCTCAGAAACATTTGATATTGATATCATAAGCTTTTCGAGAGTGGACGGAATCATATCCGATGGAATGGGTTCCCAGCAATTATAAATAAAAAGTTTCTTGAGCGATGGGCCATACTGCAACGATGATAGATTGATTTTACCACCAATCACTATTCTCTCTAATAATAGTAGTGGCAACGTACCTGGGGTTGAGATTTGTACGGATCTATTAGACCAAATGGAAAGAATCTTTAGGTTGAGAGGTGCAATAATCTCGATGATACCCTTTTTACCAGTCCAATTTTCAGAGTACTCTAGTTTCTTTAGATTGTGTAGATTAAATAGATCGAGGAATAGGTGTTGTTGTTCCTCCTCCTCCTCTTGTTGGAGTCGAAATATATACAATCCCTGTTCTAGACAGAGTTTGAAGTTCACTAGTGATGTTAATGCAATGAATGTGTCTCTTGGTGGGAAATCTCTAACTGCCAAATCGAGTGACGTCAAACTACTTGGCAAAAGGCCTGGACCAATATCATACAAACAGAAACTGTTTGCTGTCAACTCTGTCAATGATATGAATTGATCTAGTCTCAACTCACTTGCAGTGTAACGAGTGGTGAGACCAAGTGTCAGTGACTGTAATGAAGAGTGGTTACCAAGTTTAAGCAAGTGTGCTTGAACTGATAGACGTTGAAGATTGGGTAACTGTGAGATTGATCCAAGATCTATTATACCATTGTGTTGTGGTTCGTTGATGAATAAAGTCTCGATTGATGGTATCTTGTAGAGTAGATTAGAATCTAATACTTTATGTTGATAGTGTGTTACCAATGCTGTTGTAATGTTGTTACTTTTATCTATTCTATTATCTGTGTAATAGATACGATCTTGTATCCATAATGGATACTCTTTGTTATCATCTTCTTGTTTTTTTGAAAGTATTAAAAGTTGATCTGATATTATACTATTCTCTAATATATCTTTAAATGATAATAGATTGAATCTAGTTGCTGTTCCTTTAAACTTTAATGATATATCTACTTTATCAATATCGATAGGTTCTATTCCTTTAAACTGTATCGATCTTTTTAAACTATTACTATTATGATGATATAACTTTTTACAAGTTAACAATAAACATACTATATCTACATTATCTATTGATGATATAATATGTAATAATATTAAATTAGATAGAGATAATAGAGACATTTGAACTTTTATTTTGAATTGAGGAAAGAAAAAAAAAACAGACAAAGTAAAAAAAAAAGACAAAGTACAGAAAAAAAGGGGAAAATCAGTAAATTGAGATCAACATTATATTTTCTATCTAATAACTTACAGCTGGGGGGGGGACTTTCATATTTATGCAGGAAGGCCCTGTTAAGGTTAACTAGGTCGTGTCTACCCTCCCAATATGCACGATATCGGCAGGTAAAGGACGATAAATCCATGGCCTGTAATCTGCGGTTTGGTGTAAGATTCCCAATAAGAGAATATTCTTTGCAGCGCTCGAGTCTCTGTTGAAGAAATGATCACAAACTGGACAATATAGCCATTGCCATTTAGTTTTAAATGGCATTTCTGTCGCATTTGGGTTCTTTGACTTCCAGAGATCTTTGATCTGACTATCACAAAGAGACTTACCAAAACCATAATCGTGGGTCGAAACAGAGTTGCTTGTAGACTTGTTCCCATCCTTTTGACTATTGCTTTGATCTTGGTCCTTACAACGATCATTAGTAGTTGATGACGATTTTGACCTCTTTTTCTTATTTTTGCTCCTGCGAAGGCTCAAACCACTTCTTATAATTTTTATTAATTTTTAATTATTTCTTTACTCCAACTAAATTCAAATGGAGATCGATCATTAAAATGTAAATAAATAGGGTCATATTGTTGTTGTTGGTTTCGATTAATATTTGTATTTGTTATACTTTTCAGCTGAGAGATGATTCCACCAGTCAATGATTGTCTTTCCAATACCAATACATTTCTATTGTCACTGTCTAATCTTTGAATTGAAAATTGAATATTGGTAGCAGTAGAACATTGATTAATGATAGATAAATATCTAACATTGGTATGATTGATTATTTCATCTAATCTAAATGACCATTTTGATTGTGAACAAGACATACTACAATTTAGATGTGTTGTATTGATTGGTAACCATTGTTCCTGTTGTTGTTGTTGTTGTTGATCTTTGGTGGGTATGGTTATTCTAGAGGTGATTGAAAATATTGGATCTAGTTGTTGTTGTTGTTGTTTTTGAGACAAGAATATTGATAGATATTTTGTGACTGGTGGTATAGTTACTTTAAATAATCCCTTCATGCCAGAAAAGTCAATCGTTTCAAGATTGGGTGGAAAATTTGACTGTGCCAAGTCTATATCTTCACCTTGACCACCGTATCTATACATCCAAACCAATTTTTTTAAATGACTTGGAAGCAAATTTAAAGATGAAGATGCATTGAGTTTACTCTTTAATTTGACGAGTGACTCGGGTAACGATGTAACACTGGGAGACCCGTCGTAAAAGTCTCCCAAGTAGGTTAGATGTTTGAGTGATGGTGGGTATACAAATTGATCGAGTATATCTTTTGTTGAATAGTTGTGGATTGATAGTTTCTCCAAATGAGGTGGGATGAGATTAGATGGAATGGTTTTAAAGCATTGATAAATACAAAGTTTCTTGAGTGATGGACATTGTGATAGGAGATTGATTTTACCACCAGTTAATAAACCTTCTAAAAGATATAGTTTCTCTAATACAGGCATTAGAGTAGTTGTTGTACATTGTTGTTGTGGTGGTGTTATTGGTACACATTGGGTAGACCAAATGGAAAGAATCTTTAGGTTGGGAGGTACAATAATTTCAATGGGACCATCCTCTCGGTGTAAATTTTCATTATACACTAGTTTCTTTAGATTGTGTAGAGTAGATAGATCGATGAATATTTGTTGTTGTTGTTGTTCTTGTTCTAGTTCTTTATCCAATCCCTTTTCCACAAAGATATCGAGGTACACCAACGAGGTTAATGCAATGAATGTATCTCTTGGTGGTAACTCAAACAATGTCAAAGTGAGTGATGTCAGACTGCTTGGCAAGACACCCGGTCCTATCTCGGGCACACAGAAATTGTTTAATGCCAACTCTGTCAATGATACGAATTGATCCAGTCCCAACTCACTTGCAGTGTAACAAGTGCCGATGTCTAGATTAAGTGACTTTAATGATGAGTGTGGACCAAGTTTTAATGAATTACCTTGAACCGATAGTCGTTGAAGATTAGGTAGCCGTGAGATTGATCCAAGATCGATCGTTGTCTTTTCGCGGAGGTTTAATTGTCGATATTTGATGAATAGTGTCTCGATCGATGGCATAGTTTCATAGAGTGAATTGATTGCTTGAAGGTTATAGTGTGTTACCAAAGCTGTTGTAATAATGTTATCAGCAGCAGCAGCTGATCTATTCGAAAAGATCTCTTTATCGCCGGCGGTGTTATGTTCAAGTACTACATGTTGATTCAAAGATATACTATTCACCAATATATCTTTAAATGATAATAGTTTGTATCTAGTAGTACTAGTTGTTGCTTTAAACTGTAATGATATATCTCTATTGTCTGTATCGATAGCTCCTCCTACACCTTTAAATTTAATCGATCTTCTAACACTGCTATCATTAAATAACTGTTTACAAGTTAACAATAAACATATTATATCTACATTATCAATTGATGATATAATATGTGATACTAATAAATTAGATAAAGATAATAGAGACATCTCTAATAATTATCTTATTAACAGTATTATTATTGAAGTTCAAAAGACATGACATTATTTTTTTTTTTATTTTATTATTATTTTTTCAACATCCACTTCATTCTTTTTGTCTCTATAGTTATTTAATCTCTTTGCAAACAGAGAGAATATACAAAACAAACAACTCTCAGCATGCAGATTAGATTAGAAAAGAAATCTTCTTATCATTTATGATGATGATGAATGATCATCATCGGGGACTGACAACAAACAAAAGAAATAAAAGGTTAACTAGTACTGCAAGCTATAACCAATCAAATTTGATCATCATTGTTTGAATTCTAAAGAAATCTTTCTTTCTATGCCTGTTTTAGCTATACACCAAAAAAGTAAGTCTATTTGATATGGAATAAATACGATTGATTGGATAACCAAAGTTATATTGTTGGTTAACCCCCATCCACCCTTTTCACACCACCCCATCATTAAAGTGGTATTCACAACCAAAACAACTACAAAAAACAAACACATGAGTGTATGTGAAAGATCACATCATCACGTGTAAAAATTAGAGTACAACCTAAAAATGGAAAGTATGTGAATGAATCGAATGCGGTTAATTCACTATACTAGTAGTAGTTTAGTTACCGCTACTGCTGCTGCTGCTGTTGATAAATATCACCACCACTCCCTAGTAGGTATACCCACCCACCAATATCATAGTGATCGGAGCAATCACCTCACCTCACCCCATATATTATATTGGATAATATATTTTATTTTTTTTGATGGTATTTTAAATGATCATCAAATATATATATATTTATCATATCGTATCGTAAATTCAATATATATCCAAATCAATCAATCAATCAATTATTATTTGATTTAGTTTTTTTTCCTTTTTCTTTTTCTTTTTTCTTTTTTCTTTTTCTTTCAAAAAAAAAAAGATGATAAAGATATATATATTAATATTAATTATTATTAGTTTGGTAAACTCTACCAAGATCATTTTAAAAGGAGAAACCAAAGATAGTATCACAAAAACAACCAATGATAGTGGTGGTGAATCGACAACATTACTGTTGCCATCTAAAAACACCAATGGTAGTCAACCATACACTTTTACGATTCCAGATTTAATATTGGACAATCAATCAACACTACAACTAGTCAATACCAATTTCATGAATGAATTTGCTGTTGTTGGAAATCAAGTCTATATCAATCAATTATCATTTACCAATCATTCATCATTACTATTATCAAATAGTTTTTTAAATTCAACTTTATTAAATTCTTTTAATTCTTTTATTTTTTCAAGTATGCAAAACAAAAAAAACAAAAAGAAAACATATAAATATATTTATACACATTTCTAATATTCTTTTTTCTTTTATTTTTCTTTAGATAATAGTAAATTAGAATCAAAAACAAATTCATTTTTAAATTCAAACTTTACTATTATTAATAATAGTACAATTGATTTTAATGGTGATTCAAAGTTTGAAAATTCCTATGTATTGATTGATCATACAAAAACTAGTTTAAATAATTTAAATTTAATTCAATCAAATATGACTATTTCAAATTCTTTAATTTCAAATATTGTAAGTAAAATAATAATAGAATAGAATTTTATTATTATTATTATTTATTTATTAATATTCTTCTTCTTTTTATTTAATTTTCTAGTCATGGACATTTATAACAATTGAAAATGAATCACAATTAAATATTTTAAATTCAAAAGTATTTTCAACTTGTGTTATTGTTGGTAATAATGTACTAGCATTTATTGATTTTGAATCAAAATATTCTTTATTTAATGATAATGTAAATAGAAAACAAAACAACAATTAATTATATTGATTCACTTATTAATATTTCTAATTTATTATTTTAGTTTATTCAATTTAATGGTTCAGAATTATCTTTAACTGAACCACCATATAATAGTTTGACAAGAGATGCAATGAATCATTATTCATCAAAATTAATGATTATTGAACAAGATTATTATTCAATCAAAGATACAACCTTTATTTTGAATCAAACTACTATGAAAATGGATCAAACCATTACATTTGAAAATTGTTTATTGGAATTGATTGATTCAAAGATTCAATCAAATCAAGATTTGGAATCAACTACTTTAAAAATAATAGAATCTCAAATTGATTTATCCAATTCATCATTTAAAAAATTGGATATTTTCCTTTCAAATAATTCTTTAATTAATTTGGTATGTCGAAATAGAAAAACAAATAATAATAATGTATTTATTTATTAACTTTGAAATATTTATTATTTATTTTTATTTTTAGAAATCAATTAATATTGAAAGATCAAGATTAAGATTTAATAATCAAATATTAAATGATACAATTGGACAAATGAATTTATTTATCAATTCATCGGATGTTTATTTAAATAATAATTCATCGATTGATTTCTTTGAGTGGAATGTTATGGGAGCTGGAGGTTCGACATGGTATTTGGATGATACATCAAGTGTCAAGGGTCATTTTAATATTCATGGTGATATGGTATCATCTGGTACACTTGGTTCTGATAATGATCCAAATCTAATTCATATCAATGGTAATCTACAATTAGATTCTACATCCATTTTAAATATTGTTTTATATAGTCCTCTATCTTCAACTAAAGGTAAAATCATAATATAAAATAGAAAACAAAAAAGATAAATAATATATTAATTTATTTTTATTTTAATTTATTTCTTTAGTAATTGTTGAAAATGGATTTGAAATCGAAGGAAAGATAATGATTTATATTTATCAAGATGCAGTTTATCCAAATTTATCATATGATGTATTGATTAATAATTATTCACCATTTTATGATGCCGATGGTAATGGAGGTAAAAGAGTAGATTTCTCCAAAGCAAAGATACAATTTAAATTGATGAAATGGTCAGTCACCAAGAAATTCAATGATGATGGTGAATGGGTTGAAACTTCTCAATCCGTTGTTTCAGATTACCCATCAACTGCTCCACTCTACCCAACGATTGAATACATTGAAGGTACTGAAGGCAAGGTTGGAATGAGAATTTCATTTCAAGATCAAGATACAACAGCATTCCATGTAGACACTGATAAAGATCGTCAAAACAAACATAGATTAAAGGTTGCAGCAGTCATTGCATGGTCATTGATTATTGGGATTGGGATTATCATCCTATTGGTCATTCTAGTTCGTTTGGCCTACCTTAAACTACAACAAAGAAAACTTGATCAACATAATCAGAAAAAGGTTGAATTTTCTCCCTCTATTACTTTTGAATCAAACACAAATGTTAATCAAAAATCAGGTTATTCTCAATTTAATTAAATAAATAAAATAAATAGATATGTTTTTGTAAATAAAAAAAAGAAGAAAAGGAGTCCGCTCGAAAAAAGATTCATTTTTTGTTTTCTAATTTATTTCTAGAATGAATACAAATACAAATAATATATATTTATTAAGTTTAAAAGATATAGAAGAATTAACAAATATATGTAAAGATTTAAATATATCAATACCAAAACCAAGAAATAGAACAACTCTTAGGTCATGTATTGCTGCAAGACTAAAAGAAAAGGAATGGTATCAATCTGCTATTGTAGATGATAACCCTTTAAACAAGTATCATCGTGGTACTGTAGATTATGCACTACCATGGATACTCGTATCATCTATTCTAAAACATGCTTATAATTTAAGTGGTCAATGTAATTGTCATTGTAATTCTTTCACATCTACTCCTACTACTTCTTGTTTAATACATTATAGAGGATCTGGAAAGATATATGATAGTGAAAGATGGCCTATAGGATCCTCCTCCTCCTCATCCTCCTCGAAACTTTATACGGCATGGAGAATTGATATTTGTTTAATATCAAAACAAGTATATCAATACGTTTCAAATCATTTATTTGATAGATTGACAATTAGAGGAATGGAACAATCAAACAATCTCTGGCAATCAGTTTCAAAACAATGGTCAATTGTAAAAAGATTGAAAAGGTTGTCTGTCAATACACATGGTTTGGATGATATACTAGATGATAGTCATTTGGCACAACAAACCTATCGTGAATTGACACGCTTCAAAAGTATAACCAATTCATTTACTTTGGCTCATTTAAACAAGATGGCTAGGTTAATGCCAAATTTAACAAGTATAGCTATTACAATGCAAAGTTGTATTAGCAAGACAATGACAAATCTTTTATTTCAAAATGATTCTGTATTGATCAATTTGGTAGACATTGAATTTGGTACTGGTACAACTCTACCATTTACAAACTTCTCAAAGATTACTCGAAAAAGAATTAGAAAATTGGTCATTTCATATGATAGAATCAATGAAATGTTAAAAACTCTTCCTCTACACATTAAACAACAACTTGAAGTGACAAGTGCAACATTTTCTTGTGTTCCTCTATTACAAGATTATCCAAAGATTCATAGTCTTTATTTAAAAAGAGAACTCCCATACTACCAACAATACATACCCGACCCCAATCAATGTAAATGGCCAATTGCACTAGACACTGTCTACTGTAGTGATATGTCTTCATGGGGACACTATCTAAAAACAATCCCAACTTTAAAATGTTATAAAGATCATTATACCTATATCATAGATGAATATCACTCTAAACTCTCAACTATTGAAAATCTATCATTACCATTATTAGAACAAATAACTTTAAATATTCCACCAACAAAAATTCATACATTATCCTCTTCCCCAAATTTTAAAATTCAATCAACTAAATTTGTTGATAATCCAAATAATAATAATTTAGTTTTTTATAGAATTAAATTAATAAAGAAATAAATAAATTATAATTTATTATTTATATTTCTATTTTTTTTTTAGAGTCTATTATTTCGGGTAATTTTTTTAGTTCTCCAAATAAATATTAAGAAAGAACCAAGACCTATGAAAGCAGCAGAAAACCAAACCAAGATAAAGAATGATTTTGGATCGTTTAGGACAAGGGTAACACTAAATACAATGAGCATTGCTAAATTGGTGAGTGAACTTTCAAAACCACTGACAATACCTTTGACATTATCGGGAACGACACGTTGAACATAATTGATTTCACATATTTCAAATCCATACAATCCACATCGAGACAGTACAATAAGAACCAAAAATATGTATTTGGCAGGATAAGAAGATTCTATCCAAGAGAATAAAATGGCAGCCAAAAAGATGAGAACAGACTCTTCGAAAATGTAAAAGGTGGCAGTGTTGTTTAGACCACCAAATCTTCGCATCAACGGTGTATAGGAAAAAGTTGCTGCCAAACCAAACAAAGCACCTAAACCACGGAAAATGGAAAGATCCAAATAGTTGTAACCATGAGTTGAAAGGTAGGCTGTGAGAATGGGGTCATGTGGACTAAGCAATGTAAACCATAAACACACATAGGCAAGTATCATCAGATAGACTCGTTCTTGTTGAATAAAGGTTCTCCATCCTTTAATAATATTTCTTAGTGGATTCCATTCTCCAATGATAATATTTTCAATGATTACTTGTTTTAAACTATGTCTTTTTTTTAATTCCAATAATTCAATATCAATATCATTACTAATCATTTCCTCTTGACTATTATTTATCTGGTTATTTGGTTGTTGTAATTCTATTAATTCTTGTGATAAATTACTATCAATATTAAAACTATGTTGACGACAAATTGATTCTACTCGATGTAAAAAGAAATATTGTGGTGCAAATGAAAAGAAATTAAATAATCCAATTATCATAAATACAAATAATGGTCCATGTGATGAAACAGATGAAGAGGATGAATTGGATGAAGAGGATGAAGAATGGTTGGTTGATGAGTTATTATTTTCCAATTTATAAGATTCTGTAAATTTATCCAATTGATAAAAAGTTGCAATTAAACCAGCAATGAATGGAGCCAAAACTTCAGTTGAAAGATCAACTTGTTTCATTCTACTAGTTGTTTTGCTTAGAGTTTTTTTGCAAATAGCAGGTACCCATTTTCTTTCTACCGATATATCCATAATCAGTGAAGAAACTGAATGTGTCCCAGCCAGAGTTAATAATACAAAAAATAAAAATGATGATAATCCACTACAAAATATATTATCCACTAAACATCTCGTTTCAAGATCATCATTTTTCATATTTACAAGTTTAAAAAGAATTATACATGATAATCCAATTGATAATAATTGTCCAATTATTCCAACTTTTATAACTACAAAAAGTAAAAAAATAAAATTAGAAAAAAGAATAATACTTTTTTATCTATCTATTAGTTTGTTTACCTAATAATTTCTTATAATTATCAGTCATATGACCAATTGTAGTACCAAATAAAATTCTAACAATCGTAACAGATAAACCAAATAATGTAGTTGGTATTAATGAATTTGGTGATATATAAATTAATATTAATGGTATAACAAATTCCCATCCTCTATCACCTAAAACAACAAAAAGAAATAGAAATGTTAGATATATAATCTTTTTTTTTTGTTTTTTTTTTAATACTAACCCATTCTAGTTATAAAATGAGATATTAACATATATTTTGAACATTCTTCTTCAACTTTGATGTTTAACCAATTTGATTCATCATCATTATTATTATTATTAACTTTATCACTATTATCTGAAAGATCATCATCATTGTCATTATTATATTCATCACTACTTGTAGGTGATTGTATATCCTCTATATTATCTAGTAATGATTGTGAAGTTGTATTATTTGATTCTTCTTCTTTACTCTTTATTGGTTGTTCATCATCTATTATTATAGATGACATTTCTATCTCTCTATCTCTCTCTATATCTCTGAGTCAAATATAACATTTTTGTCAAGGGGTCGGACCGTGAAAGATCTTCAGAGAGGTTTGTAGAGACACCGAGTTTTTTATAAAAAGATATATTAATTTTAAAAAAAAAAAAAAAAGAAATGAATCTACAAAAAATTTATTATATTATATTACAAAGTAAAAGTATTATTAATGCACCATGTCCCTATTTAACAATCCTTTAAATTATTTGGATCGATTGATGAATCAATACCAATAGTATTTGAATTGGATGGTGGTGGTGGAGAATGGGTGTATCCTGCAGGTGCTTGTTGTTGAGGAGGAGGGGGGTATGCGTATTGTGGTTGTGGTGGGTATGCGTATTGTTGTTGTGGTGGTTGAGGAATATACGGTTGACCTGGTTGAGCATATGGTTGACCGTATTGTGGAGGGTATGCGTATTGTTGTGGTGGTGGTTGTTGGTATCCATAGGTAGCAGGTGAAGATTGTACGTATACTCCACCTCCTGGAGCGACCACTGGTGATAGACCACCAACAACTGGTTGTTGCTGCACTTTAGTAAGAGAGAGGGTAGCTCTTGGATGAACAATGGTGTTTGCAACATCGGCATGGTGACACGAATGTGGTCTGAGAGCAAAAGAAAAGCCGACGACAATCAACTCGAGTACAATGATTGGAATGACCAAGTAGTATCCAGGACCTCCACCATAGGAACCAAATGAAGAAAATCCATTACTATCAGTTGGACTACCACTACCAGAGAAACTCGAACAATAGTAGCCAGACGACTTACCATACGGACAAAATGGCTCCTTTTGAATATTATCGGTAAAAGAGATTGGGAAAAAGATGATACAAATGACGGCAAAGGTGACGGCCATCCATGAAAATAGACGTGATACATTGACCAATGATTTACGTGTGTTTTTACTATTCGATAGATGTGTAATCAAACAGATTAGATTGAAAAAGGCCGATGCTAAACTAATACCCAATAATGCACCTGTAGTTGTAAATGTTGATTTTAATGATGTATAATCATATCTTTCAGTCTAAAATCAAAACAAAAAAATATATTAGAATATTAACATTTTGTTTGGTTTGTTTTATGTATGTAACATACAACACCACCCATAAATTCATTATAAGTTGCACCATTCCATTTAAAGTTAATCTTGTTGAGTAGTTGTGGTTCGATGACGTACCAAGGTGTTGCAAACGATGCTATATAGAGTATCAGTGCAATCGATGTCAAAACGATATTGGTTATTGCTGGTGCTTGTCCCATCCCTAAAGTTTATAGTATTACTATTCACCAAACTACTATATTACTAATATATATAAATATAAACTTGATTAAAAACAACAACTAAATAAGAGATTGTTATATATCTTTATGGTGGTTGGTTGTTATAGTTGTTCGTTTTGCTTTTTTTTTGTTGAACCCTCCACCTTAAACAACTTTAAAATATTATTTATTTATTTATTTTTTTATTTTTTTCTCGGTTTGCACCAACACACACAGCACTGGGCAACCCCAACCTTGATTCCAAAGATACACCTCAGCAACAGTCAGATAGTGATGTGATCTTTGCTATCAATAGATATCTATCTATTGATCAAGATTAATATCTTTCTAATTAATTTAAATTAAATTAAATTTTATCTCTTATCTTTGCTCTCTCTCTTCTTTTGATTCATACAATATGTTACAGTATAGTAGTATATAAGTAATCAAGTATTAGAAAGATAGTGATGTTTGTTTGTTAGGGTAGGGGGGGGGGGGGGTCTTTATCATAACCAACCTTTGAACCGCGTGTGTGCTCTACCACACCCTGAACTGAACAAACAACACCTTCATTCATTTAGTAAACAAAATGTCATTAATATTTATTTAAAAGTAATAAGTAATAATAATAATGTCAAATACAACAACAACAACAACAACAACAACAAAAAGTTATAAAATACCAGGTACAAAGTACACATTAGAGATTGGTAGAGCAGAATTGGATCACGTCTACATAAAAGGAAATTTCATCTTGTCTATGAAAGGCTACTCAGACACTATCAACCAATGTATATTACATTGGAGGCGTTAGAGTCACTCACCAATATTATAAGGGCTATCGTATCAAAGATGGTCAATCGATCATTAGAATACATGTCGTTGGAGAAGAAGAATGGTGATGATATGTCGTCAGCTGGCAGCATCGGTGGTAGTGGTATTCGATGCAGACATATTACTGCAGCCATCTTGGAATACATTACTGATCAAGAATATAACAGCTGCATTATTGAGAGTTGTTGTCAATTTGTAGATAAATACAACAACAACAACAAACCTGAAGAAAAGGAGAGGGTGTCGTTAACTTTTATGGTATATGATACACCATTTATTGCAGATCTTATGTTATCATCATTTAGTGGAGCAAAAGGAGGAGGAGGAGGAGGAGGTCTGGTCACCGATGACAGTGTAAATCATCTATACATGACAACTGTCGTATTCCTCCAAAAGTTTATCGATTTTATACTTTATCGAATCGTATTTCATACCTGTATAAAGAAAGAGGAAATAATTGTAAGTTTCATATATATATATATATATAAGTACTACATTAATAATACTTACTATTCTTTTTCTATAATTTATCTATCTAGATTGACAGATCAATTTCCAAAGATTTAAGAGTCACCTATAATGATATCAAAGAACTCTTGAAAGAAGAATTATTTACAAGTCATTTTAAAGAGTTGGTATATAATGAAGATGAATCTTTGGAATCACCACCACCACCTGTCAATTCAAGTATAATACAATCATTGAGTAAAGAACAATATGAAATGTTGGAAAATATTAAAGAGAGCGATTTAGAGTACACAAAACTATCAAAAGAACCATTGTTGACAACAACAAAAAACTTTAAGAAAATGTTTAGTTATTATTATAAAAGCTATTATAATGAATATGATGGATTTGCTACTATGCCAACTTTACAAAATCTAAAGGATTTAGTACGTGATATTCCAATCGATATTGTTCAAGCTATGGCCAATCACTTAAATTTAGATATTCAAGAATCTTTACAAAATAGATCAACTATTGGAAAGAGTATGTAAAATATGATTATAATTACAACTATTAATTATTTCTAAATTTATTATATTATATTTTGTTTGTTGTTAACTTATTTAGAATTTGTTGATACAATTAAAGAATAATCTAAACAACAAATAATAGCAAGATTACAATTTGATGATGGGGATTATTTTGGTCAAAGATATACAGCCAAACAAAGACAAGGTATATCTATTTGGTTTCAAGAGCTAAATGAAAGTGGTGATGATGATGATGACCATCCAGAAGATGATGTTTGGTATAAAACTCCAATGCAAGCATTTAAAGAGATTGGAAAGATTAAAGATTTTGATGAAAGTTATCGTCGTTGATGACGCAAACATACATACATACATACATACATACCCTATATAATTATAATTAATAAAAGTATATAACACATCCTGTACAGAAAAATTTACCCGCCAAAAACCCAACACTTTTTAATTTTTCAAAAGTATCACCATTTTACAAAAGTTGATCATCATCATTATTATTTATTTAATGTATAACAATAATAAGTAATAATAATAATAATAATAAGGAAGTAATAATAATGTCTACTATTACAAATACAACAACAACAACAACAAAAAGTTATAAAATACCAGGTACAAAGTACACATTAGAGATTGGTAGAGCAGAATTGGACCATATCTACATTAAAAGGAAATTTCATGCTGTCAATCAACTGCTACTCAGAAACTATCAACCAATATATATTACATTGGAAGCGTTAGAGCCACTCACCAATATAATGAGAGCTGTCGTATCCAAGATGGTCAATCGATCATTACAATACATGTCGTTGGAGGAGAATGGTGATGAATCTGAATCAGCTGGTAGTGGTGGTATTCGTTGCAGACATATTACTGCAGCCATCTTGGAATACATTACTGATCAAGAATATAACAGCTACATTATTGAGAGTTGTTGTAAATTTGTAGATAAATACAACAACCCTAAAGAAAATAAAGATGAAGATGAAGATGAAGATGAAGATGAAGATGAAGATGAAGATGAAGATGAAGATGAAGATAAACAGCCAACAACTTTGGAGGTATATGATGCACCATTTATCGCAGATCTGATGTTATCATCATTTGCTGCCGATGACAGTGTAAATCATCTATACATGACAACTGTCGTATTCCTCCAACAATTTATCGAGATGATACTTTATCGAATCGTAGTTGGTATCTCTTCAAAGAAAGAGAAATTAATTGTAAGTTTTTGATAGCAGTAGTAGTATATTAGAAAGTATATTATATTGACCTGATTATTAATATTATCTATCTATCTATCTAGATTGACAGATCAATTTCCAAAGATTTAAGAGTCACCTCTAAAGATATCAAACAACTCTTGGAAGAAGATGAATTATTTACAAGTGATTTTAAAGAGTTGGTATATAATGTATCTTTGGAATCACCAACACCACCTGTCAATTCAAGTATAATACAATCATTGAGTAAAGAACAAAATGAAATGTTGGAAAAGATTAAAGAGACTGATTTAGAGTACACAAAACAATCAAAAGAACCATTGACAACAAAGAAAAACATTAAAAACATGTTTAGTTATTATGCAAACTATCATGATGAACGTGATGGATTTACAACTATGCCAACTTTAGAAAATCTAAAGGATTTAGTACGTGATATTCCAATCGATATTGTTCAAGTTATGGCCAATCAATTAAATTTAGATATTCAAGAATCTTTACAAAATAGATCAACTATTGGAAAGAGTATGTAATATATAGTATAATAGATATCTATTCAATTATTATTAATATATTAATTTATTATTTTTTTAGAATTTACCAATACAATTAAAGAATTAAAATCCAAACAAATAATAGCAAGATTACATTTTGATGATGGTGATTATTATGGAGAAAAATATACAGCCAAACAAAGACAAGGTATTTATGTTTGGTTGGATCAACTAAACGATATAAGTTGTGATGATGATGACCATCCAGAAGATGATGTTTGGTATAAAACTCCAATGCAAGCATTTAAAGCGATTGGAAAGATGAAAGATTTAAATAAAATCATTGATAATATATCCGATTATTTTTATTAAAAAGTAAAAAGTAAAAAGTAATAAAGATATATTTATATTTATATATTTATTTATTTTTTGGATCAAATATAATGAATCCATTTGTAAAATTTATTTTGTTTTAGTTTTATTTTAAAGGTTTAAATTGAACCAATTCATAATCACCTCCTCCTCCTTTTGATCCAGAGTTTTTAAAATGATTTCCAATTTTGATTGAAAAGAATAAACCTATTAATTGAAAAACTGCCAATGGAAATAATAAATACCATCCTGTATCTGGACCCCATGTTAAAGTTCCATCTTTACTCTTTCCTGAAAAATGTTTAAAACAATAATCATCAAGATTATAATTATTAATATTTAAACTATCACTTTCATTATTATTTTTACACCAATAATCATCTTTACTTAGATTATTTGCAATGGTGATTGAAAAATAAATAATTGAAAAGATGATGGATAATAAAGATACTGATGATACTATTTTTGTTATTAAAAATGATGGTGGGGATGGTTGAGATGGTTGTTTCCAAGTCTGCTGTACTTGTCTTTTTTTCATTAAATAAATGATCATCGTCATGATACTTGTTAGACACATTATTAATCCAATTGCTTCAATTGCTGCAATTGGTTTAAATGTATTATTTAATGATTTTTGATAATATTGTTTTCCAACCTTTTGAAAAAGGAAAAAAGAAATTAATAAATAATAATTATATATTTAAATGTATTATATTTTTAACTTACAAGGTATTGATTCTTTTCAAACAATTCAGCATATTCCCATCTAAATAAAGCTTGGTATGATATTTTATAGGTACGATCTATAAAATAAAAAGGTGTTGCCAATGATGCAGAGTATAGTATTACACATATCGAATGAAATAATAAATGAAAAACTATTAATTTCCTTCCTCCTCCTCCTCGTCCTTTGAATAATGTAACTATTGTAAACACCATCAAACGTGTAAATATAATATTATATTTAAAGGTCGAGTTGTTTAAGATATGTTTTTTCAGTTGATGTTGCTATGATGATAAGATATGTTGTGTTTTGATGTAATCTGTAATCTGTGATTACTCTACACCAGAGAGACTGTTTAAATTAAAATTGTTGTAGGGTTACAATGGTGCTAAATTGAATTTGAGCTGGAGGGTGTTACAAGATTTAAAAACTACAATGGACAGACATGTGCGAAACGAAAAAGAAATCGAGTAAACTTCCTTTTACCAACTAGCTAGTATCTAGTATATATACTATTTTTATAGTTATGTACTATATAAACATTATAGATCGAAAAAACTACTCTTGCAAAGTCAAGCTAACCAAACTAGTACAAATATAGTAATAATAATTCTTAAAGTGATCTTGTTGATCCCAAGACATTCTTTAAAACAAAAGCTTTTTTTTTTTTTTTTTTTTTGATCTAGGACGAGTTTGTAGTGTAATTATGATTATCTATTTTGATCTTTCCTTTTCTTTGTTGTTCTTGTTTTTGACCTTCTTCCTTTACACCTTTTACAAAAAAGCAATGTTTCGATCCCAAAGATCTTTTGTTTATGATATTTTTGGGAAACACGTCATTCATTCATTGATTCATTCGGATGATCATTTAATTGATTTAAACCATTTAAAAATAAACGAAACGTTCGATTATAATAGTTCCTCATTTCTTATTATCTCTTTTATTATTATTATTATCTCTTTTTTTTTTTAATTTTTTAAAAAATGTCATCATCCCTTTTATTTCTTTCTCTTTCTCTTTCATTTATTATTTTATCATTTTTAATTTCAATATCAATTTCATTACCAATAACTATATATGTAAATAATCAATCATTAAATACAAATACAACATGTGGAATTGATAATTCAACTGTAAATGCATGCTCGGATATATCAAGTGCTTTGATTGCATTTAATAGTAACGCAGGCTCTATAGTTGATGGAGTAACACAAGACCTTAATATTGTCATGTCTGCTGGTACCTATTTAGGTGACAATAATGCAAACTTTACAATCTATAATCAATCGGTTTCTATTGAAGCAGATAATATTGGAACTGTCACTATTGATATGTCCAATACAACGGCAACCTATTTTATTCAAGTATCGGTCAATCAATCATTGCCAGAGGATATGACCGAGATTGTTTTGTCAAGACTGTCATTTACTGGATTGGATTTGTCAAGATCAAATACTACATCTGGTGGTATTCTAGTATCTACTACAGTATCTACAGAGGTACTAGTCAATTTTGTACAATGTCAATTTACAAATATATTTACTGCCAATAGTGCTTTAATATCTCTTCAATCAATGTTGGCTGTTAATCAATACCTCTTGATTGATCAATGTATAATGACCAATGTTTCATCAAACGAGGTCATCATTGCACCTCAAAATGTTGGTTTCAATCTTACCAATTCACAATTCACCGCCAACAATGGTATCTTTTTGGTTCAACATATGTGGGGTCTACCAATCATCGTCAATAATACATTTAGTAATAATAATTTTACAAATCTTAGTGCTGGTGCATTATTTTTGTTTGGGTATATTACAAGTCCAACATCTCAAATTGCCAACAATACATTTACATCGAATCAAGTGTATGGTGCCATTATCATGTCGGTTAGATCAAGACTATTCGTTTCAAACTGTCTCTTTACCAAGGCCATCAATACCAATGGTATCATTGTAGGTGATGGTTCAGTACTCTACCTATCAAATAGTAGCTTTATCTCCAACTCTGCTTTAAAGTATGGTCAAATTTATGCTACCGATACTTCGTCTATCGTCATTTCAAACAGTAGCTTTGTTGGTAATTCTGCCATCAATGGTAGTGCCATCTCTGCATTGGCCACTTCAAGCTTTGCAATTGACTCGACCTACTTTACGGAAAATGTAGCAACTGGTAGTGGAGGTGCAATCAATTCAAAAGCTACCACACAATTTACTATTACCAACTCTAAATTTAGTAACAATAGTGCAAACAACGTTGGAGGTGCAATCTTTTCAAGTTCTAGTTCCTATTTTAATATTTCAACTTCAGTATTTAATGGTAATAGTGCAGGTAGTGGTGGTGCTATTGAATGTAACAATTCAACCATTGTAGCTCAAAATGTTCTATTTGATGAAAACATTGACAAGAATAGTAATGAAACTTCGGATTTGGTATCTTGTGAAAATAATAATTGTAAAGTTTCTGGTAATAGTAATCATAATTATTGTTTGGCAAATAATGGTGATGATAATGGTTATGGTGATGGTTTACCTAAAAAGGTTGTTGTTGGTATTATTATTGGTGTAGTGGTTGGTGTTTTAATATTGGCTTTGATAGTTTATATTATTTATAAACGTAGAAAGAATCAATTAAAATATGCTACAAATTATCATTATTCAAATGTTCACTAAAAATAAAAATAAATATAAATAGAAATATAAATAGAAATAGAAGTTTAAAGTTATCTTTTTTTTTTTTTTTTTTTTTTATAAACAAACAGATAATAGATAATAAGTTGGATTGAGTAGTTTGATATTTGATAAACATCATTTGTACTTTGATAATTTGTAAACTGGTGTGTTTCAAATATCAAAAACTATCATGATGGCTAATTGAATGGCAGATACTGATAACACAAAATCATCTTCTTTCTCTGTAGCTAAGTTCTACACCATTTCTTTAAACCATGATTGATTATGTAAATCAACACTTTGCAAATAGCATAAGCTATTAGTAGTGGAAGCATGGAAAGAATTCGGAGTTTTACCAGTTACATTTGTATGTGATACAGGCTTTGATGGACCATGGAATTGTGAAAGAGGTTTATTCACCAGGTAACAATAAACATTATTATGACATCAATATAGGTAATCTCGGTCTTTATGCTCAAAAAACACCAGACATACATGGAGAAGCAAATATAATGGGATGTGGAGTTTTGAGTCACTTTGGATTAACTGTTTATCTTAATCAATGTCATTTCTTGAATCAACCATCAGTCATTTTCATTCCAATAATGAATAGTTTTTATTATTATTGATTTTAACAGAATAGGTTGGATGAAATTTAAATAGTAATATATACAAAGTATAGAGATTCGGTGAGAATAGAGATTGCAAGAGTTTCCGCGTTATAGGTTGGTTTGAATTTTGATTGTTTGTAGAAATATATATATAGATGAAAACTATCTACAACTACCCCCTGCTTATCCTTGCTCTACCAAATCCAAATTAGAAAGATAATAATGACAACCATGTCTCTTGATATAGTTGAGAATGTCATCTCTTTTGACAAGATGAGGATAATGTTGATGAATAAACAAGATTACCTTGTCATCACCCTTGCGTAAATGATCGACCAAGTATGGTGACTTGCTAAATGGGTCCACTCCATTGTCGTGGAGGTATTGAGCGATTGCCAATGTTTGGTTGCTATCTTGGTGTTTTGGATAAAATAGAATATCATTGGCACAACGAAAACCTAAAATTTTATGTACCCATTTTACATGTTCCAATGTACCATGGTTTATAATGAATTCCTTTCCAAACTTTTCACATATTTTCATTATAAACTCTTCTTTTTCTTGTGATGGCCATTCCTCTTTGTCTTCCTCTTCATCATCATCCTTTTCTTCATCTTTGACACGTACTTTGAAAATATGAGGTAAATCTCTCCAATAACTTTCAATGTTTTGATGTGCATTTAATTCTTGATTGAAATACATTCCAAACATAAACATATACCAACGAGATTGTTTGGTTGACAGTTGAGAGAGACTATCGAAATAACAGTAGTTTCCATTGTTGTGATAGTTTTCTTGATCCTTTTCAAGATTCTTTTCGATGCTATCCATCTCCTCATCAGTGACCATATTTTGTAAATCTGTTTCAAAATCGGTATCGAAAAGTTGAAGAACTTGTTTGATAAAGTCTAAGTGTTGATCGAGATCCATGTCTTTTGGTGCTCCTTTTCGGAGGTAATACACATATGAATGAGGTAGGTAAAATTCAGTGTCGACATAATAGTTGGCATGGGCGTATTTGACCGTTTCTATATCTCGAGTTGCCAATAATAGCTTGTAAAAATATTGTCTACATAACTTTTCCATGGTGACTCGTTCGTTATTTTTAACAATATCAATAAAGATTCTAGCAAGTTTGATTAAATCTGACTGGCTGTATTTAAAGAGAGCACCCTTTATAGAGAATATACTAGTCACTTTGAATTTGTAATCATTCATTTCCAATAAATACGTTGCCATGTCTAGATGCATTCCTTGAATGGCAACTTGAATACATTCATTCATGTCAAATGATGGTTTGATAGGGACTGTATTATCGGCCAATATTTTAAATATCTCTATATTTCCTTTACTTGCTGCCATCTTGAAACAATCTGGGTGATTAAACCATTCAGGTATCTTTTCAAACAAATATCTAAATATCTCCAAGTTTTGTTCATCTTGACCATTAAACGAACATATATCTTTTGTTGTTTTATAATTCCATTTTAAATGATGAGATGAAAAAGAATCATCTAGTTGTAATTCTTTTTCTTCTCTTTCAATTCTTTGTTTTAATTGATTGATATGACCACATCTGAGATACCAACCAATCTTGTTTGGTAATTGATTAAACTTGTATGTTTTTATAATATTATCTTTGTTGCTGAAAGAAGATACTGATATAATCCTTCTAAACAATACTATATTACATATTACACTTTTAATCACTCTATCATGTTGTTCTTTGTTTGATTCATTACATTTTTCACACCCATTTATCTGTTGAATAGATAGATCAATACATGAATATCTTTGCAAATATATATTTATATATATAGCTATATCTACTTACACTTTGAAATGGAATGACTCTAGCATAACTTTGAATAATCCTTAATTTCATTTCTTACATGTGAATGAATGAATCAATCAATGAAATAGCAGACCTTATAAAGTTTGATTTGAGGTGTTTTTTTTTTCTCTTTGCATACTGATTTGTTAATGTTTTATTATTTTAATTATTTTCCACAGTTACATTACCGCAATTATCTATATAACCATGATGCATTAGATAATATGTAATTAGTGGTAGATGTGATTTTTCTTTTAATAATCCTTTTGATAACAGTTTATAATATACTCGACTGATTGATGAATTATTATAATAATCTAGATCCAATACCATTTTGAGACAATTGAAGCTTCCTTCCATGAAACACATTTTAAGAGCATTTTCAATATTTTTGGGTTGACTATTTTCTTCTTTGACCAAATCTAAAAAGTATTTCAGTATCATTGGACAATCGTTGGTGATAGCAGTTTTCATCAAGGTATTAATCATTTCCATTATTTTCTTTAAATGTTGGTAATTGTTGTTAGCAAGGTGTTGAATAAATGCTAGTTGATTATGAGTGATGGATGCCAAGATGACTGATTCATACACTTTAGAGGGCTCAGGGCAACTTGATATGAATTTATCAAATGTTTTAATATCACCTCTTGATGCTATGGTATCCCAAGTTTCCAATTTAAATTGTAAAGGTTCCTCCAATGATTCATTTTCCTCTTGATAATAACGTTTGATTAACTTGTAAAGTGGTTTGTATTGATGATTGTATGATTCTGATAGAATTGATATAATAGTTGTCTTGTTTGGTTTGCATTTTGATTGTTTAAATAATAGCCATTCTACAATATCAATTTGGTTATTTTTTGTTGAAATATCTAGTTGTTCTTGAAATGTTGATTCAACAGATTCCATATCATTGTCAATATGATTATAATATTGTTGCAAGAGTTGAAAACTCTTTTGACCAACACGATCATCGTAATAGTAGTGAACGGGTCCCATTTTGATTAATTTATCAAGATGGGTTGCATTGATATTCCTACTATTCCTTATATAGCACCTTTTATCAGATCGAGCTTCTTCTTGTTTGATGACAAGTATGTCAACAAGATAATAATGACCATATTTTTTAATATATTTGAGAATATCATCTTGACTGATCACGTGAGGATAATGTTGATAAAGAAACATAATAACCTTGTCGTCATTCCTACCACATTGATCCACTGTATAATTGTAGGTTTGTGACGTGATGATTCCATTCGTGTCGTAGAGATATTGCATTATATTCATTGTTTGATGACCGTCTTTATGTTTTGGGACAAATAAATCATTTGGATCTATCAAACCCATTGAATGTGCCAACTTGACATGCTCTAATCTACCTTGGTTCATGATGAATCCCCATCCATACATCTTGTATACCATTTCGATAAACTCTGTTTTTTGTTCATCTTTGACACGTACTTTGAAAATATGAGCTGGTGGTAGGATGTGCATAATGCTAAACATAAACATATACCAACGAGATTGTTTGGTTGATAGTTGATAAATACTATCGAAATGATTATTATTGTAATAATATTGATCCATTTCCAGACTACTCTTTTCAATACAATCCATCTCCTCGTCAATGACATACTTGGCAACAAATTTGTTTGCCATATCAAACCGTTGTTCATATTCTATGGTGTTTAGTTTTATAACTTGTTTGATAAAATCAATGTGTTGATCGAGATTCATGTCTTTTGGCGCACCACTACTGAGTAATTGATCAAGTACACCTTCTATCGAGTAAGAATAGTGGCCGGTCGCTTCTTTAACCAGATCTATATCTTGAGATGGCATGACTAGATCAATAAAGAAATGTGCAAAAATCCTCTCCATTTTGACTCTATCATTGTTTTGGTTGCAAATGCCAATAAAGATTCTAGCAAGTTTGATTAAATCTGATTGGTTGTATTGCAATAAACGACCCTTTAAATAAAATGAATGTTTGACCATTTGGAATTTGTAATTATTCATTTCCAATAAATACCTTGCCATGTCTGGATGCATTCCTTTAATGGCAACAGTAATACATTCATTCATGTCAAATGATGGTTTGATAGGGACTGTATTATCGGCCAATATTTTAAATATCTCTATGTTGCCTTTACTTGCTGCAATCTTGAAACAATCTGGGTGGTTAAACCATTCAGGTTTCTTTTCAAACAGATATCTAAATATCTCCAAGTGTTGTTTATCTTGACCATTAAATGAACATATATCTTCTGTTGTTTTATAATTCCATTTTAAATGATCATCATCAAATAAATAATCTTTTTTAATTGTAAATGATGATGATAAAGTTGAAGAAGAAGATGATGATGATGATGATGAAGAGGATAAAGTATTATTAAATAATTGATGTAATTCTTTTTCTTCTCTTTCAATTCTTTGTTTTAATTGATTGATATGCCCACATCTGAGATACCAACCAATCTTGTTTGGTAATTGATTAAACTTGTATGTCTTTATATCTTTGTTGTTGAAAGAAGATACTGATATAATCCTTCTAAACAATACAATATTACATAGTACACTTTTAATCACTCTATCATGTTGTTCTTTGTTTGATTCATTACATCTTTCATCATTACATCCTTTAATCTGTTTTAGAATAAATAAATAATAAATACCAAGTAATCATCTTCAAGTGCAATCATATCATCATCATTGCTTTATAATAGTTGTGCTTACATTTGTGAATGGGATGATTCTAGCAATGTTTTTAACGATCGTATCGGATTGGAAACTATAACGTACCATATGGATCGGTAAAGTCAAAGATAGAAATATAGATAGGCTGCAGTGGGTGTAACTTTGTTTTTTTTTTTTTTTTTTATCAAAAGGGTTGTTCATGAATGGTGTTGGGTTATTATGAATTATTATTCTATTTTATTCTGTAGTTGTTTTGCTTTGTTATATTTATATATATAAAGAAATTAGAGAGAAGAGTTTTGTGGAATGAGCTATAGTTTGATCAGTCCTGATTGATAGTTGTATGTATTTACAACCTGATGATTCATTTGGATTCGACCTGTTGTAATCATTGCTGTATTCTAACATTCTCTATCATACTTTTATGGTAGAAGGATCAATGGTAGTAAATACGTATGTATCAAGTAGTTTATAGATCAAGAGATGCACTGGTGACCTAGTGTTGAGACGGTTTCCCCTTTTACTTACTACTCTCTATTAATTAGGTTGTAAATAATTTATTGTCAGGGTTAATAATTTATGACCCCCTCTGCTTCTCATTAGAATGGGTCACTCATATCACTGATTCATCACCGTCCTTTCAGTGGTTAGTAGTAGGTCATAGTTGGTATGGTAGTTGGATTATTTTTGAACAAGTTATGGTCTACCCTTTAGTTTCTCTCATTGGAACCCAGGTATATATTGACTTAGGGCAAACCGAGGTTGTCAACAAGCCATCCCTTGTAGTGTAGTCGGTAACACTTTAGTCTCTCACACTGACTCCTCGTATCACTTTTGGCAATCCACCGTCCTCCTTTCTGGAAGAAAGGTAATATAAGGAAAAAAATCTTTTTTTTTTTTTTTTAATAAAATCTTTGACCTCTTCATCACCGCTGAAGTCATATTGTTTATTTTTAAATTAATGATTTAATTATTATTGTTTAATTTGGAGTAGTTGTTAGATAGTGGTTAGTTTTAGTTAGGAAGGAGGGAATGCGATAGGGTGAAGCTAGTTTGCCCCAAATGAGAGAGAATTTACTAAAGTTTGCGATCAGTTCGAGATTAGTGACCGACCATCGATCAGGTTGACATTTAGCTAGAATCGACTTGCAGTTTTGGATTAGTTTCGGGTATTCAAGATAGATTATAGTTTGAATCGTTTGGTAACGATTGCTGCTTCGTTTGGGTCGAGAGAGTAGTTGCGATGGTCATCGTCAAAGTCGAATTGCACATTCAGGTGGTGGCACCATGTGCGATGGAAGAGTATAGCAACAGCATTGACATAGCGTCTGTGATGTGTTCTCTGCTTGGTGAAGTTGAGAGCGTGGACATTCCACTGCACTCTGTTGTCGGTCCAGTCGAGAATCAACTTGCTAAACAGTGGAGCTCGTGGTTGAACGTGTATACATTCAAACAAATGGTGTATGATTGGAGATGTGTGTGTATCCCCATCGAATACAGTGTGGCATGCGTAGCATATTGTATTGGTGTCAGCTGGGGTACGTTTCATTATTCTGGCAATGAAAAAAATCGTGGCAACCTAGGCCAAACCGAGATTGAAAACAAGGCATCGATTCCTCTGTGGTGTAGTCGGTAACACTTTAGTCTCTCACACTGACACCCCGGGTTCGATTCCCGGCAGGGGAGCTCCTAGCACCTTTTTGCACCTTTTTGCACCTTTTTGCACCTTTTTGCACCTTTTTGCACCTTTTTGCACCTTTTTGCACCTTTTTGCACCTTTTTGCACCTTTTTGCACCTTTTTGCACCTTTTTGCACCTTTTTGCACCTTTTTGCACCTTTTTGCACCTTTTTGCACCTTTCCCAATATATGGGTGCTATTCCTCCCACGGTTTGGTGCGAATGAAAGGTGGCCTTGTACTTTTTATCCTCTACATAGGAGGTTAGTGGTAGATGACCATAAGAACCACTAATAGGCGAACGATGATCTCTCGTTTTCATTGTTTTTATTATGTATTTTTATCATTCATATTTCTATGACAATCTATCTTGTATCTAGTACTTGTATTGTATTTTTAGCATCTCATTATTCTATTCTAGAGGTCTGCGCAGTACATACAGATTCTGAATAACAGAAATCTCTAGAGACCACTAAAAATCGATATGCAAACAGAGATACCAAGAGTATTGAAGGTGTTTTGGTAGATTTATGAATAGGTGTAGCTCTAATATAACTTTAAAACATACACCTATTTACAAATCTACCAAAACACGTACATTCCATATTCCAAAGAAGTAATATAATGTGTAAGTCTCTTTTTTTTAATTTAATTAATTTTTATTTATTTTCTTTTCTTTCTTTTTAAAGATGATGATAATGATTATTAAGTTTTTCAATAGTTTGAATAGCCAATTCCAAATTTGAACCATGACCAACCATACGATAAGAAGCAGGACTAGTAAAATTATACCACAACATATTATACAATCTTTCATCGTGTAGTTTAATCTTTTCAAAATCTGGAAGAGCACCAATTTGACTGGCTAGGTCATCACTAAAATCTACATATTCACCATGTTGATATTGTCTATTTGGATAGGAATCTCTAATATTTCTTTCCAATTCCAATCCTTGACGCATTATGTTTTTATCGATTGGTGGGAGGACACCAGAAAATATTTGAGTTGCCCAACGAGCTTGTAATTCCATGGTCGGCGCAAAAGCATTTTTAAACCATCCAACAAATGCTAGATTATCCAAATCTGGATGAAATACAGTCTTGTAAAGTACTGCAGGTGCCATTGGATGATTTTTAAATTCAATCACTTTTTGCAACTCTTTTGAAAAGAATGGTAAATCTACATCATATCCAGTTGCCATTATAATTTCATCAATCTCTAATGATGATTGTATATTTGACGGTTGTTGAACGAATTGAATCGTTTTACCATCCAAACTTTCAACCTTTTCTTTGATACGTTGAATCTTTTTTGATTTTACAGCTTCGACATAGGTATCTGAAATGGCAATAAAACCAGGTCTATTCATATCAACTTGTAATTCTGGTACCACTGCTTGATTCTGACACAATACATTTAGTTTTTGATTATTATCCAAAAAGATCTCTTCATATGGTTTACCCTTGTTTTGTTGATTAATATGTCTTGAAAACATGACAACATCAAATGGGAATATAAATCCAGGTCTTGGTTCTAATCTTCTTGATACTATCCAATTATTATGTCCAACATGATGAAATACTTTTGATACATTTGGATCAGATGACAATTCTGATGCAATTTCACATCCACTACATCCTTCTCCCATTACCATTACTCTTTTATTATAAAAAGGTATAGGATTTTTATAATCTTTTGAAAATGTTATATTACCAGTAAACTAAAGAAAAAGAAAAAAAAGATAATTAAAATAGATTCTTTTTACTTTTTTGTTTTTAAATTTACATTTTCAAAATTAGGTAAACTAGTAGATTTAATTGATTGTTTACTAAACATTCCAGTAGCAATGATAATAAAATCAAAAGTTTCAGTAATGATTTTACCATTTGTTTCATAATCTACTTTCCAAGTAGTTTTAACCTCTTTGATTTGTTCAACTTGGACAACTTTACAACCAGTTTTAAAATGTTTTCTTAGATTAAAATGATCGATATAACCATTTAAATAATCTTGTACTTGAGATTTTGTTGCAAACTCTTGTTTAATAACATCATCTGGATAAGGGTAATCAGAGAATACAAATATATTGACCGATACATTTGTCTGTAGAGAATCCCATAGTTTACCTGATCTCTTACTCCAATTACCAAATAAATCATCTTCTTGTTCCAAGCATAAAGGTTCTAATCCTCCACATTCCAATGATGCTTTAACTGATGTTATACCACTTATACCTCCTCCTATAATTAATACTCTTTTCATTCTTTTTTAAATAACAACTGCAAAAATGAAAATGAAAATGAATGAAAAGAATGATTGAAAAAACTTAAACCTTTTTTTTGAATTGTGTGTGTGGTTATAAATTAAATATCTGTTTTTTTTTGATATTTTTTAATTTATTATTTGATTTATTATAGTTACATTACATTTTAAAATTCATTTACCTTTTCCAAATAAATTAAAAATAGATGATTTTTTACTATTATTATTATTATTATTATTTTGTACATTTTGTCGTTCATCCATTTCCAATTCATAAAGATTTAATTGAATTAAATAATATTTTAATTCTGGTGGAATGTTTCTATGAAGTGTTTGAGTTGATGATTTCATTGTTGAACTTACAAATGTATCAATTTCATTTTGTATATTATTATTAGTTTTATATAAAGGTAAACAATCTGGTACCTTGTCATTTAAATTATTATTATTAAATTGCCAATTCCATTCCAACATTTCATTTTCATTTTCTTTTTCCTCTTTTTCCTCCTTTTCCTCTTTTTCAATTTCAAAATATCTTTTACAAAGATATTGAAAGGTTGAAATATTACAACCAATAAAAATAGATTGAATAGCAATTGATTGAATAAATGATTGATGAATACTTTTGTTTGGTTGTTTTGATTGTCTATAATTTATATAACAATCCAATAAATTAAAATGATTATGTAATATTAAATGATGAACTGGAAATGATGGATCTGGTACTACATTATTATAACTAAATAGAAAAATTAATATAAATTTCTTTTTTCTTTCTTTTATCTTTGTTTTTTTTCTTTTACCATAAATAATTAAATAAATCAAATCTACCATGTTTTGAAGTTAAACCAAGAGTTAATAAAACTTCAGCTTTTTTATCACGATGATTTTTAATGATTGATTTATAAAGATCAATATTACCAGTTTCACCTGCCAATTTAAAAGCAATATCTGTACCAAAAGTAACACCGACTCGCTGATTATTGACATCAAAATGATAAACTTGTTCAATATTTTGAATGACGTGTTGAATTAATTTGATTGAACCACTTTTTGCAATTTGATCCAAAAAACAATATAAATAATAATTATTAATGTACAATTGAGCACGTTTTGTAAAAAATACATCTTGATTATTGGTTTCTTCTATTTGTTTTTTTGTTGCTACCGGTGTAAAGGATGGAGGAGTTGTTGTTGATTGTTTAGAAATTTCAATATTATAATGAGCAAGAGTTGTAGTCCAATTTGAAATTTGATCTCTAATTTCTACCAATATTTTAAAATATTGGTCCAATAATTTTGTATCACCAATTTGACAAAACAATAATACAATTCTAATTGGATCAATGATTAAAAATGCATTTCTATTAAAAGAAATTGGATTTTTTTCAAAATCTTGTCTTTCCATTGGTGTCATTGAAACTATAGAGTTAAAATAGGGTGACCGCATTATTAAATTAAATAAAGCTTCATCTGTTAAATAACCACTATACAATTTGTATAAAATATTTCTAGACCAACAAAATTCTACCACTGCATCTGATATCTTGATTGATGTAAAATGAATTTTATCAATCATTTCTGGACAAACATCTAAAATAAATTCTAAAATATCAACCTTTTCTCTTTCTACCAACATTTTCCAATCAACATATTCATTCATCCATTCCACATTTTTAAATTCTTGTAAATCCTCTCTTGATTGATATAAATATTTAAAATGTTCCAATTCTCCATATCTACATAATAATCCTAATAATTCTCCTTTTTTTTCTTTTAAAACAAAATAAAAAATTAATATAATGATTATTATTTGTTTCTTTTTATATATTTTTACCAATATTATTATCAAAATTTAAATTTAATAAAATAAATTTAAAAGAATTAATTAAACCAAATTGAATTGATTCTTTTAATATTGTACGATCAATTGAATCTGTTTGATTTGAATCAACTATAATTTTTTGAATGGTATGCATTTTAATTTGATCCTCTGTCAATGACCAACCATTTTTCTTTGCAATTTGTTCAATATCATTTGAAATGTCTTTAATATTGATATCTTTTTCTTTTCCTAATAGTTTTGAAAATACTTTTAGTTGTTTATCATAGTCATTATTTTTGTGACGATAAATAATATGATATGAATTGAAAATTGAAAGTTTTGATTCTACTGGTATAGTGTCTACTATATAATCAATATCTCCATTTACAATACATCTACCACTAACTCTAACCATTCCAATAGTCTCGTCTGGAGCACCATATAATCTACAATAATGATCATAGACCTGATGACTATCATGATTAATGGCTCGATCATAATAAACTTGTTTTCTCTTGTTTGTCTCTTGATGATAGTGTTGTGATAAATAGGTCATAATATCCAAATGTCCACCAACAATGGCCACTTCCAATGATTCTTCTCTTGAAAATGTGATGGGGGAGGTTTGTTGAAACAAAGTTTGGAATATGTGTAATGACCCTCCTTGAGCTGCACATGTTAATAGTTCAGGGTGTGCAAAAGCCGATCGATAATGTTGATACACCAAATCAAACACTTTCTGATCTGTACAAGTCCTGAGGAAATCACATAGACCAGTCTTGTTGATAAAGATGTGACGATTACTCTTTATACGATCTTTGATCAGACCAAAGTGACGATTCTTTACAATCATCTCCAATGCATAATAGTCCCAATAGTTTTCTCTAATAGCTACTTCAAAGTTTAGTAACAAACTATTACTAGATGGAAACTTTCTATCAAAGTGATGCAAAGTCAATGAATCACATGCCTTTCTTGATCTCTTGCACAATGACAATATTAATTGAAATAACCATTTATTCTTTACTACCAATTCTATTAATCTTTGTTCTATATTTAATTGATTCATAAGTTTATATAAATATAAATAGAAATACAAATAATCAAGAATGAACAAATGAATTTAGAGTTTTATAGAGAGAGAGATATTCAAAAAAAATAACAAAAATATATATCTTCAAGATTTTTTATTCGTTGAACCTTTTTCAAATAGCATATCTAAAATAACAACAACAATCACTAGTTTATAGTTGTATATATATATAATTACAACAAAGAGAGAGATAAAAGTGATTTTATTTATTTGTTTCATTGCAATGAAAATTATCGATCACCCATCATCAGGCTAGATTTATTACATTAAGTGTGTGTGCAGTGTGTAAGTACACACACAACACACAACAATATTTATGTGTTTAGGGATCAAAAAATACCCTCATTCAACCTCAAAAAAGGTAGGTACATAATTTTAAAACCACATACCTTTGAATTTGGAATTGGTACAGGCTACTTGTGCGTGTGGTGATCAAACCAGTTATTATCCACATTTTATATTGTGGTGGTTAATCAATCAATAAAATAAATCACTTAATCCAAAAGAAAAGAAATAAAAAAGAGGCATGCAACAATCATTTCATTATACTAGTATACATCTCTCTCTTTCTTCTCTCAACTACTATTTATTTATAAATAATTAATTTTATTAAATTTTCTTTCTTACTTTCAAAAATGTCAATGAATAAAGTATCACCGGAATATAAAGCTCAATTACTAGATGTACTTAATCAACAAAATAAACATATAAAGGAAAAAAATCTACCACTCGAAGCTCGTGCAGTTAACCTTTTTGCTATCTTGTTTTGTGTATGTAAAAAAATGATAATCATCCAAGTACTTTTAAAATTAATTTACTCTTTTCTTTTTCTTAAGCAAAAACTTGATACAAATTTCTCAAGATGTATTGAATTGGATGATTTAAAGAAATATAGTCCAAAAGAGACCGAAGCAACATTGAAACAATGGATGTTGGATGCTAAACCATGTGGTAGTCCAATTGATCCAATTACCTATGTAGACATGTACTACAAATTTATTGTTGATCCAAAATCAATTCCAAAAAGTTGGGGTACCATCTTTGCTACGCTAGATTATCAAGACACTGCAACTAGAATGGCTCAAGCTCAAAAGGATTTAGAAGATGCTAGAAATCAAGCTACTGCAACTCAACAACAATATACTGTTCCAAAAGTTAATTAAAAATATATAAATTATTTTTATTTATTTTTTTTTAATGTATATATACAAATAATATTTTTTAAAACAATAAAATTTACAATGATTATTATTTTTTTTTAAAAGATAAAGAATTTAAAAAATAAAATAATAAATAATAATAAGATGATTGGGATTAATTGAGATTTAAAAATATAAACATTTAAATCTTCGAAACGAATGATTGCACGTTGACGTCTAATTTCGGTTACTTGAAGTGGAGGAATATATTCGGTTGGACCATAGACATACCATTTGGTACCACACTTTCGATGAATGGTTTTGATGGTACCGTTGGTATTGACAGTTTCGTCAAATGATTCTTTGGCACATACTTGAATAGAATCTTCTGGTGAAAGGACACGTACCACTTCAATTGATTTAATCACTTCACCTGGTTTGATAAAGAATTGAGTTGGACCACGAATCAGCTTCAATTCACCTAATAGGTTAGTGTTGGTTTCTGGGTCAATTGGATTCTCCAATATACAGTATTCCTTGTTGGTCAAGACTGTCAATGCTACGATCATCACCACGTCAACTTGTGGTGGTGGAATGTAGAGTGGCGTATCATCACGAGTCAACAACCACTTTTCACCTTTTTTACGTTCGACACCTCCGTCTGCATCACTTGTAAATGCCTTGTTTGCCTGTACAATCAATGCTTGGTGTTCATCGAGTACTGTAGCGTTGATGGTTTGAAGCAACTCTTCGTATGGGTTGAGAATATAGGTACCCTCTTCAGTGAGCAACCATTCTTCACCAGACTTTCTCTCTTTTAGGTCACGGTCGACAAAGTCGATACGGGCACGTAGCTTGAGTGCTTGATGTGCCTTTAAAATGATGGCTGCACGTTTGTCAACCACTTCTTCTTCGACGAGTGGACGGTACGTAGCAGGTCCAATCACCAAATACTCGTCACCCGACTTGCGCTTGACCGATGTGACCGGGTCGGTAAAGTCAACCAATGCTCTAATACGAAACGCTTCATTGTTGAGTACCACTTGCAACGCACGAATATCTCCACTCATCTTTTCACCGGGGTACAATGGGAATGGTTCCTCTTGTTCGAATCGAATCTCTTTTTGTCCATGCTTTAACTTTGCTTGACCGTGTTTATCCAACTCTGCCTTGTTTGTCTTGTTATCAATAATTACTGGGTTTTCAATTACACAATAATATGAATTTGGTATAACATGCATCTAAACAAAAATTAAAAAAAGAAAAGAAAAGAAGAAGATGATTAATAATCAATGATAGATATATTGATAGTTTACAATATACCTTTTTAGGACCATAGATAATAGTTTCATGTTCTCTACATAGAAATGTTAATGGACCAGAGACTAATCTAGGTATATTTGTATTCGTATCTAATATATGAATAAAATGATATGGTGGGATCTTTGTCAAGTTCATAATAATAATAGTAGATATATAAATAAATAAATAAATAATTAAACAACAAATATATAGTACTAGCTAATAAAAAGTGATTTGAAGGTCTCCATCATTCTTTCTTTCATTTCTGAACCAGATAAGATAAAGTCGATCACTGAGTGAATCATTTTTTCCATGAAATTTTTAAATTGATATTTTCGAGAATTTCATGGGAAGGGCATTTTATTTATTTATTGTCTATTGGTCCAGCTGATTCCGTCGTTTCGAATGTGGTTCAATACGATCAATGATCTTTCTGACCAAAATACTCACCCAATTTCTTGTTGTTGTTGTTGTTGATGTTGTTGTTGATGTTGATGTTGTTGTTGATGTTGTTGGTGTTGTTGTTGATGTTGATGTTGTTGTTGTGGTTTCGCTTGTTGTTTATCTTTGATGTTTTCTTTTTTTTGTTGCTCTCTTCTTGTTGATCATTGTCATCACCTTCTTGTTGTTGCAGTTGTAGATCTATTCCATCATATTCATCCTCCTCCTCTTCCTCTTCATCTTTTTCCTCCTCTTCATCATCTTCTTCATCTTTTTCTTGAAAACCACCATTATCTTTATATGTTTCTTGAGTATTGCCCAAGTATTCCTTCATCTCTTCCACTTTATAATCATCATCACTAGGGTCTAAGAGCAAAATAAGTCAGAGAACACTTGTATCACATATCTGTTAACATACATTGATCATCTGTACTCATCTTGTATTTTAGTCGTACTTTTCTTTGATAAAGAAATAAATAAATAATGTGGAGTAAAAAAAATAGAAATATATATATAATTTAATTTGGTTTGAAAAAAAGGGGAGTGCTCGCTACTTCACACTTCAAGGGTTAATCGATTGAATACCTAAAAAATAGTAGATTATTGACATGATTTGTTGAAAGATAATATAGATTGGATAATTATTATTATCAGTATCATTTCTTATTCTTGTCATTATTATTTCGTTGTTGTTGTTGTCGTCGTTGCTATGTTGCAATGTTGAACAATTCTCATTCAATGATTTTGATAATAATTTGATAGCGTTGATCATTGTATCGGCGGCTTCTCTTGCTTCGTGAGATGTCAATAGTCTAGACTCTACTTTCATCTGTTGGAGTGTAATGTAAAGTTCATCGACAATATTGAAACCTCTACAAATCTTTTTCAATTCTTGACATGATTTCGTAATGACATTAATCATACTCTTGATGGCCACTTCAACAAGTGATTTGATACTACTAATTGATGTGATTTGAGTTTGAGCTGAAGCAACACCCTGAGTGGCTTGTTGGTACTTGACTTTCATACCTGCGATCTCTTCCTCAAGTGTCTCTGTCACCTCTTTGATCTTCTTTTTGGCGTGATAGTGTACAGTGTAACTGCACTTGCCTGGACAAACAGTACAATAGTCATAGCCTGCCATAGCTGTACATTTTTTGAAAGCATTGTCACCCTTTGTCGATATTTCTTGTAGACCACAATGACTGTGACAAACATAATCACAATTACTGCAAATAGTGTTGTGGTAGTCAACATCTATTTGATCCTTTCTTGTGACGATTGTACTTTTAGTGTAATTTTGAAATTTAACAGCATCATTGGAATGGACTCCAAGTTGTTGTTGAGCTTCTGCAATATCTGATTCTAATTGTTGGATTCTTTGAAATTTCATCTTTGATTGATGTAATGTTTCTTTTACCCTAAAAAAAAAAAAGAATTAATATATAAATTATTAATATTTATAGTATACTATCCTACTTGAATCTAATTGATTGCATATCAGTAAATGCTTGAGTTGATATGGTAGCCTTTTGTTGAATAGTTTGTAACATTCTATCAATAGTGTTCATTGATTGTTGAAACTCTAAATTGAGAAACCTAAGAGAGTCTTGTGACCAAAGATATGGATCGGTTGAGAATGTAGAATTATCCATGTAAAAGGTTGTATTGGATTGAAGGTCACCAAACAACTTGAGGTCAAAGGTACAAGTATCCTTTCTACATTTGGTAAAGACGATAACCAAGTTATTGAGGATTACGTCTGGAATAAATCCTTGAAGACGAGTGATTGCATTTCTAAGTGACAGTACATCTCTACAATCCTTTCCATTGATGAGAATAATAATGGCACTGAGAGAAGGTACCTTTGAGACAGTATCAATAATCTTGTTGATATTGATTTCATCTTGTTCAATACCTCTTGTATCAGACAAACCTGGTGTATCTATAAATTCATAGTTGATACCATCTTTGTTGAATTTGTAAATGGTACATTCATCAGTCTGACTTGATGTAGTATCATGAATATTCAATTCAGAACTACTCAAACCTTCAGTTGACTTTAGATGTTTTGTTTCAATTGATACTTTGATATCATTTGGAAATGAACCATTCTTGAAATAGTTTGTCAAAGTATTGATAAATGTTGATTTACCTAAAATGAATGTAATAAGAAAGGTTAGAAAGAGAATGATCGATTATTATTACTTGTATGATGATTATAAACTTACCAACACCAGTTAGACCAAGTACAATAAATATTTGAGTGATTTCAGCTTTTGTTACGGCACTTGACATTATGTGTATGTATGAATGAATGAATGAATGAATGTTGTATATAATATTAAAATATATATTATATGTATTATATGTATATTATATAAATAATATTATATTGCAATGAATGAGAGAAAAGAGCGAGTCGATTGAATACATTATATAGAATAGGGATTGTATTAGATAATTAGGTCCATATAATAGAATAGAAGGGTTGATGGTTTAAAATTTTAAGTATTAACATTATCAAGTATTACACTCATCATCCATCAACCTTTAGTACAACCATCGATTAACTGTGGGTGTGATGAATAAGACAATGTGGTTGGGACGTGAATCAACATATATACACTAACCTAACCAACCATTGCTTACGCTATAGTAGTATGCCAATATATCTATCCATTAGTTGCATGTTTTGAGAGAAAGTATGAGCAATGATTCTCAAACCAGAGAGCTGAATGAAATACAAAAATCAAACTTCGAAGAAAAAAATAAAAAAGGGTGCATTGGAAAATATTTTATTGTACTTCGTCATTTTTCAAAGTAGATAGAAGGAGATGAACAATGGATCAACAGAATAATACTAGTATTAGTAATATTCATAAATTAGATGATGATGTAGTTGTAAAGATAAGATCATCGGTGACTATTATGGCAGTAGACCAGGCAATTGAAGAGTTAGTGTTCAATTCGATCGATGCCGGTGCTACCAATATTCTCGTTGTCTATAATGCATCTACTCTATCATTTGAAGTACACGACGATGGCTATGGTATAACACTTGAAGGATTACAAGAAATTGGTCAACGTTACTGTACTTCGAAATGTCATACTCTGGACGACTTGAATTACATTTCAACGATTGGATATCGTGGTGAATCATTGGCTAGTATAGCAGAAATTGCAACATTGGATATTCAATCAACTACTCTATGTAGTCAACAACAACAACAACAACAACAACAACAACAACAACAACAACAACAACAACAACAACAAGAACAACAAGAACAACAAGAACAAGAACAAGAACAAAAAGATGCAGCTGCACGTTCAACAGCATCTAAACTCATTCAATTTGGTAAATTAGAATACATTAAAAATGTTGTGACTCCTGGTAGTGGTGTACCTCTTGTTAAATCATTAGGTACTATTGTAAAGGTTAGAGATATATTCAAGAATGTACCTGTTCGTCGACAACAGATTAATCCCGCTACACTAAGACTGGCAGTCAAGAAACGTATAGAATGTTGTGCATTATCACATGCTAGAATTAAAATAACTCTCTATGAAACAAGTAAAAATCAGAAATTGGTTTCTCTTCCTCCTGTATGTAGTAATCATAAATAATAGTAGTTATACACACAAAAGAAGATGTAAACTAATAGTATTATTATCTCTTCTCTAGGATCAAAACTTTTTTTCATTATTTTCTTTATATTATGGTTTACCGAAAGCTCAAACATTAGAGTTTATATCATCATCGGCCGATGTTATTAAAGGTCTACCAATTGGTTATAAATTCACTGGTTATCTTACACTACCAAATGAACATGGTATACCAAATAGATCTCTTCAATTAGTTTGTATGTGTTAAATCAAAAAAGAGAGAAAGATTGAGAGACTTTTAAAAATAACTAATATGACTCGATCTTTAGATTTAAATAGAAGATTAATTACCAATACAAAGATACATAGATTGGTAAATGAACTTTACAAAAAGTATAGAATATTTAATGCTCGTCGAAAGGTGGAAGCAACTCATTCAAGGTTCACTAAAAAAGAATTGATTGATGTAAATCCAATTTTTATTTTGTTTCTAGATTGTCCTGTAACAGAGTTTGAAAGAAGTTATGATATATCTTCAAGAACTTTTTTAGAATTTAATGTATGAAAAAAAAAACAAAACAAATAATAATAACAGAATAATATTAACTAAAATTGATTATTTGTTTTGGTAGAATGGAAAAAACCAATAGATTTAATTACAAGTACTATTACAAAATTTCTGACAAAAAATAGATCTAATACAATAGAAGGAAGTGATGATGAAAGTGATGAGGAGAAGGAGGAACAAGTTGGTAATGATGAGGAAATTTTCGAGATTGAAGAAGAAGATATTCAAAACAATGAAGAATATGGAGGAGATGATTATTTTCCAAATTATCCAACTAATGATCATCTAAATGAATTTGATGCGCCACCTACAACAAAAACAACAACTACTACAACCACTTCGACAACATCAACTACCTCACCAACTTTGATTAATGACAACTTTAGCAACATTGATGATAACAGTATTGATGATAATACGGAATATGTTTTAAATGATTTTATCGATGAAGATATACAATATCAAGAAATGTATTCTTCACAAACCAATAATAATAACAATAATAATACTATTAATAACAACGATAATAACAATAATCAACAAACAACAACAAATGTACCTTTTAAAAGATTTGATAGTGATCAATTTTTTGAAGAAGATAGCCAACCCGAAATGGATATTATTGATATAGACTCTATGGATTTTGAACCACAACAACAACAACCACAAAACATTCCAATCAAATCTGAATCTAATAACAACAGTAATAATAATAATGTACAGAATGAAGTGGTTGAGGGTACAATATCATCTGATCCACCAGTTGTAAAAACAGAAGTGAAACAAGAACGATTTACAACTTCAACAAATACAACAGAATATATTGATCTCGACGGCCAAGATAATATAGTCACCATCACAACTGTCACAAAAATGACTACTCCTCCTGTTGTCAAACCAGAAAAAACCAACCCTACAACCTCCACCCCAACAATCAAATACTAATAATAATAATAATAATAATAATAATAATAATAATAATAATAATAATAATAATAATAATAATAATAATAGTAATAATACTCCTACTACAAATAATAATAATAATATGACACCAAACAATCAACAATCTCAACAAAGAACACCTCAAAAAACACCAATAGCAGTGTCAAACTTTTTTTCACCAATGTCTAGTGTTAATCAATCACCACACGATTTATTCTCAAATTCATTTGATCAGACCTCACCATCACCACAAAAGAAGCAAAAAAGTGAATTCTTTGCAAACGCCGGAGTGGACTACCAACGGACTCCAGTTTCTCCACTTAAAGCAACACCCGACAGACCACCAATATCTTTATCAAAATATTTTTCACCTTCCAAACAAACAAATCTAAATTTCAACAGTCGTAGTGGTCAACAAGACTATAGTCGCAATAATAGTCAACAACAACAACAACAACAACAACCACAACAAGACAACAATTGTTGTAGTCATGAATTTGATCCTGTTGGAGATTCAATGTTTTCATATCCATATGACAATGAAATGAAGAACAAATCATCAAAAGACAAACCTGTGGTTGCGCCAATTCCTTTCCCATTACAAAAACCTTCAACTACCTCAACCTCAACCACTTCAACTGGTCCGACTTCAACCACCTCAACTACTTCAACCACTTCAACAACTAGTACTAATAATAATCAAAACATAAAACCAAATCAAGATCTTGATATAGAATTGGATGATTTAGATGATCAAAGTACACAGGAAGAAGATAATGATTCATTTTCATCTTTATCTTCCTTTTCAACTGTTGCTTCATCTACAAAAACACCTCCACATCCTCCTCCTTCGCCTCCTCGATCAACTAAAAATAATTTTAATTTAAAAGATTCAAATAATAATTATGTAATCCCATCAATTGATCCAACCACTTTTAAAATTACAAAAAATGTACAAAATAATACTAATAATAATAATAATATAAATAATCAAAATAATTTAAAAAGACCACAACAAGAGATTGAAAAAGACCCATTTATAACAGAAAGAGATGGTAAAAAAGTTAGTATATTTTTCGATGATGAAAAGAATTTGGAGAAACGTATTGAAATACCAACAATTCCAATGGACATTTCGAGAAATATAATGACCATGATGAAAGCATCGGCCGAGAAACCAATCTCTCGAACAATGTTGGAGCAAGCAAGGTTTATTACACAGTGGCAAAAGAAATTCTTATTGTGTGAATCCCAGGGTGTATTATTTGCACTTGATCAACATGCAATTCATGAACGCATTAGATTGGAGAAAATGCAAGATCTCTACAAGCTGGGACCCTACGATATATGTCGTGTCGATTCAGACAAGTATGAATATAAGTTTGACCTTTCACCAATGCGACCTGGAACAAGATGGCCATTTACAGCACACGAAATGGAACTCATAGACACATTTAGTCGTAATCTAAAACTATGGGGGTTCACCTATAAAGTAGGTAACGGTGCCATCTTTATTGAATCGGTTCCAATGTTTTGTCTAACATGTCTTGGTCACAATGATCTTCGTGAATTCCTTTATACTTTGGAATCAAATGGTGGTCAAATGGCAACAAGACCAGATGCTGTTGATCGTATTATTCGTAACAAAGCTTGTAGATGTAAGGAAAAATTAAAAACAAAGAAAAAGAATAGAAAAAAGAAAACAACAATCGATTCTAATACCTTTTTTTTTTTATTTTTAGCTGCAATTAAATTTGGTCATACTCTTGGTCACGAAAGAAGTTGTGAATTATTAAAAGAATTGGCCACTTGTAGATTACCATTTCAATGTGTACAGTAAGTAAACTTAAAGTAAAGTATCAAATATTGTCCAGGTATTAATATCTTTTTTTACCTTTTTACTTTATTTAGTGGTAGAAGTTCAATGGGAGCTTTAATAAATTATGCTTCCCTTTCAAATTTTATGATAAACTATCAAGATGAAGATAAAGAATTATTTAATCAAGGCTAAATCAATTGTAATAATAAAAGACTTTATATTTACATATATTAAATTATTTATTTGATTGTTTTGTTGTTGGATGTTGTTGTTGTTGGTGATGAGAAAACTAATATATTGGGTGAAGAATAAATATATTGGAAGGAAACAACTTGGTGGTGTTGTTGTTGACATTGGCTATTATTACTAATATTTTTTTTGGTATATTCTTTTTCTTTTTTTGTTTTTCTTTCTTTCTTTCTTTCTTTGTTTTAACCAAACTTTGGTAGATAGGAAATAAAGGAATTCCAGTAACTGTCCTTTGATGATTCGACGCAACTCTGTTGATAGATTGCAATAAATAGAGATTTAATTTCCATCAATCTTTGTTTTCTTCTTTCTTCAATCTCTTTCATTGTCAAATGATGTGAATGATTATGAATTGGTCTTTGTTGATTATTATTATTTTCCTCTTGTTGTTGTTGTTTATCAGGGCTGTTATTTACATTATTATTATTATTATTATTAATATTGATTTTGTTATTCTTCTTTTTCTTTTCTGGTAATAAACTTGTTGATGAATCATTATTTGGATCGAGAATACCAGGGATAAAGGAAGTTGATGGATCCCAAGTATTGTCTGAAAGATCACTGAGATCATCTTCATCGTCTGATACATTTTTAGAGTTTGTATCCTCACCTTCAATTGATTCTCCACCAGTTGAACTGCTGTAACTGTTGCTGCTGGGATGAACAAACTTTGGAGTTGATCCAAACGAAGAGAGCGACTTGAACTTGTCCTGTAGGGAGCCCATCAACTGCCAGCTGCCGCCAATCTCTGGGTCATTGTGACTGCCGCAGACATAGCTACCATTGATTGGGTATCCTCTGCCGTTGCTGCCATTGTGAACACTTCCATTGCTACTATTGCCAACGACAGCAGCACTATTGTTGATCTTGCGTGATGCTGTTGGCACGTCAATGGCATTGGTGGCAGTCATACCATTGAGACTGGGCGAACCACCTTGTAACTGTTGTCCACCATTACTATTTAAAATACTGTTGGGAAGTGGTGAATGACTGATTGGTGTTGGTGGAGCCGATGTATAGTTGGTAATAAATGCTGGTAGTTTGATCAAACCATTTGGTGAATTATTCTTTGGTGTTGGAGGAGCTGATTGTGAAACATCCAATAATGATCCACCATTAATGGTAGTTTTAGTTGTTGTTGATGATGATGCAGATGTTGATATTGCTCTACCTCCAATTTGTACTTTTGATCTATGATTTCCAATTCCATTATTACTACCATTACTACCATTACTATTATTACTATTATTATTACATCTGTTGTTATTATTAGAGTTATTATTATTATTATTATTTACATTTGATGATACATTATTGTTGTTATTATTATTATTATTATTAGAGTTTCGATTTATATTTGAAGTATATGAATGTACAGAATAATCCATTGAGGTAATGAATTCCAAAAAATAAAAACAAAAGTAGAAAATATCCTCACCACGACCAGCTCGATCATAAAGTTGATGACTAAACAAGAACCAATCATAGGCAACAGTAAGATAGAGCAATTCAGCCGATGACAAGGATTGATGAATCTCTCCATCTGCCCAGAGACTGATTCTCAACAATGAGATAAACAATGGAGTTCTATCCCATCCAGAAATACAATGAACTAAAACACCTGAATCCTTTGTATCATCAGCTGTATATTCCATTAATAATTTAAAATAATTTTGTGTCAAAATTACTAAATAAAATAGAAAAAAAAAAAAATATTAATTATTTTGTTTTATCCAACTATTCTTTTTTTTTCTTTTACATACATAAATCCCAAGATTTATATTGATTCCAATCAACTGGAATAGAATTATTATCTATTTTTAATTCGGCTGGGTATTCTGTAATATCCCAGGCATAATAAAGATCTTGACCATTATGACTATTTTGATTGAAAAGTGAAAAGAATTCAACTCCTGGATAAGGGGTTGATGCAATTACAAATTGTTTTGTATATCTATCATGCATATCTGCTTTTTCTGATGAACAAACATAAAATCCAAATCTAAAAAAAAAAAAAAAGGTTAATTATATTTTTTTTCCTCTTTTTAAAAATATTTACTTTTTCTTTTTGTTTTCAACCATTAAATCACAAATATATTTAACACTAAGATGTTTGATAGCATTAATATCATTGTTTCGAAGATTTTCCATATTTTGATCTCCAATTTCTGTTTCTTCTGCTTGTGGTTGAATGTTTACAATTGTTGTATTATTATTTGGATTTGGATTTGGACTTTGATTTGTTGTTGGACTAGATAAATAAATAAAAATGGGATTAATAATAATCTATTTTCTGTTATATATCTTTCTCCTCTTCAATCTTACGCAGTTGAAAATTGTTTTTTCATTGAATTGACACCAGATTGAAACATGTATTCAATCTTTTTTGACAAGGTCGATGATCTACATAGGTTCTTGTTATGGAAATAGATAACAGGGAATGGGAATCTAGTTCTTACTCTTGCAAATCTAGATTGACTCAATAATTTTTTAATTGAATATGGATTATTTCCTTTAATAAAAAAAAAATAAAAGATTAGTAAGTTTTAAAATGTATTCTTTTTTTTTTTTTTTCTTTCTATTTCTTTTTTTACCTTGTTTATGATGATGATGATTATCTTTACAATTAATACAATTGACATCCTTTTCCTTTTCAATTACAACCAATTCAGGTGGATAGGTAGCACACAATTCACCATTCTTATTGTTGATCACCGAGATGACATAATCTTTTTCAAAGAATTGATTGACCTGTGATTGATACTTTGAAAGTTCATCTTCCTTTTTACCGGAAATGGCAGGCTTGTATCTTCTAAAACATGAGAATAGTTCATAGAGTTCACTTGCCATTGGCAATCCTTGTAGACTTTGTGGAAGTTGTTGAGTCGTGGGAAGAACCGTAGTAGTACCGTTGTTGGCAAGATTGGCAGGGTCAATCACAACTGGACCAACTCCATTTCCATTATTGAGTTTACATGGCGACGAGGTGGCACTACTAGTCATAAGAGCAGGTGTAGATTGTGATAAACCTGTACAGATAGGAGGAGAAGAAGGAGTAGTAGAAGAGGTAGAATAATTATTTGTTGATTGATTATTTTCATTATTAATATTAATATCTTCATTATTGTATAATATTGTTTTTGTTGTTCTTTTTCTTCTTCTTCTTGTTTTAGTTGATCATTACCATGATGATGAATAAGATTCATAGCAGAGGTAGAGGGGGTACCGTTACTATTGTCGCTACTCTGCAATGTTGGAGAGCTGTGAGTAGATGAAGATGAAGCTGGTGGTGGTGGCGAAGCATTCGATTGGAGCAAGGTGGTCGAAGCAGCAGCAACAACCGTGGTAGTATATGCATTATCCTTTATAAACACCTGTTGTTGATGTTGTTGATGTTGTGCTGTTCCTGCAGACGATTCATACGATGAAAGTAATTCCTCGTCATCTTCATAGTCATCATCATTTGCCATTAAATTATTATATAATTCGGTTTCGTCTGTTGACGTATTATTATTATTATTATTGTTGTTGGGAGGATGTAATTGACCGTGATGATGACACCCAACAATATTATTGCCGTTTGTATTTGTATTGGTACTAGTTGTATTTGGTGGATGAGTTACAGCTGTTTTCATGAAGAACCTGAGTTTTCTCTCTCTCTCTTTAACTTTTATCAAACTCTCTCGATATTATTATTATTAATTATTTCTATCGTTAAAGATATTTGTTGCTTCTTGTTGTATTGTTATTAATGAGCTAGCTGCAATATAGTTTGTTTGTTTCTTTCTTCTTTGCACCTTCTTTTGTGTTTTTTTGTTTTTTTAAAATTTCAAGCAAAGTTTGCGACCTAAATTAAATAATCATTTATTGAGGGTTATATCTATGTTAATATATATATATACATTTCACTTCCACTGTTTCTGTTATATGAATATAAATAAATAAATATATTAAATCAATCTAATTCACAAAAATATATTTATACACACAATAATATTATATTATCCTAAATATTTTAGTTTATAATTTCTATATAAATACTATTTTCTAAAAAAAAATATATTATTATTATTATTATTATTATTTATGATGATTAAATATATATTTATATATTTGAGACAAACAAGTAAATAATCAATTTTAAAAGAAAAAATCCTTTGTTTGTAAAAAAAAAATTATGATAATCCCCAGTGCAAGAATAATATTAATTAATATCGCACTACTTATTATGTATCTGTCTTGTCTGTTATTCTTGATTGTGTGAAGTTGATGATGATGATGTTGATGATGATGAAACTAGTCACAAAGATAATAATAATAATAATGAGATTGGTCTTTGTTTTGAAATCATTCTGAAAAGAGATTAAATCTAAACTACGACTATACTATATTGATGAACAACAACTATCTACCTATGTATCTATTTCTATTTATTTATTACCTTTTCTTATCTTTGCTACTGCTGTTGTCTATATTATTATTCTATTTGAGCTAGAGGCTGCTTGAATCGAAATGAGTAGAAAATAATAATGAAGAGGACGATGGAGGACAACAACAATAAAATAAAAAGTAGAAATTTCGTACTTTTGCAGGTGATGGTTGGAGAGTTGGGGGGCACATGAATTAAATTTTATTAATATCTTTTCCTCTCCTTTTACTGTTTGTTCCTACAACAACAATAGTTATGATTAATCTAATCCACCAAATTGATTGATTGATTTATTATTTTTTAATCCCCATTGTCAAATCTAAATAATCATCATAATATATAAATATTTATTATGATGATGTGAATAGAATAAAGGTGATGGTTTCTTACTATTTTGTTCAATGAATTTATTGTCTTTGTTCAAACTATAGCCTTTGTTTCCTTCCTTCCTTCCTTCCTTCCTTCCTTGCTTCTTCTTCTTTAATTAATTTTTATCTATAATCAATAACAGCAACAACAAGAACAAAAAAAAATATGAATTCAATTTATTCTTCTTCTTGACGATTATTATTTATTATTTGTTGTTGCTGTGCATCGATTATTCACACAACAAACAACCAACAACACTTTCTCTGACAAAACTACAAAATCTGTGTTGGGGGATTGTTGTTTGTTGTTTTATTATTATTATTCGCTTTTTGTGGAATGTGTTTTGACAGTTTATCAAGATTATATAAATATTAATTAAAACAATGTATTGTATCAAATCTGTTTACTTGGCTTTGAGATCTCTAATCTTTATACCAATAGACAATTAACACAAGTTGCTGAAGAAAGACCTAAAAAAAAACCATCTATGATCTTTAGATTGAAAAGGTGGCAGAAGATTAATATCGATGGTGAACGTCGAAGAGATGTTTCTTGAAGCAAAAGAAAGGGATGATTCTCGATATATATATTAGAATAACAATATTAAAGATAGAGATAGATGTTGAAATAAAGCTACCCAGACAATCGTACAAATAAAAAGTTACAGATAATTAATTATTGTACAAATAAATAAAATGAATATGGCTTCATACTTTTTTTTTTGTGTTTGTTTGTTTTGAAAATATTTTAAATTAAAGTTTTAAAAAATTAATTTTGTATTTTATATATTTAAGAAGAGCGAGAGAGATAGTTAGGATTAGGAGAGAGAGAGAAAGAGAGAGATATGCAAACAAGTTCAACTTCAGGTTTAACGACAGTAGCTAGTGCAGCGACTGCAGCTGCAAGTGGTGGTAGTGGTACTGCTGCTACAGCATCAGTGGTCGGTACAACAGCAACAACAACTTCAAGTCTATTGTCATATCTAAACCCATTTGCATATACGAGTAATACACTATTTTATACATTCTCTTTGATCAAGTTTGGATTCACATTCTACATGTTTTACAAGGGCAAGCTACCTGTTTGGTTTGCTCGGTATTTTGGTAGACTGGTGCACTTTGCGACACTGCCTATCATTGTGACGTTACAATATGTCGGTTTGCGAGGTCACTTGATTGACCGTGTCGACGATCACGTCTGGATTGGATCGGCACCGATGCCATGGGACGTACCATTGCTCAAACAAAACCGTATCGAAGCTGTCGTCAATATGTGCGATGAATACTATGGCCCGCTATCAGTCTATGAAAAGTTGGGTATTCGATCGATCCGATTTGACGTTGTCGATCATTACGAGCCATCGGTGGGAGAGATTGCATCGGCCATCCAGTTTATCGAACAAGCCGTACAAAACAACCAAAACGTCTTGGTACATTGCAAAGCAGGTCGTGGAAGGAGTGCTGCTGTCTTGATATGTTGGATTGCCTACAGCAAGAACATGTCACTCGACCACGCACAAAAATACCTTCAAGATCATCGTCCACGTGTTCGTAAAACACTCTATCGTCAAAAGAATGTACTTGCTTTCTATTCAAAATATTGTTGTTCATCAAATGCAAGAGATAGTTTAAATACTGACCTATAAAAGAGAACAATAGAGAATAATAGATAATAGATAATAGATAGATATACACATACATAAATAATTCCATAAATGGATTATTTTTTAATTTAATTAATCCATAAAACAATCAATCAATTTTATTAACCCTTACCCTAACCCCTATCCCTCCCCTATATTAATCAATAATACAATGATTATTTATTTATTTCCAAAGGTTTGGTATTACAAAGATGATGAATGTTATTATTCCATTTTATATTGTTATTGACTATCACTATCACTTGGATTACTATCAGTATCAGAACTATCACCCATCAATGTAGTTGCAATTAAATTGGCAGTTGAAGTAGTAGCTATACTATTTATAATACTATTATTTAGATTATTATTATTATTACTATTTTGTTGTTGTTGTTGTTGTTGTTGTTGAACTACACTATTATGTAAACTAATACTTTGACTAACAACTGATGAATCACCCAACAATGTCAACAGCCTATCCAACTTTTGACGTAATTCCAAATTTTTTAATTCCTTTTGACGTCTTCTCTCCTCCTTTTCCATTTTAACTTGATTCTTTTCCTGTTCTTCCAACCATTCACTCATTTGATATGATTTAAATATTTTACTTCTACCAATTAATTTTAATTCAAATTCCTGACAAAATTGATAACAACAACAAAGTTAGTCAAATATACTATTACTATTTTATATTTCCATTTCATTTTCTTTTTACTTACACCCCCACTAGTAACCTTTGCATTTTGTTTGGCTTGTAAAATTTCTTGAAGATATTTCTTTCTTTCATGATAAACTTTCATTGATAGATCAGTATAATATTGAGCTTCATCATATCTAACTCCTAATCTTAAATCTTGAATTTCACTAAGATAGAAATAGAATCATTAAAGTTTGAATTAGAATATACTCTATATATTATATCTATATATTTTTGTTTCTTACTCATAAACTCTTTGACTTGATAAATTAACTTCTTGAAAAAGACCAGGAATCTTTTCCATTAATAATTTAACGATATCATAGACTGAATAGATATTCTTTCTAAAAAGGAATTTAATCGATAGACCATATCTTTGCCATTTCGACAACATGGTCTTGTGTTTGTTCTTTTGTTTCTTGTCAAGTGATGATGCAATCTCTTGATAACTATTTGAAATAATAGCAATAAACATATTTATCAAAATGAAAAACATAAATATTGTGAATAATATATTATACTATGTTAAAATAAAAAGAGAGTAGATAGTTAATATTAATATTATTAATAATAGTTTCTTTTTTTGTTTTTTTAAATTTCCTATTTACAATTGGACCTAAAGCTCTATTTGTATATTGCATATCAGCATAACTTGGAGGATTGCCAATAATATATTGTAAAGAAGTACCCAAACTATTAAAGAAACCATTATAGTCATCCATTTCATGACCAAATGTCAACCAACCAGACATGAGGAACCCAATCATCATAATAATAAACATGGTTGTAAATGTGATAAGTTGTACTTTGGCATGTGCCAATGTAATCCATAGAGCATATAATCTTCTATGTAACATTAAAAATCTAAATGTTTTAAATGCCAACAATAAGATATTGATGGCAGATAATTGATAAAATACAAGTGCAGTTTGACCAAGTATCTCTAAATCATTTGGGTATTCTTCACCTGATATAGTTACTGTTCTTCTATCATTATCTCCCAAAAATATTAAATATAATATAACTGAAACTATAAATAACTAAAAAAGAAAAAGTTTAAATAAATAATTATTATTATTATTTTTTTGTGTTAATTTCTCTCTTACAACAAGATTAATAACTTCTAAAATATTCCAAAATGAAGTAATAAAATAACGGAATCTACCAAGTTGATAATCGATTCTAGCTTCATTGATGAAAAAGTAAAGGTAGTAGGTTAAGAACAAGAGGAATGTAATTTCGAGAAATGCACGGAATCTATCCTCTGCATTATTATACATTTCAATTCGATATGTTCTCATTGTATAATATGGGTCAACTGATCCTGCTGCTGTCCATTCGGCCAACTAAACATAGATGTAAAAATAGAAATATTAATAACTTATTCATGATATATATATTCATCATATGTTTATCATACCAAATAAACAACAGTGGCTCTAGCTTCATAATTTAAATTAAGTGTTACAAAAGAGATGATGACGGCTCTTGTATTTTCACTAAAGAAATCATTGTCGTATAGTTGTTGAATACCATCGGTTAGGTTGGAGATGGGAATATCGACATAGTATCCACTAGTGTCATACATGTATTGGTTGTATCCAAAGACAAGTGATCCATGTGAATCTTTTGTAAAATAATAGTTGGTTCCGTTGGTGCCTATGATAGGCTCAGTCTCTCTAGTATGTGTACCATAGGTAACTGCATAACAAGGTAGGTCGTATCCAAAGGTCGGACATGAATGATCGGTCACTCTCAATTGTCTCAATCTAACAACACTCCCAATTACCTTGTTCATCGCATGTGGATTATCCATTCCCATCTCTGTCACCACCGGTCCAAATTGTTCTGTCAAATACTAAACCAAATCAAACATAAGTTAATATAACATAATATAATAATCTAATGTATTTATATGATGATTACATACAGCTTTAAAATCATCGGCATTATTAATACCCATATAAGGTTTGGGGTATGGTAGTGTAGGTATTTCATCAAACATGAATGAATTTTTGAGAGCCATGTTGATCGTGTAGACGTAGGGAGAGTTTCGTTGGAGTACAACGATCACCAAAAAGATGATAAAGAATACAAAGTGTGTAAAGAGATCTTTCACCATTCTAGACCCTCTCTCTATATTGGTGGCAGCTAGTAGAGTTGCCTTTTCATGATCATTTCGATTTGGCAACGCTTTCTTCATCTCTAACCGATGTGAAGTATGAATCTTCTTTCTGACACTTTGTTTACCATTATTATTACTACTTGAGGGAGTTAATGGTATTTGTGATGATGTTGATTGTAAAGGTGGTGATGGTGGAGTTGAAGATGTTGACGTAGACGTCGTCGTCGTCGTTGATGTCGTCGCATTAATATTATTATTATTATTATTATTACTCATTCTTTTTATTTTTATTTTACACAACAACTCTTGAGTCTACAAGTCTTGTTATTATTATTATTATTATTATTATTACTATTCTTTTAAAATATTAAGTTATACTCCAAAGGTAGGTAGGTCGGTGTATGCTAATAAATAACAACCAACAAATAATTCTAATACTACACACACACAGTAAAGTTGTAGTATGGTCGGTTATTATTATTATTACTACTTATATATTATTATACTTAGAATAGAGAGAATAGTCGTCTACTCTTACTCTTAGTATGTATTTATAATTTACTGTATTTGTGCTGTTGTCGATCGATGATTTGATTTTGATGAAAGGGGTTGGGTGTGTGAGTATAGTATAGTGGTGATTGATTGGTTGTGGATCTAATTATCTGTTGTACTATTACACTTTCTCTCTCTCTCTCCCTTCTTCTCTGGTATTCTACACTATACCTACTCCTACTTATATACTTTAAACTTTCAAGTTGTTTAAAAGAGCTAGCTTCTTGTATTGTGATCCTTTTCTACTCTGCGATCTTTCCCTACTAGGCACCGAGTTGTGTAGTAGTTGACACAATGACACCTTTGCTAAAAAAGAAACTGTTCTCTTTTGTTTGTTTGATGAGACCAATGCACGATGCAAGCTGCATCATCCCGATCTTTTCAAAAACGGCAGCGCACTCTTTGGATTTTTTGATGAACGAAAGTAAATCATTGAATTTGTGTGTGGAAGGTCACTCAACAAAGCTTGATTGAATCAAAAAGTCTGGTATTTGATTTATCACATTTAAACAATCAAATAATAAGGAACTTATCTATTTTATACGTAGGGTTTGATAGTTATAAATGCAGCTGACAGAGGAGGGAATAAAGATATTCTAATTATGCTTCCATAGGCAGCATATGGAGAGACCGTCGTTTGAAAGTTCAGGTTAGCCTGGCTCACCCAACATTATTAATTAGCCGTTGTATAATTTTCGCGTCGACTAAAAAAAGAACGCGGTTGATTCGACGATCAGGTGCACGTACCCAAATTTTATTTTATTTTCTATGACATTGCGATGAAAGTTGAATCTAGATCCTCTCCTCCTCACTCAGCCTTGTACTGTAGCATTGTTTGCTGATTTTATTTATTTTTATTATTACATACCACCACAACAATAACAACACAGACACACAGAGAGACAGACACACACACACACACAGTTTTAGTAGTTATCGTTGACTGGTTGAATTTCACTCAAGTTGTCAATCACCAATTCATCTCCCTCTCCCTTCTTTCCTTTATCCCCTTTTTTTTTGATCAATCAATCAATCGATCAAGCAGCCCTGCTCGCTCACAGCAACCAACTCGTAACTGCTTCAATTCAATCAATCCTACATTAATCAATCAATTATCAGAGAAATAATTATAGAGAGAGATAGATAGATTTTTAACAACATTATATGAATGATTAAATCTCAATAACAACAACATAATATAATAATAATACTAGAAACAACAATCAACGCCCCTTCTCCTTGGAAGTTTGATTGAGTCCACCCCTTTTTCCCCCTTCCTGCTTTCTTTGACATCGTTAGCTTAAAATTCAATCACAGAGGCTGCAAATTTGCATAAATTATTATAACTACTGTTTTAATATCTGTCTGTCTTTGTGTTTTGAATAGACAGACATCCATCAACCATCATCATCATCATCAGCAGACAAGAGTTTCTTTCCTTTAAAGGTATGTTAAATCATTAAATGAATGAACGAATGAACTCGAACGATTATTGTGATGTTGTGATTATAATCAGCTGATTGGAGCTCAACACTAACTCCCTTTTCCTTTCCTTTCCTTTCCCTTCTCATTACTCTTTTAATATATTTTATTTAATACAACTATACCAAAATACAGATAAACAAACAACAAAAAATAATATTACAAAAAAGATGGATAAAAAGAAAGATAAATCAAGCAAATCTGCTTCATCACCACATTTAGGCAATCATAATAATAATAATCAAAATAATAATAATAATGTAAATAATAATAATACAACACCAATACTTTTAGGATCACAATCATCATTGTTATCAATATCTACATCACTATTAACTGCACCATCACCGTCTAGTACTTCAGCGTCAAATGGAAACAGTCCTACTAATCTATCACCAAATTTACATTCACCACCTTCATCTCCACATCATAGTACTCCAACTACACCAACTTCCTCTTCCGTATCTGTATCATCACCATCATCATCATCGACTAATAAATGGAAGAGTTTCTTTAGTCGTGATAAAGGTAATAACAACAACAATAATAATAATAATAATAATAACAATCAAAATGAAAGAGATAAAGTGGTTATTAGTCACCCATTCAATATTACACATATTACTCATATTGGATTCGATGAATCTAATCAAGAATTATCGGTATGTTTGTACAAACAATGATAACTAATCATGAGTACTATTAACATAGTTTACTAATTACAATGATGATTGGTTGATTTAGGGATTACCTGATACTTGGACAAGTACATTAAAGAGATCAGCAAACAAGTTAATCAAGAAACGTCGTAATAGTAATGCAATTAGAAATTTAAATCAATTGGATAATAATAATCATCATAATCAAAAGGAACCTCAATTGAGACAATTTGCAATTCTAAAGAATTCAATCAAATCATCACCATCATTGACAATGACATCATCACCATCACTACTGACTACGCCATCAAGTGAAATGCCATTTAAATCTTTAGAAGATGATATTATATTATCACCAACTAATAATAACAGTAACGGTAATAATAATGGAACAAGACCAAAGAAAAAGGAAAAACAAAGATTAAAGAGTAGTCCAGTTGGAGAATTCTCAAATGGTAATCAACATCATATTCCATTATCAAAACAATATTCACGTAATAGTACTCCAAATCTAATTGAACAACAACAACAATTACAAAAACCAACAAAAAATAATGGTAATGGTGGGTCATCATCACCTACAAGAGTTAAAAGTGGAGGTGGTGATACGATTGCAAATAGTAATTCAAAATCAACATTATCTTTAATGTCTACCAACAATAACAACAACAATGTAAATAGTAGTAATAATAATAATATAGAATATTGTTCATCAGGAGATGAAGATGATGTACAATCACAACAACAATATAAAAGAGATAAGAATATAATAGGAGGATTAGTAATTGGATCACCAACTTATTTTAAACGAGAAATACATATATCTTGGAATCATGTAACTGGACAATTTGAAGGTGTACCAGATGAATGGATAGAGTTGATGCAAGAAGTAACCACCGAGAAAAAGGAAAAGAAAAGATTCGAGATGCGTAAACGACTATTACGTGAAGAATCTCTTAAAAACGACAAAGAAGAAAGAAGTAGAAGAGTAACAAGAGACAAACGCGAAAGAATGAGATTAGCAAGAGAAGAAAGACGAAAGAGTGTATTTTTACCACGTTCAAGAAATGATAGTTCACCAATCTCTCTTGCAATGGCCAATCATCAAAATTTTAACAACAACAATAGTAATAATAATAATAATAATAATAATAATAATCTAACTTCACCAACTTCAATACCAATTGTATCATCTTCACTTTTAATCTCAAATAGTTTATGGCAAATTTCTGGAACTGAAATATTTAAAACTAAAAGGGTAACTACAAAACAATAATCAATACTTATATCAATTTGACTTAACTTTTTATTTTATTTTTATGTTTAGGTTGAATTATCATTACAATCACTTTGTAGAAATGATGTATTTGTATTGGATTGTGGATCAAAGATATATGTTTGGATGGGTAGTATATCATCTTTACAGAAACAAGTACGTGGTTGTGCTATTGCAAACAAGATTAAATACGAGAAACAAGTGTTGGTTGAACCAGTGACCATCGAGATTATTGTAGAGGGTGATAGATCACAGGCATACCAAGAAAACATGTCTTACTTTTTGATGCATCTCAACGGAGGTGTGATTATGGAGCGTGTGCAGGCAATTGGTCATTTGGAACGTGACGGATGTCAAGATGACAAGATATTGCAAGAAGAAGAGTCTGCAACCACTTGGTTGTACAGAGTCAGTGGAAACGGTAAAATCAACGCACTTGAAGACAAACCACTCTTGCCAACTAGTCTCAATAACCAGACTTGCTTTATTCTCGATTGTGAGACCGATATCTTTGTTTGGAATGGTAAACATTCAGATCCACTCCAACAACGTGCTGCCACCATCTTTGCCAACGAGTTTATCAATATCTTTTCACAACGTCCGCGATGGGCAACCGTGCACACGGTGCATCAAGACGAGGAACCTTGGCAATTCAAAGAGAGGTTTTTGTACTGGTTGGAAGAAGAGTCAGTGATTGATAACACCAAGAGAAACACTACACTCCCTCGAAACTATCTTCAACAACACCAACACTTGCAACAAAACGAAACAACCAATAATGGACTGGTCATTGTTAGTGGTGGTGACACTACCATCAAGACTCTATCAACTTCTTTTTATCCATTGGCTCTAGACTCTCATTTCCTAGTCACCGATTTATTCTCTATTCCTGATCATATTCATAGTCTAAAAACAAATGAAAATGACACAAATACTCTTACTCAACAGCAAACAGTTGGAATAGATATTTGGGAGAGTAAAGATGAAAGTTGGGTAAAAGTGACAAAAGATAAATACGGACATTTCCACAGTGACCGTGCATATGTAGTACACCATGTATTCAAGAATCCAACTAGCAATAGGTTTGGATCAAGAGCTTATTTTTGGCAAGGGTCAAGTGCTAGTATTAAATGGTGGATTGTATTCCAATTTGGCCTCTACAAAGAACTCCATGAACATACTCGAACACTTGAAGCTAGTCCTCCTCCCACAGAATGTCTCACTCAATCAAAAGAATCACAATCATTTTTAAATCTTTTTAATAATATTATTTTTATTCATCGAAAGAACAATATTAATAATAATAACAACAATAATGTTGGTAATAATGTGGAAAGACAATTTCAACAATCATTTTCATCAATGTCATTAACATCTGAAGATTCATCATCATCATCTTTTATGAAATCACCAAAATCACCAAAAATCAAAGAAAGTAATAGTACTTCAACTACTTCATTACTTACATTGTCAATGTCTGGTGGTATACCAAAATCACCATCTTCATCCTCTTCATCTATTCCTCCTCCTCCTACTCCAACTTCACAGGCTTCACTTAATTTATTGTATCAATTGACAATTAGTAATTGTCAAGGAAATATTAGAATTACACAATTTGATAAATGTGCAATATCCTATCTCAACAGTAGAGATGTATTCATATTGTACAGTCCATCGATTAAAACAACATTTGTGTGGTATGGACGTGGGTGTCATCCAAGACTACGAACCGATTCATCGCCATCCATTACCAATAGTCTCTACAAGTACCTACAAACGATCGGAGTCATCTCTCAATCCATTCAATACAATTTAATTGTAACATGTGAAGAAGGACAAGAGGTTGCATCATTTTGGAAACAATTTGGATTTGGTGTTACCAAAGGTGATAATAATCTAATTGAATCATTTCAAAGTCATAGTAATCTTGGTAATATTAGTAATCTTACTGGTACAATTTCTGCTGGTACTGGTATTAAATCAAGTCATTCAATTTCATCTTCTATTGCAAATTCATCATCTGGATCTGCATTGAATCTTATGCAGTTACAACAAACTGTTCAAGGATTGTATTCAAATAACAGTCATTTTAGTCAACCTTGGACATCAAGACAACCAGTTAGATTCTATCATATCTACTATCACTCTAAACTTAAAAACTATGTCATTGTAAAGATGGTTCCATACGGTCAAGGTGATCTATGTGAAGAAGATGCTTTTGTAGTGGACGCATTCTACAAGGTATTTGTATGGGTTGGATCACAATGTTCAAGAAGAAAGCGAGAGTGTGCAGAACGTATTGCTTCATCTCTTGTTCAAGAATCAACCGTTGGACATGCCAAAACTACCCGTGTAGTCGTATTGACCAGTGCAGACATTGAATTATACAATTCAAACTTTGCATCGGACCATATCAACAATTCAGACACTAGAGAGTTTTGTAGTTACTTTGATGGTTGGAGTGAATTGGAAAGTCAAGATTCTTCACTTCACGCAAACGCAAATAACAACGCTAACGGTGGTGGATCAAGTATGAATTTATTAGAGTCTCCACAAAGACATCCACAATCACTTATTGGAGCATCGGCAGATCATAGATTGCTCAGTTCATTGTTGATGCATTCGACAGTCGATCGTAGCAGACACGAACAATTCAACTATGACTCGAGTGACGAAGAGTCGGTCGGAGGATCATCCCTATTCATGGGTAATAGTCCTGCAATGGGACAGTCTACCGTACCGTCACCATACGGTAGTCCACACACTCTATCTCATCACATGGCACCTCCCGAACGATGGGAATTAGAGTTGGACAATGAAGTTGAAAAGATAAAGAAACGTGGCCCACTCGGACTCCTCTCACTCAACAATTCCCAACTATCAAGACTACGTACTAGTTCTAAAAGTTCATCTTCTTCTTCTGGTGGTTCACCATCCTCTTCTTTTATTATTCAGCCCATGATCCCTGAAAAAGATAAACATCAACAACAAGTTGGATTATTGGCATCTGCTATTAATGGTGGTGGCAATGGTAGACACCCATCAATCGATAGAATGGTAGAAGATTTGGAGAAATCAAAGGATGTACCACCAGGTAACCCTATTACGACTGTTACTACACCACCACCATACGTTCCAAGATTCACATCACCATTGGCGAGAAAGGAAGGTATGATTACTGCATCTTCATCGTGTTCAAGTATTGCAAGTAGTGGTAGTGAAGATGCATCATCAACCATGCATCTTCCACCACCTCCTCCTCCTCCAGTTGTAGTAATTTCAAACTCTTCCTCACCAACACTATCAAAGAGACAAAGAGATACTACTACTACTGGAGACTTCCAAGATATAGCTAGATCCGATGATAATGCATCGGGTAGTCCAACACCATTTATCAATGCATTATCACCAATCAAAGCACTTGGTCGTAGCTTTGGTGATGATGATGACGATCTCCTCTATTCCAACAAAAAGAGTGGTAGTGGTAGTAGTGATTCACTTAAACGAAACAAATCAAATGATGGATCACCAAACATTTCACCAGCATCCTCTTCACTTTTATTGTCCTCTGGATCACCACTCTCTAAAACACTTTCAACCATCAATCGAAGACGTGGTAGTAGTGTAAACTCTGCTCACAAGTCACCTACTGCATCTCCACAAAGAAAGCGTCTCTCTTTTATCCTAAAGTCAGACTCTCATCCACCACTTCCAGGTGGTTCGATCGATGCAAAGTCACTTCAAGAACTCAAAGAATGGACTGTTGAATTGGAGTTGGAAGGTGAAATGAGTAAAATCGAAGAGGAACTATCAAACCTCTCACCTGAAAAGGCAACAGTTGAACAAAAGAATGCAATTGAATCTACAGTTATTCAACCTTTACCTCAAGTTATTGAAATATTTAATTTTAATAGTAACAACAACAGTAGTAACAACAATAATATTGGTAATGTTTCGAATAATAGTGTTAGCAATAATAATGATGGTGGTATTCATATTATTAAACAAGAAGAGTTTATAAGACCAAAACAAGCTGCCATTGTTTTTAATACAAATAATCCACAATCCCAATCACCGTTGGTATTAAAGAATCCAGCAACTACAACGACAGTGGCAACAGTCAATACCGTTGTGAATCCAAAACCAATCACTATTCATTATACCAATAATAGTTTGGTTAATACACAACCCAACACCAACACCAACACCAACACTTCGTTCAAGACTAAAGTCAATGTCACCCCAATTGTTATTCCAATTCAACAACAACAACCTAAAAGGATTAATATTACACCAAAATCATCTACTACTACAACAACATCATTAAAACCAACAAACAATAACTACTTGGAAGAAAGTTTTATGGAATTACAACGTCAATTTGTGTCAAAGGAACAACAACAACAATCACCACAAAAACCATCAACCATTTCACCTCCTTCAACACCAACCAATTCTTCACCTGCTCCTACTCCAATTGGTAGTAGTACTACGACTGGGTCACCTTCCTCTAGTGTAAAATCAATGATTAATGCACACACTCATTTAATCAATCAAAAATCTACAGTTCCACCACCATCATCATCAACTGGTACTACAGGATCACCAACCAAATCATTAAGTTCATCTGGTGAACGCAATACAAGACCAACACTAAGAGCATCAGGTGAACGTAGTAATAGTAATACTACACTTTTATCATCATCCAAGAACAATGAACTCCCTTCACCTAAAGGTCCAACACCTACACAACCATCTTTTTCACCACGCCTACATCCTACCATTGGATCATCACCAGATACTCAAATCAATAATAATAGTAATAATAATAATAATGTACCAAAAACCAACTTTAGAATTATACTTAAACCAAAACCAAATACAAAACCACCTGCAACCAATAATACTAACAACAATCCAGCCAATAATGTACCACCACCAACTACAAGTTCCGCATCAATTAAATCGAATCCATTTTTGAAACAACAATCTCAACAACCTTTGTCACCAAGAGGTGGGTTATCAACATCCTCTTCAGGGTCAATAGCCATTCCATCATCGGTATCATCAGTAAAAGATAAGATTAGTCAAGTCGAAGAAATATTTAAACAACAACAAACAACACCACCTCAACAACCAAGAAGCGTAGGTAGAAATACCAATCTATCAAAGTTGTCAGACGGCAATAATAATAATCTAAGTGGTAGTAGTAGTAGTTCACCCCGACCAGTTTTAAGATCCACTCAAAGCCAATCAACTTTTAGTAGGGGTACCACCACCACACCGTCAACGGCACAAAGACCATCTGTACAATCAATTTTCACTAATAATAAACCAAAATAACAAACTATTGACTTGTTTGATTGTTTGTTATCATTTTTATGATAAATATAAATAAACCAAAAACATTATAATAATTTGTCGAGCTCAACCCAGAACTTAAGATCTATCTTTGCAGCTATTACCAAAATTATCGAAATTTTCAGATATGCTCAACCCACCACATAATTTTTATGTTGTAAAGTTTTTAGGGCTCTGGGCGCGACAGTTGACCTTCACAAGTCAGCTCTCACCTTGAATGCATTCATTATTATCTTTCTCCTAACTCTTATACAGATACAACACACTTTTTATTTGTGTTAAAGCTGATTGACTAGTAACGAGGTAACTACTTTTTTTAGATAGATCTAGATTCAAAAGATACTTTAAACAACCCCCCCCTCATCGTCTCTACTTTTTTGTTTGTTTGTTTGAACCTTCACCTTCACTTGTTTATTCTAATCTCTTTTTCTTTTTGTCATATTTCTTTTTTTTGTTGTATATAGTTAACTTCTTCATCCTCCTCATCCTCTTCCTTTATCCCACTTCTTCTTCTTCCTCCTCTTCATCCACTTCTTTCTTCTTCCCTTCATCTTCATCTTCATCCCCTTCCTATCCTCCTCTTCTTCCTATCCTCTTCTTCATCCTTCATCCTCCTTTTATGTCATCTACATAAATTTTACTTCCTCCTTTTAATCCTCCTCCTCTTCATCCTCTTCATCCACTTCTAAAATCCCACTTCTTTTAACAACGTTTTAAACATGAAATTAACAAATCCGTTTTCATTAACCATTTGCATTCTTTTAGCAACAATATTCAACAACAATAATATCTTATCTGTTGATGCTCAAGTAAATTGTATCGCTACACCAAATGATAGTAGTTGCGTAAACTATCAATACCCAGTATCCAATGTAACACAAGACATTAATGGATTATGTATGGATATGGATTTTATGCCATTATGTAGTGTTCAAAAGGAATGCAATAGCATTGACAGCCAAACTGGTGTTTGCTACCCATTCTCAATCTTGGCCGACGGTTGCCAATACGATATGCCAGGTATGAAAGACTGCTCCAACTACAACCAATTGTGTAGCAACACATCTGTAGTCAAAGAGTGTACTGAACGTCAGGCTATTGCCGGGTTACCCAAAACCACCCAACTCTCGCAATACATCTACAGTATCTGTACGTCAATGAGTATGGATGCATGTTCACAATGCACTATACCAGCCACCAGTAGCTCGATGATCACTACCTGTGATCTCTTGTCCGTCTACACATCACTCTGTCAACAAATGCCCGATATGAGTGAATGTGCTTCATGGAAGACCATGTGTCAAAATGGAGCAGTCCTCGGTAGCAGTGTCCTCTCTGAAGCCTATTGCGAGGCACCTATTGGCGAACAAATCCCACTCATGCGTATGTTCTTCCATACTGGCATTCTCGACTATATCTTGTTTGAAACTTGGGTTCCCCGTTCCAAGGGTCAATTTGCCGGTTATTGGTTCCTCATCTTTTTTGGTGCCATCGTTTTCGAGTGTGAAAAGACTCTTCGTTCCATACTCGAGAAACGTTGGGAAGCCGAGAAACAAAGACAAAAGGATTTGACCATGTCAGATTCCACACCAACCGATACCGTCTCGATCAGTCAAGGATTCTTTAAAGGTGATTATCCAAAGTTTAACCCAAAGATTGATATTCTCAGAGGTTTCCTTCATGGTTTCGAATTGACACTCTCTTACCTTTTAATGTTGGTTGCTATGACATTTAACGTTGCTCTCTTCTTTGCTGTCATTGCTGGTACCGTAGTTGGTAATATTCTAGTTGGTCGTTACCGTAGTTTTAAACCAAAAGTAACTTGTTGCGATTAAATTAACCAACTTGACATGATCCAACCACAAAACGTAAATTAAATTAAATTAATAAATAATCCTTCCTCCTCCTTCTATTCATCACCATTCATTTTTGTTGACGACAACAAATTGAATTGTGTGATGCAATCACTTCTTAAATCCAAAATATTAAGTTAATTGAATTGAATTGATATATCCAACATTTCATTTTGTGTTATTGTACAAAATTAATCACTCGATTAAATATAAGATTGGATTATATTTATATTATATAATATATTCCATTTCCTACACTAATGCTACTACTATTTATTATTCTCTTTTGATTGTTGTTTTCTTTTAAAATGACAATCTATACAATAATCTATATTATCAATTTTATCATACCTATAATAATATTATTTAATTAAATTAATGACAACATTCACAACATGATGGTGATGGTTGTGGAGGATTACTATGTATGTTAGTTAATTTTAACTCTTCTGCCAGAATATTATTATTCTTTCCATTTTATGATTTTAAAACTTACTTTGTAACACAACAAAGCGAACAAAATACATCCCTACAATCATCACATTGATGAGCACATTCTATACAATGGTCATGCGTACACGACGAACATCCAACCACTAAATCTCGATGACTGCAAATATTACATTGATTGGTTCTGGCATTTTCATAATGATCTTTTGGAATGTTATTTGGATTACTTCTATCATCTGATTGATGATTACTTATATTCTTGTTTGAAAATGCTTTTAGTGATGATTTATACATTAATGTCATTGTATTTTCTAAATTGACGTCAAATGGACGAATGGTTAGTATTATTGTTTGATCAACAACAAGAAGATTGTGATCATCATCATCATCGATCTATCATAGATACAATACCATGTACAGATTTAACATTATCTTTCTTTTTACTCTTTAATGGTGTTCTTGTTATTATATTATCATTATTACTATTATCTTCTTTATCATTTTGATGTTGATCGTCACCATCAATCTTCATTTGATTAGGATATGCATTAGATTCTTCTGTTCTTTTTATATCTGGTTTCTCGTATTCATTTCTATCTCTTTTGAAATTCATCTTCCCTTCTTGTATTGTCTTGTAAAGAGCTATCAATCTCCTTTATTTATCTCTTTTCTAAAGTTGCCAATACATGGAATACATGTTTCATCGTTGCAGAATTGCTCACTTGCGCAGGTCATTGATTTTCCCTCCTTTTTTTAAAACTAATTTAAATTATTTTATTATTTTTTTGTTCCATTCAAGGTTTGTCAATTGATCTCTTTCGTGCACATTGACAAGACTGTAGTCGTAAGAGTATGTTTCACTTCCATCGATGGAGATTGTTCTAATAGAGTATTGGTAAACAGGAAATCCCTGGCTGTCGTTTGCTCGATATGCATACCATACAGAGGGGCACAGAGGCTCCATTGTCAATACTTTTTGATATTTATTTTGAAACCATCAACAATCCAAGAGTATCATCATAAACTTCCTTTTTCCAAGTTTCAATACCAAAATTAGTTTGTACAAAATTATCTCTATTTTCTCTATAAGCTTTTTGTAGATTATTTGATCGATACAATTTGATTTGGTTATTTTTCAATAAAATGGTTATATTATCTACGTTGTAGTGTTTTAGATTATATTTCTGTCCCAAGTGGGCGAGCAACTCGGTACGACCCTCTGCATAGGCACCAGCAGCAATTTGTAAAAGTTTATGATGAATGGCTTGTCTTTTAGAGGGGAATTGTGATAGGATTCGATCGACCAGAGTGGTGTTGCCTAGTCTACCGAGATCGGTCCAACCTTGGTCTTTCATTTGTTGATACTCTCGAAGAAGAGGAAAGATGGAACTGAGTAATTTCTCGGGTGTTGCTAGGTATGTATCTAGACCACCTAGGATATTGGTTGGTTGGAGGTGAAGTACTACATTGGGACGATTAATGTGAATGGCCAAAGCTATAATATCGTCAACCTTGTATTTAAATAGACTACGTATATCTACAAACAATGTAACGAGTTTTGTAAAATGTTTAACGAAAAAGTAAACAACCTTTCTAGATGAGAATATTTTGACGAGGTCACTATCGTCCAGAGTGAAAGCTGACACTTGAAGTTGATATGTTTCCAGTATACATGTTACAATGTCAATGTTGCATGTGCCGAGTGCATCAATAAAAAATTGTTTTGGTAATTGTTGAAGTTGTGAGATATAGTGGTACAAGATATGATAGACGAGTTGGTAATTATTGATTACAATTGATTGACGTAACATGTCCCAAAGGTAGTTTGCGTCGAGCAGTGATGATGATATATGTTTTTCGATAAATTGAAAGGTCTCTAGATGTTGGGTTCCAGGAGGAGCCTGGTGGATTTGAATACCATCCTTTACCAATCTTTCATATACCAATGTAACACATTCCAATCGAGTTGAAACACACGTTGCATTAAATAACAAAGTTTGACCATTTGCAATGTTTTGTGGTAGTTGGTCGTAGAGGAATTGTGTTACTACCATACTCGAATAAATGCTTTGTATCGATTGAACAGCCTTGCTAATTGCTACTTGTAGATAATAAGATGGATTCTTGCCAACATAGAGCAACACCAAAAAGAATGCAGACAAGACAGTTGAGATATTCTCCAAAATCTCTCCAATTCTTTCTTGTTCTTTTGGGTCGTTACAATTTTTGAGTAATGATTTTAAAGTTGCCAAATAACTATTGTTACTTCTTAATTGACCTCCATTACGGTGTACTTGGAGTACTTGTAATAGGTCTATATGTTTACTTGTGACCTTTGTAATATTTGGTAATAATGATACAAAGTAATTGTGAACATGGGATGTTGGCGAATCGGTGACAATCAAATTGTCAATACACAACAACTTGTATAGCTCGGCATCATTACTCTCTAATAGATGGTAGAGGCAATCTGGGAGACGTGACGATGCGGTGTATTGAGGACACCCAGGTAACCCACGTCTTTTGACAAGATAATGAACCATGTGAGGTTGACGATGGTATAGAGAATAATAGACAAACTTGTACAACTCGTCATCCGATAGTTTAACAGGTATATATTTCTCTATTTCTTCGTACATCTCTATACTACCAGCTTCACAACTACTCTTGAGTAGCTGACGAATAAAAGTATTACGAATAGTCGGGTTGATGTTTTCCAATGCAATTCTAAGCAATCTAGTATTACGAGACATTGAAATACCAATCATCATCACATCAAGTGTATATTGATTTTTGAGAGTTGTAATTGCGTATTGTAGCAATCTCTTGATGTCACAGTCTGATAGAATATCCAAATTACTGGGTGTTACATGACTGTACCACATACCACTAACATCTAATTGATAGTATGTTTGAAAGGTTGTAGTTGTCGTAGTAGTTGTTGTAGTTGTTGTAGTTGTCGTACTAATAGTATTGGTAGCAGTATTACTACTATCGATATTTGTATCTACTTGTTTAAAAAACATTCGTAGTCTATCTCTTAACAAGTAGATGTACCCATTACGCAACATCCATTCAACATTATTTGCTTGATGATACATTCTAATCATTAGATCTGGGTGTCTTAGTTGATCTACATCAAACTCTACTTTATCATCCATCAATCGATTACGCAACGTCTCTCTTGTAATTACTTTAGTTTGTAAAGTAATCTCCTTTCCAATTAATCTTATCAAATATCGATTACATAGTACTTGTTTAATACTACACAACATTCTTTCTCTTTCTCCTTTTACTATTACTATTTAAAATATCAATCAATCATTTTACTAAATACATAATGATCAGCTTTGGTACTCTAGAGTTAGAGTAAAAATAAATACTAAAAAAAATTGGAATAAATTACGAAAGAAAGGTTCCTCAACCTTTGATATTTTAATAATAATAATAATAATTTTAATTTTAATTTATTTCTTATTGTTGTTGTTTGGAGTAGCCCAAAGAGGAACTTGGGAAACATAATGGAAATCAGGACCTTGGTAACTATAAGAATGTAGATGTATAGAGTGTGTTGGATTCTTTCTAAATTGGTGTTGTTGTAAAAGTGATTGAGCAATTTGAGTGTCGTTGATCAATGATTCCACTGGTGTTCCATTGTCAATAAGTGAATAAAACCGTTCGAGACAACAATCCAAACATGGAAGAGCAACACTTTTAACTTTTTCATCCTTTTCAGCGTCTGTCAATGTACTGTCTTGTCGAATACTTTTAACTTTTTCTTTATATTCTTGTATACTCGATTGCATAACTATATTCACTTGTTCAAGACTTAATTGATGTCCAACTATATTATCTTCATCTTTTTGTTGTTGTTGTTGTTGTTCTTTTTCTATTTCATTTTGATTTTCTTTTTCTTTTGATTTAAATTTAAATTCTTTTAATTTCATTTGTTGATTATATTTATCTGATTGACTGATTAATGTTGTTTTGTTCCAAGAGTTTGTAGCTTGGGTAGCAGCTTGATGACTATTTGATCGGATGAAATCATCATTGTAGAGTGGATCGTTGGTGATGGGGAACCCGATCGATTTGAGGTGTATTCTAATTTGGTGACCTCTTCCAGTGATGGGACGACACCAAATGATTGAAGTGTCACTCTCTTTGTTATAGTGTGCCAACTTGAAAAAGGTGGTGGATGGCTTACCCCGCGCATCTTCCACACCCAACCCTGTTATCTCGTTTAGCACCATGATGGGTTTGGCAACCATCGTCTCTTCCAAGTAGGGAAACATTCCTTTCACCTTTGCCAAATAGATTTTGTCAATGTCACCTTTTTTAAACACTTTTCCAAGTCGACCACTTGCTGTTGAGTTCTTGGCCAATACGACCACACCGCTTGTCAACCTGTCGAGACGGTGACATGCGAGTAGGTTAGTGTATCCAAATTGTCGGGCCAGTAAAAAGGTGAGAGAGTTGTGTCTGTACGGACCGGCCGGATGCACCGGTATCGAGGGTGGCTTGTCCACCACCAAATAATCCAATGTCTCGGCAATCAGTGTTGGTTCCAATGCCAATACATCAATCTCGTGTCGATGTACAATATGTTTAAAAGTGTCACCACTCTTGATGACATAGTCTGCCGTCGTCGGGAGATCATTGACCAATATCTTTCCCATTGCAATCTTGATCTCGTACAGTTCCCTTGGATGTGGTCTATACTCTTTCATAAACATATCGATAATGTTCATTCCAACCCATCTCTCTCTTGCTCTCGACACAAATTCATAGTCATATGGAACGACACCTCTCAACACCTCTCCCATTTGATCATCATCCTTTTGATGATAGATGGTTTGGTATTTAGTCTCTGCCAACATTTCCTTTGTTATTGATAAATGTTCTGCTCCTACTCTTGTAGATACTATAGTTGATTGTACAAATATATTATTCTTTTGATTATTATTATTGTTATGTTTATTATGATCAAAAGGTGAGAATTTACTTTTACTCTTGTATGTTGTATTTCTATTATTATTATTATTATTATTATTATATGATGAAGATGAAGAAGATGAAGTACTACTACTACAGTAATAATAGTAATGGTTCATACAACTACTACTACCTTTAGTCAGTGACTGTTGAAGTAGTAGTAATCTTTTACAACAAGCAACATTACTCGTTGAACTTTTAATAATATTAAACATCCTTCTTCTTCTTCTTCTATTTCTAATACTACTACTACTACTACTATTATATCTTTATCATCATCATTAATGAATACTGCTCTAAAAACGAACGAATGAATAAAAAACAATTTTAATTTAATTTAAATTTCAGAGCTCTCATGTGAGTAATCATTTCTAATCTTCTCTTTTTACATAATGATGATTAATAATAAGTAATAGTAATAACAATAGTAGTACGATGATGATGATGCTGATGATGATGATGGTCAGTGTTAGTATTAACAAGAGCTGAGAGTTGTGGTTGTTTAGTTTTTCCCTCCTTTTTTTCGAATTTGCTAAATTGGTTTTCATCGCTTGCACACGAACAACCAACCAGTTGTTTACTACTAGAAATCAAATAAGATATTGCAATACAGATAGATAATCAGATTGATAGATAGATATAATGAGTATTAAACAACAAATAGATAATAATCAACTACTACCACAACTACAACAACAACAACAACAAGAAGAAGAGGTAGCAGAGATGATACGTGAAAGAGACTTTTTTACCTATCATCCACTTGCACTGATCGATGATATCAAAGAATCTGTATATGATATCATTGCAAATGAAACAAACAATTTAGATGGATATCTTTCAAGTCACAATGTAATCAACCAAAATCAAGAATCTGCAAGTAATATTGTAAAGGTAAAAAAAAAGACAAAGTGATCAAAAAAGATATATAAAAGAAACAACTATCTATCTAACCATTAATTATTATTATTATTAATCAAAAAAAAAAAGGGAACCGATAGAGTATGGACAATGTTAAATGATAACTTTAAACAGAATTTGGACAAGTTTGAATTGTTTACACTTGCAAACATATTTAATATTCCTGCTGATTTAATATTACCCGGTGAAAATAATCCTCCTAATCTATTTAATAGTTTTAATGGTGGAAATAATAATAATAATAATAACAATAACGGATCACATCAAACACCTAGAAAAGAAAAACAAGCATTAGATAGTGAATTGGATAATCTTAGAATGAAAATACAAATGGTAAATAATAATAATAATAATAATAATAATAATAATAATAATAATAATAATAATAATAATAATAATAATAATCAACTCTCTCTCTCTCTCTTTTTCTTTTCAATTCCTCAATTAACAATTATTTATTATTTATTAGATACAACAAGATACATTAGAGAAAAATAAACAATTAAAACAAATAGATCAAGATATTAAAAATGTATCATCTTGGAATTCAAATATGAACATTGATAAACAATCTATAGGTATGTTAACCCCCAAATGAATTAAAGAATATTAAATATCTATATATATATATAATTTATGTTTATCTAATTTATTTTATTGATTTAAATTTAGAAAATAATACTATACAACGTATAAACAAAATCAATCAAAAAAGAAAAGAATTAGAGTATAATTTGAATTTAACCAAAAGTAGGGTCAAAGATCCATCAAGTAAACCAGATTTAAGAGTAAATGACGATGAAAAGTCCCCTTCTTCTTCCTCTCCTCAATTGATATCAACTAGCCAGCTTTGTAATAATGTTAATAGTTTAACTCTTGGTAAGTATAGATAATGTACCATGATTTGTATAATGATCATTATTAATATTAATATTTAATTTTTTAATCAATATGATAGATGAATACAGTAGAGAAAGAAATAATTTAGAAAAGAGTAGACAAACTTTAAATACAATTGAAAATCAATTATAAACAAAATATATTTTGGATGGATACACTGCTACAAATCGATTAAAGATTGAGATAAACGTTTGTTTCAACAATCATTTAATTTTATTGATGCTCTATTCAGTTCTTCTTGTTCTTCTAGAATGACGAGTATACTCACTTTCGTCTTCTTTATTGATTCTAGTCCAAAAGTTGTTAATTCTTTCATCAATATTATTGGAGGATACATCTTGTAATCTTAATTCAAACCATTTGAATTTAAAGGTATCAAGAGTTGTATTTGCCTTGAATGCTTTGGTAAATCCATCAATAAGTTGTTTATCTAAATCATTGATATCTAAAGAGATACCAATCGATTTAAGATTTGGATGACTATTGGTTTCAATAATCATTATTATTGAATTGATAACATTTAAATGTTCTAAAAAAAATAATAACAAAAAGGTAAGTACAATTAAATATATATACATACCACTGATATGGGATTCAGTTGATACTAAATATTTAAATTCAATTAATGATTGACTTATGATATCAGTTGAAATGGATGATACACCAAATAAACCTTGGATTGGGCCAAGCGATAAATTGGTAATAGTTTGGTTGAATGCCAATGCCTTTTGAATTCTAATCTTTTCGTCGTTTGTTAAATTGGAATCAATGTTTTTCAAATTCAAACTTGTCAATGTACTATTGGTTTTAATTGAATCAACTGCCATATCCAAGTCATCAGCATTACTTTCCAATTCCATTGGATCACCATCACCACCAACTTTAAAACTTTGTAGTTTTGATTCTTCGCAAAAGGCATTATATAAATGTTTCATTTGTATTCCATAACAATCGATTGAAAGTTGTTCGAGGTTAAAGTTGGTTGTTGAGTGCTCCCAAAGAGGTTCGATATCAGGATATCCAGATCCTTCACCATCCGATACTCCACGACAAATTCTTAACTTGTGTCATATGCTTCTTGATTGTTTGGATCATTGCAAGCATTGAACCACCATCTGGTATTTCATAATCCAATTTCAATGTCATAGAGGATAGGTTTGCAAAGATTTCGGTCATTCTAAAAAATCCTATTGATCTACTCCCATTAGAATATCTTCTACTGAAATCCTTTGTGAAAAAGCCCTCGAAATCCTCTGCAATATGATACTCGTCCCAATAGTTTGTTGAAAGGTAGATGTTCCAATGATGGTGTAAACATCCCATTTTGGCAATTTGCTTCTTCTTGAGTTGTTGGTGGTTCCATGTCGAGTACAAGTGATTTGAGACGTCTAATATTATAGAGTAATTATCGTTTTGTTGCACTTTGAGTAGTCTGATAATTGGATGAAGTCTTCTACCAGCTGGCTTGAATGGATTCATGGTGAGCTCCCTGACACTGACTTGATTGATTTTTGAAGAGATTAATGCAAACCATCTTTTGTTGACTTTGGCCAATGCTTTTTGTAATTTAATCTTTTCATTGTTTAATTAAATTGGAATAAATGTTTTTCAATTTCAAACATGCCAATGTACTATTGGTTTTAATTGAATCACCTACCATATCCAAGTCATCAGCATTACTTTCCAATTCTGCCGTATCACGATAAGCACCGGCTTTGAAGAATGTCAACTTGGATTCTTTAAACTTAAATAAATACAAAGGTTGGTTGTATATATGTTATGAATGTATAAATATGTGTTTATATATATGAATATTATTATTATTATTATTATTGTTGTTGAACAATACAAAAAAAAAAGATCGATCAAAAAAACCCAGTGGTTAGTTTTTGATTCTATTCCAAAAGTTGTTAATTCTTTCATCAATATTATTGGATGATGATACATCTTGTAATCTTAATTCAAATGATTCTAAAGGATATAGATATTTGAATTTAAAAGTATCAAGAGTTGTATTTGACTTGCATGCTTTGATAAATCTATCTTTGAGTTGTTTATCTAAATAATCTTTATCCATTCTGATACCAATCGATTTAAGATTTGGATGACTATTGGTTTCAATAATCATTATTAATGAATTAATAACATTTAAATTATTTAATGGTTCTAAAAAAAAAAAATGGAATGAATGTAAATATTTATACACTCGATGTTTTGTTTCTATCACGCATTATACGTCGTATACATACCACTAATATTAAATTGTGTTGATTCAAAATATTGGAATTCAATTAATGATTGACTGAGAATATCAGTTGAATTGGACGATGATACACCAAATAGATCTTGACAAATTGATAAATTGGTAATGGTTTGGTTGGATGCCAATGCTTTTTGAATTTTAATCTTTTCATCGTTTGTTAAATTGGAATAAATGTTTTTCAATTTCAAACTTGTCATTGTACTATTGGTTTTAATTGAATCAACTGCCATATCCAAATCATCAGTATTGCTTTTCAATACATAATGAGCAGCTTTGAAAAATGCCAACTTGGATTCCTCTCTAAATACATTATATAAATGTTTCATTTTCATTCCATAACAATCGATTGAAAGTTGTTCGAGGTTAAAGTTGGTTGTTGAGTGATCCCAAAGAGGTTCAAAACTGTCATATTCAGATCCTTCACCATCCGATCCACATTCAATACTCCAAGACAAATTCTTTACTTGTGTCATATGCTCTTTGATTGTTTTAATCATTCCAAGCATCGTACCACCATCACGTGTTTCATAGTCCAATGTCAATGTCATTGAGGAAAGATTTGCAAAGATTTTGGTCATTTTGAAACCTAATCCAGTCGTTTTACTCGTGCAAGAATACTTCCTCATGTAATCCTCGGTGAAAAAGCGTTCGAAATCCTCTGCAATATCGTATTCGTCCCACCAGCCGGTTGGAAAGTAGATGTGTTCCAATGATGATGTAAAGGGAAACTTTTCTTGCAATGCAATCTTTCTAAACATTTCATTGATGCAATTTGCTTCTTCTTGAGTGGTGGCTGGTTTAATGTCTAGTAGAAGTGATTTGAGACGTCTGATGATTGAGTACTTGTCGCTTTGTTGAACTTTGAGTAACTTGATCAATGGATGAACCTTTCTACCAGAAGGTTTGAATGGCTTATTGGTGAGCTCCCTGACACTGACTTGATCGATTCTTGAAGAGATCAATGCAAACCATCTTTTGTTGACTTTGGCCAATTGATACAATTCATCTGTAAATGTAATGTATGTCTTTTCAAAAACCTCTGATCTTTCATTCACCAATAAATCTATAATCTTGTTTTGAATCAATACTGGTAATGATTCTCGATGATTTAAATCTAGATCATCTGTTGTTGTTGTTGTTGTCACTGTATTAATAACTTTTTTTGATTTCTTTTTGGGTCCCATTTTGAAATAAAAAGGTTGGTTGTATATCTATGTATGTATATATAATATAATATCTAATTATAATATGTTTATTTGTTTGAATATTGTTGGACAATACAGAAAAAAGATCGGTTACTCGATGTTTCATTCGTTTTTTCTTTTTTTTTAAACGTAATAAATAGTTTAATTATTTTAGCAGACACTTGGTATTTATTTATTTAATTAATTTAAAACATTTTTTCATTTGATTGGATATACCAATCAACATTAATTTATCTTTTGTTACCCATTTATGATTTTGTTTATCCTTGACGGTAGATTTGTTTTTGGTTTGATTGAATTTAACTTGCACCAAATGAACATCCAATTGTTGTATGATATGAGAAAATATATGTTTTGTACTACCCAATGATTTAATCGATTGAATACTTATTGCATTTGACATTGCCGCTGATATTTTTTTAATTGTATCTTTAATTTGATTCTCTTCTACTTTTACTTTAATACTACTACTATTCTTCTTCTCCTTCATTTTTCTTTTTCCAACTTGTACTTGTTCTTTTTCATCTGACAAACTAGAGTCTGAATCTGAATCTGAATCAGAGTCTTGATCCTTTTTCGTCTTTGCCTTTTTTTTAGTTGCGGTCGTCAAAGTAGTAATGTGACAAGGAGATTCCCAAAGATTTGCCAATAGTCCAGGATCAGGTCTCTGAACCACCCAAAACAGATCAGTATCTACATCTTGAATGATAAATACTTGAACATTCTCTTCTCTTGCTTTTGTTTTCTTGACCTTTTTTGGGTATTTACAAACAGTTGTAGTTGGTGAATCAGTATCTGACCAACTATCACAAACTTTACATAAATCCTCAATATCCATTATTTTCGGTTCAGACTCTTCCTTTTCCTCCTCTTTCTCTTCAACTTTTTTAATTGTATTATTATTATTATTTGTTTGCTTTATAAAATAATTTGAAATGGAATTCTTTGTTGTTGTTGTTGTTGTTGTTGTTGTTTTTGATGTCTTTGAATCTTTTTCCATTTCTTTTTTAGCATTGCATATTGTATTGATTGGACATTGATTACAAAGTGGTGAGGTGATTGTACAAACTGTTGCACCTAATTCCATAAGTGATTGATTAAAATCACCTGGATGAGAAGGGTCTACAATGTCACCGGCCAACTTCCAATGCAATTTAATTGAATCTTTTTTCTTTGGATCTGAACCAATTGCCCTTAATCGACTTAGTACTCTAATGACATTACCATCGACAAGTGGTACAGAGTTGTTGAAGGCAATGGATGAAATGGCACCAGCACTATATGGACCGATACCAGGTATCTTTACCAAACCATCTGGAGTACCTGGAATGATAGATTTGAGGTTACTGACAACATACTGTGCACCAAGATGTAAATGTTTTGCACGACGATAGTAACCTAGTCCAGCCCAAACCTTGTTGACATCTTCCAATGTTGCTCTTGCCAAATCACCAACACTTGGCCATTCAGTCATCCATCTATTGAAATAATCAACCACCACAGATATTCTAGTTTGTTGGCACATTATTTCACTAACCCATACTCTATATGCATGTTCTTGTTGTGTTAGTTGTTTGACCGTCACACTACCATCTTTGTCTTTTATTGGTAATGATTTCAATCTCCAAGGTAAATCTCTTTTATTCTTTTGATACCATTGTAATAAATTAGTTCTAATCAATTTAATATCATCTGCTTTAAATTGATGATATTTAATTGAATGTTCTACTTTTCTTTTTTTCTCTATATCTATATCTGAATCTGATAACTCTGATTCTGATTCTGATTCTGATTCTTCCTCTGACTCGTCTGATTCTTCTTTAATTTTAATTGATGATCTTCGTTTACTAGTCTTTGTCGTCGTGGTCGTCGAAATAACAGTCTCTCGTTTTACTCTTTTCTTCTTTTGTTTAACTTCCTCCTCTGACTCTGATTCCTCTTCTTTCTCCTCTTCACTACCTCCAAAGTAATCTTCTTCTTCTTCCACCTCTTTCTTAACCTTTACACTTCTCCTCATCATATGATTTCAAAACTAAATAATATATTATACAATTTCCCTCCAATTTTTTTGGATGTTCCAAATTCAAAACAAACAATATCGTAAATTAATTAATTAATCAATTATTTTATTTAATAAATACAAATACACAACTTTTATTAATTGTTGTTGTTGTTGTTGAGTGAATGGATGAGTAATATATCTATATAACAATTATGTTAACTATAACTATATTTAGTTGAGTTGATTTATAAAAGAATTGAAATAATGGTAACAATGATAGAGATTAATAATGTTGATGGGATGAGTATGTTTGAATTACCAGTGGTTGCTCTAGTTGTTGTAGTTGTAGTAACTGGTTCATCAACACCTGTAGTAGATGATGAAGTAGTTGTAGAGGTTGAAGTAGTAGTTGTTAGATTACCAGATGTAGTGGTAGTGAAGGGTGAAGAAGTAGTAGTTGTTAGATTATTGGTGGTGGCTCCAGTGGTCGATTGAAGGGCATAGGCTAATGGAGCAGTAAAGCTATTCTTTTTATCTTCAATTTGGAGTGTAAAGCGATCGGTAGCATTGGTTTTGGTGGCTTGAGCAACTGCATCGTCCATTGATGGTACACCAGAGACATCGTTGACACTGACTTGGTAGATGGTGACATTTGAAGGAGTGGGGAAACCAGTAGACACAAACTTTAATGGGAAACCTTCATCAGAGGTATTTGAACCTTTGGCAGGTACAAAATCAATGATAATATCAACTTTGTTTTGCATTGGTGTCTTCATTGCAACGTCACTTGTCAATGACCATCCAGTCAAAGTTTTGATAATTGTAATTCTACCACCATCATCTTTATTAAAACTACCTTGGAATATATATTGCTCTCCTCTAACAACAATAACACCACCACTGCCACTATTAATTGTTGAAATAATAATGATTGAAATTAATAATAAAGATCTTAATGATAATTTAAACATGATTAAAGTATAGGATTATTTTGGAAATAAATAAATATTGTTGTTTTTGTTTTTGTTGTTGATGATAATTAATAATATTACTATAGTAAGTTGATTTAGTTGGTTAATTGTTTTGTTTGTATGTTTGTTTGTATGTATGTTTGTATGATGATAGTTACCATGGTGTTTAAATACTTTTAGGTGTTCTATAAAATAAATAATATTATTAATATTTAAATTCTATAGAATTAGCAATGATGGATGACATGTTTGACATGTTATCTAATTTCTATATATTCTAACCAATGAATGAATGAATGAAAAATAATAATAATAATAATAATAATAATAATTTGTTTACCCCACTGATTAATTGATTAATTGATTGATTGATTAATGTCATGACAGTCATTTCCAAAGCTCCTCACTCACACAATCAACTATTCTTCTTCTTCTTCTTTGGGGGTAATAAACACCAATGTAATATAATTGTTGTTAATCTTACATAGTTAACTAACGATTAAGGGAATACCACCACCCTCTTCAACGTGGGACACCAACACTTACTACCTATTTCGGTAGTTTACTTTTAATAGTCATAAGTTATTAGAGAGACTCTACCTACTCTCCTCTCTAGCCTAGACTATAGATTTAGATCTATTTGATTGATGGTTTACATCTCATTTATAGTAGTTCAACTAACTACCTGCCACTGACTGGCAGTCACCGCTACAACAAAATCATTGATCTGCCCCTCAATCCAAAAGATTATTTCCTAATGCTGCTGTTGTACCAATAAAGTTACAACTTCTCCTTTCTTTATCTGTTAGGGTTGTTGCGTTGTAGATCACTGTCTTGATTGATCTCATTGTACTAGATATCTTCTCCCCTATAAAATGAATTATATTAAAAAAATAATAAAATAGAGAGTTTCATCATTCCGATGAAATTGATCATTGGAGATTGAACTCTGATTGCGCCATTGGTTGCTAACCCCCTCCACACACAACAGGAGAGAAAGAGTAGTTGTGCTGGCATCTTTGCAGTGTTGTATATCTTTTATGGATATTTCATAGGGGCTATTCTCTGTTGCACCCCCCCTCCTCCTCCTCCATCATTGTAAATAAGGATACATTCAATGAATGGATTTAAGTAAACGTTTAGAACCGCCCATTCACGATCGTTTCTCTGGTGATGGTGGTGGTGGTGTTCGCTATGAGCACCGCGCGAGTAATCTAAACATACCAGCTAATAGCAGCAACCGCTCTCTCTCACAGATCTTGACAAACCACCACCACTGCAGACAAGAGGCAAGGGTTTAGCGGTTTTGGCAGAAAAGTATTGGAAAGGAAACTTACAACATCTGCTGCTGCTCTTTCATCTGTCAAAAAAAGAATGATAGGGTACCACCACAACTTGTGTGAATCGTTGGTATTTGGACATCGATCAAGATTTAAACTGTTTATTGACAGTGATCTAGTTATATCAAAATCTTTGAAAACACAACAATCAGAAACAGCAGCAGCAGCAGCAACAGCAGCAACCAATTGGGTACCATCGTCGTGATTTGTTATTACCCCCACAACACACCAACCAACTCCCTTTGTACGAAGGGAGGTTTCTTATCTTATAAATTTGGTATCAACCAACTTTCCAACTTTTCTCATAAATCCTTTGCCCTCATGTTTGTTTCGCAATCACAAAATATAAATAACCCTACTTTTAAGGTTCCTAAAAATAATAACACAATCAATCAAATAATTCAATTCATCAAATAATTATTTAAACATACAATCACATTTGATTTATCAATTTAAATCTCACAACAACAACAAAAATGATCAACAAACAACAATTATTATTGACATTATCATTTATTATTTTAAATATTTCATTAATATCCTCCTCATGTATTGATCTTAGAAGCAAAGTTCAATGTTCTGGTAGTATCGGTCAATTTTGGTATGTACCTACAACTTATTCTCAAAATTATATAAATATTATAAATATTATAATATTAACAAAAATAATATATATACTTTTTAATTTTTAATTATTTAATTAATTACTTTAGTGGAACGATACCAGATACAAATATAGAATCACTATGTTCAACTGGATTATTTTGTAATCCATTTTATGGTGAATGTCAACCACAATCTGAAAAGGGTGGACCTTGTATCTATGACAAACAATGTAAGGGGATTAGTACCTGTAGATATGGTGTCTGCTCAGAGATGATCTACGGTCAACTAGGTCAATCCTGTCAACAAGACCATGAATGTGGTAGTGGACTAGACTGCATGTACAATGTTTGTGCCAACCCCTCATCAAAATGTTCATCAGACATTCAATGTTCATTCAATCAATTCTGTAGTTCCGTCACCTCCACATGTTCCAATCGTGTTGGTCTAGGTGAAACTTGTTCAGACGACACACAAAAATGTCAATCCAATGCTATTTGTCAACTTCAACATGACGGTCAATCTAGTATCTGTGTAGCTCCATTCTCTGTTGGTCTAGGTGGTGCTTGTTCAACATCATCCGTTGACTTTGGAGTATGTGATCATACTAAAGGACTGTTGTGTAATACTACCAGTAACACTTGTGAATCTGTTCAAGACGCTGCCTCCTTTATGACTTCAACTCCACCAACTGTTAATTGTAACCTTGAGACTGGGTCGGGATGCAAGGTTGGTGAATCATGTTTGTGTAGTGGTAATGGTCAAGGCAGATGTTTCTCACAGGGTCAAGTCACCACCACTGCATGTGGCGATGCCAGTGTAGCATTCTACAACTGTATGAACCAAAACCAGTGCAACTCACTCGTAGAATTCACAGAGTCATCGTGTGCCATCAAAAACTGTGGTACTCTATACTGTCAAAAACAAAAGTCTTGTTTTTCTCTATCGTCCACCATCTATAAATCAATCGTTCCATCTTGTAGTTCTGGTGTTGCTATGGTTCATACTATTTGTGATATGATAAACTAAATTAACTTAATCACATCCCTTTGAAATAATCTTTGTAAATATCTCATCATCAAATCACACAATTTAATATTAATTAATATTCACCATGGTGACACAACCTTTTAAACAAATCATTTGTAAAATTAACTAACCTAATCTAACATAATATCATCCAACCAACCTTGTACACTTTTTGTAAATAAATAAATAAATAAATAAGGGATTCTATTTCCTCTTCTCTATCTCTTTCAAATATATAATATGATATCATTTGATCAATCAAAAAAAAAAATAATAATAATAATAATAATAATAAGATTATAGAAGAGAGTTGAGTTGGGTTGAGTTGTTTACAATTTAAAGGGAGGGATTTATAGATAATTAATATATATGTGTGTCATGATGGTTAGTTTTTGTATGCTTCTTCTTTGAGTTCACCAAGGTATGGCAATTCTCTATATTTTTCGGCAAAATCCAAACCATAGCCAACAATGAAAACAATTGGAATATCGAAACCAATGTATTTACATGGTACTTCTACCTTGAGTGCTTCTTTTTTACGGAGGAGAACAGAGACTTGGAGAGAGGCAGGATTACGTGCTTGGAGGTTAACAAGGAGGCTTTGGAGTGTCAAACCAGTGTCGATGATATCTTCGACGACAATGACATCCTTGCCAGCAATATCAGCCTTGAGATCCATATTAATTTTAACGACACCAGACGAAGTGGTTCCATGACCATACGAAGAGATCGACATGAAATCAACGGAAACATGAGTATTTGGGAGATTAATGGCACGAACCAAATCTGCCATATACATAAATGATCCCTTTAATACTCCAATTAATACTAATTCTTTTGAATCTTTATAATCCTAAAAAAAAATAAAATAGAAAAAGAAAAGAATATATCATTAATAAATCGAAAATAAATCAAATAAAACAAAGAAATGATGAAGTTCTCAAAAATATGTAACCAAAAAAAAAGAAAAAGAAAAAGAAAAACAAAGAACATAAGACTGTTTAAACCATTGATTTATTTATTTTATTGTTTTAACAAAACAAAACAAAACATAACAAACTATACAACCTCACTCATTACCACTCTCCATTCCACTCTTCACTCCTCTCTTTATAGAATATACTTATGTTTGTGCGTGTGTATATGATCATCATACATTTGTAATTTCTTTGCCAACTTCTATGATACGATCCTTAATTTGTTGATCAGTAAAGATGACTCTCTTGATGTGTGGATGAACTGACATTGTTGTTGGGGTGAATAAGTATATTTTTCTAGAGAACAATAAAGTGTTCAAGTTTCTTCCTCGTTATTTAAATAAAATAAAGAAATAATAAATAATAATAAAGTATTATCTGTGTTGGGTGGTGGGTAATAACCCCTCAATAATGTAAATCGATTTCGGTTTTGAGCACAGCGAAGGACGAGTCACTCGATAATTTAATTTTTTTAATTAATTTTTTTTAGCCGACCAGAATGCTCTCACATTCTCCCTCCTCTCTCTTATCGATTCAAACCGAATATCAGACGACGACCTTGGTAATGGAGACCTTTTCATCTTACAATAATCATTTTTATTATTATTTTTATTTTTTTTTGAGAGAATATTGTTTTGGATAATTAAATTAATAAATTAATTTAATTTTCGAAAAATGAAGATGACTAACCACATTTGGGGTTGTTCTTGTTATTATTGCTCTCATTCATACAAAAGAAGTATTAACTTTTTAAAAGCAATCAATATAGAGATAAATAGATATAGTAGTAATAGTTAGTAAATGAAATTGATTGAATATATTGGAGTTGTAGGATTCCATCATCAACTTGGTAACAGGTTAGAATGGACTTATCCATCATTAGATGATAACAACAATATTGATAAAAAGAGATATGATTGGGATATATTACCATTCTCTGCAATACCTGATGGTGTACACAACTCTTCAGAGGATTACACCTTTTTTATATTGAATGAAGTCGATCCCATTTCTTCACCATCTCATCGTCTCTATGGTATAGCACACTTTAAACAAGTTCATACAAAGGATCTACCATCACATTCTTTATCTTCTTCAGATACTCGTTCCTCTATTCAAAAATCTATATTTATTTTATCAAACTTTGTAAGTAAATCAAAAAAGTAAAAGAAAAAGAAAAGAAAAGAAAACTATATTGAACTATATATATAACTAACATTTATTTGATCAATATGTGCTTAGCCAATATTTTATACATTTTCAACACAATTAAGAGTAGCAACTCATTGTTTCTTTTCTCAAGGTGATTTTACAAAATATGATATGTTGATCAATTGGTTTGATACAAAGAATCAATCATTTCAAGATACATGTAAAGAACAATTAAACAATCGACTTTTACAACAAATAGTAAAGGATTCAATGGACGAACGACAACGAGATTCGTCATCAACATCATTATCATCCCCTTCCTCTACTACTACTTCTTCTTCTACTTCTTCTTCAACTGTATTATTACCAACTGAACAACAAGCAATGGAACGTGACCGTATACCAATTCAACCATCATTATTTTTTACGGGAGAGGAAGGATCTGTTAAAAAGTTGGTGAATCATTTTGGTAGAAGTACATTGGTACTTTTTAAATTACTCATGTTGGAGCGTGGTGTTGTAGAGTTTTGTCCTCAACCAGTCAATGCAGTCTGTGATTCAATCATATCACTAGTCTCACTTTTCCCACGTAGTTTTGAACAATTCCTTTCATTGAATCCAGCCGTCAACCAGTCATTCTATATGGATAGATCCAATGAAGTGAATAGACATGATCTAGACTCTTATCTTTTCCCACTCAACTTATTTTCAAAGTCAATTCTACAACCATACCTTTCGCTACATCAAATTTCATCTCTTTCAAGTAATGGTAGTAGTAGTAGTAGTAGTAGTACCAATCAACAACAACAACAACCGCAACAAACTACAACAAATAACCAAAAATCATACTTGGTTGGTACTTCAAATAATTTATTTTTAAAATCACCTCCTTCAACTACTCAAGTTATTATTGATGTAAGAAAAGAACAATATCAATCATCATTCTCAATTTTAATATTAATTTTTTTTTAGATACCAAGTGGAGATATATTATATAGAGATGAATCATTGTATAAAGTTTTAGAACTATCATCATCTGATAGAAGATTTATCGATAATATTTTAACTACATTGGAACAACAAACCAACAACAACACTAACAATAATAATAATAATTATATTGGTAGCGATAAATGGATTAGAGATCAATTTGAATTATATTTATTATGTTTATTATCACATATGGCATCATTATTGAAAATAGAGGATGGCAGAACGGTTATCACTCAATTGAATACACTTGCACCATACAATGAATGGTGGATCCGTCGTTGGTCATCAACTAGAAACTTTGGATTGTGGAAGACTCAATTGTTTAGACAAAACCCTTGTCCCCCTCCATCCAAATATCCCATTCATCCATCGGGACCACCATCAGATATCTTGGATAGCGTACAAGACAAGCTGACAACATCCATGAAGGACTTGCAGCCCATCACAACCGGTATTTCCAAAGCTCTCTTTGGAGCATCAACCTTTTTATTCAACTCTGGTCAATCTCTGATCAACAGAGTGTTGGACGATACTCCAAATCAAGCCAATCAACCTCAACCAAAACAAACATCTCCAACTCAACAACAACAGCAACCAGTTAGAGAGGATTATTTGGTTGAAAATGAGATTGAGGAAATTGTAAAAGAAGGATGGACTAGAGTACAAGAAAATAGTATATTGGCTGCAAAGAAAACGGCACAGGCAGTAAAACCTCTTTATTCAAGTGGAAAGGTTTTAGCAAAACAATTATCAAGTCAACTTATTAATTATATTGCTCCTTTGAATGAACAACAACAATCACCAAGAAATAATAATAATAATAATGAACATATATCATCACAACAAGAAAATAGTACCAACAATAATGATGTTGTAACAAAGTCTGAAATATTAATTGATACTATATCCACCACTACAACATCGAAAAAAGATAATATTTCATCACAAGTACAATTGGATCTATTAGAGGAAATTGATGAAAATGATATCTACGAATTATAGTTGAATAAATAGCGATTTTTTTATATATACATAACCAATGTACATTGAAACGAGGATAGTGATTAAATACAGTATAGTATGGTGTGGGGGTAAGCACTCTTCATCAACCAACATCAGCATCTCTCAGTGTGTTTGTGATCACCCACTGTGAACCAAAAATACTGATAATGAGCCCACTGCATCCTCATTGCATTGGAAAGAAAATGGTTTTTCTGTGTCACCCGTGAAAAGAACCCTGGGAGAAAATCAATCTTGTACTTTTTCAAACTCAAAGAAGGTTGACAAAATCAAGAGTTTGAAACCAAGGCAAAAGATCATAATTATGTAATCAAAGAAATGGAAGACCACAAAAGAGAGAAAGAAATTAGTTTTACACTAATTGTTCAGGCTGAATGTTTACCTGATGATCCAGCTAAAAAACAATTGCAAATTGAAAACGGCAGTGCATCACAGAAATAAGTTTGAAAAGACCCCTAGCCATCATCCCCTTTTTGGAAAGTATATAAAAATAAATAATAAAAAGATATAAAAATAAATAAATAAATTTGATTCATTTAATTTTGATAATAATAAAAAATAGTAATAATTTAATATTCTATTTTATTATTATTATTTCTATCTATTTATCTATCTATCTATTAATTCATTTCCATTTCATCAAAACATTTCATCATATATGCACCCAAATCGAATAGTTGTAAGAATTCATCTGATCCATCGACAAGGTTTCTATCGATTTGTCCAATCTTGATTGCTATTTTAGTTCTTTGTATATTGTTAAAATGTATAGAAGGTTGAACTACGATATCAAACAATTGTGAAATAATTTGTGATGCTGGATATCCAAGTGCCATCACCCTCTCTACTAAATGTCTAACCTTGTAAAAATCACCAGACTTGCATGAATTGATAAATAATTCTAATGTTTTTGGTTCTACAGACTATAAAGACATAGAAAAAAAAGGAATTAGTAAAACTATTATAATTATTATTATTATTATTTATATTTATATTTATATTTACCCCAGAAATATCATAAATATTAGCATCAGTAATTGATTTTGAAGCATAAAATCTATGAGCAGATTGCATAAAAGTGATAGCTTTACGCATATCACCTTGAGAAACAGTGTGAATAGCGTCGAGTGTAGATTCATTGGCCAAGTTGACACCTTCTTGGTCGGCAATATATTTTAATCTTTCACCCATTGCCTCTGATTTGAGAGGTTTGAATCTAAACTTTGCACAACGAGATGACAATGGTTCAATGATTCTAGTGATATAGTTACACAATAAACAGAATCTAGTTGTCTTGCTTGTATTTTCTATAGTTCTACGTAATGCTGCTTGTGCATCTTGTGTCATTGAATCTGCTTCATCCAATATAATCAATTTAAATGATGGTACTTGTTTTCCTCTACAAATTGAATATTAATAAATATTAATATCTCATGATCTATATGAGGAATGATTATTAATCTATTATTGATAGTTACGCGACAGTAGTATTATTAACAGTAAATGAAGCAAAATTCTTAATCTTTGTTCTAACAATCTCGATACCTCTTTCATCTGAGGCATTCAATTCCAAAACTCTATCTTTAATCAAATCAGGTCCATATAAATCCATAGCAATAGCAAGAATAGTTGATGTCTTTCCTGTACCTGGTGGTCCATAGAATAATAAATGTGGTAACTAGAGAGAGATGACAATCATGATGTAGGGTTAGTATTTATATATCAATCAATCAATGTTGTAAACAACACATACAGCTCCACCATCCAATGATTTCTTTAATGCACGAACAACTTCATCTTGATGTGCTACATCATCTACTGTTCTTGGTCGACTATATTGTTTGTAATAATAATAATAATAATAATAGTTTGTTAGTTTAATAAGAGTTTATTAAGACAACATCAGACAGAGCATACTATTTTGATACCCAAGGTTCAGGGGCTTTCTGTATACCACCAGACCCTATAGATGGTGCACTATTTGATGTATTCTTTCCTGTTGACTTGTTATAAAACATGTTGTTTAAATATATATATATGTTTAATTAAGAGAAAACAATGAGAGACTATCAAAACCTGCGCACTGAGAAGTTCTACTTTCCCTCCTAATTTCAAGTTTTTTTTTGGCAGAGACGCGGTGGTGACCACTATGAACTCATCCCAAACAAACATGCAGTAGTATTAATGTTTGCAGTCATAATGGGTCGGACAAATAATCATGTCAAAAGTTTAGAAGAGAGAGAGAGAGGAAATAAAAGGTTTTGTCAATCATAATCGTGCCTAGGCATCACTACAGTAGTAATGGAATGCCACAAGTACCACAAATAAACGATGAGGAAAGAAAGAGAGAGAGAGAGAGAGGAAATAAACGAACACATGTTCAGTCTGTAGTGAATTCAACCCTCCAAGTACTATTTATATATAAATCAATTGCACATATTTGCATTCAATGTAATTACTATTGATTAAAACATCCTAGATGTAGTAGTCTCGTTTAACGATGCAGATGAAATTGTGATCTTCTTCCAGTCCACCATAGAAACAAAAAATCAATTTTTTTTAATTTTTGTTTTTTTTGCTAATTTTTTTTCGCTGTGTTGCAGTTTTTATGCACACACAACCTGTGAGAGGGTGACCTACATTACATTTTCGATTGCACCTTCAGCAATATAATAAGAAAGAGAAGAATGTTATCAAGATTCGTATCAAGAGTTACACCATTGGCCAGACAATCATGTAAGAATCATACATATAAAACTATAAGCAGCAGCAGCAACAGTCAGAACAACAAAACAATAGGAGAAATAGTGTAGTGTACAATGAATGACACATCAGATGTAAACAGAACACGAATGCGAAAAATTGATCAACAACAACAACAACTACAACAGAATACAGATTTATAAACAAGAAAGAGGAGATGAAACAACAACAACAACAATAACTTTTTGAATCGAAGATCTTCGCATGTGACTGGGATCATTCATGCAAATGAAACAAAAAGAAAGAATAATAATAATTAATTCTTTAATAATAATAATAATATTTAAAACAAGATAGACAAAGGTTGCATGAATTGATACTAATTAAAATCTTCCTCCCTCTCCTCTTCTCTACACATATCTATCTAATACACATGCAAAATTTGATGATAATTTAAATGAAAAACTCTATCATTCTACTAAATAATAATAATAATGATGGATGATGAATGACTCTCTTTTTTGACAAATACTACATAGTGGTTAATGGTCAAATGAACTACTCTAGTGGTTATATGGTTGACAATACTACTAGTGTACCAAACTTTGATAAATATAGAAAGCACTCTTCAGCCGCTGACCCAGAGGGACGTGGTTACACCTATTTGGTAGTTGGAGCTGCTGCTTCAGGTCTTGCCGCTATGGCCAAGAACACTGTTGTCTCTGCTCTTTCCACCATGGCCCCAGGTCAAGATATTTTGGCTCTTTCATCAATTGAAATCGACTTGTCATCGATTCCAGAAGCCACCGCCGTCACCTTGAAATGGAGAGGCAAGCCACTCTTTATTCGTCATCGTTCGGCCGATGAAATCTCCCAAAGCCAAGCCGTCGACGTTTCTACTTTGGTCGATCCACAAGCAGATGTCAAGCGTGCCAAGGATCCAGAATGGATCGTCCTCATTGGTGTCTGCACCCATCTTGGTTGCATTCCAATTGCCGGTGGTGGTGACTTTGGTGGATGGTACTGTCCATGCCACGGTTCTCATTATGATAACGCTGGTCGTATTCGTAAGGGTCCAGCCCCAGAAAATCTTATCATCCCACCATACAAGTTCTTGTCTCCAACCTCCATCATTGTTGGTGATGAATAAACACACCATCAATTTTTAATAATAATAATAATCAACAACAACATAATAATAATTAATAATTAATAATAACTTTTTTCTCTTTTCCTCCAATTATAAACAACATAACACACTATTTATTTCTTTGTTGGGATTAGAAAATCGACGATCACATAATAATAATCATATAACTATAAATAACAAAATAACAACAAATTAAATAATAATATAATATATTTTCATTTAACCTCCACCGGTGGAAAGGGTTTCAATGGGATGGAAATAGGAAGAAGAAGAATTGTAATAAACAAAACTACAAAAAAAAACAAAACTTAAAATTAATCCTAAAGAAAAGTTTCTTTATTCTTTCTTTCTTTGTAAACATTTAAATGTGTTGTTTAATCCTCCTCCTCTTTGTTTAAATTTAATTTTCTAATAAATTCTTGTTGAAGTAATGTTTCTGGTGTTGATGGAATATTATTTGTTTGATTATTATTATTTGGAGTTGATGGTGAATTATTATTATTATTATTAATAATATTAAAATTAAAAGGTGAAATTGGAGTAGTAGGAGTAGTTGGAGTTGTATCTCTAATTGGTGTTTTTTGATAAATGTTGGTTTGTTTGATAATAAATTTATGAATAGAAGAGTTTTGAACATAGTTGAGGAGATGATTATAAGCTTTGCTAGTCTTTGCATTATTTAGGACCAATTGATTGGGACGAAGTAGTGATTCAGAGATGATTAAAATTAATCTAGTCTTGGAACGGGTGAAACCTACGTTGAGACGATTAAGATTAAAGATAAAGTCTAGAGTCTTGCCACTACCACTGTTCCAACCATTGTAACAAACTACAACAGTATCAAATTCTTGTCCTTGCATCTTTTCAACGGTACCAACCGATGGTTTGAATTCTTGACTACCAGCAAGATACTGTTCAGAACTAATCATTGATTGCATATCAATACGTTGCATATTCAAAGGTGTAATAATACCCAATTGTTTTGACTTCCAAAATTGATCTTCCAATTCACTGGCCGATGTAGTCGATGATGATCTACTACTCTTGAACAATCCCAATTCAAAACGATAGATTTCTCTGACCAGTTCAACTTCAACACGACGGTTTCCAAGATACTTGGTGTCTAGTACAATACTATGACACGATCTATGATCACCATACAATCCTTGAATAACTGATGTTGAGCGTGACAATAGATCCTTCCATTCTTTTGACTGTTGGAGTGTATGAATGTTAAATTCTCTTGCACCAGTCTCTGCACATCTGTAGGATGGTCCGTAGAGGAGACTAGAGAATTGACATAGATCAGATGTCATTCTAAAGTTCTCGTTGAGTGATAGGAATGGATCGGCGACTAGATGGTGTCTGAGTAATCCCTTGAGACATGAGAAGATGGATTTGTGTACTTTGGGATCGGATGTGTATTCATCGACAGACAGACTCTTGTTGGAGTGATAGGTTCCGTGGAGAACGGGTGGCAACTGCTTGGGATCACCACAAACAACTACTCTAGGTGCCTTGTTGATTGCCAGCGCAGCAATAGGTGTTTGGAGTTGTGATGCTTCATCAATGATCAAAAAGTCAATTGGATTCTTGTAAGTATTGACACCCCAACACGTTGCTCCAACCACGATAAATCTCGGACACGTTTTCTTGTCCAATTGCTTGTGTTCTAGAATTCCTTGTTCGACGAGTTCCTTGGCAAGTGGTTTGTTTTCCTTTTTGTAAATGTGGAATGGCAATGCACTACCAGCATACCCTTCATACTCTTTCTTTAATTGAGCAATACGAATCAGAGCATTATCAATGGCAGTGTGGGTCAATGCAGAGATGACAATGGTATAGGTATCGTGACTCTTCATTCTAAAAATGGTTTCGAAAAACATGAGTACCAGTAATGCCAAAAAGTGGGTCTTGCCCGTTCCAGGTGGTCCTCTCACCAATTGAAGTCTTCTCTGCACCACACTAATAGCAATCTCTCTTTGTGATTTTGTCAGTGTCAATCTTTGGTCTGGATGATTACTACTCGTTTGATTAAATGCTTCTATAGTGTTGGTAAAGGCCAAGCTGAATTTCTTATAATCTTCCTCCTCCCTTATCCATTCCAATGGTTTATCAAATAACCCAAGTAATGTTGATTCTTCTGTTCCTTGACTATCAATACTATCATATCCTTGTACCAACCATTTATATTGTGAAAAGAAATGATTATCAAATCTTTCAAATAATATAAATTCATTACTACAAAAATAGAAAAAAAAAAAAGGATTAGTAAGAATGATTTTTGTTTTGTTTATTCTTTATATATTTACCTATTACAATCATTAAATAAATTTGAATTTTTTGAAGGTTTGATAGAAATCTTTGCATTGAATAAATATTGAGTTGGATAAGCTTCAACTTGATCAATTTCAAAATCAGATATATCACACATTCCACGAACTCCATATTGTGATTGATAACTAATATCGTTAAAACTGGATAGGAAATTGAGTCCATCTTGTGTGTTTGGTGTTAAACAAAAGTGTGAAAATGCGTCTGCTAGCTTTTGTTGGAAATATGAATAATATTGTGGAATGATATCTGCTTGGAATCTATAAAAACCATCTTTGTTTGGTTGGTTGGATAGTTTTCGTAAGATTAAATATTTTCCATCATAAATATTAAGACTCAATGGATTTGATCTTGCAGATTTAATTTCTCTATATGATTCCATTGATTCAAATTGATGACAATATAATAATTTGTTTACCAATATATTATTATAATTTAAAAATTTTCTAAAATTAAACTAAAAATATAAAATAATGATATTAATATATTATATATAAAATATATATATATGTACTATTATTAATATTGTTTTTTTACCTTTTGAGATTTTTGTTTATAAATATCAGTAAATAAGATAGAACGAAGATGGGCCATTAAATTGAATAATTGTTCAGTTCTTTCATTAAAAACAACATTTTCTTCTTTGTCTTTGTGATCCTTTTTAATATAGTTATTAAAAATGTAATCCGAGTTTAGAGATGATGGGATAGTGTCGAGGGAAAGAACTTTTTTTGAAATCTCACCAATTGAAAAGGGAGGTGATACCTTGATTGCCAATGATTTCAATATTTGATCTTTGACGAGAATGAATGGGAAGTTGGAAGGGCCACTTCCTTGGGATTGACCACCAACATTGTATGAAAATGGTTCTTGAGGGTAGACACCACCGATATTGAAATTAATCCAATTTGAATTATCCATCAATACTCCCATCACATGTACCAAATTACTTTGCATTTCCTTATCATCAATATCATATGATCTCTTTAACAATTCATAACATGATTTTAAGAAATAACTTTTTTCAAATGCATCCCAAGTAAATACTTGTAATGTTGATTTTGTATTAATTGCCTAAATAAATAAATAAAATAAAATTATTAATATATTTATCTTTTGTTTTTTGTTTTGTTTTGCTTTTTAACATACATCAGAAAAGATTGAATTTAATTTTAAGATTAAACTATAAAAATTTTCACCATTATAAAAGATAGTATTGTGAGATAGAGATTGATAATCAATGTTGAGTGGATCTTTTGGTGTTTTAGAGATTGAGTTTTCAACCTTTAAAATAGTCCATTTGTAAAATGTTTGTTTGAGGGGATGTGATACCAAAGATAAATAGATTGATATATCTTCATAAGAAGGTAGCATTACATCAACATAACCAGTTGGTACGACAGTATTTGATAGCACCGTTTGTAGTTTTGGTTTTAATCTAAGTAGTTGTACTTTGAGTTGTGGATCATCTACATCTTCAACTTTTATACTATTTAATTTTTCAATTTCATTCATTTTAATGGGTGCTGATTTGGTTGGAGTTGTTGATTGATCTTGTTTTTGTTGATGATATTCCAATAAACTTGTAATTGTATCAATTTGAACATTTGCAATGGCATTATGATTTAGTTCTGAATTGGCTTGTGCAGTACATTGTTCAAGGTATTCACAACCTTCACATGTTTCGGTTAGTCTCCAAACACTTTCTTCACGTGGTGTCGAAATGATCTTTACCATTTGTGATTGAGAGTTGGTTTTATCACCGTAGAGGAAACGTTTCAACAATCGTACAGGCTCCAATATATTAAAGTCCATTGGAGTGGTGAGTCCCTTTAAAAAGATGGCACCAAAGTCATCCAATTCAAGGTCGGTAATATTCTCGCTTTCAATAATTCCTTGCAACCAGATATAGTAGTAGGCCAACTGTACTTTTTGTGCAAAGTGAATACTGGCCGTTGATTTTGCATCGAGAATCTTGAGTTTTCTCTTTCCTCCTCCAATACTTCTACCAATGCGAAGGAAATCTGGAATAGACTGTGTAAATTTGACATGGTCTGGAATGTTTTGACGGAAACTAATTGGTGCAATCAAAGTAGCTTGTACAATATAACTATTCTCCTTTTCTTCTTTTAATAATTTTACTACTTGATCAAATGGAATGGTTTGAGCACCTTTGACTGGTTGATGGATTTTATGTTTCTCTTGAATTAAAATTTCCAATACCTTATCTTCCCATGCAAAACCATCTTGTATAATTGCATTTGAAATGGTTTCATTATCAGAAGAAGTAGAAGTAGAAGTAGAGGATGATGATGATGATGATGGTGTTGAAGAGGTAGAGGAAGATGATTTCTTTTTAGTTGACCAATTAAAATATCTTTCACAATCAAGATGGAAATATCTACCAATACCAGATGCTTTGATTGTAGAATCTTCATATTCAATTTTAATTGGTTCTTTTTTAGTTGGAGTTGAAATCAATGTTGTAGCAGTTGTAGGAGTTGTAGAGGTAGTAGAAGTTGTAGAGGTTGTAGTAGAAGTAGGAGAGGAAGGTACGATCGTGGCAGGGATAATGATATTATCTTTAACTGGTGACAAAGGAATATTATCATCACCTTCTCTATAGAATTGGTATGCAATAGTTCTCATATTACTATGATAGGAATTAGAGTTGCCAGACAATAGTTTACTATTTGGTGCTACCACTGATGCAGGTGATCTTGGTGGTCCACTTGAAAAGGGTGTACTTGGTGGAGTAGTAATCGATGACGGTGGTGAAAGTGTGAGGCCAATACTCTTGAAACTTTCAATAAGATTGACAACGGAACCATCTCTTGTCGGTGTAGTCATAACATTATTATTATTATTACTACTATTGTTAGATGTTGGAGTTGATGTAGTTGAAGATGATGGGCTCTCCAATAAAACATAATCAGAGATTCTCTTGTTATTGACAAACATGATCTTGTTGCCATCGACAATAGTACTAGAGTCCAACGCTAAAAAGTTACGGATAAAGGTTGTAGATGCATGTTCAGTGATGACTAGACCATCCTTTTGTGCACCACTGAAGCAATAATGACCTTTACTCTTTGTAATAGTGCCTGTGTATGTTACATCACTCCATGTAAAAGACCAGGTAGCTTCAGTATCAACTAATCCATCCTCGATCAATGTATTCAATGATCTATTTCTTCTTGGTTTACTCATAGTAGTTGATGAGTATTTGCTTTTACTTTTATTTTTAGGTATAACTATATGTAGATGAATAGAGATATAAAAACAAATAAAGAAATAAGAACTAATAGTTTGACAAAGATGTGAAGAGTAAGAATAGGCGGATGAAAAAGAAGAGTGCTGGTCTACCATTAAACTTTTTCCAAGTATGAATTTTTATTATTAAATAAATGAGAACATATTTTATTTATTTATTAATCTACTTTTTAAAAGTTATGTAGATCATCAGAGTTATAAAGATATTCATATTAATTTAAATATTATACACCTCATCGCCATAATTTAAATATCATTGCCACTTTGAAGTTGTTCTCAGGTGAAAAATATAGATAGACTTGTTGTTGATTCATGGTCAAAACCATCGATTCTTACAAACAAGATCATCAAGAGGTTTCATAGGTGGTCAAGTTTTTTTCTACCAAACTCTTAGGTGTTGGCTTTTTGATCGATCATTTTTTTGTATTGTTAGACAATAATCAAACACTTTAAAAGATATACAACCAACATTTGTATTTACTTATCTATTTCAAAATGGGACCCAAAAAGAAATCAAAAAAAGTTATTAAAAAGGTGACTTCAACTACAACAACAGATGATCGAGATTTAAATCATCGAGAAGCATTACCAGTATTGATTCAAAACAAGATTATAGATTTATTGGTGAACGAAAGATCAGAGGTTTTTGAAAAGACATACATTACATTTACAGATGAATTGTATCAACTCGCCAAAGTCAACAAAAGATGGTTTGCATTAATCTCTTCAAGAATCGATCAAGTCAGTGTCAGGGAGCTCACCAATAAGCCATTCAAACCTTCTGGTAGAAAGGTTCATCCATTGATCAAGTTACTCAAAGTTCAACAAAGCGACAAGTACTCAATCATCAGACGTCTCAAATCACTTCTACTAGACATTAAACCAGCCACCACTCAAGAAGAAGCAAATTGCATCAATGAAATGTTTAGAAAGATTGCATTGCAAGAAAAGTTTCCCTTTACATCATCATTGGAACACATCTACTTTCCAACCGGCTGGTGGGACGAATACGATATTGCAGAGGATTTCGAACGCTTTTTCACCGAGGATTACATGAGGAAGTATTCTCGCGGGAGTAAAACGACTGGATTGGGTTTCAAAATGACCAAAATCTTTGCAAACCTTTCCTCAATAACATTGACATTGGACTATGAAACACGAGATGGTTATACGATGCTTGCAATGATTGAAACGATCAAGCAACATATGACACAAGTAAAGAATTTGTCGTGGAGTATTGAGACTGGATCGGATGGTGAAGGATCTGAATATGACAGCTTTGAACCTCTTTGGGATCACTCAACAACCAACTTTAACCTCGAACAACTTTCAATCGATTGTTATGGAATGCAAATGAAACATTTATATAATGTATTTAGAAAAGAATCCAAGTTGATATTTTTCAAAGCTGGTGCTTATCGTGGTAGGGCACAATTGGAAAGTAATGCTGATGATTTGGATATGGCAGTTGAATCAATTAAAACCAATAGTACATTGACAAGTTTGAAATTGGGAAAACTTTATTTAACAAACGATGAAAAGATTAGAATTCAAAAGGCATTGGCATTCAACCAAACCATTACCAATTTATCAATTTGTCAATATCTATTTGGTGTATCACCATCCTCCCCCTCTATTTCAACTGATATTCTAAGTCAATCATTAATTGAATTTAAATATATTGAATTAACAGGTATGTATATAAAAACACCTAGATAAATAACTAAAGAAATTAATTTCTTTTTTTTTTAGATGATTTAAATGTTATCAATTCAATAATAAAGATTATTGAAACAAATAGTCATCCAAATCTTAAATCAATTGGTATCAAAATGGATAAAACAAATGGAGATAAACAACTTGAAGATAGATTTACCAAAGCACTCAAGGCAAATACAACTCTTGATACTTTTAAATTCAAATATCTATATAGCTTTAGAAGACGACCATCAATTGAATTAAGATTACAAGATGTATCCTCCAATAATATTGATGAAAGAATTAACAACTTTTGGAATAGAATCAATAATGGAAGAAGAAAGTGAGTATACTCGTCATTCTGGAAGAAGAACAAGAACATAGTAGATAGCAACGTCAATAAAATGAAGATTTGTACTATTAATAAATAGTATCCAAAATATTTTGTTTATAATTGCAGAAAATGGAATTTAAAGTTACATCGCAGATATATTTGATTCATTCTTTCATAAATAATAGAATATTAGATTCTTTTATATTTTTTTTTGCTTCTCAAAATTAAACTTTATTAATATGATCAAGTTTATAATTTTGTCTTTGGTAACATTATTCTTCTTCTTGTTATTAATATTATTATTATTATTTTTCTTTTTAATTACTTTTTAGCAGTAGGGTGAACCTCTCTCGCAAAACCCTCAAATAAAATAAATATTAAAATCTCTCTCTCTCTCGTTTGATAATTAATGATTCATTCTAGAAGAATAGATTCATAGATAGATAGAGGAGGGAGGATGAGCGACAGTGAATTGAATGATCAAATCATATCATCGATTATAGCAGCATCAGCGTCAACTAAATCATCTTCATCATCGTCAGTGTTACACAACAGCAACAGCAATGTATATGTTCAATCGGATTGCGAGTGTAGCCATGGAGGATACATTGACAAATTGTTAAAGTTGCAACTAGAGACACTCGAGTTTATCGAGTTACCTTCACCTACCAATATATACAGTTTTAGTTATCTCGATGCTCATCAACACTCTGTACTGTCTCCGTCACTTACCAACAGCAACAAGATGTCATCACAACTGATGACAACAACTGTGCCATCACAACTATTGGTTGCAAGTCGTTCGAATCTATTATCAATACACTCTGAAGAGAATCTGCGAAATGGTAGTTTAAATTGGGTGACAAATGAAGTCATCTCTCCACTACACTTTTCACCAAAGCTTAATCCTTTAACCAATAATAATACATCAACGACTAATCTATTGAATTCACCTGGTGGTGGTGGAAACAATACAAATGTCAATAATGTTAGTCCGAATTCAAACAAACCATTATCTCCTCCTCCTATTTCAACAACCTCTTCTACTTCGGCAGCATCAGGATATGTACCATTACAATCACAACCATCACAACAACAAATACAACAACATCTTTCAAGATTACCTCTATCACATAAACACAAGATGCCACCTTTATCATCTATGAAGTCACCATCAGCTCCTAATATTAGTTTACCTGGTAGTGGTGGAGGTGGTGGAGGTGGTGGGACAGCTCAACAAACCAGCGGTCCACAATCATCTGTATCTACCCAAAACCTACTTTCTGTACATGGACCAGGTGCATCATCATCGTCATCTGTCAGTGCAGTATCACCTCTTACTCTATCATCAAATTCTTCTCAACAACAGCAACAACAACAACAACAACAACGTCAACAAGAACAACAACAACAACAACAACAACAATTACAGCAACAACAACAACAACAACAACAACAGATACAACAACAAACACAACAAAAAGAAGATACTATCATATCAGTTGATTCGATTGTTTGTGAAGGTGGAAGATCAGTTCTTGCTATTGCAATCATCTCTGGAGTATTGACTACTCACCGAGCTTGTTTATCATTTTTAACATATGATGATATTATTACACCTCATCAACCATTACAACCACAACCGTCCTCCTCATCTTCATCATCACAACAAACAACGCCACAGAAATCACCTACCAGTCAAACACCCAACCAATCATCACCTCTTTTACAATCATCCAACATTGTCACCAACAACTTGGTCAAAACACAAAATATTTATTTAGATTTTGTACCTTACCAATTAATTCATACTACTTGTAATATTGTTAGTGGCCAAAACAACAAGAATCAACAAGTATTTTTATTATCTGGTAGTGATGAAAAGATTCATTTATATCATGTATGTATCTCACATCAAAATATATATATATATATATATATATATATGTGTGTATTAATTCTAAATTAATTTGTTAGTTAAATGAACATAATGAATATATAGAAGGAGATTTATCAAAATATTTCCCAGAGATGGTTAATTTACCATCATTAGCACTAAAGATTGAAATTGTATATTATTTAAATTATCGACTCGTTGCTATTGGATTTCAATCTGGTTATTTACAATTAACAATTACAAATTGTTTGTATCTTTGTCAATTGACAAAAAAAAAAGAGAATCTTATATTTATTTATTGTTATTTTTTACTTTTAGTGGACAATAATAATGTAACAACGGATTCATATTATTTTGATGGACCAGTTCAAGCAATTTCTATATTTAGTGATAAGAATGATATTCATTTTGATAAATATCAACAACAACAATCAACAACGCCACCAATTATATCATCTCAATCCACCAGCAACGGAAGCAAATTAAAAATGAAATCAACAATTGATTCATCCTATTTAAATGATTTAATTTTAAAAATGAAAGAAGAAAAAGAAAAAGAAAAAGATAATCAAGAAACCAATTATACAAGAGATCAAAACGAACAAGAAGAAGAAGAAGAAGTGCCAAAATTAAATTTATTGGCTGCAAGTGTAATTGGATATGCTATGATATTTAGGTATGTTGAAACAAACAATCAAACACATATAGATTATTAATTACTTTTATTTTTTTAAAGAAATATATTAAATAATCAATTAAAGGAACCAGCTTTATTAGATCATTCAGATTCATTTGACAGTTTAACATGTGTTGAAGTATTTGATATAGATGGAGATGGAGAGAATGAATTGATTATTGGAAGTTATTCAAGAGAGTTGTTGGTCTATAAATACCAGGGTATAGTTGACAAGTATACATTATATGCACATAAACATTTTTCATATCCTATCCTCGGACTCTTAAAATGTAAACTTTTAAATGATTCTTTATATCAATTCATTGTTATTTCAATGTTTGGTATTTATATTATGAGAGTAAGTCATCATCATCATCATCATAAAACATCTAAACTTAAATAATATACTTACTTTTCCTGTATCATATTATTAGTCACCAATCAAACATTTAGAAGATGAAATGAAAGAGAAATTAAAATATTTAAAGGAAATTTTGGAAAATTAAAATAACTCTAAAAGGAATAAATCCATGTTTTATAAATCAAGATTAACCAGATATTGATTGGGCAATATAATCTTAAAAGTGTCCAGATTTAATCACCCACATATTATGTTATTTTTTTCACAAGATGATTGAATGAACAACAACTTTTGTTTTTGTCTCCTTGCCAAAGTTTGTTAACTTTTTTTTTTTGCCCTCTAAAAATGGACAATAACAATAACAACAATAGTAGTAATAGTAATAATAATAGAATAATAATAGAATGTGTACCAAACTTTTCAGAAGGAAGAGATCAAAAGATAATTGATTCAATTGCTAAATCAATATCATCGATTCAAGGATGTCAACTGTTAAATGTTGATCCTGGTGTATCTGCAAATCGAACTGTGTATACATTTGTTGGTACACCCGATCAAGTGGTTGATGCAGCTGTAGCTGCTGCTCGTACTGCTTATAATCTCATAGACATGGCAAAGCATGTTGGGGAACATCCTCGAATCGGATCATTGGATGTGTGTCCCTTTATACCAGTTCGCAATGCAACCATTCAAGATTGTATCGATTGTTCAATTAGATTTAGCGAGAGGGTTGCAACCGAACTCAACGTACCATTGTACCTCTATGAATTCTCATCGACCAAGGGGCCACACAGAAAACAACTACGCCAAATACGATCGGGACAGTATGAAGGATTGGCTGAAAAGATCGTATCAGAGGGTTGGGAACCAGACTATGGACCACGAGAGTTTGTACCGAGGTATGGAGCAACAGTTACTGGTGCAAGAAACTTCCTGATTGCTTATAATATCAATGTCAGTGGAACTAAAGAGCAAGCACAGGAAATAGCTCAGCGAGTTAGATCGTCGGGTCGATGTGAAGGCGAGCCACCGGGCACTCTAAAAATGGTCAAGGCGATTGGATGGTGGATGAACGAATACGACTCGGCACAAGTATCGTTGAATCTAGACGATCACAACGTGACACCTATCCATGTAGTCTATGAAGAGGTCAAGAGACAGGCAGAGTCGATGGGTCTAAAAGCAGGCGGATCAGAGATAATAGGCATGATACCACTAGATGCAATGTTGGCAGCTGCTCAATTTTACATTGAACGTGACAATCTATTTATACTAGACGAACCATCAAAGATTGCATTGGTAATCGATCGTCTTGGATTAAATGCATGCAACAGAATATTTGACCCTGAAAAATGTATAGTAGATTATATGATTAGAAAGAATGACCCGTCATTTGAAAGAATGCCAATACACCAATTTATAGATATGATAGCCTCGAAAAATACAAACCCTGGTGGTGGAAGTGCATCTGCATTGATTGCATCGGTTGGTATTGCTTTGGGATCGATGGTTGGTTGGATGACCTATGGACGAAAGAACTCTTCGACACATCTTGACGACAAGATGAAATCACTGATTCAATCACTCGATCAAATAATGAGACAATTGACACCATACATTGACGAAGACCCAAAAGCATACAACAACTATATCAATCAAGTCAAACAAAACCCAAATCAAATCAATCGACAGGTATTAAATGAAACAGTATTGGTACCTCTAAGAATGATGAGATTAGGTAATCAATGTTGGCCATTGATGGTAGAGATTGCCAATCATGGAAACTTTGCATCTCTACCAGAATGTCAAGTTGGTGCCAAGTCACTTCACTTGGGTATTTGGGGTGCAAGTAGAAATATTTTTGTAAATGTCAACCAAATCAAAGACGACGAATCATTTACCAAACCAATCCTAGATGAAGTAAATGAAATTTTAATATCAAGTAAACAATCTCGTAAATTGGTCCTTGGAATATTAAATCAAAGAATTGAACAAGAACAAGGAAATTAAATAAAAATTAAATAATAATTAGTTTTTAAAATTATTATTTATTATTTATTAAAAGTTTAGTGTTTTTTATATATATATATTTAAATATTTAAAGTATTCTTAATCTTTAGATCTTTAGTAATACGGAAATATTCTTCTACATTGGTTCTCTTTAAATAATCAATCATTGATTTTCTCTGTGATTGTAACAACATGATTCTACGTTTGGCTAGATTATCCTTGTTATTTCTTGCAACATGTGTCTCTAAATAATTAATTTTTTCTGTGAATATAGCAACTAAACATAAAGATAAAGATATTGTTGTTGTTAGATTAGATTTGTTCTTCTATTTCTTTTTTTTTTCTATTTTTTCTTACTTTGAACACTTGAAGAACCAGTATCAGCATGATCATTGCCATACTTTTGAACACAAAGTTTCTTTCTATGTTGATTGATTTCACCTTGAGTAGCGTGTTTAAAGGTGAGGAATTCTTTTAATTTTGGATGAAGGATTTCAGCCTCCTCTTTGGTGACACCGAAACGGTATTGACCACGTAAATCCTCTGGAAGGGTGACCTCGTTGGTAGAAGAGGAGCTTTCAGTGATCAATTGTTCTGGAGCAACAGCTGGATACATCTTGGCGTACCATGATGGGAAGTTGTACCAAACACCCAACTCTGTAAAGAAACCGAGTGGAGTGTGAGAGTAATCGATCCAGTTTCTGATTTTCTTGGGGTAGAGACGATAGTATTTCAAAAAGTCACGTGGGTCCTTGGCTTGTTGTTGCTTTTCGGGTGGTTGGAGGAGATCCAACTCGGGGATGAGAGAGGTGACGGCCATCTCTTCGTCGTCGGAACGTGCCTTGTTGTCGGCGAGCATGAATGGACGGTCGGAAGCTTCCTCTTCGTCGAGGGCGTCTTGAGCGAGACGGAGACGGGCTTCTTGGGCAACTTCGAGACGACGTTGTGACTCGGCCTCTGACAAGGACGATGAGGTGACTGGGAAGAGTTGGGTAGAGGCATTCTCAAAGAGACGATCGAGGTAGTGCATCAAAGTGTCGTTCTTGATCATCGAGAGGATTTCACCTTGGAGTTGGTCGTGTCTGGTGCTACGTGCCAAGACAGTATCGTCTTCTTGGTAGTCCTCGGATTGAGCCAAGTAGTCTACGTCGTCACCAGTCGTCTTTTCAGTATCGACTTGGAAACGTTCGCTCATTGCCTTGCCAAAAGTACTCGAATCCGAGTTATTGTAGACGTCGACCAAATCAACGATATCCATCACAAGACGTAGTTGACGTGAGTAACGAACGTATGGGTGTGCGTCAATATAGTCGCTGTAGATTTCACGGTCACTGCCTTGGAGCAAACTAGTGTCCTTGCCTTGACAACGTTCGACCAAACGTTCGATGGGTTCACCAGCACGTTTGGTAAACTCTTGGTTGACACGATCCAATGTCTTTGCCATCACCTCTTCACTGTCCATACCAAACGATGTCTTGATATCGGCAACCAAAATATTCAAATACTTTCTTCCTTCCTCTGTACGCATCAAAGTCTCTAATTGTTTGGCAGCCTTTGGCATGTTGTCAATGTCATACGATTCGACACCATCTGCAGCCTTTTTAAGTGCATCCTTGTCAAATGATACACCAAATTGCTTTGATAAGAATGCAAAATCTACTGGTTTATCATATTGAAATAAAGAATTCTCTTCTTGTTGATCTATATCTTTTTTTGTTGATGTTGAATAAAATGATTTCATTCCTACAAAAAAGAATAAAAGTAGAATATTAATATCATACTATAGTACAGTACTCTGTCTCTTTTATCTATCTCTCTCTCTTTTACCATTATATCCAAATGATGATGATATCAAACGAGATGATGATGATCTATATAAAGCAGCTCTGCCAAGGTTTGAAAATGTTTGTTTAAGCATCATCTTGAACTCTTTCTCTCTAATTCCTTTTTCCTCTTTCTCTCTATGTGATATATGAAAATAAGAATTGGATGATGATAGATAGATAGATGATTAAAGATCTAGTTTAATCAACTTTAAGAGAGTAGTCTATCAAGGAGTAAAGTGCAATGACAAAACGAAGAATTCATCTGATCGCACTCTCTTCCTTTTGCGCAGACTCACTTAATTTTTTTTTTTTTTTTTTTGACTTTTTTTTTTTTTTTTTGTGATGACAAAGATGGGACTTTTTTGAAGGCAAGACCAAGGCTATCAACTTCACCATCATACATACACCCTTTCATTCAATTCTTTTGTTTGTTGTATATTGTTGTTATTTGAGAGAGTAAAGAAGAATTCAATCAAAACAATAGTAGTTTTAAAATGTGTAAGTTAAAGAGAAAGAGAGAGAGACAGAGAGAGCATTCTTTTCTCTAAAAAAACAAGATAGATTAATTTATTAATATCAAACCATCTATCTCATCTATTTATATTCTTATTATTCTTTTAGCAATCAAAATATATTTATGTTTGACAATATTGATAACATTATTATCAATTAATAATGCAGCACCAATATCATTGACATCGTTATCGACTACATTTGGCGCATCGGATCAACAACAATTGGTCAAGTTTGTGAATGCACAACAACAACAGAATGGATTGTTTAATGGATTGTTGCGTGACACATTCTATGCAGTTGGAGCACTCTCTCGTTTGGGTTTGAAGCCCGAACGTCAAGATGCTGTCTGTCAGGCCGTCAGAGGTGCCATTGCCAAGGACACCGACATCACATCACTCTACTATGCCGTCTCTACATTGTCTGACCTCAAGTGTTTGTCAGGCAACAACAAGTTGGTTCAAGACAATGAATTGACTAGTTTGGTCGCCCGTTCAATCGAGTCTGGTTCACTTGATGAATTGGCCGCTGCCGTCAACGTCCTCTTTGCCTTGGCCGATGCCAAGCAAGTTGAGAGTGACCCTGCCCAACTCGCTCAAATTGCCAAGGCTATCCTCGCACTCGAAGAGACTGACGGCACATTTAGATCGCGTCTCTCTGACGACAAGCGTACTGGCACCCTTGCCAATACCGCCACCGCCCACTTTGTCCTTGCCCGTCTTGCCCATCGTCTCAAGGACGCCAAGATCGCATCTGAACGTCCCGTAAAGAATATCCTCTCCATGTCGAGCGAGAGTACCCGTGAGACACTCGGATTTGAAGACCTCCAAACCACCGCCACCCTCCTCCGCGGTCTCGTCTCCTTGTCGAGTGCCAACGGTGGCCAAGGCTCCACTATCGAGGCATCAACCATTGTCCGTGTCGCACACTACCTCTTGCACTTTAAGAACGTCAACTCGTTGGCCGACGCCTACTACCTCTTGATCGGTCTCAAATCCGTTCAAAAGAACAATATCGGACAACCCATCGCCGTCGAACTCGAGCAATCAGTCTTCCCAACCGCTCCAGTCTCCTCACTTGTCGTCTCTGTACGCGACATCTTTGGCACTGCCGTCGAGTCTACTGCCACCCTCTCCAACCTTGCTCTCTCCTCTGCCCGTCAAACCTCACTCCTCTCGGCCAAGGAAATGACCGCCACCTCGCGTCCAGGTCAATACAAGCTCGATGTTGACAAGCTCAAGATTGGCTCGTACATTGTCGACATCAAGGTTGCACCAAAGGACACCAACTACAACACTGTCTCTGCCAACCTCTTGATCACCGTCACTGGCTCCATCTCGGTCGATGACTTTAAGCTCTCTGTTGCCGACAACAAGGACGCTTTGGCCGGTAGCAAGTTGACCTATGAAGTTGCCTATGGAAAGAAACTCTCCCAAGTCGTCAACGTTCCACAAAACAAGGTCGCCCGTGTTTTCTTCCGTGTCACCTCTTCCTCTGAATCTTTTGCCGCTCAACAAGTTGGTGTTAGATTCTTTTCACCATCTGTCGATGTTGTCATCCCAGCTACTTATTCAGTTGATGCTTATTCAGTTATTGTTGTAAGTAAAATTAAAAATAGAAGAGTAGATAGATAGATAGAGAGATATTAATATTTTATATTGTTTTATATTTGTGTTTAGACAAAGGAAATTGGTAAATCATTAAAATATCAAACTGGAAACTATCAAATTGAGATTATTATTGGAGATTCATCTATTACACCACTTGTTTGGAACGCTGGTGAGATTTCATTCAACTTTAGTCAAGCTGCTCAACCATTGTCACGTTATCCAGAACACCAACCAATTGAATACACTTTCCGTGCCGATCCAGCTGCTCCAAAGCAAGTGATTACTCAAGTCTTTTCATTGTTGGTCATTGCTCCAACTGCCATCTTTGTCGTCGGTTGTTTGTTCATTGGCATCAACTTTGGAAAGATGCCAGGTGGTATGGGATTCATCTACACTGTCGCTTTTGTTGGTTGCATGGTTGCCTGCACTGGCTTGATTGTCAAGTACTGGTTATCCCTCACCTTGGACGTTACCCTTCGTTACTTGGCTGTACTTTTAATCCCAACCATCTTCTTTGGTCAAAAGTCTTTATCTGCTTTTGCTACCGATCGTTTATTATCAACAAAGAAAAATAATTAATCAACTAATCAATTAATTAAAGATAGATAGAAATGCCAAATAAATAAAAACACTATACAAATCTAAAAAAAAAAAAAAAAGAAAAAGTAATACCAATAATCAATTTTGTTTGAACAGTCACCACCACACCTCCCAAAGACAAAACATAATAATATTTGTTTTTATTAATTTAATTTTCTTTTTCATGTTTTCTCTCTTTTTGTCGACTTGCCGTTTTAGGTAAACAAACTTTTACTTTTATCTTTTTTTTTAATTAATATCACATTCACATTTTATATATAACAATTAACACTTAATTGATATATAAATATATACATAGACAAACAACAAACAAACATTATATATATAGCAGAGAAGGATGGAACAAAACATTCCACAATATAAAATATTATTAATCGGTGATAGTGATGTCGGCAAGGTAAGAAGAGAACAACATAGTATAGTCATATATTTATATTAACTCTTTATAATACAATACAAAATTTACATACAATAGACATCAATTGTAAAAAGATTCTCTGATGATATATTTGATGAAGATTTATTATGTACTATAGGTGTAGAGTATAAAGTAAAGACATTAAAGGTAGACGATAAAGAGGTTACTTTTAATATTTGGGATACTGCAGGTCAAGAGAAATTTAGAGCATTAATCAGTTCATATTATCGTGGAGCACATGGAATCATCCTAAGTAACTATCTATCACTATAGTCACAAACGAGAGAACCTCATATGACTCATTTACTTTTTTTTTTTTATTATAGCATATGATGTAACAAAGAGAGAGACATTTAAGAATCTTCAATATTGGTTAAATGAAATTGAAACCTTTTCAACTAGATCAAATGTTGTAAAGTTATTGGTTGGTAACAAGATTGATAAGGAAAATAGAGAGGTTACAAGAGAAGAGGGATTGGAATTTGCACGTAGCAAAGCAATGTTGTTTATCGAGTGTAGCGCAAAGACTAAAGTTGGCATTCAACAAGCTTTTGAGGAACTTGCTCACAAAATTCTCGAAACACCAGATGAAGAACCTCAAAAGAAAAAGAAATCTACAAACCTCGTTCAACCTGATGAACAAGATCAAAATATGGATTCTTATTGTAGATGTTAAGATAATAATAATACTACTACTACTACTACTATAGATAGTAACAACAATATAATATAACGAGGAGTTTATTTTCAACATTTATCATTCCATTTTTACAACAACGAGTATATATAACCTTGGTTTTATATATAAAGAGAAAATTAATACAATCAACAATACGAAACGAATCCATCAATCCACCAATCCATCAATCCATCAATTCACCAATCACAATTCACAAAAACATCTGTTGGCATAACAAGCCGCCACCCACAACAAACAAACAAACAAAACCTTTATATCCAGCAGCAACAACAACAAGCAGCAAAGTAAACTGCAAATACTAATAATTGTATATTTTTTCATCACCTTCAATCCCCTTTAAACAAATTTTATAAATAATAATAAGAATAAAAAAATGGATGGAAATACTCTTTTATTTTTGTTTCCTCTTTTTCTTTATCTCGTCAAGTCGACAAAATTTTGTCAAGAATACATTTATTTTAGTTTTAGTTTTATAGTAATAATAATAATGATAATAATGATAACAAGGATACTTTGGAGATAGTTGAGGCAGAACCAGTTATTCTCCATTGAATACATTCATCAGTATAGATATTACAATTAGAGTTACCAAACTTGTTCAACTGACATGCTTCAATCATATTGCAATGTTTCTCTGCACAGTATGCCATGAGACAGGATGATGGTGCAGGGTTGACAGTCTTACATTCATGGGAGTACAGACATACTCGCAGGGCATAGATGGCTTGTTGACAGATATTGTGTTGTTGTCCACCACGGTAAGGATTAATGTAACATGTTCCAGTGCTGTTTGCAGTGCCAAGCAATTGGTCACAATAACAGGTCTCTGTCGATTTGCAAGACACTGCAGCACCTGTACAGTCACCTACGGTCTGTTCAGGAGCTCTCACACACTTGAATGTCGTCTCGTCACAGATTAGGTTGTCTTGCATCTTGCATGTAGAGTAGGTGTCAATGTGTGTACAATTCTCTCCAATGCCACCACTAAAGATTTTAGTGCACTTCTTTTCATTGTTGCTATCGGCTACACATTGGGTGTACTTTTTACAGACACCGTCACGATTGCAAACATGTCCTTCATCCTTTTGAACTTGACAGTTACCGTGTGAACTGTCAGGTGCAATGTTACAATAACGATGATAGTCACATTCATAGTCTTGTGTACATCTGTCAACTCTCCATTTACAAAATAGATTGTAACAGTGCAGACCGTCAAGACATTGACTATCATCCAAACAATGATCATTGTATGCACCATATTGATATTCTTGGCATGTATAATCTCCAGCATTATTACCACCACCACTACGACAAGTCAAATATTGGAAACATGGAGTTCCAGTTGGATCAGTCGAACACTTTTCATATCTCATTGCTGCTTGTAAACAAACATTTTGTTGGGAACAATATAATCCTCTATTACATGTTAATGCTTTTGTATCATTTGTCCTAAAGAAAGAAAGAAATAATTTTTTTTTTTGTTAGATTGATTTTAAAATTAATAACACTCTAGATAATTACTGTCTATAATAATGATCGGCTGTACAAGAATCACCAAGTCCAGAACAAGTCTTTTCAGCTGTACATTGACCAGCAGCATTTACAACTTCAATATTGTAAATGAGATAGGCAATCACCAAAATAATATAAATAGTTGAAGGAGAACTAAAATATTTTATTCCTCCGCTATTACTTTTTCTATTATTACTATTATTATTTTGTTGTTGTTGTCGGAAACATCTACTACCAAAATTATTATTATTACTATTATATTTTAGGTTTTCATTTTTACTATTAATAATTCCACCATTTATAAATATCCTTGATAAATTAACCATTCTTGACATTAATTTAAATTGATTTCTAAAATCTTTTTAGAATTATAAATCTTTCTCTCTCTCTATATATATATATTAGTCAATATATTTACAAAAAAAAAGTAGATAACAGATACCAATCCTAGCCATAGATAGATAAAAGGCAACATCAAGGAAAACCAAACTACAAGTAAAATTTCCATATATACCACACGCAACCACTTTCGTTGACATTAATTATTTTTTGATTATTTCTCTCTGTTTTGTAGTCAACACCCCACTCCACTCATTGTAATAAAATCTCTATTTTTATTCAAACACCAAAGTTGTATTATTTTATTTAATTATATTGACGACATTGTGAATTGGAATTGAAACAACAACAACTCGAGTTTTTCTCCTACCAACTCATTGGATAGAAGAATTTAATGGAGGGAAGGTTCAAACCTATTTTGGCGGTTCATCCCCAATCCCGAAAGGTAGGTCCTCATGACGATTGTTGAAGATCATCGACTTTTTTTGAAACGCCAACTTTTTGCCCACCTGCGTGCCACGACATTTGGGTGGTTTCAATTTTTTAAATCACAAGGTAGGGCTCTTCTCATCGAAAGATCTATTCAAAACTCCTAATTGATCTGTCCTCCTCGGAGAAAGATATTTATAACTTCTAGGAGAGAGGATGGAAAGGAGGATCCTCCTAGCGATCAATATTTTTTTTCTTATTCTCTTCATAATTGATGACGGCTTGCTTTGTGATCACAAAGTTAAAAGGTTGTGGCATTATTGACATTGTTGATCAATTATCGAAAATGAATAGAGAGAACCTTAAACATATATTTAAAGATAGATTAGGTTTGGTTATCAATTCCAATTTGGATGATATCAAATTAACAGAGAATGAAAGAAACCAACTATTACCAATCGATGTAAGTATAGATTCAAATATTATTCATTTTGTATTATTATATTTATTTCTTTTTTATTCTTTTTAATCCCCCTACTATAGGGTCAAATGAGCAAATATATTATTTGGAGAAGATGGATGTTATTGATTGCTGTTCTACCTGCCTTTATAGCTCTTGGTACGTATTTGACAATTGAAAATTAATATCAAGAATTATTTTTTTAATATCATTTTGATCATACTTAGCATTACAGATTACAATGTCAGTAGAATCATTCAGATGGAATAGTGTTCAACCAGGGGATAAAAAAGCAAGTAATAGCGGAGGTGGAGGAGGTACCGCTTCCAATATTGTAATGCATGACGATTTATCTCAAATGGATTCTATTGGAATTTTCAAGAATTTTAGTAATATTGAATCTGCCCAGCTTGGTACTACCTTGGAATGTGATGTATGCGAGTTTTGTTATGATTGTCCAGACTGCGAAGGGTGTGAAGGCTTTTGCGAAGAGTGCACCGACTGTTATGATTGCCCAAACTGCCAAGAGTGTATTGTCTGCGATTCTGATTGTGGTGATAACTGTCCCGATCAGTGTTATCAGGAAACATACACCAACGATGAAATCTATGAAGAAAACTTTGGTCTCAACAAGCTAAACCATTTTGACAAGAAACAAAATACCAAAAGATTTGTTTTTGCATGTAATGTAGTAAGTTTGGTCATTTCTGCCCTAACTTGTGTATTTTATGTTCTATCTTTGTATCATTGGAAGGTAAATTATAAAAAGAAAAAAACAAAACAAATATAAATTTTAAATATTAATATTTACCTTTATTTTTTATTAGAGATTCCATCGATCGGCCAAATTATTATTGATATCATGGATTACATCATTTACTTTACCATTTTTAATCAATATTCTACCAATTGCCGCACTGATTTTCCATAATGCTCCACCTTTAAATGATGATGCTGTACCAAGTTTCGAATATATTACTTCGATCATATCGGTAAGATTGCTATTTGCAATTGAATCCTATATGAAATTATCGCCAGCTGTACTTGCCATTCTTCCTGCATTGGCCAAAGGTTGTACTTCGATAAAGACTCTGTTGCCACAGTCCCCAGTTCTTGGTTTCCTCATCAAAGGACTACGTCTTATTAGTGTTCCCATCATGCTTGGCCCAATTATCTTTTTCTACCAAATCGTTTGTGACTTTATAGTATTTGTTGCCATTATTCTCTTTATCGTAGCCAATATGGTATTTATCATCGTACCATTCAAAGGTTTAAATATTACAAAACCCTTTAAAAGTGGTAAAGAAGTTGCAGAACGTTTAAAAACAATAAGTAGAATATGTATGTATTATAATATAAATGAAAGATTAATAACTACCTCATTTAAACTAAATATTAATTAATTAATTCTTCCTTTTTGTAAAGCTATGGCTTTTTATATACTTGCAGGATTATGTTTAATTGGCTATTTTTTGAACTTGGCCTTTACCTTTATTGGTCAAGACAGGTTGGCAAGAATTAAATGGAGTAGTTTAACAAACTTTATACCTTTCCCAAATCCAGTGTCCTTGGCTAAATTTGTATTTGATTTCTTAGTAAAGGTATGTTTGATTGGAAGTTTGAGCTAAAATGTAATTTTAAATAATTAACAATATTATCTATCTACTCTACTCTAGTACTTTATAGCATCAGTTACATTTTGTGATTTAATGTTATGGATTCTTCAAAAGATTCACATCTACACAAGAGATTACCAAGACTTGATGGGTACCTATAATGATGTAATGGAAAACTCATTATATAAAGTAATGCCAAAGACCAAAAAATCATCAACTCGCCAAATGGTTGAAATCAAATAACTCTATTTTATATATATATATATTTATATATGTAATAATATAGATGTAACTTTTCATTATACATGTATCATTGTTTAAACAATAAATAAATACTTTTTGTTTTTTTTTTTTTTTAAAAATATATTTATTTCTATTATTTCTATTTATTTTATTTATTTAAAATGGATTTATTCTTTTTACCAATCTTTCTTCTAGCAATGTTTGGATTAATCTTTCCATAACCAACCTTTACATCATTACCTGGATTGGATCCAAGAATAGTTTCAAAACGTTCGAGGTCACCCGACTCCATAGCCTTTTCCAACTTTCTTTCATGAGCACGTTTACGGTAAAAGAGGCCAGTAGCCTTCATACGATGAATATATTGTTCCTCGGACAAGACAATATCAGAATGTCTTTGTCCACCCTTCATCTTTGGAATGCTATACTTTTTACCACGAAGGTTATATTGTCTACCAGACCCCTTACCAACGGTAACATTACCATTACGATCTATATATTTCATAGCCTTTACCAATGTTTTATTTCCACAATGTGGGCACCACATTCTCTTCATATCAATTGTTGTCCTAAAAAGAAAAAGAAATAGAAACAATTAATATATTGATATTGCCTTCAATTTAGCTATTTTTCCAACTTACTTTAAACAAGAGAAACATTTTAATACGAATTGACTAACTTGTTTGATAGCCATACCATTGACGGTAAAGAGATGGAGACCCATTTGAAGCATAACATTTTGCATTGGGAAATCGGAAGTGATCAAAGCAACTGGAACATGTTTCTTTTCAGTCTTTGAATTCTCATCGGCAGCCAATTTATCACGAATATTGTCTTCGGTGATCCAACCATCTTCACCATCCATATCGATACCCTTTTGCTTATTTCTTCTCTTTTCTTCCTCTTCTTTTAATTTTTGTAACTTTAATTGTTCGAGGATGGCTCTACCATCGACGATTGGTTTATCCTCTGTCAATTCATCCAAATTAACCATTAAACTATTCTTTTTCTTATTCTTTTTGTTTGTTTGTTCTTGGTTGTTGTTGGTATTATTATATAAAGAAGCTGATGATGGTGTTTCAATTGGTTTATCAGTTTGATGTTTATGTTGATGATCATGTCCATCATGTCCATGATCACAACATTCATCAACTTTAACTAATTCTTCGGCAACAGCAGCAACAACAACTGGAGCCTTCTTTTTCTTATTCTTGTTTTTCTTTTTCTTTTTCTTTTTGTCAACACTGTCTCCAGTAGTGGCAGCAGCAGTAGTATTATCTGTTGTGGTGGTTGTTGTTGTTGTTGATGATGTTACATTATTATCTTGTTTCTTTTCTTCTACGACTGGTTTTGGTGGAACGATGATTAATTTCTTCTTTCTATTTGCATTGCTACGAGTATCAGAAATGATGAATACTGGTTCACCATTGTTGTTGTTATCGTCGGTAGTAGTTGTAGTAGTAGTAGTGGTAGTTGATTTCTTGTTGTCACCATCTTGTAACATTTGATCTGGTCTCTTTCCAACACCATGTGCATTGACTTGGAGTGGTAATGGTTCGGTACGGAGTGGGACGGCCTTGTCATATTGACAGTGAAGAGTGTGGGCAAGGGCAAGAACCTTGAGATCGACCGCCGACAACGATGGATAGTCACCAGTCAACTTTGAAAACTCCAAGACAGCCTTGACCGATTGGGGAGTAGGTTCCTTGGTTTTGATTTCGTATGGAAGAGAGGCTAAAAAATCGACTGAACGTTTGTCCTTGACTTCGTCTATAACCTCTTCAATGGTCCACAATACTCTTGCGAGTGAATCGAATCTGGTCGCTTGAATGATAGCGTTGGTATCAATGACTAGATGAGATGCTGTTCTCTTTGCATGTGAAAGTGTCATTGTCTCTTGTTCCTCTTCTTCCTCTCCTTCTTCACCTTCTTCTCCTTCAATATCTTCACCGTCGATCCATTCTCCTTCATCTTGGTCGTTGCCAGCAGCAGTCTTTTTATCAGACTCAATCTTGAGATTCATTGCCATTAATTCAGCAAGGGTTGGACCAGCAGGTCTAGCAGCTGGTGCAGGAGCTGGAGCTGGTGCAAGTTGTCTTCTACTTCCAAATGGGTCGTTGACATTTGATGATAATCTATTCAACTCTTCCATTTGTTCTTCGGTCATCTCTTCATAGTCTTCATCATCTTCCTCATCTCCCGATGTTGATTGATAATCTACATCTTCTTCATCATCTTGAAATGTTGCTTCTCTATTCTCTTTAGTCATATCTCTCTCTTCTCTCTCTCTAATAAAGATATAATTTAAATGTGAATACAATAAGAGAAAGGAACCTTGGCTCATACAAATCAAATTGTCGTTCGTTTGAGAAAAAAAGAGAAAAAAGCCGAACGAGTAATTTTTTACCCACCCAAAACGGGGAAGACAAACAACAAAATGTGTGTGTTTATTTAATATGTTTACTTTTTAAAAGTCCACCAAGTTTCAGCAAAGTAAGGATAATCAAATGATTCTTTATCTTTGTATTCTGGTAGAGCGTCAATGGCAGCATAGACTTCATCCATCATTTGTTTCTTCTTTTCGTCAGAGAATAGAGAAATGTAAGAGATGGAAAAGATTCTATCTCTAAGACTGTCACGGTTGAAATGTGGTAGCATTGGGAATGGTTTCTTGCAGTTTAATGGTAGATTGATGAGTGACTTTGTTTGTTCACTTGGACTAGTAAAGAGATTCAACCACTTGTAAGCACGGAATTGTGGTGTACAGCCATCATAGTACTTTTCGTGAAAGATATCGGTAGTGGCTTTAACCAATGGATATGAGGTATCTGCTTCACACCATACAAAGATTAATGGTGCACCTGGTTTGAGTACACGTACCATCTCTTTGATGGCATCATCATTGGCAAACCAATGGAATGCTTGTGATGCAAATAATGCATCGACAGAGTTATTCGGCCAATGGGATCGATGTAGCTGTACCATCTAATACCTTGAATTGTTTCTTTACTTTAACTTGTTGATCCTCTGTATTATCAATAACCGATTGTAATATCTGTGAACAAGCATCTCTAAAATCGGGACTTGGTTCAACACATGTAATATTATTAAATCCACCATAACTAAACATTAGTTCTGTAAATTTACCAGTACCTAAATAAAAAGTAGATAGGACGAGTCAGTTGTTTGCTATATATTCAACCATCTTTTTTTTTTAGAAAGACACATACCAGAAGCTAAATCAACGATATTAGCATCGTGGTCAATATTAAAGTTTGAGTTGATAAAGTCAACAAGTTCAACAGGTAATGTTGGTCTACCCTTTAAATAAGAATCTGTTGTTTTCTTATTATGATATCCTAATGCTGATGCATGTAATGTCATTATTTGTTTGGTTATCTAATTTTAATTTAGAAAAAGAATGATGAAAATGTTAAATTTATAAAGCCTTAAATAGATACTGTTTTTGAAGGCAAGGCGGAAAATCTAAAGTCGTAAACCGTGCCGAAAAACGACAATTTAATTAAATTAATTTGGGTACTTGCCACCACCTAATCCTTATGGCTCATTCACCGATCCATTAACAGATCTATTTAGACTTTTTAAACAAACAATCAAATATATATATATCCATCCATCATTCCTCTTAGTTTTTAAAAATAACTATTATTATTATTTATTTGTTTTTCTTTTATTTTTTTTTAATGTTGACTCCATTCAATAGTTTTCAAATCAATACCTTCTTGAACCATTTCCCAAAGTGGAGACATATCTCTTAGACGTTGAACTTGTTTTGAAAGTAATTCGATAGTGTAATCAATTTCCTTGACGGTAGTGAAACGGCCAATACCAAAACGAATCGAAGAGTGGGCCATATCTTCTTCGAGACCGAGTGAACGCAATACATAGGATGGTTCGAGAGAGGCAGATGTACAGGCACTACCACTAGAGCATGCGACATCCTTGATGGCCATCAACAAACTCTCACCCTCGACATAGGAAAACGAGATATTCAAATTGCCATAGTAACGAAGCTCCTCGTCACCATTGATCTTGACGTGTGTAATATTGGCAGTGATACCAGCCAAAAGACGGTCATAGAGGAACTTGATCCACTTTTTATCACGTTCCATCTCGTCCATTGCAATTTGACATGCCTTTCCAAACCCAGTGATCAATGTCGATGGGAGGGTACCTGAACGGATACCACGTTCTTGTCCACCACCACTAATGATTGACTCGACTCTAACACGTGGACGACGACGGAGGTAGAGGGCACCAATACCCTTTGGTCCGTACAACTTGTGTCCAGATATAGACAAGAGGTCAATGTTCATCTCGTTGACGTCCATCTTGATCTTGCCGACAGCTTGAGCTGCATCAGTGTGGAAAAAGGTACCCTTCTTTTTGCAGATGGCACCAATCTCTTTGAGTGGTTGAATGACACCGATTTCATTGTTGACGGCCATGATACTGACCAAACTAGTTTGTGGTGTAATTGCATTTTCAAGTTCCTCCAAATCAATGATACCGTTTTGTTTCACCTTTAGATAGGTTACCTCGAATCCTTCAGTCTCTAAATGACGACATGAATCCAATACACATTTATGATCAGTCTCTGTAGTGATGATATGATTCTTTTTCTCCTTGTAGAATCTTGCAACACCTTTAATTGCTATATTATTTGATTCAGTTGCACCTGATGTAAATATAATCTCTTTTGGATCTGCTTTAATTGTCTTTGATACTTGCTATAAATAAAATAAAAAGTAAGTAAGTAAGTGTACGTGAAAGAGTGATATGTTATTCTACTTTGTCTTCTTTATCTTTCTACTACATACTTCTCTTGCATTTTCTACATAATCATTTGAAGTCCAACCATATTGATGAGTCTTTGAATGAGGATTACCATAACTCTCAGTATATAAAGGTAACATTGCATCTAATACTCTTGGATCTATTGGTGTAGTTGCTTGCATATCTAAATAAATTGGTTGAACCATTTCTACATTAAAGTAATAATAATAGAGAATATATAAGTAAACTAACTATAGTTTGTGTGTATCTTTGTTTTTCACTTACCAGCAGCATTAGAAGGAGTAGAAAGGGTAGCATATTGTCTCTTTGTGATGAATGATGATTTATTTACATGGCTACACAATGCAGCAGAGTTGATATTTCTTGAAGAGATACCAACTAGACTCTTTACTGTATTCTTTATCATCTTTTATCTATCTCTCTCTTTTTAAACTACAAATTGTATAAAGCAAAGAATGTGTAGTTGGAAGAATGGGTATGGGGGATGGTCTTGTTCTAAAGATCTGAACTCATGTGACTAATAATGATGAGACTCGACTTGCTCCCGATTTTTTTTAAATTCTTTTTTTTTATTTTTTTTATTAATTAATTAATTGGGCAGGTAATATTAATACTACCTACTTTTTACTTTTACTTTTGTTACTTTTTAGTAGTAAAATAAATTTCAACACGATAAGGACAATCAAATGATTCTTTATCTTTGTAATCTTTTAAAGTGTCAATGACATTTAGAATATCTTTTTTCAATTCTTGTTTGCGGTCATCTGACAGTAGAGATATAAAAGAGATAGAATAGATACGTGCTAGAAGAGTGTCTCTGGTAAGATGATGGTTCATCTTGAATGTCTTGTCACTACCCAATGGTAGATTGATGAGTGACTTTGTTTGTTCACTTGGTTGCTCAAATACCTTAATCCATTCATACGACCGGAATTGTGGATTTGGGTCGTCGAGATTAGCATACTTGACTCGATAGATATCAGTGGTAGCTTTAACCATTGGGTTGCTTAGATCCGCTTCACACCACACCAAGATTAATGGTGCACCTGGTTTGAGTACACGTACCATCTCTTTGATGGCATCATCATTGGCAAACCAATGGAATGCTTGTGATGCAAATAATGCATCAACAGAGTTATCGGCCAATGGTATCGATATAGCTGTACCATCTAATACCTTGAATTGTTTCTTTTCTCTTGTATCTTGATCCTCTGTATTATCAATAATCGATTGTAATATTTGTGAACAAGCATCTCTAAAATCAGCACTTGGTTCAACACAAGTAATATTATTAAATCCGCCATACCCAAATAATAATTCTGTAAATTTACCAGTTCCTACATGAGTGTATCATTCAACAATAGATAGAGTCAATGTTACCTTTTTGTTGTAATTTTAAAACTATATAATATATATATATGTTAAACATACCAGATGCCAAATCAACAATGATATTATTTTCTTTTAGATTAAACTTGTTCTTTATAAAATCAATAGTCTCTAATGGAAGACTTGGTCTACCTTTAACATAGGTTTGAGCTGAATTGTTTTGAAATCCAAGTGCTGTTTTATGTACTCCTGGTTGTAATGATGATGACATTATTTAATTAAACAAATATGAAAATGAAACTACTTCTACTTTAAATTCATGTCTTTATTCTAAAATTTCACAAGATATTTTGATTTGTTTGGGATGATTTTATTATTCTTGTTTAATTTGATGAGGAGGAGTAGTAGAAGAAGAACTTTTGGTTTTTGGATTGATGGTGGTCGCATCATGTGACTTTTGGTTTATCTAAAAAATAGAGAGAAGAATAAAAAATGGGGATTGGATTTCTATTATTATTATTCTTGTTCTTTGTTTTTTTTGGGTTGTTTGGATGAAGAGGAGGAGGAGGAGAGAGGGAGAGAAAGAGATTTTTAATTTAATCGCAACAAGTTACTTTTGGTTTAAAACTACGGTAACGACCAACAGCAACGTTACCAGCTATCGTACCGGCAATGACAGCAAAGAAGAGAGCAACGTTAAAGGTCATGGCAACCAACATTAAAAGGTAGGAGAGTGTCAATTCGAAACCGTGGAGGAAACCTCTGAGTAGATCAACCTTTAGGTTAAAGGTTGGATAGGTTCCTTTGAAAATACCCTTGCTGACAAGAGATTCGTTCGAGTTGATATCCAAGTCTCTGGCAAGTTGTTTCTCGGCTTCCCAACGTTTCTCGAGGATTGAACGGAGAGTCTTTTCACACTCGAAAATGATGGCGGCGAAAAAGATGAGAAACCAATAGCCAATGAATTGGTTTCTGGTACGTGGCACCCAAGTTTCAAACAAGATATAGTCGAGAATGCCAGTATGGAAAAACATACGCATCAATGGGATCTGCTCGCCAACTGGCAGCTCACAATAGACAGTGTTGAGTGAACTGGTTTGGAGGAGGGTACCTGGTTCGCACATTGATTTCCATGAAGCACATTCAGTCATGTCTGGCATCTGCTGACAGAGTTGAGTGTAGACATTCATGACGTCGCATTGGAGCATAGAGTAGGTTGGTGGAATGGTGCATTGCGAACAGGCATCCATGTTCATCGACGTGCAAATGCTATAGACATATTGCGAGAGTTGTTTGGTTTGTGGAAGCGATGGAATCATTTGGTACTTGGTGCATTGTTGGACGACCGATCCATTGCCACAGAGACTGTTGTAGTTGCTACAACCACCCATCTTTGGCATATCGGCTTGACAACCGTCTGCCAAGATTGAGAATGGATTGCAGACACCCGATTGACTGTCAATCGTTTGACATTGTTGTTGAATGTCACACAGTGCCATGAATTTCATCTGTCCACACAACGATCCAATATCCTGTGTAATGTTTTGAATTGGATATTGATAGTTTACACAACTACTGTCACTAGGTGTAGTGACACAATTAACTTGTCCATTTACTAAAGTTGAACAACCAATTATTAAACTTAATAATAATAGTAATATGTTCATGATCTATATAGAATAATATAATAATGGATGGAGGATGAAGAGGATTTTTTTTTTAAAAGGATGGATGAAGAGGAAGAAGAGGATAAACGAAGATTACATATGAAAAAATGTATATGTATTTAACAATTAAAAGAAGAAGAAGAGGAGGAGGAGGAGGAAGTAGAAGTGGATGAAGAGGAAAAAAATGAAGAGGATGAAGAGTTAATGAACTATTCTAATTCTAGATTGATTTTAGATTTAAAAGATAACACTACTGACGACTGTGATTGTATTATCTCCTAGTACTGATACTGATAGTAAAAAAAAAACTATAATATATTTGTTAATGAGATAAAGAGATTGAGAGATATATATTTAGTATGGAATATAATATAAACCTTTGATAATAAGGGGTTTCCTTTCTTTTTGTGGATGAAGGAGGGTATTGTGTGAGTGTGTTATCAAATATATTTTGTGTGATGGGTTGCACAGCAGAGAGCATAGCAAGCAAATCTACATCGACGATCTATTGATAGATAATCATAAAATGTTTTAGTTTGTATTACCTTTTAATTATCTATATATAAAGTAAAAATAAGAGAATGTTTGTTGTGTTGTTTGAGTTTATGCTCAAATCGATCACCCTTTGTTGCTATATATAATTAAATTCTTATTCTAAAAATGCTTAAAGAATAATTTTCACTAGAATAATCATAAAAAAGGATGGTTAAATCTGGGAAGAATGACGAGGCGACAAAAATTGGAAACCCAGTTTATTGGACACCTAATGATTCTAAAACACAATTGCATCGTCACAACAATCACATCTTGTGTTGAAAGATAATAATAATATTATTATCATTATTAATAAATAATTCATGGAGGAGGAGGAGGAGGAGGTTAAATTTAAAAATAATAAATAATATTTATTTAGTTTAGATTTTATAATTTAATGATAATATTAAATTTAAACATTAAAAAGGCAATGAAATCAAAGAATGCAAACCAACCAAGTGAAAAGACAGTACTAGCAAGATAGCCATTACGTAGCCATGTGAGATACATTTTTTCATAGATGGCCGTCCACAACGACGTTCCATCAGACGTGTGAAGATAAAACATAAATATGATTTCAATAAAGATCATCAGAGTGTAGATTGATATTGGGTTCATACCGATCCACATAAATGGTTGAATAGAGAATTCAATATGACGTTTGACAGTTGGACTCCATTCAACGACATCTAATAGATAGTATGCTACACTAATTAAAAGTGATCCACAGGCCACTGTAATCAGAGCAAAACTAAAACTCCAAATTAATTTGTTGACTGGCATCTTTGTTACACCCAATGCAATACCAGTCACACCAAATACAACTGCGATACCAATCCAACGAATTAGAATATTCAAATGAGCATAATCATGTTTTCTATAGAATCGGGTAAATATTCTACCTAATTCTAATCCCATCCATGTTGTTATAAATGCACTAAATGTTGATAATAATCCTTCTGGATCATTTGGATGAATCCTAATAGGAAATAAATAAATATAAAAATTAATTAAATCATTAATATTGTTGTGGTATACCACAACAACTAGGTTTGTTTTAAGTTTCACATACATATTAGCACCTAGAACCGAATTATCAATATAAGAACCAGCATTACAAGATGGAGTAAGAACACCTCTACCACAACCAGGAACATCTAATCCATACATCACAGATAGATAGATGGCAGCACAAGCAACTAAAAATATTCTTTGTCCAACAAGTGGTAGTAACAAGAAACTACAACAACATGCAAAATAACATATTGATATTCTTTGTAATACTCTAAATAATGAAATAAATCAAATTAGTAAATGATTCATTCACATATGATCCATCCAACATAATATACCCCATAACTCTAAAACTATCAAATACGAATTTATGTGCCATTAAATTAAGGAATGCTTGAATAAAAAACAATAATAATGTTCTTCTTATAATATTGTACCATGCTAATAAAAAAAAGATAAAGAGATAATATTAGAAAAGGAGAGCACATATATTCTAAATGTGATTAATAATAATAATTACTTTTAATATCATTCTTTGCCGATTTTAAAGCCAAAGCGACCGAGAAACCACAAATAAAGAGAAAAGATGGAAAGATTAAATCGGCTGTTGAAAGTCCATTCCATTCTGTTTCAAGAAGTGGCCAAATAACTTGTGGTCCTCCTTGATTATCAACTAAGCTATATATATATATTTAAATACAAAAGTTAGAGAGAGAGAGACACATGACAGTATACTATCAATGTTTACTACACTACATACATCATTCCAAATATAGTTAATCCTCTAACAGTGTCTAATGAAAGTACTCTTTTTCTTTGGGTTGTTGTAGGTGTAGCTGATGGTGTCTTTGTTATTGTCGCAGTACTGTCATCATTATTGATTGGTAAAGATACATGTTGTTGCTCATTTAAAAGAGGTGATTTCTCTGTATGATTGTGACTAATATTTTCTATGCTCATTCCTCTCCTTCACCCTCTTCTACCTATATATATATACGACTATTATTACACAATGTATTACAATGCATCTATAGTCCGATAGGAGGAGGGAAGAGGTGATGAGATTCGAACAATGCAACATTGATTGAACCGAAAAATAAATTTTTAAATCCCCTTTGGAAAAAGATATTTATTTTTCCCAACAAGTCCCTAAATTAGTATCTTATTCGGAGACAATTAAATATTTAAAAGTGGTATTGAAAAGTATCCTGGTCATCATCATACCCAGGATATATTGATACACATTACTTTAGTATTGACAATATATATATATTTTATATTTATTTAAATTAATTTTTTTTATACACTCTACTATGATTGTTGATTTAAAACTTTGAATCAGTAGCTCTGGCAGCCAAATAAGTCTTCAAAGCTGGTACTTCAGAAACAGTAGTATAGAGAGCAGAAAGAGTTGGGTACTTGGTGGTTTCAAGTTGGTATACCTTTAAGAAATTCAAATGATCAATGGCATGGAAGACTGCAATATCAGCTGATGTTAATGATTTTCCACTATAATAGTATTAATAAATTGATATGGATTAGTATAATGATAAAATACCATTATTATTATTTGATGATTAAATGTTTGTTATACATACACAAATTGTTTACCACCATTTTTCAAGAGTAATTCTTCCCATCTGGTTAAAAACTTTGGAATAGTTTCAGTCTTGTACTTGTTGAACTTTTCTTCGTTGTCCTTTGTTTGCCAGTATGGAGTCAAGACATCCCAGATTGATTCAATGATGGCATCACCATGGGCAATATCTACATTATTGTCACCAGCAATCTTGTACTTTTGAGCGACGTATCTAATGATTGATCCGGATTGAGCCAATTCGATTTCATTGTCTTCAAAGAATGGAATTTGACCAAATGGGAGACGAGCTCTAAGGGCATCATCAATATTCTCTACTCTAACATCCTTGAATGAGACACCTGCAAAGGTTAACAAGAGACGTACTACTTCTCCCTTTCCTCTTCCGTTAAACTAAAAATTAAAAAGATTGATTGGTTAGTAAAAGAATATGAGTTTGGTCTAACTACTTCATCTATAGTTCGCAACATACATAATAAAAAGTTGGTTGTGACATTTTAGAATATATATGAGTTATAAAACAAATAAGTTAATTATTTATATTTGATTGATTGCTTGGTTGTTGATTTAATTGAATGATTTAAAAAGAGTCTATTGACCAACTATTTATGTTTTTCTATTGCTTTGTGTAATCACCAATTTTCTTTGGAATTTCATTTTTAAATTGAATCATCAGAGAAGAATATCTTGAACAGGTTGATTCTCGATTGACTATCAGCCCGGGAACTTGCTTCTCCCAAAGGTTGTAAAAAACCCCCTAAAAATACAAAGAGAAGAGCCAGATGAGCTTCTTTTGATATTTTTGACTCACACCGCGAAAACAATACAAAAGGTACCTTCAGAAGACGCTTCCTCTACAAAAACAACAGGTCATCAATATGTGCACATATTAATGTGTGGAATTGAATGAAATTTAATTTTATAATGATCACTCTTTTGTGTATGATTATTTATTATAATATAAATATGTATGTATGTATTTTAAAGTTTTATTTTTTTTTTTTGATAAATGTTAAGAATCGGGAGTAAAGAAGAAAGCAAATACAATGATTAAATAAACAATACAAAGAGTTGAACCAATGAAATAATTGGTTTTACCATTACTGAAAATAACATTCATTACAATCACTCCAAAGAATACCGCAAAGAAATCAATTAATGGGAAAATCAATGTAAATGATCCATTACTACTCCTATAAATATTAAAAGAATTGAATAATTAATATCGATGAAATTATGATTATTATAATTATTATTATTATTTATATTTTTTTGTTTTGACTTACAAATGATTTAAAATGGCAGAAATAAATACTAATACTGGCATTTGGAAAAGAGTGATTTGGACGGCAGCTGATGCACCAATTTCAAGTGCGAGTGGCATGTTATTGTTGAGTGCAAATTGGATGGCATTTAGGTATTCGGCGGCGGATGGGATGATACCTAGAATGGTGACACCAAGGAATTCGTGGGTGAGACCGAGTAGTTGAACAACTGGATCGATCGATTCGACGAGTTTCTCAGAGACCAAAGCAAACATGGTGGTACATATACAAAGGACAATGATACATTGTTTCTTGCTCCATTCACTTTCAACAGATGCTTCGCCGTTGCTATTGTGACCATGACCCTTTTCCTTTTTGTCTTCGATTGGATGGAGGATGTGAGTGTGTGTCTTTAGTGTAAACAAGAGACCGACGAGATAGGCTACGGGCAATGTACCAGAGATGATGTACATAAGAGTACGAGCCTTACCAGTGTAGACGGGATCGTCATCCAAGTCACTTTGAACATAGGCACAATTCGTGCAACTCATAGCTCCAGTCACATCGGTACAACCAGTGCACGAGAGCGAGTAGTTGCCATAGATCTTGTAAAAGATGGTTGGTGCAAACGCACCGATAACAGCCACCGTCAACAAGGCAGTGCTGACACCCATGACGGTTGGGTTAAACTTTTGTTCCTTGTGTTTGATGCCACCAATCACCATCGACAGACCTGGAATCAACAACATGGCACCCAAAAGTGCACCGGTCAGGGCTGAACGAGCAACCTCTTCTTGTTGGCCATTGATGGTGACAATGTAGAGAATCAACTCAATGATTGATCCAAAACTAGCGTTGATCAAAGCACCGACAGCAAAACTAGTCTGTGCCGATAAACTAGCAATCGCCATACCATTATAATAGGACAATGGAATGGTCGATAATATACAACAAAGGAATATAACAACTGGATGAATAACATGTTCTAAAAAGTATCCAAATATTAATGATAAAATTACAAATGGTAATAAATCTAAAAAAAAAAAAAAAAAAAAAATTAGATTAATATAATGAATGAAACAAGTAATAATAATAATTAATTATATTTTTTGTATTTTTTTCTATATACATACTAACCAAACAAATATTCATTCCATTTAAAGTATATTTATAATAAATACGATTGATAGCTTCAACAGGGAAATTAATGATTTGACAATCAGAACGAGGTGAAATGGATTGTCTAACCAAAAGTGGATTTGCCAAAAGATTCCAAAGAATTTTAGATTGCATTTTAGAGGTTGGAATCATAACAACGATCAACCAAGTAAATGCCATTATGATACCATGGAATAAAATGAGAATGGGAGCTGCCAATAGATAGTAAAGGACACGACCAATATTGATTGATAGACTCGATCTATCCTTGATTGGATTACTCAAGGAAGCATATGAAGTTCTACTGGTACCTCTCAACGGTTGTTTTTCACCATCCATATCTGAACCACCCAACGATGCATATTGATTCAATGCCAATTGCAAGTATTTACCAAAAGGCCATAACACAAATCCTTTCATATCCCATAATATCTTTGCAAATGGGAATCCAAAATATGTTATTCTAAAAAATAAAAGAAATTAAAAAAGAGAGATTAATAAATAGTTGTTGATTTAATATTCAATATTTCTGTTTACATACGTTAAAATAAAGGATAATAAAACAAATATTAAATATAAAAGGGAACCAAAAAAGATAGAATAAACATAATTGCCAATAGTATTGATACCTCTGTATGAACTTGTTGGACCACCATCCAAATACAATTGTCTAACCTCTGGTGAATGATCATCGATATTCTTTTTTGTGATTTTCGATTTGAAAGGTCTGAAACCAAACATATGATTTTGAATGGTTCTTCTTGCCTCTAATGCACTAGTATCATCGGTAATACCATAGTCTTTGTATGTCAATGGTGTATCTGGTGTTGCCATTGTTCTAGATAATGATAATTGTGACCCTTCATCTCCATCCAATGCATTTGGATCAAGTGAATGATGTAATCTCTTTCTTGGTCCATTATTATTATTATTATTATTATTATTGTTATTGTTATTATTATTACTACTATTTGGTATATCAACTGATGTTGATAATATTGCACCAGGTGAATTAGAGTTTACTATTTGATAGGTTTGATATTGCCCAGATGTTGATGTTGACTGTGCTGGTGTTGATTGTGATAATATTGGTTGTTGTTGTTGTTGTTGATTTTCATCAGTGCTATCATTACCTGGAGTTTCATAATAGAAACCTCCACTATTCTTTAAAGAACCTAAAGGTATATCTGACATTCTATTCTTTACTCTGCTCTCTACTCTACTTTTCTTTCCACCACAAAATCTATTCTTCTTCTTTTAAAAAGTGTCTATTCGAATCTTATTGTTGTTGTTGTTGTTGTGGTAGTAGTAGTAGTTTGTTGATGTTAACTTTATGATGTATGTTAAACTTTAGTTATACAATTGTTGTAACTACGGACAGACAGACAGACAGAGGGAGCAGCGATTAGGATATTTAAAGTATGGGTTTTCATTCATTCCTTGATCATTGCTTGCTTTTAAAGAAAAAAATGAATTGTTTTGAGCGTATTTTTTCACACGAAAATTCAAGGTGCCGAAACTACAGTGTTAATCTTAACACACAGGATGAGATTATTTATTTCTTTTCTGCTGGTGTATGATTTGATTCATTTAATCATTTTAAGAAGACTGGATGCAAAAGCATGATATAGTAGACTTTTATATTTATTTAATCATCAGCTGATCTTTTTGGCATTGCAACCCTGTTGACCTGGCCTGGTAAATTAAAGCATACTTGTCCACAAGACATCATCAATCAACAGGTGAATCCTTCTTCCTTACAGCTGCTAGCAACCTACCTACCTACCTGTTTTTAATATTAAAACAAAATAAATGAACGGTTGGGTTGGGTTGGGTGAGGGTTTAAAAATCAGTTGATTTGCACTATAAAAGCGATAACAAACAATAAATATTAACATAAAACTAATAATAAGAAGTAGTAGTAATAATGTTATTTATTTTAAATCATAGATAGACATTGAGAGAGAGAAAGAGAGAAAATGGAAATAAAATCTGTACTCTGTAATAATAGTAGTAGTAATAGTAATAACAACATACTCAATAATGATATACAACAACTTGTGGACAATGATGATAATGAAGATCTTTTAACAAATCAACCCATTGAATTAATACTTTATATCATATCAATGTGTAATCCATTTGATATTATCAATTCAATATCAAGAGTATCTAGGTTACTCTATAGATGTAGTAGAAATAATTCATTGTGGAAGATGATTGCATTGAATCATATGATCCCTGATCAAATGAATAGAATCCCCATACCAAACTATTCCAATACTGGTAATTCATCGTCGTCATCATCATCATTGTTTGATCAACTATCAAAACAATACCAACCAGATATCAATTGGTTAAATTATTTTGTAGAAAATGTATCATTAAATCAAAACGGTATGTTTGGAATCATAATTATAATTACTGTCTGTCTGTCTGTCTGTGTCTTTTTATTAACATTTTAAAATATTTAGATTCAATGATGTGGTCTAAAAGAACACCAACAACTAAAACATTGCAAAGATATTGTCATACATCGACAACGATAATCTCCTCTGAGGAAAAAGGTAAAACAAAGTTTATGGTGATTGGTGGTAGTGATTGTGATACTGCTGTTGCAAAGTCGGATATTATCATTGTTGATCCTTTGGAACCAACATTTAAAATGAATCAACCAATCATTAAAAAAGAGGTATCGGATCATTGTTTTGTAGAAATGGCAGAGTTGGACATTGGCATTTGTAGACATACAGCCGATTATATACCTGGGGTTGGTGTATTTGTATTTGGTGGATTACGTACCATTTCTAAAAATTCTTGTGTGTTTTTATCTCTTCCTCGTCATACCATTAAATCAAACTCTATGGATCTAATGATTTATCAATCCAACAAAGATGATGGTGTGGATCGCATTATTTGGAAACCATTAAAAACTACTGGAACTATTCCATCTTCTCGTTCTGATCATACTTCAACTGTCATTGGAAAGGATATATATATTTTTGGTGGATCAGATGAATCAATTAAACCTTTAAATGATTTATATGTTTTTCATACAGGTAAGAAGAAAAAGGCAACTCTATCTCTCTCTATATTTTTTTTAACTTATTATTTTAATTTTATAGATACTATGGTTTGGGAAAAGATTGAATGTTTATCACCACCTTCACCGAGATCAGGCCATTCAATGATATCTGTTGGAAAAACTATTTATATCTATGGTGGAGGTGTATGGGATCGAATTAAAAGTTGGGTCAATAGAAATAGTCAACTCTTTAAATTAGAGATTGACGACCATGTTGGTCATGACAGTTGTTGTATTTTAGAATGGAAAGAAATTAAATGTTACAAATCCCCAACAATGACAACCTTTTCTTCATTTTTCGCCGTTGGACATCATATATTTTTATTGTTTGGTGGATGTTATAATAGTTTTTTGACAGATTCCAAATACTACCTTGACACAATCACCAATATATGGCATCCATTAAAAGGAATCAACTCTCCATCAAATAAGAACTGTGCAGGTTTATGTACATTGGGTAACAAAATATATTTTATTGGTGGTTCAAACGGATCGGTTCATGTTGATATTTTAGAAATAGTAAAGTTGATCGGATTAGCTATTGATTACTTTTTGGTTATTAACATTTAATTTATCCTTTTATATAGTCATGGATTAGTAAATCAAAGTCATATTCTGAAATTATGATTAAAGGTGGATAAAACAACACCAATTAATTTGTGTATATACTATTGTAAAAAGAGAAAGTTCATTATCTCTCCGTCATGGAGACTGACGCAGATATAAATAAATATAACAACCAGTCGACGTCTGCAGTGGATCTTTAAGTACCCTGAGGTGTACTTGATCCATGGCCCCTACTCGCTACTATCTCGTCGCAACAAATATTCAATGTTTTAAAATAATAAATCTTATTCATTTTTTTTAAATCAATTCAATCCTTAAAAGTTGTCTATCCATGCTGTTCCGAATTTGTTATTATTATTAAATAGTTTAGTTATTTATTATTAATTTAAACAAGTACCAGTTAAATTGATTTGTTTTAAAAAAGTTATGATTACCAAAAATAACATTTAAAAAGTAATCATGATTATGGCTGGCTGCGAAATATGTATAAATAATGGTGGTGGTGGTGGTGGCGGTTATCGATTAATAAACCAAGAGGAGTGTAACTTTTAGTGTTTAGTTAATGTTTTACAATTCCCATGAAGGTTTCTCTGGGAAGAAAGTTTCAAACATTATATATAATTCATCGATAACTTCTTGATTTGGATTGTCGACAGAGAGACCATCGTTGAGGCAAACAGTCTTTGGACGACGATCGAGAATCTTTTTATATTCGACCTTCATCTTTGAAAGATCGTCTTGAATGAGAGCATAGTGATTAATGGCACGTGGTGTAAACGTGGCATAGTAACGTTGAACCATTTGAAGGTAGAGGAATGGAACTTGGACATCTTGTGCAGTACGGAATGGATGACGGGCAGTAGCCTTGAATTCCTCTGGCAACAATTGTTGCATGTCTTTGAAAATCTTTTTGTTGAAAAAGTTGGCACCATGTGAAGCATAGTGTCTGTTTGAATTGTCAACCTCCCATTCTCTATTTAAAAGTTCGTTGGTATAGGCTACCGATGCATGCCAAATATTTTGTTGTTTCTCTTTTGATTGTGGTGCTGTCCATGATGATTTATAAATTGCTTGACCATATACTGGATCCCAAAAATCTTTTGGTTCAACTAAAGTGTTTAAAAATAAATAATTGTTAGCTCTCAATGTATCATAAGAATGATCATGATTATTATCGCAACATACTTGGTGATCCAACAAAAATATCATCATTAAAATAAATAAAACAATCAGCTACCTGATCATCTGGTAGATTGAAAAAGTTGGCTTCAATACCATTAGAATTAAATGTTGGTACATCTTCACTATAAAAATATATTAGAAATATATATAGTCAGTAAATATCAAATATTTGATGATGAGTCATCATCACAATAACTCTTTTCTCTTTTCTTTTTTCTTTCATTCTTACACATTTGGGAAATAATCTCTGTGAAAGATAAAGTTAATCTCATCGTTATTTGTATCAAACCATGAAGGATATTGGTCGTCGGCAACAACATGTACCCTTCTAATCCATGGAGCATACTTTTTCAAACTTCTTAAACTGTATTTCAAACCCATCAAATCTCTGAATCTATTGTTACCTGGTTGTGAATATCTGCTATTACTGTAATATATAAATAAATAAATGAGAGCAAGTTAATAAGTTGCACTCTCTATAGTATTATCTCCATAATCTACTACATACCCAGATCTTTGAGTTCTCTTTTCAATGTGAATTGGGTCACTACCATTTACCCAAGTGTAAACAGCATCTATATGTTCGCAATGGAATACCTCTTTGGTAGGAAGAGTAGCTGGGGAAGTAGTCGGACCTCCACCTGTTGCACCTTCACCACCTTGATTTCTAGTTAGGTATACCAATATCGATGCCAACCATACCAACGATATGAGTAAAAATATAAACGTTAGTTTATTCATCTTTCTTTCTACTTCTTCTTATTTGTATGAGTATGTATTAGGTATATCAATTAGATTTGTTGTATTGTTAAAAACAGAGAAAGAGATAGAAAGAAAGAGATAAAACTATTCTAATTATTATTATTAGAATACAATAACCCCTCAAACCTTAAAAGTTGGTTCACAACAAAGATCTTTTTTTTCTTTTTTTTTTTTTTTTTTTCCAACCGAAATCGGTCGACCAAAGAAGAAGTTCTTCCTCTTTTTCGGACTCCTACTCTGTGTAAAAGTCGTAATCCTCCACATACATCGATAAAAATATAATATTTAATAATAATATATTTTTGGATTATTTATTTATTTATTTATTTATTTGTTGTTGGATCTTTATTATTACTTATTTGTTGAATAATAACAAAACTATCTGGTTGTGATATAAAATGAAGATATAAATCTCTTTCTTGGGTTCTATCATTGTCCAAGTAGAACCTGTCTGTAATGTTGATCAATCCACCATATAGTGTATTTTTGTTTACCATCAATACATAATTATGATCGATTCTTTTGATTTGATAATCGTATGTTGAACTATCACTGTAATTGAAAATAAATAACTCCTCTACATCCTTTCTAAGTACAAGTTCATTCAACTTTAAACTAAAATGATTACCATTGGGAATGTCAACTCTATATTCAAGTATTTTTAATTTTGATCTTGTATCACTGTCGTTGTTATTGTTGTTGTTTATAAAATCGATATTTTTAAATGGATCTAGTGAATAAGAGGAAGAATGGATATCATCCTTCAATTTTGTGCTATTGGCTACACAAATTAGATGTTCAACAGAGGTTGGAATATAATATCTTTCCTCAAATTGAGCATCAAAGTATTTAAGAGAAGAAGGATAAATAGTGGGAAGTGGTTTGGTTGAGCCAACAATTTCTAGTCTCTCCAAGTGTGGTAGGAATGTTGACAAATCATCATCGTCGAAATCGGGTTGGCAGAATTCCAACTTTAGTGTTTTGAGAGACTTTGGAATAATGTCCGAGTTGATTGGACCTATGTAGGATAAAAGGTGGAGATACTCTAATCCTTGTGGTAACGATCCGGCGAGAATGTTGTCATCTATTCCAGTAAAGAATATCTCTAGATAAAGCAATCCCGATGGTAAAAGACCTACAGGTATAGGTCTCTCTGCACTAGGGATTATAAGTTTCTTGAGATGTAGAGGTAGGTGGTCACCAAACAACAAAAGTGAGTCTAAATCTGTTTCTAGTTTGGTTAAACCAGATGGAAGGATGTTATTGAGGTTTGTCGTCCACATTTGAAACTTTAATACTGATAGGTTTAAAGGTAGACTAATGTGATTACATCCTCTTGAACTAAAATCTAATGAAAGCTTTTTAAGCCCTTTCAAATGGTCAAGTATAATTGCAAAGGGTGTCTCCTCTTCCTCTTCCTCTTCTACATTTTTCACTAGTGGTGAATATTTAATAAAGAGATTACGTAGTGATTGTGGAAATAATGAGATTGGTGGTGGTTGTGATAGTTTAATGTGTAAAGTCTTTAATGTTGGTGGTAATAAATTGGGTTGATTAATATCATCCAATATATCGATACTAGAGATATCTAGTGTTGTAAGATTTGAAGAGGATGGGGATGAAGAGGAAGAGGATAAATTTCTAAAAAGGGTCTTTAAATTTAAAGGTTGATGACGATCCATATTAGAGGAGATGACAAGTGATTCAGTTGTTGATGGGATATAAATATGAGGACAATAGTGAAGGAATATATTTTTCAATCCAATCAACCTTTCAACCAAGATGGCAGTTGATTCATTAAATTCTGTTGATACAATCTCTAATGATTCCAATTGACTGTTATTGATATTATTATTATTATTATTGGAGACGACTGTAGCCAACACTTTATCTAGATGATTAGTTTCCAAGCCACGTAATACCAATGTTTTAGTTGTTGATGGAATATCTGTAAATATTCCTTCTTGTAATTGTAATAGTTGATGTTGTGGTGTATCTTCATCATCAATTTGGAATGGTCTAATTGTTACATTGGTTATTGGATAACTATTATTATTATTATTATTATTATTATCTATTTGATTTGTTGTATGTTGTATTAATGCACTATAATCATCATTGAGACGACGATCACTATCTAGATTAGTTTCATTGTGCAACAAGACCAATTGATTAGCTAGAGCATTATCAAATAATGATTTGAATGCACCTAGGTGAAATCTAGTCAAAGATGATAATAGATTAAAGTTTAAAACTTCATGTATACCATCAATCCTCCATTTATAAAAGCCAATACCTTTGAATGCAAGATGACGTTGTGGTTGTTGTCTGAGAATATCAAAGTATAACCTTTTACAAGTCAACAATAAACATATAAGATCTACATTATCTTTAATGTACTCTATTATTTTATATAAAATAATGTTTGGTATTATATTGATAAGATAACAAGGTGTATCTATCTCCATCGTTCCTGTAAATTGCAAACTACACAAAAAATGCTTGAACTTCAAATCTCTCTTTTAATAACAACAATTTTTTATATATTTTTTTTGAACCGTCGCAACCGCCTATCCTGAATAACATTTTGATTTGTGTTAAGCGTTAAAAATAGAAAGAAATTAGAATGAAATTATTATTATTATTTATATTTTTATATTTTGGATATATTCAATCTGATAGTATACCATCATCATCATCATCTGCAGCATCAGATCAACAACAATCAAAAAAGGATGAATCAATATTTGGAAAGATTAGTAAAACAGTAGAATATGATTATATTATATTAGGAGCAGGAACATCGGGATCTGTAGTTGCCAATAAGCTATCGGCAAACAAACTTAACCGTGTTTTATTGGTAGAGGAAGGTAAATATCCTCAACATCCACTCATCTGGGAACCAAATGGATGGTCTGACAACTGGATCTTTAATTATCAGCCAGACTATGCAAAGTCTTTCTTCTCAACTCCTCGATCAAATACTCATAATAGATCGATAGAGTTGAGAAGAGGTGTTGGTTTGGGTGGTTGTGGTATGATCAATGCTATGATCTTTCAAGTTGGTGTAAAGGAAGACTATGACCTTTGGGTAGAACATTGTGGTGGTGACATGGAATGGGACTTTGACACATCCATTAAACCATTGGTCGATAGTGAATTGTTCAACAAGGCATTCAATGTACGTGTTAATGACAAGGACCGTGTATTCCTACCAGAGATGAAACAAGTACTCCAAGACGTTGGATATACCTATGGTGAAGAGATTGACACCAGAATTGGTTTATTCTTGGATAGAAGGTTTGCACAATCTTTTGACAATCGAACCGGTCATTGGAAGAGACAAACATCGTATGGTCAGTTTGTAGATAATATCATTGCCGATCGTTCCAATCTTGATGTCTATGAAGGTACAAAGGCACTAAAGTTGGACGTAGAAGTTGACAAGAAAAAGGCAATGGTTGAAGCCAAAGGTGTCTATCTCTTGGACAAAACAACACATCGTATCATTTATGCCAAAGTTAGAAAACAAATCGTAATTAGTATGGGTGCATACGATTCTCCACTGTTCCTTCAATTCTCTGGTATCGGTGATTGGGAATCACTCCGTAGAGCTGGCATCAAACCAGTACTCCATTCACCATATGTTGGTAAGAATCTGTATGACCATATGTTCTCCTATATTCTAGGAGCATCTGTTAGCGACCAATATAGTCATATACCTCCATCAGCCTTTCTACATGATGTAGCTGCCGACGGCTACGTTATCTATGGTCCAAAACCAGAAGACAATAATGGTAGTCAAAAGATTAAATGGATTCTTAATCCAGATATTAGACCTTTCATGGGTGGTAATAGATTCATTTGTTTTGTTGAATTGGTTTATCCACAATCTTCTGGTTCCATTCAAATTGAAAATGCAACAACCACCAGTTTCACAGTTCCATTGGTCGACAAAAACTATCTTTCATCACAACAAGATATCAATGTCATTCAAGATGGTCTAAAAGCTTGTAGAATGATTGAATCTAAACTTTTAGAAAGAGGGTATCTTCAAGGTGATGAATTCTTACCTGGTTTTGCTGTTCAATCTTTGGAAGATCTTGAAAAACATATTCGTGCTACTTCTCTAACTGATTATCATCCACATGGAAGGTAACAAAACAAAAAAGAAAAGAAAAATAACAAATATATACATACAAACTAATTTATTTATTTATTTTATTTTTTTATTTAGTGTTAGAATGGGATCAGATGTTACATCACCACTTTCACCAAGATTAAAATTAAAAGGATCAAAGAATATTAATGTAATCGATGCATCTGTAATTCCAGTGACTCCTTCATCCAATACCAACATACCTTCAGTCATCATTGCTCTTAAGGGTTCTTCATTCATTCTTCAAGAAGATGAATAAATAAAACAAAACGTTTCATTCATGGTAATTGATATCATTACCAAAGAATCATAATAAATATTTTTTTGGGGATTCATTAAATTTATTAATTAATTAATTTTTTTTAATATTTTCATAACTCCAAAATGGTACTTTTCCTTTTAGAGAATGAAGATAAAATGGTAAATAATTATTATTATTATTATTATTATTATTATTTTGATTATTATTATTAATTTCTATTTTTTGTTTTTGATTAATAATACCACCAAATAATGTTTTAGAGTTTACCAACATTACTGATTGATGATCTAGTCTTTTAATTGTTGTTTTGAATAATAATCTACCATGAATATAAATTGAGAGTTGATCTATATTTGTTTGGTTAATGATATCATCCAATCGAAAACTTAGTGTTTCATCTCGACTGGGATGGAATAGTTTAATCTTTAATTTCTTTAAATTACTTGGTAGTAAAAAGGTTTGTCCATTGTAGTTGTCATAGTCATAGTCATAGTCAATGTCATTTTTTGGCATTTTTAAATTTGATCTTGTCAATGAATAAATTGGTACATTGTCAATTGATAAAGTTGATCTGAGGGAACAATAAAGACTATTTAGAGATGGAGGAACTATGATTTGAAATTCTCCAAATAAATTTGAATAATCGAGGGAACGAATAGTTGAAGGATACGATGAAATAATTTGAGGTCTAGTAGAATCAAAATCCATCCAGGCTAATTTATCCAATCTTTCTGGCAACCAATGATCATCCTTTATTCTATTCCAAGACAAGAATTTAATTGAATTGGGAAGATATCTAGAGTTAATTGGCCCATTGTATCCAAACAATGTTAATCTTTCAACCAAACTAGGTATTGACCCTTCCAACAAACCAACATCTTCATCTGATTTGATGGTGAGGGTGTTGACATTGGCAGGAATGAATCCTACAGGTATGGTTACATTACACTTTGCAAGAGTTAGTTTCTTGAGTGTTGTTGGTAAACATACTCTCTCCATGTCCAACATCAACTTGACCGATATATCAAGACTAGTAAGTGTTGTTGGGAAGAATAGTGTAGAGAGGTTGGTCAATGTACATTGGTTGAAAATGATCAAGGTTTCAAGAGACGACGATAGAGGAAGCCTTAAAATGGAACTATTAGCGACCGACTCGCCTGGGTAGAAGTGGAACGACTTTAGTGAGCCAAGGTTGGTGAGATCTATTGCATAACTGTGTTGGCGTAGAGCGTCATCAAGAGTAACGTACAGAGTGAGTTTAGACAGTGAAACCAATGATTGGAAAATGTTGGATGGTGGTTCTTTAGTAAACTCAATGGAAAGACTTGTCAATGAAACCGGAAGGAAACCGGGCAATGTATGAATAACTGGGAACAACACCAAATCTTTGAGTGATTGAAGTTTGTCTAGACGAATGTCTGAAAGGTCAATGGTACCTTCATTGAGTTCAAGTGTTTCGAGGTGTCGAGGAAATACATCCCCTCTTTTTAAACAACTTGGACGGTTAAATGTCAAGTGCAAGCTTTGAAGACTCTCTGGCAACTTGAAAAGTTCTTCAGTAGATCTATAACGTCCCACAGTCATCTTTTTAATATCGGTCGAATGATAAAGATGAGATAAGAATGGTAGCGATGTTGGTGATTTGATTGGTTCCATTAAATAGATTGATGTTGTATTGGGAGGAATGACAAAAAGAGATTCTCCACCAATCTTTGACATGTCTTTTACAAGTATACTTGTTTCACGTCGTTGATGATCATTGATACGACTACTACTACTACTAGTTGTTTCTTTGATGCGATGGTTATTGATAGAGACAGGTGAATCACCATCATCTTTAGATATTACAATTTGATTTGATAACGAGTTGTCAAAGAGCGATCTAAAAGATACTAGACTAAATTGCTTTAGAGTATTGATAAAGTGGTCATCATAATGATCTCCAAACGATGTGATGTACTCTAGAGGTTTGTTGAATTGTAACGATGCACTATAATGTTGTCTAATGTGAAGATACAACTTTTTACAAGTCAACAATAAACATATCAGATCTACATTATCTGTTACATTGTTGACTATATTCAATAATACTGTATTTGGTAATTTATAAATTAAATAACATGTTTCTACTACTACTGCACTATTATTATTATTATTATTATTATTATTCATTATTGTTTGTGAGAGAATCGAAAATTTGCAAAGCTGAATCAAAAGTGAATGATCTTTTGTTCTTTTAGATTAAACGTTTTGTAAAGAAAGAAAGAAAGAGAGAATGGGTGCAGTTCAAAGATATCCTTATCCAAAGTGTATGTATCAGATGATGATGATGATGATGATGATAGAGTTCTTATCATCAAGAGGAGTAGTAGTAACATGATCTAATTCTAATATATCTTTCTTTTATATCTAGCCGTTTGGGCATTTTCAGGAGGTATGACAATCATAGGGATTCAACAACAACAACAACAACAACAACAACAACAACAACAATAACAACAACAACAACAATAACAACATATATCATTCATCAATAATCAAGATAATATTAGTTAAAAACAACACATTACTCTACAGCTCAGCATGCATTGATGATGATAATAATAGTTGATTGAACAGTAATCATAATAATAATAGCAATAATGAATACTTATATATATTTCTTTTTCAAACTATTTTAATACAGGTTGGTGGAATGACTTCCCAAAAGGATATGCTGCTTTCCGTAATAAGTTTGTTGTAGGTCTTGTTGGTGTACTTGCAGGTACCTTTTACATTTCTACTAGATTAGAGGTTAGTATTACTACTAGGATAGGATAGGATAGAGAGAGAGAGAGGTGTCAGATGACATATAATATAATTGTCAAATAATGTTTATATTAATCATATTATCAATTCATACAGAGAGAAGCAACTCAACACCATCCAGAAGCTGGATCTACTTTTACTCATAAATTAAGAAAGAACGCTTAAACAACATAATATAATATAGATAATTTAAAATAACCTAAACAAACTACCGATATATATATATATATATATATATATATATTGACCTTTTGTTATAATACTGTGTGCTTACATTCGATGTATTACAACAATCGAGTGGCCACGACCTTGAAAATATCCATTTCGATGAATCTTTTAAGGTAACAAGTGAGAAAATGAGAAAGAAATGTTATTACTCTTGATTTTTCTTCAGAGACATAGAAAGTTGTGAACAACTAGACACACAACTAAACTACTACTACTGTACATAGTTAACTATTTGTATATACATTAAATAACTCAAGTTAAAGAAGATTGTGAATTAATTTAAAAATATAAAAAAGAAGATATAATAAACATTTATTGTAAATATATATATATAAATAGATAGAGACAGAGATAACATAAGCAACTTTGCAACACACACAGAGATAAATGACAATTAGAACTAGTGGTGGTAACAGCAGCAATAACATCAACTCTACCGGTGGTGTTGTAAACAAGATTTTAGAATCAAAGTTATGTTATGTAGATGGTGGAGGTGTAACATTAAAAGATAAAAAAGTAGTTCAAGAGTTAATCATTAAATATGGTGGTTCCATCACTACTTTATTAAATCAAAAAGTATTGTATTTATAAAGAGAGAGAAAGTATAAGTGTTTGAAATAGATATTAACTAAACTATTACTCTCCATCTATCTATCTAGGTAAATTACTATATTTGTTGTATCAATGATTTAAATAGATTATCAAAAGATAATAATAATAATAATGATAACCAACAAGAAGGAGAAGAAGAGAATGATGATGGTAATGAATTATTAGATGTAGATGAAGATGGTAATCAATTGGAAAAGACACCAAGAAAGAAAAAGAATATGTTTTTGGATGATTTATCATTCAATATTAGAAAGGCATTAAAGTTTAATATACCAGTGGTCACTAAACAATATGTAGAGGATTCTGCTCAATTTGGATCTTTACTATCACCTGATGAATATGCATTGGCATCACTGTACAACATTAATGAACATCACTTTCAATCATTGGATTTTGGAAATCTTTTGGACGACGGCAATGGTGCAACTGCTGCTGGTGGTGCTACGGCTGGAGATAAATTCTCACAATTAAAGAGACATGTATACAAGTCAATTGCTGGAGATACACCAACCTTTCCAGAAGACAAGTATCATGTTGTTAAATACAGTTTGTTGACCAATGGAGGTACAAAGGAATTTGCTTGCATTGAAGTGCATGCTGCCGGTGGAACATTGTCACTCATACAAATTGGTGATGTCAATACTGTCGTATCTAATGAAAGAGATACGAATGATCAGTCGTATTACCGTGTATTCCTCCACCAAGGTCGTACTACTGATATTGTTGGTACTTCTAAAAAGGAGTGGATCAGTGCCAGTTCGATTGCCGACGCACTCTCTATCTACAACTATTTAGTCGTTCAATATTCGGTCACTAAACCAGGATACCAAAAACAAACAATGATGACATTGTCTGTAGGTTCTGATAAACTAACTGCACAGAATCCATTGCAACAATCGTCGACATCACTACTTCAACCAGAGATACAACAATTGGTTGGTACATTGTATAATGAAGCTATTGCAAGTTTGGAAGACAAGATGGATGCCAAATCAAAGGGTAAACTATCACTCACTCCAGAGGGTTCACTTCAAACGCCACTGGGAACAGTGTCATTGCCACAAGTTGAAAAGGCAGAGTTGGTACTCACCCAAATTGCCACTGCACTTGAATCAGGAACACCTACCTCTGACCCAGTTGTAACCAAACTCTATCAAGAGTTGTATGGTCATATTCCACAAGCTCGATCATCACCTGAATCATCTCTTGGTGACATTCAAGATATGGTACAATTGATGAAAGATCTTTTAAATGTTGGTGAATCACTAGGTGTCTCTAATGCCACCTCAAATCCAATCGATACTAGATACCGTGCCATGAGATGTAATATCTCTCGTATTGACTCTACTTCAAAAGATTTTAAAAAGTTATCATCCCAAGTTAATTTAAATCCAAATCATGTATGTAAAAAAATAATAATTAACAAGTATAATAATAATAATATTTATTTTCCTTTTAATATTAATTCTATCTTTTATTTTATTATTTCTTTTTTAGAAAATGAATATTAAAAATATATTTAAAATTGAAAGAAGAGATGAAGAGAATTTAACATTTAAAGTTCAAAATGTAAAGACATTGTATCATGGTAGTAGAACAAGTAATATTTTAGGTATTTTGTCTCGTGGTTTGTTGACACCAAAGTTGTCGGGATCGGTAGCAGGTGCAAAGAGACGTGATGCAGGTTATTTGGGTGCTGGTATTTATTTTGGAACCAATGCAAATACTAGTTATCAATATTGTGATACTCCTGTCATTGCATCACCAAATAGATTCATGTTGATGTGTCGTGTCGCATTGGGAAGCACAAAGAAATATACAAGTCATCAAACACAGCTTGTCGAACCACCACGTGGTTTCAACAGTGTCCAAGGTGTCGCCAAGAATGACAATAACAACTCTCAATTTTCAGACGATGAAATGGTCATTTTCGATCCAAAGCAACAAACATTGCAATATCTAATCGAATTTGAACCACAAGACAAATCTTTAAAGCCAATACCTCAATCAACTCTAAAGATTGAAGAAAAGCCTGTCATCCCATCTGTTATTGATAGTGATGTTGTTTCATCTACTGTTCCACCAAAATCAAAACAAGAAGAGGAACAAGAAGAGGCAAAAGAGTCTGGTTTGATTGGTGGAGGTGTTCAGATTCCACTAAAGGCTGTTCATGTAAGAGCCAAGTTATTGGATCTCATTGGAGAGGTTACCATCTACCAACACTACAAGAATACCTCATCCAAACCAATAGAAGCCAAGTATGTATTCCCATTGGATGAAATGGGAGCTGTATGTGGTTTTGAAGCATACATCAATGGTAAACATATTATTGGAGAGGTAAAGGAAAAGGAAAAGGCTCACAAGGAATATCGCCAAGCTATTGCCGAAGGTCATGGAGCTTATCTAATGGACGAAGAGAAACCAGATGTGTTTACAGTCAGCGTTGGTAACTTGCCAGCCAATGCAGAGGTACTCATCAAGATAACCTATGTCACTGAGCTGAGTGTCGACGGTCTCGACATTTCATTTGTTCTACCTGCCAGTATTGCACCTGCTCAGAGACAACTATCGGGTGCTCAATTCACCCAAGCCACCACTTCTACCGTCCAAGTATCCGATGATTCACAAGCCAATCTATCGGTTCAAGTAGGTCTTGAAATGCCATACAACATTGTAAAGATTGTGTCACCATCACATCCCATTCGATTCAAAAAGACACATACCAAAGCAACGGTAGAACTAACAAGAGACAGTAAGGCAACCGACACTCTATCACTTGGTAAAAACTTCCAATTGTTGATTGGTCTGGAGGATGTATATTCTCCACGTATGTGGGTAGAGGTTGACAGTAAAGGACATCATGCTTCCATGTTGGCTTTCTATCCAAAGTTGGATTTGGATACTGGTATTGCTGATGCAGATTCAACTCCACCAACCGACATCACCTTCCTCGTCGATTTGAGTGCTTCGATGCGTGGTGACCCATTCCAAGACATGTTGAGAACACTTCGTATGGCAGTACAAAACCTCCGTGGTATGAATGTACGTTTCAATATCGTTCAGTTTGGTGATATTTACGATTGGCTCTTTGCTGAAAATGTTGCACCGACCGATGCCAATCTCCAGATTGCATGGAACCATATCAACACCAAGTTGCAACCAAGCTATGGTGGTACACAACTTTTACTGCCACTAGAGTCACTCATCCTTCTCTCTTCCAATGCCACACCCACTCGTCCAAACAATATTATACTCTTGTCCGACGGTAATGTCTCTAACGAATCGACAATCCAACAATTGGTCAAGCGTGCATCATCATTTTGTCGTATCTTTTGTTTTGGTATTGGTGAGAATGTATCTCGTCACTTTATCAAATCGATTGCTCGTTTGGGTGCAGGTCAATCAGAGTTTATCACACCAAACAAACGTCCATCGGCCAAAAAGATTATCGACCAACTGCAACGTTGTGTCCAACCGGCAATGAGCAATGTCTGCGTCAAGTTTGACTCTACCGACAAGATTGAACAGTCGCCATCAGTGATCACATCCATTTTCCGTCAACAACGTCAAGTGATCTATGCATTCTCGGGTATTTGTACACGTGCCACACTCACCTGTCAAGCACCTGGCGGTGGTCTGCTCACCAACACTGTCCACACACCAGAGATTGGATTTATTCGTGGCAGTTTGATTCACAAGTTGGCAGCTCGATCCATGATCAGAGAGTACAATGACGGATCGTACAGTGAAAACAAAATACAACACGAAAAGATTAAACTTGCCAAAAAGAGTGATGTCATTGATCTATCGATTCGTTACTCGATCGTCACTCAATTCACTTCGTTTGTAGCCGTAGAGAAACGTGAAAAGAATGAACAACCACTCAAGAATGCACCACCACTCAAAGAGATTGTCGATCAATACAAGGTTGACGCACTACCATACATCCCCTTCCAAGATGAGCATGATGCCGGCAATGGTGTCGACAATGAATCCGATCCAACCATGCTCACCAAACGTCAACAACTTGAGAATCTCATCGAGGAGAGTAAAGACAATAACCAAACACTCCGTATTTTCCATCAAATAGCAGATACTTTTGGTGATTTCAATAATAGAGAAATCAATCTATTGGCCGAATCAATTGATTCATTCCTCACCGTGACTCAATCAAAGATTAACAAACAAGTGCCACAACCCACCACCCCGTCATCCAAACCAGCCACCCCATTGGCTCTCAACAAGTTAAAGAGAGAAAAGCAAAAGGCAATCGACGAGTTAAACTATCAATCTCAATCTATTCTAAGATTGATTGATTCATCATTGACCAAGTGTACCATTCAAGAACATGCAATTGTTTTGTTGGAAAAGAATGCTGAAATCATGGATGCATTGTCCAATGTCGAGAGTAATGACATTTCCAGAAAGTCGGTCATTGAAAAGACAAAAGAGATTTTCGATCGTGCCCTTGGCAAGTCTCAACAATGTCTACCTCCCAATTCCACAGTCCATCTACGTCTTGTTAAAAAGGTAGCCACCTTTTATAAAAAGATTGGAAAACCGGAAACAGCCATTCAATTGGCTAAAAAGTCATTTGACGATGCAATCAGTGAATTGGATACACTTTCAGAGGATAGTTATTCAGAATCGACACTCATCTTGCAAACTATTCGTGATGATCTAACAGATTGGACACAAGAGGAAAATGGACCAACAACATTGATCAATCTAACACCATCTAAAAAGAAACCACAACAGTCTTCAACAGAGATTGATCTCGATCAACCAACACCATCTAAAATCAATCAATGGTCAATTGTTGGTGGTGCTACATTGGACAGTTATCTTGTTACACCAGAGAAACCAAAACAAAGTTGGTCTGACATTATGGATGAAGAAGATGAACATGACATGAGATATGGCGAAGGCGGTGAAGCTGCTCCATATGATAATTCTTGGGGTGGTGGTGGTGAATTATTAGCTCCTAAAGCAAAATTCAAAGAAGTACTCGAAAAGAAAAAGTGTAAAAAGGAGTCGAAGCCATCTTTGAAAGAAGATAGAGGTGGGGCAGTCAGATCAAGAGAATCTCGTATTGTTTCACATGACTATGCTCAAAGTTTCGGTTCATATGCTCCACGTGATGATGCCCCAACTTATTTACCAACTTATTCAAGTTATGAACCAAGTTATGAACCAAGTTCTCCAAGTTATGAACCAACTTCACCAAGTTACTCCCCAACTTCTCCAAGTTACTCCCCAACTTCACCAAGTTATTCACCAACTTCTCCAAGTTACTCAGCTGCAGGTAATCTATCATACTCTGCAAGTAGTTCATCATTTTCAAGTTCAATGTCAGCAGGTGTACCTACAACATTGTTTGGAGCTACATCAGTACCATTGGGAGGAATGTTTGTCCAACCAGCTGCCAGATCATTTGGTGGCAACGGTATGATACACCTACCACGTGGTAAAGCTTTGGTTGGAGGACCACCACCACCACCACCAACAACAAGTGCCCCTCCAAGACCAACTCTAGCCCCCATCACCAAGTCTGCTCCACCTCCACCACCACCACCAGGCAATGCACCACGTGGTGCTTCTGCTTTTGGTGCACCACCACCTCCACCACTACCAAGTGCTCCTAGACCACCAAGTGCCCCTCTAGCTGCTCCACCTCCACCAGTACCAGGCAATGCACCACGTGCTGCTTCTTCTCTCTCTGTTGCTGCTGTTAATGAATCAGAAAAGCAATCGTCTCTACTTGGTGCTATTAAAAGTGGATTCGCATTGAAAAAGACATCTGAACAAGTCAAAAAGGAGATAATGAAAGAGGAAGCAAAGTCTGATATGATGTATACTCTTGCAAGTGCTCTATCGAGAAGAAGACTTTCGTCGGCACTCATTGAAGAGGAAAATAATGCAGATCAAGACGACGATGAAGAATGGGATGATGATTCTGGTTTGGCATATATGACAGATTACCCTGAACCTGTAGCCGAAGAAAAAGAAAGATCATACGACCGAAAGACCATCATATCAACACCTTATGCTGCTGATGATGATGATTCTTCAGAGGGCGACATGGGATTCGATCTATTTGGCGATTATCCAGCTGAACCTATTGTTGTCAACAAACCAGCAGCTACTACTACCTCTTCTTCTTTTGCAACCACCTCTACTTTACCAATGGCTGGAAAAAAGATGTTGGCCAAACAAGTAGTGCAAGAAGAAGAGGAACAAGACATGGGTTTCGCAGATGGTGACATGTTTGACTTTTTCTCATCAACTCCAGTTGCCAGTGCTGCTGCTGCCATTGCTAGCTCCTCATCATCATCATCATCATATGCTAAGAAATCTGTGGTGAGATATGAAGAAGAAGAAGAAGAAGACGATGGAGCAATGGGATTCGGTCTATTCGATTATGAAGCTCCAACTCCTGCTCCTGCTCCTGCTCCTTCTCCTGCCCCTGCCCCACCTGTTAGTAGAGCCCCTCCTGCTCCTACCTCTCGTCCTAATTCAGTTACTTTGGCTCCTATCTCTAACCGATCTTTTGATATTCCTTCAGGTGCTTCATCTATTAGTTCGCTTCTCTCGAGTACTTTTGGATCATCTGCTGCTGCTGCTGACAAATCAATGCCAGCTCCCAAACCAAGTGGAATGATGAGAATGATTCCACAACAACAACAACTACAAGGACAACAACTAGTACTACAACAACAACTACAAGGACAACAACAACAACCACAAAAACTACAAAAGCAATTTTATTATCAACAAGCACAACCACAACAGGCACCATCTCCACAACCACAACAACTATCAGCTCTACAACAACAACAAGTACAACATTATCAACAACAACTACAACAACATTCACAACTTGAACTACTAGAACAAATCAATGGCAACAATAACAATAACAACATGTACAAGAACACAAACGTGAACAATAATATTGAGATGTCTAGAACTCTACCATCGTTCCTTTCAATGTTTGACTCTAGAGAAAAGAAAGCACAAGATATGGCCCCACCCAAATCCGAACTTTTAAGTACTGGTACTTCAGCCTTTAGGGACTCATTCTCAAGTAAAGGTGGAAGAGGAGGTTCTGCAAGTGCGTCAGCAAAGAGAAAATCATCTCGTGGTAAGGACACAACCATCACTCATTGTGGTTCAGAAACAGTTAGTGGTGGTACAGTAGAGACACTCATCCAAGTAGTAGATAGTCTATTGTCTAATGGAATCAGATGGAAAAAGAATGTTATACTTCCATTGATTGGTATCTCTGAATCTGATAGTTTTATCGTCAAACAAGGTGGTGAAGAAAGAATACTTGGTCAATTAGTAATGCTCTTTTTGATTCTTCTAAAGGACAAATCGAATCAAGCAGAAAAGCTACTCCATCAACTATCACAAATCTACAGTTACCCATCAACCAATTCTCATTCTCCAATCTATCAATGCCTTTCTCGTAGTACTTTTGTTCATTTATTGGAAATATAAATACACACATTGTACAAAAATAATATGAAATAAATAAATTAATTAATTAATAAATTAAATTTAATAAATAAATAAATATATCAACCATTTCTTAAAAATCTGTTGAATTAGTAGAACAGATCGAGTTGTCCTGTTCAGTTAACCTGTTGTACAAGGTTAAACAGAGATAAAAAAATGCCTCCCTCAACATCCTCCTTCTTGGTATCTATAGTTGATTCTCTGGAAAGATGTATACAGACCAATAAGATACAAAGGAATTGGATGTAGAACCCCCCCCCCCCCCCCTTTGATCGCGAAAGATGATCATTAAATATGTATGTTTAAAATAACATAAAAATAATTATTATTTTATTATTATTAATGTTTTGGAATACAATAAGTCGACTTAAGCCAAGCTGCCTTGTTTGAGTTGGCAGCAATGAGCGTGACCATAGTCATTTGCCGATTGACAGTTGAGCAGCAGCAGCAGTAGTCGACTACAATGTTATAATGATAAACGAGTTTAATACCTCACCTCTGCGCCACACGTCAAAGGTGAACAACCATCATCAAAATGCTTGGCAAAAGAGAATTGAACATAGACCAACAATCGAATTCAATTTGAGGTATTGAACTCGTTGATCATTATAACATTGCAGTCGACTGATTAAAAGTGATCAGCCACGGTAGATGCCTTGAAGACGGTTGGACAACCTCTACTGCCGTTGTGGCTAAACTTGCCAGCTCCAAAATCTATATTAAAAAGACAAAACCACCACGTTAATGATTAAACTGTATCATCATTAAACTACACTTACATATTACACTGTTCTCCCCGACAAACTTTGGCCAATCAGCTTCATAAATAAACATGATTGTGTGAGAATATAATCTCTAACCATTATCTTGTGAGCGTAGTTGTATCATCTAGTTGATCGGTGGCAATGATGATGAGCTGTACATCTTTGAATAGTACTATTCATATCATTAGGGAGTAAATCTGTCCTGTCGTATAGATTTATGAGAGAAAAGTTGAAAAGATAATAGATATATAAAGTCAACTTGAACCAAAGTAAGATAAAGATCTGGTCAAAAAAATTGTACTGAAAAAAAAAAAAAAAAAAGAATCAACTCACCCTATAACTTGCTTGTTTGTATGACACCATTATAATAGACAGCAGATAGATACTCTACTCAACAATATATATAAAAGGATAAACATAACAAATAGTAGTAGTAGTAGGCAGGAGCAGAGCAGAAAGTAGTAGTCGAACAACAAACATAAAATCTGTAAAACTATTCTTATAGCATATCATCATCGTCATCATGTCACTACCCAATTCTGTAAATATAGATTTAGATATATTATCATTCATCATCATCATGTAGTTAGAATTTAAACTAATAATATTCTATTTGTTCTATCATAGGGATCACCAAATGGAGATTCAATGTTATATTCATCTCCTCGTTCAGGAACATCACCTGCAAGATCAAGTATGACATATAGTATTCATAGCAAATAATATATATATATATATATATATCTGTATTTCGTTAACATTTCAATCTATTATATTTATTATTATATGTATATATTATAATTATTAGGTATTGATTTAGCAAATAGAAAATCACATCATAAAGCAGCAAAGAATATCTTACAAAATTTGAATCGTACAAGTAGTAGTGGTAGTTTTGGTAGCAGTGGATTCATGCCCAAACCAAATAGTTTCTATCCAAGTACTCCACCACAAAGCAGCAGTAATCTGCATCAATCCACTGGTGTCGATGAGGTTGGCTCTGGACAATCACCAGATATACCCCTTTCACATTCATCGGCTGGTGCTGCAAATGACAATGGTGAAAAGATTGATAAATCATTGTGGACTGTTAGAGCACTCAAAGAACACCCAGAGATTGCTGATCTCTACGATAGAATCAAACCAATCAATAGATGTATAGCTTTGGGTCAGTGTTATGCCTACGAAGAGACACTTGCAAATGATCCGCTTATCGGTGGTGATTCAATGATTCAATTGATTCTTCAACATTTACAATATGAAGGTTTATTAAATTCTAGAAAGTCTTTAGAAGAAGAAGCAAATGTAAAATGTATGTAAAGGAAAAGACAAAAAGAAACAAATAATAATAATAATAATAACACCAACTAATCATTCTAAACTCCTTGTTTTATTTTTATTTAGATCCAGACTATGCATTTAATGAAAGTAGATTAGTAACTTTAATTAGAACAGCTTTGAAAGATTCTGAAAAGATTTTTGGACTAACTTTGGATGAAAGACAAAAGGATGCTCAACAATCATTAGAAGAACATCTTGCTTTTTTGGGTTTATTATATGAAGGTAAGAGAGGGAGAGAAAAGAAGGAAATATATTTGTATGTTATGAATCATTTATTGATTTTTGTTTTATTTCTCTCTTTTTTATAGAACCTGTTGAAATGGAAGATGCAAATATTTATGATGAACCAGATTCCAATATTTTGTATGTTGAAGAAAAGGATAAAGAAAAGGAACAACAACAAGCAATGGCAGCTGCACAAAATGGTACATCACCACCAGCAGGTATTACACAATCGACATCGTTGAGTGGAGGATTGGGAGCATCGATGACTGGTACACCATCCAATCCAACCACACCACCAAGCCATCCATCACCATCAATTCTTACACAATCAGGAGGTATTCCATTACCAAACAATCTTAGTAGCGCCAGTCTCTTATCAAGCAGCAGTAGTATCAACCACATGAATATGAACAACAACAACAACAACAACGATCCAAGTAACAATATCAAAGCAATCAAGGCAGCTTCACTCAACAAATTGGTTATCCTTTTGGCACCAGAAAAGAACCACGATCTCGAATATACAAAGATCTTCCTCTTGACCTATCAATCGTTTACCACACCCGAGAAGCTTTTACAAAAGCTCATTCAACGTTACAATGTACCACAACTAGCCGGACAAACAGAGGAAGAATGGAAAAAGATTGCCATCTACATTCAACTTCGTGTTGTCAATGTACTCAAAAACTGGGTCAAGGAGAGTTTCTCTGACCTCAACGACAAGATGATTCAAACCATCAAGGCATTTTGCGAAAACCTCCGTCACGAAGGTAACCATTCACACTCTGTTCGTATCATGACAACGCTAAACTCCAAGATCAAGGGTGGTTCTGAAGAGGATGAAGACGACAAAAAGAACAAGGTCGTCTTTACTACACCGGCACCAGAACCAAAGGTACCAAAGAATATTTGGTCTCAATCACTCGATATTCTAGACGTTGATGATGAAGAAATTGCTCGTCAACTTACACTTATCGATTTTGAAATGTTTGCTGCCATCAAACCAAGTGAACTTCTCAATCAATCGTGGAACAAACCAAAACTTCGTCACCGTTCTCCCAATGTTTTGGCTCTCATCTCTCGTTTTAATGAAATCTCTTCTTGGACTGCTTCAATGATTTTGAATCATGACAAGGTTAAAGATAGAGCAAGAGTTATGGCTAAATTTGTTAAAATTGGTGAAGTATGTTAAATTATAAATAGATATCGTGATTAGATAATAGATACTAATTAATCCTTTTTTTCATTTAGTTTTTATTAAAACAATTAAATAATTATAATACAGCAATGGCAATTTTATCAGGATTAAATCAATCTGCTATTCATAGATTAAAGTTTACACGTGAAGAAATGCCAAAGGCCGTTCAACAATCATATACCGATCTACAAGCTCAACTATCCAATGCCTTTTCCTACAAAGTATATCGTGAACTTTTGGCCAAAGCCAATCCACCACTCCTGCCCTATCTCGGTGTTTGTCTTACCGATCTCACCTTTATCGAAGATGGTAATCCCGATTTCATTGGTAATTTGATTAACTTTAGCAAGAGAAGATTGGTCTATAATGTAATCTCTACTGTACTCGGATCTCAATTGTCTCGTTACAACCTTCAACCAGTATACCAAATATCTAAACTCTTGAAAAATCTTAAACCTCGTTTCGATGAAGAGGATCTCTATCGTAGATCTCTTAAATTTGAAGCAAGAAACAAAGAAAGAAATGAAATCTTGTAATCTTATAACAATAACAACAACTTAACCCCCCCCCCCCCCCCCTTTCCACACAAATTACAACCAATAACAATAACAACAACAACAACAATAGTAATATTATTAATATTTTGTATTTTTTCCCCAATTCCATGTATAAATACTACTTTTAACATCTTTTTAAAAAATAAATAAATAGTAGTTTTTTTTTACTTTACAATAAAATGTGGTGATCATCTCTTTTCGGTCGGGATAATATCCACGAAGGCGGTAGATAGATTGGGAAATGGTATCTTGAGTGACTCATCAGCCGACTGCTGATCTGCAACGACCGAGTCTAACAAACGAGCATCACGATGCAGAGGTACGCCCGTGGTTCGGTAAATTGCTCTGACCACCCAAAAAATTTGTGCGAACTCAAAACTGATCTTATTCTTTTTTGTTGTTCTTGCAAACGGATGAATCATCATAAACATTTAATTTAATTAATAGTTTTATTTTTATCACTAGTAAAAGGTATACCAACCATCTCTTATTAATCATTTTTATTTATTTTTCTTTATACACTCAAGTACTACTTATATATTATAACCAACCATGGTAAGAGAGATGTGTAGTGTAGCAACTGAAGTTCACATACAACGTATTTAATACTAACTCTTCATTCATTCTACCTATTATTACTATTACTATTATTATTAGTCAACAGAAGAATTTATTGGATGCAGATCATTAGAGACTGTAGATAAAGATGTATTCAACTTGATTGGTAGAGAAAAGAAAAGACAAACTGATGGTTTGGAATTAATTGCTTCAGAAGTATGTAGTGTTTTTGTGTTTTACTCTTTCTTTGTTGTTTATATAATATAGATCTATATACTAATATATATATTTATTTATTTATTTCTAGAACTTTACATCAAAAGCAGTTATGGAAGCTATTGGATCACATTTTACCAATAAATATGCTGAAGGATATCCAGGTGCTAGATATTATGGTGGTGCTGAAGTTGTCGATGAATTGGAAAGATTGTGTATCGCAAGAGCTTTGAAATGTTTCCATCTCGACGAAAAGGAATGGGGAGCCAACGTTCAACCATACAGTGGATCACCAGCCAACTTTGAAGTATATACTGCTCTTCTCCAACCACACGACCGTATCATGGGACTTGATCTCCCATCTGGAGGTCATTTGACACACGGTTACCAAACCGCTAAAAAGAAGATTTCAGCCAGTTCTGTCTACTTTGAATCGATGCCATACCAAATCGGTGCCGATGGTTTGATCGACCACCAACGTCTCCAAGAGAATGTACACCTCTTTAAGCCAAAGCTCATCATTTGTGGTGGCTCTGCATATCCACGTGAATGGAACTATGCCAAGTTCCGTGAGATTGCTGATAGTGTCGGTGCCTATTTGATGTGTGATATGGCTCACTATTCTGGTTTGGTTGCTGCCAACCTCCTCGACTCGCCATTCAAGTACTGTGATGTCGTTACCACCACCACTCACAAGACTCTCAGAGGTCCACGTTCCGGTATCATCTTTTTCAAAAAGTCAATCCCCGAAATTGAAAACAAGATCAACTTTGCCGTCTTTCCAATGCTCCAAGGTGGTCCACACGAAAATGTCATTGCTGGTGTTGCCGTTGCCCTCCTCGAAGCCTCTCAACCTGCTTTCCACGAATACGCTGCTCAAGTCCAAAAGAATGCTCGTACCATTGGCGAGAATCTCATTGCCAAGGGTTACAAGTTGGTGACTGGTGGCACTGACAACCATCTCGTCTTGTGGGATCTCCGTCCACAAGGAATCACTGGCAACAAGTTTGAAAAGGCTTGTGATGCTGCCAACATCACTGTCAACAAAAATGCTGTCCACGGTGATGCCAGTGCTCTCTCCCCAGGTGGTGTCCGTATCGGTGCTCCAGCCCTCACCTCTCGTGGTTTCAAGGAACAAGATTTTGTAAAGGTCGTCGAATTCCTCGATCGTATCCTCAAGATTTGCATTGACATTCAAACCAAGGTTGGTCCAAAGTTGGTCGATTTCACTGCTGCCCTCGAAAGCAACCAAGAAATCAAAGAAATTAAATCTCAAGTTGAATCATTCTCTAAACAATTCCCATTACCAGGTATTTAAACCAAACAAACCTAACAATAATAATAATTAAAAAGAAGTATCATTCTTTTTTTTCAAAACAAGTAACCAGCCATCTCATCATATGTGTTATATATATACGCTTGTGTAAAAACAACATATTTAAAATAATTAATAAATAAATTTAATTATCCTGTCTTTTTTTTTAAAACCAATAATATTATTAAAAAGGACTCTAGAGCGTAAACTTACACTACAACATTTTGGAATGCCCTAAATCACCTTCGTTTTTAAATTCCTTTTTTGGAAGACGGTTCTCCCCCTCAAAACTCGAATTTTTCTCTATGTTGTCACAAAATCGATTAAAACTATAGAATTATTAAACAAACACCTCTTCTTGTTTAAAAAGTGTATTAAAATTAATTTAGAATAATAACATTACAACATATAGATTTATAACATTAGTGTAATTTATAACATTATATATATATAATATTTAAAACTAGATAGATAGTAGTAGTAGACAACAAGCAACAACAACAACAACAAGAGTACACATCAATTTTAAATCCTCTATCCTCTCTTTTTTGTGTTGCTGTAGCTTAAGAGCTAACTTACTTTTCTCTTCTCTCTCAACTATATATATATATATATATTACGAAAATGAGTAACAATAATAATAATAATAACAATAATGATAATAATATGCATTATGGTGGAGAGGTTTATTTAGAGAATAACGGTACTAGTAATGGTAATCGAAAAGATGAAGATATGATATCAAAGATTGATAGTCTAGAGGAAAAGGAACGATTGATTAAACAAAAGTTAGCTAGTCTAAACTTGAACACTGATATCAATCATCCACCAAAGTATGAAATACCTTTTATGGGTATGGGTGGATCACCTATTCAAAGTAGTAATGACGTATCAAATATAACAACAGACAATATTCATCATAGTAATAATAATAATAATCATATAAAAAATAGTAATAGTAATAGTAATAGTAACGGTAATGGAAACAATACCATTCAACATAGTAATGGTAGTCCTACTATAAGTAAATCAGGTAATATGTTAAGTCAGAGTATGGGTAGTAATAGTAGTGGTGGTAGTATGAGTAGTACAGAGAAAAAAGCAAGAAGATTTTCATTGTATGTCTATCAACATCCAACCGACGAACAGAAACAACACATCTCTGAATTGTATGGCTACAAAGGACATCACGATCACGATGACATGGGTTATTCCTATGCTCACGATTCAAATGTAGAGTCTCTTGACGAGACTTCATCATCATCTGATGCTTCTTTTTATAAATCTCGTCAAAGACCAAGAACTTCTTCTTCTTCTTCTTCTTCTTTGAAACAACAAAGTCAACAAAGTCAACAAGTACCTCCAGCACAACATCAAACATCTTATCCATCATTACTTGAACAACAACAATCACCTTCAATGGAATCGTTAACATCTGCATCATCACTTGATAACATCAAACATATACCAACCGCAAATATATCATCACCAACCAATTCTCCTCAACTCGATTCATCAACTTCATCAAGTAATAATTATTTCTATGGAGTACCAACAAATAAAGATAGTAATAATAATAATAATAATAATCATAAACCACCATTTATAACACAATCACAACCAATTATATCAATGACTGCACCTTCAACAATAGATGATGTGGTTGGTCCATCTACACCACAACCAGCACCACATAAAACACCTGTATTGGCATTTCCTCATACCATTACACCTTATACGCTGCCATCGATAGAGACTGGCGAAATGAACAAAGTAAGAGCTTTGGAACCACCCGATAGAAATCATCTACCACAGTCCTACTTGTCGGCTGTCAAATCATCCTATGTCGATGCTCAAGCATCGTCAACAACACCACCCTACCCAAGAGTAGGTGCCGGCTACATGGCAGACGAATACGATGAAAAGGCTGCCATCCTAAAACCAGTACAAAAGGTACTGTCCACCGCCAAAGATTGGAATGCAGAGTTTCAAACATTGGTCAATAACAACAAAATGGAAGGATACAGAGAGATTAGTAAATTGGCACACGATTTTGTATACACTGCCAAAATCTATGGAAAGGTTATCATCTCTGAACTTACTCTACCTCTTCACCTCAAAACTATTAAACCAATCAATATTGGTGGTGTTGCCGGTGGTCATAAATATATTTCTTGTGGTATCTTATTTAAAGTAAGTGAAAAAAGAAAAAGAAAAAAGAAGAAAAAATATAATATAAATGTTTCTCTTTATTAACTTTTTTTTTTTTTTTTTTTTATTATCTATTTTAGTTGGCATTAGATTCACAAGGATTATATGCAGGTGATAAGAATGCAATGAAAGCAGCAGGTCATGAATTAAAGGGATTGATGAGTTATTACAATGCTAGAGTAGAGGATTTACATCATCCATTGATGGCATTGATCGACTATAGAGGTTATCGTTTGGTTGCCATGTCATTGTTACCAATCAATTCAGAGACTATTGTCTATGGTAGCAGTGATGGTGGTATAACAGTTCACAGCGAAGATCCTGGATTCAACGAAAAAATGAAACAATCAGCACAAGCTCTCAATCTTAAAGGTCATCTTGTTGGAAAAGATTCTCCAAGATTATTACATTCTTGTGGTGATATTGAAGGTCATATTGGTTCAGATGGTTTACATTATCTTTTAGATTTTGCAAGAGTTTATCCTCCAATTGTTAAAATTAATGATAATACTCCTCCTTCTCATTTATATGAATTAATTAGAGTATGTTGGATGGAAACAAAAATCTAAAAAAAATCTAAAAAATCAAAACTAAACCAAACACTTTTCTTTTTCTTTTATAGCCTGAATTAGTAAAATCAAATAAAAATCCATTATCATCAGATGCGTTAACCGGTTGGGGTAAATTTGATCCAAATTCTACAGAACATAATTGTAAGTAAAAAAAAAATTATAGAAAAAAAAAATCTCCTTAATTATTTTCTTATTCTTTTTATTTTTTTAGATGAAGTAAAAGAAGCATCATATAGATTATTTTTACAAGTTATACCAAAATTTGTTTATCATTTAGATCACATGGATTCAATGGAAAAAAGAGAATTACATCTTACACAAGAATTACATAGAATGGGAATTAATTGTAGATATTTGGGACTTGCTAGAAGATTGTTTACATGTAATTCACTTCGAAAGATCATTTTGGGTGAAATTTTAGCAAGAACAATGCGTAGTGAAATCATGTCACTATTTAGAGGCAAAATGAAAACAGCAGATACTCCTTCTGAAGAACCATTTAAAGAGGTGGTTGTTCATTACTTTAATACTATTTTTACATATGAACAAACTCCAAAAGGAAAAATCTGGCCTGATTCTATAAAGTATGTCAAAGACGTCGTAGAAACAAAACAAAAATGGAACCCATTTATTAATTAATCTTTTTTATTTTTTTCAATTTATTTTCATTTATTTTATATATATCATTAGGGAATCGATTAGAAAGAAATTTGTTGGAACTTTTCAAATTATTCCAAAATCAAGAGAGATTATTACATTTGAACAAATTCACAATAAGAAATTTGATGAAGATATGTTGAAAAAGTACATTAGAGGTGTAGATATCAAAGAGGAAGAAGAATTTTTTGTTGACCTCGTCGATATTCAATGGGTAATGAAGAGATTTAGTCAACTTACGGGTGTAGCTTTGACTAAAAGAGCATCTTCGGAATTGATGAAAAACGATGGTATTCGTTTGGTACAATCCGATGTTAAACGTATGAAGGCCAAGGTAAAGGCTCATCATCTTGTCGAGTTTGCCGAAGGTATGGTACTGTGGGATGAAGCCAAACAAGAACAAACACGTGAAAAGGACACTCAACAATGTCATTGTCCAACCGATGTTGACACTTCAAGAATCGCCGAACGTTTGATGAGTTTGGCCGATGATCATTTTAGAAGTGCTCTCTCTGTATCTCCTCACAGTGGTGAGGTATCTGCCAATTGGGCACTCATGTTGGTCGAACGTGCAAGAATGTCTCGTCTATGTAGTCCGGATATGGCTGATCTTCATTATGACGCTGCCGAAGACAAGTTACGTGCTAGTGTTTGTGATGGTGGACGTCCCAAGATTACACTCGACAATGTTTTACTCGAGTATGCCGAATTTCTTTGCATCAATGGTACACACAACAATATTGAATTGGATATGAACGAAGCAAATGGATTGCGTAGCAAAGTATTCTCTCGAGCAAGTAAAAAGATCATCGAAGCCATCAAGATTAATCCCTCCAAATTCCCAGTTGTACTCCAAAAATCACAATTTATTGAAAAGGGATTCCATACTTCTCAAAGTTTCAAAGAGTCGGCTGCCTATTATGCCGGTGCATCGACAGTACTCAACTGTTTGATTCAGTCGTTTGAAAAGTTACCAGAATCACACCACCGCGAAATTGCCGAAGCAATCACTCAAAATCTCTCACCCTTTGAGTTGCTCATGCAAGAAAAGGAAGCATCAGAGTCACCAGATCTTATTCATCGTTCAGTCTATGACAATGTATCACACAAGAGCTTTGTATCAAAGAAAAAAGACGAAAACGAAATACAAAAGCTTCTAGACTCTGATCCAATGTCAATCATTCGTATTGAAATGGGATGTGCCTATATTCGTTATGGATATCTATCACATGTCTATGGTATCATGTGTTCAAAGAGACCACACACCAAAATGGCCTCTATCAAATTACTCAAAAAGGCTGGAAGTCTCTTTCAAAAGGGTATCGACCTCGACCCATACAACCGTGACATTATTATCAACCACATTAAAAAGTTTACATCGTCGTCACAGTTTGTCGAATTTTACCAATCTGCTATTGGATGTCCATCGATTTTGGACTTTGTCGAGGATCGTCTCTTGAGAATTGCACACATGTCACTCAAGGACTGCAGTCATTTGCCAATCGAGTTTATCGAAGGTATCATTGAATACAGTCCACGTGTAAAGATGTTGGTGTTGGATGGATGCAAGCAAATCACAGACAGCACTGTCGAACTGATCGTCCGAAAGCTTCTACATCTCGAGACACTCAGTCTTGTCTCTTGTACAAATGTCAGTACCATCATTCCAACCAATCTCCTCACCAAAGACCACCACCCACTCCATTCTTCGTCTGCACCTGGATCGATTGAGAAGCAACTGTCCAACAGCGACAGTGGTCCCATCTCTCCACATCACACCATCAAGCATTGCTTTATTGACAAGGCATTGGGAAGAGCCAACAGCCACGTCAACAATCCAGTAGTTGCCTCTGGCACATTGGTATCATCACTCAACAACATTCTTCTCTTGTCCACTACGCTCACTCCACAATCACCACCCACAAACAAACCACTCACTCATTTGCACACACTCAACCTCACAAAATGTAAATCTATCACCGACGACAAGATCATTGCCATTGCCAACATGCAGTTGCCACTCGTCAATGTATATCTCAAGAAATGTAATATATCCGACCATTCAGCAGTCGCACTCATTCAACAATCGCCCAAGTTGGCTATCATTGATTTTTCGGGCTGTCACCAAATCGGTGATGCCACTGTCCACGCCATCGCCAACAACTGTCTCTTGCTCAAAGAGTTGTCAATGAACAAATGTCGCAACGTTACATCGTCGGCCATTGACAAGCTCTTTAGAAACCTCCACGACATTAGACTCATCAGTCTTGCACAATCTATTGCCTCTGCCTCTGACAATACACTCCGTCTCATTGGCAAGTATTGTCCCGACCTACAGTACGCCAACTTTACACACAATCCAATCATATCGGACCAAGGTATCACTGCAATGACCAAGTTTACAAACTCGCTCTTGGAACTTGACATTTCCTACTGTAGTTCAATCAGCGATGTTGGTATTGCCTATATCGCACAACATTGCTCGAAATTGAGAATCTTTAGAATGGCTAATCTCAACAACGTCACCTCGCTCAAGCCAATCGGTCGCGGTTGTCAAGAGTTGGTCGAACTCGATATCTCTGGCTGCCACAAGATATCGTCAGACTTGGGATGTATCACCAAAGGATGTACCAAGCTTACTAATTTCCGTTTACGTCGTTGTTATGGTCTCCAAGACGTTACCATGTTGTCAGAGGATGGTGAAATTCATTCAATGCCCAAACTCACCCAACTCGATTGGAGTTATGGAAACATTGAATTTCAAACCATACACTCGATCACACATTCCTGTAAACAACTTACCTCTCTCAACATTGCATTTTGCAAGAACCTTACCGACACTTCAATCGAACGTATTGCATCATCACTCACCAGTCTCAAGAAACTAAAGATTGATGCAGTCGTCAATATCACTGACGAAGGTATCAAAGCACTGTCTGAAGGTGCCATCTATTCGACTTTGGAAGTTCTCTCTTTGGTTGGATGCAGAAAGATTAGCGATGTCTCTGCTCACCACATTCTCCGTTTCCAAAACCTCCGCAAGATATCTATCGGTGGTTGTCTGATGACTACTGCTGGTGCCAATCTCATTGCATCGGAATCCTTTGAATTGGTCAAGATCCATGTACGACAATGTCTCAACATCAACCCAGTACAACTACAAGAAAAACATCCTCATATTTTAATTGATACCTCTCAAAAAGATACTATTTATTATGCCGAATAAAGTTATAAAATCATAAATATTAAAGTACAAATCAAAAAAAAGAGGAAATTTCAATCGCCATTGACAAAAAAGGAAATTATTATCGAATTACAATTAATTTGATTTTTTTTTTCAAACAACCCAACAACTAGTATTTGTGTAATAAAATTTAGTTATTATACTTTATAACATTATAAACAACAACAACAAAGAGATAGATAAGATGTCACTCAAAGGTAAAACCATTTTTATTACAGGTGCAAGTCGTGGTATTGGCAAAGAAATAGCTCTTAGGTAAGGATAGATCTAATAAACAAATAATCATCTGATCAATGTATTTGGTAATAATAGGTTAAGCTAACCTTCTTTTTTATCTATCCCTTTCTCTCTCTCTCTCTACTCTACCTCTTATATTATATTTAGAGCTGCAAAAGATGGAGCAAATATCATTATTGCAGCAAAGACAGCAGAAGCACATCCAAAGTTACCAGGTACAATTTATACTGCAAAAAAGGAGATTGAAGATGCAGGTGGTAAATGTTTAGCATGTATTTGTGATATTAGAAATGAAGAACAGATAGAGGCTGCTGTTCAAAAGGCTGTAGAAACATTTGGTGGTATCGATATTTTAATCAATAATGCTAGTGCAATCTCTTTAACTGGTACATTGGAAACCCCTTCAAAGAAATATGATCTAATGGTAACTAATTAATATGAACTAATCAGCTATCATTAGATCTCCTCTAACACTATACTCTCTATGTTTTTATTATTTAATTTCTATAGAATGGAATCAATGCAAGAGGAACATTCTTGACAACACAAAAATGTTTACCATATCTATTGAAATCAAAGAATCCACATGTATTAAATATCTCACCACCATTAAACATGGACAAGAAATGGTTCAAAGGTCATGTTGCCTACACAATGGCAAAGTATGGTATGTCAATGTGTGTGTTGGGTATGGCCGAGGAATTCAAAGGTCGTGTTGCTGTCAATGCTTTGTGGCCAAGAACCGCTGTATATACGGCAGCCATGGAAATGATTGGAGGTGGTGGTGAAGTCAAAGACCAATGTAGAAAACCAGCCATCATGTCTGACGCTGCCCATTGGCTTCTTACACAACCAATCACCTATACCGGTAATTTTGCCATCGACGATGATATCATTACCAAGGAATTGGGTATTACCGATTTGGATCAATACTCCTATACTCCAGGTGCCTCTCTTATCACTGATTTCTTCTTGGATGAAGAAATCCCAAAAGCTAAACTTTAATCAACAACTTTTAGTGTTACACTAACTATATAAAATATTTTTTAAAACAAGTCAACACCTCTCTTCTTAAATATATTAAACAAAATAGTAGTCGTCATTGTTGTTGTTGTTGTTGTGTGGTAGGAAACAGGCAACATCGAGATGAGATTGATGGTTTGATCGATGGATGTTTTGTATTGTATTTTACAAGCTTTTTTTTTTATACCTACACAGGTGAATTGCACCACCTCTCTACCAACATTTTCATTATGTTTGTTTTATCATCGACACCCAGAAATGCAAGACGTGTGAGATCTCTGGTTAAACCAACCAACCACACTGTGCACGAAAAACGTTGCATCAAAATAATTGTGAGAGAGAGAGAGAGAGAGAGAAGGTTGATTGAAAGAATAAACCAAATATGTTTTTTTCCTATAGTTTATTTTTGCAAAGAAATGAACAACAGTTTAATCTAAAAAGGAGGAGGAAAATAAATAATATTAAATAAAAATAAATAATCACCTCGAGCAATCAAAAAAAAAAAAAAAAAAAAAATTTTGGTGCACCAAAAAACAAAAAAATCAGAAAAGGGGTGAGCGAAAAACAGAGGTTTTGTGTTGAGGACACATCCACCATCAAAAAAGATCATAACCAAAATTTGTTAGCTAATAGTAACCCAAACAACAATAATAATAATATTATTATATTAATATTTTTATAACCAACAATCACTATCGATTCAAAAGGGCCTATCTCGGAGAGACACACACATATAACAACAGCAACAGCCAGCAGACGTTAAGATATCGATAGATAGATAGAGAGTAGAAACAACAAAACATAGTAGTAACGAATATCATCAACATCATCGCATCCTACCCTCATTTTTTATAATGTTGGTAGGTCACAATCACAACATCAACTAAATATCGATCATAGATAGTGGATTCACAACTATTCATCCCTTTTCTTCTTGTTACACAACAAACATATATCTTTTATAAATAGATTTCGGATTACGAAAGTATCATCATAAAAATGTTTAGTAATAATAATAATAATAATAATAATAATCATAATGGCAATCAATTCTTGGGGTCAATGCCACAGCAGCAGCAGCAACAACAACAACAAAACTATATTCAACAACAACAGTTTAATCAACAACAACAACAACATCACAATAACATGTTTATAAAAATGGATAACGAAGCAAGTCACCTTCATCATCATCAACAACAACAATTTAATCAACATGGTAACAATACATCATCATCATTAATACCATCACCTCTACCACTTTCACAACCATCAAGTAATATTACAGGATCATCAGAATTGTACGTATCTTTCTTGTTTTATTGTCTCTCTCGATGGAGCGAAGCTGATCGATCACAAGGACAAAAAAAAAATTAACTCACTCTTTTCCTTTCTTTTTTTTTTTTTTTTTTTTTTTTTTTTTCACCATAAAAATCTCATAAACCATCGGCATACAATCTTGATTTACTCGTTATCTATAAATATTTAGATGTTTTCTTCAAGATTTACAACAAAATATATTTTCACCACAAAGCAACATTCCAACACACATGGAAATGTTATCAAACTCTGGCAACTCTTTATTCAGTGGTTTGACGATGTTTTCCAATCTAAACTCATCACAACCAATCATAATGAATAACAGCGGTAGCAATCATTCTAATCTATTGGCTATAAATGAAAATATGTCTGAACAATTGGTTAAAGCAACACCAATCATAATACCAACTATTAATACTCCAATACCACCACCACCCCCACAACAACAACAACAACAACAACAACAAGTATCATTAACAAATAATAATAATAATAATAACAATAATAATAATGATGATAATAACGATAGTGATAATGAAATGAATGTTGAACAACCATCATCAAATGATAAACTTGTTGGAGTGAAAAGAATAGACCTGTCATCATCAACATCATCATTAAGTGAAGCAACTTCAACAATCTCTACCAATGGTGGTGGTGGTGGTGGTGGAATTCATATTAAAAAGAGAAGATATATTATTGACCAAAATCATATCTTTCATTGGACTCCTTATTGCTCAAACTATTGGCATAGAATAGTATCACCTTTTGGAACTGAATTGTAATTATCCAAAAAGAACAAGTACTCCTTTTGACTCATTAATAACCAACATTTCATTCTTTTTCTTTTTCCCTCTCTTTCTCAAAGACTCCCACCAACTTTGATTATTTTAGCAGAAAAAGGATTTTCATATAGTGAGGTTGATTCATCATGGGTTTATTATCGTAGAAACCATTTCCAACTCGGAGTATCTATACAACATCATTTTACCATTGATGACAATAGCCGGCCATTGGTTGAAATCAATTCTGTCACTTATCCAATAGAATCATTGAATATTGGAATCCGTGGTGTAAAAAGTACCGATATTGGCAATCCTGCAGAGGAAGTAGAGGTTGAATTGTACCAAACCAATTCAAAACGTGAAAAGAATGAAGAGAAACAACCACCTCTTATGCCAATCACCAACTGCAATACAGTAGCCATTCCTCGTCTTCATTTCAGAAAGGCAACTTCAAACAATGCTCGTAAACACAAGCTTCCAAACCCACAACAAGAATTTTTCAGATTGGTTATCACTGTTAGTGCTCGTTATCATCAAAGAGATTACTGCGTCATGTCTCTTATCTCCGATCCATTGATTGTTCGTACCGGTCATCCAACTTTAACTTTTGGTTCTTTATCATCAACAACCAAAATTAGCTCAAAGGATAACAATAATAATAATAGTAACTCTAATAATAACACTACTTCTACTACTAATAATAATACTAATTCAACAAGTGGTACACCAAGTGGTATACCAACACCAGAGGAAGGACTGTCGTCGCCACTTGTGTTGCAACAACAACCACAATTTTCGCCACTTGCAACACACTCGTCACCAAGAACATTACAACTTACACCTACTACTACAAACAACACACCCATTTTCACTCATTCCCAACATCATCATTCACCACTTATTGTAACACGATCACCACTCAATGCTTCGAGTAACCAAATTCCTCCTCCACCATCTCAACAATTGCCACTATTTAGTCTTGGCACAAATAATAATAATAATAATCATAATAATGTCACCACATCCACAATGACATCACCATCATCTCCATTGACAATGTTAAAGAATCATCAAGAAGAATCAATGACAACTGCCAATGTATCTTCTACCTCTTCAACTGCAACATCGGCTCAACAACAACAAACCATTATTCAAAACATTTATCATTCTCCACCATCATCATCACACAACTCACCTGATCAAGATCAATATAACCAACAATTACAACAACAACAACAACAACAAATCATTTTACAACAACAACAATTTAATACTACAAACTATCACCCATTACAACAACAAATCATTCAACAACAAAATAATACACCATCAAGTTCAACAACAGATGTAGAAAATGATTCACCACCTACTATAGGTACAACCTCAACAACAACAACAAATAATAATAATAATATTGAAGTCAACGGACAATGGGATCAAAATCATAGAGGGGGTATCTATCGATATGGTAATGTTGGTATTAACAATGCAGAGCCAAATGAAGCCCTATCGGTTCATGGCAACATTGCAGTTACTGGAACCACATACAATCCATCAGATAGAAGAGTAAAGAAAGACATTAAGCCAGTCAATACCAAGGAGCAATTGGAAAAGATCAAGAAGCTTCAACTCTATGACTACCAACTCACCGACCAATGGGCCAAAGATACTGGTATCACTGAAAAGAAGGAACGTGGTGTTTTGGCCCAAGAACTTCGTGAGGTTATACCCAATGCAGTCAAGGAAACTGGTGACAGAGAACTCTCAGACGGAACAGTTCTCAAAGACTTTTTAATGGTCAACAAGGATGCCATCTTTATGGAAAACGTTGGTGCCACCCAGGAATTGTCTAAAAAGGTGGACAATGTTTGTATTGAACTCGATATTCTAGACAAGAAAAAGATCGAGGTACTTGGAAACAAGGTAGGAGAGTTGGAACAACAAACAATACGAGAGATTGAAAAGAACCGAAAACGTAAAAAGATCTTTATCACTGTCGGTATTATCACTGTCTTTTTAATCCTTTCATTGGTTGCCCTATCTGCTATATTGGGTACCCTCAAGTCTGGCATTGGAGATGTTAATATCCCATCGACAGGTGGTTTCCTCAATACCGATTCAAGTTGTGACTCTGCTCTCTGTAATACTACGGCCACAACCAACTCAACAACCACCAATACAGCCAGTGCGACCACTCATGGCGCAACCACAACCACCCCTACAACCACCGCCACTGATACAACAACTGGAGTAGACACTACAACAGCTACTGCCACTACAACAGCCGCTCCAACCACTACAACAGGTCTATCTACAATTGTTTCATCAGTTCCAAGTGATATGGCTACCACCACCGATCAATCAACTTTAATTTCTCTTTCACAACATTTATTAAATCTTTATATAGGTACCTAAAACTCTCTAATATTAGTAATATATTAAAAAATAAAATAGAATTGTATAATACCAAAAAAATAGAGAAGAAATATATTTATTGATATATGTTAATTTATTGTTGAGTAGATAATAATTTAATTGCATTGACCAAAGTAGTATGTTCAACAGAGTGCATTCTTTCTTCTAAATCACTTAGAGTATCCTCTTTTTTAATGTCTACATTTGCAGTGAGTATTACTTGACCTGCATCAATCTCTTCGATTACTTTGTGAACCATTAGACCAGTGTGATCAATTTCACCCTTTTGAAAGGATTCATAGGCACGTTCAATGGCGTGTGCACCAGCAAACTGCCCAGGCAAAGCGGGATGAAGATTGATAACGTCAATGATGGGTTGATTCTTTTCAAACTCTACTAAAAAGCTTGCTGGCAAGATGATCATCCAACCAGCCAAAACAATCAACTTTGGATTGTATTCTCTTATGATCTTTGCCAACTCTATACCATAGTCATTACGATTTCTAGATGCATCATCTTTCAAGTACTTTTGTAAAGAGAATACTCTTGTGGCTATATTGTGTTTCTCTGCTCTCTTTAGACCAAATGCTTCTGACTTGTTTGAGATGACAGCACTAATAGATACTCCTTCCAGTGTCTTGTTTTCAATTGCATCTATGATGGCTTGCAAATTGCTTCCATTACCTGATATTAATACAACTATATTAAACATAATATATAATATTTCCAGCGAGAATTCACTTCAGAATGATCATTCTGAAGTGGTGCCCATTTTTAAATAAATTACTTGTTTGAAAAGGCGTAGAAAGAATCCTTTTTTTTTTTCTTTAATTTTTGCGCAACAAAACATCGTTTGATAAGTGCCGCATTCCGAAATAATCTACACATCATTTCAATATATTATTTTTGATCAAAGTTGTACAACTATAGAATGAATACAGCAGAGATTATAGCTATAGCCTGTGGAGGTGGTATATTGATCATTGTGATCATTGTATTCATTGCATATTATTTCATCAGTAAAGAGTATGAAGAATCAGAAATAATAAACAAGAGGAGATCTTTAAATATCCTTCTTTTTACTAATTAGATATGTATTTTATTTTATAGTCGTAAAAAGTATACACCATTAGAAAAAGGAAATGTTTTTGTTTATGAAAGAGATAATTCTCAACAGATCAAAGGTAATATATAATCATGTGATTAATTCATAGAATAGAAAAACAAATATCTTACCATTTTTTCTTTCTAAAAGAGGATACAATCATAATGAATGCAAGATTTTATCTTAGATCTACTATTTATAGTCTTGATAGACAATTGCCATCGATTGGTTCTAGAACAGACAAAAACTACTTTTCAGTTGTTGGCACCAATCCTACAAATAGATTAGACAATGAAAGAATAATGTCTATGGTTCCAGTATCAAATCAATGGCCAATTCCATTATCTACAGAGGTTGGTAGAAATACCTATCGTACACTTGTCAAATCTTTAGAAGTAAGAGAAAAAAGATGGAGAAAAAAGAAAAGAATTCTTTTTTTTTAACATTCTTTCTTTTTATTAGATTCATCCATTTATTAGTGTACCATTATTGGTAGATTATTTACCAGATAAAAGATGTGCAGTTTCAATTAGACCTTTTTATGCAAAGGGTTCATTGAGAGATTTTATTCATCAAGCAAAACCAAAGATGAATTACAAAGACAAACATCGTGAAACATTCCAACTCAACGAAAAGCTCATCTCAAAGTTTGGTAGACAAATACTAGAAGCTTTAATGTTTATGAAACATCATAATTTCCCCTATTTCCATTTAAATGCTTCAAATATTCTTTTAGATGAACAAAATATTTTGTATGTAAATTAAAATTAGAATAATATAATATATCTAACTTTTTTTCTTTTTTTAGAATAAGTGATTATGAAAATGCATTTTTAGGATTAAAACCAAGATTATCAAATATTCTTTCATCTTATTCATCAGATTTGGATCCAGAGGTATTATGTTTTGGAACTATTTTATATGAAATGGGATGTGGTTATGAACTAGAATCAAAACAATCAATTGAAGTTGGTATTCCATCTCATTGTCATCAAGAAGTTAAAAAAGTAAAACAAAAGAGAAAAAGAAATGTTTTTTGTTTAGTTTTATTAATCATTCTCTCTCTTTTAGATTTTAGAATCAATTTTTAAACCATGGTATGGAAATCCACCATCATTGGAAGAATTATCAAAATTGGATTTCTTTTCTTATCATAAATTTAAAAATCTACCTATTCAACGTATTACCCACTCTTCGAGAGAAAAGGAAATGATAGAGGCAGCCAACAAATTGAACAAATCTTTTATCTCTTCTCAAAAAGCAGAGAGTGTACCATCAATGAAGGAATTTAAGAAACAAAAAAAGAGAAAACAATTGACATTTGTACCAGTTGAGATTAATCTTTCTCAAACAAATCTCAATGTCTCTTCTTCAAATCCCCAACCATTTTCAACTTCCTCTTCCTATACTGGTAGTCATTTCTCAAATTCCATGCCATCTCTATCTTCTTCATTTTCAACAACCTCTACTACCCCAACTACTACTACTACTACTGCTTCTACTATTTCAACCACCACTCTTTTCAATACTCCTTCAAAGCCAACTAGTTCCTCTGCTGGAGGTCCACCAGCCCCACCACCACCATCTGGAGGCCCACCACCACCTCCTCCTCCTCCACCACCACCACCAGCTGGAGGTCCACCACCACCACCACCTCCACCATCATCAACCCCATCAGGATCGGGAGGAGGTAGAAAGAATTTATTATCATCAATTGAAAGTTTCAAATCTGGTTCATTGAAAAAGACTAAAACCAAAGATAGTAGTACTCCAAAGTTTAAATAAACTATAGTCTTTCTTTTTTTATTTATTACAATATATATTCCAATTCATAACGTTGATAAGTATTTAATCCATCGTCTATTGTTTTTGGATAGGCAGGAATCATTGAATCTTGAGAGGAAACGTAGAGCATGTTGAAAACCTTCCAATAAATGTCACGAACACGACGAGCTGGATGGAAGAGTCCTTGTAAAGTATATTGAAGAATGACAGCAGGCCCCAAAGCGATACGTAAACCCTCTACTGCCTCTAAAAATGCATTGATAACATGGGGAGAGGTTTCTAAAATATTTGGCCACACAAGATTGAGTAGATGAACGAGTGCATCCTCGCAACCTAGACCTTGTACTCCAAGAGACATGTGTTTGACGGCAGAGCATGCAGTTTGACGATGAACTGGATCACGATCCATGAGAGCGTCCTCTAGTAGAGGAGTAACAGCGTATATATAGTCTTTACCCATTTCGCCAATGTATTCAAAGAGAAAAGAGAGCGATTTCAAGACACCATTTTGAACGTTGAGCTCTGGGATACGATATTCATTCATGAGGCCTGGAAGGACAGTATAGGGGGCAGATGTTTCTGCGACAATGGCAATGGCAATTGTAGTACAAACACGATTCTGACGATCTTGCACCTTGAGATTGTTGAGGAGTGTTGTCAATACATCTTGTGGACCTATTGCCTTTGCAATGTAACCAAAAGTATTGACTGCGGCTCTTCTGATCCCCTTTTTGTGTGCCTTTAAAAGGTCGAGCAACTCAAAACAAATACGCATCCATTCACGTTCCAAAACAAAATCGGCACCACGATCGGCAATACGACCTACCAAATCGATGCAATTCTCTTGTACCTTTTCGTGACGATTCTTGAGAATGGGTGTAAGACGTGGAAGGAGATCTTTGATGGGTGGTGTCATTTTGGTCATACCAATAACATTGACAATGGCCTTTAGTGCACCCAAAATCGAACCCAATACCTCTGGATACTCTTCACCGAGGTATTCATAGAGGATTTGACCAAGATGACCCAAGAGTTGCTCCTCTTCACACATTTGGACGACCACTGCAATACGAGAGATGAGATCGGCAGCTTGTTGACGTACCTTGGCCGCCTTGTTGTTGAGACGCCACTTGATGGTACCTGCGATTTGGGTGAGATAGGGCTTGACTCGCACACCAAGTGCCAAGACGATTGTACCAAAACCTTGAAGCATAATGGCAGTTTCGTCGGTGGTTTGTTCTTGAAAGGCATACAAAATGCCATCGATCAACTGTTCTTCAAGACGAGGGTTGATATCGGAAGCGCCAAGTGTAGAGATGATCTTTTCAATAGCTTCCATAACCATTTTTCTGTAAGCCTCTGACTCGTCCTTTAGGTCATCTACAATACGAGAGATAATCTCTGCACCGCCAACCTTGTTGGCCAACTCTACGGTGGTATCTACCAATTGTTTGTGATTTCTTCTGTCGAGAGCCATTCTTCTGATCCAAAAACATTTGAAAAACTCTGGCAACACTTCGTCTCTAATGTATTGAGCCTCTACACCCTCTGTTCCAACGCACTGCTTGACAACCTTTAACACAATCTTTTTCATTTCATCTTCGTTGGTTTTGAATTCTCTGATGAGAATACCCATCACTTCTTTGGTATAGTAGCTGGCATAACTTGCATCCATAAGTGGGATGATATAACCAATGGCCTTGAAAAAGGCGGCCAATCCCTTTTCACGATAGTGTTGAATACCGTACCAGAGTGGTTTGAGAACACTGTCAAATGATTCGATACCATAGGGAGTGGCTGCTTCGGCGAGGGCTGCAATAGCCAAAGCGGTAATGGTACGAACCTTGGGTTGTTCGTCTGTGAGACCGTGTTCAACAATCTCTACGAGGCCCTTTAGATGTGGCAAAATGGCACATCCCATTAGAATAGCAATCTGTTGGACAATCTTGATACCAGTGTGTCTTGCTTGCCATGATTTTTTACTACGACAAACGGCAGTAAGGAATGGAAGGAGTGCAGGAATACCCAAGGCAGATGCGACAACTGCAAATGCACGAGCAGTCGTATTTCTAATATCCTCTTCTGGACTGTCGATATCTGGACGCATTGTTGCAGTCATACTGGCAAGACCGGCAGCCTTTGAAAGATTGGAAATGATTTCACGAGCTTCTACACGAGCATAATAGTTTTGATCGATGAGGTATGGTTCAATGACTGAAAGAATCTTTCTGACAAAGGGACGAACCAAATCATCCAACTTGTAGAGAATACGATCGATGACCTTGACCAAAAGATGACGTTCTTGATCTTCCAACGATTGTGATGTAAAGAGTGGTAAGATTTGATTAAACAGAGCGGCAGGACCAAATTCCTTTGCCTTGTCTGTTAGTTGACGAAGAGCAGCCTTTCTCATTGGTGGTGTTCCATTCTTGATACGCAATAATAATTTCATAATTTTTCTTTCCTTTAGCTCCTCTGGTGAGAGCATCTCTTCATCCTCGTCGCTTACTTTGAGCAACTTGTCAAAATATTGTTTATCCTCTGGTTTGATTGGTAGACCACCCTGAGTCATTGTCTCTGAAACACCATAGTCTTGTGATCTATTTTCCTCTTGCATAAAAAATCCACCACCAACACCTGCAGCAGGTGTAGCCATTAACTTTCTGGCAGGTGTCATGATGGGTTGATAGTTACTAGGTGGCATTAATATTTCGTAGCCTTCCGATGGCAATGCTGCATTGAGATCTTCATCTGTCCATGGTTTGTTTCGTTCGTCCAATTCCTTTTCTGCACGTAATTGATGTACATCGGGAGTCATCATACCAGCATGCATCAATACGTTTGGTGTAGATGATACATCGAATCTTGGTGTCGCACCAATACCACCACTCATTATTTGAGGTGTTGCAGATCCTCCCATACCACCACTAATCGTTACAGGTGTTTCATCCCATCTAGATCTTCTCTTTGGTGTCTGTTCTATAGTTGATGTTGCTAACTTTTGTGGTGTTTCATCCCATCTATTTCTTCTTGGTGTTGCTGCTACTGCTGCTGTAGTTTTGGTTGATGGTGTTTCATCCCATTCTGATGTTGTAGTAGTTTTATCTTTCATTGTGTAAATATAATAATAATAATAATAATAATAATAATAATAATAATAATAATAATAATAATAATAATAATAGTAGTAGAGAAATAAGAAGAAGATTAATAAATGATCAATGTGCTTGAATGAATGAATAATAAATACAAACCTCCCATTGTTTAAATAAAAGATAAGTTGAAAAGAATAAGAATCAATTTGAACACAGAGGTTTTAGTTTTGTTGAAAGTTCATAAATCCGAACTATTTTTTTTTTTAATTATTTTTTATTTATTTATTTTTAAAATATTATTTCACAATGTTTAATAAATAAATCAATTAAATCTGGAACAAACTATTTAATAAAAGTAAAAGTAAGGATTGATTAATAATAATCCTTTTTGATTTCTTTCTATATTTTTACATACATTTAAAGTTGGAGAAAATATTAAAGAGATATTAGAATTATTCATTTTGTTTTCATCAGAATGAAGAGATACAAGAGAAAGGAATTTAAATAATACTTCAATGGTAGATCTTTCAAACTCTTGCATAGAATCTATCAACTTTTTTAAACACTCTATTTGTTGTTGTTTGTCTTGCATAAATATGATATGGTCAACATTTTCAGTCAACAATGATTGAGGTAATTCGCGTAAATATTTTTTAAGTACATCACCGACAGCATGTATATCGTTGGTAGATTCTATTAGATTTACTGATAGGCCACTATCATATAGTTGAACTAATTTATCAACTTGCACTTTACTACCTGCAACTCTAAGTATTCCTTGTTCTTTTAATCCATACCTTGTTAAATGTTCAATGGTACTTAGAACTATATATGGTACTTTATCTCCTTTAATAGGTTGTCCAAATATTTTAGCTGGATGTGGAGGGGGTGAAGTAGGAGTAGGATTAGGAGGAGGAGGAGGAGGAAGAGGAGGTGAGAAATTAATTGATTTTAGAGGATTTGGTGTAGAATAATAGGCTCTATTTGATTTGATTTTTGGTGGAAATATTGGTGATGGAATTGGTGGTGGAGGAGGAGGTGATGGCGGAGGAGATAATGAGGTAGGCGTTGTTATTGGTTTCTCTACAATGATTGACATTTGATTGGTTATTGTCATAGGAGGTGTTGGAGTTGAAGAAAATACAGTCATCTCAATTGCGTTTGGATCACCACCGTTACTTTGATCATTAAAACTTTGACCATTAAAACTTTGACCACCAGCACCACCACCACCACCATATCTTGAACCAATAGATTGATTATCATAAAGATTTGATATAAATTTCTTATCACTTTGTTTTTTTCTTTTATATACAATAATAATCAGAGCAATGATGATTAAAACTACCAATGGTACTACTACACCTGCTGCTATTTTACCTCTTCTTCCTCTATCGTTACTATCATTGTTGTTGTTTGTATTAAATCCACCTGAAGGATTTAAAGATGTGGCTATTGATCAATCAAACCCAAAAAATATTAATAAATAGCAATAGAGTTTGTATATTTCCATATATATATATACATACGATTTAATAATAAAGATACAGAAGATAGATAAATGATTGATTGTTTTAATGAACATTGAATACGAATCGATTTGAATTGGGAGTTGTCTTTAATGTTTAATCTACCTAGATAGATTCGTATCAATCGGTATTGTGTAAAAAAATTGGTTTCTCCTCCGTCTCTGTTGCTGCTGCTCTCCTCTACATATAATGTATTATTGTTTAATACTACTATTCCATCAGTGTCTATTGATACTGATAGAATAGGTGTCGTAGCTGTAGTAGTAGTAGTAGGGGGAGGAGTAACCATTAACTTAAACTCTATATATCTGTTGTCGGTTGAATTAAATGGTGTCTGTTGTTGTTGATGATTGGATCGATAAGAGAAACCAATATAATCTATACAAATTGATTTGATTGATTAATAAATCTCTGTAATGATCAACAACTGTTGTAAAAGAGGTTGGAGTTATTTACATACCATCATCATTTATGATATGTGCAATGAGACAATGATTTGTATCAGCTGATTGGTGGTCACACTGATTTGATATTTGAGTTTGTGCAATAGAGTCATTATCTATATCTTTGTTTAATGTTTCTTTTAAAATGACAAAGTCTGATGACACTTGGTTAATCATCCATAGTAGTAAGAGTAGTAATAGAAGAAAGAATCGACGATTGGCTAGATGATGATGGTGGGATGATGGTTTCATGTTTTTTGATAATTAATCTATTTTAATCATTATCTCTCTTTTCTCTATCTGTGGTATTAGTATTTATTCATTAATGGTGATGGTTGCAATGGTCTTAACACACCATTGTGTTTATCGAGGCAACATTGGTAACCCCTTTTGGCCGAGTATAAACCTGCCCAATCATTGGGGTAAAAAATGTGGTCAATACCGATGTGTTAAAAATATCTCCTGTACCACGGTAGGAGATTGGTTGGACACCCCATCTTTTTTATTTGATCCCAATTCGTGATTAAAATATACTTGGATCAATAACAATTTAAAAGTGAAGGTGTTCCATGTGTCGATTGAAATACATATGGACAGAAATTTTCTTGGAAGTGTTATATTTTAAAGAAAAAAGGGGATCCAATTGAGATGATCTAGATTTATAAATTACTGTTCTTGGACATGTAAATGTAACCTATAATTTGGGAAAAAAAAAGTAAAGAAATAGAATTAGTAATTAGATAATTTAAGAATAGAAAGAGAGACAGACCATTCAAGTTAGATCCAAACCAAGTGTGTTTATCAAACTCATTTTGTTTATTGGTCTTATACTATTAAACTATACATATTAATTCTATTATTTATTTATTATATTTGAAAACTATATATTCTTATAATAAGTTTTTTTTTCTTTATTTTTTAAAAATTAAAAAACAAATCAACACTCAAAAACAACATAAATAATTTGAATTTCAATAATGATCAATCAAATAAATCAAAAGTAATCAGCGGTCATCATCTTTTTGTCTACAATAATTTATTTATTCATTTTTGATGGGGTGATAAATAATGTAATGAAAGATACTCAGTTTTTAAATCAAAAATTGTTTTGAAATCATCAAGGGAAATAAAACCATTTAAAGAATATATTCTGAGAATTATCGGAAGAGCCATCATCTTGGGGAATCATATTGTCCGCCCTTCCAGCCAAGAAAATTCCAGTACACTTTTCTTCTTCTTCATTGTACTCGTATTCAAACTGTTCAATATTACGAACAGGGGTGATTGCCAATAGAGCGGCAGGAGACATGGGTGGTGGGTCATCACCATATTCAGAGTCTCTCCATTCGGAACCTGTATCAGAATATACCATATCTGTGTCGGTGCTGGAAATCATCAATGGTTGTTGTGTAGTTGTGGTAGTAGTGGTTGTTGTGGTGGTGGTAGTAATTGTCTCTTCATTAATTTGCTGCTGTTGGCGATCCAAATGTTCATATTCTTCCTCTTTGCGTTCTTCCAAATATTTGACTTGATTAATATAATCTTCTCCAAAGATGTCTTCATCATCATCATCATCATCATCATCGTATTCTTTTCTATTATTCTCTTGGTCATATTCATCTGAAACATCGACAATCTTGGAGGAGGTCTTTTGTTTCTTGTTGGTGCCAAATGCCTCTTGTTTCTTGTTGGTGGTAGTAGAAGAGGGTTTTGATTTTTTCTTGGGCTGACCAGTATTGGATTGACGACGAGGTCTTTTGGTATCTTTATGGACCACCTTGGTGGATTTAATTTCTTCTTCTTTATAATCAAAGTATTGGTAAAAATTATTATTGCTCATATTATTATTATTACTATTACTGTTATTATTATTATTATTATTATTATTATTATTATTATTATTAGTATTAATATTCGTAGTATTATTCTGATTATTATTAATACTATTACTGTTATTATATGTTGTATATTGACCATAGTCATTTTCTAAGTTACCATCATCCATGTCTACTCCAATTTCTTCGTCTTCATCAACAAATATGTCACCAAGGCGTTGGTCGACGGTTTTGGTATGATCGACTGGTGGCTTGTCCAAACCCAATTCTAGATTGTCACAACTAAACATTGTTTTCTATTTGCTGAGAGCATATGGGCCTCAAGACGATCCATATTATTAGCAAGATTTTTCTTGATTTCTTCTTGGTTGACTCCATTATTGGTAAACTTTGAATGAAGATTCTCAATCATCACTATAAAAATAGATTAGACAAATTAATAAAAACACAAATAATAATGTTTTAAAAAATGAATAAACTTACAATTTTGATTTGGATCAATAAGATTGTGATTGGACATTGTCTTTTCGATAACGTATCGTACTTGTTGGGGCTGTTGTGGTTGTAAGGCAAAGAATGCATCATGAAATACCTTTAATCTCTGGGTAGACGCGTCATTTGGATCATCTTCCTCGAGGTCATCGAGGTTAACCTCTAATTTGGTTTGGTATATTGGGTTGTCTCGAGGGATGTTGAGACTTTCGAGGCCATATTCAAGGGGGGTACCCCATTCCTCGGGGAAGGTTCTAACCTTGATGGCATCATCATATGTGATCTTAAGCGTGTCTTGGAGTTTGTTGAAAAAGTCAAGCGAGTGCTCAGAGTACTTGATCTTTTTCTTAAAGATCTCAAGAGTTGGTGGAGTTTTCCCGTGGAACAATAGAATGATCGGGTTGGAATAAGAAATGGCTGCCTGGCATGCTACATCTGATCTTTTAGCATCAGTATCCTCTGATCTTTTCCATAAGATATTGACATTTGATTGAGAGTATAACTGTTGGGTTTCGGGATCCAAGGAGAGATCGAATTTGTTGTGGGCTGTAATTGTTTTGATAGCTCCAGTAATGTTCTTTGCCTTGCGAATGTCTATATAACCGTTGGTCTCGGTGGGGGCTTTGGTACTGGCTTTCTGGTGGTCGTGGGGATGCTTAAATGAATCCATACAAACTGCATATTTAGGGAGGAATTTGGTCCAGTCCTCGTTGGATACCTTTGTGATGGGTTCGGAGCGGGTCACTTTGTTTTCTAATTTGAAATAATGTAACAGTAAACATTGACCGATTTGAGAATAAGTGGAATCGATTGGCATTCCATTGAGAGGGCACTCTTTTGAACATTGGTGAAGTTTATCGTCGTCATAAGTCTTTGATCGAAAAAGAATGTTTTGTTCATCTAGATTTGTTCCAATATAAACTCTAAAAGTATCGTCACTTGATCTTAGTGTTGACTTTATAGGCAACAATTGATTGTCTTGGACCCAGAAACATCTTTCCAGAAAGTGAATCCGTTTAAACGGAGTGGCACCTTGTGGAGTCCAGGGAGAGACGAGTCTGTTTTGACTTCCTCTGACGAGAGTTGGTTCAGATAAGAGATGGTTTGCTCTTTGGTGAGGTTTGGCATAAACGTCACCTTGTTAAAGATGCACTCTATTGCTAACTTGGGTCTACCTTCCATGGCGGGTGTCCCTCTAACCACGATGAAATTGTTGTTTGTGATTGAATCCCTGAGTGGGCCATCCAAAGTGATATTGGGACGAGCGTGAAACATATTTGGCTTTGGCACTCTATAAAAGTTTCCATCTCGACCAAGGAACATTGTGAAGGAGTTATTACCAAACTTTGTATTGAATACAGAGAATTGGATAATAGGTTGGATGTTGACCACAATTTCCTCTGCTTTCCCAAGTCCATACATCTCGAGGAAGAAATGTGGATGTAATGTTATCAGTGTTATATGTTTTGTGCTCCTGAAAAACATGAATGATATTGATTGTTTTTTTAGGAATGACTCCATTATGTGTTGGTAAAGGTAATTGAGTTGATTTTGGAATTGTGGGAATGAACAAGATTTGATACGGGTGCCAAGAAAACGAATCAACACATATTCAGTACATCCATGGGCGGGGATTTTTTCATTGGAACGATCGGAAAATACAAACGAAAACATCTTTGGCTTGAACTCTGGCATCCACGTTGTTGCATTCAGAGACTGGCTGATTCCAGTTTCTCTGATGTGCTTGATCTCCAGTAGCATCCCTTTGGGGCCTCTTGGTCCAAAATCTACAACTTCAATAATAAACGATCTGGCCGTTTGGATCGCGGCGCATACTTTGGGACAACCTGAATTTGGACTGGCATGAGCCCTGAATCTGGCAAAAGGACCGCCAGTCGATCCAATATATCCAATTTTGATAAACTTGTCATCCTCTGTGAAATTGGCAATGTCGACATTGGCAGTCATGCTACTTTGGTGCCTGGCTGGGCAATTTGATATTAATTTGTCCCAGGTGGCGCCGATAGTCCATTTTCTGATAAGGATGCGGTAAATCAAAAGAATTCCCGGATGTTGTTTTGAATAACCAACCCTAAAATAAAAATAAAATTAATAAAAAAAATAAAAAAAACCTCTTTTTAAATAAAATAAATATTTACATTGTTGGAAAAAAAAATATATAATTTAGCTATGACAAGCCCTAAACAGTATAAGAAAGTACTGAACAAAATAAGTTAGTGACGTTGATCATATTTGATATTTGTTGTTTGATTGATAATTACCTCTTGTAGTTGATATATTGGCCAACTTGTGAATGTGAATATATATTATATATTTTTATATAACCATAATCTCTCTTTCTTTTCTTTCTCTTTCTCTTCCTCTCTCTCAATATTGTTACAATTCAGCGATAAAGATAATGTATAATAATAATAATAATAATAATAATAATGATAAAGGTTGAAATAGGATAAGTACAAGTAGTACCCAATGTGAATATGATAGCTAGAATTTATATAAATATTACTATAATCTCTCTCTTTCCCCTTCTCTTTCTCTTTATCAAGTGATAAAGATAAGTGCAAAGGTTGGTTTTGAATGTACACTAATGTATATTAATAAGATAAGATTGTGGTACAAGTAGTACCCAATGTGAATGTGATAGTCAGAATTTATATAAACCTATAAAAGTGTAAATGTTCTCTTAAACTAAATATCAATAGTCTCTCTCTCTTCCTTGTAAAAGTAAAGTGGATAGATAAATAAATAGATAGATAACCTAAAGTATACTTGATTGTATGACTAAAAGATGATGATTAATCTGACGATAGTGATGTTCAACCATCATCAGTTCCAATGGTTTTTATCTAATATTTCCATAAAACACGTGTGGTGAAATTTGCGAGACAAACCAAAACGAGACTGGTCCGATGATGGTTTGATGATTATTATTGCAATTTAATTTGTAGTGTGTGGAGATATGGTATTTTGAGATTCCCACTTGAATGTTGCCATAGAATCATAGTTCAAAATTTGAAATGTTGTTTTTTTACACTGGTTATCTATCCATCAGTCAATCCATTGATCACTTGAATAATATGAAGCAAAAAAAAGGTAGTGCATCATTCCCTTGAAAAACTATTAATCCATATCATATTTCTCCAAAGAATGCCACACCAGTGGGCATCTACTGTCTGTTGTAACCATGCAATATATTGTGTGACTCGTATATTCATTCTATTTACATAGAACGATGAAGAACCAATTTGCAATTGATCACCCAAACCTTTATTTCGAGTATAGAGATGCTTTGAAAAAATTCAAAAAATAAAAAGAAAAATGGGCCAAACCAAAATCCCAAAGGTATCCTAATCTGCCACAGATTTTTCTTGTACCCGACCATCTCTAAACAAATACCTTATCCACAACAGCCCGAAAAAGAACAAATATTATAAATTGGTTTTACAAAGGACAAGGCATTGATTCAGAGGTAATGATCCATTCAAATATATTTGACGAAGCAGTTGTTTCTGTTGTGAGTTGATCTTTTTCTTATGTGGCTACAAATAGCTGACTTTAATTATCTGTCCACAAAAAACAAGATCGGTACAGGTACATTAATTTTGACAATTATTTAATTATTTATTAATTAATTTAAGCTTGTGGGATAGAAGCAGAGGTGGCGATACCACAGTTGTTGTTTCTGTTCTTGGACATGTAAATGTAACCTATAATTTGGGAAAAAGCAAAAAAGTAAGGAAATAGAATTAGTAAATTAGATAATTAAAGAATAGAAAGAGAGACAGACCATTCAAGTTGCCCCAGGTAGTTCCCCAACTGTTCTTAACGATCCAGTAGTTGATTTGACCATTGTCAGATGATGAACCAGAGGCAGAGTTGGAAGAGTCAGATGATTCAGAGGCGGAGGAATCAGAGTTGGATGAAGCAGATCCAGAGGCAGATGAACCAGAGGCAGATCCAGAGTTGGATGAACCAGAGGCAGATCCAGAAGCAGAGCCAGAACCAGAGGCAGATCCAGAGGCAGATCCAGAACCAGATCCAGAACCAGATCCGGTGGCAGATGAAGTAGAGTTACCAGAGTTGGATGAACCAGAACCGGAACCAGAGGCGGAACCTGAACCAGAACCAGAACCAGAACCGGAACCGGAACCAGTGGCAGATGAGGTAGAGTTACCAGAGTTGGATGAACCAGATCCGGAACCAGAGCCAGTGGCAGATCCAGAAGCGGAACCTGAACCAGAACCGGTGGCAGATGAGGTAGAGTTACCAGAACCAGATCCGGAACCAGAGGCGGAACCAGAACCAGAGCCAGATCCGGAACCAGAGGCGGAACCAGAACCAGAGCCAGAGGCAGAACCAGAGGCAGATGAAGATGGAGCAACAAACATGCAGCTAGCACCACCAGTGCATGAACCGTAACCTACGACGAGGACACCGTGATCCAATTGAGTGGCAGAGCACTTTGGTTCATAGTAGACACCAGATCCATAGAGTTGGAAAGAGTTGTGGGAAGCATCGATGGCAACAGAGACTGGACCAGTGTTGGCCTTGGCTTCGAGATCGGATTCAGAACCAGACTTGACGTCAGTGTAACCAGTGAGGGTGGCACCGATGTTCTTTGGGTTGAATGCACATTTGCCTTGGACAGCCTTGTATGGGTATGAGGATTCAGTGTCGATACCCTTGTTCTTGATAATGTAGGTAAAGGCTTGATCCATAAGACCACCATTGCACCCATCATTGCCCTTGGGAAATAGGATAGTATATTAGTATAAGTCTATGAGAGATATATTTGAGAAAGATATAGAGAGAGGGAGAGAGTGCGCGAGTAAACATACTTCTGGACCTGAACAATCAACCAAGTTTTGTTCAGAGAGAGAGACGAGGTTACCAGTTGAAAGGAAGTGAGCACCTTCAGTTGAACCAGTACTAAAAAATAATAATTTATAATCTATTTAATATATACTATCCTATTTCCCAAGGGCAATGATGGGTGCAATGATTTTTTAATTTTTTTTTTTTTACATACGTAGAGAAAGACCAACAGGAACCACATTGACCTTGGTTCTTGATTGGGGTGACAGCACCCTTTTGTCTCCAATCGACGGTAGCGTTGAAAACTGGGGCAGCAGCAAAGTTGTTGTTCATGGTGATTCTGGCGGCATCGATAAGCTTTTGGGTGGCATCGATCTTGGTACCGAGGTAGATACGTTGGTACTCTTCGTTGGAGATATCAGCAAAGATGGTGAGGTCGAGGACGGTTTCAGATCCCTTGGAGTTCCATTCGTTAACATAGTCCATGTTCTTCTTGAAGACGTTGAAACGGTTACCAAATTCAGCTGATTGGTATGAACGATCGTTCTTGATCATCCAGTTGGTGAAAGCATCACGGTATTGCTTTTCGGTAAAGGCAGCGTTGGCGGCTTGGAGTGCCATAAAGACGGCCAAACAAACAAATAAGAACTTGTTCATTTTATTTTATATCTATTGTATATATATATAACTGTACTGTGAAAGAGTTGTTGACAAGTTTTGTTTTATAAAGAGCGATCGTGGACACCGTAGGAGGAGGAAAGAGCAGTTTACGTTTCCTCGTTTTTAAAAAAAAATTAAAAAAAATCACTAAAAAACCAACAAAGATCTTGTTGAAAAAAAAAGTAGGGGTTCTTGACACTGCGGGTATCAGGTCGTCAGGTGATGACGTTTTTTTTACAACTTCCGAATCGATTTTTAACAACTGTCAGAAAAGCCCTCAATCTTATTTTTTTTTTCTCCGTTGTCATTTTTCCTTTCCGTTTTCTGTTGATAGGGGTTTCTTGTTTTATCGTAAATTTCATAAATAAATATCCTATCAATAGATCCCTACCCCATAAACCTCCTGTTTGTTGAGAGTATGGGTGCTATTAAACAGAAAATATAAAGATATCTTGGTGTCAGGGGCGACATGTGACCCCCAATCTGACCATGGTACAAAACAACACGGACATGTCAATCCTGATCGGAAAACAAAGGTCAAAAGAATAATCTTATGATAAACTTCAAATGAAGTTTCTTTAATTAAATTTCATTGTAAACATTTTGTTGTAAAGTGTGTGCACCGATGAATGTTGTTGTGCATAGGAGCTTGCGTTTTATTATTATTCTATTAATATTACTATTAAAATTATTATTTCTTTTCCTTTTTGTTGTTGTTATTTTGTTGTTGAAATATATAGTCTTGCATGCATTGATCATCAATGGGGAAACTGCATTGTGTACAACAATATAATTTCTCTTTAAAGTTTAAATGATATCCTACTAGCGTTAAATGACATCTTGGGCATTGTAAATTTGGTTGTTGTTGTTGTTGTTGTTGTTGATTTGAAGTAAAAAAGATGAATTACTATTTGTATCTAGATTATTGTTGTTATTGTTGTTATTATTATTATTCATTATTATTGTTATAATCTATCACATGACTTTTAAATGAACAATAATAATAATAATAGAACCATTGATTCTGAAGTTCATGAAAAATTAAATAATTTAAAAATTTGAAATATTTTTTGGCGCTTTTTACCGTTGAATGAAAAACAAAAATGAAGTCTCATCACATAATAATGTTATGCTATGTCGAGAGGTGTGTTATTTCTTTAATCAAAAAAGTAAGAGAAGAGAAGAGAAGAGAAAAGAGATAACTAAAAAAATGACAAGTAAAACAGTTAAATTTTTAGAACAAGACAAAGAGAATAGTGAACCTAATACCATGGTTTCAAAGGAATCAATGAAATCATATGTTCAAAAACAACTTAATATCAACATACTTAGAGATAACAACAATATTAATAATATCAATAATCAAAATAATAATAACATTATTAAAAAACAACAACAAAATAATATTGTAGACAATGAAGTATTCTTTGGTGTAGTGACCAAAGAAGAGATTGCAGTATCAAACAAATTGGGAAAGAGAAGAAAGACAGTATTCCTCAAAGATACTAGTCAAGCTCAAATTGTCAAAACCGATCAAATCAACGATAACGCTGCCACCATTATCACAAATGCTGTTAGATCACGTGCCATCAGATTAAACTATCTTAAAAAGAAATCATCTGCCATCACGATCCAGTCTGCCTTTAGAGCACATCGTCAAAGATCTGATTTCCTCAAGCTCAAAAACTCTGCCATAAAGATTCAATCACTTTGGAGAATGTTTGCCCAAAAGAAATCTTTCAAAGTATTATTGATTCAAGAAAAACAAAGACAACAAGAACTTATTGAAAAAGAAAGAGCTGAACAAGAAAGATTGGAGCAAGAACGTTTGGAACAAGAAAGATTAGAAAAGATTAGACTTGACCAATTGGAACAAGAAAGATTGGAAAAGATTAGACTTGACCAATTGGAACAAGAAAGATTAGAAAAGGTTAGACTCGACCAATTGGAACAAGAAAGATTGGAAAAGATTAGAGTTTATCAATTGGAACAAGAACGTATTGAACAAGAGCGTTTGGAGCAAGGAAGAATTGAACAAGAAAGATTGGAACAAGAAAGAATGGAACAAGAAAGATTGGAAAAGATTAGACTCCACCAATTGGAACAAGAAAGATTGGAACAAGAAAGATTAGAAAAGATTAGACTTGACCAATTGGAACAAGAAAGAGTTGAACAAGAAAGATTAGAACAAGAACGTATGGAACAACAAGAAAGATTAGAAAAGATTAGACTTGACCAATTGGAACAAGAAGAACGTATGGAACAAGACCGTTTGGAAAGAGAAAGAGCTGAAAAGATTAGACTTGACCAATTGGAACAAGAAGAACGTATTAAACAAGAGGAACCTAAAGAAATAACAGTTGAACAATTGTTGGTTGAAACACCCAAAGTGCTTGTTGAAGAATCGGAATCTCAAGAGACCTCCAAGCCAGCTGCAACTGCATCGTCTGTAGACAATTTATGGAAGACAAGAATTGCCAATTTAAAGTCCAAATGTGCCACTACTACCGCTACCACCACCACCACTACTACTACCACTCCTCAGACTACTGCTACCACTAGTACTTTGACAAAGCCGACCATATCATCAAATAGCAAGCCACTTTCAAGATTGGTAATGCCAACTGCTAGTAGTGAACTCAAAAAGAGAACCATTACCGATTCTCAATCAACAGCCCCAACGACTGCTGTAGAAAATACCGAAGTACCCAAGGTAAATATTGTTGAACAAAATCTATATTTTTATATTACCAACTTTTCTTTTGCTAATACTAATAATAATTATTATTATCTATGATAGATTCCAAAGACCACATTGACCAGCAATGCTAGTACCTTTAATCTTGAGGAAAAGAAAAAGAAATTGGCCGATCTCAAAGAGATGAAGAGTAGATTGGCCTCTGCCACTACGACCACTACCAGCGGATTACCACCAAAGCTCCCACCTACATTGACTAGTCGTCCAACCAGTACTCTTACATCAAGTACTCTCTCTTCATCCATGAAAAAACCAGTAGTGGGATCCAATGCCACACCAAGTACTCTTTCGTCATCATCATCATCATTGTCATCAAGCACTTCAAGTAAGCCAGTATCTGATCCAACAACCAGTGCTCCATCTTCCACCACCACCACCACTACTGGTAGTTCAATGTTAAGATTACCAACAAGAATTTCTAGAGTGTCAACTATTAAAAAATAGATATATATATAATATAATATTCATGTATATAACCAATCAATATATTTCCATCAAACGACATAAGAGTTGTGCTTTGATAATAAAACAAAAATATTTTTAAAATTACACAGGAGAGAAGAGTGGGGCAGGTCAGAGATTTGAGCTCAGAGAGTTATTAATTATTTATTATTACAATTATTATTGATTTATTATTATTATTATTATTATTTATGTACAGAATTCAACACTAATAGATGGAAAGTTATTGTTTGTTTGGTCTTGATAAACAAGTTGTAATCGACTATTAAGTTGTTGTGGATCGAATCCAGAAAAAGAAGATGGATGATTTTCGATACCATCTTCTGGTCCCTCCTCGAGTCCATCTCCAGGTGTTTCCCATTCCTCTGGTGGTGAAAGAGGAGGTGATATTAAAAATTGTCTTGTTGCAAAAGGTGGTAATAGTTGATGTTTTCGAATGATTGATTCTGACAATTCCTATAGATTAAAAAAAAAAAAAAAAGAATTAATAAAACTATAACCTTTTCTTTCTTCTTTTTGTTTGTACATACTTTTCCAAAATACAAGTTAAATGATTTTTTAATGATTGGTTGTCTTTCTATTAATAACTTTGATAGATGAGCATCGTTTCTATGTGCAAATACAAATATGAGAGAATTGAGTATTGAAATGTAACGAGCCAACACAAGCGGAGTCAAACAAGATTGTTCGAGGTATTCTTCTATCAATGTTTGTACATTGAAACCTGTTTGTTGATCTATATTCTCGAGAATCAATACATTGGTAGGTTCTCTTTTTAACAATAGTTGTATCTTTTTTTGTCTTATTATATGATTCATCTCTTTTGCACTAGTAGTAGTAGTCGTTCCTACTGCAGTACTATTTGTGTCTTTATTTTGTTGTTCTGGTGGTTGATTCTCTATATCATTATTTTCTATTATTAGTTGTTCTAATTGATCATTTAAAGATTGCATTATATTTTAGTTATATAGTTTTATATATCTATCTATCTGTCTATGAGGTAAGGTGCAAACTAACTACGAGGGAAAAACCTTCTTTGTCAGAATCTTTGAAAATTTTTAAAAAATGAAATCGTCTTTTTTAGGAATAATAATTATTTATTAAATTAAAAATATTATTATTATTATTATTATTATCCAAATACCTAAAGAGAATTACACAACTCTAGTCACACACAGATACACACAAACATTCACGAGCAATCTTTATAAAAAAAAAAGGAGGAAACCAACACACACAATTTGGTTTTCTTGTGATAGATGGTAACACAAAAAATTGAAACCCACACCAATCCTGTTTCGAAAACACAACTCTCTCAGAACAATTACACAAAATCAATTGAAATGCGATTTATTGGTTAACCAACCTAAAAATACAACACACAACTCTGCCCAAAATAATAATAATAATAAAAATAATAGATTATTATAATGAATATTCATCTTTAATTTATTATTATAAATATATTTATTTTATGGTTGATTGGATTGTCTGTCTGTCTGTCTATCTATCTATCTATCTATCTATCTATGAAAGTTCTTATTGTTGTTTGGTTTTTTAACATTTGGTTTTAATTTTGGTTTCTTTTGTTTTGATCCACCATCATGATCGGCAGAACCTTGTTCGTATGAAAACTTATCGTCATCTTCATCGTCCTTGTCATAAAGAGTGCTACTATTGTCAGTCGATGGCAAAAAAGAGAGTGGTGCTCTTGTATTTTCCTTTTTCATTTGATCCAATTTCTCTTTTGATTTGGTTTCTTTTTCTTTGTTCTTTTCTTTGATTGCCTTTGACCGTTCGATCATCTTTTGTCTATTGTCCTTTTTAACTTGATCTCTTTCCTTTTTGTCTTCTTTTTTCTGTGATTTTAACTTTTCCTTTTCCTCTTTGGTGAGAACAGGTTTCTTGTTTTCTTGATCTTCGTCTTCATCTGCATTGACCTTGATCATCATCATTCTTCCACTCATCAAACTAGTAAAAGAGTTTGATGGCAATAATAATGATGATCTTCTTGATAAAATATCATTTTTACTAAAACTACTAGTAGTAGAAAATGATGATGTCGATGATGACGACAAAGATGATGATATTGAAGAGACCAAAGTACTACTAGTTGATTGTAGTTGTAGTAGTGGAGTATTCTTGATTGTAGAAACAGTGTTAAAAAGTAAACTTTTCGATATTATTAATTTGTTCATTTTAAAATTGATTATTGATAGTGATTGATGATCATGATCAAATGAGTGGAATGGGAGGGTTTTTTTTGTTTTTTTTAAAGTAATAACTTAATAATTTAATTTTTATTAATTGTCATCATCATTGTCATCATCATCATCATCATCACTATTATAATTATTATTTGATTTAGAATTAAAAGGTTTTCTTGAAGTTGGAGATCTAAAATTAGCAGGTTTTTTTTGTGTTTGTTTTGGTTTTGGTGATGATTTTCTAAGCTTTGGTGCAGCAGGTTTTTTGTTGGTTGGAGACTTTACTGCTCCAGATTTCTTGGTTGGTTGTTTCTTTTTCTTTGGTTCATCTTCATCCGATAATGCATTCTTAAATGCATCGTCATTGTCGGCAAAATTGAGGCTATTAACAGCAGTCTTTTTAAAGTATTTACCCAAAGTTGATGTCTTGAATTTCTGTTCATATCTAATGACGGCAGACTCGTACTTTTCCAAATTAAATGTGAGAATTGGAATAAACTTTGATTCTCTAAGAATAAAGGCAGATTGTTTTCCAGAATCCTTTTTTGATTTGTTGTTGCTTTGAGGTGTTTGGTCGAGTTTGGCTGCATTTAGAGTCTCGGAAAAGAGGAGAGATGCAAGGTGTACCATTTTCTTAAACTCTGATTCTCCTCGTGGAGGATTCATTTTTTTAGAGATCATTGCCGATTGGTGTTTAAAGAGGACAACAAAGAGTTTCTTGACAGTTTTGAGGTGTTTTTCTCTTGTTGTGCCTGGTTTCATGTTGATTAATTTCGTTTCAACCAAAAGTTCCAATATTCTTTTCATTTCACTGCATGACTTTTCGTTGGCATTGGTGAATTGCTTGTCATCCTTTTTCAACGTGTTGATAAGTTCATCAACTCTATCGATTGCATCATTTGTAAATTTCAAAAGTTGTGTTTCAACTGCCTCATGAGTGCGTATGTTGATAATATTGTTTTGTTGGTCGTCACTCTCTTCTTCTTCATCATCTTCTTCTTCTTGTTTTTGAGGAGTTTCCAAGAATATATTGATATCTCTAGCAATAACAATATTTTCTTTAAAGGAATTGCTTTCCAAACACAACTTTGTGATGACAGAAGCAAGAGCAGGCGAGTTGACTTTTTGTTGGTAAAGTCTAGCAACAAACTCTTTCATGACTGTGAGTGTTTGTTTCTTTATGGATGGTTTGTTGGTGAGCACCCAAATAATGTTTAACAATAACTCTGTTTCATCCCAACGTTGATGAGGGATTTCTGAATCAAGACACATTTTTTGATGATAGAGAATTTGTTCAATTAATTGTGTCACCTGTCTTTCTTCATTTGTTGGTGTCTTGTTTACATATAAACCAAGAATGGGTTCAATAGAGTCAGTTTCAAAACAAAAATAATCAACCTAAAAAAAAAAAAAATGTAGAAAATTAAAATAAATTTAATAATATGAACATTCTATCTTTTTTTTTTTAAAATAATTACAATAATTTTCATTGGTTGAAGGATCATCATTTGGATTGAAGGTTTTTTTGACAAGTCTTTATCTCCATCATCATCGATTACGAGGGAATGCCATTCCAAATTATTCACATGATTTAAAAGGTATTTAAATATGGTTGAACATTCTCGATGACCAGTTTTAAAAGGACTCTCTTTGGATTCATCAATATTTAATTCTTTAAATGACTTTAATTCTTCAAACATCTATAGGAGTAAAAAAAAAAAATATATTTGGTTGGTTTTTGTTTTGTTTTGTATTCTTTTGTTTTGTTTTAAGTGTTACCCTTTTTAATCTAGAATTTGCAGAAATATAAACAAAGTTTAAAAATTTTGAAATTTTGGTCAATGCAGCAGGGTTTTTTTTGATTAGAGATTTCTCCAAAATTGGATGAATCACTTCAAAGAGTCTAATGATGCAATAAGCTGAAAGTGGTTCACGGGGTTGTTCTTTTACTTGTAATTTTTTGTCAGTGGCCTTTTTTTTGGGTGCACTCTTGTCAACAACACCACCATCACTTTCATCTTGGTTTTCTTCTTCATCATCGTCGTCGTCGTCTTCTTCTTCTTGGTCTCTTTTTCTTTTTTTTTTGGTTTTTGTGGACGATTGTTTTGGTGAGGTTTTGGTTTTTGATTGTTCTTTTTGAGTGTTGAGAGCGACTTGTGCATCTCGGCATTGTAATATAAGTCTGTTAATAATATTGTTATCGACAGGCGTTTGTGATGTTGCTTGGTATTCAATCAAAGCCTCCAATACACCAATAACGATTCCAATTTCCAAAGGAGACAATAAGGTTAAGGATTTGATCGTAATGGCCGACATTTGTTCTACAAACCCATCAAATTCTCTTGTCAATTGGTCCAAAACATTTGAAGCTGATGGGTTGTTTTGTTCACCATTATTATTATTATTGATGGGTCTAGATGTATTTCTAATACAAAATTGAATACAATTGACAAGTTGATCAAATGGTTCAGATAAAACTCTTCCTCCATGTTCTGCTTTTGAAAATGAATTGAAAAATTCGGGTTGAATTTTGTGATGATAGATTTGTTGAAACTTTTAAAAAAAAAATAATAAATAAATATATTTTGTTTCTTTTCTTTTCTTTTCTTTTCTTTTTTTTTCTTTTTGTACATACATGAAAAAGTAAAATTTCACAAATATAATTGCCAATATATTTTTTTGATCTAACCAAATCTTTGAGACCACTGTATAAAAGGGAACGAATAGATGCTTGTTGACTGAGAGCTCTTCTAAGATTACCCAGAATATCATAGACCAATTTTGGTTGGGTAGAAAGAGGGATATCTTTTAGTACTTGAAGGAAACCGGTAATGGCAGCAGCTCTGGCTTCTGGTTCTTTTTTAAACATTGATTTTTTAAGAGTGATAATGATACCATCTTGAAGTGAAGTATTTCCTTCACCACGACATATAAGATTGAATGCAGTGATGAGCTGACGCACTGTGCTCGGAGAATAGTATTGGATATAATCCAGAGAGTCTTTGAGTTTTGAAAAGGATTTTTGTAGAAATGCTTGTTCCTTGGTTGCCAATTTGGTGAGCAAGAGGAACCAAGGATGGAGATTATCTGATTTTGTTTGTATTCTTCCAACAATTTCATCCATAATAGTGGATTGTGACAATTGATTACCAAATAAAATTTCCAAAAGCTCTCTTCCCATTTCTCTAGCTCTTCGAATAGGTTCTGTTATCAACATTGCATTGGTATCAACCAAGCAAATTGCAAATGCCAAAAATGGTTCAACCAATTGATTCCATTCTTCAGAGTCTTTAATTCTATTTGCTAAATTCATAATATGTTTTAAATCATGTTTTGGATCTAGATTAAATAAATATTAAATATTATTAATATATAAAAGATATATAGAAGATATTATAGGTTTTTTTTTTTTTTTTATATATAGTTACTTTTTAAATATTTTAATAATTGTGATTTTAAAATTGCGATTACTTGTGATTTAAACCTTGGAATTGCAGCTATCGAGAGTAAAAATATGAGATCAAATCTTGACAAACTATGATCGAGTTTGAGAAATTCTTTGCCAAGTCCCATATCTTGTTTGACACTAATGTTTACTTGAAATGCTATAAAAGCTTGATTGGATAACCAAACTATATCATTTTCATTGGTGGATCTTGATTTAGCTTCCAAAAGATCAACAACTTTACCAAGAATATATCCTTTTTGTCCATGTGAAGATAATAATGTCAATTTATAAATTGCTTCTGGTAATTCAGTATGTTTTAATCCTTTTAAACATCTAAATAAATAAAAATAATATTGATGTAAGTTAATATTAGTTTTTGGTGCGTGTGTGTTTTTTTTTTTTTTTTTTTTCTTTTACATACTCTATGGTATTATCAACAATATGTGTCAAGTCTGATTTTGAAAGAGATATATCATTAAACATTTGAATGATTCCACCTAAAAGATGTTTCTTCCAAGTGGGTTTTGTGATGGATATAATGGAATTGTGTTGAAAGCCTGCTATTTCATCACTATCATTGTTGTTGCTACAACTTTGCAAGTAAACAGCTTGTGAAAGGAATTTTGGATACAACTCTAACAATTGTGCTTTGTTGTTTTGATCAAAGGTTGTTTGAATAGCTGTCAATACTCCTTGAACATGATTAGACTTGAAACCATCACACTATGGAAAAAAAGGTTAACAAATAATGTTGTAATGGTTATTAAATAAGTTTAAACTTGCCTCACTATTCATAGTCACTACACATTCGGTGAGATCTGATTCGTCTCCAAGTGGGTACTGACTAGTACTAATATCTTTGATAAAATCTATAATAAAGTGTGCTCGAATATTCTCATACTCTGATTCATAGGATTGTAATGATTTTTGTGGTGGCTTCTTTTTCTTTTTCTTGTTCTTGTTCTTTTTCTTTTTCTTGTTGTCTTGATCGTCGTCATAGTCGTTGTCGTCGTCATCATCGTCGTCTATCATTTCATCTTCCTCTTGATTGTTGTTTGGAGAGTTTTCAATTGAAAAGATGTACTTTGGTAGAAGAGTGTATGAAAGCAATATTGCTTTCATGTATGGTGCCAATAACTTTGATTGTTCAATTCTTTGTCTGTAAAAGTTGATGACTACTTCTTCACCAGCTTGATCAACAAGTTTGAGTAAATGATCTCTTTCTTTGTTTTGATTATCGCCACCATGAATGTTGTTGTTGTTGTTATTGACATCGTCCTGATCATTGGCATTGTCATCCAATTGAGAAGATGAACCTCCTCCTCGACTTCTACTTGCTACTATTTGAATGTATTCTTGATAGGCATCTATTATTCTATCGTCTTGGTCATGATCTATTATCTCCATCTAACCTATCTGTAGTAGTAAATACACACAAAATAATGAAAAAGATATAAAGTTTTTGTCAGAAAGGGAAAGACAATTAAAATATTTCCTAGAAAAATAGTTTTCATATTTAAAATTAAAGGTATATATTTTTAAAAAATAATTTAATGATCATCTCTCATTGGTACATTCTCTCATACTAATAGTACTAGGATTAATCGTTCCTAGTTGATGAGAATTTAAGAAATTTAATATTGCAAAAAAATATTATTATTATTTTAATTAAAAAAAAAAAAAAAACAAGGCGAAAAAAACGAACGAAACCAATATTGTTGTAAAAAGGTACTTACTTACTTAACATACATACAAAAGTAAAGTAAAGAACGATGACAAGAGGAACAGGAACAATTGATCTAGAAGATGGAAGTGATGTCATTTCATTGACTGATAATACTACTTCTACAACGACAACGAGATCAGCAAAAGACAACAAAAAAAAACAACAACAACAACAAAGAAAAAGAAGAATAATTTCGATAACTCAAAGATAACAAATGGTAAATACTTTATTAATATAGTACTATTGATCAAAAGATAGTAATATATTATAAAACTTGTTAAAGTCACACTAAATCAACTTGTTTTTTTGTTAAACAGATGAATTGGAATTACTAGAGACATTGGCAATGTCTGCTGCTTCAAATATAGATACACTCGTCAAGAAAAATACAATGTACCTTAATATATATCTCTCTCATAATGTAAACGTGATAGCTAACCATTATTATTATTATTATTATTATTATTAGTTCAAAAGAGACAGATATATTAAGAAAGGATTTAGAAAAGACATCAAAACAAACATTTATAGACATTGAAGAGGAATCTTTAAATAATATCAAAAAAAAGATAGTATCGATTGATGAATCTAAAAATATATTACCAACAACAGAGAGTAATGGTATGACAAGAAATGATCATGGTGCTCTTGTTGACAATAAGAATACAAATAAGAAAAAGAATACAGTAAGATTTGGAGTTGGAGGTGTAACCAAGGAAATGAAACGTGAAGCAAAATTGATCAATCTTCAAAGATTTGCCGATCCATCACAAGGACACTTTAGCAGTTCAGACAAACAAAGTCTACCAAAACTATTTGAAATTGGTACATTTGTCGATAATCATACAGACTATTTTAATAGATTCACTAGCAAGGAGAAAAAGAGAGGTACCATTGGTGATATCATGTCAAACGACAAGGTATTGAATTACATTGATAAAAAGTCTTCTCAAATTCAAAAGGATAGTTATCAAAAGAATTATCTTCGTAATCTACAACAACAACAAAGAAAAAGACCTGCCAAAAGAGTTAAATCTTCAGAGTTGGATTAAACTAAAATTTTTTAAATAAATTATAATATAGTATTTTTAATTAAATTAAATTTTACTTTTATTTAGCTTGGGCTTGAGATTTGTAAAGAGTAACAAGATATTTGTAACGATTAACACAATCCTTTTTAGATTTTGTGCTTACATGGGCAGAGATTTGATCCCATCTATCTTCGAGTGACTTGTCAAACTTTTGCATACCTTCTTCCAAAAGCTTTTGTTCTTCTGGTGACCAAGCTGGTTCGGTTGAGGCAGCGGCGGCAGCAGTAGTAGCAGCAGCAGCTGGCTTTTTGGCAACGGCAGCAGATGGAACAACTGGAGTGGCAACAGCAGCAGCTGGTGTCGTAGTGGTAGTGGTAGTGGTGGCTACAGCGGCGGTGGTGGCGACTGGTGCTGGTGTTTCAGCAGCAGCAGCTGGTGTTTCGACAATGACCGATTCTAAAGGTTCAACTCTCTTTGAAAGTTCAGAGTTGATAACTTTGTCACCAACCTTTGATTTGAATTTATCATAGGCAGATACTTGTTGAACGACAGGTTTGGCAAAAGATGCCTTGGTTGGTTGAGCTTCCTTGGCCTTGTTGATAACTTCCTTGAGTGTACGAGTTGGGATCAAACCAGAAACCATCTCCCAACGATTTGAATGACCTGGTGGATACTTTTGAATGGCCTTTGCCAATTGAGCCAACTCTTCCTCGGTCCAAACCTTTTCCTTTTCATTGACATCGTTGTTTGATTTCTTACTATCCAAAGCCCTCTTTTCACGATCGGTCTTGTGACCCTTGGCAAATGAGACTTGTTCGACAAACAATGATTTCTTTTCCGACTCGACAGACATTGATTGGAATTGTTTGGTGAGTTGTTCCAACTCTTCGAGAGTGAATTCAGCGCATACCAATTCTACATCCTCGATGGATGGTGGTGCAGGTACGGCATAGAGAGGAGCATAACAAACGTTTCTGAAATCACCCTTGACAGTGGTGACTCTACTTTCCTCTTCTCTTTTCTTTCTTTTACGTTCCTCTTCGTCTTCCTTTTTCTTTCTCTCCTCGTCAATGATACGTTGTTTCTCTCTTCTTACAGCCTCTTCAGCCTCTTCTCTCTTTTTAATGATGGCATCCTTTTTGGCTTGTTTGGCTTGTTCACGTTGATCTTCTTCGGCCTTTAACTTTTTGAGGATACGTGGATCTTTCTTGTAGGCCATGTTGGCGAGTTCCAAGATACGTGCAGCTTCTTCCTTTTTGAGTTTTGATCTCTTTTTCTCGTTTTGTGCTTCCATCCAACGACGTTCATCTCTCGACTCTGCTTGATCGAGTTCGTGATCATCGTCGAATGTAAACTCTCTCCATGTCTTGAATGCATACCAAAAGTCATAAAACTTGGTAACCTTGTCATAGGGAGTATCAATGTCACCCAACTTTGGTGCAGGTTGAACGCTTGACCAACGACTGTTCATTTCAAACACTGGACCAAATACCTTGAAGAAATCACCTTGTGCGGCGGCTCTTTCAGTTGGAAGATCGTCATCGAATGGTTCCTTGGAGTCAAAGGCACGACGTTTCTTTGGATCGCTCAACAAATCGTATGCCTTTTGCAATGCCTTGAAACTTTCATCAGAGGTACCTGGATTCTTGTCTGGATGACAAATAAGGATCATACGCTTGTATGCCAATTTGATGTCTTGATCGGTTGCACGCCATCTCAAGTGTGAGAGACCCATGATATCGTAATGATCGGCATCCTTTAACCATTCCTTTGACTTGAACTTTTGTTTCAAAGCTTGGAATTGTTCATCATTCTCTTCCATGTCATCTTCGCTACCAGAGTTTGATTCATCTTGATTGGTTTCAACCAATTTGTAGATACCATTGTCGTCTTCTTTCTTTTGTAACTTTTTCCAAAGTAATTCAAAACCTTGACCGACTGGCTCTACATTTCTAATTGATGTTGTTGAAAATAAAGAGTATTCTGCAGCTGCTGAAGTTGATTTGGATGATGTTGTTTGATCAATGTAGATATGACTATCATTTAATTCTTTTCCAATCCAACCAAAACTATTCTCTGCAGTATCAACTGTGATTACTAATTCTTCCATTTCTCTCTAAGATTGTACTTTCTCTACTAGTTTTCAAAACAAGATCTTCAAAGAGTTTTATTCAAAACAAGTAAAAAAAAATAACACAAACTGCGAGGAGCGAGTGAGCGGGGAGAGAGAAGGGGAAAAGGGATTCGTCGTTTTTTTAAAAATTTTAAAAAAATTAAATTTAATTGTTTTTTGTCCAAAAAAACGAATAACGTTGTAAAGAAGGCGCGGTTTGGATTGGTTGGTCTAAATTTGTTTGTTTATTTGTTTGATTTTTTACATAACAAGCTGTTAACGAGTAAATTGTGATGATGATGATGATGATGGACAGATGGACGTATGGACGGACGGATGGATGGATAGAGTAAAACATTAAATGTTTTAAAGTTTAATGAGATTTTTTATCAATTACCTCTGTAACGGTAATAGTTTCTTGAGGACCATGATTTGGTTTAAGATCAGCATATGAATTACTTCTAAATAATTCACCTCTACTGTTGATACGGAACAATTCACCTCGACTATTCATTCGAAGTAATTCACCACGACTATTGACTCGATCGATGAGTGGTGGTCTCTTTTCGTTGACCATGTCCATCTTTCTGGCTTTGGCAAAGTCGCCCAATGCTCTTTTGAGTGCATCCTTGCCCTCTGTCAATAGACCTTGTGGAATCTTTCTAGATGGCGTAAAACTCTTGATCATCATGATCGTTTCCCTCTCTTGACGAAGGATTGAGAACATTCTCATAATCTTTGAAACAGAGCGAACCTTGGCACGAAGCATCTGCTTTCTCTTTTCCTCTTCTGAATCAACCTCTTTGGTTTCTTGCTTTTCTGCTTCCTCATCGTCACATAGATTGAGGAATACCAACAACATCTCTGCCACCTTTTCTGAAACAAATGGCATCGACCATGTAAATACATCCATAAAGTTTGGTAACCAATAGGGATGAGGTGAACATGTAAATTGTCTAATATTCATTTCATTATTTTCATATCTAAAAAATATAGTTGTAGTTGGTAAAGGAAGATAATATTTTTTTTTCTTTTTTTTTCTTTACCTTAGAATAGCACCCTTATTATTATAGGCATCCAAATAGTTTGGAGCAGAAAAGAGTGTAATAACTGATGGAAATCCAGTGGCAGCATTACGATGATACATTCTATAACCAGCATTTTGGGCTTCGTGAGCTCTAATGACAGAGAGTAATTTGTTTTGTTGTAAAAAGTGACAAACTGCATTGTAACTATAATTGTATGAACATCCTCTGACATCATTGGGAAGATAGTGCTCTTTAATATCTGGTGTGAATTCTTCCATTGGATCTGCCCATAATAAATCACACATTGGTCCTGATGATGGTGGTTCTCTAAATCTATCAATATTTGCAATGTCATCAAGCTAAATATAAATATAAATAGAGATAAAAATATATTAATAAAACTATGGGTTTGATGATGTTTTGTTTTTGTTTTGTTTTGTTTTGTTAAGTGTTACCTACAGTTTTAATATCAGGTGATAGACCTCCATGTATACACAAGAATTTACCATTCAACAAGGCGGCCAATGGGAGTGCATTAAATGATTCTGTAATAAAGTCATATATCTCTTCACTATATTTATGTAAACCTAAAGATAATATATATCTATAAATATCAAAATCTCTAGTAATTTAAACGACTACTATATATATATATTTGTCGAAACTTACATTCTTCTTTAAAAGTAAAATAATCAGTTAAATGTCTACATTCATGATTACCTCTAAGAAGGAAGAAAGTAGATGGATAGTTAATCTTGCATGCATAGAGATAAAGAATAACCTCCATTGAGAAATAACCTCTATCTACATAGTCACCAAGGAACAGATAACTGTTGTTGGCCGGATTTCCACCAATATCATTTTCAAAAAGTTTAACCAAATCATAGAATTGGCCATGAATATCTCCACAAACTAAAAAAGAGGATATGATAATTCAAATGATTAGAAATTAGACACCACTAACCTAATAGTATTACTGATATAGTGCATACCTGTGATTGGAGCTTCAACACACAAAAGAGTTGGTTCTCTTTCCAATACTTCAGCAGCCATTTTAACAATTTCAATGACATGCTCATGTTGTAATCTACCTTCGTTGAAAAAGTGTTCTTGTAGTTTAACAAGATTGATAGTCTTGTCCAAATTGAACAACTGATCACGAGTCAAAGGTTCTGATCTTGGATATTTGACACTAGTGACAACTCTCTCTGTAGTAGATAGTTTCTTTAAATCTGTCATTGATTTGGTCCATGCCAACTTTGCTGGTTTTGGTGAAGCTGAAACTTCTGTTGGTGTTGGTGTTGCAGCAGCTGTTGTGGTAGTAGAGGAAGAGGAGGTATTGTCATTTGTTGATGAAGTTGTAGTGGTAGTAGAAGTAGTAGAGGTGTTGCTGTTTTCAGCAGATGTAGCAGTTGTAGTACTACTCATCTTATTATTATTATTATTATTATTATTATTATTATTATATAATATTATTATTATTATCTGACTTTAGTAATTAATATATAATTGTTGAACCTTTTTTAAACACAAAACCATCAAACATTTAAAATAAAACAAAAAAAAAAAAAAAAAAAAAACATCAACCCCTCCTCAAACCACCACCGCTTTCCGATTAGCACCCTATAAAAAGTATGCAAAGAGTGAGAGCCAATATTCCTTGCAGCCAGTGAATTAAAAGCAAGATCCTTTAATTACTACCTGGACTGAAAGGAATTTTATATATTTTATATTTAAAAGACTTTTTGTTTTTTTTTGTACAAAAAATTAAAAAAAAAAAAAAAAAAGCGATCATCAGATTTTTTAATCGTTTCTCCTCATCATCACCACCATCAGACCAACATTTTTATTATACGTATAAACAACGAAATAGAAAGAGATAATGAATCCTTCAACTCTATCACGTGTCTCTGTCATATCTGATCACCTCACTGCCAATATGTCCCAACGTATGTTATTATTGTCTAGTTTCTTATATTTTTGTCGTAACGACGATAATGACACACAACAAAAGATGTCTAATACTACTTGTATCACTTGTATCACTACTATTTACATATTTATATATATATATATATATATATACCTATCTATCTATAGTTGAAAGCAATAATACATCAGGTAACAACAAGAAGGGTAAAGAAGAGGTACAAGACTTTGTAGAGATCTTTCCAATTCTGAAGAATGAAATCCTCAAAGATCTTCCATCGATGGACATTCCAGAGCCAGCAAGACATTGGATCAGTATGAACATTGAAAAGAATGTAGCCGGTGGAAAGATGAATCGTGGTTTGACCGTTATTCACTCACTTCAACTATTGGTTGAAGGTCGTCAACTCACTAGAAGTGAGGTGTTTAAGGCAAACGTTTTGGGTTGGTGTATTGAATGGGTAAGTTCAACAACAACAACAACAACAACAACAAGCATAACAAATTGAAATTTAAAATACTAATCCTTTCAATTTGTTGTTGTTGTTGGTTTTTTTAATACTACTACTATATAGTTGCAAGCTTTCTTTTTAGTTTCTGATGATATTATGGATCAATCAATTACCAGAAGAGGTGCTCCATGTTGGTACAGAACCAATAATGTAAATATTTATTATTTATTAATATTTATTATTTATTTATTTATATTTCTTCTTTTTGTTTTTAGCCAATTTCAAAGGATCAAAATGCTTTAGTTGGTAATATTGCAATCAATGATTCATTTATTCTCGAATCTTGTATCTATATTTTAATCAAAAAGTATTTCAGAAATGAAGCCTACTATGCCGATGTTATGGACCTCTTCCACGAAGTTACCTACCAAACCGAACTTGGACAACTTCTTGATCTCACCACTCAACCAAACCGTGGTGACTTTTCACTCTTCCAATTGGACACTTACAACCGTATCGTCAAATACAAGACATCATACTATTCATTCTATCTCCCAGTTGCATTGGCAATGTTGATGGCCGGTATCACCAGCAAGCCTGCCTTTGATACTGCTCAAGATATTCTCTTGCCAATGGGTGAATACTTTCAAATTCAAGACGATTACTTGGACTGTTATGGTGATCCATCAGTGATTGGTAAGATTGGTCGTGACATTGAAGAGAACAAGTGTTGTTGGTTGATCTGTCAAGCCATTCTCCATGGCACTCCAGCTCAAATCGATGCTCTCAAGAAGCACTATGGTCGTGACAGCAAAGAAGATGTATCCATTGTCAAAAAGATCTACGCAGACATTGACATTCAAAAGATCTTCCGTAAATACGAAGACGAGTCCTACCAATACCTCATCAAGAAGATCAAGAACGTCAGAATCATGCCACAAGAAGTTTTCCTCAAGTTACTCTCAAAGATTTACAAGAGAGAATTGTAAAACAACAACAACAACAAATAACAGCAACAATTATTATTATTATTATTATTATGATTTAAAGATAAACCAAATCTGATGACACCATGAGTGATAACGAACTATATAGTTATCAAATCTGGTGTGATTATGAGTGGTGTAAATAAATAAACAATCGATTGTTGCCAATGTTAAAAATCTTTGCCGGATTTCATTGAAAGGGATTATTTTTTTTGTTTGTAATTGGCCGCCAGCATGCTTTTGTGTTCGAACACAACATCCGCGTGATAAAATTGATTGGTTTGATTTTTTTTGTTCAAACAGAGAGAGAGAAGAGAAATATAAGATATTAATATCTTCTGGGTACTTTGTATTACAAAAAGCTCAAATGTCAAACTTTTTACAAAAAGTATTAAAATCACCCTCTACTACTAATCTCTTACAACACAACAACAACAACAACGGCTTGGCACTTCAGCAAAAGAATTCTAATAATCAAAACAACAACAAAGGGGAGGAATTCAATTTTGGACAACTGTCATCTAGTGCTCCAACACCCAACATACTTATATCAGAGTTGCATGACCAATCTACAGTGTTAGACTTGCAATCAATGCATCAACAACAACTACAACAAAGTTCATCGACAGAGTTGTCAGACGAATTAAATTGCTTTCCACAACCACCCAACAGCAATAGTAGTAGTAGTAGTAGTAGTAGCACACACCAAAGAGTAACAGATTCAACAAGATCTGATAGTTCAACATCATTGTCTAGTGCCACCACATTTTCACAACACCACCAACACCACCAACAACAACAACAACAACAACATAGTAGCAGCAATGGTAATCAATACAATACCATAACAACATCACCATTGCAAGTGAATCCACTCACTCGACAATATAGCAACACATCTATAAAATCTGATGATTCTGCTGGATCACTATCACCAACACAAACCATCAATAGTGATCGTAGTCGTAGTAGTAACAACAGTGCTGGTAGTACTACTAATATTAGTGCTGTCAGCAGTGCCTCTACATCTACCACCAATCTTTTTAATCATATTCCTCTTTCACCCATTGCTATCATATCACCATCTTCATCAGAACAAATAAACAACAGTGTAGACAATAACAAGAAATCATCATCATCATCATCTAAAAAGAAAAACAAAGCAGCAACCATTTTAGGACAAGATGATAATACAACGACGGAATCACAACATAATACAAGTGGTAGTGGAGGAAAGAGTCTATTTAAAAAGACAGCACAACTTTTAAATCCTGTAGAAATATTCCACCGAGGAACTGCATCATTGTCAGGCAGCAGCAGTAGTAGCAAATCACACCACAAGAGATCAAAGTCACAAAAGTTTGATCCAAGCACAGAAATATCAACACCTTACAATGTAATTCACAAGATGCATGTAGACTTTGATCTAAAGTGGACAGGTCACAATGATTTTGTGTTGGATGAAAAATTGGGTGACGGTGCCTATGGTTCAGTGTACAAGGGTACACACAAAGATCTTGGATTTACATTGGCAATCAAAGTAATCGAAATGAAAGAATCAGAGAGTCAATCACTTCAAAATGAAATTAATATCCTAAAGAATTGTAAAAGTCCAAATGTTGTTTCCTATTTTGGTTCACTTCAAAATCATGATAAAATTTGGGTATGTAATTACATAACAAAACAATCAAATAATAAGTATATAATGTCGTTCAAAAATATTTACAACGATTATTTTTTTTTTTAAAAGATTTTAATGGATTTTTGTTCATCTGGATCAATTAGAGACATTATAGAATCTACTGAAAAGACTTTAAATGAATCACAAATTGCCTTTGTCGTTAAGAATACCCTAAAAGGACTCATTTATCTACATAGTCAAAATATTATTCATCGTGATGTAAAGGCTGCTAATATTTTACTTTCTGAAAGTTCTGAAGTTAAAATTGCTGGTATGTCATTCAAATTATCATCATTCATATTATTTATCAATTAACTCTTTTTTTTTTTTTTTTTTTTAAAGACTTTGGAGTAAGTGAAAAATTAAATGGAGCATTTGATCAATCAAAGGAAATGATTGGTACACCATTATGGATGGCACCAGAAGTTATTTTAAAGAAATCCTATGATTACAAAGCAGATATATGGTCATTGGGTATCACTATTATTGAAATGGCAGATGGACTACCACCTCACATGGATATGAACCCAATGAGAGCTATGAAAATGGTACCCATTTGGCCACCTCCAACATTTAACGAACCAAAGAAATGGTCACCTCTAATGAATGATTTCCTAGCAAAATGTCTCATCAAGAATCCTCAAAAGAGACCATCACCAAAGGAACTACTTAACCATCCATTCTTGAAAAAGACTAGAGGTCCTGAAGTATTGGCTGACCTCATCAACCAAGTTTTTAGAATTAAAAAAAAGAAATATGATGAAATTAAAAAGAATCAAAAGAACAACAACAATGATAATAATAATAATCATCATCAACATCAACATCATCAACCAATGCAACCAGATAGAGAAGTAAATGATTATGAAAGTGTATCAACATCCTATACAGTAGATTCCAATGGTGGTGATAACAAACAGCAGTATCAACTTGGTACTGCTACTCGGGGTACAATGGTATTTAAAGGAATGTATGAAACTTGTAGAGATTTCCAAGAAGAGGATGATGAAAGAGCTGCTGCCCTTCAAAATCTCGATGACGATGATGAAGAAGAAGAAATAGATGCCTTTAGTACAACTGTATTCCATGGTCATAAAAATCAATCAATCGATGATGACGCAGAACAAGAAGAAGAAGAGGAAGATGATGATGATGATGATGATGATGACGACGACGAAAACAATGATGACGACGATGAAGAATATTCATCAACTGGAACAATGGTTGTAAAAAAGAAAAAGAAACCTCTCCACAAGAAATCATCACTTCCACCACAAAAACCATTACCTGCTCTTCCTACTCCTCTGGTAAACCAAAATACATTTACTCGTGCAGAGTTTAGTGAGGTTATTAATGGAATGGAAAACAAGTTACTCTCGTATATCGATACACAAAATAGCAAACTCGTTCAAGACATAAAGAATGACTTTAAACAACTTGAAAATAGTATCTTTTCTCACATCAACAGAGAATTACAAAATGTAATATCAACCGTAGTCGCTCAAAAACTACAACCTCTTATTCAATCAATGGATGATTTAAAGCAACAACAACAAATCATTCAACAACAAAAAACAACAGATGAAAAGAATAGATGTTCTTCACCGATTTTAATTCAAAGACAACAAGGAGGAAAATCTGTTGAACTCTCTAGTAGTAGTAGTATTACAAACTCACCTGGTGGTGGTTCTGGTTTCCGTCCACTCTCGGCACCAGTTATTCACAGTACTCTGTCACCCACTACCGCAACTATAACCAATAGTGCCAGTAGTAGTTCGATTGAAAGTGTCCCAATTTCCCCAGGGATCCCAATCGAAAAGGGATTGACAGCAACAACAACAACAAGTAGAACTTCTTCAATTAGTAGTGGTAGTGGATCATCATCGCCAACGATTCCACATGCAAAGGCAGCACCCATACTTAAAAGAATGTCATCGATACCCAATAAAATGTCACCAACCTCATCACCAATGTCGTCACCATCAATGACACCATTAAACCACCAACAACATAACTCTGTACTAGTCAAACAACAACAACAACAACAACAACAACAACAACAACAACAACAACAAGATTCACTTTCAAGTTCATCTGATAATATTATTATACAACAACCATCTCTCTCGTCATCAACATCTTCGTTAATGCCCTCTTCATTGTCGTCATCATCCAACAACAACAATGAAAGAAAATCTGTATTCTACCAAGACGATCACATTGATGCATCTCAACACTTAGTAACAGATAAAAGAAAAATTTTTGATCAACTAAAATAATACCAGCACATCAGCCAACTATTTAAATAATAATAATAAATAATTTTTTCAAAAAATCAATTTTTTTTTTTGTATATTGATTACACCAACACGCGGCGGTGACCATGCTATTCTATACATATACTCTAGTATGCATACATATACTACTAGTGCTCATTGTTGGGTTGGAGAGAGAGGGTTCCCACTTTTTAGCCGTTGATTGGGGGTTAAATTCAAAAAAAATTTTCGATTTTTGTTTTTTTTTTTTGAACAAAATATTATTGCCATAGGAATTATTTTGTAGTCATTCGATCACAACAATTTTAGAAAAGAGAGACAACTAAATAAATAAATTCTTTAGGTATGCTTTAAAATCAACAAGAAATTGATAACAATGAATTATAACCTGTTGACTATATTCTAATAAAAAAATTAAAACAATTACCAATTATCGCTTCAAGAAATTAGCTTCACTGTAATTTATATTCAACGTCACTTAACAACTGTAGTTTTAGCTACCAACTCATCCAAACAGTACATAAATTTAAATAGATTAATAGTAGACCCCTAGAAGAACATCAGCCATGTCAACAGAAGCAGAAACAAAATCAGTAACCAAGAAGAAACCCGCTACAAGACGTCCTCCAACTCAAGTTCTACCTCCAACTTCTACTTCTACGAGAAAAATTACTCCACCCAAACGTTTCTCTCAAACTGGTACGTCCCAAACAAAATTTTATTTTTATATATATCTATTAATATGGTGTAGAGGAGTGCGCTAACCCAATCGATTCTCAATTTATTTAATTATTTAATTATTTTTTTTTAGAACAACTTTCCACCATTAAAAAGAAAGCTACAAAGGCAAAGGTAAAAAAAAAAAAAAAAAAAAAAAAAAAAATCTCTCGATTTATTAAATTGAATCAATTTCAAAACAACAAACTAACCAACTATATATAATGATTTGATCTTTTGTAGAAAGAAACCACTGTAAAGAAGACTCCCAAAGCTGCTGCCAAGAAAAAGTCAACTACAAAGTCTGCCACCAAAAAGACATCTGCTCCCAAGAAGAAATCAAAGTAAAAAAATAACAAAAAAAGTTCCATCAAAACTTTTTTAATCCAAAAAAAAAGAAAAGATGGAAAACAATTAAAAAGACTCTGTCTTTTTTTTTTTTTTTTACCCAAAAAAATAATAATTGTAAATAAAAAATTTAACCATCATCATTAAAACTTATTTGTTAAAATACAAACACAGATAATGTTAACATGGCGGATTTGAGTTGATTTATTTATTTTAACAAGTGAATTTGTTTGTTTTTGTTTTAAAAAGAAGAAAGAGAGAGAAATCATATGATGATGAGTTTAGGCAGTATTTGGATTGTTTGTATTTCCTATGACTCTTTCCAAAAAGTCTCCAACAAGACCCATTCCGAGTTGTGAGATTGGAGTGAAACTGTACTTTCTAAAGGCAGATGGAATCTTGCTTATACTAATGCATGGTTTCTTTTGTTTGTCCACACCAGCCCAAGCAAGGAAAATCTTGAGATTACATCCTGTTTCATCACATTTCATTGTGTTTGGCGAGACTGCACATTGACCATCGATACACTTTTCACAATCATTGCAAATACCAGTGTCTCTATCACCATCCCATGCAGCATCGATAATATTTCCATTGTCTAGCTGTACAATGGCGGTAAAGTAGTTTACAATTGCATTATTGTCTGGATCGTAGACACGCTTTGGTGGGAGAGTCAAGTTTTGGGTGACAGTATAATTCTTTTCTGTGAGTATAAACTCTGGTGGAGGATCTACTTTGCAACCTTCTGGATTAGCTGCCGAAGTATTATCACAAGTAACTCTATCGTAAATAAAGGTTGTTACATTTTTAGTTCCTGGGAAATCCAACCAAATAGTTACATTTTGGTTAAAAATGATAGATGTATTTGCTACAATAAAAGAAAAAGAAAAAAAGTATGGTTAGAAATTATATTGTTGTTGTTTGTTTGTTTGTTGTTGTTGTTGTTGTTATAACATACAATTTTCGATTCTTAGAGAAGTGAATTCATCGACACGTGGATGAAAGTCAGCATATGCTTTGTACTGTGACACTGCATCATATATCCATAGTCTACACCAACTCCAGTCATAACGACTCTTTCCTGTGCTGCTCAGAGCACCACCAACATTGATTTCGTTGATATAGTTTGATACTTGACCTGGCTTACCTCCACCACTTTGACTATAATGAGATATACCCTGTGGTGATACAGTGTCACTAAATAGCGCTAAAGCAACAACTATTATAAATATCGTAGTTGTTAACTTCATTTGTAAAAGAGAGTGTATTGAGGTGTGTTTTGTTTAGATATATATATATGTTGTTAATGATATGTTAATGAATGATTATGATGACGATGATGATGGTGATGATGTAAATCTATTGACTATCTATCTATCTATCTATCTATTTGGTGATTGTTTGTTTGTGCGCAGTATTATACAATAATGAATAAATAATTTAATATATATGTATTCGTAATTATGTTTGGGTCGGTTATTAAATCTATTGGTTTGGGACAAAGAGAATCATTCAAACAAAAAAATTCAACACAAACTTTTTTTTTCTCTCGTACCGTTGCATTGAATTTGGTGCATGGTTCATTATGACCTTTTTACTCTTGCGTATTGATGGCATCTCCTCTTTTAAGCAACAACAACAACAACAACAACAACAATAATGTTGTCGACGATGAGGAAAGTAAAAAGGTCATAATGAACCACCAAAGTAGTAGAAGTAGTAGTAGATCTATTGCTACTACTACTATTAAACAATCAAGGTGGAAAGATGATGCAGAGTTTGCAGACAAGATATCACAAGCATGTCATCATCATTTTGAAAAGAATTTACCAAAAAAAGGAAAGCCTCAAGATAGAGAATGGACAGTAATGGCTGCATTGGTTATGGTATTGAACGAAGAAAAGGAGGATAATAATAAACAAACAAGCAGCAGCAGCAGTAGTGTTGATCTCTCTTCATGTGGTGGTTATACAATCTCTCATATACTGTCAATGGGTACTGGAAATAGATGTCTTGGTCCAAGTGCAATCGGTAAGAATGGTGACACTGTCAATGATTCTCATGCTGAAATAATATGCAAAAGGTCATTTCAAAGAATGTTATATAATGAATTGGAGTGTATTTTAACATCACCTGCAACCTATTCATCCATATTATTGGATTTGATACCTTCACACTTGAAAAATGAAGAAGAAAAAGAAGAAGGGGAGGAAAAAGACACTGGAAAATATCCTTTCAGATTTAAATTAAAAGATAATATATCACTACATTTGTATATAAATCAAACTCCTTGTATGTATCAAAATTATAAATGATTTTAGAATCCAACTTACCACCATCAACTAATAATATTTTATTGTGCATATAGGTGGTGATTGTTCGATATTTCCAATTTCAAACAATAAAGAAGAAATTCAAGAAGAAATACAAGAAGAAATACAAGAAGAAATACAAGAAGAGGAAAAGAGAGAGAAAAAGAAAATTAAACATACTGTAACAAGTTTTGATATACAGAGGACAGGTGCTAAAACTGTAGCGGGTGAACCTCAAGATAAAAAGGAACAAGGTATAGATTACCACCAAGCTGGATCACTAAGAATTAAACCAGGTCGAGGTGAGAAAACACAGAGTATGTCGTGTTCTGACAAGATTGCCAAGTGGAATATTGTTGGCATTCAAGGATCTCTATTGTCTTTGTTTGTGTCACCAATTTATTTGGATTCAATCATTGTTGGAGATTTATACAACCAGCCTAGCTTGACCAGGGCCCTATTCGATCGAGTAAATATATCTCTGCATCCACCAAGTGATTATTTTAAAGTCAATGAAAAATGTCAATACTTGGCCACAAATAATCAATTTCAGCACTCTAAACAAATCATGGAACAAATTGTACTAGGCACTGGAAATACAAGTAAAAAACAACAAAGAAATGGAAATATTGCTATTCCTTCTGGATTGTGTACGTATAATCATTAAAATGGAACAATATTTGGTCGACCATTATCTAACAATATCAAACCAATCTTGTTTAGCAATTAACTATAGTTATCCATCAACTCTAGAAGTAACCCTATCTGGTTCAGGCAAAAAGATGGGAACTTGCGCCAAAAATTTTGATCAACCTTCTCAAAGATCTTCATTGTCAAAATACCAAATGTTATTATCATTTACTAAAATATCTTCTTTGTTTAACTCTTATTTTCAAATCGATAAAAAAGATATTAATAATAATAATAATAATCAAAATAATAATAATAATAATAATAATAATAATCAAAATAATTACCGATCATATAAAATAGGAAATGTAATGTACCAAAAGTATTTTAATGAATTAAAGAAACAAAGATTTTATAATTGGCTTGGAAATGATAAAATAGTTGATCACTTCTCTTTATAATTTAAATTTAAAATAAATCGCTTTTGTTGAATTTTCATATTTGTGTTCATCATTTTTATTGTGCGCCTGATCGATTCATTGTTCACCCAAAAAAAAGTGCATACTATAACTAACTATACTAGTACTAGTATTATCAATCGATTATACTCTTTCAGTCTAAATATTTAGTAGAAAAGAGAACATATACATATATACATATAGATATTTCATAGACAATGGTAAGAAGTCACTTTACTACTATAGTAGATAGATGTTATAGACGATGAACAAATAACTAATCTATATCTTTTTTATCTTTCTCTCTATCTCTCTATATATCTTTCTCTCTTGCCCCCCACAAACAACACCATAATAATATTAAAACAACGAACGACTTGTAAATGATTCGACAAACAGAACAAAGTAGAATCATTATCACCCAAACCATTTTTATATGAACTCAAAGGTAAAAAGGTAGCAGTCAGATTAAAATGGGGAGGTATGGAATATAGAGGTATTTTAGCATCAGTAGATAACTATATGAATTTACAATTGGCAGCTACAGAAGAGTGGATAGATGGTACAATGATTGATACGCTTGGTGAAGTTTTAATAAGATGTAATAATGTTTTGTATATACGTGGAGTAGAACATGAAATGGAGAAATAAATTTACAAATTGGTATTATTCATAATAATAATAATAATAATAATAATAATAGTAGATCATCATTTAATCATCATCTGACAATCTAGATTGGGAGGTAAATTTGTGACAATAATAATCATTATTGGGTGATCTGGCCCCAACATGTTTTGAAATAATACTTAAATATACATCATAAATGATCATGTCCAGCATTGAATGAACCAATACATCCATCCAAGAATTCAAAGAAAGGAGGGGCGTTGATTTTTATTTATTTTAATTTTTTGGGGACCCAAACCAAGAGAGAGAACAAGCTTGTTGGTTCAATTATTTTATTTCTATCAAACAACAAATCAACAAAAGAAGAATGTCCCAAATTTGTGCTACATGTAACAAAACAGTCTATCAAGCAGAATGGGTACTAGCTGAAGGAAAATATTATCATAAATCTCTTTGCTTCAAGTGTACTCATTGCAACAAGCTTTTGGACAAGTCAAATGTATAGTGTTACCACTCTCTTTCTCTACCTTTTCAGTAGAGAATCTATCTTTTCACAAATCTAACATGTTTTCTTTCTCTATCTCTCTCTCTCTTGGTTTGGGTCCCCAAAAAATCTCTCTATTTGTGGTTTATAGTTTTCAGAATCTGGTGGAAAGATTTATTGCAAGACTGATTATGACAGATTGTTCCGTCTTGTATGTATTCTCTAGAGTATACTTGTTAAGATCACATCACATCACATCACATCACATCACATCACATCACATCACATCACATCACATCACATCACATCACATCACATCACATCACATCACATCACATCACATCACAATGACAATCACACAATTAAATTTCTAATTACAACCCTTAATTAAAGAAAGGATATGGTCATGGAAATGCAACAGACTCTTTTGATGTGCAACCAAAGAATGAAACTACAGTCGTAGAACAACAACCGGTCCAAACATTTACACAACCGGTATTTGAGGAGGCGATTGAACTTTTCCCAACCAACTGTCCAAGATGTGGAAAGCGTGCTTATGCAAATGAATCAAAGGTCTTTAATGGAAGAGATTGGCATAGAACGTAAGGTCAAGAAAGAAGAATCAAACAAGAAGATTAAGAAGAAAATGAAAAAGAAGAAGAAGAAGAAGAAGAAGAACTATTTGATTTGAAGAATTTTGAGGAAAAAGGTATTTATATATTTATTTTTTATCATTTAGTTGTTTTTCATGTTTTTTTTGCAAGAAATCATTGGTCAGTGGATCATACAGTGAGAAGAATGGTTTAATCTTTTGTCCACGATGCTACGAATCTAAATATGGTGTCAAAGGTTAGTATAATGATAGGAATTACAATTAAAAAGAACTACAGTGATATTAACCAAAATTTTATAGGTTTTGGTTTCGGTGGAGCTACAGTTTTGCATTAATCTCTATCTCTCTCTCTCTCTCTGTTGTCGGCTCATTTGTTTTTATATACCAGCCAGAGGACAATTGTTATTCTATTTATTCAACAATACACACAGTACATTACATTTTATTAAACAATTCAATTATGACATGCACTGTTTAATTGTCATTTATTATTTCTTCTTTCTATTTTTTTTTTAAAGATAAGATTTTGGATTGGCAGTATTAATAATGGTAACAAAATCACTAGCTACGAGGGAAGCACCACCAACAAGGAACCCATCAACATCTAGTTGTTTTGAAAGTTCAGCACTATTGGTTGCAGTGACAGAACCACCATAGAGAATTCTGGTAGCATTGGCAACTTCTTTGCTGACCTTTTCCGATAACCATTTTCTGATAAAAGCATGGGCATCTTGAGCTTGTTGTGGTGAAGCAGTCTTTCCAGTGCCAATGGCCCAAACTGGTTCATAGGCAATAACTACCTTTGACCAATCTGAAACGACACCATTGAGGAGGAAACCAAGTTGTTCGTCCAATACCTGTTCGGTCTTGTTGGTTTCTCTTTGTTCCAAGAGTTCACCAATACAAAAGATGACAGAAAGACCTTGAGAGAGAGCATGTTGTGTCTTTTTGGCAATGAGTTGGTTGCTTTCCTTGAACAAGTTTCTTCTTTCAGAGTGACCTAGGATCACCCACTTGAGACCAATGTCTACGATCATCTCGGCTGAAATCTCTCCAGTATAAGCACCCTTGGTCTCAGAGTAACAATTTTGAGCGGCTACTTGAACTCTTTGTCCAACAAGTTGATTAACATATTCCAAATAGATTGATGGTGGTGAAACAACAATATCTACAAATAAACAATAAAATAGAGAAGAGGGGATTAGTTGGGAGAAGAAGAGGGATAAGAGGTTGAGCTGTCTGACATGCAAGTCATTAATTAACTTACCAACAATCTCAGAGGCAGGTAATGTAGATTTAATAATTGATTCAATCAATGTTTGCAATGAACTTTTATTTCCATTCTATTAAAGGATGTAAGAAGAAGAAGAAGAAGAAGAAGAGTAAAGAGATCAAAGTTAGTTTTTTGAATTCATTAGGGGGGGGTTGTTCTTGTTGTTGAACAAATGATCATACACATTTAAAGTTTCCTCCAACAAAGAATTTTCTTGAACCTGTCATCCTTTTCTGTATGTATATTTAAATATTAAACAAACTGATAACTATTAATCAATAAAGAATTCTCAAAATTGTGTGACAATGAATGTTCATGAAAACAATTTTATTATTTATGATTTTGGTGAATCGACACCCACAGAGGCTCCATTGTTTGAGACAATTGGGGATGAGGGTGATTTTGTTTGTTGTTGTTGTTGTTGATGGTGACTGTGATTGTATGATTCTTTAGGTTTCATTACGATTAACAACTCTACTATTAGAATAATTTCGATGGCATGTATGATGCTTTCTGCCAAGAGCGCTTCAAGAGGGTCATCAAAAAACTTTAAGAAATAGAAAATAATCGATGGTATCATTACACATAAAATACTACCAGATAGGAATATTGTAGTTATCAATAACTGTCATGACGATGATGATGAAATGTTGTTAGGCGGCAGTTTGGTTTTTGTCTTTTGTTCAAAAAAATAGTAGTACATACTTTTCTTAAGGTAGCTTTTCTTTTTTTCTTTGTGTGTAGGTAAACCTTGTATTCTTTTATAGATTAAAGCACCATAGATGATGAATCCACACATTATGGCAAGACACGAGATAAATACATAGATATTATATACAACGGTGAGAATGCTCACAAAGGAATAGGATCGTATTGCTGCCAGCACAACTCTTATCACTTCAAATGCAAACCACACAGAATTGGTAGTGATAAAGGCAGGTTTAGTTTTCTTTACAAAAAATGAACCACTATCTACCGACTGTACATTATGAAATGTACCTGCCCAGTAGATCAATAATAACTCGTATGCTGTGAAAAGTATATAAATTGGAAATCCATACAAAAATTGACGAAATGCATCTGGATAGGCACCAGAAGAACCCCATGGGTCTGCTGCAAAATATAATATTCTCCCTATAGTAAATAAATTTAAATTATTATAAACCAACCAACCAACCAACCAACAATCTTTTTTTTTTATTTATTTTCTATACATACAGAAACAAAAAAATAATACAAATAAATGGTTTACTGCTTTTAATTTATAGGCTACTTTGTTGATTTTCCACACTTTAAATGATTTGTATGTCTGGAAAATTGTGAAAAGTGTAACCAATATAATGGTGACTAGAAAAAATAGTTGAAATACTTGGTACCTCTTTCCTAAAACATCGCTAAAAGGAATGGAACAGTTTTTACCTCCTATATATTGATTACAATAACAACTATTAGCAACACATTCTCCGTTGGGATATGAACACTCTGCATTTGAAGCACAATATGCCCCATGAATATCGTTTACAGAGTGTCCTGTTGTTGTTGTTGTTGTTGAAATTAAATTGGTTTCATTATTTAATAATATCGTCATATTATTGATCGAAAATATTAAAAGGTTTTATATATCCACCAAACTAGATTTTTTTTCTATTATTATTAAATATTATTATTATTTATTTATTTTTTATTATTATTACTATTCTTGTGAAAAAAATATCAGTCAACAAGAAAAAGAGAAATCAATAGACATAATTGGAAACCACATTAAATTAATAATAATAAACTACATCCCCGGTGATGATGATGATGATGATTATGATGATGATGATGATGATCAATATATATATCATTTTGTTTATATCATCGAAAATATCATGATTAATCGTCGTTTGTCCAATATACATGTATTGCCACCCAAATGAGCGTGTGTTGGTGTGTGTGTGTATGTTTTGTTTTTAGTAACATGTTGGAAGAGATGGAATTTGAGCTTTTATTCTTTGTTGTTGAGGTTGGATAGGAATCTTTTACCTCTTTTCTCCTTACAAAATAAAAACTACCACTATCGTTGTTGTTTGTTGTTATTATTATTATTGTGTTGTTGGTAGTTGTTATTATTATTGTGTTGTTGTTGTTGTTGTTGTTGTTTAGTCATGATCTCTTTGTGACAAAGTGCAATTTAATATAGATAGAATCCTTTTAAAAGATAATTAAAAAAAATCTTAAAATTTTTTGGTAGCTTGAACATTAATGTTATGTTTACATGTTTTGTATTCGAATATTCATTATTTAAATATATATATTTATATAATAACTAACCAACACATTATTACTATTGTCTTTTAGCAATATATATATAACATATGATGATGTCTGCAACAACAACTAGAAACATTGGTATCTTGGCCATGGACATCTATTTTCCATCGACCTTTGTTAGTCAACAAGATTTAGGTATGACAATGATTAAACACCACCAACAACAACAACAACAACAACACAAGACAATGATATCATTGTTGTCCTTTCAGCTTATTGACATCTTATTTCTCATTTACTACTTCAAATCGTTCATCTTCTTCTTCTTACTCCTTTTTCATTTCTCTTTCATTTTTTATGATCACCAAAAGAGTTGTATGATGGAGTATCGGAAGGAAAATATACCAAAGGATTAGGACAAACCAATATGTCATATTGTGGAGATCGAGAAGATATAGTGTCAATGTGCATGAATGCACTCAAACAACTAATGGAAAAATATAATATCGACTATAACTCTATTGGAAGACTTGAAGTTGGTACAGAGACTATCATTGACAAGAGCAAATCAATTAAAACTGCTTTAATGTCTCTCTTTCAAGAATCTGGAAATTTTAATGTAGAGGGTAAGTAAACCATTTATTAGCTTTAGTAGTAGTACTAACACTAAAGTGAAAATAATCGTTATTTTTAGGTGTTGATACTTACAATGCATGTTATGGAGGAACTAGTGCAATGTTTAATAGTGTTCAATGGATGGAGAGTAGTTATTGGGACGGTAGAAATGCAATAGTCATAACTGGTGATATAGCTGTCTATGCCAAAGGCAATGCTAGACCAACAGGAGGATGTGGTGTTGTGGCGATGCTCATAGGACCAAATGCACCTTTGGTTATGGAGTGTGGATTAAGAGGAGTACACATGGAAAATGCTTATGATTTCTATAAACCCGATCTCAAATCAGAATATCCCTATGTTGACGGGAAACTATCTATAGAATGTTATCTCAGAGCACTAGATCGTTGTTATAGTCTCTACAAACGCTCATTTGAATCAAAATATGTAGGTTGTGCGCCCTTTTCATTGGAGAGTGCAGACTATTGTGTATTCCACTCTCCCTATAATCGTTTGGTACAAAAGTCACTAGGACGTATGGCATATCTAGACTATATATTATCTGGATCGCCAGAGGAAAGAGTGAAAAGTTGTTATCGATCATTCTTTGCCGAATTTGATGGCATTGGTTTGACAAACGAGTCTTATGGTAACCCAAAATTGGACACTGCCTCGCTCAAGGCATCGGAAAATGAATATAAAGCCAAAGTTCTACCCAGCACTACATTGGCAAAGGAATTGGGTAATTGTTACAGTGGTTCAGTATATGCTTCTATTCTTTCACTCTTGACCAATGTACAAAATCTCAATGGTAAACGTGTTTTGGTATTTTCTTATGGATCCGGATTGGCTTCAACACTATTTTCATTTGTTGGTAATTATAATAATAATAATAATAATAATAATGATAGCGGCAAGACAACATCATCTATTGTCGAAAAATGTAATATAAACGAAAGACTACAACAAAGAATCAAACAAACACCAGAGGAATTTGAAAAAGCAATGGAAATGAGAGAGGAGAGTTGCAAGAAGCAAATCAGTCAAGGCACTATCTACAATCCAATTGACTCTATCAAATTTATAAGTAAAGGTTCCTATTATTTGGATAAAATAGATGATAAATTAATTAGATATTATCAACAACAACAACAACAATCATCTCTTTGAAAAATATAATATATAAATTAAATAATAAAATAAATAAAAAAAATCGAAAATTATAACTTTTTTAAAAAACAAATAATCAAACAAACATTTGAGTGTTTAATCGTTAAGAAAATCATTCTTTTATGCAACAACAACAACGACAACAACAACAACAAGATGATAGTGACAATGAAGAAACAACAACATTACCAGCACTATCTTTTAACAATAATATAAAGAGTGCAGTGATTAATGTAGCCAACTTTCAGAACGATTATTTTAATGCTATACTTCAAGAATCAATAGATCCAACATTAGAGTTGCTCTCTCCAAACATATCAGTCAATGATATAAAACCAAAGACACATTATCAAATTGTAGAAAATGAAATCAAATCTTCACTATTCTTTACAACATCTCCCCTCACCAACTCTTCATCTCCTCCTACAAATAACTTTGACTGTACACTATCTAATGAATCTCCTTTGTTATTATCACCTTGTTTAATGTCAAATAATAATAATCAAAATAATCAAAATAATCAAAATAATAATAATAATAATAATAATACAACTACAACTACAACTACTACCAACTCTACGCAAATACCATTTCATACAAACACTTTAGGTGTAGAACTACCAATTATATCATTTGATAGTATATCAAATAATATGCATTTAGATATCAATTACCCCGAACCATTATCAAGCAATGAGATTATACTCTCGGTTGTATTATATCATCCTCAGAAATCGAGTAAAATCCAAGAGTTTTTGGTCATTGGCTCTCAAAAGTTGACGGATTTGCGTGACAAAATATATTGCATGGTATGCTCCTTCCTCTCTATCATATATATCGAATATATCGTTCATTCATTCATTTACTAATACTTATTTCAATAGAGAGATAATATTTTGGATGGATGGAAAAGAAAATCTTGTTTTTTCTTTATCAACAATGTCTTTTATAATGATTTACGTGAACCAGAAAATATACCCTATAGCAAGTAAGTATAGTTAAACTATAGATAAACACAACAAGTGATGAATGATTTTAAATTAAAATTTCTTTCTTTCTTTGTTTCTTTCTTTCTTTTAGTACCATAAATGAATGGATATTAAAAAAAGGAGACACCTCTGGTGGTTCATTCCTCGAAAGAGACATGTCTCTTTATTGTTTTAATGAAATGGATATATCTATAGGAGAGAAGTATCTCTATTGCAATCAAGGAAATTGTGAACATATTTTGGTATTCAAACAGATGAGATTGATCAATGCCAAAGATAGTTTCAAAAGATCAGACTATCCAATCGAAACCTATCATGCAAAGTTGAGAAGAAAAAAGTGCAAGGTTTGTGAAATTTATCCTGCAAAGTATGTAACTCTCATATATATAAAAAAAAAAAAAAAAAAAAAAAAAAAAAAAAAGAATTATAGAACTTATAATATTAATTATTTAAAAATAATAAGATTTGTTACTGTTGGCGACAAACTGGTCGATGAAACACCATATTTTTTTTGCGAAGAATGTTATAGAATCTTTCACTATGATAAAGAAGGAAGATTATTATACAATGACTATGAAGTCTATCCTTACTTTCATGAATAATACAATAAACTTGTTTTTAGAGCAGTGTTTTTGTGGCACCCACACAATGGTTACCGAACTTCCAAAAACAAAAAAAAAAAAAAACAATTATTTTAATTTTTTTTTTCAGCATTCTTGAACAGAGAACACATTTGAGGTGATTACAACATTATAATACCAACACAAGAAAATATACTATACTCACACAACCCAAAGATCAGTAAGACGATAAAACCAAAAAGAATATTCAACTTGAAACTATAGGATAGATAGAACAACAATAGAGAAAACAATCAATCAGCGGTCATACGACTCGAATCTCATATCACACTACTATTTGACAACCCATTATTAATGCGAACTGCCTATGTATAGATGGGCCAACAGAGAGAAAGAGAGAGAGAGAGAGGTGTTAATGACAAAAACAAAAAGAGACGAGCGAGCAAGGAGGAGGTGTTAAACGATTGTTTCAAGATACACGACACAGAATGACAAAACGATCTGACAAACACACACACACACACAATTAAAGCGAGGTTATTTTTTCAGATAGAGAGAGAGAGAGAGACATTCACCAAACCTTTTTCATTCCTCATTTTACACATTTCATTTTGTTTTAATATTGTTAGTATATTATTTCTTGTATTATTGTTTCAAAAAAATTAAAAAAAAAATTAAAAAAAATAAGGGAATGCTTCGTTTCTTTGAAAACAACCATTGTTACTAACACATTTTACTTTATTCATCTTCTTTATCAGAACGCAACAATCACAGAATCAAAAAAACTACTCGAATCGAAAACCACCATTCAACAACAACAACAACAAACTTTAACAAAAGAAGAAGGAGCATAAAGATTGTAGTTGTAAATATTCACATTACAACAACAACAACGTGAAACAAGAGGAACAAGACAGTCTATCAGAGAATGTTAAAGAGAAAAAAATCACCAAGATCTGCTTCTCCATCTTCATCACCTCCACATCAATCACCAATTCTTCAACAACAACAACAAGAACAACAACAACAACAAGTCAAATCTTTGAGTACATCCAATAACTCCTCCTCTTCCTCTTCCTCTTCTTCTGTCACTGTTTCTTCTTCATCATCACCTTCAAGTGATACAACTGCTTCTGATCAAAAGTCGCTAAAACAAAACAACAACAACAACAACAATAATGGCAATGTAAAGTTAAAAAAGAAAAAATCACACAAGAACAATGGGACTCCATCTTCATCACCACCAACCAAGAGTTTGAACAATCTCGCAGAAAAATCAAACAATGAAAAGAATACACAAAAAGAATATAAAAATTTAGAGGATCTTCACCTAACAACAACAACAAACAGTATTAATAGCAACATTAGTAACAAAGAAAATATAGATATAAATACCCAACCCGTCGACCAAAAAAACACTAATAACACCCAAAACTCAACAAACAACAATCTTCCAGTAAAAAAGAAACAAAGGGACCTTTATTTATAGAAGAACAAAATAACAAAGGTAAAGAAAATTTAAATACAAATTCATTATATATCTCTCTCTCTCTCTCTCTCAACTCTAATATATATTTATTGCATTTAAAATAGAAAAATCAAATCAAGCATCCGAATTTATTCCATTATCCTCAGCACCTGTACAAATTCAAAATAGCCAAACAAATCAACACCATCACAACAACAACACCAACAACAACAATAATAATAATAACAACATCGTTACTCATCGCAAATCAAACGGTGGAGAATCAACATTTAATGGTCGAAATTATAAATCCAAATCGATTATTCCACCACTGTGGCTACAAGGATTGTACAATGCAGAAGAGCTTTCAAAGTTGGAATTGGAAAAAGAGATTGTAATGTTTTACGACTGGTTGGCTCCAAACCCGCTTGAAAACAGATTGCGACAAAAAATAGTACACGATGTTGAATCCATCATCAGAGAAAGTTGGCCACATGCAGAGGTAATTATATCAAGAACAAAAAAAAAAAAAAGATACAAAACAAATATTAATTTTAATTTTAATTTTTTTTTTAAACAGATCCATATTTTTGGATCATTTTCAACCGATTTATGTATACCTTCAAGTGATATCGATATTCAGATATCAGGTATTAACGACCGCCCAAATAACACCAGCGCCAACAAATCCTCCTTTATTTATGACCCAATCCGTGAATTTTATAATATATTAAATCGAAAACACCACACCACCTACACCAACATGAGACTTATTGCTGGCGCTAAAGTACCCATCATTAAACTTGTACACAGAGACACTTGGTACAATGTTGATATTTGTTTTGATACTCCAAATGGTATTGAAAATACAACTATCGTCAAATCTTTTTTAAAGGTATGGGGGAAAAAAAAACAATTACAAAAAGAACATCTCTTTTAACCTTTTTTTTTTTTTTTTTTTTTTTTTATTAGAAATACAAGTCAATGAAATTATTATTATTATTGTTAAAGTTTTTCCTTTTCCAAAACAAACTCAACGAAACTTACACTGGCGGTATAGGTTCCTATGCTTTGGCATTGATGGTTGCCAGTTATGTCCAGCTTCGATATGTTCCCTATCAAGAGAGGGTTATTAACCCAAGAAGGGCACACTCAAGAGCACATTTTAAACACGCTGGTGATGACACTGATTATGGCGCAATGGTAATCGAGTTTTTAGAACTTTATGGCAGATCATTTCAATACACCCAACACGCAATCAGCTTGGAGCACAATGGATATTATTACCAAAAAGAACCCCAGTTGGGGATCTACCTAACCCTCATTGACCCACACGATCGTAACAACGATGTTGGCAAAAACTCATTTAACATATCCTTTATACGTGGCGTATTCACCAATGCTCTGGTAAAGATTGTATCAACCGATTTTGTAAATGACAAGTATCCTTCTATCATTTACCCAACCCTTTTGTCCCGTGTCATTGACGAAAGGCAGGTTGAACAAATTTCAAGAGACAGAAATCGGGTATTAAAGTTGGCTCAACAACTTTCTGAAAATAATCAATTGCCTCTGTTGTCGAATCAACACACACCCGAGTGCGACTTTGACAACAAACAACCATTTGAAAAGGATTTATCAGATGACGATGATGATCAACAAGTTGATGAAGATATTGTAAATAATCGTTTAACATCAAGATCTTTTGTATCAGTTTCATCTTCACCATCTACTTCGTCGGACGAATACTCTGACGAATCGATTCAATTTATTGATTCATCATCAGATGTCCATAGTAGCAGCAGTAGTCACGGCGATCATCACAGCCACGACGGCTCATCAGATTCCGAAGTGTCAGACAATGATGAAGCTTTTTCAACAAACAAACAAGAATCCAACAACAATGACAAAAACTTTTTTGGTTGGTAATAGATAGATAGAAACAAAACAAAAAAAAATACAGAAACCTAAAAACCCCCCCCCCCCCCAAAAAAGTTGCAATGCACTCCAGATATATTTACCTGCTTTAAAAAAACCAGACTTTTCCCAATAAAATAAACACAAAGAAAGAATAATCATTCTTTACTTTTTATATTTTTAAACAAATTTTATTTCATTATTTATTCATTCTTTACTGTTTGATTTTATTTATTTATTTATATTTTAAAGATCAGTTGATTTTAATTGAACTTGTCCATAGTCTACATCATCATAGTTGGTCTCAATATTTGCTTTGAATTGTTTTTCCTCTTGTGGTGTCAAAATAATATTACTATTGTTGTTGTTGTTGTTGTTACCTTTGTTGGATATGGAATCTACCAATGTTTGGTCCAATTGGAGTGGTGAAGAAACAACAGACTTTTGTTGTTTTTGTTGTTGTTTGAATTGAACCAAGATCTTTTCTTTTCACTTGGGGAGAGATCATGCCAGAATGAATTGATAAATTGTTGGGACAATGGAAGAGCATGGTGATGGGATAGTTGGTCTTGGGTGTGCTTGGATTGGACAGTATCATATTCTTGTTGGATGGCGAGAACGGTTTCCTTTTCTTGAAGAGTGACAAGCGATGGATTCTCTTCCACGAGGAGATCTAATTTTCTTTCAAGTCTAGTCTGTTGTACAAGCAATTGGTCGACAGTCTTGATGGCAAGTCTCTTTTGCTTTCTATAGTCTCTTGATTTTCTTTGAGCCAACTTGTCCTTGAGAACCGAGAGGGCAGTGGTTTGTTTTAGTTTCTCTTCGAGCAAAGTGATCTGGGATTGGAGTTGATCAAATTGTGGTTGGTCCATTGCAACAAGGTCTTGAAGGCTTTTACCTTGGAGAATTTCATTCTTTTTGGCGATGATTTGCTTGACGTCGGCATTATCCTTTTCGTAAAAGGCAGAAGAAATTTGCTTGACAGATTCGTTGATCTTGTTCAATCTAGCCTTGAGGGTTTCATACTTTTGTTGTGTGGCCTCATCAACGACTATCTCTGCTGGTTCTTCAAAAGCAGCGTTTGTTTGGACATAGTCGATAGAGTCAACATAGATGTCATTTTTGGCAGTGGCCATGGTAGTCTTGAATGATTTTTCAAAAGATTGTGGGTTGATGACTTCCTTGTGCTCGATAGAGGGAACATCTTGGAAACGAGAAAGGTTTTTAATGGTTTCGAGGTTGGAGAGATCCGAGTCATAGAAATTTGCTTGGAGACTTGTCGAGTTGGTTTGGGGTTGCTCTACTTGAGCTGGGGTAGCATTAAAGTATTTGGCTAGCTCTGGTGAGATCTTGCTTCCAAGGTGATCGACTGTGGCCAAAGAACAAACGACTGGGTATTCAATGTTGGCATCTTGGCGCCACAACTTGTCAGACATTTTACCATTGAACAAAAGGTCAGTGTTGGTAGAAGATGAGGCGATTTTACCATCCTCTCCGACATGCAACTCTGCAAAGAGTTGTCTGTTGTCTCTGAAAACAGAAGAGATAAACTCTTCCTTGTTTACCGACGCCCATGGAGCCGAGTTGGCAGTGGATTGGTTGGCTTCTTTTTGATTGGTTTCATTGCTCGAGAAAATAAAATCTAGTGGATCTTGAGTCTTGAAATCGAGTGGACCGTTACCAGCCAATGATTTTCCTCTCTTTTGGTTTTGGTAGTTGTCAAAGAAGAGTTTCTCTTCTTCTTCAGACATGAACTTTCTGGCATCTCTTCCAATATCCAAGTTGTAGTCTGAAAAGCGGTAGCCCAACTCGGTCTCTGCATCTTCATTTGTTGCCAATGAGTTATCGAATCCTCCTTCTTCTTGGTCATCTTCCTCGTTGTCTTCTTCATTGTCATCGTCTTCATCATCTTCGTCATCTTCATTTTCATCTTCCTCAAACTCTTCTTCGGCCATTGATTCTCTGAGTTCTTCTTCGTCGTCGTGGATTTCGTCGTCAATGGCGTTAACAAAATCGTCTTGATTGAGGTCTTTTGCATAGTCTAGAATGTTTTTGAAACGATAGTCCATCGAGTCTAAATGACTTCCCAATTGGTCAACGTCGTTGCCTGCATTCTCCAAGTCGAAAATGTCGACCTCTCTTTCTACATCGGCTGTGATTTGTCCAAGACTCATGGTTCTCTCTTCACCATCTTGTGGAGTATCTTGGTCGTCATCAATGGCGTTTAATACTTCGTCAGATGGTTCAGTGTATTCGTAGCCGAGAACACGGTAGGAGAGAAGTTGGGTCTTGAGCACAAGTGCATAGTTTTTGATCATTCTAGAACACTCGATCAAGTTTTTGAGAATGTTGTGACCGGCTTGTTTGTTGATGTGATCGATAAACTCTGGAGAACGGAGTTTCAAATAGTCGATAAAGATTTCAATCGAGAGAATACAATCACCCAAATATCTTAATTGGACCTTGTCACTGACTCTTGGATCCAATGATTCAATGTCAAGTGATTCTTGAAGAGAGTTGGCTCTTTGGATGTGGTTTTGGATCTTTTGATACTTTTCTAGCAATTGTTGGATATCTTCTTTTGAGGTTCCCTTGAAATCGGCTTGACCATTGAAATCTTGACCACCAAGCAACTCTTGAATGGAAACTCCATTTTCTGTCAAATTGACCAATGCTCCATCTTGTTGCTTTTGTTGTTTGGATGCTCCAATTGATTGTGATTGTTTTTGTGGCTTGTGGTCAAGTTCCTCACCAGTTTCAATATTGTCAAGATTATTTTCATCTACCACTGCTGCCTTTGCACTTTCCATGGTATCTGGAGACTCTACCATTGAACCAGGTGGTAAAAATGGTTTATAAAAGAATTCTAAAAAAGAAATGAAAAAGTTAGAAATCAATAAATATATAAATATATAATTTTAAATAATATACCTTTATATTCTGGATGTTCAGAAATAAATTGATGTAATTCATATGGTGAAAACCCTTCAATTAATTCAAATGGAAGAGCTGATGTATCACCATAATATTTTCTATATTTTAGAGCTTCTTCAAGTTGTTCTCTTTTTTTTAAAAAAAAAAAAAAAAAAAAAAAGTTACTATCATTGCTTTTCTTTTCAATTTGTTTTTTTCATTTCTTTTCTTTGTATTTACCTTTGTTCAGTTAAAAGATATTCTTGATGACGAGAACTAACTTCATCGTGAAGAGTTTCTAAATGTTGAAGATGTTTCATTGGATCAAAAGAAGGAACACCAATTTGATTTGCCTGCTCTCTAATAAGATTGAGTTCAATCTCTCTTTGTTCCAACAAGTTAAATACATCACGAGTGGCTTGGAGAGTTGCCTGTTGATCAGATAGACCCTTCTTCATTGCAGTCAATTTGAATTTTGCATAGTTGAATGCATCTTGACTGAGTTCGAGGTCCAACTCGTTGTCATGAAGAGTGTCATCGTCAGCGATACCACTGTCATATGGTTTTTCTTGTTTGGCACGACGTCTTTGTTCTTTGATTGACAATGATGACTCGTCAATTGGCTTGTACTTTTCACCATCATCTGGTTCATCCAATTCTAGATAACCAACGTTTGGATACTTTCTTGCAAACTCTCTAGCAAAGAGGTCTACAGGTGAATGTAAACTAGCCAATCTTCCTTGAGGTCTTGGTGGATGTGGAGCAATGGCACCTTCTTCAATCATTGCTTTGAATCCTTCGGGTATCTCACGGATACCCATCAATACCTCCTTTTTGAACTTTGAATAAAAACTCTTTGCTTTTACCATTCTATATAGAGTTTTTTTTATACCAACAAATCTTTACCAAATCGATTCTAGAAAACTCTTTGTTTAACAAATCTCTCTTTCTCTATCTCTCTCTCTCTCTATAAAATAATAGTATAACACAAACACAAGTGTATGTATGATGACAAACAATTGACGACTGTTGTTGTTGTTGTTGGTTGTGTTGTTATAGTGATTGATTGATTGTAAAAAGCAAGAAGAGTGCTCTGTTGCAACGACAAATGTGATTACCCAAAAACGAAAGTTCATCATCTGCAGCCTTTGAAAGACAAAAAATTAATTTTTTTTCAAATTTTTTTTAGAGTGTCTTGTAACGTTGGCATGAGACATGATCACCATGAGAAAAAGACGGGTGCATGTACAGTAGTAGTACTGATCAGCATCAGAGCCAACAAACATGCAATCTGCCACCCTTTTGAAAAGATCTATTAATGCTTTATCAAAGGTACATATTATAGTAGAGAGAGAGAGAGAGAGAGAGGAGAGGAGAGAAAGAGAGTCTGTAAATAAATTAAAAATGATGATCATTTTATACTAACAAACTTTACTCACACCTTTATAAAATATATATCTTCCTACTTTTCAGCAATCATTGATCATTGCTACAGGTAAAAGATCATTCCAGTCATCTGCAATTTTAAGATCAGATGCATTGAGTAGAGTATGTAACTTTAAAAAGATATGTGACTGCATTGTTTAGAACATCTAGATCTTTGCACATGTATTGATCACCGGTCACTGATCACATCTATCTATCTATCTATTATCTATCCATCTATCCATTTTTAGCATATCGATACAGATGATAATAATGATCATACACCATTTGATTTCACAGAAGAGAACATGAAAAAGGTAGATACTATCATTTCAAAGTATCCACCAAAGTATAGACAATCAGCCATGATCCCTTTACTTGATCTTGCACAAAGACAAAATGGTGGTTGGATTTCATTAAAAGCTATGGACAAGGTTGCAGAGATTATTGGTGTTGCACCAATGGTAGCCTATGAAGTTGCTTCATTTTACACCATGTTTAATAGAACAAAGATTGGAAAGAATTTTGTTCAAGTCTGTACAACTACTCCATGCATGCTCAGAGGTTCAACCGATATCCTTAATGCTTGCAAACATCATTTAAATATCAATGTTGGTGGTTAGTATCAACAACAACAAAAAAAAATAGATTATATATAGAGATCCCTATATGCTTATTTATTCTTTGTTTTTAATAGAAACCACCAAAGACGAAAAGTTTACACTTGTAGAAGTTGAATGTCTTGGAGCATGTGTAAATGCACCAATGATCTGTATTAACGATGACTATTACGAAGATCTCACACCAGAGACTATGAAAAATCTTTTGACACAAATTGAAAAGAGTGAACCAACAAAGGTTGGTCCACAAAATCACAGAAAGGCTGCTGAAGGTCCACAAGGAAAGACTACTCTTTTAGAGGCACCAACTGGTCCCATTTGCAGAGAGGATCTTTAAGTTTTATTGGTTTAATTAATAATAATAATAATAATAATAATAATAATAATAATAATAATAATAATAATAATAATAATAAATAGAGGCCAATATATAAATATTAATAATACATTTATAAAACATCAAAACATTATTATTTTATTCTTGATCATCGAGTTTATAATCATTACACTCCCTTTCTTCTTCTTCTTCTTCTTCAAAGTCAAAATATTCCTCATCTTGTTCAAATTCCTCGTCAAACATTGATGTTGGGGTTGTAGATTTAGACAATGTCAGTATTGTTGATAAGAAACATAGTTGGTCACCTCTACCATCATCTTCATCGCTATTTTCATTGTTGTTGTTGTTGTTGTCGTTGTCATTGTTGTTGATAATAGTATTATTATTTTTAACTGTTGAATCTTTTTTTGCCTTGTCTCTCATTCTTCGATTACCAAACCAATTGTCCAACTGTGATCTTGAAATATTAGTTTGTGATGCCAAGACGGATTTTTCTTCTTCATCTGGATATGGAACCATTTGATGACATAAATACCAATCTTTGAGCTGTTTCTCTTGGACTTTTGATAGTTTTCTTCGGTGTCTGCAACTACTGGCGATTACATTCTTTTGGAGAGATAATATGATTTCACAGCAATTACTCTTTTGAAAACATTTCATGAGATTAAAGTATGATTCCATTTGTAAATATTTTACTCTCTTTTCATTATCACTTATTGGTCTCAACTAGGAAATAAAAATAAAATAATAATAATAATATAATAATAGTGTTAATAATGTTAATAATAATGATAATGGTCAATGATAATTATGATAGATTTTCTATCTCTTTTTAAAAAGAGTCTAATACTTTTGAAATTTGAGTTAAAATTATATCAAGATTGGAGATACGTTGTGAATATTGTTGTTGTAGTGATTGAATTTCTCTATTATAGTAACTAGTCAATAGTTGTAGTGGTTGTGTGAATAGTGAATTGCTTATCTTGTCCAACTTTTGACAAGAAATAAAAGATCCAATATCATAATCTACTGGCAAGTTGTGGTATTTAGATTGACCATTAATATGAGGAAATGAAGAAAAAGTAAATGAATCATCTGATGATGATGAAAGAGGAGAGGAAATAGGAGCTGTTGTTGAACCATTATTGAAATTGGTATTGCAACCATTACTCGTTTCATTATGATTATTATTATTATTATTATTATTATTATTATTATTATTATTATTATTGTTAAAATTTAAAATGTTTAGAAATTGTGTGAATTGATTATGAATAATGGATTCATTGTCATTTAAAACAAGGGGATGTGAGAGTAAATTGTTATAGTCTATGTATTCCTCCATTTCCACACAACAATTGAATTAATATAAAGTACAGAGCTTTTTAAAAGACTCTATCAGTCCATCCTATTTATCATTTTGTAAATATTGATCATCCTTTCATTGTTGAATCATTATCCGTTCTTGTACCCACAACATGATTATTGTTTCACAATGATCCTTTAACACCATGACAAGTTGAAGGCATGTGTCAAATCGAATAACAAGAAAAAAAAAAAAAAAAAACAAAAAATCTTTGAAGCCCCCAGTAGAGACAGTACTCTACTTTTTTAGTTTTGTTAAAAGAGTAAGCAGATAAACTGTACACAACAACAACAACAACAAAAAAGAATGGACGAAGAGAACTTGGGAAAGGTAAACACTAATAATATCAATCAATCTGTATATCATTTTTACTAACCCCCACCCTTTTCATTCCTCCCCCTCCTCACCAACCCATCTACCTATCAACTGCTTCATAGCTTCTCCAAGCCTTCTCAAACTGTAATTATATAGAGTTTGTAAAAATATTTTCAATGATACATGGTTTTGATGCAACCTTTGAATTTCTAAGGAATGCTCTTACAACAATACCTTTTATGGCTTTTAAAAGAAAATTTTGGTGGTCAAAGGAAGACGATGATAACTCCTCCTCCTCGTCTAATATCACTTCATCTTCTTCCTCCTCATCGCCAACAAACCATGTATTTAGCTCAAACAGCGAGAACAATGTAGGATCATCATCATCATCATCATCTGCAGGGCACAATTATCCAAATAAAAGACAAGCCATCAGATCAACTTGGGAGGATGATAATAATAATGATACTTGGACCAATCCAGATAATAATTACTATGATAGTGATACAGGATATCATAGAAACGCTCAAAAGTTAAAGTCAACTTCTTCTTCTTCTTCTTTTACTCAACCAACAACATCTCCTACTTCTACCTCTTCTTCTTCCTCCTCCTCCACCTCCTCCTCCTCCTCGTCAAATGATTCATCTTTGAGAAAAAAGAGAAATTCAAAGAGAAAACTAAAGTATGTAATGTTGATCAATTATTTTTTGTCTATAAACTAATATTTTCTTTTTCTTTTTTTTTTTTTAGATTCATGGATTTACCATTCGAGCTTATCATTAGTATATTTTGTTTTTTAAAATCCACCGACTTGATGGTTACGTCTCTAGTCAGCAGAGAATGGAATAGATTTAGTTTTATCTCTACCAATGAATTATTGATTGACAATAGAAATGGAACGAGCTTGGATATAATTAATAGAAAGATTTACAAACACAGCGAATATTTAAAAAAGATACGTTGTTCCCATTCCATCTATTTCAACTCTAGCAGTCTGCACACCATCATAAACCACTGCAGGCAAGTGACCGATCTTCAATTCTACTATTGCCCGAACCTTCACGACTCTCACATTGAATCCATTTGCCTTTCACTTCCCCAACTCAAGCGTATTGTCCTTCACTCGAATCATTTGACATCAAGAACAATAGACTCTCTCACAAAAACCAAATTAGTAAATGTCGAGCTTGGTGGCTTTGCCAACGTAGCCGTCGAAGCATTTACAAAACTGGGTCACATTGCAACCTTAACTTCTCTTGATGTCAGCGGCATTGACAGAGACTCAGAGTTAATTCACAGCCTAACCACGTGCAAAAGATTACGTACACTAAGACTTGGTGTTGCCACTGAACAAACCATTTGCAGACTGCCATTTCTAGAAAATCTGAATTGGCTGTCAATTGCAGAGTGGGATGTTGATGAACAACATGACCAAAACAATGGCAAATATTTAAATTTTTTGGAAAGATGTAAAAAATTAAAGAAATTGGAATTTGCTACTGCTACCATCACTTCTAATGAACAAACTCAACAACAACAAACTCAAAATCAACAACAACAACAAATTCAACCACAACAACAACAAACTCAACAAAACGAACAAACAAATCAACCCATTACCACTCAATCATCAATTTTAATTAGAGAGATATCAAATTTAACACAATGTTGGGAATCACTTTGTGAATTGGATTTGGATCTAAGTTTTGATTTGGAATACCACAAAGAAGGAGATTGTAGTTTCTTTGAAATGACACTATCTCGTTTGGTCCATTTAGAGATTCTATTTCTAAGTTCATTTAATTTGGACAGCTCTTGTTGGAGGGCCTTTTCCAATCTACCTCTTTTACGTGTTTTGTCTATTTGTTGCACACAAATGGAAGGAAGTGAATCAATCGGACGTGGTCTTGGACACATTGGCTCTGGTTGTCCTTCACTTCAAAAACTATCACTCATCAACTCTACAAGCAAATGGATTGAGATTCCACCCAAATCCTTTGCACAGCTCCCAAATTGCCAAGAGCTAACCCAGTTGTGCATTGGCGGCTCGCGTGGCGGAGGTTGGATTCTCAACGAGCAAATATTTCTTTCAATCGCCAAAATGTCTTCACTCCAACAACTCGATACATCCAACAGCCTTGGCGTAAACGAAGAATGTCTAGAATATCTCAGACATTGCCAATCACTGGAATCATTAGAGTGTGGAATCCGTCTTGAAGAGGATATGGTTCGTAGTGCCATCGCCGAGTGGTGTGCAACCAAGACTCTTTCCAATTGCAAATCCCTAAAAAATGTTGTTGTAGACTTGAGACTCCCCTCTACCATTTACGATCAACCATGTCTTTCATTCAACCCAAAATCATCCTTTCAATTTATTGCTAAAATTTCCAATTCTCCTGAACCCAACAACAACAACAACAACAATAGAATGTAAAAATAAACCAACCTCTCTCTTTGTATATAAATCTCTAAATAAATTTATAAAACATATCCTTCTTTATGTTTTTATTTTGTTGATATGTTTTTTTTTAAAGTGGAATGTTACCATGTTTCTTTTTTGGATTTTCCAATTTCTTATCTTTCAATACTTGCAAATCCTCGCAGATGATCTTTCTAGTTTCTCTTGGTACGATGATTGAATCGATGAAACCACGTCTGGCAGCTGGCAATGGATTGGCAAACTTGTCGTTATAGATTTGTTCTTGTTCAGCAATGTCACCCTTTCCACGGAAGATGATTTCAACAGCACCCTTTGATCCCATGACAGCGACTTGACCACTTGGCCAACTGTAATTGGTGTCACCACGCAAGTGCTTGGATGACATGACATCATAGGCACCACCATAAGCCTTTCTTGTGATGACAGCAATCTTTGGAACGGTAGCCTCTGCATAGGCATAGAGCAACTTGGCACCATGACGAATGATACCACCGTGTTCTTGGTCGGTACCTGGGAGGAAACCTGGAACATCAACAAATGTGATGAGTGGAATGTTGAAGCAGTCACAGAAACGTACGAATCTGGCAGCCTTTACAGAGGCATCGATATCAAGACAACCAGCGAGTTCCTTTGGTTGATTGGCAACGATACCAACGGTTCTACCTTCCATGGCAGCAAAACCGATAATGATATTTTTGGCATAGTTTGGTTGGATCTCAAAGAAACGGCCTTCATCGACGACTCTTTCAATGACTTCCATCATGTCGTATGGCTTGTTTGGATCCTCTGGAACGATCTTGTCAAGGACTTCATCCTCACGAGTTGGGTCGTCAAAGCATTCAGATTGAGCTGGTGCAGAGTAGTTGGATTGTGGCAACATGGTAACCAACTCGCGAACCTTTTTGAGAGCATCGATATCGTTTTCAAAGGCAAGATGAGCTACACCAGACTTGGTAGTATGTGTCTTTGCACCACCCAACTCTTCTTGAGTAATATCTTGCTTGGTGACAGATTTTACGACATCTGGACCAGTTACAAAGAGGTATGAGGTATCCTTTACCATAAAAGTAAAGTCAGTGATGGCTGGTGAATAGACAGCACCACCAGCACATGGACCCATGATGACAGAGATTTGTGGAATGACACCAGAGGCCATAACATTACGTTGGAACACCTCTGCATAACCTGCCAAACTGGCAATACCTTCTTGAATACGAGCACCTCCAGAATCGTTCAAACCAATAACTGGTGCACCAACCTTCATGGCCTTGTCCATAATCTTGCAGATCTTTTCAGCATGAGCTTCTGACAAACTTCCACCATTGACTGTGAAATCTTGTGAAAAGACAAATACTAATTTACCATTGATAGTACCGTGTCCAGTGATGACACCATCACCTGGAATCTTTTCAACAGCAAAATCTTGACAACGATGAGTGACCAACATGTCATACTCTCTAAACGAATCGGCATCTAATAATAAATCGATTCTCTCTCTTGCCAATAACTTTCCTTTTGAGTGTTGTGCATTATTTCTCTTTTCACCTCCTCCTTCAAATGCTCTGTTTGTCTCTTCTTGAATTCTACCAAGAATTCTCTTTTGTACAAATGAGAAATAGTAAAGGTTATTAATAAGGTTTGATTTGAACAAGTTGGTTTGTTGGTTGCTTAAACGGTTTTGCTACATACATCCATTTGGGAAGAGTGATCAATTGGTTGAACTGTAGTTGTGGTACTGGCAGTCGAGAAAGATCTTGATAAATTTCTTACGACATTTGTTGAAGTTGTTGTTGTTGGTGTGTACTTTAATGAAGCAACATTTTTGATAATGTTGTTTGTCTTTAATAATCTTCTGCACAACATTTTTGATTATATAAACAATCTACGATATATAGGTGCTGCTGATTAAAGATTGAATTTGAATGAGCTGATTGATCAGCAAGTTCGTGTTGAAAGTTTTAAAAAAATTAAAAAAAAAAAAAAAAAAAGATTTTTGTTTTTTTTTTTTTCCGATGAACAAAAAAGGACAAAGCTATTTTTTTATTAAATCTTTAATTTTTAAATGATTGATAAAATCCAATGCTTTTTTTAAATTATTTTCTGAAGTATCACCAGTAGTATCAATAACTAGATCATAGTAATCCTTATCTTCATAATCCAAACCATAAATATCCCTAGAGTGAAAAAGAAATTTTATTAGCTCAATTTATATATATATATATATTTTTAATTTTTTTTTAACTTACATATATCTCTTTCTATCATTTTGATCTCTATCTTGGTTTTCAATAAAACCAGATATTATTTTGTCTATATTTTCAAGAGGTAATTTTGATATAGTATTTGCTATAGTTGAAAGATTGGTGGAAGAAAAATGATCATCTCTTTCTAGATCCTTTTCCTTGGGCAATACAGAGTCTGCCAAAATAGATGCTCCTTTTCCTACCTCTCTCTCCAAATATCTTAAAGCTTTTTCTCTTGCACTACATTTTACATAGACCTTTATCATTTGATTGTTATGATTAGCATCATTGTTGTTGTTGTTGTTGTTGGTTAATGATTGAATAAAACATCCTAGCAAGGCAGGTTGTCTTCCTTCAATGACGCTATATTTTGAATGAGGAGTAGTAGTAGGTGTTGTTGATTCTACACCTTGAATTATTTGGCATGTCCTATAATCCAATTCCAAATCAACCTTTATATTAAATAGTGGATTGTTCTTTATCCGCTGACCACTCAGAATAGAGTTATTGTTGTTTGGTTGTTTATGGTATTCTTCAATTTCTCTGAGCAATCTACTTTGTTCAGCTACCGATATATTTAATGAAGTTGCCAAATCTCTAAACATTGACCCAACCGAATAGAAACAACCATCTTGAAAGTGTTGAGATATTTTCTTTGCCATTGTACTTTTACCTGTCAACTGATGTCCACCAATCAATATAATCGGTTTGTTGCTGTTGTTAGAGTTTAGTAACAATCGTTTTATTGCATCTTCACCATAATAGTTTTTGAATGCATTTGTTAATTTTTGAAATTTGTTCATCATGAGACGGTTGAAAAGATAGACAAAATGGAGGTCTATGTGTGAAGTTATATGTTGAAAAAAAGAAAATAGAAAAAAAAAAAAAAAACAAAAGAAATGCAGCTATTGTTGAGTAGATATATGTTTTAAATCTTTTTTGGTATTGTTTGCCTCTTGCAACATGTTTTTAGTTTGTTGTTCTACAGTGTGGTTGATTTGATCTACTTGATCTTGGAATTGTTGTTCTAAATATTCTTCAACTGTCATTTTATAGATTTTATCAATCTGTTGTTGTGTAGAGTCTAAAGAGTTTGATGATGATGATGATGATGATGATGATGATGATGATGATGATGATGATGATGATGATGATGTGTTCATTATATATATATAAAGAGATAAATATTTGATTGCAAATAATAATAGAATAAAAAAATGTTATCATCTGGTGATGTAAAAATGTGTGACTTTTATATATTTTTTTTATTTTTTTTATTTTTTTGGAGGGAAATATAATATTATATAGTGGGTTCATTGCTATGGTTAACCTTAAAGATTGCAATATTTTGTGATACATGAACTGTTGTTATTTTACAATTATACTTTTTTCCGATCCATTCAAATGTAGATGGTCTATAGAAACAAACATGGGTTACATCGCGAGGGTAAAACCAATTGGAAAACATTGAGTCATTTGTAAGCAACTGTGTCATAAACAATACCCATCCACCATCCTTTACCATATTCTTTGAAAAAATGATCTCTAGATCATCTTTTGGTGTTCTAAAGTGTTCTATTGCCTCTGTACATGTTAAAAAATCAAATTTACTTTCAGTAGTAGTAGGACTACTATTTTCTTGTGGCTTCTTGTCCAACAAATCGATAACTGATTGTACTGATGAATTGGGTAGAAAGTATGGGTCATAGTTTTCAACTTTAATATTATACTGTTGGAAAAGTAAATACAAAGCTGCACCAGGACCACATCCATAATCTAATCCTAATAAATTACTACTAGTGTCAGATGAAGAGGAAGAAGATGTGTTGTTGTTGTTGTTAGAAATTGTTGAGGTTTCAATTGTTGTTGTAGAGTTGACAATGTTATTATTATTATTATTATTATTATTATTATTATTATTATTATTATTATTATTTTCATTATTTTCCTTATTATTATTATGTTTTTCTAATCTTGGAATATTGTACAAATCAACGATATTGAGTACAGCGGGAGTCAAAAAGTCACAATATCTTTGATCGTTTGGACTGTTGTTGTGCATCACATATCTATATTTTTCCTTGTCTTGAGTTACATGATAGTTTGGATGTACAAATACCAATGTACATTGTGAACATGAATAGAAATGCTTCTTGAAAGAGGTTGAATAGAGTGTTGTGTTTTCATTTTCGCAAAGAGGGCATTTTGGAATAGTAAGATCGATCGTACTAGTACCTTTTGATGATTTTGATCTCTTCTTTTCTTTACTATCTACTTGTTTGGTTGATGTTGATGTTGTTGTTGTTGTTGTTGATTCAGAATCTACATTCTTTCTTTTCTTTTCGTCGTGATCACTCATATTTCTTTTGTGATGATTCTAAAAAGAAGGTAGTTTTTTGAGTGCAGTAATACATTCGTTTTTTTTTATTTTTTATTTTATTTATATTGATTTATGATTTGAAAGATGATTACTATTATTATTATTATTATTAATAAAAAGAAGATTACTATTGATATGATTTGGGTTGGGGTTTGTTTTTTTTTGTTTGAATTATTATTTTTTAACATCAAAACCATGAGTAGTCATGGCAGGTTTTGGAGCATTCTTTGCATCATTTTTGTTGATGACAACAAGTGGACTAGTTCCAGTGATACTTCCTACATTACCACCACCTGATTGAGGTTGTTTAATGACAGTCAAGGGAGAGAGTCTTTCAATTGAAATTTGATTAACCTCTGTGTTTCCCAAAGATCCAGGAGCACCACCTACAAGAGTAGAGTTGTTAAAGCTTCCCGAACTACCACCAACACTTGTTGAGGTCAAGAATGATGTTGCCTCTTGATTTGTTATTTCAATAGGACCTTTTCTTCTACAGGCATCCAATTTCCAAATGACATCAGAGTATTGTTTGATGGTTCTGTCACTTGAGAAAATACCACAACCAGCGGATGCAAGAATTGACATCTTGGCCCATTGGCTAGTATTTTCATAGCACTTGTCAATTTTATTTTGAAGATCCATGTCTAAAAAATAAATAAAAATAAATATTTAATTGTTAATATACACTTTTATAAATGATTATATTAAATTTTTACATACAAGAAGTAAAATCATAGGATAAGATATAGTGATCTACACCATTTGTAATTGAATCTAAGATTGACTGGAATTCTTCGACTTGACCAAAGAGACCTTCTTCAATGGCGGTAATAACTCTAACCCATCTCTTGTCTGGAGTGTGAGTACCTTGATGGATTGACTTTCTAATGGAATCAACCTTGTCAGCAGTGGCACCAAATATAAACATATTTTCTTCTCCAATCGCTTCTTTGATTTCAATATTTGCTCCATCCAATGTTCCAATAATCATTGATCCGTTCATTGAGAATTTCATATTACTGGTACCAGAGGCCTCTGTACCTGCTGTTGAAATGTGTTGTGATAAATCAGAACTTGGGATAATACTAGAAGGAAAAAAAAAAAAAAAAGAAGGTTAGGAAAAAGAATAAATATATAAAGGTAATTTATCTCTATTTTTTTTTTTTTGTTTTCATACATTTCAGCATTTGAAACACAATAATTTGGAATGAATACAATCTTTAATCTATCACCAACTATGGGATCGTTGTTTACTACATTGGCTACATTATTAATTAATTTAATAATCTTTTTGGCCATGTAATAACCAGGGGCAGCTTTTCCAGCAAAGATGATAACTCTTGGAGTGAGCTTTTGTCCTTCTTTGATGTCAAGATATCTATTGATAACACCTAGGATGTTTAATAGTTGACGTTTGTATTCATGGAATCTCTTGACCTGGGTATCAAACATTGCATCGGCAGAGACTCGAATACCACATCTCTTTTCGATATACTCGGCCATTCTTACCTTGTTGGCTCTCTTGATAGCCATCCATTCCTTTTGAAACACAGAATCATCTGCAAACTTTTTCAATTCACCTATAATATCAAGATTGACAACCCATCTATTGGTATTGAGCTTCTTGGTAATGAGAGATGACAAGTGTGGATTGCACTGATAGATCCATCTTCTTGGAGTGACACCATTGGTCATATTTACAAACTTGTCTGGCCATAGTTCATAAAAGAATGGGAAAACCTCCTTTTTAATTAATTCAGTATGCAATTTTGCTACACCATTAATCATATGTGATCCAACAATTGCTAAATGTGCCATTCTTATCTAAAAATAAAAATAAAATAAAAATAATAAGATTTGCTTTTTTTTTTGTTTGTTTTGTTTTGTTTTGTTTTTTTTTTACATGTTTAACATCAGATTCATCAATAATGGATAAGATTCTCTTCTTTTCATTATCACCAGGCCATTTCTTTTCAACAAGTTTCATGAATTGGTCATTGATATCAAAGATGATACGAATGTGTCTTGGAATGAGATATTGGACAAGTGGTACGCTCCATCTTTCGAGTGCCTCTGGAAGAACAGTGTGATTGGTGTAGGAAAAGGTTCTAGTGGTGATATCCCAAGCTTCATCCCATGAAAGTTTCTCGACATCAATTAAAAGTCTCATTAGTTCTGGGATACCTAGTGTTGGATGAGTGTCGTTTAATTGAATGGCGTGGAACGATGGAAATTCTTTAAATGGGAGTTTGGTTCCTTTGAATTGATTGATGATATCTTGAAGGGTGGCACTGACGAAAAAGTATTGTTGTTTAAGTCTAAGTTCCTTTCCTTGCATGGTATTGTCATTGGGATAAAGAACATTGGTAATATTCTCTGAACGGACCTTGTCTTCAATTGAACCAAGATAGTTTCCTTGATTGAAGCTTGCAAGATCAAATTCATCAGATGGCTTTGAACTCCATAGACGAATGTTGATGGTGTTGAACGTGTTGTAACCTGGGACTGGATGGTCATAGGCAATGGCCATAACACTTTCACTAGGTTCCCACTCCATCGCTTTAGACTTGGGATCAGAAGATGATTCCTTGACGGTACCATAGAATCCAACCGTATATGACAAGTCCAAACGTTCTACTTGCCAAGGTGATCCATAATTTAACCAATAATCTGGTAATTCAACTTGTTGTCCTTCAATAATTTTTTGATAAAACCTAAATCAAAATAAATAAAATATTTCATTTAGATTTCGGTTAACTGGGCTTTGTCTAGACTTTTAAATATGTTTACATACATTCCATAATTGTATCTTATACCATATCCTTGAGCTGGGTAATTCATAGTAGCCAGGGAATCCATAAAGCATGCAGCCAAACGTCCAAGACCACCATTACCCAATCCTGCATCTCTTTCCTATAGAATGAAAAAAAAAAGTTGGTAAAGGGAACTTTTAAAAAAATAAAAAATAGTTTGATCTATAGATTATTTTTTACCTCTTCATATAAATCTTCCATTTCAATTCCAAGTTCCATGAGAGCATCAGCATATTTTCCTACCAATCCAAGAGAGAGTAGAGAGTTTTGTAGAGATCTGCCAAGTAAAAATTCAAGAGAGAGATAGTTTACTTGCTTTACTTGTTGTTGTTGAAAGAATAATCTAGTGTCTTTCCATCGTTCGATCAATCTATCTCTTGTGCAGTAGGCCAACGATTGAAAGGATGAAAACTCTGAATTCTCGTTTCTAGTCTGAGCAAGAGTGTACTCTATGTGCTTTACAAATTCTCTTTGAAGAGTTGTCTTGTCATCTGGAATGTATGCTGCTAGACATGCCCACAAGATTGCTCTCTTCTTTTCATCTTCTTCATCAATCTTTTTTTGTTGTTCATCATCACCAGCAGAGGCAGTAGTACGAGTTGTTGTTTGTTCTTTAAATTCTTTTTTATGATGTTCTGGGATAATAATCCTAAAGATAAAGAAAAAGAAATAAATTTTAAAATTGGGATCAGAGGTTCTCTTTTTTTTTTTTTTTTTTTTTTTTTTTTTTTTTAAATATTAATATTTACTTTGGAATGGAATCCTCTCTGGATAATTGTAACTTATTGTGATGAGGAAAGGCAGTTGCACTAGACTTTCTCATCCCTGATTGTTGGGGACTAGAAAATTTATTATCTTCCATCATATTGTATATTTAGTAGTTATATAAATATATGATAAAAGTTGAACTGATAACAGTAGTACTGTACTCTCAGAACTCATCATCAGTACAGCTACAATGTGTGGGGCAATGAAAAACAAATTAAATTAAATTATAAACTTTTATATTAACACACACAACCCTCTCTTTTTGGGGGCAGAGAGAGAAGAGAAAGAGTGTGTTGTGTGGGAACATTATTATTATTATTATTTTTTATTGCAATTTTTTTCTATATTGATTGAGTGTTTGCTCAATTGACGTCATATGATTTGTTGTTAAAAGTGAAGAGTGGTTGTTTCCTTTCATCGCGATCACATGTTCAGCCAAAAATGTCCAACTGTGCATATAATATTTTTGTGCAAAACTACCATTCTCTTGAATATCACAAAGACTCTTGTAAATCTCTAGCAACACCAGATTATCTACATTGAGTTGAGATTGGAGAGAGTTTGATAGCCATCCCAATATTGGCTTTAATAATTCTACTAAAGTTATACTATCATTTTTAGTTTCTTTCAAGAGGTCAATGATAATAGTTTCTGCCATTTGGATGATCCAATAGAGAGGAAATGTTGATTCATTTGGGTATAAATCATATCCAATACCAATGATTTTGGTTTTTAGGCAATCTTGTATTTGCTCTAGTCGTTGTTGTTGTTGTTCGGTACACTTGCCTAGAATGATTTCCCATAATAACTTTACAAAGTTCTCATCGTCGTGTTGTCCAATATGAACCAAATATAACATTTCTTCATGAAGTAAATATTTTCTTGCATAATCACTAAATAACTAATAGAGAGAGAGAAATATAAATATGTGATTTTATGATTTTGTTTTTGTTTTTTTTTTTTTTTTCTTACTGTTGTCATATCATAAAGATTTGTATTGAGTTGTTCAATTGATACTATATATTCTTGAATGATTGATTTATCATCTTCAGAGTTGGATTGAAGATTTGCTTTTGCTTGTTCAAGTTGTTTGATAATCTTCTTTTGGATGTTACAAATAACAGTTTTGTTTAGGGCGTATTGGTACTCTTGGCTATTTGGTGATTTACTCATTAATAATTTACAATTATTATAACAAGTTAATTTTGTATTTAAATCTTTTGAGCTAAATAAATAAAAAAAATGTTAATATTTTTAATAATTAATAATTATATTTGTTGTTTTGATTTTTTTACTTTTCAGCCAATTGAAGAAGGATTTTAGAAGCAGTTGTAAAATCGTTCATTTTTGCTAGATATCTCCAACACATGTCCATATCATTGTCATAGAGATAATCTGTAATAAATGGTGATTTGATTTCAAACAACTTTGCCTTTGAGTTGTTTTCGATTAACCAACTATAGAGGGCGCCATGTAATTGGGCATCCTTGCTATCCAATATTTGACATATCATCATGTCAACAATGTTTGATGCGTTTGGTACTTGTTGTTGTTTGGTTGGTTGTAATAAATCGTAATTGATGATTTCAAATATTTCCTGATACACTTTTCTTTTTGATTCTATAATATATTCATTTGAATCCAATAACAATTTGTTTTCATCATTACTTTCAGAAGGAATAGTAGTAGTAGCAGTAGTGGTGGTAGTAGTAGAGGATGGAGAAAGATTTTGAGATTCTAAATGTTGGGCTAGTTGAGTAGCATAATGCAAACATAGTGGCACAACATATTCGTAATAAGAGAGTGACTTTAGATTGATAAGTATTTCGTGCAAATCAAAGGATGGTGCGATTTCTTCAAGAATGATTAAAGCCTCCTTTACCATTTGCTCACTAGAGTGACTTCGTCCTTCTCTCACGGCAGCTTTTAGTTTATCTCTAACTGTTATTAATTGTTTATCTCTTTTCTTGAATAAATCTGGGCATTCATAATCTAATTGTTTTGAAATGTTATCAATCTAAAATAAAATAAAATAAATAGTTGGTAAAGATAAAAGAAAAAAAAAGAAATCAATTCAATCTTCTTTATGATATTTACCGATATATTAGAATGGTTTAATATATTCATGAGTGAAGAAATTAATAAAGATGAAAAGACTTTGTTTTCAACTCTGCTTGGCGATGATTGATTAATGATTGTTTGATCGATAACATAATCTTTAAATTTAAATTGAATTGATTTCTTTTTATCATCATTACTTAAACTAGAGAAAAAGAGAAAAATATATATTAATAAATTTTTTTTTTTTTGTTGATAATAAATTATTATTTACCTATCAATAGATTGTTGAAAAATTTGATTAAAATCAAATTGTTGTAAAAGAACAAAGAGATTGATAACTTGTAAAGATTTTTGGATAATCTTTTTGAGACCAATTAAACTTCTCTTTTCATTCTTTAGTGCATCTTCATCGGTTGACTGTTCATGAATTGGTTTGGTAATGATGGGAATGTCAGTGATATCATTCTTTGGCAAAAGTTGTGAATTTTCAAGGAACAACAAAAGATTAATCAAATGAGATTGAATTGATTTCAATTGGTGTATGTTGACAGTGGTAGTTGTCGATTCTCCTTTGGTCTTTAAGATTGGTTGATTCCAAATTGGTGCCAATAGTTGGGAAAGGAATGCTACAACTGCTTGGTGAGCATGACTGTAGTGAAGTTCCAATCTGTTTACTGAAGTTCCCATGTCGTGGCTATAGAGGGTGGTGGTTCTGTGGAATGTAGGCTTGCCGCTCTTTCTTTTGAATTGGCTCATTGCCAAATCAAGTACTCGTTGTTGGGCTGATCTAGGTGCACTAATGCTACCATAGATTTGCTCATTTAATACAACAGTTGATTGTGGTGACATGCAATACAAACTAATGCACAATGAATTTGAAAATATATTTCCAAATTCTTGATAGAAATTCTAAAATAAATAGAAAAAAAATGATTAGTTCAAATAAATGTATATATATATATATATATTTGTTACATACATCAATATCAGTCAAAGTAGAATTTAAGAGTAAATTATTAAATAGATCAACATATCTTAGTTTTGTGATAATGTGGAGACCAAGAGAGTTTAGACACAAGAATCTTCTTGGATTTGAAATATGTTCAGTCTTGAATTCTTTATAAAATACTGTATTATTCTCTCCAATGTTGACAATATCTTCTTTAATCATATTAATTCTTCCTTTAATCTAACAAAAAAAAAAATAAAAAAGAAAAGATAAATAATTTGAAAAAAAATATTTATCTCTTTTTGTTCATTTTACATACATAAAAAGCATTTGGTCTTTCTTCAAGTGGATCTTCATTTGAAGTAGTAATAAATGCCCTGTCTTCTGATTGATACAACCGTTTAATTTGTTTCTTTGTAAATGGTGTGGTTCCAATTAATTTGTCTATAGACTCGCTACTTTCATTTGCCATAAAGAATACACCATTTGAATAGAATGTATAATGTGGTATATGATTAATGCTTTCCTGTTGTTGTTGTTGTTGTTGATTCGTTCCAGAGGATCCTAAAATTGTCATTGTAGAGGTTGGAGGTCTTCTAACATATTTTATTGAACTCTAAAAGAAATAAAAATAAATTAGAAAAAAAAAAAGAGTAGTAATATATATATATATAGATAATTACATCAATATTGTTTGATAAATATAATCGAACTCCATTTGAAAGAATTGCAATGCAAGAATAATCAACTTGAGAGGAAATGTGAATTGATAGGATCGACAGTTGTTCGGCAGAGGGATGCTGATTTTTAGGTAATGGGGATATTACTTCACCAATCATTGTAAATGAATTATTATTTTTGCCTAGAGAATATTTCTACAAGAATAATATCATTAGTAAATTAAAAAAGATTCATCTTTTGTTCTTCCTCTTCTTCTTCTTTTTCTTCTTTTTCTTCTTCTTACTTGAATAGTTGAATTTTTACAAAGAGTAAATAATAAATTTCTTTGATTGTCAATCAAAATTTGAATAATTTCTGGCTTTTTAGTAGACCAAAGGGTATTCCACAAGGAAGTGGTATGGCAAATCTTTTGAATTTTGTTTCCATTTTGACCAAACCACCAAGAGGTAATAGAAGAGGTAACCGAAGATGCTGATGATAAACTCGAATCTCCACCATAAACAATCTCGTAAAGATTGCCGTCTTGGCCACCCAAAAATATTCTTCCATCTTCTGTCCCAACAATATCATTAATAATGGCAGAATCTGTTTGAATTACAAGTGGCGCTAAACAAAAAAAAAAAAGAAAAAAGAAAAAGGAAATAAGTATTTGATCAAAAAAATATTTATATATTTATCATATTTTCTACATACTAGCAATTAATTCAAATCTATTGTCATCACTACTAAAGGTTAGAGCAAATAAAAATATTTCAACATGAGTTGCCACAATGAGAATCTTTTTGACAGAGTCTTTAAAGACATTTTTACGAGGATTTACCAATCCACATGTTGTAATGACTTGAGTCAGTTGATTGGTAATCAATTCACCTCTACCATTACTAGATTCTCTATAGTCCCAGAGAAAAAGGGTCTGGTCGATTGATACCCATGCGTGACCAATCTCTGGAAATATGCCTTGAGATGTTCGAGTGTTGGCACTAAGATATCTGTAACCAATCTCTTGGGGGAAGGGTATATGCTTTTCAATCATCATTGTGGACCAAATGGCAGATGATGTATCAAAATAATTGTATCCTCCGGTTGTGTTTGGTCCCGTTGAACCCATCATTGGGGGTCTATAAGATGATGATGTAGAGGTGGAAAGAGGGTCTTGTATAGTTTCACTAGTATTGATCATCATGTCAACAATTGATACTGCATTGTCAAAAATATTGTGCAATTCTACTTCTTTGTTGAACGTTGAAAGATTGTTGACTGTTGAAAAGGTTGTTTTACTTGTAGGTGCTGTCGATGATGATGAAGTTATAGTTGGCCCTGGCAAGGTTGATGATGATGTTGGCATTGATGATGTATAGAGATTAGAATCTTGTTGTTGTTGTTGATCAAAAGTTATTGCTGATGGAAGATAGTTTAGAGGTAATGTTGGTCCAGAACCAATCATTGATAGTGGTGATGTCATAGTAGATTGTGCAGGAGTTTGGTAGTATCCATTGATTTGATTATTATTCAAAGAAGCGTTGTTATTGAGAGGTGATTGGTAAAATGAACTTTGAGTAGATCCATTATGAATAGGTGAAGGAGTTGGTGTTGTAGAGTAAATATACTTGTTTTGTTGTTGTTGCTGCTGTTGTTGTTGTTGCTGTTGTTGTTGTTGCTGTTGTTGTTGTTGCAATTGTTGTTGTTGCAGTTGCTGCTGTTGAAGTTGTTGCTGCTGCTGCTGTTGGTTATAAATATTAGGATACAATTGATATTGAGATTGCATCTTTACTTTATTATTTGTATTACCAAAGCAGCTTCGACAAAGAGTCATTCGTGCTCTTGTGCGCATGATCTTCAAAGTTAAAAAAAAAAAAAAAAAAAAAAATTCTTCTTTGGGAGACCAAGATTTATTAATACAATGTTATTAATAAGAAACCTCTAGATTCATCGTCAATGAATGACTTGATTCTGACAGAAAGGGATCGGTCAATGAACAACAGATCGAGGAATCTCAAGTGTCATACTTTCCAATGGAACGTCAAGGTGTCGAATGAATTGGACGTTCAGTTACTCGATTACCTTTGTCATCAATGTCGCACAGTACAAGCAACTTCTTGAATTGGTTGTTTGTACGACATGTTATCAAAAGATTGTTCAAGATGTCAGATGCTCCACGACAACAAGTACTCTTTGGTAAGTCAACACAATAATATCATGTGACACGATGGAGATTAATTTATTTAATTTATTTAGGACGAAGATATTCATACAACCTATTGTGGTTCAATAGAAAGATGATTAATCGTGTCTTGGTTCTCAGAAGAATATCCATCTCTTCTATTTTCATCTCCTCCTCCTCTAAAAGACAATCAAAGCAAACTAGTCCGTCCAACGATATGAAGATGAAATATTCAACTTAAAGAAACAAAGAGAAAATTATCACCAGTTGAACAAAAAGAAGTGGAACAACTATGACTACTACAACTTCAACTACAATTACGCCAACTGATAAAAAGGTTGTAAAGAAATTAAAACAAAATCATATTGAAAATAGTAGTTGAAGTGAGGGTACAATTTATATTGTTACAATACAGTCAAAACAAAAGAAGAAATTAGAGATATTAATTTGGAAGATAATTTGGAAGGAGATCAAGACGAAGACGAAAAAATGAAAGAATCTTTGGTTAAAGATGATCAAGTAGATCGATACGCATTGACAATTGATGACTTTGGTAAATACTTGAACAACATATAAAAGAACATATATTATTGAAAGGTTAAAGATAATGATGTGGTGAAACTGATAGTGGAGAGACTACTCAAATAATACAACTTAATCCAACCCTCCATCACCAGTTATTAATAATAGAAATGGTAGCATAATTGGTTCAGCAAACAAACAAACAAACAAACAAACAAACAAACAAACAAACAAACAAACAAACAAACAAACAAACAAACAAACAAACAAACAAACAGTGTGGATGGTACGGCGGCGAGCGCATTTCTTCATTAAATCACTGTAATTGCAGAGTTCCGCTTCGTATATTATATTATATTATATTATATTATATTATATTATATTATATTATATTATATTATATTATATTATATTATATTATATTATATTATATTATATTATATTATATTATATTATATTATATTATATTATATTATTATATTATATTATATTATATTATGTTATATATATTATATATTATATATTATATTATATTATTATTATTTTATTTTTAATTAAAATTAAATGTTTTTATATCTATTTACACATCTTTGATCTGAAACATTGATTATACCACTCTACATAATTATTTTAGATCGAACAATGATCTTTGTTACAAATATATCGAGAATTTTATTAAATTTTGGTGACAAAATTGATCAAAATTCGATTGTATAACTCTGTTGATTTAAAACTTTGATGATTCCATTTTAAATAGATATTATCATGGTGTCGGAACAAAAGAATAATAAAAAAACAACCTCTATCACAAATTTATTAATGCCTAAGAGGGCACTGGTTTTTTCTGTGGAAATGTTTTATTTGTGAATTTTATTGTTTAGGTCTCATGACTTGAAACCTTTACTATATCATTGGAAATGATTTGAATTTTGTGCAAACATCAAGCTTGCTCAAAAAAACTATCATTTTTTATGAAAAAATTAGTGATTTGGTTGTTTGGTTTTAGATTTTCAAATTTTTATAATTTAGCTCAATTTGCTTCAAACCTTTATATTCACCATTGAACATTGTTTTGGCAGGTAATTGAATTACTTTAATTTTTTAAAAAAAGCCTTTTTCAATATTTTATGAGTGTCCTATTGGTTGTTTGTAATTTTTAAAAACATTTACAAGCAATATAATTTCACTCATTTGACTTTAAACTTTAAATTTTGTTTTTAATATTAGTATTAAATGATATGGGCTTGAAGGTATTCCACAAAATAACCTTTATCTCAAAATTTAAAGTTTTTGTTAAATTTTTCCAAAACTTGAAATTTAACTCAATTGATATGAAAATTTTATATATCTAGATATTAATATTTCAAATATTATGGAATCATTTGGTTAAAAGATTAAATAAAATTCATTCGAAAAATAATTAATACTTTTAATTTAAAATTTCTATCTTTGTATAATTTTATTTTAAAATTTTTTAAGCAGTACGCTCACTCATTAATATTGTTGGAAATATGCAAATATACTATTTGTAAAAAATCGATTTTATCAAAAATATACCAAAAAGATAAAAATATAAATATAATTATTTCAATAGCCTCATTTATCTTTTGTTATAAAAACAAAAAATTGTGATTCAAGAGCTTATTTTTTGGAAAAAAAGTGGTCATGGCATGAGTCGATCCAAAATGAAAAAAACTTCAAAATAGGGCAAAAGTTGACATGTATATTACAAAGTTTTTACTTTTTTAGATAAATCAAAGGATAGAACTAGTAAATATATAATGTTTAAAATAAAAAATATTGAATAGGTTTAAAAAAATTATACATGTTCACAAAAAAAAAAATAATAAATTTTGGTTTTTTGTTTTTTTGGTTCCATAAAAGTTGGAATTTTAATAACTTCCTTATATTTTATTGATTGTTGTCCAATTTTAAATATTTTATACAAAACACTCACACCCATCTATATTGTTACTTTTAAATTGTTTAATCAAAACTTTTTTATATACTTCAATTTCAACTGATATTTTCATTTTCTAAATATCTTTTACAAATACTTATGGCAGTTCATTTCCTTTTGGCAAACATAATAATAATTGTTGTATTGCATTGCTATAATAGAATACCCCATCTGAAAATTGTATTTGATATAGGTTTTTTATTAGAAAAAGAGGTATGTACTGATTCCAAAAAAACAACATGCCTTCACATTTTGTTAGGGGCACATGCTGCTTACCAGAACTGTAGTATGGACAGTGGCAAGTTGTAGTTTGCACTTTTTTAACGGATGCATAGATCCATAAAATATTTTCTTCTCGTGGTATATGAACGTCAGACCTGGCAAATCAACTGCAAAACCATTTTTTAAATATATTTTACAAATACTTATGGCAGTTAAAACTTATTTAACTTCTTCTGTTAGTTTGACCCCTGCTGTCAGTTTGACAGTTGTGTCAGATTAATATCAGATCGAGTGAGCTTTATCTAGGGGTAGGGGTTGAAAAAATGAATATTAAATATTTTAATTAAAATTGTATTTGTTTAAAAACAAAAATATAGGTCAATCATTAAATTTGATATATAATATAAATATAATATTTTTGTAAAATAAAAATGGATAAATTTGTATAAAGACCTAAAAAAACAATTTAAAAAAAAATCATAATTGTCTTAAAATTTAATATAAAAAAAGAGCGTATATTTGAAATATATTGGTACATGTATTAAAAATAAAATAAACAAAAAATTTGAACATTTGTAAAAGTTAAAACAAATGGGTACTTGGAAAAATTTTCATTTTGAAAAAAAATATTAATCTTTTGGATTGACTTCAAATATTAAATCTATCTTAATTTGTATAATTCATTAAAAAATAAAATTTATAATAAAAAACTATGATTTTAATAGTATAAAAGTGTGTCAAGAAAAAGTACAAGTTTAGGGTATAGAGAAAAACGATATCACAAAATTCCTGGTTGAGGATTTAATAGTATATATAGACTCTATACATGTCATATATGCATGTTTAAAAAGAATTTCCCAACCTGGTCAATACTTGATAAAAAAATTTCTCAAAGTATTTTTTACTATGGCTCATAGTAAAATTTTCAACTTTTCAAATCTTCACAAAACATTCTCAAAACACTATTAGTTAGTGTATTACACATATTTAAGAGTAATTTGAACTATATTATTGAATTCTAAAGGATTGAATTTTTTAGATTTCTAAAATTTTTTAAGTATGAAGTATTTTCCTCATAAAATTTTCAATTTAGAATTTCAAATTTTAAATTAACTCCTGATATATACGATAGATATACACACTATTATACTACTTTCATTAAAATAAATACTAAAAAGTTTTATTCTCTTAGATAAAACCATCAAGAGTTACGACTGTCTCACAGTAACTTAACTTTTCCAGATTCAATCCTAGCTGGTCGGAAGTTCGATTCCCAATTACTACATTGATATATATAACAACGTGTTAGTGTATTGGGGTGAGTATATCAATGGGGGGTTAGGGTTAGGGGTTAGGGGTTAGGGGTTCTATAAGCTGCTACCAGGGCCAGGGCCAAGTTTAAATTTTTATATTGTACTCCATACTAAAATATAAGTATATTTATGAGTATATCACACCAATTAAATAACTTTTGAAGAGTTTGAGGTAATTCCAAAGGATTATTTTTCACCAAAAAAAACCAAAAATTTTCTAAGTATGAAAATCCTTGTTGTAATTCTATACCTAACTATTAATACCCCAAGTGTATATTTTAGTAAATATTATACTAAAACAACTACGCTATCAAATGAATTCACTTATAAACTGCATTTATAGATTCATTCACATCAAAAATTTGGTGGCCCTCTCCGTTTTCAGATTACTTGTTCAATTCTATAATGAACAAACAATGAACAAAAAATGAACAAATGGGACTAATCTGGCTTCTATATCACCAATACCAGGCTCCAAATTTGAAGTTGGTGTCAGTAGGTACTTATTTAGTTGCACTTTTTTGGTTTCGATCCCAAATTTGGAGGTTTACATTCCACATACCAAATCACTATCACAGAATGGTTTTTTATCGGACAGGTTGATCAGGTACAGGTTGGAAAAGTGTCTAGGTTGTCCGGTGACCTACATATATGCAAAGATTTGCTTGGCCCTAACTATAAAACGGACACTATGACCCTCATTCCGATACTGAAAAATCATGTGGTTATTATGGGGTAAATTCAGTTTTGGTGAAATATTGTACCACAATATACCAGAATGCGTATAAAACTTAGCCTAATATAGAATATATTCCTCATCTATCCTATACTACACCCTCACACTCAACAATAATATCTTCACCAATATTAACAACACACTCACCAACCAGATCGATTCTAGATAACACGAATCATCGCATCAACAACACCCCAACCGCTAGTGGTGTCACCCTATACGAATTCGGTTAACCATCGCACATGTGGTTCGTAAAAGAGTCTAACAGGTTCAATCAA